CCCAGCGCCAGGTGGAAAGCACACAGTCCCTCATTCGTATTGTTGGTCTATCGGCCACCCTTCCGAACTATACTGATGTGGCGGACTTCTTGAAAGTGAACAAAATGGCCGGCATGTTCTTCTTCGATCAATCATTCCGACCCGTACCTCTCGAGCAACACTTCATCGGTGTGAAGGGAAAGCCCGGCTCCAAACAATCTCGTGACAACATTGACTCTGTAGCCTATGAGAAGGTTCGCGACATGATGGAGAGAGGCCACCAAGTCATGGTTTTCGTCCACTCACGAAAAGATACCGTTATGACTGCCAGGATGCTTATGCAGCTAGCCGCGGAGGAGGGCCGAGAGGACTTGTTTAGCTGTCATGATCACGAAAACTATTCTAATGCTCTTCGTGACATGAAACATGCGCGTGCGCGTGAACTGCGAGACCTCTTCGCTAGTGGATTTGGAACACATCATGCCGGAATGACTCGAAGTGACCGCAATCTGATGGAGCGAATGTTTTCTGAAGGTCTAATCAAGGTTCTTTGCTGTACTGCAACCTTGGCGTGGGGTGTCAACCTTCCCGCAGCTGCAGTTGTTATCAAAGGTACTCAGTTGTATAATCCCCAAGAGGGTAAATTCATTGACCTGAGCATTTTGGATGTCATGCAAATCTTTGGCCGTGCAGGTCGTCCACAATTCCAGGATACTGGTATTGGATTTATCTGTACTACCCATGACAAGTTAACCCATTACCTCTCTGCTGTGACTGCGCAGCAACCCATTGAGTCACGCTTCTCTAGTCGACTTGTGGATAATTTGAATGCTGAAATATCGCTTGGGACCGTCACATCCGTTGCAGAGGCTGTGCAATGGCTTGGCTACTCGTACCTCTATGTGCGCATGAAGCGTGAGCCGAGGAACTATGGAATCGAGTTTGCTGAATTACGCGATGACCCAATGTTAGTTCAAAGGCGGAGGCAGTTGATCCTACAAGCAGCACGAGTGCTACAAAAGAGTCAGATGATCATCTTCAACGACAAGACGGAAGATCTCAAGGCCAAGGATGTTGGTCGCATTGCGAGTCAATACTATGTATTGCAAACCAGTGTCGAGATTTTCAACGACATGATGCGTCCCCGATCTGGCGAGGCAGATGTACTCAAGATGATCAGCATGAGTGGAGAATTCGACAACATCCAATCTAGAGACAGCGAGTCGAAAGAGCTTCAGCGACTGCGCGACGAAGTTGCGCAGACTGAAGTTGCCGGAGGAAACGACACGCCACACGCGAAGACAAACCTTTTGTTACAAGCCTACATCTCTCGCGCTAAGATTGAGGATTTTGCTCTGGCCTCTGATACTGGATATGTTGCCCAAAATGCGGCACGTATCTGCCGTGCGCTCTTCATGATTGCTTTGAATCGCCGCTGGGGTTATCAATGCCAGGTTCTACTGTCCCTTTGCAAGTCCATTGAGAAACAGATCTGGCCCTTTGATCACCCTTTCCGTCAGTTCGATTTGCCCCAGCCGATCCTGCGTAACCTTGATGAAAAGCTTCCGACTACTTCTATCGAGTCGATGAAAGAAATGGAGCCTGCGGAAATTGGGCAGCTTGTTCATAACCACCGCATGGGTAACACATTGTCCAAGCTCCTGGATAATTTCCCAACTCTCAGTGTTGAAACCGAGATTGCGCCGCTTAACCGCGACGTGCTTCGCATTCGCCTTTCCATCTACCCGGAGTTTACCTGGAATGATCGTCACCATGGAGCATCCGAATCCTTCTGGGTCTGGGTCGAGAACTCGGAAACATCAGAAATTTATCATCACGAGTATTTCATCCTAAGCCGGAAGAAGCTTTACGCCGATCATGAGCTCAACTTCACTATTCCGTTGTCCGATCCACTTCCCAGCCAAATATACATTCGTCTGATCTCTGATCGCTGGCTGGGTGCTGAAACCGTTAGCCCAGTTTCTTTCCAGCATCTCATTCGCCCAGATACTGAAAGCGTGTATACCGATCTACTCAATCTCCAGCCACTTCCTATATCGGCTCTTAAGAATCCCATTCTCGAGGAAGTGTACGGGCAACGCTTCCAGTTTTTCAACCCTATGCAAACACAAATTTTCCATCTCCTTTACCACACACCGGCCAATGTTCTTCTCGGTTCTCCAACCGGTAGTGGAAAGACTGTTGCAGCTGAGCTAGCAATGTGGTGGGCTTTCCGCGAGAAGCCCGGCTCCAAGGTTGTGTATATTGCACCGATGAAGGCATTGGTCCGTGAACGAGTTCAAGATTGGCGTAAGCGCCTCACGCGCCAGATGGGTTTGAAGCTGGTTGAGTTGACTGGTGATAATACACCTGACACACGTACTATTCGGGATGCCGACATCATTATCACCACCCCTGAGAAATGGGACGGTATCTCACGTAGTTGGCAGACCCGTGACTACGTCAGAAAAGTCAGCCTCGTGATTATTGACGAGATTCATTTGCTCGGTAGTGATCGAGGTCCCATTTTGGAAATCATTGTTTCTCGGATGAACTATATCGCTTCTCAATCCAAAGGATCGGTTCGACTGATGGGCATGTCCACTGCTTGTGCCAATGCTTCTGATCTGGCAAACTGGCTTGGTGTCAAAGAAGGTCTGTATAACTTCCGGCATTCAGTTCGCCCAGTTCCCCTCGAGATTTTCATCGATGGGTTCCCTGAACAGCGTGGTTTCTGTCCCTTGATGCAGTCGATGAATCGCCCAACTTTCCTCGCTATCAAGAATCACTCACCGGAGAAGCCAGTCATTGTCTTTGTTGCTTCTCGCCGACAAACTCGTCTGACGGCTAAAGACCTGATCAATTACTGCGGTATGGAGGACAATCCTCGTCGATTTGTGCGAATGTCTGAAGATGATTTGGAATTGAACCTCGCGCGAGTGAAAGACGATGCTCTAAGAGAAGCCCTTAACTTTGGTATTGGTTTGCATCATGCTGGTTTGGTTGAATCCGATCGCCAGCTGGCAGAAGAACTCTTTGCCAACAACAAGATCCAAGTTCTTGTGGCGACCAGTACTCTTGCGTGGGGTGTCAACCTTCCGGCGCATCTTGTGGTGGTCAAAGGCACACAGTTCTTCGACGCTAAGATTGAGGGTTATCGGGACATGGACTTGACCGATGTTCTGCAAATGCTCGGTCGTGCTGGTCGTCCACAATTCGATACCTCCGGTATTGCGCGTATCTTCACTCAGGACTCCAAGAAGGCTTTCTATAAACACTTCCTCCATACTGGTTTCCCCGTCGAGTCGACCCTACACAAGGTTCTCGACAACCATCTTGGCGCTGAGGTATCTGCCGGAACTATTGGGACGCAACAAGATGCATTGGACTACTTGACCTGGACATTCTTCTTCCGTCGATTGCACAAGAACCCCTCGTACTACGGCCTGGAGATCTCTGCAGAGGAACAAAACACCATGGCAGCTCAGGCCATAGCTCAAGATTTCATGGTTGAATTGGTTGGGAAATCACTCAATGATCTCGCAGAATCGTCCTGTGTTCTTGTAGACTCGGCCACCGGAGAGGTTGACTCTACTCCCTTCGGCAAGATCATGAGTTACTACTACCTGTCACACAAAACGATCCGGTTCCTCGTATCCCATGCCAAGCGTGATCCCACTTTCGAGGATGTCTTGAGCTGGATGTGTTCCGCAACTGAATTCGACGAGCTGCCTGTCAGACATAATGAAGATCTGATAAATGCCGAGTTGGCCCAGAACTTGCCGCTATCTATCGACTGCATGGGCGATGCGCCACTATGGGACCCACATACCAAGGCGTTCCTCCTCCTACAGGCCTACATGTCGCGGATCGATCTGCCCATTGCCGATTATGTTGGTGATCAAACGTCTGTGCTTGATCAAGGTATTCGTGTCATCCAGGCCTCGATTGATGTCATGGCTGAACTCGGGTATCTTCCTGCGTGTCAGATGCTGATGACTCTCCTCCAATGCATCAAGTCGGCGCGCTGGCCTGAAGACCACCCGTTATCGATTCTGCCAGGAATTCCGACCGAGAAGCCACCCAGTGGTCTCCCGGGAACTCTTGTATCACTCTCGTCGCAACCTACTGGTGCAGTTGCTGCTCTGGTCAAGAAATTGAACCTTCCATTCAACTTTACTCGCGCTGCGTCCCAGCTGCCTCAGCTATTGGTCTCGGTTGCGAGTGTCTCTGCTAAGGGCATTGCTGTCTCTCTGACACGACGTAACCAGCCCACCACCCCTGAATGCAAGGTCTACACCCCTCGATTCCCCAAGCCACAAACTGAGGGCTTCTTCTTGATTGTTTGTAGTGCTCTGCCCAATGGCATGGATGGTGAATTACTTGGTCTGAAGCGTGTTTCTTGGCCACCAGTATCTAAGCGCAATGGCAATGGCAATGGAAAGGGCAATTACGGTGCTGGTTCCAGTCGCGGAGGACCTGCCAACGATAACAAGGGCGGCCTGTTGACTGTTCGGTCCAATATCAAATTCCCCGAAGACATCCTCGCGCAATCGACGACTACCAATGCAGCTCGAGTGAATATCAGAGTTATTAGCGACTCTTACATTGGAATGGCATGGACTGTCTCCAATATCGAGGTTGATTTGGACACTGGAATCGAGACGCAGACTGTGACAGAATCCAGCGTTCCTACCAAGGACTGAAAGCAGATGCTCACTACTGACTGATTGCATAAAAATTTTACAAATGCAATTTATCCACCTCGCACTTCTGCTAGTAATGAAAACAAACTATGGCGTAGATCTCCTTCTATAGTGCGATGATGATCATGCCTACCTACTAGGGATCGGCCGATGTCAAGCCATGATGCGATACTATACAATTCACGTCGGGAGGAAACAGTTATTAATCAGCAAATGTGGCCGAGTGGTTAAGGCGCTGTGTTAGGTTGATCTTCATGATACAATCCGCAGTGGGAAACCCCGCGCGTTCGTAAGATCCCAATGTGGTGAGAATAATCACAAAGAAATAGCAAACCACTTCTTCAGCGCTTCAACTCTCCCCTCCTGAGTTCCAAATGAATGAATGACCCTCGTCCTCCCACCCATATTCAACTTTACAACATTGTTAACCATCATAATCTTCCCAGCAATAAAGACATCATCCGTCATCTTCAACACTTCTCCCTCCAACAAAGGTAACCCCGCCGTCTCCCCATTTCGAATGAACTTGACCACAAGGACATTGCCCTTTTCCACAGCCTCCCAACTCGTAAATCGATTAATCACTTCGAAATCATCCTGAAAAAACTCAAATTCTGCAAACGAATAGAACGAATTCCATGGCTTGTCCGCAGCATTGCGATATTGGTATATCCAGACCTTCTGCTCTTTGCGCGTCTGCTTCGGCATATTGTCGTAAATCAATCGCACTTCCTGTGATCCTAAATTCTTTGTAATCTGTCCCGAGATCAGGGGCAGGGGACTTGTTGGCCCGTCTCCGCCGAACGCTGCGTCCAGATGGTACTCTACACCGCTAGGCAGACGGGCGATGTTGACGATATGCGTCCTTTTTCCACCGTTCAGTCATCTTGCTTTTGTGGCCTTGGATGATGCTCTTACCATCCTTTGAATTCCCCTTGCGGTATACCGTCTATCCGCGCCCGGTTCCGAACGCCCGTCATGTACACTGAGAAATCCAGGCCGCGCAGCACGTGGTGGAAGAAAATGCTCACTTCCAAGCAGTAGCCTCCTCGACAGGAGGGTGCTGTGTCGTCACGCCCCATGACTTTCGTGTAGATTTTGTCGGGTTGGATCTCTGCCAGTTGCGTAGCGGAATGATGACATGTCAGGTTATCGTATGGGAATCGAGTGATTTGGCAACGGAAGAGATCCCTCAATGCTTCTTCAGTTTTGGGGAATGATTCTGGTTCGCTGATATATTGTGCATATTGATCTGGTAGGGCGATGTAGTTCAAGTACTTGGTCAATTGGGCCGGTGTATAGGCGGAGGCCAATTTTGGGGTATCCATTTTATCGATCCGCTAACAAAATATGCAAAGGTCTTGTCAGCTCTATTTGAATGTTTACATACAGAGTAGATATTGTCGGACTGTTGTAGGTCTGACCCGAAACAATCAAAGAGCATGATAAGCCCATGACTCATCTCTCAACGGAACAGCCCTGGGCAGTGCCAAGAGAGACAAATTGAGCTTATGCAAATTCGCCAATCAGAGCTGGGATTGAGCGATGTTTCATAATGATTGGCCTAGGCGCTTCGTTCAGTCTACACTTACTACGAAGATAAGTCCAGGCGATATGTAGTAGACTAGAAATAAACATCGACCATGAATAATATGAACCAGTCAAGGCATGGATTAAGAGATTGTAAAAGTATCGAGACCATATGTAGAGAACGAAAGATATGGACAAAGCATGAGATATGGCAAAGGGGAATCAGGTATGAAAGAAAAAAGTTGAAAAAAAGAATGAAAAAAAAAAAGAATTACGCAGTAGAATGTCACAGACACTCTATCTGCAACTCCTGCGAGATACCAGGCCGATGGCCCCGGTGAGCATCTGTAATCTGGGGTGTCAAAGGTCTTCTATGCACAACCCGCTCCTCGGGATCTAAATGGTCGATTCTCATGCCGATGGGAACCAGGACCTGTCGCTTTGCCCGCGACACAGAAACAGAGCGTGCTATTGAGACCTCAACCTTTGGGATAGGAAGCTGAGGCTCGGCTACAGGCTCCACTTCGGTGGTATCAAACGTCTCAACGGGATCGGCGAATGGCATGCGCGTGGAGTCTGCTGGCGATATGCCGGATTTAGGACCAGTTGAAGCTGATAATGGCGACATGATCCGGTCAATCTTGCTCTGGGTCGGGTTTAAAGCCGAAGGAGAGCTTCGAGATGAACTGCTAGATAATATGTCCTTTATGGGTGGTTGTGGTCGGCTCTCGGTCTGAACTTTGAGACGCGGTCGCACTGAATCATTGGCCCTGTGGTAGTTCGATGTCTTATTGGACTGATGCTGTGTGGTCTTGTTTTGTGTTGAAGGAACCTGGGGCTGCTTTTCTATGGCTCGCGACAGCGAATCCTTTCTCGGCTGTGGAATCCACGGTTGAGCAACCTGCTTTGTTACAATAATATTGTGTGATTGAACGCTCTGTTGTGGCCGGATATTTTGCGAGGATGGAGTGTTCTTTTCTGGCTGAGCACTATTTTGTAATTGAGTAGTCTCTGGCTCCGGCTTGATAGCAGGAAGAGGCTTGTCATAACTACTAGACGACCGTGGGGTGTTCGAATGCTCTGAGAATAGCTTCGGAATGACCGGTGACTCGAATGATGACATACTGCCCATGTTTGAACCATGATGGAACTGTGGTAGAGGCATCTTCGATGGGCTTTCGATAGGGAGTGTGTTTGCTCTGACCAGTGGGCTCGGTCCACGGGAGAAATTCTGTGTGCCGAGTACAAGGGCCGCCTTCAAAGGCTGTGAGGTTGGAAATAAGGTGAAGCTTGATCGCGCTGGTGATGTTGCCCGGCGTTGGGGTATTGGGGGTGGTGTGGGTGATTTTAGGAAGCCCTATATCAGTCGGTTAGTCTCATATTAGTTTCTAATCCATAAGAGTTCATACATTTGCATCTGGCACACGAAGATTGTCCAACGTCTTGGCCCTTCTGGCCAGCAGTGAGGGTTTTTTGTTCTTGTTGACGACACTGCTGAACATAACGCTATATCGCTCCATTTGAACGTCTGGAATGTCGACACTTAGTAAAAGGCCAGAGGTATTTGGTTCATTCTTGGGTCCCTTGTTGCCGAGTGATAAATTCCGACTCCGCTGGGAAGCTTGGTCGCTTCGACCAGGCATCTTCCTAGGAGTGATATCAAGTTTTGGCCACTCCTCCGTCGAGTCCGTCCTCAGCCTTGCTTTGTGCGGTTTCTCTGGGAGTTTATCTTTGTCGATCTGTGGTTTGAACTCGCTTTCTGATGCGCTATCCGGAAGCGATGTAAGCGCATTCTTTGCCTTGAAGAATCCGCCAATCTTCTTCCACTTGCTAGGCTTATGGGCTGAATCTCTTTCCGACAAAACGGATGTATCAAATCTGGGTGGTGGTAGAGGCTCGTCTTTATTTAACATGCCGGGACTTCCCAGCGCAATGCCAATCATGTGTTGCTCAGTGAGGGAACGGCCTGATCGGGTAGATTGAATGGCTTCATCTGGTGGCGCGGTTAGGCGAAAGTCGAAAGTTGCATCTTGACCCGGGGGTGGCTTTCTGAACCACCCATCTCCCATAGAGGGCTGAGTGAAATCCCATTGTCCAGTCATTGGCTGGGCCGGATGCCGTGAGGCCTGAAGAGAGTGAAGGTCGTTCCGCGGCGATGCATCGGTATAGGTCAAAACAGGAAAGGAGATGGTCTCCTTGAGTTGCGTGCGGGACTGGACTGCTGTCATACCCCTTGCCATCTCTTGGTATATTGAAATCCAGTCGACATGCGATGTAAAATGAGTGTAAGAAATAAAAAAAAGCAAGAAAAATGTAAGAGAATGATACTAAGAGAAAATCCCAGGTCGTGAATAGAAGAGATGACCTTTCCAGAAGGCCAACAGAAACCAAAGAAAACCAAATCAATTGCGAGACCAGAAGGGTAACCCGGTATATTAATGAGAGTAAAGGAATAGATTGAAGTGGATCTATCAATAACGGACCATGTAAATGAGACGAGGAACCAAATTAATCCAAATCCTCCATCCTAAATCTGCTAGAGGTGCAACAGGTCTAGTCTGGGACTGAACCAACGAAACATGAGAAACGAGCCCAAACCTCGCAACGATATTCTGTTTTAGAATTCGAGGGGCGTCTCAGCGCTAACATTGAGCCCGTGTGAGATGCTTATTTCCCGTGGGACGAATGAGGGCATCGGTCGCGGGTTGATTAGCTCGCTACCACGTTAAAAGGGGCCAAGCCATGCAGGAGGCGTGTTTCATCCAGTCAAAACTGAGACATGGGCGTTTTCTTCTGCGTTTTACCCTTAAATCAGGGGTTTTTGGCTCTGGAGTAGCATTGGAAGGATGTCCACATCATACTGTGCACGGTCATGGATGTCATGAATTCTCCGAGACTTTGCAGCCGCCAACACAATGGGATGCCAAACCTGTCTCTGGTTCCGAATGTCTGGCTTTTGCTTTTGCATCAGTATGTCAAGGTGTAGATCAGACGGGAGAAGAAAGATCTCCTAAATAGCGGTCAGATCAGGATCAACCCCTCAAGTTCCAAGTTTAAGGCACTCAGGCAGCAATTCATGATGATCGACGGTACATGAAATGACTGGGCTGACTGGACTGATTAGCTGGGCTGGACTGGTTGGTACCGGGATGTTATATGTATGTCATACATATCTCTTGACATGAGCGCTATGTTCGAATAGACACATCCGAAGTCGTTGATGTTAAGCTATATCGTATATCGTAGAGATCTCCCACCGCTACTTAGTATATTATGAACTTCTTCCGATATTCTATACACAACACCGATATTATAATATCTGCAATATCCTACCTATAGTACTACGTAGCAGTATTCGCAAAGTAATATTATATTTCGAATCAAAAGCAAAATCACATAAACAATATAAGCTATCTCAAGTTGCAAACGGTGGGATCGTCATATGGCGGGGTCCTCTCCCGACCGCCACAACTTCTACCCCCCACTAACTTCTCTCTTCTCCCAGCTCTCCTTTTTTTTCTGTATATTCAAAAGGTGTGCTGAAATTCTGCTTTCTTCTCTTCCTTTCTAATTTCTACCTCCATCAACAGCGTTATTCTCTCAACTTCTTTACAGTCATCATGGGCGAGCACTCAGCTATCTGGCAAAGTATGAATCATCTTGAACTGCAGACTACAGTCTGACAGGTCATCCCTTGCTTCTTCTTCTTCTCCAGGTCCGCTAACGTGAGGTTTTTCTTTGAATTAGGCTATGTCGACTCCAGGTACATCGTCACCCCTCCTCGGCCCCTGATATACCCCTCCATCGGAACCGAATCATCCCACCGTGTTTATCATATACATATACTGACAAGCTTCTTTCTCGCAGCCTGATGGGCTCGGGTCAATTCGACAAGGCTGGTATTCTTGCCGCTGACTTCTCCGGTGTTGAGGCTTCCTCCCCCGGCTTCACGGTAAGCTCATCTGTTGTTTTTCCTCATGCGGGGTGGGGTCACGGACTTCGGCACAGTCGCTAACGTTATCGGTTGTCAAAATACAGCTCTCCCAGGATGAGATCAACTCCCTGATCACCGCCTACACTTCTAGCGATCAGGCTTTTGCCGGTGGTTTCTCTGTCTGTGGTGAGAAGTTCGTCACCATCCGCGCTGACGAGCGCAGTGTATACGGCAAGAAGGTAAAGATACTCGTTCCCTTCGACCGATCAGCACCTCTGGAGGTATATCAATACATAACATTAGAATTTGTGCTAATCTCTGTCGTCTATGATACAGGGTAAGGAGGGCGTCATTATCGCTCGTGCCTCCTCTTGCACCATCATCGCCCACCATGGCGACACTGTCCAGACCACCAACGCGGCCACCGTTGTCGAGAACCTCGTCGACTACCTCAACAACCCCCGGTAAATTGGAAAATATGCAATGATAACTAAACGATGAGATGAGTGGAGGGGTTTGTGAAGAATAGGAAATAAAGGAGCTTTCGACTATTTCTCTCCTTGAGCCCAGCGTGATGTTTCGCTTATGCTTTCTTTCTGGCTTTGTGACTGGATCTCTCGGCCTCGATGGGCCACGTCAATCTAGACGTTCCCAATGCACAGTATGAGGACAGGAACCAGATTGTATGATGCACAATGTAATTTGTCTATTCTAACATGCATATTAACTGATTACCAGTCGTTGAATTAACGCTAGAACATCAGTAAGGGTCATTATTAATTACATAAAGCCAGAGGCTGTCGGTGGATCGTATCATCCCGTGTCACATGTATAGCACAGCATACTTGGACATCTCCAAACATGGTGGTGTGCATCTGATATCCCACAAGCGTACATGATGAAGTCCAGATATTCAAAGGTTGGGATAGTATCAACGAACATCATTAAGGAACATCGCCAAGTCCCTGTTTGTGTATTTTCATACAGGAAGCTCGGCATTGCTCCTCCCACCAGCAAGGACCTCCAGCCCACGCTGGATGTAGGGCCCTAACACAGGAATGTTACCCGCAAATTGACCAATCGTGACAAGGAAGTCGCCAAACAGGATGAACAAGCCGTAGAGTTCTATCAAGAACCCAGTCAAGGGCCATCGGAAGAGAATAAGGAGAATACCAGCGGCGAAAGCGGCAGTGCCCTTAAGTTTTTGTGGGCGCGTGAAGAAAGCCATGGTTTTCTTGACACCAATAATCAGAGTCAATCCTATGAGAAAGAGAACCTGGTATTGTTAGTTAAATGTATCAGGTTTGTTTGGAGCAAGTGGCATACATTTCCCATAGCAAGTCTATTAAATGGGCGTTAGCATTTATTTCCCTCCAAAAAAAAATCGCAAAACGACGGGATGGACATACAATGACCGATCGAAGAACATCAGCACTCCTCCAAATAGGAACAAGCCTCCTAATCAGCGGCAAAATTGGTTAGTTCTCGGTCCAAGTAATTGGTGCTTTGGAGACGCCAATTTCGTACCCGCTGAGCAGAAGATCACGCCGATCTCTGTTATATAGATTAGCTTGTGCTTGGAAATAGCTGCACCGTCATGACAGTGAACACCACAGCTTGTAGAATGAATGCGACTAACTCTGGTTCTCTGTTAACCACATGCTAGGCATGTTTGTTTATTTCGGGTTCGACTGCTGAAGTGGATATATGGGGCCGACAGTTGCCCAGATATTTTCGATGTGGTATTTAAGGGCACGCGACACTCTGTGGTCTGAGAAACAGGTGGTTTTCGGGCGGTTGTGGAATCGGTAGGGCAAGAGGCCACGCAGATGCGGCGGAGACAAAGCGGATATATTGGTGGCGTTATTCAAAGCCGATAGTATCGATTCTATTGTTGCAACAGTGCTCTCACGACTTGAAAAGTTATCGACAACAGATCAAAAGGTAGCGAAGTCCGTAAACAACCAAGGCACGCACGCAAACAGAAAACAACCCAAAAATCACAATTCTGCCGTGTAATATGCGCCAAGTCCAGAACGGCAGGCGGTCACCCTAATCTGCTTATAACACGCGCTGATCTTTCCACCTGTCCTTTCCCTTTTACAGTTTTCTTCAACTTATTGGCAATGGACAAGGTCATTAATGATGTGATCATTCCAATTGCATAGATCTTCTCGACCTCCACTTCCAGTCATTCTAAACCTACTGGTATTCAGAAATACTGACTGAACCACAATATTGAACATAGTTCATACACACTGCTACCCCTCATTGTAGGATCTTCCTATCATGTATTCTCTACATGCCACGCCGCGATGACAGTCTCTCCGGATTCTGTAACTGGTGCCCTGTCCCATGGGGTGTCGGTAATAGTCGAGTGCTTATGCACAAGGCGAAGAATCATTCATTGATCACGAATAAGCCGGAGCGTTTTCTTGAGCCTGTCTCGAAAGGGGCATGGTGGGGTGGAAAGGGCTTGACTGTGTTGGTCGTACATAACGCTTCTTGGCGATTCGTATTTGTGTCTAGTTGAATGAATTAATGAATCAGTGGAGCTCTTGCTATCCATTTTCATTCTTGTATGACATACCCATTCTCGTATGATCGTTCGTTTGGGAATTGAATAAAGTAGGCCTCCACTAGTCCTTTACTTCAGAATGGTATGTGCACCACGCGCTTCCAGGTAGTTTTCAGGGACACCCTGTGCCAGACTCCGGATCACCTTGAAGATCTCCTTGTCGTGATACCGTAGCCGGGTCTTGGGGTCGGTGTACGGTCCGTTCAGGCCCGTGATGTCGCAGTAGTGATGATGATAGGCAGGGTTGAACGATGGTGCCGATTCGATATTCGTATAGGTGACGGCGGGCCCAGTAGGGAATGTCGCCCGAGCGTTCTTCTCCAAGACGAGAGTCGAGAGATTGTGGGTGGCTTGGGACAGGTTGGGTGCAGCCCCTTCCGCAGGGGTCTGTGTGCCATCGGTGACAGCGCCCGAGGTACCTGGCGTAGTTGCGCCAGAGTTGGCTTGAGTTGCCATCACCGATGCTTCCTTACGGGAGGCCTCTGAGATAATCTGCTTGAGATTCTTGTTGCGCCGCTGGGATGGTTTCCAGTGAGGGTTGCGGAAGGGCTTGGGGACATGTGAAATGTCTAGAGTGTTCAACAGCTGTTGATGAGCTTCATCATTGGCGGCAGTTGCTGGCGGCATGGTTGTGAATATGATTTAGGCCACTGGTCTGGTCAATCGGGAGGTCGCGCCGGAGCAGCTCTTGCGAAGCTTGGCTGTGTGGATGGATGAAGATGTGAAGACAGGGGTGGGTGGCAATGATCAAAAAAATATTAGATTCCTGAATGGCAGAACTTGATTATATAGAATAGAGCATTCAAAGAGGGATCTCAAACGGACAAAATCGGTTCCAACGTAGAGAGCAATCCAAGTATCCCGGCCCATGAAGTCCGTATAGTCTCACGTGATCGCATCCCGATTAAGTCCAAATAAACACCCTCACGTCCAACCCCAACACAACGTTTCTCAATATTCAGCCATGGTATGAGGTTTCTTTTTCATAAATCATACTTTATACGTTTTTATGAATCCCGGATGCTGATATTTTGTTAGGAAAGCCCCCACGAGCATCAGCAGACGGTACTGCTCTCTCGCATCATCACCAACGTTGTATGTCATGATTGAACCACATCTGCGGTATATATTTGCTCACCTTCTATGTAGGAGAAGCTCAATGAAGCCATTATGGTCATGAACAAAGGTCTCCAGGTGAGTTTGAGCCTCTTTCATTAATATGATCATAGTATTGACCCCCATTACAGGAAGTCAACATCCAGAACATGAATGTTGAGCTTGTAGCGCAGATGTTCAAGAACTACCAGTCTAATGTTCTCTTCCACCTCGAAGGTAAACATTACTCTATTCAATGCTCTCATATATCAGCATTGGAATTTTCTATTAACACCATATAGCCACGGAGAACCTCCAAGAACCATCAGCCTAAGGAATCCTGAGGATGAATAATTTCCTGTAACGAAGAAATGTGTGGATGAGCCTGCAATTAGTCAATGATACCAACTTCTAAAGTCAATATGCACATGTAAATGGTTGTAATTGTTGCATCCCTGTACTCCAGTCCATACAAGCGATAAGTGAGATAGCCTCCATTCTTGGCGGTCCAACTCCGCCGAACCTCATCAACCGCGTTTGTATCGTTTGCCTTTGCGAATCTACTGCCCTTTCCAACGGGTTCACCTGTTCACCTCTCCCAACCTCATTTCACATGCAGTGAGCCCTACTCACCTATATCTCCGATCCCAATAGCTCCTGGTTTCCGGAGCGCAGCCCGCCATGACGATTACCTCCGTACAGCGCCTCCTACCAGCTCGCATTGCATCCAATGCCACTGAGACACGAACTGAGAAGCCCCCTCCACAACTCCATGGTGTACAAGACTTTCCATTCAAGGGATATCACCCTCCCCAGCCTGAGGGATATCAACAGAGCCAGGCCCATCCCGACACCAGTGCTATCGTTATTGACAATGGTAAGGAATTCTAGACAATTTGCGATTCAACTTTCCTAACAAATATGGTTCATGCGCAGGCGCCCACCTCGTCAAGGCCGGTTGGTCTTTTGACAAAAGCCCCCGATTTGCCATACCTCCGGTCATGAGCCGATACCGTGATCGCAAGCTTAACCGCCAGTGCCAATTTATTGGATACGATGCCTATGTTGATGCGACTACGAGGGGACAGCTGCGCAATGGGTTCGACCCCGGCTCTAGTGTTGTTGGTAACTGGGATGTCATGGAAGGCGTGTTGGACTATTTGTTCATCAAGCTAGGTGTGGAAGGTGAAAATGGCGGCGTCGGTCGCCCGATCTTGATGACGGAGCCAATCGCCAATATGCCATATTCAAGGAAGAGTGAGTGTCTCGCGGTTCCAGTGCGAATGTGGTTGTTGCTGACACTCCTTCAGTGATGAATGAGATCCTCTTCGAGTGCTACTCTGCGCCGTCAGTGGCCTACGGTATCGACTCCCTTTTCTCCTATCGCTATAATGGTGGAACAGACGGCTTGATTGTGGACTCATCGCACACGTCCACTCATGTCATTCCAGTCATGAACTCGAAGCCTATGCTCTCCAACAGCACTCGTCTCAACTGGGGTGGCCTGCAGAGCGCTGAATACCTGATGAAGCTCATGAAGCTGAAGTATCCGACCTTCCCGACTCGTTTGACGGACGCACAGATGGAGGAAATGGTTCATAAGCACTGTTATGTATCACAAGACTACGACCGCGAGTTGAATGGGTTCCTCGACTGGACAGGACTTGAGGACCGTGATCGCGTTATTCAGTACCCGTTCACAGAGCACATTGTCCAGGAGAAGACCGAAGAAGAGCTTGCGCGGATTGCGGAACGCAAAAAGGAAAGCGGCCGTCGCCTGCAAGAACAAGCTGCAAGGATGCGACTTGAGAAACTAGTGAAGAAGGAGCAAGAGTTGGAGTACTGGAAAGATCTGCAACATAACCTAGCCAACGAGACCAAGAAGGAGATTCGTCGCGTCCTAGAAGCCGAGGATTTGAAAGACGAGGCTGCGCTTGAAAAACTGATTCGCGAGCTAGAGAAATCTATCAAAAGATCGCGCAACAAGGATCTAGGCATTGAAGAAACTGAGGAGCAGCCTGAAGAAATGACATTCCCCATGCTTGATATCCCAGACGACCAATTGGATGAGGCCGGACTGAAGGAAAAGCGGCACCAACGTCTCATGAAGTCTAACGTCGATGCTAGAATGCGTGCTAAGGAAGAGAAGCAGCGCGAAAAGGCTCGTATCGAGGAAGAGGAGCGTCTAGACCGTGAGACACGTGAGAACGATTTCGAGAACTGGATTGCAAAACGCCGCAGCAATCGCCAGGTATGTTGACTCAACATGACATTTTGAATTTCCTTGCTAATATCTCTCAGGGCATTCTACAAAGAATTAAAGACCGTGACCGCTTCACAGCTGATCTTGGAAATCGCAAATCTATGGCTAGTCAGATGCGCATGAAGACACTGGCCAACCTGGCATCCGACACCCCTAAAAAACGCCGTCGTGGAGGGGATGACGATGACTTCGGTGCTAATGATGAGGACTGGGGCGTTTACCGCACCGTGGCTGTTGGCGAGGGCAGTGACGATGAAGAGGAAGAGGATCTCAACGGTATGCTCGACTCCGTAGAGAAGGAGCTCCTCGAGTACGATCCCGAATTCAACGAGAACAACACTTTCGCCGCACAGTCTGACTGGACAAAGAGTCTTGTGCACGCATTCCTTCGCGGGCCCTGGCCTTTCGATCCAGAAAGCCAACGGGAGGCACACCAGCTCCACCTGAACGTGGAGCGTATCCGTGTGCCTGAGGTTGTGTTCAAGCCATCCATCGCTGGCCTCGACCAGGCTGGTCTAATCGAGATCGTGGCCGATATCATCAACCAACGCTATTCCAACCCCGCAGAGCAGTCCCTTCTTCTGAAGGATGTGTTCTTGACTGGAGGAAATACGTTGTTCACCGGTTTCGATGAACGCTTCCGCAAGGAAGTCCGCGGATTCTTGCCCATCGACGCTAGACTGAATGTACGCAAGGCATCAGACCCTGTCTTCGATGCCTGGAAGGGCGCGGCACAGTGGGCTTCTGGTGGTGGCCTTGGCCGATCCTCAGTCACGCGGCAAGAGTACATGGAGAAGGGCAGCGAATACATCAAGGAGCATGAACTTGGCAATGCTACATGGTGATAAAAAAAGAAGCAACTTCCGCAAACACCTGCTTGGGCGCAATGGAGTCGAATGGTTTGCTTATCCGGCGTGGTATAGGGCATGTTTATTTGATACTTAAAATATGTTATTGCAGAGTCTGGCGGTAGTAAGCAAAATATGACATGTCTAAATCAGCCCTATGAAGACCTACATACCTAATAGAGCCTATTTTGCCTTCAATCAACAGCGAATGTCTTTACCTTCTGAGACTCACATTATCTTATATGCTTCTTTTGTATGCCTCATCTCACAATCCTCTCAACCTTTCTATCTCCCGGATCGTTTTTTCTATCTTTATTTCCAATCTCCCGGTCTATCACACTCCTCAAGAACAATGACCAGAGCAGAAAGATTCCGGGTGAAAGGTCCAATAAATCACGCCAGGACAAGTGGAAGCTATCAAGCCAAACACGAGGCAAAAATTACGCAAGCTGCCGTAGGCCATATTAGCTCTGTTCTAGAGGGATACCCCTGGAAGAAGGATCGAGGCTTTGCTTCATCAAGGATACTAGCGGAGACAGTAATCAGGGCCTGTTTGGTATCTCTGCAGCCGTCACTCTATCAACTAAATATAGCCTACCTACGGAGTATACACATTCATAACAAGGAATCTGAAGTATTCATTCCCGAAAGTAAGACATGCTCATTGCATCTATCAATGAGCCATGTTTAGAGTTGAGGGTCTAAGACATCTACATGCATGGCCTCTGGGGTGATTCACGTTATGCCCGTTTGAGCCCAACGGCAACTGTACCCAAGATGAACCAAATGGACCAGCTTCCTGGCCAATAAAAAAAAAGCAACAGCTCTGCTCTTTTGTTCTCGGCTGTGTCGGAACTTTCTTATAGACCTGTCCATCCACGACATGGTCAGTCGAGGACAACAATGTTGTACGAACGAATACGATCTATTGCACTAGTGACACAACGCTTCGGTGTTCCCAATACTGGCATCGCTTCCGCGTTATAACAATCATCAAACAATAACACTAATCGTGTGTTGAATATTGTAAAATTGATCCAAGTACAGGTATTTGAGCAAAGAGGCCACTATTCCCGGATGACTAGTCCATCGAACAAATCTATAATAAGGCTGAAGGTACTGTCGATCATGATCTGCGCAGGGAGAACCCCGCTATTGGGCGATGCTGCAGATTATAGTCTTGTTCTTCTGCCTCGGTGGGTATGCGCCGGTGGTGCAATATATTGTGCCTCACTCTGATTGGCACTTGGTAACTATCACATCACGAGGTTAACCAGACGTTGGATTACCTTCCGCAAGCTGCCGACTGGGCTTTTCGTTTGTTTGACGTTATTCATTTACTTTGTGTGAACCTTGGAATCGATTTAAGTTATCCCCTTGCGTACGAAAATATGACATTGCCATTGCCATAGGACCCAAGATATTGACTTCGTATAAAATGGAAGTAAATTGAACTTAGGGCACGATATAGTTCAAATAGCTACACAAATGAAAATACAACCACAATCTTCAATTGCTTCCTCAAAGAACCCGGAATAGTAGATGGTGCCAAATTGGAATCTGGCCCAGACACGGTTGATTCTGACTTCATGCAGAGACCATCATGACGCACCTGGGGAATTCTTACTTTTCGTCCTTGCTGACCCTGGCCCTAGGCTATAATGGATCTTGTTGCATTACATTATACTTGGCGTCAGTCTTGTTTGTTTGCTTTGTTGGTGATAGATGGAGCCATAGTGATGCTGGGATGATGTTCTGAGATATAAAATCCTGCTCCCTACTCTTCTGTAGTGAAAGATGATACTTCCTCTTCTTTCTCTTGTATTTTCTCTATCTATCCCTCGATTATCCCATAGGTGTTTCACACTCCATCGCATTACTCCCGCCTCCTTTCACGTTTTGTATACTTCATAGTTCTTTTAACCCACACAATGGTCTTCTCAACAGCTGTCGCTCGTCCACTGCAGCTGATCACTCGTGTCTTGCAGTGGTCCAGCGCTGTTATCGTCATGGGCCTGACCTCATACTTCATCCACCACGGTCCCCGTGGCCAGCACACTATCTATCAGGAAATTATTGTACGTTATCCGGGCTTTCTTTCATTAACCAGTTCTTGCAAAGCTATATAATCTAACCACAGATTTAGGCTACCATTTCGGTTGTCTTCTTCTTGCCAGCTTTCATTTCCCCATTCCTACCCTCGTCGCTGAGCAGATTTGTGCTCGCTATCGATGTCGTGTTCTCCTACCTGTATGCCAATATTCAATCATATTGTCTACATAAAAGTCTCTAATATCCATTCTAGCTGGTTGACTGCGTTTATTTTCGCCGCACAAGACTACAGCACAAGCCGGTGCCGCTCTGCTATCCCCGCAGGCCTCGGCTGCAAACGCAAGAGGGCCAATGAATCTTTCATCTTCCTAGCTTTGTATGTGTCCTGGATTCTGCTGCTACTGATTGATGAAAACTAATATCATGGCAGTATCTTCACCTTCTTCGGCATGTTCCTTGAACTCGCCGCCCTCTGGGCCTATCGCAGGGAGAATACCAACGATCGCTCCGTCACCGAGGAGAATAAAGCTAATACTAGGACCCGTCCACCGATGGATGCACCTGCAGCCCCTGCTGGTACTGTCTAATCAGTGCCTTGCTTACCCCCCCGGGATAAATATACATCTACTTATTATTGACGTGGTCAATAGTTGTGGATATATCATTTACTGGGATGTTCGGGAAACCATTATCGGCTTACTGTGCCTTGTATTTGGACATCTGTTTTCTCTAAGTGGCCCTCTTTTGGATTTGTCTTGATGGGCTTGGATTTTGGCAGCAGTTGGACTGAACATATGTTACCATGAGCCGGGATGGGAGCAGGGGCGAAGGTGAAGTTGATAGTGATGGACAGTACTGTGCTCTTTTCACTTAATATCTTAATCGATTAATTACTTTCTATTGTAATTGAAAACTTGGGGTGGTCAATATAATGATACCATTTTCCCTTTTTGAAATCAACATGTGCACGATGGTATAGCTACTTAAGTGGCGTCGCTTAAACGCTCTAGCATTATTTTTCTTTCCATATCATAGTGTGTCAGGTTTCTCATGATGTTTTAGCCGAAGAGCAAAAGTTATGAACAAAACAAGAAAGGCCCAATTTACAAAACTAAAATAAGAACTTTGGAAGTACATGTCATATGACTGCCAGCAACGCTGTACATATGTATTTCTATTTTCTATATGGCTATTTACAGCATACATTGAATGTACGGGTTGGACAATAAAAGCCACTCAGATGGTATCTTGCGCGAGAAAAAGTGCCAGCACCAAGCAAAGCAAATCGTATGCAGTGTTGAACGCTGCATATGGAAAAGTCAAGTCCAACAAGTTGCTTCATGTACTTGAAATACCATGCAGGGGTGAGTTGAAAGATAATGTTGAAGGCATGATGTTTAAAGGTTTAGATGCTAGCTCGGCGAGGAGCCATCGTCCGCTGTAGCTTGCGCTTTTCCTCGGTTTCCTCCGGGATAGGCAGTGAACCCTCGCTCTTCAAGCGGTCGAGGAACTCCTTTCCATATGCGTAGCCGACTTTGTAGATCTCGTCGAATTTACCAAAATCTAGGGTGCCATACGGGTCGATAGGAGGACGCATGTATAGACAGCCAGTCATATTCTTTGCGCGCTCAAGATTGTCGAACGATGAGACATAGGCCAGTCGTGCTTGAATTTCGGAAAGGGTAGGGGGATTCGGGAGTGAGGAGAAGGGGTTCCACCGGTTGAACACAGACCAGAATCCTGACAATGAGTCTCCGAATCCCTGGGGGGTGGTGTCGTCGATAGAACCAACATCAATTGCGAAAATGACATCCGCTCCGAGACTTTTCATGTGTGCCACAGTGAGATTATCAATGTAGCCACCATCTAGGAGCATACTGCCTTCATCACAGATAGGAGGCATCAGGCCGGCCAACGACATCGAGGCCCGAACGTACCGCCAGACATAACCAGACGAGTGGTACTCAATTCGGGATCGACTGATGTTGGTTGTGTTGCAGTAGAACTCCAACCAGAAATCTTCGATTTGGCTGTCACCAAAGGTCTTGAAGATCCCGCGGTTGAACTCGTGACCGGTGGTGTATGAAACAGTGGGATAGGTCAGGTCCAATGCAAACCGCCACATACTCCCCATGCGCCCGGAGAACTTCTTGGCTCGCCCGTACATGGGCACAACATCAGCGTCACGCGCGTACAGAGCTCCAATGAAAGAACCGATCGATGTGCCACCAATGATATCAATTGGGATTCCGGCTTCCTCGAGCGCTTTAATGACGCCGACTTGCGAAATTCCACGGGCTCCACCGCCGCCCAGTACGAGGCCCACAGACTTGCCGCACAAACGCCGAGCCAGCCGATGGAAATCACCCTTGAAGGCAGTTTGCGGGGAATAGAGTGGGGTTTGTTGTGCACGCCGGGACGTATACTTTTGAATCTCGGCTTGCAAGATTTGCACGCGCTGTTTCAGTACAGTACCAAACTTCTTGGTTGGCTGGTGTGAAGGGTCGGTGGTCGAGTGGAAGGCCATTTGAATGTGGTGATGTCCGCCATTGATCCACACCCGGTTCTTGAGCCATTCCCGAGTGAGACCAGGTGCACAATATCGTTCCGCATGCAAAAGAACCAATTCTTTGCGAGCAGTGGTCTTCATGCCCAGCAAAAACCGCTCATATTCACCAATTCTAGGCGAAGACTCTGCGAGACCCACCAACAGAATAGAGTCAGCTTGTGCGATGCAAGTCTGAGTCCATGGTGCGTTCACGTTGGTGTCAGCGATGTACAAGACCATTCCAAACTTCTCTTCGAGGTCAGCCAGGTATTGGGAAAGCTTAAGCTTCCCCATCTTACTGAAGGCATGGCGACCTAAGTGGTTTAAAATGGTCGCTTGGTTGAGTGATGTGACACCCCTGGTCACACCAATTTGGTGCAATGCCTGCAAGAGTCTATGACCAAATTCCACAACCGGAACGCCAGCCATGACCGGAAGAATTGCCACAGTGCGAAGGTTGACCGTTGAAGTTGCAGTCTGAACACCGCCAGCATTTCCCTGTTCGATCCCCTTTTCAGACAGCGGATGCTCGACCAAATCACGCATTCGTTGAGCAATCAGTTTAGAGACCTGGATGGTAATTCCAGGATGTTCCTGGGCGAGACTGTTGAAAAGAGACCGGGGGAACTTGGCGAGTTCTGTCTCCCGGATAGCATGCAAGGTAGATGGTCTTGTAGATTCAGTCATGACCTCCAGTTCACCAACACTCTCACCCTGGCCGTGCTCGCCAATGACAGTCATCTTTCCGTTTGATCCCTCAAGGACAGACCTCAGACGGCCATTCAGAACAAGATAAATAGCATCACTTTCGTCCCCTTGGTGATAAATCACCTGTCCTGCACTGACCTGAACCCACTCTAGCGCAAAATCAATGTGAAGCAGCAAACGGGGCAGCAGTCTTGTCAAACGCTTTGCTAGCGTTAACAGAGCAGCTGGGTGTCTATCTGCGATTCTCTCGAGGGAAGCACGGGGAAGGAATCCAACGTAAACATCGGTCTTGGCCACAACATCGGTGTACGAGCGGTACGATGCAAGAGCACCTACATACCCTTGAATTCCACCAGGTTTAATCAGGTATAGCGATTTGCGGGACTGGGTCTTCCGTCGAGGGTCATTGCCGCTTGCTGCACCAGAAGCGGCACGCGATGATGCTGTCGTTGTTCGTCTCAGCTTCGGGAATAGCTCCTCTCGCGCTTGCGAGGCAGATCCATGAGAAGATCCAATAAGGGTGTCATCGCGTTCATTCGCCGGAATACCCACATCCAAGAACCCATCTATGACGTAGTAGAGACCCGGATGGCGCTCACCCTCTTCCACCAGAACCGAGCCTTGTGGAAAGTAGACTACTTCAATGTCATGGCGGAGATCTTCCCGTAGGTTCATGACAGGGGAAGTCCCCCCAGCGCTCGTTACTGACGCGGAGGACATCATGGATTCGGATTCACCATCACCAGATCCCTCGTAGGGATCCATAAAGCCAAAGGCATTGGAAAACACTGCCTTCTGGCGGCGGTTATCGTAAGAGAGAAGTCTTGGCGACGCATCGCCGGAGTGGCTGCTCTTCCGCAAAGTATCGCGTGCGCTTTCATTGAGCCCAATACCCTGCATCATACAGTCCAGGATCGACTCGCGGAAGATAGCATCCTCGTCAACTGACTCTTTTCGCTGGAAAGTTGAGGGTAGGCCATTCATTGCAGCAGTGGATACAAATTGCGGTTGCTCCCGTTCAGTGAGAGGAGTATGTATGCGAGGTGCCAAATGATCATATCGCGGTCCAAACCGGGACAGCTGTATTGTCGATAACAGGTCACCGGGGCTGACACCTGCCGAATCCCTGTCAAATGCCGGCGGTGATATTATAGGGCTTAAGGGTATGTGAGAGCGCTCACTAGCCACCTTGGCTTGTAAAAAGGCTTCTTTTCTGAGAGTACTGCTCGAGCGTCCTCTACGGCTGACAGAAGGATTGTGAAGAGCAATTCCTTTCCCAACTTCCTCAGGTCCCAGTCGATCTCGCTCCCGCGTGAATTTGTCCTTCAGCCGATCCAGGGCACTTCCTCGAAGATTATTCGGAAGGTCCCAAGAGGTGAATTTGGACATTTGCCGCTCTATGCCTAAAACCTCGCTAGACAAGCCCAAATAAGAATGTGCTGTAGCGAAAGTGACCCGCTGTAGACGTGTAAGGATAACCTGGACAATGTGAGACGTTGCGCGTGGATAGACTCTGGTCAGGCGGCGAAATGCGCTCGCTGGGATGATAGCAATGGTCGTGTCCACTGTAGCTCGCGCCACAATATCTGGATGTACCGACTTTCGGCGTTTTTTCTGGGCACTTTGTTTACTCTCTGGCTGAGGGGTCTGGCCAGGGTCCTGGCTGGGCATGGTATTACTCTCCCCGAGGTTCAGCGGAGGCACTGGTGGCAATGTATCGCCAGACCCACGGGCTGCAGTGTTCAAGTCCCCGGCGTCTCTCACCGTCGATCTGGGACTGAAGGTATCAGGCACATGAGTCTGGGCAAAACTAGGGCTAGATATACTGGAGCTGTGACTTCGTGAGTTGCGGAGTTCAATATCTTCAGTAAACAGCTGGAGAATAGAGAACAAAGACGACATCGAAGCGCCATTCTTGACCTCGGTGAGAAGTTGATAGCCCTGTCGGTTGTGAATGTTCCGGTCCTCCTCGTCTGAGGACGGATCATCCATGTGGAGATTCTCTTGCGAGCCTGACTTCCCTTCGCGTGCTGATTTTACGAAGATCTGGACCAGCCCATCCACAACCATACAGAAACCCTTCTCTTCCTCTAACATGAGGGTCTCTCCTGCAATCAGCTTCCTGGTCTGCATTGTCCGGGTCAGCTCGTGAAAGACAGGCCGTTCAAGGTAGCCAAAGACTTTGATGGCACTGAGGAATTCATCGAGATAGTTGGCAAGCCCTGGTTTTGAATCCCCTTCCTGGATATCGGGGAACAAATCGATCTCGGCTTCTTTACGTTGGGGCTCTGGGGGCAGGCGGCTGTACATGTTCAAGTACCGGTAACGGATGAACCAGCTGACGGTCGATACCAGGCCAAGGAATATTAACATTCTAAGAGTAATAATCAGCAACAGTGTTTTCAAGGATCAGTCACTAAGACATACATGGTGGTAAAATTCATAGTAAAGGTCAAGCTCATAGAGAAGAGCGTGAAGAGCCATGTTGGTAGTGTAATTGTCGAGAATGCGATTATCGAGTAGAGAATGCTTGGGATGGTGTGAAATACAAAAGTAAACACCCATCCGATCCACCCGGCCATGGTAGATGGGGCTGGAGGGAATGGGGGTGAGAAAGAGGTCGCGCTAAAAGCGAAGGGTGTAATTGAGGTTGAAGTTGGAGCCGTTAGGCTGAGAGAGAGGGACGGGGCTAGGCCAGCCATGTTCTTTTTAAACAAGATTGGGGAAGCTCCGCTTTTTGTTCCACTAGGTCAGATTTGACTTAGACGAACTCAGAGTTGAACCCAACCGTGGGCCCGTTAGGCCTGAAGATTGAAAGCATCATTGTACTTTGTAAGTGCATGTGGGTGAGAAGAGCCGGAGAGGTGGATTAGTCCGTAGCCCGTAGTCCCGCGTCACATGCAACAACCCATGGACCTTTTATGTTCAAAGAATGTGATCACTTTATTATTTAAGTAATAACGGGCTAATATATAATATGATACTAGTTATAGTGTTATTCTATTCATCAATGCTCCATTATTCTACCGAAATATCCTGTTTATAACAGGTCAATCCACAGTGATGTAATTGTTTCTTACAGTGGAGGCTCATAAGATATGTAACAAGGATAGTACATATTCTAGTCTGTGCATATTTCTTGTCTTTTCATATTAGCACCTCAGTACTATGTAGGAATACGTGGATGGCAACATCTTCAATTTGATGTATATTATCAAAATAAGAGTATATCTAGGGTCGATCAAGAAATTGTAGAATCCTTTCCTCCCACCCCTCAATAGCCCTTAGTAGTATAAGCGATGTTGCAGTTTCAAAAACTGTACTCAAGAAATAATAACAAGCTAAAAAAAATTACACTAGACTCAATTCAATTCTAATGGAAATAGATGGTTAATAAAATATGATGTACTTTGTACCAACTATATCCACCGTATGAAGGAGAGAGAGTACCCGAAGCTGACTCTGGACCTTCCACATGGCAGTTCCGCCTTGGCTCTTCCAAACCAATGCTCCCCCTCACTTCCCTTTGCGGCCCACTGCTATTGTTTTTGTTTTTGTTGAACACCCTTGCCAGTGGTCTTGAGTTTCTACTTTCTATTGTCGTCTGGGTTCTCAGAACCGCGGCAATGTTTCAGGTACCTATTCACTGTTCTCATGCGCCTTGCCTCCTACCTAACACCTTTGCAGCGCCTTCGCGACGCCATCGACTCTCGCATCGCAGAGGAACAAGCCCGCCAAAAGTCCGCTCAGGATAATATCGAGCGCTCCAACTCTGCTCGCCGTCCCGGACGCAACCAGTCCCCGAGTCGGCGCTCCCGTCCAAGACGCAACACCGGTACCCCCGTTCGAGGACCCGACCCTAAGGAGTTTGAGGCTGAATTCACCATCGGGGATGACGATGAATCTAGCAGGTCCGGTACTCCTCAAACAGACACTCCAGAAGCTGCCTCGGAGGTAAGCGCCTCTAACGAGGGAGAGAGCGGGATGGTCGAAGGCAAACAGACAGAGACGCTCCGGAAAGAGATGGGAGAGGAGAAAGAGGTCAAAGAGACACCAGTTGTGCTTCCGCCTGATGTTCGCGCTAAACTCCGACGACTTGATAAGCTGGAGTCCCGATACCATGGTATGCACATGCCTAACCAGACTGTAGTGTACAAGACTAACTGAACATATTAGAATTGCTCAAAGCTTACCGCACCGCTCACTCCCGCGTCCTATCCATTGAGCCCTTCGAAGCTGCTCTGCGCGAAAACACCCCGCTCACTTCGATTGGCGAACCCAAAGCTTTCACGGAATACCTCAATCAATCAAGCTTGAAAAGCGACATGGTTATGGAAGAGCTGAAGCGCGTCACCGAAGAAAGAGAAGATTTCAGAAAGAAGTATGAAGCAGCACAAAAGGCTACCAAGGATGCCCTGGATGAAGTTGCTGGCCTCAAACAGGAGAAACCCCAGACCGGGACAACTAAGGGGACAGACGGAACCGAGGAGCAAGCTAGTGAAGAGTTCTTTTCATTCGATAATGAAATTCCCCGATTGGAAGGCGAACTGAAGGAGAAGAAAGAAGAGGTTGAGAACCTGAAAACCGAGGTCGAAAAGCTTAAGCGTGATATGTCTGTCACCCGCGAGTCGACCGAAGGCATGGTGCAGAATTTGGAGACAGCTACCCGTGAGCTCGTTGAGCTGCGCGAAACCAAGGATAATCTGGATGCTGAAATTGAGACTCTGCAAACCTCTAAGAAGGCCGATGTTGATGATCTGAAGGCGAAGCTTGCAACTGCGGAATCCTCTATCAAATCCACCACATCCGAGGTTGAGAAGCTCAAGTCGCAGGTCAAAGAGAAGAGCGAGGAAATCGAAAAGCTCCAGAAGCAAGCTTCCGAAAGAACCGAACCTAATTTAGACCTTGCTGCTGAGTTGGAGACGACTAAGGAGGAAAAGAAATCGGACGAGAAAAAGCTCGTTGTGCTCCAGGGCTTAGTTGACAGTCTCCGATCTCAGCTTAAGGAAACCGAGTCTACCGTTTTGAAACTGAAGACCGAGGACGACGAGCGGTGTGAAAGTTATGCCAAACTACAAGATATTTTCGACTTTATGGATGGCAACTTGAAAGAAAACACGACGTGGGTATCTGCTAAGGAGAAAATCTTCGCTGGAGAGCTAGCCGACTTCAGTGAGGTTGTCAAGTCCCTAGCGCCGGCCAAGGAAGAGCCTACTGCTGCTGCTCCTGCTCCTGTCTCTGCCCCCACCCAAGGAGAAACACAGCCTGCTCAAGCTACTGGTGGTGGCGGCAGTGGAGGGAAAAAGAAGAACAAGAAGAAGAAGAAGGGTGGCAAAGCGGAGGCACCTTCTACCCCAGCCGATGCACCTCCTGCAGAGCAATCGCCCCCAGAGGCGCCTGTCACAGCTACCAAAGAGCTGGATGAACTCAAGCAAAAGATTGAATCCCTCACCCAGCAATTGTCTGAAAAGGAGGCCGCCATCGATCGACTCAGTTCTAAGCTGAAGGGCGAGAGCAATTTGAAGGAGGAGATCGAGTCCCTGCGCGACGACCTTGTCAGCATCGGCCAGGAGCATGTGGAAGCGAAGGATAAAATCAAGGAGCTTTCAGCAGAAAAGACTTCCCTTGAAGAAACTATCAATAAGCTCGAGAAGGAATTGGTCGAACTCCGCACTAGCAACGCGACCGCAGCTGAGTCGGAGAAGGCGCACACCTCACTTAAAGAGGAATTCAATAACCTCAAGGCACGCTCTGCTACCTTGGAGACCGATCTTTCTGCTGCCCAGCAGCTGGCTGCCACTCGCTTCAAGGACCTGACAGACCTCCGTGAGACTCTTCAGAAAGTTCAGCCCGAGCTGCGCAGCCTACGTGCTGAGTCTTCGGAGTTAAAAACCCTGAAAGAAACCCTCACCAGCAAAAATTCCGACTTAAAGACCCTTGAGGCCAAGCATGAGGATCTGCGTGCTGAGCTGAAGACCTCCAGGTCGAAACTTTCAGAGCGTGACACAGAAGTGGACACTCTCAACAAGAAGATCGGACAGGAGACCGAAAGCCGATTGAAGGCCGAAGAAGACCTTGCTGTTACCCAATCTAACCTGCGCACTGCTGAGAGCAAAAAGCAAGATGCTATCAATGCCAGAGACAAGACTACCGGCGACCTCTCCAGGGCCCAGGAAGGGTTGAAGAGTACTCGCGCCAAGATGCGGGAGATGGATGAGCAGATTTCTCAGCTGAACAAGGAACTCGGAAGCCTCCGAGACGAGATCCAGCTAAAGACAGCTCAGCACAGTAGCGCGCAGAGCCTGATGAACAGCATGCGTGACCAGACCACAGAAGTTGCAATGCAAATGAAGGAGGCCCGTGAGCGGTGCGAGAGCTTGGATGAAGAATTGGCTGACGCTCACCGTCTACTAAGTGAGCGAACCCGCGAAGGCGAGACCATGCGTCGTCTGCTCAATGATATCGAGGGTCGTTCGGAGTCCAAGGTGCGAGACTTTAAGGAACGCATGGAGGCTGCTATCGAAGAGCGAGACCGCATCGAAGATGAGGCAAGCACCCAAGGTCGACGCCGTGCTCGCGAGGTGGAAGAACTCAAGGGTAAGGTCCGCGAAGCCGAGCGCGCCCTGCGCACGGTAGAGCAGGACAAGGAGGAGCTTGAGCAGTCCCAAAAGGACTGGCGCCGCCGTCGTGATGAGCTTGAGTCAGTATCTGAAAAGTCATCACAGGAAGTGACAGAGATTCGACAGGCCATGGCTGGTCTACGCGATGCCCTCGACGAAAGCGAGAAGCAAATTCGCGATCTTGAAAAGGACAAGGCAGAGCTTCGTCGCTCAGTGGAGGAGACAAACAGCCGACTGGAGAAGCTTCGAAGATCCCACAAAACTCTTGGAGAGGATGTTCGCTTGCGTGGCTCCCTGTCTCAACAATCCTCGCGGTCATCTCTGGATTCAGGCTCTCGCCGGGCAGTTGTATCTCCTGGCAGGAGCGAGTCTGTTGCCGGCCCACCCAGCAATGCATCTATTGACTACATGTACTTGAAGAATGTCCTTCTCCAATTTTTGGAACAGAAGGACAAGAACTATCAGAAGCAGCTGATCCCTGTTCTGGGAATGTTACTCCATTTCGATCGGTGAGTTCCCTACTGAATCTTTTATTTAGCAATGGTCACTAACAAACAATCACAGAAACGATGAGCAAAAGTGGATGTCGGCCATTATGTCCAAATAATTGGCGTTTATACCCATGGGGCGTCGATTACATATCTTGCTCTGTACAACAACATTCTGTAGAGATAATAATATGTTCCTCTATTAACGTAAAAACACTGTCCAATTCACTGATATCCTTCTGCCTGTCAAGAAAGCATCGAGATATAGCACTTTATCCCTTGAGCAAAGTTGAAAATTCATGTAAACCAAAGTTGAGTCAACATCTACGGAGTACTAAAAAAAAAGAATCGGCAATATTGCCTAATCCGGAATAGTAATCCTGGGGTTGTCGCAAAGCCTAGGCAAAAAAGAGACGAGCATATACTAACAAGTATGAAAGTCCGATAAAAAGACCTCTTCAAATTTCAAACTTTGTTATGGATTACCTGCGCCCTCTCTCCAACACTATGGCCGAACAACCCACTATTCGTCTCGCGACCCCCGAGGGCAAGTGCACCCCTAAGCTTCCGAGCGCGCAGCACAGGCACACCCCAACTAACGCCAAGTACTCTGTAGATGTCCCCCTCATCCTTCAGTTCATCTGTGAACTAGCCGACTACGAAAAAGCCCTCCATGAAGTCGAAGCCACCGAAGAATCCCTCTTAGCAACCCTCTCCTTCCCCGATACCCCGCCTCGGCGCGGCGCTGTCTACACAGCTCTCATAACCCCGCCAGCCACAGCCGAGACTCCGAACCCAACCCCCGTCGGCATGGCCATGTACTTCTACAACTACTCAACCTGGCGATCTGCTCCTGGTATCTACCTCGAGGATCTGTATGTGCAGCCTAGCGCGCGGGGTAGCGGGTACGGCTTCAAGTTGCTTAAGTACCTTGCTAAGCAGGTGCTTGAGGCGTCGGGTCGGCGGTTGGAGTGGAGTGTGCTCACCTGGAACGAGCCTAGTATTAAATTCTATGAGCAGGCTGGTGCGCGCGGTATGGACGAGTGGATGAAGATGATGGTTGAGGGAGATGCGTTGACTCGTTTGGCGCAGGATGTATAGAGGGATGCATGGGTTGGTGTTGGGCGGGATTGGGTTGGGAGATTGTTTAATACTACGGAGGGTATTGATTGGTGCGATCGCTTTAGAGTGACTTGTTTATATTGTAGATTGAGAGCAGATTGCGAGCGGAAGTGGGCTGTACATGTACGTTTAGTAAATATCTATGATTGCAGCTATATATGGCTCAATGTTGCATTGAAGAGTGAAAATAAAATAAATCCAGAGACAAAAACCTACCACGTCATTAATTTACTTAAGTATAGAGAAGCGATCCTAGTTGCGTCGTAAATTGCAGTCTGATCCTTGATGGCTTCGCCCCTAAGCCTTTTAGCGCCAGGTGACGGCATCGTCCCGCAGATCAGCTCGATTTGCCTGTTCCACTTTCTTTCTCCTTGCAACACCCCAGCGATGGCGACAATTCCAGGTAATGTTCAGGAGTATAACCTCCATGTGGACTATGTTATTCGTTACAGCTTCGGAGATGTAGGTGAGTAAAATAGAGAGCTCTAGGATGTGATGGGGCGCATGCTGACAACTACAGACCGATCGCAGGCGATTGAACAGCTAGAAAAACTGCTGCAAGCATTGGCTCAAGTTGGTTTACAGGTAGAGGTACGACAGGGCGATGAGTCGTCTTTGCTCGTTTTTGTGAAAGCTTCGGAAAAGCGGCTGAAACGGGCGGTGTATCGGTCGCGGTGAGTGATTGTGTCGTTCTCTATGAGTTCCAATGTACTAATCTCGCTTTGTATTTCCACAGAGTACGCGACTGGCTATATGGTATTCGCAATGCCGAGCCCACACCTTCCAACTCGACCGAACCCCAAACCGAGGCTGAGCGCCTGCGGGTGATCAACCAGATGATTACACTTCCCAAGGAAGAGGGCGGGGCCGCTATCACCCCCAACCATGGTGAATGGAAGAATGTCACTGCTATATTCCCCCTTCACGATTTTGATACAAACAACAAGTGGATAAGAGACTGGAGCTCAAAGACTTTCCTCTCTGATGACGACTTGGATCAGATCCGGAACAAGTTTGGAGAAAGTGTATGTGTAGCAAGTGGTGGTTGTTATTCGTCGGCCTGGCTAACATGGATGGTAGGTTGGATTTTACTTCGCATTCCTACAGTCGTACTTCCGATTTTTGATTTTCCCAGCTGTCTTTGGATTCTCCTGTTGGTTCCTCCTTGGAGGATATTCGATTATTTATACTATTGTTAATTGTCTTTGGTGTATAATCTTTGTGGAATATTGGAAGCGCCAGGAGGTTGATTTGAGCTGCAGGTGGGAGACCAAAAACGTGTCAGCTGTTCGGACCAAACGACGAGAGTTCAAGGCAGAAAAGGAGATTTGCGATGAGGGTACCGGGGAGATGCGTGGTGTCTTCCCGGCAACTAAGCGCATGCAACGGCAGCTACTTCAAATCCCGTTTGCCTTGCTTGCGGCAATTGGGTTGGGTGCTATCATTGCGACTTGCTTTGCCATTGAGATCTTCATCTCGGAGCTCTACAATGGTCCCTTTAAAACATACTTGGTATGGTGATCCTTCTCATTCCCTGTTACCAAAGCTTACCGTTTAGATTTTCATCCCAACCATCCTTGTATCAGCACTTGTGCCAACCATGAGTGCTATTTTGACGTCTATCGCAACGCAGCTTAATGACTACGAGAACCATGAGACAAAAGATGCGTATGATTTTGCATTGACTCAAAAGGTCTTTGTTATCAACTTCATCACGTCTTATATGCCGATTTTCCTGACGGCCTTTGTCTACGTGCCATTTGCTAGCCGAATTGTCCCCTACCTCGATGTCTTCCACCTGACAGTTCGGCCTTTTGTGTCGAAGGAACATGCCGTCGCAAAGCGATCACATTTCCAGATCGACCCGGCTCGCCTGCGAAACCAGGTTGTTTACTTCACAGTCACGGCCCAGATCGTTGGCTTCGCCATGGAGACTATTGTGCCCTATATCAAACAGCATGCACTCCGCAAATACAAAAAGTATAACAGGGAGCGCAATGGTAAGATGGACCGAAACGGCGACAAAGAATCACCCGAAAGACCCGTCGTGTCCTTTGATGATCCGGCCGAGGAAGTGCAGTTTCTTACGCGTGTACGTAACGAGGTCGAGCTTTCTGAGTACGATGTGACCGATGATCTACGTGAGATGTGCATTCAATTTGGATACTTGGCCCTTTTCTCACCGATATGGCCGCTTGTTCCCCTCTCGTTCTTCGTGAACAACTGGGTCGAGTTACGATCAGACTTCTTCAAGATCTGCATGGAGTTCCGCAGACCTGTGCCACTGCGGACTGATACGATTGGACCCTGGCTAGATAGCCTGGGATTCCTCTCCTGGGTCGGAAGCATCACCAGCGCTGCGCTGTTGTACATGTTTAGTGGGAACGCACAGCACGGGCCCAATGGCGAGCCGACTGATATCAAGGGCTGGGCTCTACTTTTGACAATATTCTTTTCAGAACACCTGTATCTTATTGTGCGGTATGCTGTGCGGGCTGGTATGGCCAGAATTGAGCCTCCCAATGCCCGCAAGGAGCGCGCTGAGCGGTACCTCATGCGAAAGCGCTATCTCGAGTCGACACTCAATGCGGAGGCAGATGAGAAGGAGGACGATATTACATCCATGGCCGAGGCAACTCATATCTCACGCACGGCTCTTGAAGATGATGCTCGGCGTACGTCCTTGCATGGCGCCGACCCGGCGACTCGTTTCTGGATGCACCAGCGGGGCTGGATTGAGTCTGCGAAGATCGGAGCTGGGATTATACAGGCACAGCCTACCAAGAGTAGCGGCAGTGTGAAGAAGCAACAGTAGTGTTTTGGAGTTGTACAGTGTTGTAGGATGTTGGGAGGCTGACTGTGTTTTGGGTGGATACGAGATCACGAGATTGTAGAAATTTATATTAGTACGCGTGGTACATACTAATCACTGATATTGGTTAGATTTATACCTTAAGTTGTCCTTCAATTGAATGAATGATTGTCCAGTTCCTAGTGCCTATTCGTGAAACCTTTGCTGCCTCAGGCAGAAATGTCGGGATAGGCAATCAATATGATGTCATGCTGACTCCATCGGGAACAAGTAAGCCCGTTCCGACACCGGATGCGGGCGGAATGCAGTCAGCAATCAAGTTACTGGTAGACATATTCATGGGTACAATGGCAGAATATGATTGGGCGCAGAGGGCGAGCCATTGAAAGATTGTGGTTGAGCTGAATCATAGCTAGTATATGTGATATCAAAACAATTTTGGCGGCAAAAAGCGTCGAGATCAACTCCGGGGTAGCAGCTACCGCCTGACTTACCGCTTGCCTAATGCAAACCCTTCGCTTACCAACTCCTTACATAAATCAACGATCGTCCCAATCCTCTGACTCAGAATCCTTAAGTAATCCCCCTCCTCCACCTGGCGGCATCAACCTGCTTACAGCATCGGATCTGTAACTGCTTACCTCATTTTAGCTGTATTTTGTTCTCAGCAAAGCAGCTCGCTTTGCTCTCAATTCTTGTGAAAACTAAGCGTGCCGTGCAAAGCCACTGCCCGATTCCATCACCAATCCCCTTTCTTCTTAATCAATGCAGCCTGCACTCGCGCCAGCGCCGCATCCAAGCATGCAGACTTCTGCTCAGGTAAGCAGACCATCTTGAACGCGTTTGTCATCACATCTATATGAGATCCCGCGTTGTGTACTTCCTCAATACATTGGATACAAGGCCTTTATGTCGCGTTACCAGTGTGTCGGGGATAAGGCTGGACGTTTCGACGCGTCGAGCGTCCCTCGAGTCTTACCGCGTCACTTAGTCCTCCGTTGTTATTTGTTATGCTCCATACTAACATCTGACTATAGGATCATGCGGACCAGGGTATGTGATTATAGTTTAGAGCGTTCTTGATGTTTGATTGCCACCACTTTTGAGGGACTCGTGAATGCGTGGTTTTTGGGGCTAAAAACCACCGTCCCCCAATCTTCTCCTCATTTCACCTGGGCAAATTAGGGGTCTGATCCATACGTGGTTGATCTTCATTGCTAATACATGACTCTATAGTCCTTCACGACCAGCTTCTAGCTGCTCAGCACCACCTAGGTGGTCGCCCCCAGGGTGCTCCTGGCCAGCAACAGCACTTGCAGCCCAGCAATGCTAGCCCGCGCGACCAGGCAAACATTGACCCAGCTATCTCCGGTGCCATGCTCGGCGCTCCTCAAACCCCCACCCAACCCCAGGGTTCTCCCCCATCTGACGGCGGCTCCAAGAGCTATGGCAAGCGCGAACTGTCAACTTCTAAGCGTGCTGCGCAGAATCGCGCTGCTCAGGTATGTCCTTTCGATATCGCGCGCATAGTACTCCACTAACCATAATAACAGCGCGCATTCCGCCAGCGCAAGGAAACCTACATCCGCAAGCTTGAGGAAGAGGTTAAGAATATCGACCCCCTCAAGGATCAGGTCAAGTCACTGGTTGGCGAGAACTACCAGCTGCGCGAATACATCATCAATTTGCAATCGCGCCTCCTCGAAGCCCAGGGCGAAGTCCCTGAACTGCCGGCCAATATTGATTTGAGCCAGCCTCGCACCACTGAGATGGCGCTTGCCTCTGCCGGAGTTCAGAACTCCAGCCCCTCGGGCTCAGTGCCCACTCCGGGTGCCCAGGGCCAGCACCCTAGCTCTGTCTCTGATGACATGAACTCGCTGAACCGCATCGCAGCCGCAACGCTCGGCATGCGCAAGCACCCCGATGACACGAGCTTCCTGAACAACAACAGTTTCCAGCAGAACAAGCGGGTGCGCACTGATGATAACCAGGATGGAAATGACGGCGTCAACAAGCAAGAGATTACGCACGGTCTTCCCATGGTCAACTAATCGCCGTGCCGTTTTCATCACATTGAATGCCTACGTTCTGCGATCATTTTTCGATACCCGCGTCTGCCTTTTTTTTGCTCGTGACTTATTAAGCTTCGGTGTTGCGTTGTGCTTGACGACACTTGCCATATTTCTATCTCGTCTGTTTGGCTGGGTCTCCTGCGTCGTTTTTCTTTACTGTTATGTCATGTTTCCCTTTGCGTAATGGTGTGTGGCGCAGTGAATGATTCCATCTTGATTTCGTCGTCGCGAGTTGGTGGTGTTCTGAGATTTCTTACCTCCATCGTGGCAGACTGATGGGGGAGATTCATTATTATTCCCGCATTTGTTCCATACATCAATTCCATCTATCTGCTTCCTTCATCGGATTGGTCCCGATCTGCAGATATCTATACCTATCCAGGGGGTTTTCTTTTGTAGCCTGCTGAGGGTATCTATCTGCTCATTGCGTCACCTTCTATTCCGATGACGTACCTATTAGTCTACATACATAGGTACATCCGCTGTATGTGACATATCCTGATAGAGGCCCTATGCTTTTCTTCAACGCATACTTTAGATAGTTAAGACCGTGAAGTTTGCTATCCTATGCTTGCGCAACTAAGTATATATGTAATGATGTGCAAGATTCTGCGCATGTAAACTGCAGATTCAGCGGCTCCTTTATATTTAAATTGTGAGGTACAACAAGGAGTTGTGGCTAGTAGTGGAGAATGCCGCTAAGTTAAAGTATTATTTTACGCTAGAGATATCTCTACTACGCCCAAACTCTTTGTAGTTACAGGCTAAAACAATGGACTGCACTTTGAGAGACCGGACAATTTAGGACGAAGAAGCGATAAAACCCACGGCGACGAACGACCAATACATTCTAGTCTATGTATGTTGATTCGGCATTGTCATTGGTTCCTTATTTCATAAGATCTTCTGTACGAAATATATACTCTCTGCATCCTTTTATTCTTTGAATCCCGCTCGGTCTGGCAAGCTCCAGTACCAATAATTCATCAAAAAAAGATTGTCCTTCTCATCTATTTGTGGATATTGAATTATCGTGGCCGATCACAATTGCTGAACAACCTTGATCTGCCAATAATATGATATAGTATCTACCATTTACTGTTCATCAAGGCCATATTCCTTGATAAGAACCTCAGCACAAGTAACACCAGTCACGTAAGCAGTAGCCTGCGTGTGGTTATTAGTGAGGACAGGAACAACACTCATATCCGCAACGCGGAGGTTCTCCATGCCTCGTACGCGGAAATGCGTGTCAATAGCAGCATCACTAGCACCGGCCTTGCCCATCTTCACTGTGCCGGTCATATGCCAGCTAGAAGAGAGGAAGTTCTTCCAGAACTCGAGGATATCCTCGTCAGAATCAGACGCGGGCCCGACGAGCGTGGCGATAGTGTCCTTCGCAAAGGATTCCTGTCTACTAACTTCTAGTAGGTGTCGGTAGATCTCGATACAAGCGCGACGGTCGAAGGGGTCCTCGAGGAACCGCGGGTTGAATAGCAACGGGACGTCTGGGTCGCAGGACTGCAGGCGCACTTCGCCGCGAGATTGTTCGTTCATCAAGAATGCTGCGAGACACACATAGCTGTAATCTTTAAACATATCGGGTAATATGAAATGGAAGGGTAGGTGGGTGGCCATCTCGTAGTGGGGGATAGTTTCGCGGTTCATGAATTCTTGTACAGATGCTGGAAGTGCTTTAAATTCAGGAGAGGAGGTGATGCGGTCTGATTTAAACCAGCCACAACCGACTTGGCAGCTGTATCGGGTCCATAGGCCAGTGTTATTTTCTTTCCATTGGCTCATTGCAGTCTCCATGGCGGTGGGGTCTTGGAAGAACGAATTGCGGTCATTTGTCTCAGGGTTACGGGCGAGAATCAGAGGAACAAAGTAGTGATCTCGGAGACCTTGGCCAATAGTGGGGAGATCATTGACTATTGGGATGTTGAATTTCTCAAGCTCCGCAGCTGGTCCAATTCCAGAATGCATTAGGATCTTCGGGGTATCAAGTGAGCCTGCGGACAGAATCACATCCCGAGAAGCGAAGTCTGTTAAGTACGTCAGATGAAGTGAGTAGTAAAATTTCAGAAAGAAACATACACTGCTTGCCCTGAGTCTCTACTCCAACAGCCTTTTTGCCCTGCAACAAAATCCGATGTACTGGGCTGTCTGTGACAACCACAAGATTATCAGGAGCACCCAAAAGCAAGTCTGCAGCCGTGGTACGCTTTCCTTTGCTAGCAGAGTTGATAGTGGCAGCCATGCCTAGAGGGTTACCCGAGTTGTGATCCAAGTTGAGCTTGTGCCCCGCTGCTTCGAATGCATCCAGCGAGAGCGACAAGTCCCTTTCCCAATCTTCAGCATACCCAACACGTAGGCCACCCGAATTGCCATGATCAGAAGCAACCGGGTTCGCGTATTTCAGATTCTCCGGCAATGTGACATCGCCGTTGAAGGTCTCTAAATTCTTGAAGCGGGTCTGCATCTCCTTCCATCCAAAGTTATCGTCATCCACCTCGGATGCCCACTCATTGTAGTCATCCCGCGCGCCTACAGTGTAGACCCCGAAGTTGATCGCCGAGCTACCCCCCAGACCCTTTCCACGAGAATAGTCGAGCTCGCGCCCATTGCAATGTTCCTGGGGTGTGGTTTTATAACCCCAATTTAGGCCTCCTTCCATGAATGTGGCCCAGCGCTTTCCGTCAACTCGCAAAGCACTATCATCATTACGCCCACCTGCTTCAAGAAGCAGAACCCGGGGCTTCTGGGCTGATTTGGCGAGTCCTACAGCCAGGGCACAGCCAGCTGGACCACCTGTTCAAGTGATGAGCATGAGAAACTGCATGTGTATGTGTGTCTGGTGCATAATTACCTCCTACAACGACAAAGTCATAGTTGGGGTTTGTAGATTCCATGTTGAGGGTAGCCTTTCAGTGTCTAGAGCAATTTGCAAAACTGATTTCTGGTCAAGGGCAACGCGTCGGGTATTTGACTTGTTCTCTTTCTCGTATGCGGGACACGTCCCGCCTCAGCTGAATACCCCTCTTAGCTAGGCGCATTAGTAGGTAAGCCAATACACTTAAAATGACGGGCTATATGGAGTACACCATCAGGAGCCAATAATATTAAGTGGGGGTAGAAATTGGGCACCCCACTAGGGTTCGATCATCGATAGATGGAGAGGGACGGCATTGATCTGACTGCAATATTGACAGGATATTGTATCTGTAGATTCATCAGATGGCAAGATGGCTGAATAGACATTTGAAGCCAGGGAGGTTGGCTAGTTAGGTCAAAATTGCAGGGATTGTGCATGCAAATCTTATGGTGAAGGTACTAGTGGGACGCTAGGGCAAGACTGTGACATGATATCCATAATCATGATCAAGGGGATTGCCCGAAAGTAGCTATCGGTCGCACTATGGCTCAAATGCCAATGTTAATCGCCTGGATCAAACCCGTAGTGTTGATGATGAAATCAAAACTTCTCATTAAGTCTCCTGCCTTTGCCATTTCTGCGAAGTGCTTACATTAAGCCCCATTACACCAATTGCTGACCTATCCCAGGCTGGAATTTAAAGTCGACAGCAAATGTCAAAACAGAAACCCGTTGTTTGGACATTCAGAAAATGGAAAAAAGTCCATAGAAGTTCTATAAGATCTAAGCCAAGGGAGATCCACACTGCGATCAGGGAAGACCAGTGCAGAATATCGATCTTTGAAAGCTAGGAGTTTTCACTCCGGAGCTAAGTGGGTGGAAAGATGATAGATCGGAAATATGTTCCAAGCTTGTAATGTTGAATATTGTTCAGCGTTATCTACCTTATTTTCCACTGTGACTATAATGACTCGGACCAGTCAACTTCTTCAGACGAAGCCACAAGTTTCCGATAATGCTCGTACCTTATACAAAGTACATGGCCTGTGCAGCCAGATCTCCGGGAAGATCTTGCGCACGGGCCGAAAATGATGGGTCATTGTTCATATTACTTGGAAGTCCCCAAGTCACAAGATACCCCATAGGCGAAGAGCGAACTGTTCGTTGTTCTGGGTCATTCTCCGCAAGATGACTAATTTGTAAGGCGAGACCTCTTAGGGTCCCATTCCCCGCTCAATGACGGGGCTGAAAGTTAGCGCAAAAACCTGAAGATTCACCTCGGCAGTTGAGACATCTTTCTTTTTCGAAGGTATGGTGTGGAATATATGTTGTACACAGCACGGAGTAAATAATTGCATCTGGGCACTGCAGCCGCGTCAGCCACAGTAACCATACCATATTAGCCACCTTACAACTTGAGTTCAATGTTATAGTATATAAACGGATATAAACGGAAAATAACAAGAAATTCGAAATCGGGAAAGATCATCCGATCAAATTAATTTTCCAAGCCCTTACGGAGCAAAGAACTAAAATTGGAAAAAAAAAAAGTCAAGTTCACGTGTGGCGGTTCCAAGGGTTCCCTTTCTCGGCTTAGCTTGGCATGAGGCAAATGGGCTGGGGATACTTTTCTCTTCTCCCTCTCGACCTCGACTTATACATATAACTGCATCATTGGACATTCACTTAGCTTCTCTTCCTGCATTCAGTCCTTGACCTCATCACCGAAACTTCTCCAAGTTGACCTCCGCATTCCTCGGCGAACTCGCGACGATCACATCCTCCCACCGATCTCAACCCTCTGCTGAAATTCCACTCATTTTTGCCCGATCAGCGAGCTTCAGACCTCGGTACCTTTTGAATCAGCATACACACCATTGGCGCAAATGATTTGCTCGGACTAGCATAACTATGATGGCTGTGAAGCTGGTACAATTCAAGCAAAGTGTACCGGGGTTCTCACCAAGTGGGGCATGAAATATCCTCCCTATAATATACGGTCTTTCCAATATCAACATTGAATATATCTCTCGGCCAGGCTGGTTGAGTCAATCATGACAAGCCTATCGGAATTTCCCGACGGGCTCCGTGGGTACTCTGCCAATAGGCTGGTAGTGCGGATATTGATGATCATCTTCACCTCTATCGCATTATACAACGCTATTGAATTGCTCATATTGTTGTTTTTGACATTTTCTCATTATCGTGGGCTCTACTTTTGGACGCTTTTGCTCTCGGTAGTCCTGGGAGTGATCCCTCACGCCATTGGCTACCTGCTTGGACATTTCTCTCTGGCGCCATTATGGTTCACTTTGACTCTCTCCACTATTGGCTTCTATGTCATGGTCCCAGGCCAATCGATGGTCTTATACTCTCGCCTTCATTTGGTGGTCCAGAGCAACAAAGTGCTTCGGTTTGTTCTTTGGTTGATCATCATTGACGCGATCATTCTCTTAATACCAACGACCGTTCTTACCTTCTGTACCGCATACGTCTCCGCTCCCTCAATGATTCGCGGATACAATGTCATGGAGCGGTTGCAATTGGCCTGGTTCTGCGCCCAAGAGATTCTCATCTCGGGAATTTACATTACGGAGACTGTGAAGCTGCTCAAATTGATGCCAGACAAGGACCGACGGCGGACCAGAATCATGTATGAGCTGTTGGCAATCAACGCAGTTATCATATTGCTCGACGTTTGTTTACTCGTTGTGGAATACATTGGGTATTACTCGCTCCAGACCACGTTGAAGGCCATGGTCTACAGTATCAAGCTGAAGCTTGAGTTCGGTGTCCTTGGAAAGCTAGTCAATGTCGTGCAGAATCCTCGATCGCAACCCACTTCGTCGGATCACGAAGAATACCCTGGCTTCGTGGACCCTTCCCAGTTTACATCGGATGTCACTCATGCAGTCCCACGGGATCCGCGCCCCGGGGCACGGAGAGGCTGGAACACATTGTCTGTGGAGAGTTTGCACAGCCCTGAGCGCAGAACTCGTCCATCTACCCGATCGACTGACGAGACCCTGCATCCATCTTGAGGTCGGACTGGTGATCACGAATTTTTTTTTTCTATCAATTAGATCAAAGCCCTAAATAATCCTTCACAGATGCAACTAAGCCGGCGTTGGTAATCCCCCACCGGCTTTTGCTTCACATATACGGCGAATATTCCAAGGAGTCACCGATGCCACTTTACATTTTGCTTCGTGTGGTTTTTACAACAAAGTCGCCTCCGCAATTCTACAAAACCAACCCATAATTTTGCCAACCAAATCTCCTGGTTTCATCTTGCTCGCGCAACAAAACATCTGCGCAGCTCCTCACGACCTGATGCCTGTCCATTTCTGCATTCTTGCGGGAGATTCGAACAGTGTTGCTGTCAATTCCTGCTGATTGTACAATATACCATGTGGTACAATCAAACCACTACGAAAAGTTCCACTCAATTCCGCCAAATCCACCATAGGACTGCGGTGTTCATGTATGCCAGATTTACATTGGCAATAATAATTTAATGCAGTCTATCGACGCCCACGATTTGTTAATTTTCAGCCTCATGATGTAACTACTTCAATGATAATATTACGTCGCTATGACATGCCATCAGAGGCCAACATCAGTTGGAAAACATTTACATCTAAAAAAATAGTTTCTCGTAGTCGAAGCAGCATGGAAAGTACCGTCACCATCCACCATGGCCCCTACGAGTCCATCCCTCCCACAGCTTCACCCGGTCTTAAATTTCTCCAACGATTCCTACCAGCACTAGACTCACTCACTCCCGCTGAGAATCTCATCACTCCTTTCTTCACCCCCAGTGCTCCCATCCTCATCGGCAGCGATCCCCCAACAGCCGCAAGCCAGGTAGTCCCTCTGCTCGAAGTGCGCAGCCGTCATGTCTGCAAATTCCGCCACCAGGTCCATCTCGCCTGGGATATAAACCTTGGGCGTGACAGAGGCCCTGTCCAGACATCGTACAACAGGACCGCTCCGGACGAAGATGCCGCCCAAAAAGCACAGCTCTATGCGCCGCTAGCAGGGAAAATACAGATGAAGCGAACTGTTATGTTTGAAGCAACATCCGAAACAACATTCAACGAGGATCCTGACCAGTTTGCTGTTCGAGTCCGCGAGTTCAATGTCCTCGATCTGGAGGGTCGCGATGAGTCGGATCTGCAAATCGTTGAGATGAGGATCTTTTTGGACCAGAGACCTCTTCAGGCACATTCTTCAAGTGTGTTTACGGGCTCTACTTATGGATATTAATGTATGCTGAAGTGTAGATTGCATGAGGGTATGACGAATCTTAATCGACAACTTTCCCTATCAGTACAAAGACTATCAACAATCGCTGCAGAATAGAGTGCCCTTCTAAGCCTATCTCGAAGGTCTCGTGTTCATAGATAACTACATCGCTTGGACCCATATGCCAGATGCCGATAATGAATAGCGGACCCTATACCTATTGCCGTACTTAGTATCCGCTGAGGGGAAAGTGGATGGCCTCCTCCCAGACCGACTCCATCTTGACTCCAACATGGATTGTGGGGTGCCGAGGATCATCTGATTGGTAGCGTCGGCAATCTTCTGGGAATAATATCGTGGAGAAAGTCTAAATATATTTGAACGATAAACCATAGGCCTCAATTGGTGGAGGCACTTGCGCATCTTCTCCTGAAAGATGGGGTAAGCCGACTGCGGAAAGCATCTGTTCAGTATCAGTATATTTTGCCAAAAACAAAAAATGAGCGAAACCGGCTTGATAGGTCTTTAAATAGGAAGCTACCGAATGTGCCTGATTTAGTGGACTTGCATTTGTATCATTTTCAGAATGCAACGTTACGAGACCAACCTAGATGAGAAGGATATGAAGGGAGGAAGTGAGTTGCTTGGTGGGGACCTTGATCTTGGCCAAGTGCTCGCTATTCAACCAACAGCTGAGGAGGAACGAAGAGTTTTGTGGAAGATCGATCTTATGTGAGTATTCTGGCGGATTATAACCATGTATAGGCTGATCCAAAGAAGTCTGATCCCGTTGATGGGAGCCGCATATTTCCTCCAATTCCTCGACAAACTCGCTCTGAGTCAGGCGACACTATTTAATTTACGAGAAGATCTAGTATGTATCCATATCCAGCTTTTGGTCGGTGAATATATGTTGACAGAAAATAATAGAACATGCACGGAGCACAATATGCATGGGCATCTGCGATCTTCTATTTTGGATACTTTGCCTGGAGTTGGTATGTATCCAACCACGCCCTACCTTTTATCAGAAATACTGATTCGACAACAGGCCTACTTCATATATTGTCGTCCGACTTCCCATTGGGAAATATATCGCAGTCTCAGTGTAGGTCGTTCTCCCCTGAAGGGTCCATAGCGCCGATGATGAGACTGACTATATAAGCTTCCTTTGGGGCGGGGCCCTAATGTGTCATGCTGCTTGCTCTAACTGGAGTGGGCTTATGGCCGCCCGTTTCTTCTTAGGAGTAGGCGAGGCGGCAATTGCGCCGGGCTTCACCTTGCTCACGGGAATGTTTTATAAACGCGAGGAACAACCCCTGCGGTAAGTCTTCTAAATATGGGTGCAATTAGGACTCACTGATAAGCTCCAGACAATCTGCTTGGTACTTTGGAAACTTTGTTGCTGTGCTCCTTGGCGGGTTGATTGCCTACGGTATTGGGACTATTAACACGTCAGTCATTACCCACTGGAAACTCTTGTTCCTTATTCTTGGTGCCATAACTTCAACTTATGGTCTCGTCTTATTTGCCTTGCTGCCGGACTCACCTGCCAACGCCATATTTCTGAAGCCCAATGAGCGTGCTATTGCTGTGCGACGAACGCTACAGAACAAAACTGGAGTCATGGATATGGGTGTGTTTAAGTGGTCACAGGCTCTTGAAGCCCTAAAAGACCCCCAGACTTGGCTTCTAGTTCTGAACTCTTTCGCCTCAAGCCTGGCCAACGGAGGTCTTACAAGCGTGAGTACTGACCTTATTGTGGCTGAAGCTGAAAGCTTACACTATTTTAGTTTACCTCGATTATCACTGCCGGGTTCGGATTCTCCGATCTTAAAGCCCTTATCATGCAAATGCCTCAGGGCGCCGCCCAGATTGTGTTTCTACTGATTACCTCGATCACCGTGACATTTATTCCATCTGCCCGTATATTAGGAATGTGTCTCTCCACAATGATTTCTATTATCGGTCTGGTCCTTATCTGGAAGCTTGAACCCGAAAATCAAGCTGGACGAATCGTTGGGATGGCGTTAGCCGTCGTCTACGCAATCAATTTTCCCATGTCGTTCAGTATTATTACCTCTAATGTGGCCGGATTTTCGAAGAAGAGTGTTGTTAGCGGTTTGCTTTTCATCGCATATTGTGTGGGAAATATCGTGGGTCCGCAATTTTTTCTTGCCTCGGAGGAGCCATCGTACCCAGTAAGTGGTCGTTTTATTCTTGCCAGAACTTCTATTGCATCTAAACTAATGCCATAATTCTCTATTATAGACTGGCATCAAGGCTTCTATGTCAGGCCTGGTCTTGAGTGTATTTTTCCTTCTGTGCCTATATTCCTACTATACGTGGGAGAATCATCGACGAGACAGGTTGTATGGTTTGCCTGAGCAGATAAACATGGGAGCTGAGTTACAGGATGAGCTATCGAACAGGACTGATCGCGAGATCGAGAGTTTCCGGTATCTTCTTTAGATGATAAAGTAAGGTCATGTCAATATCCTGTTCGGCTAGCAAGTTTCATTCGGAAGCTAAATATGGCAATTTGCAACTTATACTTCAGAAATAAGAGACTTGTTTCTGATAATTCTAACATGGTTTATATTTAGCATCCCTATAATATTTGACTCATTACTTGGTAGACTTTTTGGGAGACCCAACTCCCCGGAGTTAATGAAAAAGGGTTCAAAGCCCAATGATTGATCACAGTCGGTTATGTACTCCGTATGTTGAGGGCCATTAGCTAGATATCACGTTTTTGATACTGCCAACTGGGTCTTCCCTACTCAATGTCTCGGTCGATGATTCAATGATCTTCAATCTATCTAAGGCCTCGCTATATTGACGATGTGAAAGATCCTAATCTTGAAACTGACAACTCCAGTCGCTCGACCTCGGGAGCTGAAAGTGCCTGTAGGTCTGGCGAATCGGAGAATCGCGGTTATTTTGCCTCTCTCTAAAGTGTTTGATCGATCGAAAACAAAGACAACCTGCCGCCCATGTCAGTTTGGGAATTCAGGCGTCCACCCTGGTCACTTCATCCCGCACTCCATTCATCTTTCCTATTCATTATCCACTTCCCATGCCCACATTCTGAACCTCGGTGAGCACTCACGTCATTATCCCTCTTTTTTAAATAACTCCCCCGCCATTTAGTCCTTATGAGGCTGTCATGGCTCTGATAGATATGACGAGTGTCTTTGTTATATCGACATTCCATCTGCATAACCAATCCCCGACACACGTGTTGGTCTTATAGGTCTTCTTTGCTTTCTCGTGATTTCACTCGGAAAATAAACAGATACTCTATTTGAAATTTCATGTTCCCATTCACGCTATACCGCGTGATGCTCTTCTATACGATCGTTCTGAGAGATAGATGGCATGTAGCAATTCAATCAATACTAAATTATATGAATACATACAAACTTTTGAAACAAAATTTAATACAGACTACCGCACATAATAACAACGAAAACAAGAGCAACAACAAGAACAAGAACAAAAACAGGCATGTCAATAGCGACAAGGGTATAAAGTAAAAAAAGATAGCCGCCCAGTGATGATTGATGATTCAACTACTCTCAGTCGAGGTTCATCTTGTAGTATATACAAGTGTGCATGAAAAATTGGGTCCCTCAAAGTTGTCAACACATGTCCTTACTTAGGGCGCTCGAGCAATGTCATTTCAACCGTAGACCGTGTATCTGACGAATGGATTCGAGGCCGAGGACTTGGCTGTGACTCATCAGAGTTCACAGTCGACAAGGTCTCGCGCATTGCCTCATGGAAATCGTATGTGTCGCTGTGCCGGACTGAATGCGCCGGGCTGGCGATCGCTGTAGCACCAGAGATAGCCTGCACCTCGGTATCCCGTGACGAGGAATTGCGCGCGAACATATCGAAGATATTGACCTCGCTTGAACAACGAGTATTGCCATTAGCCCCTTGGCATAAAGCACAGGGGTAGGTTCGTGTCAGCTCACGGAGCTGCATGAGGGCGTGGAATTCGAGTTTCAGCTTGATGCTGTAGGCGACTGTCTTGAAGCTGATGGCGATGTAGTGCAGTTTGAATTCGGCGATAATCATCAATACGTTGAGCAGGATTCCCATGAGATTGGCGATGATGATTCGATAGATTATTCCTCGCCCCTGGATGCCTTTGTATTCGACGACGGGTTTGAGCGCTCGGTATGCTTCGCGGACATAGATGGCACAAATCACCGTGTCTTGGATGGCAAATCCTATCACTTGGAAGCGGTCGTAGATTGCTGCTGCCAGCATATATTGTGCATTACCAAAGTTGAGAAAGTAGAGGGCTGTCATGGGAATGTGAAGAATGAAAAGATTCCCTATGATCATCCATAGGACCCATCGTACATGGCGGACGTCGGCCACAACGAGGTGCAGTCTTGAATACAGCACTACCGCTTGTCCGGTCACCATGCAGATCCAGCCTATGATAAACGGGACTGACATGGCAAAGGCAGGGCCTTTTGTCGTATAGCGAATTTGAGCCGGTATGCCATGTAACAATATTCCCCAGGCAGCAATTTGCATGCTCCAGAAGTATAGGCCACGATACTTTTTGAACCGCTCGAATATGCCTATCACGACTTCCAATGAGTTCCATGCTCCGATTGCAAACATAGCCACCGTCTGGAGGATCGTGATGTTGGCATTGAAAATGTCGCTCACCTCCGAAGGGAGATAGGTCATCGGAGTATCCATGGCATGTGAATGGGTTAGGCCAGGTGGATAAATCAACCGTTGGGAAAGTAAAAGGTATATCGATCAGAGCTCGGACACAGGTCCCACCTGGCTGACGGATATTATGGAGAATCGTCTTGAGCCCCTCATCTTAGGCCCCGGGGTGGGACGTGATAAGGTTGACTCTTGGTCTCGAGGGTGGGCCACGCCACTGGGGAATAATTCTCTGGCGCATAAATGAGAGAAAAGGCGCCAAATACGGTGGTGCTAGCACACGGGGATCTGAGCCAGTTGTTCCGGTTCAGTAGACAATTAATGATCGCGGATGGATTACAACCTGGGTATTACCAACAATGATGGGAATATGAAGATCCCAGAAGAATCTGAATTTTCCTCCCCCTTAATCATGTTGGTGTGAGGGCTTATTGGACACAGCAAACGAATGGTCAAATATCGAGAAGCTATCGGCGCGCCAAACAGGGATCGCCGGGATTTCGAACAAAGAAACCCAGCGAGGATTTGTGCACTGATCACATTTGTTCGCTAGTGGCGCTCCGCAATAGGAGCCCAGGCCTCGTTTAGATGAATTTGGATATTGGTAATGATTTGAAGATATATGGAGTTCGGAGTAAGGAGTAGCGAGAAAGAGGAGAATAATGGGAACGGATCGATATCGATTTATTTAGGCTTGGCAACCGTTATAATTGGAAATATATAAAGAGATAAGGGGCATACTATGTTACAAGCAGAATGAAGTCATGTCTACGGAGTACAATAGAAATACAAAAACAAATATAGATACACCGATTGACCGCTTAAAGATCCAACATATCCAGATCGGTGAAGGTTGACACGTAAAATCGAACTTATCCGAAAATCCCAGCGCTTAAACCCTACGGAGTACTCCGTAGATAGGATGGTAGGAGCAGCACATACTCCGTATATATAAATTAATTAATTCTGCCAAGCAATATTCCCCTTATCGCACTCGAGTTTAGCCCTTCGTATACAACATAGGGAGTACATCATAATCAAATCACATGTCCTAGTTCCCATTAAGTTTAGTGTGATCGACGTCCAGTTCCGGGTAATCAGGGAGTTTCCAGTCTCCACCCCCATCTTCTGAAAAACGTGATATGAGCTGGGGTATGCGAAGAAAACAAGCCAGTCCTATAATGAGATGCAAAATAGAGATTCCCCACTGCGAAGTGGGGACTGCCTTGCGGATCCACCAAATGTTGACCTGCTGAACCTCATCGATAAATGGTCGCAATGTTTTGGAGTAATTTTGCAATGCCTGGGACAAATTTTCACCGCGAGCAAGCTCTCCAGCCAGGACATATGCCCCAACTAGACTGCTAGTGGTCCCCAGGCCAGTCAGGGGAGAAGGGCAGTGTGCTGCATCACCGAGAAGGACAACCCGACCAGAGTGCCAGGTATCTGTCTTGATTTGGACGCAATTCTGACAAAACCAGTTCTCTGTAGTGTGCATCCCCTTGATAAAACGATCGGTCTGCCACCCTGCATCGTGAAACCTTTTGGCCCAAAAGTCCTTTTGCCCCTCAACTGAAGTCTTCGGCATATTCCGTAGTTCCTCCGAGTCGGATATAAGTATGAAGCATACTTGGGTTTCGCTTTTACTGTGGCTTCTGGTCATGATCATTCGGCCTCCCGGGATGATGTATGACTTGGACATATTGGTGTCTGTTTCAGTCCGTGGGACAATCCAGTAGGCCATGTGTACTCCGAGCTGGCGATATTCATCTGGAGCACCAGGGGGTTGTATATTTTTTCGGACATGCGAGCCTTGTCCATCTGCTCCAACAAGCAGATCAAATGTGTCAGAAGAGCCGTCAGAGAAGTACGCGACTACCCCTAGCTCATTTTCTGTGAAGCTATCCACCGTTTTACCAAAGACATATTCGACTTTGTCTTTTGTTGCTTCGTGAAATATACGCACGAGATCTCCACGCATGATCTCATACTCGGATGTCAGAGACTGTGCACCCTTTCCAGATTTATTAGCGAGAAACGCCGCCTTGACTTTTCCCCTGCTGTCAATGACGGAGACGCCTTCTTCGTCAACGAGCTTTCCGCGAACAGTATCCATGAGACCCATGCGCTTGACAGTCTCAATTCCTTGTCCGCGGAGGTCGATCTGGGCACCTGTTGCTCGCAGTGCCGGAAAACGTTCGACGATAACAACATGGTGACCCAGTCGAGCGAGCCAGTAAGCCAGGGCTGGACCTGCAACACCTCCGCCACAAATAAGAACTTTTAGAGGCATTGTGTAGAGATAATCCAGGAGATAGTTAGATGGGAAACAAATTCCCTGTCTACGCGTCAGTAGTTTATACTTAAATGCTTGGTGTAACAAGCTGGTCTAGTCGCCTTCGCACAATTCGGACATAACGGGAAATTGCGGTATTAGGCGAAATATTGCCGTTTATTAGTGAAGATCACTGCTTTTAAATCTGATATATCTTACTGTACTCAGCCCAACGCACAGGAGGTTGGATCGATATATATGTTTAAATAATCATTACTTTAAATTAACTTTTGTATGTGTATATGTTGGAGCCTATAAGGCGGAAAGGTAGGGAGAGAAGAGTTGTCGATTAGAGAAATGATCGCTCGGAGCTACCTAGTATGGATGCTGGCCTAAATAATCGATAATCATCCATCCCGAGCCCACCTGCGTAGATTTTCACTGCCCGACTAAATCCCCCATCTCCCGTGCGACAGTCCAGCATCCTAAGAAAATATATTTCAAAATCAAACAATCGCATTACACAACATGAGCAGCATATTGGGTCGGATAGCCAATCACTTCGCTCTCTGTCTCTTTCTCTCATGAACGAGCATTCGGTTGTCCCCTCGTTCTCTAGGCCCAAGGCCGGAAGTCAATGAACCCGAGCTTGGTAAGGCAGCAGAACAGGAAAACTCTAAGGAATGGAAGAAGTCTCGCCAATACGTTAAATTATGCAATCATAGTGATGCTAAAAATTTCATTGATGATTCAACTAAGTAACACTAGAGAAGCCTATATTGTGGCCGACAAATTATTCACAGGCGAGGACGACCGGTCGCAGGGAAATAAGGGATATCATAACGGTCCAAATTCATAACCTTGTCCCAGGCAGCAATAAAGTCCTTCTTAAACTTATCTTGGGCATCGGCACTGCCATACAGCTCAGCAAGAGCACGGAGCTCAGCATGGTGACCGAAGATCAGGTCAACACGGGTAGCAGACCACTTCTTAGCGCCAGTCTTGCGGTCGAGCCCTTCAAACTGTTCACTGTCAGGGCCGGTTGGCTTCCAGACAGTGTTCATATCAAGCAGGTTGATGAAGAAGTCGTTGCTCAGCTGGCCAGGGCGGGAGGTGAAGACACCATGGTTTGATCCATCCCAGTTAGTGTTCAAGGTACGCAGACCGCCAACCAGAACGGCCAGCTCAGGGGCGGAGAGAGTCAGCTGCTGTGCCTTGTCGATGAGGAGCTGCTCAGTGCGCACGCGGCGAGTTGAGTGTCCGTAGTTGCGGAAACCATCGGCGAAGGGCCGAAGCCAGCCGAATGATTCAACATCGGTTTGCTCCTGGGTGGCATCGTTGCGGCCAGGGGTGAAGGGAACAGGAATACCCGCGGATCTCTCGAGGGCAGCAGATCCAGCAAGCACGATCAGATCAGCCACTGAGACGCGCTTTTCTCCATTCTGAGCACCGTTGAAGCGGCTTTGGATGTTCTCCAACACACTGATGACTTCTTGCAACTGGGCTGGGTTGTTGACATCCCAGTCCTTTTGGGGAGCGAGACGGATGTGGGCACCGTTGGCACCTCCACGCTTGTCACCACCGCGGAAGGTGGAAGCCGATGCCCAGGCAGTGGCAATCAACTTGGTAGGTTCAATGCCGGTTGCAAGAATTTCATTCTTCAGGGCAATGATGTCGCCGGTGTCAATCAGGGCGAAATTGGGAGCAGGAATGGGATCCTCCCAGAGCAAGACCTCCTTGGGGACTTCGGGGCCCAGCCAGCGAGCACGAGGACCCATATCACGGTGCAGCAGCTTGAACCACGCACGGGCGAAGACATCGGCAAACTGATCAGGGTGCTCGAGGAAACGACGGGCAATCTTCTCGTAGGCGGGATCAAAACGCAGAGAAAGATCGGTGGTCAGCATCTGAGGCTTGTGCTTCTTGCTTGGGTCAAAGGCATCGGGAATGATATCGTCCGCATTCTTAGCGACCCACTGGTTAGCACCAGCGGGGCTCTTAGTGAGCTCCCACTCGAACTTGAAGAGGTATTCCAGGAAGAGATTACTCCACTTGGTAGGAGCACTGGTCCAAGTCACCTCCAACCCACTGGTGATAGCATTAGGGCCTACTCCGGAGCCGTGTTTGTTTTGCCATCCCAGGCCCTGCGACTCAATTCCAGCGGCCTCGGGCTCCGCGCCGACATTATCAGCAGGGGCAGCGCCGTGTGTCTTGCCGAAAGTGTGACCACCAGCAATCAAGGCGACTGTTTCTTCGTCATCCATAGCCATACGAGCAAATGTAATACGGATATCTCTGGCAGCAGCCACAGGGTCGGGGTTTCCATCGGGACCTTCAGGGTTGACATAAATCAAACCCATGACGACCGCGGCCAGTGGATCCTCGAGATCACGAGTCTTGATGTTGCTCTGCTTGGTCTTCTCGTCTTCGGTCTCGGGCTCATAACGAGCCTCATTAGTGAACCAGACGTTCTCACTTCCCCAGTACACCGACTCATCGGCTTCCCAGACGTCCGGACGACCTCCAGCAAATCCGAATGTCTTGAAGCCCATAGATTCTAAGGCAACGTTGCCAGTTAGAAGCAGAAGATCCGCCCATGAAATTTTAGCACCATACTAAGTACCAGAATTAGTATAGAGAAATCTTTAAGTATACAATTCTATGCATGATGCTCACCTTCTGTTTGATAGGCCAAAGCAGTCGGCGTGCCTTATCTAGAAACAGAAGATACGTATCAGCATGATATAAATTCCAGCTCGATTATTAGTGTACTTACCAAGGGAGACATTATCGGGCCAAGAGTTCAATGGTGCGAAACGCTGTTGGCCCTGGCCACCACCGCCGCGTCCATCAAAGACTCTGTATGTTCCAGCGCTATGCCAGGCCATTCGGATAAAAAGTCCACCATAATGACCAAAGTCAGCAGGCCAGAAATCCTGCGAGTCGGTCATAAGGGCGTGGAGGTCCTTCTTGAGGCCCCAGTAATCAAGGGTCTTAAAAGCAGTGGCATAATCAAAGTCCTTGCTTTGAGGGTTGGTAGCATCAGTATGCTGGCGGAGGATACCCAGCTTCAAGGAATTGGGCCACCAGTCAGTGTTGCTGGAGCATAAAATTAGTATTTCGAACCATAGCAGTATATGGTATGTGCCGAGGGAGAATCCCAGGGGAACTAGGGACCATACCGGGTGCCACCTCCAGCAACATTGCTCTTCTTGTGTGCAACAGGACATTCGCTCATGATGTATGCGGTAAATATAAAATGGGGATGATGAAGAGAAAGAAAACTGAGAATGCCGGGAGGACAGACACCCCCGCAGTTTAAATGGTACACAGCCCTTGGACCGAATGACCGACCGCGTATTAAGCAGCTTCTCCATTTGGGGCGGATGGTGCATGCTATGGCTAGTTTGAAACGAAAATATAATACTGATGACGCGAATTGGTATTTCTTTGCTTTGTCATTGGCCATACTATGAAAGATCTGGGGCGTGCGGGGAAAGCCATAACGGTGGGACTTGACGAGGATGTCAATGATTCATTGGCGGAATAAGCCGGGGGGCGCGGTTTTCCGGTATTACGCACTTAATATATGAAGCGCTGACAAAATGGCCATTTCTAGATGTTGGAGAGCTGAGTACGGGGAGTATAGGTATAGTAGGAGATGTTGAATTGCAGGGGTATGGCCCACGGATTTGACTAATTCCATTTACCAGACCCGGGTGTTACCGACGACCCCTTGCCGAAATGTCGAAATTATGTATCTTTTGTATGATGTTCCCATACAAAAGGTACAAAAAGTACAAACGATACAAAATTCACTATTGCATGCACATACATAGCGGAATGCACGAAGACCGCTCCCGACTCAAGTTGCACGAGTCTAATACAAAAACTAATTCAATGAAAATTTCTTGATATAAGTAACGTATTTCACAAGCGAGCCGCCCACACAAGCGAGCCGCCCACCTATCCCAACCCATTAATTTTAAATGCATTTATCTCAACCAAAACGCCATTAAATTAATTGCACTGACTAATTGGTCTATCTGGACATGTTTCTCTTCTATGCCCTGGCAATCTGCATATTCCACACCCCCGGGGGGGCCGTGTACGTGGCTGAATAGCCGATTCTCCAGGTATACTGGGACCCGGAGGAGGTGCTTCACCTGCTTCCTGTTGCTGTATAATTAATACAGAGGCTTCTTCAACTGAAAGGCCTTCTTCAGCAGGTATCTGCCTCCGGGATCGAGTACGCTTTTGCTTCTGCTTCTCGTTGGCGGCACGTAAATCGCTTACTTCTTTCTCGAGAAAAGCAGCAGACTGCATAGTGATTTGACAGGCTTTTAAAACCTGATTTATCGCGCAATTTAGCGGACTCGGAGGGCTCCTCGATCTAGTACGAAGCAAAGCTTTAATTGACGAAGCTTGCTTTTGTAATTGCACGTAATTCGAGGGCGTTTTTGGGTCCCAATCGCTCCCCCTACTTGGAGGGGGGGTAGGAGTTCGAAGACGAATATCAAGCTTCGAGATCACTCGATTAGGTGCAAAAGGTACTAGACCAGCTGCTCCGAAGCTATTCTTGATAGTCTCTAGTTTAAAAGCTTCAATCCGTGCGAGGGGGTATGCTTCGAGGAAGTCAAGTTTGTCGATATAGTTGATTCCATTTCTCATTTTTGTCTCCACTAGCCGACCATATGATCGTTTTAACACAGCAAAACAGCCAATATCGAGAGGCTGTAAAAGGTGAGAGGAGTGCGGAGGCATACAAATTGGTATAACCTTATTTTGCTCGCAAATTTCATCGAATTTAGGGGTTAAATGGCTTCCATGTCCGTCAAGAACTAGAAGCCTATAACCCCCCTTCGTACGTAGAGAAGTGCTAGGAATAAAGAGCTTTTCAAGCCAGCGAACTCCTATTTCATCTGAAGTCCAACCATTAGGACTAACTTCAATTCGCCAGTCGTTTGGTAGGCCTTCGAACCATGATTCTAAGTAGACTTTGCCTTTGAAAATGATACACGGTGGGAGGGCCCAACCCGATGAATTTGTACACTCAATAGTAGTCACCCACTCGCGATTTCCAGGTTGTAAAAGCGAGCGCCGACCGTAGAATTCGCTCCTCGTGATCACCTTCGCTGTGGAAATTAACCCCATCGCGAAACCAGTCTCGTCGAAGTTATAAACGTCATCGGGGTCGATCCCAAATTGAAGGATAGTTTTTTGAACGAGATCAAACCATTCACAAATGATTTTTGGGTCTTCACACTTCGCACGTTCGTAATTATAGCGTCTCGAGAATCGGGAGGAGAGATCAGGGTATCGTTTTATAAAATTCGTAACCCAGTTTTCGCCGACCGAAAGAGCTGGGGTTATTCCACGTTGTTGAAGTAAAAGATTCGCCATTTCTCGTACAGTAGCAGGGCGGGGAGCTGCTCCACGAGAATCCATAGAGAGAATCCATTTTCGAAGAGATTCCTCTTCTATTTCTGTCAATTTATGGGAATTTGCGCGTGTAGTGCTTCGTTCAGTGTGGCCGGAGAGGCGATCGCGTAAAGTTGTACGCGGTATATTAAAAACGCGCGCCACTTCACGAATTGAAGAGATTTCTTTATTCTTAAAAGCCTGAATAGCTAAAAGAATCCTACCCTCTTGCTCAATTGAATTCCGAGAGCTTTGAGAGCGAGTTGGTGGCATAGTGGGTGGTTGAATTGACTAAGTGCGAATCCCGAGACGTGTTTTAGTTTAGGTGGGCGGCTCGCTTGTGTGGGCGGCTCGCTTGTGAAATACGTTATGTACCTTTTGTATGGTGTCACTATACAAACGATACCTGTCATTGGAGTTTCCTCAAAACATTGAATGCATGTACTGTTGCTCAGCTACAATGTGTAGTTAGTACTACATATATGTATGAATATAGACCGTAAATGAGTCTGTGGACTTACCAACTCGTACATACACATCAGCTTGATATCCCCACCCCGCAAAATATCCGGACAGCTACATATTTGCCCACACAAGCTCACACCGCATCTTTTGATCCTTACTGTCTCAAATAGTTATTTGTTTGGCCACCGTTGCATCAATCAAGGATGTTGTTCGTGCGCAATTATCAAACCAGGAGGAGAATTTACTCAAATCTAGTCGCGTCTTCCAATTAACTAGCAGTGGATCACCTACTTATTTACTCCGTACGAGAAGAGTATGTAGCTATCGAGACCATTAAAGGGTATTGAATTCAATGATATCCTACAAAACAAGACACTAAGATAAGAATGATCTGAAAATCAAAGCACCTATGGATTGTAAAACATTTGCTCCCATTTTTCCCCCACTCTGTCAGCGATAGAAAGATTGTTCCTCGACTTTAACCTGGTCCTGATGTTCACTCACAATCCTTGCTGCATGAAATGGGGGAAACTTGCCTGCGACGGCCGAAAGTTCATCCCTTGGATCTCGGTGCACTGCCGAGGGTCTTGGCTGCGAAGACCACTGTCGCTTCCCTCTTCTCGTTCCAACTTGATAAATGGTTGTCGGATCTCAATTTTGGGGGTGGCGAGTTCCCAGAAGTAGGAGTAACAGTTCATGTAGGCATGTTTAACAACGCCCTCCTCAAGGAGATCAACCTGCTGTTTAAACGAGATCATGGCAGAGTTGTAGTTAAAAGCATTTTCAAGAGCAATGCGACCAGTGTCTTTGTCGACACCCATAATCAAAAAAATAAGCCTTGGGCTTAGAGTTTGCATCAAGTCAAGGACAAGAGTGGCATCAGATGGTGAGGCATTGTGTTGGACCATCCTAACAGCCATACGGTTGTGACGCCAGATCTGATACATGTTTTCCATCATACTGACTGTTGCAAATAGCTCCATGTATTTGGGAGATGATTCAATGGCTGCTAGCTCAGCCCAAAGTGTTTTGAAAGAAATATAGTCATCAGAATTGTCAACTGGCCTGTCCAGCTTTCTCTCAGTTATCACTTCAGTCCCAGACGCTGATAATTGCGATGAGCATGGGAAAGACTCTCGAGATTCATTGCCGCTCTCTGTCCTTTTGCGCTTCTGGCGCGTAGTAACGGCTTCTGTCTTGTTGCTTTCAATGATTTTTGTGCGAATCGGAATATGCCCCTAGTTGATTCCAACAAAGTTGATAAAATCACTGGGTTGCCATTTGAACTCTATATATCTTTCGACAAATTGTTCTTCTAGACTCTGGAAGGCCATTGGTCCTGTTGAATTGCTTCATTTGCGTTGGTGGCGTCAGCGCCGGGACCAATCAAAATATTGAAGCCAAAGAGAAGACTCATCTTCTGGTATCCAGATAATTTCTGCCCTGCAAGTACAAGGCAATATCCCGAAATGTCATTGTAACCTCTAAGGAGAATCCCATACTCGCGATCGCCACGCTTCCATGCATTTTCCGTAAAACCAGGCTCGCGGAGGAAGGAATTTCTTGGTTCGTATTTGGCCAACTGAACATTAAGGGTATCAAAGGTCTTTACATGAGATGGTGCAACCACCAGACCAGCCTGGAAGAATGGTAGGTTGTTTGGGTAATCGTCGGCTAGCAACCATCCAGCATCATTATAACCCCCTGTGAAGACATAGACGCCTTTACATGTGACAAGCGTCCGCAGGTTATTCTGGTAGCAGGTAACGGTGGGTGCTTTAAGAACTCGTTCTTTGCGTACATGTGCTTGGTGATCAAAATCGTAGGTCAGGTAATGGATTCGATAATCCGCGGGTAATGTCAAAAAGGCATAAATGACACCTGCATCTGACAGGCGGACGTTCTTGGGCCTCCACTGGAGCTGGCCGACCTCTATACTATCACCCTGTGCACCGACAGTGAAGTTATCGGGAGGATTCATAATTCTCCAATTACGGAGAGAGGCGAGGTCTTTGTAGCTTGACACGATGCCTGCGTTGGATCCAGGCATATCGCCTTCTTTCCATGCAACTGGGTCGTTGCACATGTTCTCCCACTCCTGGTGAATCCACATGTGGCACCTTTCGCGCCATCGCGACAAGTCCTTTAGCCAATCCTCAAGGTTTCTGATGGAAGGGCACACCATAACACGAGCTGAAGAGGGAGGGATGGTACCGGCAGAGATGTTGGTTGATGGGTGGTTTGGAGTTGGAAGTATTCCGCTGGATATTGCAGTTTTTGGAAGGTAGAGATCCCAACAAGCAAATGGCCGATGCAAGTAAAAAGAAGATAGAAGATTGGGGTTGATAGCAAATCGGGGAAATTAATGTAAGGTTGAAGGGCAGGTGAGAGAGGTTGATGAAGATGAACGGGGAAGTTAGTGAAGAGAAAGTCAGGTGTTGGTGAGTAGATCAAAAGGCGACAAGGGAGGAAATAGAGGTGAAGGTTGTTGTATTCACTACGAAAACTAGAATATAACTCTTAATTATCAGTGGAAGCCTCAGAAATCAGAGATCGAGAGAGATAATATGCTCGTTCTTACCAAATGTTATAAACGAAGTATACAATGCCTAAAAAGGGAATCGGCTGGGCCTCGACGATCATTGGACCAAAGCTGCGTGATGGCCGCTGCGGGATGCCGTAGCTCCCCCACCAACAAACAGCTTCCTAGCTGTCTCTTGATTCCTCTCATTTCACTTCTTTTTTTACCTTCTGCAATACACGGAGCGTCCTATCGTTTACAGTCCCATTTTAGACTTACTCATCATGGGTTCGTTGGGACTAAGTAGTGATGGTGCTGCCTATCGGTCTCGTGGGTACCAGCTCGAAATGTTAGAGGCTAGCCGCAAAGAGAATATCATTGTCGCGGTATGTTTTCTCCGGATCTGAGAAGATTTTAGATGATCCTGACTTTTAATAGATGGACACGGGGAGTGGAAAGACTCATATGCACGTTTATAGGTGACGCCTCCTTTGTCGGCACATTTTCCTGACTTCGTTTTAGTGCCATTCTTCGGATTATAGATGAACTTGAGAACTGTAATTCTCCAGATAAAGTGAAAAAAGTTCGTTGAATCTTAGATTTATTCTCAGCTCACATGTATCACAGCTTATCTGGTTTCTTGCCCCGACTGTGGCATTGAGCCTTCAACAACACGAAGTTATCACTAGCCAGATCCTCTCTGTGAAAACTAAAGTTCTAACTGGCCTGGATAATGTCGATCGATGGACTGAACAGGGTGTTTGGGACAAAGTTCTCAAGGATGTCCGCGTGGTTGTCTCAACATATGCTGTCCTTGCTGATGCTTTGGGTCATGGTTTTGTTCGCATGTCCCGACTTGCTCTCCTCATCTTTGATGAGGGTACGTGACACGTCTCAACGCAACCAGAATTCGGACTAACACAAGATATAATATAGCTCATCATTGCACGAGACGCCATCCGGCGAACAAGATTATGCAAAATCACTATCATCCTACTCTGCTGAGGTCGGGCCCAAATGCTGTACCTCGGATATTAGGACTCACTGCCAGCCCAGTGGTACGTTCGAGCCAGAACGAGCTTGAGTTAGTCCACCTACCCCGTGAAAAGTGTCTCCAGAAACTGACCACCTTCCCCAGAACAATCGAATCCAACTTGAACGCAGTATGCAAGACTCCACGTGTCCACCGCAGTGAGCTTTTGGAAAATACCCATCGCCCTCATCTAGAGCGTGTCAATTACATACCTTTTGATGAAGCACAGTATGGCTTTGGGAGCCGACTGCTTTCATCTCTGATAGAATGCTGCAGGGCATATAACATAGAAGATGATCCTTGGATCGATTCATTACGATCAAAGAGTCAGGCTGTGGAGCTGGCGAAGGCTCTCACTACAGGTAAAACCTTCTGTAGCGAGCAACTGAGGATATTCCAGGCGCGTAGCCGTCACATTTATGAGGAACTGGGAGGTTGGGCGGCGGACTTCTTCATCGGCGCTTCAATTGACCAACTTGAGCGTTCAATCCAAGATACAAGTGAGATGTCACATTTGGACCGGGAGGAAAGGATTTACCTCTTGGAGCTTCTGCATGCAATACCTGCACCAAATCTAGATGAGGAGAGTTATCACATATCCATCAAGCTTGAAATGCTTATCAACTTCCTCGAAAAAACGGATAGGCCTGGGTTTTCTGGGCTACTCTTCGCAAAACAGAGAGCAACTGTTAGTGTCTTGGCTCGCATTTTATCACTTCATCCCAAGACCAGAGATCGCTTCCAGTGTGCCGCTTTTGTTGGTTGGTCGAGCGATAGAAATCGCAAAGGTTGTCTCGGTGACCTTCTTCATCGGGATATGCAACGAGATACTCTCGAGGAGTTCAGAGCCGGCCGCAAAAATCTCATTGTCGCCACTGATGTTCTCGAAGAAGGGATTGACATAAGCGCGTGCAGTTTGGTTATCTGCTTTGACAAGCCTGCAAACCTGAAGTCCTTTGTCCAGCGGCGTGGGCGTGCTCGTCATAAAGAATCTACATTTGCTATCATGATCTCAAATGACGATGAGTTGTTGAGTCTTCATAAATGGCAGGAATTAGAGCAAGCTATGATTAAAGCATATCAGGATGATGAGCGACAGCGTCGGGATGCTTATGAACTCGAAGCCACCCAGGAGGTCGTGAAAGAGAGACTCTTGGTGGAAAAGACCAGGTATGGGCAATCCAAGCCTTTGCTTCATATCTACTAACATAGTTTGGTAGTGCTCTGTTGACGGCGGACGACGCAGTGCAGCATTTGCATCACTTTTGCGATGTATTACCAGTGGATGAGTATTCCGACAACAGACCAATGTTCTCTTTTGAAGAGAACAGTATGGGATTACTTTTAGGTACGGTCACGCTACCAAATTCTGTACATCCGACGGTTCGACGGATATCGGGGAAATCCTGGTGGCAGACAGAGCGGGCAGCCAGAAAAGAGACTGCATTTCAAGCATACAAAGCTTTGTATTTTTATGGTTTAGTCAACGACAATCTCTTGCCATTGACGCGAAAACCAGAGTTGAGATTCTCGGAACAGACGACTCTTCCATCTATTATCCCAGCTGCTGAACAGTATGATCCTTATGTAGAGCTTGCACAAGGCTGGGCTGCGGGTCAACTGTGCCAGACACGCTTGAAGATATGCAGTAATGGTTCTGTCGATAACGATTTGGCTGTCTCCTTAATCTTGCCAAGATTGACCCCAACACTGCACCCCATTACTCTCTACTGGGAACCAGAAACCTCCTTGCAAGTCTACTTTGATCCGCAAATTTCGGCTTTTGAGACGACAGCAGAGACACTGGATCAAATGAGAAGGATCACAGCCCTCTATCTACAAGCTCCCAGCTCGCGCCAACGAGGAGATGACCGCGACTTCGTGGCTCTCTTCGTCCCCGATATTTCACACGAACAACTGGGAGAATGGCTTTCGGCGTACGAAGGGAAAGAGCCTGCATTGGAAGTCTACTCAGGGGATCCAACTTCGCCGCCTACGGGTATCGTCCGTGACCAGTCAAAATTCAGTGAGCCGCGGACATTCATTAAATGGATTGTTCCAGCCGAGGTAACGAAGTCATCGCCTATTGAAATAGAATGTTCATCACTTCCCCGTCGACGGAATTTCCTACAAGTGCAAGCGATAAATATTGCCGAAGATGCAGAGGCAGATGCACCAAAGAAGTCTTACTTTGTACCTGCTTCAGCTTGCATCATCGACAAGCTCCCAGCAAAACAGGCCCTCTTTGGACTTTTTATCTCTGCTATTTTGGATCGGCTAGAGGCATCTTTGGTCGCACATCGATTGAATGATACCATTTTGAAAGGAGTTGGAATCCAAAATATCGACCATGTCATTACGGCTATCAGCGCGCCCATTGCGCAGGCCAGTACCAACTATCAGAGATACGAGTTCTTTGGTGACTCTGTTCTCAAATTTACCGTTAGTTGCCAGCTCTTTTTCCGGAACACCAACTGGCACGAGGGGTACCTCTCAGAGAGCCGTGACAAACTTATTCAAAACACTCGCCTTGCTCGTGCAGCTCTCGACACTGGCATTGACTGCTTCGTCTTGACGAGCCGGTTCACTCCTCGAAAATGGGTTGCACCGTTGATCAGGAACAAGTTGGAACCATCAACAGCCAAGAGAAACATATCAACCAAGGTCCTGGCAGATGTAGTCGAATCCCTCATTGGCGCAGCATACATAGACGGTGGAATACGTAAAGCGCAAGCCTGTCTCCATCGTTTCTTGCCCGAGATCGATCTCTTCACAAATGATATTTCACCCCTCATCCTCCCAGCAGGCAAAGGCGTGAGCAACCTAATCAACCACCATCAGTTGGCCGGTCTGATTGGGTACACTTTCAAAGATCCAGCTCTTCTAACAGAGGCGCTCACCCACGCATCCTGCGAATACGATACATCAACACAATCCTACCAACGCCTCGAGTTCCTCGGTGACGCCGTCCTAGACATGGTCGTCATGGTAGTGATAGCAGCCCACCCCGTGGAAATGGATCAAGGTCCAATGACATTGCTCAAACATTCCGTCGTGAATGCGAACCTCCTCGCGTTCTTTTGCATGGAGCTATCCGCACCAGACGACCCGACCAACATCGGCAAAACCAAGCATGTACAGCACTGTGACCAGATCCATTTATGGCGCTTCCTCCGCTCTCACGGCCCTAACATCACATTAGCCAAGAAAGCTTGTCTAGAGCGGCACGCAGGTCTCCGTGGTGAGATCCGCGATGCCCTGGAACACGGAAGCCAGTACCCGTGGGAATTATTCGCGCGTCTGCGTGCGGATAAATTCCTGTCGGATATCATTGAGAGTGTGCTTGGGGCGATCTTCATTGACTGCGGTGGGGATCTGGATGTATGTCATGCATTCGTTGAACGTATCGGTCTCGTGTGGTATATCCAGCGTGTTATTGCGGACGGCGTTAATGTCGTTCACCCACGGAACATCGCGCAGAATATGGTGAAGGGAGCAGGTACCCTAGTCTTTAAGAGGAAGAGGGTCGAGTCTGGAGGTGTGGCTACGTACCGGTGCTCTGCAGTGGTCAATCAGACTGAGATTGCGCTGGTAGAGGGTTGTGCTTCTGCTGAAGAGGCCGAGGTTAAGGTTGCCAATGTTGCCATTGAACACCTGACATTTCACCCAGTGGTTTAGTTTTTGCGTGAACTTGAGGCCAATGGCTTGGGAAATTGGCGTGCTCTGATGATCTGCATGATTTCGGTTTAAGATTTTGGATTTTGCTCAGATAGATACCATGTGAGAGGTCTTGTATTTTGGACTACCTTGAGTGACACCATAAGCAATGCAGCTAATTGGCAGTTCCGAATAAACAACGTAGCGAAAGATGATCTACTGTGCCTTGCCGGCCTTTGCACCGCGCTTGGACCGCCGCACAGGGGCGGGTTCGGGTTCCTCCTCCATCTGCCCCTCCCCATCAGAACCAAGTGAGTCCACTTGTTCCTCTTCACTTGAAGCCGCCATCACGCCCTCTTCCATGTCCTCGGAGGACTGGGTATCCGTCTCAGCCTTCGACATGGGCTCCCAAGTTCCCTCTGGCACAGCATCTTGACGCAAGCTACTGAGGATCTTTGTTGTCTCGCTTTCTACACCATTCCAAGCTCGACAGCTACCACATAGCCATCGGCCCAACTCTTCGGGTGTCTTGATCCCAGGGGGTGCTTGGCCGTTCACGAGCCGACACGCGCTACACATCATGACCATCCGGTTGCGGGGTTGGGTTTCATCTTCTCCTAACAGAACGTCCAACAGACGGTCGTACCAATGTGGTTGTTCGCTCGATTCGCCGTTCTGAGTGAATGCGTTTGGTGCAAAGCCGGGTTGCTCGATGGGTATTTGAGGAGGTGAGAAAGAGGGCGGCGGTGGAGTTTGCGGGGTGCCCTGGGCTAGCTCGAGAGGAGGGGAAGGAGAACTGGGGTGTGGCAGGTCGTTCGGGTTTTGCGAAGTGGAGGGAGGACGGCGGATATTGGCAGTGGGCGGCGGCGGGAGACCAGTGCGGGTGACATGCTGTAGCTGCTGGGCAGGAGTGCGTTTCTCGTCCTGACCCTTTGGGCCCGGGGATGGCTTGGGAGATTCACCACCGTACTTCTCTAACAGTTGCTGGGTGGAATTGTACTTGGTTGCGACCTTGAGCTTTTCGATGGTCTCCTCGCGCTGTTTATGGAAGTCGTCGAGGCGGCGTTGGAGGCGGGAAATTCGGTATTCGAAGATTCGGGAGCTAAGATTCCGTACACCGTAGATCCTGGAGGAACAAAAGCTAAATGTTAGCGATGTGGAAACGTGCAGATTGAGGAAAGACGTACAGGACCGGCCCGCCCGCGATAGCTGCATATTCCTTGACTCCCCAGCTCTCCCACCCCAATACCAGGGCGAGAATGATGGAGTAGAACAGATAGGCGAATGTCGAGTAGAGGGTCCAGAGAGCCTTGATGCGCCGGGAAGACTGACGTTGCTGGTCGAGTAGCGCGGTGGTCTGGGTGATTTTAGTCGATAGGGTGGATAGGGTCTTCTCAAAAGAAGCCGCAGAGTTGTCATCGCCCTGGGTATAATGTTAGCTGCAGTGAAACAAAATAACTAATGAAAATATAGCTTACCTTCCAGGGCCAAAAAGAAACCATTATTGTATATGCATGGTATGCCTGTGAACTGAGAAGGAGAAGCTCGACTGCCGAGCTGTTCCAAGTTTAGAAGGCGATACGCACGGGCCACGTCGTCGGAGTGGCTCCAACATTTGGAATCTAGTCTAAATAGGGGGTAATTGCATTTTGTTTCTTTGTTTCATTGCGCATGAGTATCTTGGATATCATTTCACAGATTCTAGCTATTTATTTTTGTGGAGTTTCTCTTTCTATGACTTGGCGAGGGTGTTTCCAAGCTCAGCAGCCCGAGCAGTGGCAGCCTGGACAGCCTTGTCGACGATGTCTTTAAAGTTGAGAGACTCGAATGTCTGGAGAGCTGCATGCGTGGTGCCGTTAGGGCTAGTCACATTCTTACGCAGCTGAGTTGGGCCGTCGGAGCTCTCAACCAACATCTTGCCAGCACCGAGACATGTCTGTGCAGCCAACCGAGTGGCTTGTTCTTCGGGGAGGCCCAGAGCAGTTGCACTTGCAATCAGATGCTCAACCATAGCAAAGAAGTAGGCAGGTCCAGATCCTGATTAGGTTAGATTAATACGCGTTGGTGACATGCCATATGACTTTTGATGCAGGAGACTTACCGGACAATCCAGTGACGACATCGAGAAGTTCTTCACGGTCCACCCACTCGGTAGCCTTGCTAACGCTTCCGAGCATAGCATTCACAAGCTCCTTCTCCTCCGATGTGACATCTGCGCTGGCGAAAGCACCGGAAGCACCTTCACCAACAAGGGCGGGGGTGTTGGGCATCACGCGGACAGTGTGGGCCGTGCGGCTATCGCTTGTGGTCAACCACTCCCTCAAGCTGTCAAGGGAAATACCCGCAGCGATGCTAACGACAACGGGCAAAGTCGCGCGCGGCGACCAGGCACCACCGAGCTCCTCGCACACGCCCTTGGTAACTTGGGGCTTGACAGCAATGATGACCAAATCAGCATCACCTCCAGCCTCGACGTTAGAAGTGGTGGTGCGCACTCCAAGTGCAGCCATCTTCTCGCGGTTGACATCCCACGGCTCAGAGACGCAGATATTCTGCTTGTTGACGCCTTTACTCAACAGGCCACCAATGATGGCGGAGGCCATGTTGCCACCGCCAATGAAGGCCAATTTGCTCGCTTGAAGGGATGGCATTGTATAGAAATAGCTGAAAGGTTCCAGGGTGTTGTACTGCGCAAGTGAGTAATTGGGCCCCGGGGGAGTCCCGCACTTATGTAAAATTTTGGTGGGGCACCCGAGGACCTATATGGCCGCTGTCGCACCGACCCAATATTGGAGAAAAGACGTTTATCGTTTCGCTTTCTATCTTTTCTATCAGATATTCTCCTATTTTAGGGTCAACTATAATTGCGACTACAAGCAGGTATGCTTGTATACTTTTCGTGGCAACTATATGAACTGTGTCATATAGGCATATACAATACAACATAGATTGTGGTAAATCTACCTCTATGGAGCATGCGGGGAACTGACGAGAATGATTCATGTTAATTGCTTCTAATATATACACATTCTAAAATCCAACATCCTATGACTTCTTTTAGCAAAATATGTGCTACAATTAGATCTCATTTATCCTTTACTACCTAGCCTAGGCTAATTTAATGGCCTTCTATCACACTAAAACCCTAAATAACGCCTTATTGGCATCAGTGTACTATGGGAAATAAAGTAACATTTACAAAGTACTTATATATTTCCGATTACAAACATTGGCCCGATTTGTGGGTACTTAGCAATGAAATTGAAGGCTCTGGCTCATATAGTACAGGTACAAATCATAATATCTCATAAAAATGGACAAAAACTAAAATACAAAAACTGAATTAATCATTCGTAGCTCGTGATAGTGTACAGGGGTATCAATTAGTAGACACGGTGTGAGCCGCGTCCATCAGTGCCATGCATGCGGCGGGTTCCAGCAGCCTAGTTTTAAAATGTTAGCTCGAGTCCAAGTGGAACCAGATTCATTCAGTTCGTACCTTGACTGCAGGGCGATGGGTCAAACTTCCTTTCAGCTTCAACATAGCACCAGAGAATTTGTCGCCCATGGAGGGTTTGCGCTGATGGCGAGTATGGGTAGCTGTTCCAGTTCCATAGGCGTTTCTATGACCAAGACGACCTCCAGTAGGACCTCTTTTAGCTGAATGGCTAGTATGGCCAGTATGGCCAGTATAGGCTGGATTTGGGTGTGTTGTAGTTGTGGTTTTGACGGTGCGCGATTTCGCATTTCGCCCCTTGAGTTTGGTCATCAACGTAGGCTTGGTGGTGCGAGTGGTTACGGTAGCTGGGCGACGTCGGTGAAACATTGTGATAGATTGAGGAAATATGAAGTTTGATATGAAGTTTGATGTAGAAGGTATGTTGTATACAAGATTGTAGACAGTTGATTTGTATTGATGATGGTCCAAGGTTAGGTGGACATCAGGGTCTTTATATAAGCTTCAGAGATAGCCCTAGAGTGGTCCCTGTGTCCACGTTGATGACGGACAAACAAAACGTACCTAAGCATCATGTCGCCTTTGAAGATAACACACAGGAGAGATTGACGAAGAGGCGCTCACCCGCACGTCATCCGAAGGACGATCTTCTCTATGTGTCTCCAGTTAACTCGCACAGGCCAGGAGACAAAATTCTACCCAAAATAACAACACATGTTATTGGCAGATATTCCTTGCAGATCTAAAAGGGAGACAGGGGTATATACTGATATTACGTCTCACTGATGGCAGGATGAACAAGATTTTGACATGACGAGACTTGAGTTGTGAAAGCCTGCAGGTTGTATGTCAAATGATGAGACTCGGCATGATGTCACTGGAATGCTGGTCTGTGCGCTAACAAGACGTCCATGGATCCCATCCATGTAGTACCTGTGATACAAAGTACATTCCAAAAGGTCGTCGATATTAACAACATTATTAGAACCCTCAACTATCTTACTCCAGTGCTGAGTTTTATATAGAAAATAATGGGCGGAGCTATATAGAATGCTGGAAAATGATCTTCATTTGACAGTGGCCACTAGACTTCAGATATATATTGTGTCTGAAGTTTAAAAAATATTTTTTGTAATCTCTTGTGATCTGCTTATAGCTTGACAAATTGTAGCTCATTCATTAGTATAGATGATATCTTGTTTTCTTGCAAATTTTAATGCCCTAGTCCCCTGTATTCCTTTTCTATTAGTGTTGCGTGTTGCTAACTGGTCATACTACAAAGTAGTTATCTGTGTTAGAAGCTACCCGGGCTATTCTTGCCTTGTTCTTGTATAGCTTGTACACGGCTGCCTAGCAGGATTTGCTGCGGGTTAACTTCTTTGATGTATCAAGGAACGGCACCAGGCAGAGCGTTGAAAACGTCAGCAGCGAACTACACAGCTCCCCGATTGGTGGTGTGAAGTGAGAAGCAAGTAGTTAGACAGTGTAGACGAATGAGAACGACATGTAAAAAAATTTAATTGATTCCGAAAACCTAAAATAGATACACCAATGAACATTTATTATTATGTATGTCCTGGATTTTTCGATTTGTATATATAGCACAGATTCAACTTGGCGATAGGACCGTCCTATTCTTTATATATCCAATTGAGTAGCTCTGAACGAAGCTACCTACATAGTTATGTATCCATGGATAAAATCGCATAAGCTGCACCTAATCAAAATATATCAATTAGTCATGAACCTTGGAATCATGCAACGTTATGACATATTAGAAATCACAATTTCAGTAACTCAGAGACCAATATGAAACAATGTAGATGGACACGGATTCAACAAATTCTTTGCAGAAAGGGAAGAGGTCAATCATCATAGAGACTATACTGTGGACTGCGGGGGGAACAGGGGGCATGCGCATATTTCAAGGGTCAATTCTTACCTTTGACCAGTCGGAGAACTCCCCCAAGTGGGGGGGACTGATAGTAGGTGGCGGGAAGTATCAGGCATTTGTGTTAGCCACTCGTGTCTGGAGTTCCTGCGGCTGTAGCGAGTTAGATTCTGCATAAAATGGCGATTTGTTTTTCCATTGGCAGCGATCGCTGTCTGTTAGTTAATAGACGCAATTGGAGGGCAATGGGTGGATTCCTCCACACCCGTCTTGAAATGAGGTATGCCAAAAATGGTAGCATATCATTGTTGTGTGACTTCCTATAACTTTCAAGGAGATTTAGAGGTAAACACAGAATGCCCCTGAGTGCTCTTAAATACTTGTTCCTGACAGGGCTAGGGCATCGGCCCTATTCAGAAATTTACATAGAGAAATTTATTATGGAGAATATTATGGAGTATGTTGTCATTGATGGAGCCGTCTGACGATGATGTACCCACCACGAATATGTTAAGAACCCCTGTTCCATATGTGTATATAACTATTGGGTCAATCTGACAACAGAAAGAGATGATTGTGCCCGGGTGCGATTTCGAAATTCCATTATCTGATTTTTCAGCGGCTATCTGATCAATGCCTAGCAAATTTACATACGTACATATGTATTTAGCATCGACTAGATAGAATATCGTGCTGAGCTCCACGTGGTTGAAGGGGATCCGTGGATACTTTGTAGGTGGACTCTTCAGGGCAGTCATGAATAATTTCGTGGTTGACCAATTGGCCAAATTAAGCGCCTTTTATATTGGAAAGCGGCTAAAATAGGAAAGCCCCACCCAGGGGAAATATAGTGACGTAAGTACTAGACCTGTGGACCGCGGGACTCATATTTCACCATGAACATCTCCATTAGCTGTATAAGCTGTGGGAGTGCTTGGAATCAATATCACTAATATTGCCAGGAAAAATTGCATACAAAGTATGGATATACTCATTCAACAGGTGTTCTACATGTGATAAGCTCCTTGCCTCCCATCGACTCTCTATCGCTAGCACACACACGACCTCTTGTCATTGTCTCATCGATGTCGAAACAGCTTAGAGACTCTCTAGCATCTACAAAGTAGGGTGTTAGATGGTGGGATGTGTCGCATCAGCTGATCTCCTCACTCAGACCCGTGGATTGATCAATTACCGCGTTCGAATCCCGCGACTTCCTGGGATGCCGAAAGGTCATACCGCCAGCTCCTCGGGGTTATTTATTGGTGTTTCATGTGGCGGAAAATGAGGGGGATTTCGGTACCCCGCCGCCAAGACCTAACATTTGAGACAGGATGACTGAAATACGACAAGAACGGAATCTACTGCAGGGATCGCCCAAAAAATGCCGTTTGGAGAAAATTAGAACAAAGAAATACATGGAGGGCTGCATATAGCATTGAGGCTATTCTAGTGGCACCTCGGGTAACCAATTGCGATTTTTGGATGCTTCCACGACACCCACTGTATAAATACGTGTCAAGCACTTCACCCATGAGGGCGCGAGTGGCTCTATTTCAATCGCTGATTTTCACCTGTCTAATCCCAATCCTGTAGTATTGAAAGTTCAAGTTACTCAAAATGACCGCCCCCAACACATTAGATTTTTCGGTGAGTTTCTAAAAGCTTTATGACGCCATCCCAGTACTTATCTCTACCGAACAGACCTTCCATAATGTGATCAATAATCAATTGACCACGACATCGGAAACTCGGCATGGGATCAACCCTGCCAACACTGAGCCTAATCCACCCGTACCTGTTTCTACCCAGGATGATCTTGACAAGGCTGTGAAGGCGGCTCAAGATGCTTTCAAGGGCTGGGCCAAGACCTCTTTTGAAGAGCGACGTAAAGCTCTGCATGCCTGGGCCGATGCCATCGAAGCTAATGCCGATGGATTCGCACAAACCCTCACAATGGAACAAGGAAAGCCATTGACTCAAGCATCTGCGGAGGTAGGTATGGCAGGTACATGGATCCGCGGCCTTGCTGCTATTGAGATTCCCGAAAATGTCATCGAGGAAACCGAAGATAGGAAGATTGTTCAGCGCTATACACCCATCGGCGTGGTGGGCGCCATTGTCCCCTGGAATTTCCCTGTCCTTCTGGCCGTCGGCAAAATCGCCTCTGCTATATACACCGGAAACCCCATTATTGTGAAGCCGTCTCCTTTCACGCCTTATTGCGGCTTGAAGTTGGTTGAGCTTGCCTCTAAATTCCTCCCTCCTGGCGTGATACAATGCCTGAGCGGCGATGAATCCCTCGGCCCATTGTTCACTGCTCACCCTGGAATTGAAAAGATCAGCTTTACTGGGTCGATTACGACTGGAAAGCGCGTTATGGCTGCATGTGCTGCCTCTCTCAAGCGAGTTACACTCGAGCTGGGCGGCAATGACCCGGCAATTATATGCGACGATGTTGATATCGATGCTGTTATTCCCAAGGTTGGGGTCCTGTCATATCTCTGCAGCTCGCAGATCTGCATGATGATCAAACGACTTTATGTGCACGAGAAGATCTATGATGAGTTCTTGGAAAAATTAGTCGCGTTTGTGAAGACACTGAAAGTCGGCAATGGCACAGAGGCAGATACCTTCTTCGGCCCCGTTCAAAATCAGATGCAATATGAGAAAGCCAAAGACCTGCTCAGCAGCATTGGTACTGAAAACCTGAAAACTGCGCTTGGAGGCTCGATCGAGAGCTCTTCTGGGTACTACATCCATCCTACCATTATCGATAATCCCCCCGAGACATCGCGCGTGGTACAGGAAGAGCCGTTTGCTCCCATCCTGCCTGTTATGAAATGGTCTGACGAGGACGAGGTCCTTGAGCGTGCGAATGCACTAGACACCGGATTGGGTTCTTCTGTCTGGAGTAAGGATTTCGAACGCGCAACTCGCATGGCAGATCAACTCCAGTCCGGTATTGTGTGGGTAAACAGCCACTTTGATGTGGCGCCGAATGCACCCTTTGGTGGCCACAAGCAGAGTGGCATGGGTGTGGAATGGGGTCTTGAAGGCCTGCTTGGTTACTGCAATTCGCAGACTCTGTGGCTGAAAAAGACTGTCTAGTTTATAGTTTAGTTTCTAGTTTTGGATAAGCTGTTTCAATGTTGACACCACCAAAGTTGGAAGACTTGGGTTCAGATACCGAGACTCTCCCTGTCAGGGGAAATATGTAAATTCCAATATTAATTTGTTATCTTATCGCGCCCCTGGATGCGGATTTTTTGGTCCATCGGCAGACTCCGTCTACGCTGTTTTTCGTCTAACGAGGGGGTATCAAATCTGACGATATAAGTTCACAGTTATTCCAGGTTATGCTGCATGAATTTTAGGAATTTGACCAGGAGCCTCTTTGATATCCACTACCATTTACTTTCAGACGATCCACCATGCTGTACACCCATGCCACTGTGGTGACCGTCGATGCTTCACGCCGCATAATTATCGACGGAGCAATCCGCGTAGTCGGCGATGTCATTGCAGATATTGGCAAGACAGATATCCTCAAGGGAAAGTATGCGACCGATGAAGAGTGCGATCTCTCCGGTCGAATTATCATTCCAGGATTGATCTCGACACATATGCATACAGCACAGACGTTGCTACGAGGTGCAGCCGACGACCTCGAGCTGGTGTCGTGGTTATGCGAGAGGATCTGGGTTCTTCAGGGTAACTTTACGGCGGAGGACGGGTACGCTGCTGCACGACTGAGTATTGGGGAGATGCTTAAATCAGGAACCACCTGCTTTTTGGAGAGCATGGTATTATGACCCTTGGATATCATCAACTACCCATAATCTGACATAAATACAGTTTGCGGATCGATATGGCTTTGACGGGCTATGTCGCGCCGTTGAGGAGAGTGGCATCCGTGGCTGTCTAGGTAAGATAGTCATGGATATTGCGAAATATGCCAAAGACGACGCCTGGGCCATGCATCCTGGTCTGGTTGAGAATCGTGAAACCTCATTGCTTGGAACTGTTAAGATGTGGGAAAAGTGGAATGGTGCAGCCGATGATAGAATTAGAGTCTGGTTTGGCGCCAGGACTCCCGGAGGGTATGAGAAGATACTGTCATTGAGTATCACCTGCTAATTTAGACTAGAGTATCGGACGCACTTTATAAAGAAATGACTACCATTTCCAAAGATAAGGGTATACCCATTACCATGCATTGCGCTGAGGTCAAGGCCGATCGTGACTTTTTCGCTTCGGTCTCGCACACCCCGATGTCATATTGCAAATCCGTTGGTTTGCTGAGTGACACCACCGTCCTCGTCCATATGGTTCATTTGGATGACTCGGACATTGAGTAGGATATCAAATATTTATGAACTGATGCAATGGAGGCTGACAATAGGACACAGACTCCTTTCTGCTTCTGGGACACATGTCGCACACTGCCCAACATCTAATGCGAAGGTAAGTTACCTTGTTAGTCTGATTCATGCACATGCAGGACTTAAGGATCTGACGCCATTTAGCTTGCATCCGGAACCTGCAGGGTGCCAGATCTCCAAAATGCCGGAGTCAATATTGGGCTGGGTACCGATGGCGCTCCGTGTAATAATACCTGTGATCTCTTGCAGGAGATGAAACTCGCTGGTATCATTCACAAGGGGATCTCGCAGGATCCCACCGTAGTTCCAGCCGAAAATGTGCTGGAGATGGCTACAATCAATGGTGCCAAGGCACTGGGCTTAGATGACAAGATCGGCAGCCTGGAAATTGGTAAGAAGGCTGACTTTGTGGCCATTGATGTTCGAGGGATCCACACCCAGCCTTGGTTTAACCCAGTCAGTGCAGTTGTTTACACTGCAACTGGGCGAGATGTTGAAGTTGTTGTGGTAAATGGGAAGATTGTTGTCAAGAACGGAGTGCTCATGACGATGGATGAGGAGGAGATTGTACAGGAAGCACAAAGAAGAAGCAAAGAGGTAGTGGAAAGAGCTGGGCTAGGCAAGAAGATTCAGGGCCGCTGGCCGATAGAGTGATCGAACGAAAATTCACATTTCATGATGTTTTCATTTCATTTCGTCCATGCAGGGAAAATGTCTATGTACAGCTCTATGATTCAGGTCATGTCCACATTCCATCGCGATTTCAGTCATCAAGATATTCAGTTCTCACAGGAGATCACGCAAGGCCTCGCCCAAAGCCATAATGGCCATGGCCTGACCATAAGGCATCGAGGTCAATGGAATCTTTCTGTAAAAGTCAAGACAGTCACCCATTCCGGTGCCAAAGCTGGTATTCTGCAGTTCTCCTTTCTCATCCACGTATCCCATCACCGCAATGATGGCCTTCTCTGCAACTGGCCGGTACTGGGCACCGATGTAACGTTTCCGAACGGCCTTGAGGATGCCGTAGGCAAATCCAGCGGTTGCGGAGGATTCCAAATACGAGTCTGGGTGGTCAAGGAGTGTGTGCCACGCGCCAGACGATGACTGAAGACGAGCCAGAGCCTCACACTGAGCTTCAAGAGTATCAATCAGGTGAAGACGAATAGGGTCATTTGGCTGGAGGTCGAGTAACTCGATGATCTCTGGAATGACGATTGTGACCCAGCTGTTGCCACGAGCCCATCGGGCATCTGCAAAGTTGTGTCCGCCATCCTCAAACGTCCATCCGTGGAACCAGAGACCGGTCTTTGTATCGAAAAGATATTTGATGTGAGTAAGGAATTGCTTCTTCGCCTCTTCGATATATTGGGGTCGGTTCAAAAGCTTTCCGATCTTCGCTAGTGGCATGACAGTCATCATCAAAGTATCGTCCCAGAGCTGCTGGTAATTCTCTGTGATGTACGTCATATGCTGCATGCCGCCGTAGCGAGTGCGGGGGAGCTCGTACATCGCCCACTCAGCCCATGCATCGAGCCACGGCAGGTAGATAACATTGCCTGTCTTCTCATAAACATAGGCAAGAGTCAAAAAGACGGCCATCGTGTTGATGTTCTTGGTGGTGCCACCTTCGGCAAAACGTGCAGCGAACCAGTCTTCAATGATGCGCAACAATCTCTCGTCGCCCGTCAGCTCGTAGTACTTCCACACGCCGTACAGTCCAATCCCGTGTGTCCACTCCCAGCCCTGCCATGATTTGGTATCAATAATGCGCCCATCAGGAAGGGGCAGCAGGAATCTTCCTGTCTCATCTTTGATGTTGACTAAATTGTCAATTAACAGGTTGACGGCCTTGTGAATTTCAGGGGCCGTGGGCTTCGGGGGCGACATTGTGTGATGATGGGAGACTGTGTATTCGACGAATGAGATTTTCCACGACTTTTTGTCCGGGAAACAAAATAATATGTTCTCCCAAAAGAGTTTAATACTAAGAAGTGTTGGTGGAAGTTCTTCCACTAATGAGCTCTAGAGTCACACGCCACGATGCATCCCCGCGCGGACTAAGCGTCATTCGGGTGAGAGAAGACCGAGCTCTAAACCGCAAAAATACCTTGAAACTGCATTCAGCCAGTCCCACCGGGATAAGCGAGTTGTTTTCGGCCACCGGGGTAGTAGATCCCCGGACTCCCCAGCGTGGGGGAGTACCCTAGCGTCCCGTCTCCTCCTTTGCCAAGAAAGCCGGGGAAACGAAGCAGACGGATGTGACTGCTTGACTCGGTTTAACTCGGTTTGACAACAGGTTGATACGATCGGCCCTTTTATTAAAAATCCACATGACTCTTTCATTCGGCTAATCACATTCCATGCGGTTAGGGCGACTTCTGATTTGGGATCATGCATGGCCCTAAAAGCAACAGCACACAGCTATTATAAGTCCGAGCGAATATCCCGCTTCCTTGTACCCTTACCCCCTCGCGAATTACACTTTTCCATCTACTATCTTTCATTTTGATATGGCTGAGGGCAAAGACGAACCCCAGCAGGGGATTGAGAGAGCTCCCGATGGGGGAATCGAGGTAGCGCATGAGAAGCATCCACAAGTCGACATGGGAGAGTATCAGAACAAGCAAGATATCTCGCATGTCGAAAAGGTTCTCTCCGGCGATGACCTCGTAAAGGATACCATGGATTTCTCCCGTGTGGACAAGGAAATCCAAGCATATGCCGCACACAGTCAAGTGGAAATCGACGAGGCCACCAATAATCGTCTCAAACGCCTAATCGATCGCCGTGTCCTTGTTATCATGATCTTTACATATTTCCTACAGGCTCTGGACAAGGGAACCATGTCGTTCTCGGCTATTATGGGGATTAGGAAGGACCTGGACCTGGATGACGGGCAGAAGGTATGCGATACTTGTTGAACTTTCATCTCCATCAACATGCTGAATTAGTTTCCATCTATAGTACTCCTGGTTGACTACGTGTATTTACATCGCTGTTCTCACCGTCGAATACCCCACCAATTGGATCATCCAAAGAGTCCCCATCGGAAAGTACTTGGGCATCAATATCTGCCTATGGGGTATGATTCTGACACTCCATGCAACCTGTAAGAACTTTACTGGGTTGGTTGTTGTCCGTACCCTACTGGGTATTTTTGAGGCTTGCTGTCAGCCCATTTTCGTGACTCTTTCTGCGATGTGGTATAAACGAGAGGAACAAGCGGCCACGGTAACCTACTGGTATGTGGATACTTGTCTCCTAGAGAAGTAAGGTTGACCTAACAATGAGATAGGTACATGATGAACGGCGCACAGCAGATTGTCGGTGGCCTATTGGCGTACTGCTTTACCCTTATTGGAGAAGACAAGGTTCTCAAGTCTTGGCAAGCACTCTTCATGACATATGGAATAATCTCCGTTTTCTGGGGACTCTTTGTCATTTGGTGGATGCCTGACTCTCCCATGCGTGCGAAGTGCTTCAGCGAGGAAGACAAACGTCTCATGGTAGAGCGCCTTCGTACCAATCAGACAGGCATTCAGAACAAACAGTTTCATGCATACCAGATGTGGGAGGCGTTCCGCGATCCCCAGATGTATTGCTATTGTGCTGTTCAAATGTTCACCACTCTCCCTACCAGCGGTCTAGGTGCATTCTTCGGCATCGTTGTCTCGAGTTTCGACTTTAGTGTACTGGAAACTCAGCTGCTTGCCATGGTGCTAGGTTTTTATATCATTGTTGTTCTGTTGTCTGGTGCGTGGCTGGTGAACAAGTTCAAACAGAACACGCTCGTGATGTTGGGCTTCATCATTCCGTAAGTATTTATCCTTGCTCAATTTGTATCGAGGCCAGACTAACAGTTTGCAGGTCCTTCATCGGAACTATTGTCCTTATAACCGTTGAAAACACTACTTTGTCCACCAAGGTGGGCCTTCTTATCAGTTACTACATCACGATGTCATTCTGGTCGGCGCAAACTCTCACATTATCGATGGTGTCACGAAATATTGCTGGTCAAACAAAGAAGTCCACCGTAATCGCTGCAACATTCGTGTCATGGGCTGCCGGCAACGCAATTGGTGAGTATCTCCCATACCCTGTGAAGAAGTTCAGTTCCCAGCTAACAAAAATAAAAGGTCCTCAAGTTTTCCTCGACACTGACAAACCACGGTACCACATTGCCTGGAGTGTTCATCTGGCTTGCTATTCCTGCATGGTTTGTGCTGTTGCCTACCTGCGCTTCCATCTCAAGCGCGAGAATGCCAAGAAGGACAAGCTGTTGGCTGAGAGAGGTCTCAGTGCCGCCGATCCGAACCTCATTCATGCATTCGAGGATAAAACGGACCGAGAGAACTTGAACTTCCGCTACGTCTACTAGATACCCAAGATAGTTGTGTTGATATGCAATGTGCTTGGCGGTTTACTTGTTGAGTTTCACTGTCTCCAATAATATCCTCAAAACACGTACCTTTTTTCCTCTCAAAAATTACACTCTGGATACATGGGCTTCCTAGTATCACACAATCAACGTTTCAAAAAGCCTTGGCCTTGTAATATCTCCCAAGATTGGGTTTCATGGTTGACTATGCTAGTAAGCACAAGTTATATCTGTGAGATCCAAAGTCCAAAGTATCAAGCCAGCTACCTACACATGCAGCTTGCCCTACAACCCCAACCCCACATTTTGTGAACAATCAGATAATATAAGTCAAAAGCTTAGATTGGGCCTGGATATATGTCGAACTTGCCCACGTGAAAAATCCTTACGTCTAGCTCGTTGATTGGACCTACCTAGGTGCCTAGCGGGAAATGTGAAGCTCAATGCAACACCATTTCTTACTTTAAACATGGATCACCACGGCGCCTCGCGGGACTTCCACGGAGTTATTGCCTTACTTTCGGTCGTCCGCTCCGTCTTGGCATTTGATTCATTACTGTTAAGATATTACTATCTTGCTCGTGAAGGTATCTCACATTCATGATCTTTTCCCTTCCCTTTTTTCTCCACTTAACTCAATCACTAATTTCAACTGTGGGATATTAGATCAGAGATACCCAACTTAAATACATAAAATGATAATACATTTTGAAAAACAACACTCTACCTTGTTTGAATGGCGCATTTCCCCAAATAGTGCCAAGGGCGCCTACTGACACTCCAGGTGGGCCAGTGTGTCAGACTTGGATCGCAACTCCATGCGCCTGACCTCATATTAAGTTTTATGATTCCCTTCTTCTTCATGGATTTAAATCCTGAGCTGTCTCGACACGGAGTCAGCACGACCTCCGCTTGTGGCGCTGTGACTTCCTGCCAAACTACCCCGTGGCTTGCCGTTCTCCGTGCAGAATGATTACTTTAGTTCTGCCAAAATTGCACATAATATATCCGATTGGCTTCATTCTTGCAATTAAAACTCCCAACTTCAGGCATTTTCGGGATTTTGACCCGGAAGTGCAATACATGGAACTGAGTTATACTCCTCTTTATCACTATAAGTATGGCCGTTTCATACCTTCCCCACAGAGGACAAGCACTGGTAAAGTCCAAGTTTTGCAGACCACTCATTACTCAACATATCTCTTACTTTGGCACTTAACCTTATCCAACCTAGCTCTTCGAATACAACCGCGATGTATAGCCTTCTCGGCCCCGCTCTATTTGCGTCTCTCGTTGCGGCCCATGGCCATGTCACCAACATCGTTATTAACGGTGTCTCCTTTGATGGGTGGGACATAAACAGTTATCCTTATGCGCAATCGCCTCCAGTAGTGGTGGCTTGGGGTACCCCAAACACTGCCAACGGCTTCGTTTCTCCGGGTAAATTATATCATGTTGTTCTATTTTACCGAAGCCCATTCCCTTTCTAACTTTGTGAAACTAGATGCGTACAAGTCCTCCGACATTATCTGCCACCTTAATGCTACTAATGCTAAAGGTCACGCTGTAGTAGCTGCCGGTGATAAAGTCTTTCTTCAGTGGACTCCCAACTGGCCAGAATCGCACCATGGACCGATCATTGATTATCTCGCTAGTTGCGGCGCAGGTGGCTGCGAAACCGTGGATAAAACCACGCTCAAGTTCTTCAAGATTGACGGTGTCGGGCTAGTTGATGAAACCAATGTCCCCGGCATCTGGGCCGATGATCAGCTCATAGCCCAAAATTCGGGATGGATGGTCGAGATTCCTTCCACCATCGCCCCTGGACATTATGTCTTGAGACATGAAATGTATGTCAATTTCCCTGGTTTCTCGAGAGACTTCTGCTAATCTTACTGTGAAGGCTCGCACTCCATGGCGCAGGCACTGAGGGTGGGACCCAGAATTATCCCCAATGCTTCAACCTACAAATCACCGGCTCTGGGACAGACCAGCCATCAGGTGTCTTAGGTACTGATTTGTACAGCCCAACGGATCCTGGTATTCTTTTGAACATTTACACATCTCTGTCAACCTATGTAAGTGGTTATTCGACGCTGATATCTCGCCGATTCTAGTTCCTTGCTAATCTAATTTTCTCAGATTGTCCCAGGGCCAACTCTTTACAGTGGTGCGGTCTCAATTACACAAACCACCTCGGCAATTACCGCCTCTGGTACACCAGTGACAGGGACAGGCGGTGCTACCGGCGGCGCAACTACAACCTCAACCTCCAAGACCACTACTAGCACGACACTGGTGACATCTACCCGTACTACCACTACTACTACCAGCAAGGTCACCACTACCACTGCTGCTGGAGGGGGCGGAGCAACCCAGACTCTCTACGGACAGTGCGGAGGAGACAATTGGACAGGACCAACGGCATGTGCATCGCCAGCGGCCTGTTCTTCGTCAAACCAGTGGTATTCTCAGTGTCTTCCAACTGCTGCTTAAATTGATCTAGGAGGAGACTCATCTGAAAGCTGCCGCTCAACGATCAATTTGAACTACGAGCAGGTAGTGAGTGCTATTTATAAAGCGTGGTAGTTGATATGAACGTGAGCCTTTCAAAGTATCTGACATGCTTTTCATTGTACCGAGCCTGAGCAAATATGTAGAGTCGCATACCATGCCACAGCAGCTTCACCGATTCTAAATACAGTATCTTTTCGTTTGCAGGCATCAAATTAGTTACAGAAACAGCTTTGAGCTACCTAGGTAGGTACGTACTAACAATTGTTACTAATCAACTTTTAGTACCCAGGTATTGGTATTACCAGCAAAAAAAGCAAGTAGGCGCATATACCTCATCCCTTCTCGTCCAGGCTGTCGTGGCATGGTATGTGTTCACCGAATTATTATTGGCTACATATGTAGCTTGCTGCCTGCTCTTGTAGGTATGTGCCCTGGTGCATTTCTTATCGGGTTTCCTATATAGTTATAGTTGACTAGCTAAATTCTATCCACTATAGAGAATATCAGAACCTTCCTCTCTCCTCCCATTTCTTCCTACGTTGTTCTCTTTCCCTTGTCAAAATACGTTTTTCCTTGTGGATACCGGTCGTTTGTTCTAGTCATTAAGATGGTCTTCATCTTAGATCAGTACCATTTCAAAATTAACTTGCTGCCTATTCATCGCGACCTCGTCACTTTCTACTAGATTCTCAATAAAGATTTCTATACATCACAATCACAATTTTGAGATACCAACTCAGCCTCATCAAAGATAATCTGCATGCAGGAAGATGGTATCTCGCAGGGGCTGTCCGCCCCAGCGCCCCAACCCCCTATATCTGACTATATCCCAGGATAGAAGTCACTTTCCTCGAGGCCTGAAACACCATGGCTCGGAAATTTACGTGGTCCCTTCTCTCCTTCCGATCACAATTACGTTCGCTCCCACCACTATGGCCAAAACAACCCGGGATTCTCATGATGTGTTTTGTGCTGGTTATCCTCACCCTGTTCATTCGCTTGGAGCCGGTTGATTTCGATTATTTAAATGTGTCCGGTTTTTTTGGACCGGGAGCTTTCTGGGCCTGGGTGATTAGCTATTTGACCGGCTTCTGCCCTAATGAGGGTCGTCACCTGCTGCGAATTGTCTGAAAGGAGCCTTGGAATTTTCATTTGCAGTTTGACAAGCTGTCAGAGCTGTCTCCTCTACCATTAGAGGACCATATTCTTAAAAGAGCAATGCCCTCCTAAAACTGTCCGAGCGGAGATGGCGAGCTAGAAAATGATAAATTGGAATGCATAGGCCGATTCCTGAAAGAGGTGATGCAAGGCACCCTCACTGACGGACAAATGTCGTCAGTCCACCTTACAACATTGCGAATGTGGCTTTCACAGGTTCACAGGAGCGAACCATCGTTCTTTCGCGAAAGAAAAGAATACTCAGACAATTTCTTGTTGCAAGCAGATTGCGCAGATCTGGTTCTCGATTCCTTCCCCTTGTTTTTCAAGGCAAAAACAAAATACCCGAGGCTCATTCGGTATAACATATTTAAAATCGAGCCTGATCATCTAAGGCGGGAATTCCGTCGAGTGACAGATAGTTTGACAAGCACTTGTTCCTAGTTCGAGATGAAGGAGGCAGAATTTGCTCGCTACCTTGTCGAGTTTCGCAATCGTATTCATTTTTGGGCCTATCAATATGAGGCTTCCGAGGCTGAAATACCGCGCGAGATGGATATTGATACTTGGATTGCAGTTTTGTATCCTCTGATTTGCTGTTGGGTATGTCTCGCACAACACGGAAGATTCGACGCCAAAACCTGAGACGATGCCACCGCGTGTGTTGCGCAGGTTGCCTTTGGTGTATCAGCTCTTGCTTTACTCTCATCCCATCCTAGAATGCTTGGGCCCTCTCAAAATCTCAGGTTCTCTCTACGCTCGTTTCTCTGGATGGTTGTCTATTCGCATAGTTGGCTCGTGATTCAGTTTCGCGGGGACTATGCTTGCAATGAGTGGAGCTGGCCAAATTTCCTGACCCTGAGCTATGCCGCTGGGTTAATAGGTCTTCTTTTTGTCATATTGTTATTTTTAGTGGTCTTGAACAGGTATTCATGGGCTACAAGGAAGTTGCCTTGTTGGGCTACTCCAAGGCCGACGGTGTCAATTTCGGATCCGCGGATGGGAACGGCCTTTTTCTGCTTTGGGTCATTTGGCTACTACTTCTTCAATCCTTTGAATATGGGCAGGCACCAGCAGATTCCTAAAATTACTTGGAGTCTTCAGGTTGGACTGCCGATTCCAACCTCCTCTGCAAGCATCAGTGACTTGGACCAAGCGGCAGGATTGGCAACGGCATTTGCTTTCCTTCTGGCTGCTCCTTTACAATTTGTTATGCTATCAGTTGGACGGGCACTTTGGGCTAGTCTTGTCGCTCTCATTACTGCCACAACAAGGGTGGTGGGAAAGTTGCCTTGGCTAACCACCGTCATCGAGGCCGTATCACTCTGTCTCGAACTGCCATCTCACATCATAAAACATGATGCACGAGTGATCACAAAGGCTGGTGAGTTTATACAGAGTCTATGGAAGCTAGTGAGGCGAAGAGTACATCGTTGGAGATATGCAACTCACAGACAACATGATGGCCACGTTATCGAGCTACGACGACGCACCACTATCAGGATAGAGGAAGGACTTCAGTAGTATACCGAACGATTTGAACTACACCTAGACTTATTGTAGCAGTCTATTCCTATTGGCTACCTACATAGATGTGGAAGATAAAGTTGTACATATTAATGTACCACTCTGACTGTCATAGGCTGACAGCTATGTAGGATCGCTCCTTCCCACTTTTTGGCCTTCCAAAATCTGTCCTTCATAATTTTCTAGTATAATTCAGCTGTACTGTCTGTCTCTGTGCCAGCCAGGTGACAGTACGCCATTCCTCGGTATGTCATTTCCCTAACCTTGAGCTCAGAATGTTGCCTTTGCTAGGTTGGAAGCGAAATTGCCCTCTTTGAAAGGAACATTTGCCGATCCGAAGTCCGTTGTTTCCAAGGCATTTTGCACAATAGCTGAACGTTTCAGGTTAGATCGCTAGCTTCCAGACTTTGTAGTATATCTTGGTGGGCAACTTACTTGACATTGACTCCCAGGCAACCAACGGCTGTGTGCCGCCCACGGTAGTTGTCAGGCCGCAAGCATGGTTAACAGGCCAAACAGACTGATACTTAATCAGAGGTGAAGTGCCAGCAAGCGTAAAGCCATTTGTGCTGCAGTCCCAGCCACCATGTGCCGACGGACAAACGGCTAAGACGTTTGAGGCAGCGGTACTTGTGGGGTCGGAAAGCCAGACAATAACACCTTCCCAATCGTGGCGATGGCCAAGATCAGTCGAAGGCGAATCCTTGGGGAAATACCAGGAATACATCAGGGCATAGCGGGCGCCCGAAGAGCCGCCTCTCACTGTGCATTGCAAACGGAGGCCCGTTAGTCAATATATTCCAGAAGATTGAATCGATAGTTCTGAAGAAACTCACCGTATATTTGCCCTGTGCTTTTACTGCATCCACTATTTGGAGCCCCTGTTGGCTTGAGACCGCCACTGTATCATAAGTATCAGATATGAGAGTTCAGAAAATCATGAACAGGCAATTATCTTCACTCACTTGGTGTTTCCGTTTGCGTCTACGGCCGGGAAAGGCACACAACCATTGACAACATATAGATTTGGCTGGTAGGCCAGATATAGGTCCCCAGTGGCACCTGCAGGAAGTGTTTGGGGAAATCCGACAAGTGAATCGGATCCAACTGTTCCTCGACGCAACAGGTCAACTGGGCTAGCCGTCACAGGCAGCACAGTGAGAGCAGTCAGCGCAGCAATTATTTGGGGAATCATGTTAGAATTGAAAGGCGAGAATAGTGAGCTATGGACAAACAGCTTTCCTCTGAATATTTATATTGTGGTATTCATCCCCTTGCCCTTCGATCGGCATGCGTCTTATCTAGTGTGCCTTTCTTCAAGAGGTTTAGTCCCGATGAAGTATAGTGGGAGATATCAATTCTGCTTGAAACTTGAATTGCAGAATAGATTGGTTTTCGCCCGTGCGATCGACAGGCCCGGTGATTCGCCATTTTGTTTTAGTTTCTCCAATCCAAAACGCTTGAAGGGGCTCCTCACAGGTTGACGAAATATCTCCGCCCTAGCAAGCTAGTATGTATCCTTAATTGAAGCTAGTCTGGATGTTAATATACGGTAGTTTTGTTTATACGTACGCCACGCAGACACCTAATATATTCTTGTGCAACACGGCGTCGCTAAATACAGCACGTGGGGATTGTCAGGAGCTTGATCTGCACGTTCTTGGCACTGGGCGTTTTTACACCAATCACGGTAGACAAGTCAACAAATCGCTCAGTTTCTTCAAAACAGCCCCCTGCATTGTAGCGTTGGCATCGGTCTTCGATGCTGCCATCCCAACAGAGACACTTGCATAACACCCAGACGCTAGCGATATTTCGAGTTCAGTTGGCAATCTCGAACTGCCGCACGTGGTCACATCATTCGGAGTAATAAATGGAAATGCGATATTGATGCGGGAGAGGACGAAAGAGAAATCGGCCGGATTTGTGCATCTGGAGTCAGAAACTTTTCCGAAATTGACATTCAGCCAGACATCGTTTGGTAGGTAAGGTTTGCCAGTAGCAACCACCTGATTGGTCAAATTAGTTGCCAAATCGGCATAAACATCACTGTAGTGAGGTCGCGAGCTATCCCATGAAGTCTGAGAGCCAGTACCACCAGAGAAGGCGATTGCAGGGATCCCAGCATGGGCAGCGTAAGTGGCGGCGCCCACTGTGCCTGAAATGTGAACCGCGAGGCCAATGTTACGGCCGACATTGGGACCTGCGACGGCCAAGTCTGGAGGTCCACTGAAGAATTGCGGGGCGCGCGAATCGATGCCGTATTTCATCGATGTCACGGGGTAGCTATTGACATAGCCCAGTCGGGGCTTTTTATACGATTAGTCTACCATTCTGGTGAGAGCGGGTACGATACTGACATCTGAGGCATTAAATCCCACAGCCGGACTGCCAGCTGGGCAGCTATTAAATTCGCACGGGTCGGTCAAAGTAGTCGGCGTTTTTTGTTTTGATCCTGTAGTGACGTGTCAATAGAAGAGCGGAATGCAGAGCGGAATGTATATAACATACCCGTGCCACTTTGATTCTCGGCGGGCGCAGATACCACAACTGAATGCCCTGCCTATCCCAGGGACTCGAATAGAGCACGGATGTTCACTTCCGCCCAGCCATCATCATTGGAGGAGATGATGTTGACCGCACCAACAGCCAGGGGGAATATTGCAAGAACGTGAAATCGCATGTTCAAGGTGTCGAGGGGTATTGATGTGGTATAAGATCAGGGTTTGTTCGAACCTTTTTATATTTTCTCGGTTGTTACTAGTCTTTCTGCATGGCATGGATGTCCCGAGGTCGATCTTTCCGTATTTGAGTGTGTTGGCTGCCACGATGTTAACGGCTCGGCTCGGATACGAAAACGCATAAACAGAAATTAAATCAGTGAATCATCTCTTATGTTACGTTTGATTGGCAGGCATCCATGATTTAAATAAGTTTCAATAGTCCGATGGGATGCGAGAGATGACAATCCAGAGTACCCATGTATATCTATGTTGTGTGGATATATATCACGCTACTTTGTGCTTCTCAACTCAAGTGATCCTGTTTACAACATAGCAAGCGGAAAGCAAATTAGCTACACAATAAACTGATGGTGTCTCTTCCAGAGGCTGTGTGCTACCTAAAAAGGCAAAGACACAATATCGATGAGCAGTTTCCTTCACTCAATCTGATTCTTGCCCCAAATTCGATCTGCAAGATCTCTGACCAACACCAGTTTCTCCCACATGAGCTCCATTGTCATACCCTTTCCTCCGCCAAGGCTCATGCTGGCAAAGCCACATTGTGGACTGACGCCAAGAGACGTATCAAGAATCTCGGCCACAGTACGCCCCTGTCCACGAGCAATGACTTCACTCGCAGCATAGACACGCGAAACCAGCTCATCGAGATCCTCTAACTCGGGCGACTTCGTGGACACAACACCCAAGACAACATTCTTGCTAATCGGTAGATGACGAAGTGGTTCAAAATCCCCGGCTCGCTCAGTATCATACTCAAGATAGTATGTGTCGTAGTTGAGCTCAGCGAATATACTCTTCGCAATGCGTTCGTATGATCCACTCATGATGTGCGTAGATCCAGCCATATTTCCCCGGCAAAGGTGTATTCCGACATGGAGGTCTTTCGGCTTTTGGGATATGCATAGATTATGAGCACAGATGTATTGTGCAAGCATTGCGTCTGGATCCACTCCATCTGCGACACAGCCAGCTCTGAACTCGTCAGACACAAAGAACAAGAGGCAGGGGTCGTCTACTTGGATTGAACGCAGTCCTTCGTCGTAAAGAAGCTGCCATTCGGCAGCGTAGGCGGCAGCAAGATCTTGGAAATATTCTTCATCGGACGAATATGCTTCTGGGCGATATGCTGTTCCAACACCCATCTGTGTCAGCAAGTTAGCAAATCCAATATTTATCACTGGAAGAAGTTACTCCACGGCCAATTTTCATACCTGCATATGAAGATGGGTGATTGGGGGCATGGTTAGCTTGCACTCATGCCATTTCTCACGGGGAAGCAGGCTCCGTAGAGCCTTCCATTCCGACATGTAAGTGCTCTCGACATGGCGAACTCGATCGACAGCAACCACCGAATCTCTTGTCTTGATACCAAGTTTCTGCAACGTCTTCGTGATTGGGAAGCCAGTTCGAAACCCAACATCAACAGGAATATCTTTGACGATCTGCATTCCCGCAAGCTTCTCGAAAAAGCCAGAGTAAAACTTGTCTCTTTCATACTCTCCTGAAGTTATAGGCCTGATGCCAAGTCCAAGCTGCTTAGCCACAGCCTCCGCGATGGCGCGGTCGGTGACCTCCTGTGTCTCTGCAGTCAATTGCGAATATGAGGTGGTCACACCAGCGGCAGCACGAGCGGCTAAGAGTTCAGCCGGCCGCATCAGAGAACCGATCTGTTCAGCACGGAAAGGAGGCGCCATTTTTGATTCTGTCAAGTTAGATAAGAGAAAGAGAAGCTTTTTCCAGGCAAATGCAGGATGAGGAGATTTCAGTTCGCTAAATGTGGGGAAGTTAGAATCGACTGAGGACGACTGAAGAGGAATCTCCGAATACCCGAATATCCGTGTCCACCGGAACACTAGCGCTTTAGTCTTAGTTGATGAATTGATCGTGGGGTATGATACGCCATATCTTGTGGTTTTTGAGGTAGCAAGAGCTTTGGATCAGTGGATTGTGGATTATCTGGACTTTTATTGATGATCATATTACTTCCTGGGAATTTCCAATGAACGTGACAATTTAAGATGACTCGAGTACCGTGCAGATGGAAATACATGTAAAAAACCGTAATATGATTTATAAATTGGATAGGAGGTTATAGAAGAACGATAAATGAGGTAACTATGTATGATTAAAGAGGGGAAATAAGAATGAAAGCGAGAACTATCTAATGGGGCCTTGGAAAACCACAGTGCCCTATGGCTGCTCACACGAGGGTAGCAAATGCCAAGGAAAATATTTAATCTAAAAAAGCAAAGAACGAAATGGGTTCTACCTTTGTAACTTCACCACGCAAAATTTGAAGGCAATATATATATGCACGATGGAGACGTTGGCCTTACCAAGGCCTCAGGGTCGGATCGATGGCGATCACTCACTCAGAGCGGGCACTCTTCGTCTTCTTGCTCCTGAGCTTCATCATCAAGAACACCAAGGCATATGACGAGAGACAGAACAGGGCAGTGATACCAGTCTAAAGACAAACAATTAGCATCGAACCGAAGCCAATTCAACCAGGGTATACTCACATCTCTCCACGAATAATATTTCTCTTGAAGATTGAATGTTTTCGCGTAATCAGAACCTTCAGAATACGGGCAGAATGAACATGTCCCTGTTGAGTTCCCATCGGCTAGGTAACCACTTTGTGTGGCGAGGAAATCGGCCATGTATTCGCCACAGGTCTGACCAGACGGTGCGGTAAACTTCACAAACTCGGATGGTTCGCACTTGACCTTGACATCCCAGATCACTTCACCAAACAGGCCACCGACCAAGTAGTGGAAAGGGTCCAGGTAGTAAATCCAGTATCGCCAAAATGGCTGCATGAGGGCGTAGGGAACCACCACGCCGCAGAAACTGATCAGGCCGGCACCGATCAAGACGGGGTTCATCACAGCCGCAAAATACTCGTTCGGTGCGTATGCCGCAATTGCCTGGCCAATGGAGGTGTATAGGAGCTCATAGACTGGGTTGATGTTAGATACTCCAATCAAGCTTTAAGAATTAAGGTAACTTACAAATCATCTGAAGATAGACATGCCCGGAAACACTGGCTTCCACTGGAAGACCTGCTGTGAAGTACCAGCATGCAAAGTAGAGAGTGGCGCAAACGATAAGGTATGGAATCTCCGTCAGAGTCTGCGCTCCAATGAAGGCGCTCCAGTGATAGGTTTTGGACTATTTGGAAACCGGTCTTAGCGATACTTGCATGTCAGTATGATTCCACTGGGATCCTCACCTTTTTCTCTCGGGTTTCGAAAATATCACGACTATGCAAGAAGAACGGCTGCATCTGATTGATACAGCCTGGGGCGACGAAAATGAAGTTGAAAATCGCGAAGAGTCTCAACTGAAGCGCGAAAGTACCGTCTCCGATCTTCCAGAAGGTGAATCCACTAAAAAGCGCCGCAAAAATATGGAGAATAATCTTGTTCCACATGTAATCCTAGGTGAACGTCAGCTTTTGCAAATTGGGTTTGTATATAATTGTAGCGAACGTACCGGTGAGCGCCAGATATGAACGCTGAGGCGCTTCGACACCGTCTTGAACTGGAACCAGTGCGAGGTGGCGTAGTCAGCAGTATCTTCAACATAGTCGGCACCATGCCTGCTGGATTCATTGAGTGCATCGAGTTGGGAGAGGGCTTGCTTGCGCTCTTCCGACTGGCTCCAGATTTCGACCCAATCCTTTTTGTCCGTAGTACCACCTCCTTGAACAACATCAATAATGTGCTCCGCTGGGTTAGCATCCAAAGGACATGGCGCTCCATTCCGAGCGAAGTAGTCCAGGATCGTGGTTGAGTCCTTGCCAGCTGTAATCACACACAAATTATTAGTTGCTTAATTTTCACTAGTTGCCTGAGAGTAGGAACTCACTTTCTCCGAAATACGTCATTTTCCCGCCCTTGGCTAGCAAGAGAAGGCCGTCAAATGCGTCGAATAGAACCGCAGATGGTTGATGAATTGTACACTGACACATCAGTACGACACAAATATATTGTAACTTATTGAGAACTTACCAGCACAGCTTGGCCGCCGTCGACCAGTTTGCGAAGGAAACGCACAATGTTGAACGCACTTTGCCCATCAAGACCAGAGGTAGGTTCATCCAAAAACAGCAATGTGGGTTTAGCAACAAGCTCAACTCCCAGGGTCACACGTTTGCGCTGTTCAATGCTGAGTCCAGCTCCAGGCACTGTAGGCTATTAGTATCAATGTCAGTGGCATGGTAAGTAACATCAAGCAAACATACCTCCGATGAGTGCTTCGCTTATATCACGCAGCTCCAAAAGGTCGATGATATGTTCGACGTACGCGATCTTTTCTTTGTAGGGAATTGTCGATGGCTGGCGAAGAACGGCCGAAAATTCCAATGCCTCCTTGACGGTTGCTGTCTCAAGATGCACATCCATCTGCTCGCAGTAGCCCGTAGTGCGTTGAAAGCTGATTCCAACTGGGCGGCCATCAATCAAAACTGATCCATAGATCTCTCCGCTATCCTTGCGCTGAGCCAGCACATCCAGCAATGTTGTTTTTCCAGCCCCAGAAGCTCCCATGAGGGCAACCAGGTTTCCAGGTCTGACAAATCCAAATACCTTGTTCAAGAGCTGTTTCTTCTCGCCGTGGAAAGGTACGTGATAGTCAAGGTCTTTCCATGTGAAGGTAGATTGCTTGACTGAGCCCAACACTGCGCTAGCATCTACCTCCTTTGGAGATAGTGACTTTTCACCGTCTTTCTTTCCACGATTCTTCTCGCTGCCACGCTTGTAAAGCAGAACGGATGATCCACTTTGGCTGTTCAGGAATTCAAGCCCAAAGGAAGTTAAGCAGATGAAGAAAACCCAAAATCCTATGATAATGCCAAAGCTTCTCCAGATGTGATGGACCGAGTAATTGAATTGCTCATAGATATATTTCGCACCGTCAATCATACCTTCGTCGTCGCTTCCAAGGACTGAACATCCACGGTTAATAGACACTGAGTTGGAGTATCCAGCGCCGTATGGAAGATAGTCGGGTTCTATGCACTTGAATTTACGTCCAACAAACTCGTTGGCCATGAGTGCTTCAAAGGCGTATGCTCCCGGATTGAGGTAGAAGATCCAACGGAACCACACATGCATCTTGTAGAAAGGAATAATATATCCTGCAACGCGTTAGTTTCAAATGTTTCGTATCAATGGCTATATCCAAACACTCACCTCCATAGACAAAGAAGACGGTGGACAGTAAGCCTGATATTTTGGATGCATTTCCAAACTGTTTGCACATAGCTCCAATAGCTCGGAATAGTTGTACAAAACACAGCGTCTGCGCAATAACTATGATCCAAAAGGTGAAAAACTTGCCTGCATCCATCTGAAGAGCAGACATAAAGTAAATTATGAGGGAGAAGCAAGTCACCTGGAACATGACAACTGGGATATCAGTGATAGCGTTGGCAATGGCGAAGGCTGTAGGGCGGTAAAATCCGAATCGCTTCTGACGAGAAAGAATTGGCCGGCCCATAAAAGAAGCAGTTGTCTCAGACAGACTTTCGAGGAGGAAGTATAGCACCGGGAAAAAGCAAACACCAGGACGTAAAAATATAGAGCTCGAATCCTTGTAGTTGCAACTGTCAGCTTGGTCTTCTCAAATCGTCGAGGTGGGAGAGTTTCTTGATCACCTCTGGCATGTCATAGAACAAACTTCCGCAAACTAGGGCCTGGATTATAGCTGACACAATCTTCACACAGAGCGAGAGCTTGTCGCCCCAGATAACTTGAAACTGGCGGAGAGCACAAGCGCCAATCTGGTCCCAGAGATTTGCTGTATAAACACTGGTGTTTCGAGGAATATGTTGTTTGCGCTTCTCACTGGATACTGCCAGCTGAAGGTCTTCCGCTTCATAGCTCAGCTTCTCGGGGTCTACGATAGCGCTCATTTGATCTTTGCAGACGGGACTGTTCTGATAAAAGACTTCGAAGTCCTCGGGTGTATTGGGAACATTCTCTTCCCAGCCGGGCCGGATTATGCGTTCGGTAAGGACAGTGACTGAAGTAAGGAAGTCTGCGATATTGGCACCCTTGGGGCAGATGAATCCAAGGTCTTCAAAGTACTTCCTTGCAATACCACGAGGGCCGTAGTAAATGACAAGACCTTCAGCTAAAACAAGAACCTTGTCGAACTGATCATAAATACCATTGCCGGCTTGGTATGTAGTTGTAATGATTGTCTTGTCGTGTCGATCCGCCTCGCGTCTGAGCATTCGAGCAAATTCCACCGCTGATTTCGAGTCCAATCCCCGAGTCGGATTGTCCCACATTTGGACTGGACTTTGCCCAGCCAGGACCTCAGCAAGAGAAACGCGCTTACGTTCGCCTCCTGACACGCCTCGGATGTACTCGTTTCCTACCAATGTCTTTGTCGTGTGTCCTATTCCAAGGGACCCCAGGATCTCATCACGATGGTTCTTCACAAAGTCCTTACGGTTTCTCAGATGCTCTGGCCGCTCGTTGGGGATCTTGTTTCGAAGGGCAAATTTCATTGTACGGTTGACGGTAAGGGTTGGGAAGTGAATGTCGTCTGGTATTAGTATAGTTAGCATTGTAGCCCAGTAGATGCCAAGATAGGGTTGCATGCCTTCATTGTTAAACATGATTTGCTGGCGGAACTTTTTGGCAGCTATGTGGTCCATGCTTCCATATTTGGTTTCACCAGTGACTTCATCGAAACTATCACGATCATTGGACAGGACTCGAAGGAGTGAGGTGCATCCGGAGCCTGGACGTCCCAGCACAAGAAGCTATGTTGGTTAGTTACAACATTCCTGTTCTCGATTCATGAGAACGTACCATTTCTCCGGGCTTGACCTGACCTGCAACATCTTTGAGGATCGTCTAGAAGTTCAGTCAGTACATTATAACTGCATGTTGGTGTTGAATGTACGGACTCTTTTTGGGCGGTCGCCACGCTTCAATAGTGCTCCAAACTGTCGCGGGTCCACCTCTGACCATAAAGTGTTTCCCAATGCAGCATCTGGTGCTGTAACCCGAATATTCAGATTGCGGAAGGTGACTGTCAGTCGTTTGCGAATCTGGCCGTCGCCATTTTCCACATCAACGGAAGTTGTTGAGCCGGACGATGGAGTTTCCATGACGAAGGCGTATATTTCTGGAATAAAAAGAATGACTCCTGGCAATGGTACCAGTTAAAGTGGGATTGAAAACAAACATCATGATCTTGAGGTGCAGAGGAGATCTTATATTGTGGATTTGTTATCCAATCTACGTTTTTAAATCCATATTCCCGGGAGTGGGTCATGTTTCATAGATCATATCACGGATTTATCTGTGACGGAGTTTATAGATAGGGATATGCCTCCAAACAGGCCAAACAAGTGCAAAACAATATCGCATTAGCGAGGATACCACTGTGGCGAGTGAGTTCCTCGGATATAGGTTCGGATATATTACTGGCCCACTTAGTTTAAACCGATCGTTCATTCGTTAAGATCCTATTTTTCCAGCTTGCTGGGTTCTAGAGCTTCGATTAGATCCACCTTTCGGATATAGATCCACTTACACTGACTGATTAAGTCAGTCAACGACCCCTTGGATGACCAAATAATGCAATATGAAAGAGTTGTGTTCCAGATTATAAATTTGTTTGGCACAAGGCCCTCATCAAAAGGCCGGAGCATCATTTGACTGGTAAACTGAAAAGAATGCTTCCAGGTCCATAGTAGAAAAATCGAAATCCCAGCCCATGTCAGACTGAGTGAAATCAAGCAAGTCATCCCCCGAGGCTATAGAGCCCCCGGTTTCCGAATTTTCTAGTGTCTCCACCTGGGGAAGGTTCCAAGGAGACGTCAGTATGTCAGGCCGCATTCCCAGTGACGAGTTCTGGGGAATTGCAGGGTTATTAAGCATTAATGGATGTCTGTGGTCGGGGATGAGGCCTTGCTGTATGGCTGTCTCTCCTAGTGGCCCAATGTGATCCTCAGTTGTTGCTAATGGAGGTAACCATTCGTACGATGGATTTAGTTTGCGAAGCACAGTCTGCACAGCTGAAATAGTGCTCGAGATCGGGTCCCCGGGTCGCATGCTTGACAACGTTTGTAATGAAGCATAAACCCATGGCAGATAGACAGGCGCAACATCGGGGTTGTGGAGAAACTCGTAGATGAGAGTAAATATAGAATTGCCGAAAAAATACCCGTGGTATCGCAATTCCTATGATATAGTTAGCGGATACTTTTATAATAGCATGTGATCTATTTACCAAAACAAGATCATTGACTCTTGAACCTTCGCATAGAGAATGGAGAGTTTTTTGAGCAGCAGAGGTGGCATGATTGCAGGCTTCGTTGAGCCAGGAAGGCGTTTCTCTGGGTCGATTTTTGACACTGGCGCTAGAGTGGTTGATTGACATATTCCTCTCGCGTCGCTGCCAATGGCCACGAAATATCAAAAACGGGCGAAATGTGAGAAGAAGGGTATGGTTGTATACTAACTGTGGTCAGAGTGGGGCTAAACAAGATTCAAATTATTGACTTACAAGTAAGGAAGATTATTTGCCGAACACCAAGGGATCCTATTTGGGTGCTAGCATCAAGACCAAAGCCCAAAGCTTGTTGCATATGTGCTTCAAGACCACGGATCTCGTCTGCAATGGATCTAGCGACTCTCCACATATGGAGAAGAGATTCATGGCGCTGGCCATATATCTCATCAACAGACCGGGTGACGGTTTTGCAAAGTTGGATCAACAGTCGAATAAATGGGTCCTGCGGATATTCGATTGCGGCATCTTTTAGGGAGAGGGAGCTGGGACGTCCCGCATGAAAGCAGAACCAGCTATTTATGAGGTTAGTAGCTTCATCAAATATCGGCCTGAAAATAGTGGATGTACGTTTCGTAGGTGTAAAGAGACCAGAAGGTTATCCTTCGTTCTTCAATGCTTTCCGGGGTTTGGTCAACATCATGGGGAACGTCTTTATGCAGACCTGCTGATAAGGCTTTGCGACAAGCAGAACCCACATGCAAGAATGTCGAGTTAGGCCGGCCTTGTTCGTTCTGGTAATTGGCGTAAAATTCAGATATGTTAGTCCACGTGAAGCGAAACAGGGGGTTGTTGACTTATCATAAGCAATGAGATTTGAATTGTCTGAAGGTTCACCACATCATCAAATACGGTCAATGAAGACTTGACACGCTCGAACAGCACATCACCCCAGGCAAAATGATGCGTGCCAAGTGCCGCGCTTGCCAAGCAAAGGAGAATGATTGCTTGGGTCAGAGCATCTAGATGGTCTGTAGGTGAAGAGTTGTACATTCGGTCCAGACATCGCTCATAATATAGCTTAGGACGATATGGCATCAGATGATAAAGGCTGGAGAGATATCGCGACAAAAAGAGCTTAGCCAGGTCGTACGGCAGGAATACCATCGACAAATCACCTGCCCCAGGTGACTTGTTACTCTCATGAAAGTCTGGGGTTCCGAAAAAAATGCGACGAAAGCTAAACAAGTCCAAACCAGCCCCAGCTTCCTCAACCCCGCCAGAGGGTTCCGGCTGAGAGGTAGGATTGGAGATGAGATCTCTATAGATATGTTGCATAAGAGAGAAATGAGAGGTGGGGCCATAGTATAGCTGCATCTGACATGACGGCGACGTCATATGTGTTGCAGAAACACTATTTGGGAAGTCATTCATGACGGAGGCTCTGCGCTGCCCAGAAGGCGGGACTCTACCTGGAGAGCCCCGACGAACTGAATTCCTCTCGCCGGCTTCTTCATACTCATGTTTCTTTCGCCGATGGCGAATGTAGTCTCTGTATATACAGGGTGTATTGCGCAATTGGCAAGTTTTGCATCTGATGTTATATTAGCCCAATGTATTCACTATCCGAACATAGACTGAAGGATCTCACGGGGTCAAGCCATTGCATCTGATTTTACGCTTGCGGCATTCCTCACATGCCCGAGGAATTCTCCAACCCGGTTGAGTTTTATCCGACGCCTCAGACATCGATAATATGCATACAATCTCACAGAACTGCTGTCGGTGCAGTTCATCCGTTTAATCCGAGAAAATCATCCGTCTATATCCGAGTCACGTGGTAATGTGTCATCATATCACACCGGAGTTAAGAACCCTCGGACATTGCAGTATTCTATATTCCACCGCTGCATATACCGAGATCAAATTCGTTCTTCCTTGCTGAAAAGTTACGAACAATTCCAAAGAGATCTCAAAGTCGATCATTTGGAATTTCCACTATCAAATCACATGACTTGGAGCCTAATAGACAAGGCATCCAATGTCTCAATCCTACGGAGTAAGACGTCATGAATTCTCACAGAGCACTTCCAAGGTTCGTATACTTGATGACAATAGCCTGAAATCGTTGGGAGAATCTTCGGGGCAGCTTCGGTATAGCTTGCGATCGGCTGGTTTGACCTCGCCCGTGCTCTAAGCCGCGTTTCTTGGAAAACTTGGCATTTTGGAGTATCACAAAGCCTGGCAGATTCCGGGGTTATGGTTGGTCATCATGATGCCCAAGAGATAGTCGGATGAGGGGGTCGGCATTTCGTTTAGGCGGTTTATTGGAATCCATCTATCCCCACAAAACCAAAAAGCCAGTCCGGGGTCGATCCACAAGTCTGGGGAAACCCCTATCTACAGCTAAATCGGACACTTTGTGGGGAAGTTCCCACCATGTGCTTAGGCTTTAAGAGTCTGACTCCTTGGCCCGTTACAAATCATTATGATTGGATCTCATACTTGGGTCTCCCACTGTCAGTCCCGACTTGCCAAGATGTTCCTGACTCCTCCCCAGTGTCAGACTAAGTATCTTCACTTGGCAGTGGCAGATTGAGATAAAAAAGCCGAACCCTCTGGGGCTAATCCTTCATCCCCCACAATCCCAGACTCAGCTCTTCAGATATTTTGATCGGGCGTTTGATTGAGAATATAAAACGCCCGGTCGTCCCCTGGTATATGCTCCCGAAGCTCTCCCTGGGTCCCTGCATTCAAACGAACTTCAGACCGCCTTTTCATTCCCCCTGAGCGCAATTCACTGTCCGGTGTTCCAACATGGCCGACGCCGAGAGAGGCACCACGCTCGATGATGAAAAGGTCATTTCGCAGCATAAAGAGCATATGATGGGAGATGTCACCCATGGCGCAGCAGAAAGGGGCCAGCTTGCGACAGATGAAAATGGTCAGCCTCTGGTAGAATTTGACAAGGCCGCCGAGTCGCGATTGCGACTCAAAATTGATTTATACATTGTTCCAACCGTCGCAGTCATGTATCTCTTTTGTTTCATCGATCGAGCAAATGTTGGTATGTGACCAGCCGCTCTTATCGTCCCACTATTTTTATTTCTAGTTCAACTACTAATCCATCTCTTCCCTGGAATAGGCAACGCCAAATTGGCTGGTTTCGACAAAGACCTCAAACTCGAGGGCTATGACTATAATGCCGTGCTCTCGATCTTCTTTGTCTCATATATTGTCTTTGAAATCCCCAGCAATCTCATGTGCCAATGGATCGGGCCTGGATGGTGGCTTCCAGGGATCACATTGGGCTTCGGTGTTTGTTCGGTCGCCACGGCATTTGTCACTGATATGAGCAGCGCAGCCGGTGTCCGATTCCTTTTGGGGTATGTCTTTCGGATCTTGCAAACCCAACAATTCTGACAACTCTCTAGTCTATTTGAGGCAGGACTCATGCCTGGAATTGCGTACTACCTCTCACGTTGGTATAGACGAAGTGAACTTGCCTTCCGCCTGTCGTTGTATATTGTCATGGCTCCCCTTGCTGGGGCGTTCGGTGGCCTTCTAGCCTCGGGTATTCTCCTGCTTGATAGTTTTGGTTCTCTTCACAGCTGGCGTATGATCTTCGCGATTGAAGGCATTGTCACGATTGGGATTGCTGTCGTCGCATTCTTCACATTGACTGACCGACCTGCAACAGCCAAATGGCTCTCCCAGGAAGAGAAGGATCTGGCCATTGCCCGTGTCAAATCGGAACGTATTGGCGCGACAGAGGTCCTCGACAAGTTTGACATGGCCAAGACACTACGTGGTATCTTCAGCCCAGTGACATTAGTAACTGCGTTAATCTTCGGGTTGAACAACATTACTGTTCAGGGTCTTGGGTTCTTTGCACCTACCATTGTCAAAACTATCTACCCCAATGCCACTGTGGTGTCTCAACAGCTACACACAGTGCCTCCTTATATCGTCGGTGCATTTTTCACTTTGCTGTTACCCTACCTCAGCTGGCGGTTCGATCAGCGCCTCATCTTCTTCGTTATCGGCCCGCCGCTGATGATGACTGGTAAGTCTCAACTCATGAAACAACCTTGTTCCTGAGATATAGGGAAGATTATATCTAGTTCCAGGCTAATCATAGGTTTAAATAGGTTATATCATGTTCCTGGCTAGTGAAGACAGTATGGTACGATATGGGGCCACCTTTATTATAGCGTGTGGGGCCTATGCCTTCGGCGCCCTATGTAATGCACACGCATCGGCAAATGTGATCTCTGACACCGCGAGGTCTTCAGCTATTGGAACGGTGGTGATGTTCGGAAATATTGGCGGACTCATCAGCACCTGGTCGTTTTTGCCATTTGACGGACCCAACTATCCTATTGGTAATGGCCTTAACTTGGCAACTTCAACTACCACCCTCATTCTTGGGATTGGTCTTTGGGTTTATATCAAATGGGACAATCGGCGCCGCGAGCGCATCGATGTCCACAGCGCCTTGGCAGGAATTTCGCAGCAACAGATTCAGGATATGGACTGGCGCAACCCTGCGTTCCGCTGGCGATCATAATCGTGCTCTATTGCCCAACGAATTATATTTGTCCTGTATTTACTTTCTAATGTCATAAACTGACCTCCGCATCAACGCAAATTAGCCTTAGGTTGGAACATATCACCTTTTTCGGAACTCGATCCTCAGGCAAAAACATAGGTTATTATAGCCTCTATTAACTTTACCAAAGTATGTGTAAAATTGCGAGATAACCTGTTGTTTCGATATCACTGTCTAGATCACCATGATTCGGCGCAATTGCCACACCACATATAGCCCGTAAAAGAAGCGACTTCGCGATTTGCTCCTGATTACAAGTGATGTGCCCTGCAAGCATCAAGATGGGTATTGCAACAATAAACGCCGAAGAACGGACCAATTGTTCCAGAGCTGTACTCGTCACTTCCTAAGATCGGTAGTTGGCAGAGATTAATAATGAACCGTGTCGCCAGGAAATTGCTGGATCCTGATATATGCCTTGCCGAGGCTTAAAATTCCTCGTACCTCTCGGCACAGTCTTCTCTGGGACACCATTCGTCAAAACGCGCGAGACATTAGAGTCTAAATGATCGGCGTATCATAGCGCACCCCACGCCAAGCAACGGTGCATCTTCCCTTTCCAGACCAAAAACGGGGTAGTGTTCGTCTGTAAACCAATCAGTGGCTTCATATCTGTCAAAGATGGAGCTCTCCAGTTTTTTCCCCCGCGATAGTAAGGCTAGCATCTCCCTAGTGGACCTCAGAATCCCTGTAAGCCACATACAACATAAAGCGGCACACACCTTTTGCTTCGGACGATGACCGAAATTCACTGTCAATGTTTGATGGAGGAAAATAGCCTAGGCTAGATACTCTAATACTGCATACCGAGTATAAATTCAGGAACAACTGAGAATGAAGATGCGGTAAAGAAAAAAATGAGCTGCCGCGACGCTGCAGTGCTCATGTGCAGCTGCAGATCTCATTCCAAATTGCGTGCGACCATGTCGGGAACTCGGCCATGTCCCGTCAAAAAAAAGTCCCGGAAAAAGAAAGACGGCGACTCCATCAAATGAGACTCGAGAGACCCAAGCTCTCTTGGCTTCTCCCGGGGCCTTGGCCTATCTCGGTGTATCATGTGTATAGCCCACAGCTCATTTTGACAACAGGAAAATCCTACTCGGTCTTGACAGGATTCCAGGATTTCTCGGGCTGGGATTTCCAAATTCTCCCACCAACCCCCAGGATTTCCCCGCATGTCGTAGACTAAGATCGCATAGCTATCAAAGACCATTCGCTCTGGTTTACATTTCCCTTGTTCCTCTTTTTCCTACTACCCCGACCTTGCCTTTGACATTATCCCCGCATTCAACTACATTCTTGAGTGTTGCCCACCATGGCAGGCGGAGCAAAGAAACCAGTTAATATCTTTCGCCTCAAAGACCTCGGCGAGCCTAAAGAGGTCTTTAACTGGCGATTATGGTTTGCGGTCATCTCATTTGGCCTGATGGGCGCTGCCCGAGGTGTTGATGAGGGTTTGATCTCAGGCGCTTTCAACTCTAAAGACTTCCAGCATTACATCAACTACGACTCGTACAGCAAAGTGGAACAAACCAACATCAAAGGAAATGTTACTGCTATGGTTCAGATTGGATCTGTTGGAGGTGCTCTTTTGTACGTTTTTCCTTGCTCTATTATGTTAGATCTCATTTCGCTAACCTGGTCTACTCTTATAAAGTGCCTTCTTAGTTTGTGATCGCATCGGCCGTATCTGGGCAACTCGCCAACTTTGTGTTCTATGGATCATCGGAATCGCAATTTTCATGGGTAACAATGGCAGCTTGGGTGCTGTTTATGCTGGTCGCTTTATTGCTGGACTTGGTGTGGGCCAGACAGTTGTCGTTGCGCCTGTATATCTTGCCGAAATTGTGAGTTGCTCGTTATCCTAGTCATTTTGTAAATCAGCTAACAAAAAGAAAAGGCACCCGCCTCTATCCGTGGCCTCTGTACCTGTGTCTTCACAGGCTTTGTCTATTTGGGTATTGTACTTGCATATTTCGCCAACTATGGCTGCGAACTTAATCTTGGAGACAAAACCCACAATCGATGGGTATGTGTGATATTCCTTAAACTATTTATATTATGACACCTACTAATTAGACATAGCTCGTTCCCACGAGTCTGCACATTATCTTTGCTGGCCTAATCTTCCTCCTCTCCTTCCTTCAATACGAATCGCCCCGATACCTAATCAAACGCGGCCAGCTCGACAAAGCCATCTCCAATCTCTCCAAAATCCGCGGTCTATCAACCGACGACGAATATGTTATCCGCGAGATATCCCTCATTCAGACGACACATGAAGCTGAGATGGAAGCCACAATGGGGTCTGGCGCGATTGGCGTTATTAAGGAAACATTCTTAGTCCCATCGAACCTCTACCGAGTCTACCTCACATTCATGGCACAACTTCTATCGCAGTGGTCCGGTGCCGGCAGTATTACTGTCTACGCCCCAGATTTGTTCAAGTTGCTCGGAGTTACAGGCAACAACGAGTCTCTGCTGGTCACTGCTGTATTTGGAATCGTCAAACTAGTTGCTGCAATTCTGTGTGCTCTTTTCTTGGTCGATGTGATTGGACGCAAGCGAGCCCTTCTTCTTGGTATCACTCTACAAGGGATTGCTATGATCTACATCGCCGGCTTCTTGACCTCTGTCCCCGACATGGGCGTCGTTGATGGTTACACGGTACCGGCTGACAAGAAGGGTGCTAGTGAGGGAGCTATCGCAATGATCTACATCTCTGGATTTGGATGGGCTCTGGGCTGGAATTCGATGCAGTACCTTCTGACTGCCGAGCTCTTCCCCCTGCGCATCCGTGCTCTTTGCACGTCTATGGCTATGACTCTGCACTTTGCCAACCAATATGGTAATGCGCGGGCAGTACCCAATATGCTTCTCCCTGTCGCAAAGGGTGGAATTGACCCCAAGGGTACTTTCTGGTGCTTCGCCGCCATTACCATCATCGGTGGTGTCTGGGTCTGGTTTAGTATTCCCGAGACGGCAGGCCGCTCCCTCGAGAGTATGGATCGTCTCTTTGCTCTGCCGTGGTACAAGATTGGCCGGTATGGTAACCAGGATGCTGATGAGCGTGATCAGATTGTGGATGAGAAGTTGGAAATGACGGCGCAGTCGCAGGGAATGTCTCAACATGTTGAGAGGCAGGATAGAGAGGGCAGGGTTTGAATGTCCCTTGATCTGATATCTTTCTTTTTTTATCTCTTGGATACCACTAGGGTTCATTTTCTAGATATTAGACAAGGTTTTACGTCTTTTGAATAATGGCACTATCATGATGAATAAACCTCTTTTGAATTATAATAACACGTTCTTGATCTTTTAAGGCCATCACATAAATACATGAATAGACAAATTTATTATGTCCTTTTGCTCCCGAATTCTTTTCTCTGTTCCTTCAACTAGCGTGACGATTGCTCAGTTGACGTCGTCTCACCCAGAGGGATGATCACAATCCTCGCCTTAAGCGCAGCCTTATCCCTCGACTTCCTAACAGCCCGTGCTGATCCACCACTTGTGTAAACATCCATGGCTTCCATATCATTTAAATATTCATCAGGTAAATCGACCCGGATCAAAATACCCCTAGGTCTAAAGACCGTCTCGTTCCAATGCGAGATATGGCGAGCAAGGTGTTCACCACGAACTCCAGCCAGTGATGAGATCAGATTGCGTTGTTCTTTTCGATTTCGGGTAACACGGGCAACGAAGATTGCTGGAATGACGCCCAGAATTCCGATCATCAGCCCACCCACTACCATTGTCCCCAGGCCTTTGCCAATCACGGTGTTCCACTGCTCGCGTGAGAGCTTGGCCTCATCGCAGACAACTTGTGTGAACTGCGACCACTGGGCTTCGGAAATACCGTAGTGTAACAGCTCATCTGGATAGTCGAAGCCTGATGTGCAAGCTCCAGACCTGGATGGCACTTGCAGGCCTCGGCTGAGAGCAGATGCAACTGCAAACCCGGGATCGCTTCGCTCAGGTCGGAGAAGTATTGGGCTGTCTTTCTTTTCATCGATGAATTCATTGTATCTCTCGGATGAGGAGTACGATGGTGGGGAATACGATGGTGGGACATCGTGATGTTCCGGCGTATTCATGACTGGTGGAGTGGATGTCTGTATAGACACAGCTAGTGTTGCTTTTGATGGAGTTTTTAATTTGCCGGTGCTTTTTCCACAGGAAGGATTTTTTGATATTCAATGATTTTGTGATTTCTGAACTGAAAAAAAGGTCGCCATCGCAAATACTTATAGTTCTTCTTGATCCTCATTCTCTGCTTCTGCTCTTCGGTTAGGCCTTGGTCAGACGTCTTGCGTGGCAGTGTGGCCTGAGTGATTTTTTCGGCACTCGGAGTCATCGAAACGGGCTTTCAAATTATGATGCCTTAGATAGGTCGCAATATTTTCTCATTCGAGGCACTTTTGAGAGACCAATAATGGTTGAGTCCGTTTACGAGCGGGGACCAGATTTAGTCATTCAGCACAAGGTTAAGCTTGTTTTGGAGAAATGCATTCGGCTAACTGCATTGCATTCGCTTAAATGTGTTGTCATCAATGATAAAGACCCGATTGACCAATAGAATAATACTCCAGTTCGGAGTTTGATCTTTGTCACTTCGTATGTGTTGTTTACTCCTGAATTCCGAGCTCCGCGTGAGTCACCAAAAAGGGACGTGCACACGAGCTAAACAACCAAGCTCCGATTATTCCAGGCATCATCTTTCTCCAACTATTCTAAACATGACGACGCGTTATAGAGTAGAGTGTATGTTATATAGATGCCTATCACATTATTCATCTTTGCTAACATTTCCTAGATGCTCTCAAGGTACGGCCATCTCCGAGTCCTTTCCGCAAGAGATGTACCCCTCACTGACTCCGCACCTGTATAGACCCATCGCCGCGATCAACTAGTAAGTCATCAATACCTGGCTATATAGCTAAAGAATCTTACTAACGGTCGGCAGATCGAATGGATCAAAGTATGTCCCTCAGTCATGCCATACGGGCCATTTCTAATCCCTGTAGGGTCTGCTGGCCGTCCCCTTTGTCCTACATTCCCAGCCCACCGCCATCTACAAGGAAAATGGCGAAGTACTGAAAACAGTCGCGGCCGACGCCCACGTTCGCTATGCAGAGATTATGCGTGATGTAGAGAATTTGATGCTTGATCACAGTAAGTGGGATTAGTAAAAATCACGAATCGGAGGATAATTCCTAACTCTTCCAAGTCCAACACTACGAACGCAATGCTCCCGGCAAATCCAAATTAAACCTACTCGTGCCATCCATCGGCACTTTTTTCACCAAGCTACATCTGGAAGATGCATTCAAATATCAAGACCAGCAGCGATTCATCAGCCGACGACGCTTCGTAGCCCCTTCATTCAACGACATCCGACTTATCCTGAACTCAGCCCAGGTGATGGGCCTTGTTCGCTCCAGCGATGTCAAACTTGTCACATTCGACGGAGATGTAACACTCTATGATGACGGTGCCTGTCTCACATCCGATAACCCCGTCATCCCGCGGATTCTGCGACTCCTCGAACAGGACCGCAAGGTCGGCATTGTGACAGCGGCCGGATACACCGAAGCGCCGAAGTATTACGAGCGCCTTCAGGGTCTGCTCGATGCAATGCACGACTCCACCACTCTCACCGCAGACCAGAAACAAGGACTTATCGTCATGGGCGGCGAGAGCAATTTCTTGTTCCGCTTCGACCCGACCTCGGACGCCCGACTTGCATATGTGCGGCGGAGCGAATGGTTGCTCGATGAGATGCAGGCCTGGAGTGATGAGGATATTACCGAGCTTCTTGATATCGCAGAGTCAGCTCTGCGTAGCTGTGCCGCGAATCTCAATCTGCCTGCTGCGATTCTACGAAAGGATCGTGCGGTTGGTGTCTATCCCGTAAACGGTGTCCGAATCAGCCGTGAGCAGCTGGAGGAGACAGTGCTGGTGGTGCAGCACACGGTTCAACGTTCGGCTGTTGGGGCACGATTGCCATTCTGTGCTTTCAACGGTGGAAATGATGTCTTTGTCGATATTGGCGACAAATCATGGGGTGTGCGCGCCTGTCAGCGTTATTTTGGTGGTATCGATCCAGCCAAAACACTACATGTTGGCGATCAGTTCTTGTCAGCTGGCGCTAATGACTTCAAGGTGGGAAAACCATGGGACTCTCCTTGCCTACTGGTCAGACTAACTTCCTTTTATTATTAGGCCCGTCTTGCATCCACAACTGCCTGGATCGCAAGCCCCGCTGAGACAGTGGAGCTACTCGATGAACTGGAGAATGCGGTTCACCCGTAGTCATCGAACTCCACTTTGACCCCTGGAATGATGCATCAAAATCTGGGATCATTCTGTGTTCAAGGTCAGTGCTACGACCTACGACTGATAGACCCTCAGCGATTCTATAGTACTGTCTTTGGACTACCTCTTTCATACTCACGATAGCACTCGCCCGTAGCGTTCTTAGTTCATTTGAAATGATTTCAAGCTTAAATTGGATGGTTCTATCTACAACGCAGCTTATGTCGTAGATCAAAAGTCTTGAAGACGGGTAGAAAGAAACACATCAAATAAAAAAAAATGCAATATCCCGAACTCCCAGGCATAAATGTCGCGTAAACCATCCTTGGGTCTGGAGGACATATTGCATAGCATCGTACAAAGCGTAACGGACGTCCAGTACGATCGCCCTCAAAATCACAAGCCGGCGGAAGGCTCGCCGGCCAATATTTGGAAAAAATATTCAAGAATATCCGGGGTTCATCATCGGGGGGGGGATTCCATGGTTTGTTGGAAAGAAGTTGAAGTCCTGTGGGTGGAAGTCCTTTCAAGGGTAAGGAGAGCTGGGAACCGAGGGAACCGAGGCAAGAGGTCGAACTGCCGAAGGACCTGTAAAGTAGGAAACCGGAATAATTGTTAACATCCGTATGGAAGGCCAGAAGTGATCACTGTACGTGGGGCAGGAGCCGATCCTCAAGAGGCCGAATGAGCAAAAACAAAACGAGAAAAACGAGCAGCGTCGAAATGAATTGGAAGGGGGAAACAAGGAAACAATCAGGGTCGTAGTCGGTTTACGTACTCTCATAACAGGTCCAGGTTTCGTCCTTGTTAGCGTGAGTGCGTCCAGACAGAACATTGACCACATCCTGCAGTTCAAGCCAGAACTCGGACTTAGGGCGACGGCGCACCCAATCAGTTTCGGCAGCTTCCAGTCCATTCTCACCACCCATGGGGGAGAATAGCACATGTGAGCCCTTAACACCCATCACAGCAGTAGAGAGGGGGTCCGCAGCGATTTCATCAGGGCTCTTGCCGGCATATCCTTCAATGTGTTGCATGCACCTAATAGACATACGCATAGCACGAACACGATCCATTGGCGAAGGCTTTCCACCTTGCTGGAAGTGACCGGGAACAGCAGCGCGAGACTCGAAGCGGCCCTTGGCCTCTTCCTTGATCATGTCGGCGATCACCTGTGTGGTGTATGTGCCGGACGCACATTCGTTACGCAGAATGATCTTACCCGCACGGTTAGCTCCTTTGTCACGGATGAAGTTATCGCGAAGGAAATCAATGTCACGTGAAAGCATCTTGATATCAACACCCTCCTCGGGAATGTACACTGCCACAGCACCTACAGCGAGGCCAGCTGTGGTAGCAATATATCCAGATTTACCACCTTGGGTCTCAATTACGAACACACGGCGGCGAGAAGAGGAGGCGGATTGACGAATGGCATCACAGAACTCGATCAGAGTGTTCAGGCAGGTGTCGCTGCCCAAGGAGTATTCAGTTCCGGGGACGTTGTTAGAAATGGTAGCTGGGAGCACGATGAGCGGAATCTTGAACGCATCATACTTCTCACGAGCCTGGCGCAGCTCGCTAACGGCTGTGAAGGCCTCGAAACCGCCAACAACAAACAAGGCATCGAACTTGTACAGCTCAAAGCACTTGGCAGTCGTCTCCATATCACTAGATGGCAGGGTACGGTTCGTTCCAATGTCTGAGCCACCCTCATTGACCCAGTTATCAGCGTCCAACCAAGTGACTTCGCGGACTGAGCTGACTGGCTGATCGGCATGATGACGGCACAGTCCAGGGAAACCGTTATGAATGGCCAGTGGGGTATGGCCACGGGTCAAGCAGTATGCAACAGCGCCACGGGTTGCTTGGTTCATACCACCAGCGGGGGCACCGACGTGAATAATGGCGATACGCTTTCTCTATAGAATAGTAAGCATTTGGGAACACTGGGGAGCCTGAGCAGCCCGGATGGGGTAAGGAATTAGATGCATACCTGGCTCTCTGGAAGAAGCATCCTCGGGTCGTCTTGTTTCGCGGTGGTCATATATGCGTTGTAGTACTCCTTGAATTCGGGATCACGGAGCTTCATAGCCTCATCAAACTCCATTTCTTCGATTTTCGCTGATACATCTTTGGTTGCTTGGACTGCTTCCATCAGAGGGGTGCGCATGATCTTGTTCTCGCGGATGGTGATGACTGGTGAAGGGGACTCGGGTGACATTTCTAGCACAGCACGGACAGCCTCCACGCCCTGCAGAGTTGACAGCCAGCGGTCGTAAGCGCATGCCGCGCCACCTCGCTGAGTATGGCCTAAAATGGTGACTCGAGTATCCAATCCCAACCGATCTGTGAGCATATCCTTGATTTTCGAGCTCGAGATTTTGTTCAAGTGGCGATCCTGGGCTCCCTCGGCGACAATAACGATCGTACGGCGCTTACCACGTTCGGTTCGGTTCTATCAAACCCCATAGTCAGTAAAAAGAGGATATTGAATAGCGCTAGAGTAATTCCCACCTTAGTGATTACGTCACACATATCATCCTCCCAACCATCCTTCGGGGGCATCTCAGGGAGGAACATCCAGTCTGCGCCAGTACTGATGGCGGACATCAATGCAAGCCATCCACAGTGTCTGCCCATCACCTCAATAACGAAACCACGCTGGTGGGAGAATGCAGTATCGAAGACATCGTCGACTGCATCACAAATACGGGTCAAGGACGAATAGCAGCCAATAGTGGCATCGGTCCCAGACATGTCATTGTCAATCGAACCTACCAGCCCCACAATGTTCAACACCTTGTAGGGTGCCACCTGCTCAGCAGACAACTCTCCTGCGGCAATGAGGTCTGACAGCAAGGCGGGCCACTCGGCCCGGAAGACATCGGCACCAGTCAAACTGCCGTCACCACCACAGACGACCAGTGCATCAATACCTTTCAGAATCATGTTCTTCGCTGCCTTCAGACGGCCAGCACGCTCACGGAATGCCTTGCTGCGGGCAGAGCCAATGAGGGTACCACCACGCGACAACCAACCACGAACATCCTCCCAGTGCAGTTGGCGGATCATGTTGCCGCCATTGACCAGTCCTTCGTATCCTTCGAAAACAGCATAGGCTTCGCAGTCGCAGTGAATTGCCATGCGGACGACGGCCCGCACGGCACCGTTCATACCAGGAGCATCTCCGCCAGAGGTGAGAACACCAATACGGCGTCTCTTAGCCGGTTGAGTGGCAATCTTGATGGGCTCCATATCGAATCAATTGAAAGCGACCTGAGGTTCAGGTCGATCAAGAGAATTGAAATGAAAAGGTAAAGAAGAAAAGAAGCCGAAAAGAAAAGAAGCTCGATAAGCGTTGTAAAGCTCCAATTATGAATGGGTGGGATATGGAGGGGTCAAACCCAATCCGGTGAGAGAAATTGGGCAGAAGTGGGTGCTTTGCGTCACAGACAAAACAACTTGAAGCTAAAGTACTTCGGGTTTCAAATGTTGGATTTAAGAAACACAAGAAATTCTGTCGAGGAAAGATGAATTTAACTAGATTCTTCTGAACTACTTGTATACAATCCCTTAAAAATTAAAAGTGGTCTGACATTTTTTATTAAGCCAATGCCTTTTTAGTACTTGCGCTCCCTTACAATTTAACTACAAAACACATGTCACCGCTCGGTCAATTTGGGTCTAGTGCAGGCGGTGAAGCAGTTTACTTGACGTCACTACTGTTTGATTTGTTTGTTTGCTCCCGAGGAACCCCGGGGGGGCCAGACCCCATGACATCTTTCTCCTGAAAAGTTGATTTCTTGTTTATTCTCATTTGATTACAGTCGTCGACCTCATCATATTCATTATTATGCTGCCTCACTATGGCTTAATTCTGCATTTATCATTGGTGTACAACCTAGCCCCTTTGTCAAACATGGTCTGACCAGTTCACGCAACCTTCGTGCATATGAATTGAATCAAAGGAACAATGCCATACAGATGGTCACATGGTTTCCCATACTCCGTACTAATGTAGCTCTTGTGAAACTCAATTATCTCTCCCGGGGGCAGAAGAGCGCTACACCAGGATGCAGGACTTTTGCAGTGCCACCCGGTGCCACCTGTAGTCCATACAACATACAGCCTGTGGCCACGTTTTTTTGACGCTGACACGTTGTGGCTAAGTGCCCAGATATTCCAAGGTTTCACGGGCCCCTTCGGTCCCACGTATGAGGTACAAACCTCCGATTAAGGCTTTCAGCGCCACAACCACAGCACTAATGCTCTTGCTATTATCGGATACATGGGCAACAGCAGAATCGAGGGCGAAAATAGAATCTTGGAATTTCATTTAACATGGATTAAAAACTTAATATGATCCCATCAGGGGTGGTCTGATGTATATACGAATATCGTTGTCTTACTGCTCCTCGGATATTTCAGTAATGAGTTTCTTCGGCACTTGCAAGGGTTGACCACTTGCCCACGATATCCCTGAGTTGCTTTAGTGCTTACTTGTAGAAAGTGTTCGAATGTACAACATAGTAGCTCGAGTCAAATGATCCTGATAGAACGCCTCGGCCGAAGTAGTCGGTCGATCTTTAGTGGCACTTGCTAAGCTAAATCAGCTTCGGCTTCGACAACGCAGACATCGTCGAGCCTTTGACAGCGATGGCTGGCCATTGACAATGCCACTGATTTGCCACGCTCAACTTGGAATCTGGGTCACAATGGCGAGGTCACCACTGGTACAGGCAACACTATGCCGGCCGGTATCGAGTCCAAGCATACCTACATGGGCCTTCGCATACTACACTTCCGATCTTGTTGACAAATATGTGCGAGTGTTTCCTAGTATTCGGCGACATATATTCAAAACCGCTTTGGCAACTCAGTAACGTGAATTGCTTCACTGTCAGCCCGTAGTCTGGGGCATCTCTCTATTTTGTGTTCGCCCCTTCTTAGAACTGTCTTTTTTCTTTGGGCTTGCTATGGGCAAATACGCGTAGTGCTCTAAATTAAATGATTTTCTAATTGTGCATGCGGTCAGATACATTGATAGTTGAAGCTTTGCTACCAAATACTATAAGTGTGTAGCTAGTGTCCTTTTATGACCAGCATGATTTAGCTGCTACATTGTCAGTTGCGAATTGGAAGTCGATAGCAAGGATGTGACTTACCCTGAACACGAATGGCTACCCTCTGTCGCTGGATCTTTACATCCACTCGTGCAAAGCTTAGGGTGTCCAACATCGCCGGGGTTCTTGCAATGGAATAGAACATTCTCAACATCCTCATCCTCTAGATCCGATCCCTTCAAAACATCCTTCAGGTCGGCCTCGGTGAATCCTATCGTTTCTTTTATTAGTCTAGCGCGGTGATTTTGACGGGAAATAAGTTACCTTTGTCTTTAATCAGGACATCAGAACAATAATCAAAGCTAGGAGTGCACGTCTTCGTTGCGATGCCAGTTGTGGCTAGTGCAAAAACTGTGAGAATGATGGAGGAGAGCTTCATTGTGAGAAAAATGAGATATTCAAGATACAACGAAAGGATGAAAGTGCAAGATAAGATGGAACTTATTGAACTATTATAGCGAGGTCATCCCTCCAACATGATATACTCTCATAAAACAAGTCCTTCACATTTTTAGTTCTAAGGTCCTACGTAGTTGGTATGGAATGCTATCTGGAATGCAGTTACACCATGTATATGCCTCAAGACGTGGAGGAGCTGCATATCCTGGTCAGCTAAGATTCTTGGATTTATCCCATGGAATCATTCCAGCCTTTTTAGTGCTAGACGTGGCCCCGGGGTATTAATACCTGGTTATACACAGAAAAGTCTCTACACAAGTTATGCCTTCTACTGCTTTTCCATCTTTCTAACTATAAACCTGAGAAGTGGGAGGAAATATCTAGGGGAAAAATCTAAAAAGAACATCACTTCTAGAAAGACTACATAAGGGGCCGACTATTCTTATTTCTTTAATGATTTCATAAACTGATTTTAAACTCCGAAGTAGTATCTCCTTGTTGGTCAAGCATTCTCCAACCCATGTGGCGGCACGCCGTTGGATAACCCTTCTTTTCTCTTCACTCGTTACTCTCTCGTTCTCATTATATGAATAGTCTTTATAAAGAGATGTTTTCTGATGAAAAGAACAAGCAGTGTGTTCAACACGCTCACTTTAAAATCACCAGCCACAATGTCAGATAGTCAGCTAGTTCTGTCGCACGCTCGCAATATTCATTATTTTCTACAACCCTTGAATGCTGTGGTCAAAAGGCCTAAATCCCAGTGATTAAGCCCAATCTCGCCTTTTCCGACATCGGATGCCAGAGAGAATTTACTTCCCACTTGGGCAGTCTGATCCTTTTGAGATAAGATAAACCCCGCACAATGTCTTCAGGACTACATCCATATAAATACCAGCTCGTCCGAGATATTTTCTTAAATCTAATGCAGATTTATCTGTTTTATTCTGATTAAAATATCAATTGCATGTTCTGGATTCTTTAATAACCCAAAACTATTGAATCCCGGGCCTTTTGCATCCTTTTCCATGGCGCCGAATGATTCAGGTAACCCCAATCGACCCCGATTCCCAAAGTTGATTGATATGCTATCACTGAACTCTGCCCGCAGTTTAAATAGAATGTTGACACAGTCTAGTATTGAGCCTCGTTACGGCCGATCCAGGCCTGCCGCGACCCAATCCCACCCAGTCCTACTGGCAGCACATTCCACATGCACTCGCCAACGTCCAATCCTCAAAATTGCCAACTGACCGAGATTTTGCAATCATTGGGTCCGGCATCACAGGTTTATCTGTTGCTAAAACCCTCTTGGAACGCCACCCTACTGCCACAGTGACCGTTTTGGAAGCCCGTGCGCTTTGTTCAGGCGCGACTGGGCGCAATGGTGGGCAGATGGCTGCGAATGCCGGAGAGCAGTATATGAATCTTGCACAGACTCATGGGGTCGAAACGGCGGGCAAGGTTGTGGATTTTACATTCCGCAATTTGGAGAAGATGCAGGAATTAATTGAAGAGTATGGTGCTGTGGAGTTCAGTGAGATGCAACGTCTGCGGAAGCTGCGAGTCTTTTTGACCCAGGGGAAGTTTGAAGACTTCAAGAAAAGTATCACGCGTCTCGAAACGGATTATCCTTCTAGGAAAGGGCTATATACAATTTTAGATGCGGATGCTGTGCTTAAGGCTAGTCTGGTCGTCCATGTGGTGATAGGGTGTTATTCTGATCTTTTCATTTTTAGGAGTATGGAATTCATGGAGCATCTGGAGGAGCACTGCTTCCAGCTGGGACGGTCTGGCCATATCGTCTTGTCACCAAAATATTCGCGGCACTCTTGAAAAAATACCCAGGTCGCCTGACAATTGAGACACATACACCGGTCGAGTCCGTTGAGCACATTTCAACAGTCGTCTCGCCAATCAAGAGTATTTATCCATACATACTACGCACTTCTCGCGGTCCATTACGAGCACGGACTGTGATTCATTGCACCAATGGATACAGCGGACATCTCCTTCCTCGCCTAAGAGGACTTGTCCATCCTTTCAAAGGCACAATGACAGTTCAGGATCCGCAGAATGCTGTGCCAAATCAAGGCACGGCTGTGTCATGGGGTTTCCACTACCCTCCATCCTATGATGTCAAAACCCAACGTCTAGGATATGGCCTGTACTACCTAGGACAGAGTGCAAAGACCGGTTATTTCTACTTCGGCGGCGAGAATGCTCGTTATGATGAGTCAATAACTGCAGACGACAGCTCCGTGGCTGACCATTCTGTTAAACACTTGGAGGTCGTCCTTCCACGATTTTTTGGCAAAAACGACAGATCCGATTGGCGCCTGGTCAGTTCGTGGAGTGGTATTATGGGTTATTCCTCCGATGGTCTGCCAATGGTCGGACGATTATCACCGGCGCTGACAGGTCGAGAGGGTGATGGCGAATGGATTGCTGCTGCATTCAATGGATATGGTATGGCGAACAGTCTGATGAGTGGCGATGCGCTGGCTTTGATGATTTTGGGCGAAGATGTTAGTGACTGGCTCCCAGTTGCGTATGGACTGGGCGAAAAGAGGCTCCGAGAGACGCTCACAGTCTCAGGGACACTCAATTCACTACGCTCAAAACTATGAGAGATGACCTAGTTTCTCGGTGTGGTCATACATGATTCAAACGAAGTGCATTTCAATTCAGCTTTTGTAGCCATGATTTGTACAGGGTATCCAATGCTCTGTCTATTATTGATTTTGCGAAAGTAGATGGGTATGAAAAAAAAAAATTTGCATAGACCCACTTCACCTCGCGAGCTATCACAGCTTTTCGTTTCTGGCAAAAATATTCAGAAACAAAAAAGAAATGGACTTGCAGGGAATCGAACCCTGGACCACTCCCATGCTAAGGGAGTATTATACCACTAAACCACAAGCCCAATTGGATGAAGATCGGGGAGCAGGATCGGCTCAAGGCGGTCCAGGGTGGAGTGGTTCGGCCCGATGCCAATCTGTGCTTTCTGTGGGTCACACCTTGGACACAAAATCCATTAAAGAGGGCTGGTTAGGTGACCCAGCAATAGATGGTTTCCAAGTATGCGGCACTGAATGGTAAGAAGGATGTTCACACTTCCCGCGCCCGGTTCCGTCGATACAGCGCACGGTGTAAATCTCAAGAGACAGTTCATGGCGGGATAGAGCAATCTTCATCTTTTTCCGTTTTTCTGATTTGGAAGGAGAGAGCAGAAGTTCGCCATGTTGAGGGTAAATTGCTTCCCATGTGCGTTTCACTTGGTCCCTGTCAGACCTTGGTGAACTCTTAGATGAGATGGTGAAAACAACATCAAGCAACAAGAGATGGGTTATGGCAGCTTCCACGTCATCTCTATGAGAAATTTTACCAGGAGACTGAAGGTCCGAGTACTTGGGCATATTGAATGACACATCAAATGTGGTGCCGAACGGTGGTGAGGAAAGGTTGGTGTGAATCGCGATTGAGAAAGAACCCCGTGGGGTCAAAATTTTCCCATTGAACGTAGACAGCAAGGGGGTAAGGAACTGTCCAACTAGTGTCTCAACTTTTGGGTCAGGAGAGGTTTGTCTCTGTCTCACTGTCGAAAACACTCTTGTGGTGTACGCTGGGAGTTCCAAATCTGCCGATTGCAAAACACCGAAAAGATCCTTCAACAATGACTGAAGCCAGCGCACGTGAGACATGTGTTTGATGTAAGCTAGAGCTGGCCGAATAAGTTGCTGCTCAGGAATAGATCGCGTTTTCGGGGTCAGGGGCGGCGGAAGTAGAGTCCGACGGCGCAAATTTTGACGATGAGCATACGCCAATAATATCCGAATCGTATGTGCCAAACCCTCTGCAAGAGAAGTACCTTGTTGTGTGATATCATGTTCGGGTTGCAACGTATTTTCATCAGTATCAACCAAGTCCAGTAAAACTTCAAGATCATCGGAAGCAGGGATTTGAATGAGATTCTGACGTGTAGTCACGCCAAGGCTCGCGATCGCCCGGGCTTCTCGGACTAGCTCGTGGAAAAGCTCCTCTTCATAAACAGTGTCACGCGCTTGCAGAATGCGATCCTCAATCGTTCTATCGCCGTCGAGGCTGGACCGCGTCGGTTTGGAACTTCCCGTAAGCCGGCCATCCTGTATCACGCGTACTCGGACATAACGGGCTTTGGACGGAATCAATCCTTCATCCAATAGCAAAGCCCCATCCTCAGCTCGGCGTAAAGAAGCAAGGCCGCGGTCGCGGAAGACCGGCGTGGCTGTATTTTGTTGTGGTCAGCAGATGCCTCCTACAGTATCAACGTCACGTCGGTATGCGCTCACCTTCAAGGAACCCATATTGCACACCCAGCGCTTGCTTTTCGCGTGGGAGACGAGAAATTTTCCATCCTTTGTTCTTAACAGCCAGCACCTCATTCCAATATCGAGTCTCCGACGCGACTTCGGTTTCAAGTCTAGAAGCAGCCTGCAGAAGCTTATTTGCGGCCGCGTTGAAATTTTGAATCCGCCATCCTCTTGATACCGCTGCTATATCTTTGGTTGTAGATTCCGGCTTCGGGGGAGGGTTCACAACCTCGGCATTGAGCGAACCAAGGGGTGCAACCTGCTTGAGGAAGGCCGACATGGAGGTTTCGGCCTGACGCGGGGACTGCTTGGAGAGCAAAAGGGAGACGAAGTCGAGGGCAAACATGGTCTCCATGTGAGCTTGCCTGAAAAATTGTCAGTTCTCGCGCACTGAAGGCATAACTTCAAGACTATTGGACTTACATGGCGAACTGAGTGATCTCGGCCCGCCGCTTGTACAATTGCTCCAAGCGTTCCGTCGAGTCAAGATCGGTCGCATCTTGGCCACTCTCATCTACCTCATCCATGCCATCTTTCTCTTCCTCCTCGGCGATCTTGTTTCGAAGAACATCTTCGTTCACCTCCCGAAAGGAGCCCCACTGATTGTTGATTTGCGCGATCTCCACAGGCAAGGTATCTGGACGTTCACGCTTCTCATGGATGGGGCGCAAAGGCAGAGTGAAGGAGTCGGCCATAGCGTCAATGCACCTAAATATCCACCCCTCTGCGACCGTAGGCTCGGAAGTTAGCAAAACCAATAGCTTGAAAGGGAAGAGAGAGAAGAACGAGTGGGTGAGCTCTGGATCTCAATTCGGTGACGTAAGTAGCACGTGATCGTTATTAATGTTGAGGTAGGATCCATGCCACTTATACTTTGTGGTTAACTCTCCCCTGGCATTGTTAGTTAATGTTGCATTTTCTTTTCCTCTCCTAGAAATCCTTTTAATTCTCAGGGAACTAAGCTTTATGGGGCTGTGAAGTGTATAATAGTCAGTGCGGAAGCCCTCGACATCACAAAGCGCAATATATATCTGTAGCTGTCTATAATATGACTCGATTTTACACTTGATAAACAACGTCAATTCAAATGTAATACCATTTAAAAAACCATTAAGCAAATTTTTATGAGTAAAAACAAACTATAACTCATTTTAATAGTCTCAGATGTTCTTGGATACAACTATACAACACTCAATAGCCTCCACGTACTAGTTCTACTAGTACTAACTTATGACGTTGAGCTTTCCTAGATATTATATCCGACCGGAGATAAATGGGGATAACATCGATATATCCATGGATTTCTAATATATATGAGATTTCTAATACATATGCGATTTCTAATACGTATGGGATTTCTAATACACATGTGTATAATAGGTAGGGACATTAAATAGCAGACGGAGACAACTCTAGCGTTTGTTTATTTGCGAGTTCATTCTACTTTTTACGCAAACATCATAGTTGACACTGCCATCCTATTCTACCAATTGGGATACTGCCAGTCAGCTCTCTCTGCAAACCTTTGAATCACATCGCAAACCATGGCCTCGTATCTAGTGACAGGCTCTTCTCGAGGACTCGGATTGGCGTTAATTGCCCGTCTAGCGACATTGCCCAAAACTGAGGTTGGGACAATTATTGCCACCGCGCGCCAGGATAATTCTGCTCAATTGAAGGAAATTGCAAACGCCTCATCAGGGCGAGTGCAGATAGTTACGTTAGAGGTCACTGATGAATCCAGTGTGAAAGAGGCCGTGGCGGCAGTAGAGCTCCAGCTGCAAGGGAAAGGGCTTGACTATCTAGTCAACAATGCAGGAGTGCTTGACTGGTCCCCAAAGGGACTGGAAGGAATGTAAGTTGGATATCTTGTCAGAAGTACCTGCTGTGATACTGATTTCATAGGGACAATCTAAACGAGACATTCAATGTCAACGTTACTGCGCCACATCTTGTATCGCGCGCCTTCCTGCCACTTCTGCACAAAGGCGAGAAGAAAACAATAATCAATATGTAAGAACGTTGCAGTGAAGATATTATTCTTTCTATACTACCCTAAGAAGCTGACCAAATACAAGATCGACCACTTTAGGCTCCATCGCTAGGGCTGATGTGTATCGATCCATGCCGTCACCGGCATATAAGATCACAAAGGCCGCATTAAACATGCTCACTGTGCAATATGCTCAGCAATATGCGGAGGATGGCTTCACTGTTCTTGCAATCACTCCTGGTGTATGTAAACTCTTTTCCATTATTCCCTGACCGCGAATTCCGCGAATTTTACTAACATTAACAGTGGCTTCGCACTGAACTTGGTACCGATCGAGCAGACCTTCCGGTTGAAATAGGTGCTGAGAAGGTCCTGGATATCATACAAAAGGCAACGCCAGAGCAGAATGGAAAATTTTTGAACATAGATGTCCCTGGATGGCATGTGCGAGAGGGCCCAAACCAGTATGACGGCAAAGAAGTGCCTTGGTGATCAAAGAGGGCATCTTTCATCACCCTACTGGAGTCAAGCCCCAGGAAAGGGGGCCACAACTAAGAACCAGAAGAAAAGAATAGGTTATTTCACGGCTCACTTCACGGAGCAGATCCTATGTGCCAATTTCCTTTTGTATTACAATATACAGTTATTGCAAGGAATGTAGTTCAATCTGCTCGTTCCTCAAGTATATTCTAGACTTGTCACCCCAGCTACCTGGTATTTCCGGTGGGCCACCTCAGTCTTTTTTCGGTTGTCGAGTTTTCACAAAATCAACCAAGTCAAAGAAGCTCTTCTTATAGTATCGCTGTTGGGTCGTGCGATTAACCGCTTGAATGCCAAATTGCTGTGTGTAGTCTCCAAATTCCCAATTATCGACGAAGCTCCAAGCAAGGACCCCCATAACATGCACACCGTCTTCATGGATTGACTTGAGAATTTCGGACATGAAGGAAAGATAATAAACGCTTCGTGGAGAGTCAAAAAGCTGATCAGAGAGCTCCCGTTCCGCTTCTGCGTGTACCGGAAACCCGAACTCTCCCACCAGAACGGGATGTCGGAAAGTGTTCCACAGGTAGAAGAGATACTCTCGGAAATGCGTCGGTGTGATGTACACGTAGGATTCGGAACGATACCCGATGTTCCATCCGTAAACATTCTTTGTTTCTTGCTTGACGCAATACGGGAAAAGCTCATTGGAGCTTGATAGGTTGGCAGTGCAAGTTTTGATGCCTTCATCGGCTGGGGATACTACCGTAGCGGTATACGGATCAATCCCAAAAAAGTCGGATGTGTTTTGGATGTGTTTCAGTTCGGATTTGCTCAAGGGCTTGGCTCCTGGGAGTGTTTCTAACACAGACTTTGGATATTGCTTACCCAGGAAGATCGGATTTGCGAAGATACCGAGTTGCATTTCTTGGAAGCGATCAGCTGCCAAGACGTGGCTTGAATTTTTCGGATCTTTAGGCACTCCAAAATTGTCGTTGAACTTGATACCAATTTTTCCTGTAGCCTTTAACGTATCATGATAGAAATGATAGACCTGGGCATGTGCCTTGACAACGTGGTCCACTCCTTTGAAATTAAATGCATAAAGCAGGGGCTCATTGAAAGTCACCCATATTGGGACTCGGTCTGCATAATGAGAGAGTAGAATCTAGACAGTCATTGTCAGACTTGCATGAGAATTGACGGCTTGCGGAATATAAATCATACCTTTCCATAATTGACAAATGCGTCGACAAAGGTTTCATTCTGATAGCCGGCATTGTTGTAGCCAATATCAGGACGCGTCGTGATATTGTCGCCGGCGACAAACATCAATGGGCTGTCAAAATGAAGCATTGTAACCACTGGCTGCAATTACGGTTAGAATATTGTAGCTTGACAGACATATACTAAGATATCTGAGGGGGTTTTTTACCGTCATTCCTGCATCAAGGACTGCGTCAATCAAGTCATTATAATGATCAATGCCTTGTTGGTTGACAGGTGTTCCTGGTAGAGCAAAGGGCAAAATCCGCGTCCAAGGAATTGTAAAGCTGTAATGCTCCACACCCATCGCAGCTAATCGTTGTATATCTTGCTTATACAAGAAATAGTTTTCGTTGGTGACAAAGTCCTTCGGCTTGCTGTCGGGTACCAGTTTCTCCAACAACGAAGGTGATCGACCATCTAGCCCAATTGCACCTTCGATCTGGGCTGCACTCCCGGCAACACCAAACAAAAAATCTTTAGGGAAATTATAACAGTCTGTGGGACCAAAATAGTCGCGCGGTGGCAGGACCAGTTCACTGCTGGGCACAGGTGTGGGACTGACAGTTGTCGAGAATAACCCAGTGGTGGTCTAATGGAATGAGCTTCAACTTCGTTTCTAAAAGAGCAAGTTTTGGAGTGACATACATAATTGTGAATATCCGCCTCTAGCCACATGGAAGACCACGCAGCTTGTCCATATGGGTCCTCTGTGTCAGTTGCACTGATAATAGTTTGCCCTGGAAGCCAACTTCCCCATGTTGAGGTCGACAAGCTGGTGGTCAAATGCTTGACTGCGTCTGTATAGGGTGGGGCATATTTCCGTGTTGTTGTCGGGGCAGAAACCGAGGTTGCATATCTCATACTTTGATTAGCAAGCGATAGTGTAAACTAGATCTCTAAATTCCTTACCGAACTGTTTCATTCAAAGTATAGGAGAAGGGCTGAAAGTGGTAATTCGGGGCCACATTCGATTGTGTACATTGTGGTCGAGCGGTGTAACCGGTTGTTGTCAAGTATACTTCCTGTGCCTGTATAGCCACAGCCAAAGCTGCAAGGCAAGTGAATGGCGCTCGCATTTTTGAGCACACTACGAGGTGGTCCTGCCCTCTTACGCATAGGCAGCGGTCACTTTAAATAGGGATGTTGCTCAGACGTCAGTGGATGTGCCGGCTAATTGTCGGCCCATGGGAACAGCATTAGATGTGTGGCGTCAAACTCAAATGAGTAATGCCTTCAATTGCAATTCGTCTAGTGCCACTCCTCGCATAACTAGCGTTTGATGATGCTGATCGGAAGGCCGGCAGACGTAGCTGGTAAGGAGGAGTTGCAATGCCTGGTTGCATTTGCTCAAGGCAATTCCCCAGCTTCTCCGCATTGTGCGCCACTGCAGATCAACACCCGGCAGATTTGGGAAAAGAAGGTTGGGCGGAAAATTCATTTAAGTGAATCGAAAAGTCCGAAGAGATTGATACTACTTTCGCTGCGTTTAGCTATCACGTCATATAAACGCGTCTATATATATTGTGCTATTCCATATGCTCCCACCCCCTCTTCGGGATAATCGTAAAGAGCTGCCATCAAGTTTATTTATGTAGGTGGCACAGACAAAGTTGAAATTCATACAATCAGACATGAGGATTGATATTATTTTGTAACGGAATATAATCGACCTCAAAACATGTTGAGCAAAGCACTCAAGCTATCTGGGGTAAGTATTCTTTTGTATAGGGTTATATATTATTAAATAGCAGCACCTTTCATCCAATTGGGCTTGTGGTTTAGTGGTATAATACTCCCTTAGCATGGGAGTGGTCCAGGGTTCGATTCCCTGCAAGTCCATATTTTTGCTTTTGCTTTCTTTCTATCAAATATTCTTGATTACAATATAATCTATAATTTCTTCCACAAATCACAATCAGCTCGCATGGCTTAGCGGTAAAGCGCATCACTAGTAATGATGAGATCCTCGGTTCGATTCCGAGTGTGAGCATTTCTTTTTTGTGTTTCTATCTTTTTGGTCTAATTAATGTACTCCGTAGAAGCTTCAGAAGCTTCAGATTGGCCAAGTTTGTGTTCATCCATCTGTTTCTGTTTTTTGTACCTTTTTTTCCCCCCCTTGGGGACCAATGGTGAATTGAAAGCCTATGATTTGTAGACCAATTCAATTGAAGCTAGTAGTATGTACCGGGATGTCCTAACACCCACCTACTCTTCCCAGTTGAAATTAATCACAATTCGTCCAGCCACCTCCCCCTTCCGTAGTTTCTCCACAGCCTCGGGCATGCGATTCAATGGATACACTTCACTGATCTGTCGTAGCGCTCCTCGCCGTGCGAAATCCAGTGCCATGGCGGTGTCACTTCGGCTACCCACAAGGGTGCCCTTGATGGTAAGATTCTTGAAGACGAATTGACAGGGATCAGCTCCTATCGTCATCGACCCGGCGACAGGAAGACCAATGCACATCACAATGCCTCCGATACGGTCTCCGATAAATGAAAGTGCTGTTTTATAAGCAGCAGGGGCTGTGACCAACACGCCATGAGCGCCGAGCCCATCGGCAATCTCAATCACAGCTTTGGTGGGATCGGCAACTTCTTTGAAATCAACAAAGGCCTCTGCACCCATCTCGAGCGCCAATTCCTTCTTGGAATCCCCTGTATCCACCACAATAGGACGCATTCCCATTGCTTTGGCCAGCTGTACACCTTGGATTCCCACGCCACCACCGCCGCCGGGGAAAACAACCCAAGATCCTGAGCGAAGGTTGGACTCAATCAGAGATCGGTAGATAGTACTGGCGCTGCACATAATTGGGCCGGCAATTTCGTCAGGAACTCCATCTGGAATTGGCGATGTATATCGTGCCGGTGATACCAAGTATTGCTGGTAAGTACCTGGTGTAATGAGCCCCAATTCCAGAACATTAGAAAGGATTCAAGTAAACCTTACCTGCCGTAACCAGACCAGTGAGAACTGCACCCTTGCAGTATGTCTCCTTGTCTTCCCAGCAAAGCGCGCAGGACCCGCATGTATCCATTATCGGTTTGATTCCGGCTCTATCGCCTACCTTGAAAGTCTTCACGTTGGCTCCAACCTTGACCACTACACCCGCACCTTCATGTCCCGGAGATCGCACTCCAAACGCTGACATAAATGGAAGACCAAGATCTCCTTGCATCATATGGATGTCAGATGAGCAGAGTCCAGTGTAGTTCAGCTTGACTAGAACATCGTCGGGGCCTATAATAGAGCGTCAGTCGCGGTGAACTTGCGTATAGTAGAATATTCGACAAGTCTAATCAAGCCTGGGGCCCTACCTGGTTCTGGCACAGGTACCGTCTGTACCTCGACATGGAAATTGGGGCCTTCGTTGACCACCACCCCCGCTTTACAGTGGGTGGGAATCTCAACTTCAGAAGAATCCATGACTGAACCCATGTTTTGAGGTATTGTATTGCAATACTTTAATGCAAAGCGTTGTCTAGAAGATCGTTCGATGGAAAATATATAAAGAAAAAAAATTTCACAATGGAAAGCCGAAGTGACACCGAGGTAAGAAGCTGGGGAAATAAATTGTGATTGCAACCCCTCTTTTGTTGTGTTAGCCTCATTGTCAATGGCTTGGCTTGGCCGAGGAGTACATATCATATCCATGCAGGAATGCATGCATCTTAACCGATATATCCGTGCTTCCGAGGAGGCATAATGGGGTAGTTCAGAGCGAGAATGATATGTTAGATTCAAACGATTATTCACAAAACGCCATTAAACACATCTAGAAATTAACATAAAAGCATCACAGATTCGCAAAATATATGTCGACACCAAAATAAGCGACAAAGGATCGAAAAAAGGAAAAGAAAAAAGCAAAGCACAAAAGCAAAACAAATATTAAAAGAAATAGATGAAGCTCAATCCCAAATCAGCCATCCAGTGGACCCGCCAATGCCAATCATAACCAGGATGGTTAGAATCCCCGCGCCGGCCTTGTCGCCGGTAGTTATATCATAGTCGAGACCAGGTGGAATCGCTTTTGGGGGTTTAGTGCCTGCATTTGGGTTGCCCCTACTTGTCCCACCGTCATCGTTAGTGACCGGGGCTGCCACACGCGTGATCAGATTCGCTTGAATGACTTCAAGAGCAGCCATCTGCTGACCGAAGTCTTTCGTCTTGTCCCACTTTTGCTCTGTCCACTTCAGACCACACACATTATTGTTGATACCACCAGTACAAGTCTTGGCAGCTGCCTTAGCAGAGGCCTTTAGCCGTTTCATGATTGTGTCGTATGCGAAAGGTGCCATCTGAGCAGTTTGAGCCATCCAGCGGGACAGATATCCCTTGAAAGACCGCTGGTCGACCATGCAAGTATTGACAGTCTCACAGGCTCGCTCGTACATCACGTTGGGTGGGTCATGAGAGAAGAAAACACCGGAAGCCTCAATGATCTTCTCGGTGCGCATCTTCCATTTGGGATCTTCGGTCTGTGCAGAGTGTTAGATAATATTTACAAATATCAGGAGGCATCAAAAAGCAGAGCTCACTCACCAAATTATACATATTAGCTGCACCAAGCAAGTATACTCCAGCGTTGTAAGTCCATTCAATCTGGTTGATTGGCTTGCACTCAGTGAGGTCACTAGCTCCATCCCAGAAGCGATACTCGGGGGTCATGAATCCAACTTCCGTAGTCCAGTCCCAAGCCTTCTCAGCCCAATCATGGTACGTTTGGTTTTTGGTGTACTTTGCTAGACGAGAAGCAAGGTTGAAGAATCCACCTGTGGAAATAGTGTTCTTATAATTGTAGCCATTGTTCCAGGTAAAAATCTGCCACCGCAAGCCACCGCCACACGAAGAAGTGTCCCACCGAGGAGCTTGAGTGTTGAAGACAGCCTGGGCCATTTCAAGCCATTGGGGTTGGCCTTCTGGTGGGTTTGGGAAGTTTCGCTCCGCCGCGGTCATAGCAGCAAAGCCCCAGAAGACTTGATCGTCATTTCCTTCAGTTTTGCTCTGGTTGGCCGGCATGAATGCTTTATTTGCTCCAGCTTGCCAGAGCAAAGCTTGTGTCGTGATGTTGTTCCAAGTATCATCGCCCGTGTAGAACCAGTAATCGATAAGGGCGTTGAACATTGCACCAGCCTCCCACCAATAGTATGGATCTGGCAAATTACCCGGGTTGTCACCAGGATTCATACCAGTATAGTAACTCATCATGTTGGTGGCGACGCTTTTGGCTGCCTTTTTGATAGAATCTTTGAGTTCAAATTAGTCGTTGCGCATGGACGGGCGGGAAACTAGAACACCTACCTGTATTTTCAAGATCCACCTCTATTGCTCTCACGGTTGAAGTGCCCAGCAGAACTGCAGCCAGAAGACCCATCCATGATGGTTGTGACGCGTAATTGAACACGCGCATGACTGATATATGGATTGACCTAATAACCAAGCGGAGCAGCAACTGCTTTCAAGGCTAGTCCAAAGAGGAACAGCTAAGCCTGCTGAATCTCACAAGGACGCTGTCAAGGCCGGTAGCGACTCGTCCCCGAAAACCAGTGCAGTCGTTGGAAGAAGAGTCAATTGAGTATCAATACAGCCATGAGTTGTGAGATGTTGTAAAGATAGACAAAGTACGGCTTGCCCCCAATCGTTAACGAGTTGAGGATAAAGAAAGATGAAGAAAAGCCGCCCAACCAACGCCAGACTCGCCGACACAAAAGTGAGAGGGGGATGTGTGTGTGGATTCGACTACCACATTCCAATCGCCTAGGAGCACTGGCATGGTAACAAGGCGTTGTTCCCTAGACCATTTGCACCTCCTGTAGGGGAAACTGCACCTACGTACCCTTCGACACTTGACTGCATTAAGCATGAAACCCACAATCCCATTGTGGTTCTATGGAACATTGGATGAGAAGGTGACAAGAGTGCAACAGGCAACCTCTCATTTCCATGGTTTCCTTGTGAGCGCTCCACGATAAGGGATCGCCGTGGCATTCCAGAGCAGCTGTCAAACAGATCAATTTTATCAGTCGAACGAAGCTGACGAATCAGCAAGATGCATGATTGATTAGAGGGGACAGTGGATACAGGGGTAGACAGGGCGGTCTAGGGCATCTAGGGCTGCAAACGAACGTGATGCAACAATTGACGCATTCCGGTGTTGCAACTCATCTTTCTGTCAGGTAGAGGCCCACGCACTGTCACTTATTCTTACACGCGTGATGAACAATCGCTTTATCACCTTTTTCTCACATGAAGGCTGCTATGTTGCTGTAAACAAACGCCACGCATGTTGAAGGAGCTGTACAACGTAGGGGTTAATCTATGAGTTCGGCATACCACAGGGGGACCCCCTGAGGAAGGCTATGTACATTGTGAGAATCATTTTTCTGAGCCAGCCCCTGTGTCCTCATTATTTTAAAAGATTTGAATCCTGCGAGCTTCCTGAGGTCTACAAGGACTTTGGGAGTAACTATTCACTTACTGAAACGAAAACTGATTGGAGCTCTAAGACCTTGATGCCTTGATACCTTGATGCCTGAACATTTTTGAGGCCTAAATTGAGGCCTGAACTTCTGCCTTAATAATCAGGCATTAAATATAACAAAATCCATAATCGTCCACGGATGGACAGCTTGCTGCTTTCACATTGTTATGGATTATATATATTCCAGTAACAACATCTTGTTTATTCCAAATTCAAGATTTGAAATTAAGAAAAGATTTGCACGGCAGGATGCTTGGAAACCCCGCAAACCCCAATAGGCCTAAGAATAGGAGATCCTGATAAGGCCAGAATTGGAATATGCTCAGTCCATCACCTCATCGGAGCAGAAATGACTTCCGATTATCCTCACGGCCCAAATAACTAGGCTTCTCAGCAACCCCGTTGGGAAATGCCCCTGGTGATCCTATGCAGACCGGGAAAGATTGCAGGTTTGCCGGAATCCCCGTATGAACTAGTCCTAGCCCAGAAGGTCGTCGGAGAACATCATCCAAACAAAACAGCCTACATCCCACGGTCGTATAAACCTTCAATCGTGTGACACAGTGTTACTTCGTCCTGAACGCCACTTCAGGAGTTTTATGCTTTAAATGAACAAGCCATCCCGTACATTTTGCGATACAAGCTCAGCGTGACTGCTGGTGTCTCAAGAACCAGAACCAACGAAACGACCATGTTCAAGAACATGAGCAAGCTTTGCATAGCACTGGCTATCAGTGCCAGTGCTTGTGCAGCGGTTACCGGTTCCAAGCCCCTTGTCGCCTCTGCCGGTGATATTGCTACTATCCCGGGCTGGTACCTTCAATCAACGACCAAAGTATCAGATGGAATGGATGTACTCTCCAAACCAGGAAAAGATGTCTCATCATGGTATCGGGTTGGTGCTCGCGGCACTGTCATGGCTGGGCTTCTTGAGAATGGGGTATACAACGAGACGGACTTGTTTTACTCGGATAATATGGAATCTATCGAGGATCCCTCCACGTTCGAAAAACCCTGGTTTTATCGAGAAGAGTTTACATTGAATCCATCTACCGGCCAATATTTTACCCTTAAGACACACGGAATCACATCCAAGGCAGATATCTATCTGAATGGAGTGCTCATTGCATCGAGCGACCAGCAGCAAGGCTCCTATGGCGGCCATCAGTACGACTTGACCAAATATGTTAAGGAAGGAGACAACTGTCTTCTCATTCGTGCGTTCCCAACTAACTATCTACGCGATCTTGCCATGGGCTTTGTGGACTGGAATCCCTACCCAGCCGACAATGGCACCGGCGTTTGGCGAAATGTGGAGATTTCTCAGACTGGAGCGGTCTCGATGTCGCCGTTCCGCGTTCTCACCGATTTTACCCAATCCGACTCTAAGCCGGTGAAGGTCACCTTCCGAACTGATTTGACCAATCATGAATCGACTGCTCAACAAGTAATAGTCGGAGGAACCGTCAAAGGGCCAGATGGCTCCACAAGTGTGCAAATTAGCGGCACCTTTGACTTGAAGGCAAACGAGAAAAAAACGGTGTCTATAGCCGCCACAATCGCGAACCCGGATATTTGGTGGCCTGCTACTTGGGGTCAGCAGCCTTTATACACAGTAAAAGCGGACGCCACAATCCAGAAACCTCAGAAGTTGCTGTCAGATAGTTCAATTAGCCAACAATTTGGAATTCGCCATGTATCATCGAAGTTGAACAAGTTCAATGATACCGCATTCTTCGTCAATGGCGAGCCCTTCCAGGTCATCGGAGCTGGATATGGGCCGGATATCTTTATGCGATTCGATATTGACAGGGTGCAGAAGATTTTCGCCTACATGCTGGACATGGGACTCAATACCGTGCGCTTGGAGGGAAAGCAGGAGCACCCAGAACTTTATGAGCTCGCAGATAAAATGGGGATGATGGTCCTAGCAGGATGGGAATGTTGTGACAAATGGGAAGGGTGGACTGTAAGTCTTCTCTATACATATGTACTCTACCCGAGACGCCAAACCATTGACCAGAAACCTTAGTACAATGACGATGCCAACGGTGTGAAATGGGGAAAAGCAGACTACCCGGTTGCAAACGCATCAATGCTGCACGAGGCAGAGATGATGCAAAGCCATGCTTCGATGCTTGGATTCTTGGTTGGTTCTGACTACTGGCCAAATGATCAGGCTACCGAGATCTATCTCGATGCCTTCAAAGCTATGGATTGGCCCAACCCAATTATTGCATCAGCCAGCAAGCGTGGTTATCCTGACGCTCTTGGACCATCCGGAATGAAGATGGACGGCCCGTACGAATGGGTACCCCCGAACTACTGGTATGGTAAAAAAGAAGGAGCGGCATTTGGGTTTGGATCTGAATTGGGTGCCGGAGTTGGAACACCTGAGATGAGCAGCATGAAAAAGTTCATGTCTGATGCCGATCTGGAATCACTCTGGAAAGAGCCAGATGCAACCCAATATCATATGTCCCGCTACGATTCGCAGTTTTATGATCGCTCAATCTACAACAAGGCTCTCATTGCCCGATACGGAAAGCCATCCAGCCTGGAAGACTACGTCATCAAAAGTCAGATGGCAGATTACGAAGCCACCCGATCTCAGTTTGAAGGTTACTCGACGCAGCAAAATGCCACTCGACCTGCCACGGGACTTATTTACTGGATGTTGAATAGTGCCTGGCCAAATCTGCATTGGCAGTTGTTTGATTACTATCTCAACCCAATTGGAGCCTACTTCGGCACCAAGGTCGGAGCGCGTGAGGAACATGTAGCTTATGATTATGATAACCAGAAGATTTGGTTGATTAACCACTCGCTTGAAAAGACCGGAAATCGGCAGATCAAAGTTGATCTAATTGATTCAACTGGCAAAGCACTATCCGCGGCTACAGTGGAGAGCAAGACAACGCCCCATTCCTCAAAGGTGGTGGCTTCGCTTCAAGGAATTAAAAAGATCACAGACGTTGGCTTCCTCCGTCTCACACTCAGTGATACCGAATCCAAAACTGTCCTCAGTCGCAATGTTTACTGGCTCTCTCCCACCAACGACGTCTTGGACTGGTCAAATTCTGATTGGTACATCACACCAGTTACCAAATTTGCCAAGTATACCAAGCTGCAGACATTGGCAGCGGCTACATTGAAGGCTACACTACAGAGCCTGGAGCTGAATTCTGCAACAGATGACGGGTTGACTCATGCTGAGGTTGTGCTCGAAAATCAATCCACAGGACCAGCAGTTTTCATTCGTCTGAATGCTATCAATACAGTCAACAACACAGAGATTGCACCGGTTTATTGGTCTGACAATTATGTGACTCTTTGGCCGAAAGAGCAGTTGCGGCTGACTTTTGCATTCGAAGGAGATATCCAGCATACTCAGATCGAAGTCACAGGAAGGAATGTGAAGAAAGTGACCCTCAAGGTTTAGGATGTTTGAGGACATAAGGGTTCCATGTAGCCTATGGGATGATGTGAATTTATATTGAGAGTCAACGTCTAGCTTGTAAATGAAGAACCCTTGGCTTACTTGCTACATAAAGGCCCTTTCTTATCTTGAAAACAATGTTCATTAAATTTAATGGTAACTGCGGTTTGAAGGATTATTTATCGCTTTCTTGTAACTGACTGATTTGTATAATCGCACTTGACCTCCTACACCATGAACATAATGTCGCCAAACGCATTTTGGCTGGAGCATCAACAAAATTACAATAAGTACACAAGGGCTTCAGCTTTCATAACTTCTGTACTATGTCGTTGTATTCCAAAAAAAAGCATGGGCATTACATATGACAAAACAGAATGAAGCAGATATTCCGCGGAGTGTCTGAGGTAGAGTATGTCCAAAGAGCAAATAAAATCTCAAATTATAACACGCCCCGAATGCGCAATGTACGAAAATCATATAGAAGTAACCAACGAGAAAGGTCTTTCAGTCTTTGTCTGTAATAACTTCAACACATGTGACATCTTTGGCCCAGAATATTCGACCCCAAGGACAGTAGGAGTTTTGATATCTTCGGAGTAAAATATGTTGAGATGCTGGCCCTTAGAATCGCACAATGAAGATGTCTTTGGAATGTCGGGAAATGTTAAGAGACCCTTAGCAGGTGTGCTGGCCCAGAGATAATATAGCGAAATACTTTGTAAAGCCAGAAATCCCTGACTCAGCTCCTTGATAAATGGAGTCAAGTCGTTTCCTGGCGCTAGGGAAACATGATGTAGTGTGAGTGAAGTCAAGGTTGGGCGAACTTTGGCGAGTAACTTGTGGAGATCTGGGTCCCCCATGGATGTCCGGAACAAAGCAAGTTCGCGCAGTTGGGAAAAGCTGGCGCTCTCGGCCAATTCATGCATAAATTCAGATGCCAAATCATGCATGCCAAGGTTTAATAGGAGGGTCTGGAGATTTGGAGCACTAAGAACCAGCTCAAGTAGGAAGCCGAAGTTATCCAACGTGAGATATTGTTCCAAAGAGAGATTTTGTAGATTGGCCCACACGATCTTAAACTCCGGTTGGCGATAGAGGAGCTTGGGAAGACGGCGCATATCCATGATCAAGGTGCGCGAGTTTCTGTTGGCATAGATAAGATGGAACGACGAAACTGGCAGACGAGCATCGACGACCAGCGCAAAGAACACGGCGACAGCGTCTGTGATAGTGACATGAGTCATGTCCGGATGACCCTCTGGATATCGACAAAAGATAAAGAACGATCGACAATTAATCAAGTTTTGGATTAGATTATCACGCAGAGACCGAATCGCTTCGACTTCTAAAGGAGCGGAGATAGGACCCCATGGATGACGGTTCCAAACCAAGCCGCGACCGACTCCATTTTGAAGCATGAAAGCCAACCCGGTGACATAGGGACGTAATGCAATATTCTGCGAGAGAGCGTTGATACGACGCAGACTGTCTTCAGAGAGGTTGGTCTTGATAGTTGAGAAGAACCGCTGTGCAAAGTGATGAAACGTTTTCCTCTGAAGTTCGCGACAGACTAAACGTAGTGCTAATACTTCATCTGCCTCAAGGAAGTCTGCAACCAACTCGGTCAGCTCAACCGGGAGCGAATGGAGGAAGGATAATGAGACTGGTTTCATTTTGTGAGTATTTACATGAAGAGTTTAGGATGACGAAAGGTGGAGAAGGAGGAGAAAGCAGCTTCCCCGGATTCCCGAAACCTCCAGGGACTCTACTTTTACCCCTCACTTGGAAAGTCTTCCAAAGTCTTTTTTAGGTGAATGACTTTCTGGAATCATTATTGTTTCTAAGGCCAGAATCTGCAGGCAGGAATGGCTATTCAGGCATACACGTATGGACCCACTTTCCCTTCTCGGAAGCATATGTTCCTACAAATTCAAGACAAGCACAAGCTCTTCGACATTCCCAGTGCCTGAGGGTTCCTCTGCTAGCTTTTAACGATCCCCCAAGGTTGCTATAGATCGAGTCCCTAGCTCATGATCTTGAAAATAAATAAAAAAGAATATGTATTATTCCACTTATGCATTCCCAACCCATTTGGTTGGGCGTAGCCTATGCGTAGGTACTACTAGCCATAGTATCGCCCCTCCTTTTTTTTTAAAAGAAAAAAAAATTGCTTCAAATGTTGCTAATATATTTTTTTTGGTCAGCTTTATTCACTACTCCCTCCCACCTAGATCCTCTTCAAAGAGGAAATTAGAGTCGGCAGAACATTATTATCCAGTACGGAATGCAAAGAAAGAGGGGGTACAGGATTGCACGAGAATCATACACAGCATAGAGCACTCGACTTTCCACGCGGAAGAATCCGACGAAAGACAGCAAATACCCATTGATCTGATTTACAATGGAACTAGTCCAACAAATATCAATTGGATAGTGCCGTCATCAACTATGAGCTTACATCGGGATTACCTGGAGCCCGGTCTAGTGAGCTCATCAAGCTTTCCAGGATTGGGAACTTTAGCCGAAATGCTGATTATAGACCCGCTACTCGCTTTACCACCATGAGAAAATTCCAGCAAGGTTTGTATCGGAACGGGTAGGCTGATGGGAGCTAGAAGCAGCTATGGTCAAAATCTGGGGAGGCTGGCCTGAGGTTCGCATGATGCGGCTGGGACCCCAGAGTCATGGAGGCGAAACAATGGAACGAGCCGAACCAGTAGGCTCCTGGATTTCTTGATAGCTTGATCATGCTGTAGCTCCGTACTATCAAGCTCAACGTGGCGCCCACGATCGGAACGGTAGAGGGATTGTAAGTGAGCAGTGAGGCTGTTTTCTTTTCGGCCCTAAGATAGTTGCTAACAGGTCCACGGGTAATAAATCACTTTCAGCATCCGAGAAAAATTCTGGTCGCGTGGCTGATTTGTGCTCGGCGAAGATACTGGTTCTTCTTGTCGCAAAGCTTGTCAGTGTCTTGTCAATAGTGAGCAGGGACAAGCAAAATGCTACTCTTTCCAGTGTACAGCATGATTCTGAAACTGGATCTCGATGCGGTTTTCAACGTGATGTTCGAGGCCGTGTTGTATTTGTCTTCGGTGATTCGTCATTCGGAGACGGGATAGTTTGGTTCATCGGAACCATCGAGCCAGATGGATGCTCATAACGACGGAGCTCGCGCGTAACCAAGTGATTGAGCGCTGACAATCCATGGAAAAAGCATCATGCGAGTTGTGTGATCGCCAGGAGAGGAAGAATTGCGCTCATTCTTTCAAGGTCACTGCTGAGGAGCAATTCAGGGTGTGGGTTGAAAGAAGGCCCAAGGCGATCGGGTCAATCTGATTGGGGGACATAGGAAATACGGGGTCGGTAATAGGTCGGGCCGAAACCAAAAGAAGTCCCCCGGGCCATTTTTGATTAAGCACCAAACTCATATTCCATGCTCTACTCCTTGGATATATTTGTACTTATCTCTCCGGAATTGGCACGTACTCGCCTGGAATGGCTGAAACTACAACACTGCCTGATAATACCTCGGATTTCGGTGATTATGTGAGCAATGAAGATGAGCAGCTTGACCTCGAAGAGCTTGTAGAGCCCTGGCATAAGTACGATATAACGGAAACATCGAATGTCTTTTATCCCATTGATCTTGGAGAATTGCTCAACGAGAGATATCTGGTCGAGCATAAACTCGGCTTTGGTGGTGGCTCTACTGTCTGGATGGCCCATGACCTTCACGATAAGAGGGGCGTGGCCCTCAAAGTCATGTGTTTAGGGGACTGGGGGGGGAAACGAATACCGCATGCAGGATGAAATCCTCCAGAATGTACAAGATACCTCTCATTTAGCGATGTATCTAGAGACTTTCATCCTCCCTAGGAGCGAACATAGGGTTCTCGTGTTTCCTTTAATGGGGCCATGCATTTCTCCTATTGACTTGGAACAAACCTCTATGGCTAGTCGCATGTCAGCTGCTCGGCAATTGCTAGAAGCCCTGGAAAATTTACACAAAGCAGGAATCGTACACCGTGGTGAGTGAGCCTACTCCCCCTCCTCTGTTTCTTTGTTAAGGTATATTCATCTTATGTTATATTATATTCTAATGAACGTCTTATAGATATAAATGAGAGAAACTGTATGTGGGGAATGATTCCTCTCCACAATCTTAATAGGAGTGCGAAGTACAAGGCACTTGGTCGGCCACTAAAGCAAAATATACCATTTGTTAACCTCGGGAAGAAGGGGGAGCTTGTTCAGCCAATCAAGGTCCCCAAGAATTTACGCACAGAGGAATTCTTTCTCGGTGACTTTGGCCTAGCGAAAAAGCTTAGCGATAGCATAACTCAACGAGGCTACCCCCCTTCGCAATATTGCTCCCCAGAACGTCTTCATGGAAAGGATTCAAGTCTTGCCTGCGATATGTGGAGCTATATGGTTGTATTTACTGTGCTCTGCCTTGGCTTTCCACCTTTTCCTACTTGGCTCGAGGGGGAGTAATAAGTGCTTTCGTTAGGTGTTTAGGTCCACTACCTGAACAATGGAAGGGCCTTTACGTCCACCCCGAAGGGCTTGATTCTTGGTATGATCAATCTAAAGAATCTAATCCGAATCATGACCTTGCATCAACAATTGAATACTTTCGTCCCGATGCCGATCCGATCGAGCGACAATATGTGAACTCCATCATGTGCAAAGTGTTTCAATATTGTCCGGGAAAACGTCCCACTGCAACAGAGCTTTTACAGGATCCGGCATTCCGGGCTATCATGGACAAATATGGTTGTTGATCTGGGATCCATTCCATCTTCCTGTTTCTCTAGTTTCTTTTGCTCTAATGTTGTTTCTTGATCGCCAGAGCTGGATAAACGTTCCGACAATACACATGTCATCCGTCTCGGCACTAGGAAATTACATGAGATTTGACTTTTCATAAAGTGCAAAGAATTTCGAGGCAGGCAAATGAAAACGTGTGCAACGAAAAGCAAAATGGTAGAGGAGGAGCTTCCATGGATTTCTGAAGCTTATGGGACTGTGACTTCTGATTCGATTGAAAGACCTAGACGATGACTAAGTGTTGATCAACGGGGAGAGAAAAGTAGGGTAATATGTGTGCCGGACTTTTAATGATGGAGTATTGATTTTTATCGTTTCGATGATTTTCATATGACGGGTGACTTCCAAGGTGTGTGAGGTGTGGCACGAAGCCTCTATCTATGTATCATATATCATTCATTGCTGCATAGCTGCCGCAAAATCCTTCCACATCGAGCAACGTTCTACCTCCAAGCGTGGAATAAGTTCCATCTCCGTTGAATTTGTCTGGAGTTTGAGTCGCTGTCCGGCCCCAATACCCCAAGCTTGCCATTCAGGGGAGTCTTTGTAACGGTAAATGTTGGGGTTTAAGGCTTTGATAAAGCTCAAGTAGTAATCCATGGTTATGGTGACGATTTTTGCGTTAAAGCTTGCATATGAATAAGTTGGTTCATTAGTTTCCCCTACCCCGAAAATTGCAGGCAAATCAAACACGTGAGGAACACCCATCCCATTTGCAATTTTTGTGGCGTCGCGGACATTGTACCGATAATTCCAGACGCGGTGGGGCGAGAATGATTTAGCCATCGCCGCGGCCATGAAGTTTCCTGGGCAAGTGAAGGTTGAATCTCCATAAGCGCCAGCAGCCAATGCGAAACAAGCCGCGTGTCTAGGAAGTGGCTCCGCATGCTCATATGCTTTGTTGATGGCATTCAGTTGGCCACGAGAGAGTCCTGGATAATTGTTCTTCCTAAACTGGGCTACTTCAGGTTTGTTGCTTGCATTGTACGCGAAATCGGTGCCCTCATTTGTCTCATCCCCGACTAATAAAGGCACGTGAACAAATTTTCCTTCATTGAATAAGTTATAAAGCTGATCATGGATCACGTTTCCATCAACAACAGGGAGAAAATACCACCGAGGAACTGGCGTCGGACTGCCCCCTGGGAATGGGTTGTCGAGGTTGAACTTTTGGATCGTTTTAATATCCACAGAACGCAAGCATTCCAAGGAGTCCGTTGTATTGTCACAGCTAACATTTTTCACGAATCGGTCGTACTGAAACTCCATCTGTGCAACTGTCCTTTGAGTAGGCCAGAATGGCGACTCTGCTACTGCCCCAACGAAAAGAGCCGTGTTGCGCTTACCATACGCGGTAAGATGATAGGCAACTGATCCTGCACCGGCAGAGTCACCATGAATGACTACATGATCTGGGTTACCTCCAAATTTGCGAATGTGCTTCTGAACCCAATGGAGAGCCTTGCGCTGATCAAGTAGTCCAGCATTAAGATCACCATTTTTTCGCACATGCTCACTAGCAAGGAAACCAAGCACACCGACGCGGTAATTAAAGTTGACAAAGACAATGTTGTTGCCTGACTGCTGAACCACTTCGCTGCCGTTATAATTGCCATTCGCATTGTTGGCGTATCCACCTCCTTGGATGAACAGCCAGACAGGGAAGTTCGAATCCGCACTCGCGTTCGTTGGCCGCCATACGTTGATAAATAAACAGTCCTCTGCTAAGCAGTCGCTGGTTGACTCTCCAACCCCCACGCAAAGGGGGCCAAACTATCTGAGTCAGTTCAGTGCGCTAAAGCAAGGGCGGAGACTAGTATTACCGATACTGCATCCAAAACCCCTACAATATTTTCCGGATCCTCTGGGCCTCAGAATCGCAATTTACCCAAGGGTGCCTTTGCGTATCTTATCCCAAGATACTGATCAATACCATTGGACAGTGACATTCCCCGGTACTGAGAATATCCCAAGTCGATTACCGGAAATCGCGGCATTGAAGGGGAAGGTAAAGCCGACAGCAGACCACCAAAGAGGCCTCCAATCAATATTATGATTGTTTTAATGGCCATGATTGTGCAAATCCAGTCAAAATACTCTATATAAATAGCGCTTAATGCCTTGTCTTGGGACATCAAGGTTCGGGGACCGACGAAACCTTGAGCGCTTCTAGGGAATGCTATACAACGAGAGATCTCTAAAGAGAGAAAGACTGTGGTGTATCTCCTGTGTAGCAAAGCGGACGAGGAGAGAAAGGAAGAGACAGGAAGGAAAGGAGGGAAGGGAGGAGGAGGAGGGATCTAACTGACTATATGGTCCTGATTTTAGAGCCCCATAACCTACACAGCACCCCTTCAACAGTATATTACTCACCGCCACTCAGATAATTCAAATGAAAAGGAATGCATCATCTGAGACGTATATATGGACAGATTTTATGGATAGCTCACAAAATCATGTCCAATCTCGAGAACTACACAGATGGAATCGTCCTAAGATGAAACCTACTCCCGGAAGGTTAGAAACTTGCTGCAAGTTTCCTAGCAATAAAAAAGGCCTGAATGCTGGCTACCCTACTATTTTATATTCAAAAGTTTCTCAATCCTGAATCTAGCTAGTTTGATGGGTTGTTTTATTATTTCCATATTAGCGTACAAAACAGCATTGATGAATGGTAAAGAGTATACCAGAAGGATAGCGCAAGATCTTCGGATTGGAACCATGGAATACAGAGAGAATACTACTCCGTATATGAATAGTACCAGACCCAGGAGTCCAGGGGGAAATTCAATCATGGTGATCAACAAAGGTTGCATCAGGTAGTTCTTCGATGAACCGGCAATTTTTAAGGTAATACTAGATCGTACGGAATATGCAATGCAGGATTCTCCAGCGCCGCCTTTCAATACATCATCTATATAAATACCCGCCTGAGGCACCATAATCCTTACATGATTGAGCATTAAATCCGGTCCAGGTGTGGTGTGCTCATCCGGATACGAAGACTTATAGGACTCAGGGTTCAAAACCCCTTTTGATACCAATTATCCTACACAACTATAACCCACATGGATAGTTATGTATTTCATACAGGCTTTTTATTGTTGCAAAAGAAACTTCATCAAAAAAAAACGAAAATACATTTAGCTCTGCGCTAAGTGTAATAGACTATAAAGTATGGCCTAAGCGAGTGCTTAGAGTTATAATTGCTACCGAGTCGGGTATTATAGTAGACCTATCCCTCGGCTGTAAGATTGTAATACAACTGTTACTGTTAGAGTACCAATCGACCGGTATACGGCTAAAGGTGTCTTTGATAGTTAAGTCTGTGTCTGTATAGACTAGGAGTCTAGCGATTTCCAATTTATAAGCTGAAGTATCCTACGTTTCTGCACTACAAATTACTGCCCAGATAATAAACACAAACACCCGTGGACCGACCCAACCGTAAGGTCCTTAACGAGACTCGTTGGTTGCTCTCTAAGGCTTTGAAGTATGTATATTAATCAATACGCGGAGATGAATATATTATCTACTTGAGCCCCAAATTTTGTTTTCATGCCATTGAAAGATTACGATCACATTTTCGAAGCTTTATCGGGAAATACTAGTCTAGGACATCAAAAGAACAGACTTAATTTTTTTGAAAAATAAAACAAAAAAAGATGAGGGCCCGAAGCGCGATTCGAACACGCGGCCTCTCCGAGATTGAGATGGAAACCCAAACGGAGAATCATACCACTAGACCATCCGGGCGGAGTATACATTGTGGGGCTGGTTCAGAGCCTAGGTCGCCATATAGTATGTCTCGACATTATCAATAATTTGGGAACTGATATATCGACACCCCAAAGCCCAAAAATTCAAGGACCAACTGACCGTCTTCTACACCGTCTCAGTGTCTAACTCCCCACATAATACTAGCAAGACGATAGATACCTACAATTTAAATATAAACCCTATACAAAATTAAGTCACTTTTATCATATAACACCCCGTATAAGGGGAGGTGGGCGTGGAACAAGGGGTAGTGAAACTGGCAGTGGTGACACCGAGACTAGAGGATAGGAATGTGGAGGAAAACGCGCGCGGGGAGGTGTATGAAAAAGAAGTATATGCAATTTTTAGAGTAGATCAATGCAGAAGTCAATGAAATGTACGATTTTTTACTATGTAAACCAGAATTATATGGTGATATGGCAGAAAACTCTACAGTGGTAGCAAGGTATGGAAGGCGGTTACTGAATTAGCAGGGGGAGGTGTTGATATATCAATTCCCTAGTTATTGTTATTATGATCAAATGTAAAAGTAGAGCTGTCTAGTAGCGCTATCGGCCAAGCAAAAAAAACCCCGCAGCTTGGACTATTGGTAAATACAAATGCGTCCCTTAAAAAATATGCACTATCAACATGGGCAATACTATATACTCCGTACAATGGCACGAATTCGGCGCCCCACTTTGTTTCGGAAAAATCTATGGATTCTTTATAAATTACGATAAAACCCTTGAGGGATTGCTAATATAGTATAACTTCATCAGCAAGCCAGACTTCTGCTAACCTTGGAATGCAAGTGGAAAAGAAGCTGATCAACAAAATTGCAGAATTCATTCGGGGAAATAAGGACGAAAACATCAAGACGTGAGCGAGATGAATGAGAGTGTGATATGAATAACCAGAGCGGAGCTAAATGGTCTCATTCAGAAGACCTGTTCCTGATGCTTATCTCATCTATCGCCCGGATGGTCTAGTGGTATGATTCTCCGTTTGGGTTTCCATCTCAATCTCGGAGAGGCCGCGTGTTCGAATCGCGCTTCGGGCCCTCATCTTTTTTTGTTTTTACTTCCAATTAACAATTTTGCTGAGCGAATCTTCTTATTTCTCCTCTAACCAGTTTGAGGGTTGAGAAAAATGAATGTAATATTTTGTAGACTTTATACCTTTTGTAGTTATGGGCATACTATACACAACCTAATTTCGAAATTTATTGTTGACTGGGAATTATCGTTGACTGCCAACACAATGTGTTGGGCACTTGGCACGATTCCCGGTAACGGTCCGTTAGCGCTAAGCAAAACATGAGAGAGAAACAAAATCGAGCTTGAAACAAAGCGCGATCGCAATGGCCGAAAAAAATACATATACTCTGGGTATCTCCTTAAAGATCACGTTCTCCATCTAAACTTCTCGGCCATGCAACCTGTGTACCCATCGGATTCTTGTGCAACCGAGCCGCGTCCATCCTCCCCGTGCAAGGCATGGCATACAGTCAACGGAGAGAAACCTCACACCCTAAATCCAAGTCAATCCCAAAGCCCAGAACTTGGTCAGGAAAAACAAACAACTGGTGATGAATTGGGGCCCCTTTATAGTGTCCTGCCAAATGGCGAAAAGACTTTCGTTATTATGACGGGATCCTTTGCGGCCCTAATTTCACCTCTTTCTAGCAGTATTTATCTACCAGCGCTCCCCTCCTTGGCTAACGACATGGATGTTTCTGTGTCGCTGATAAACCTGACTATCACCACATATCTGGTAATGTCCACCGATGTATATGTACCGAGACAACATGAAGCTGATCATCTATAGATATTCCAAGGTCTCGCACCTTCTTTCATTGGCAGCTTTTCTGATATTTATGGGCGTCGTCCTGCATATATCATTGCATTTGTCATTTATCTTGGAGCTAATGTTGGCCTCGCTTTGCAAAACAACTTCACGGCCCTAATGATTCTGCGCTGTATGCAGTCCTCGGGCAGTAGTGGCACAATTGCACTGGGAAGCGCTGTTGTAGCCGATCTATCAACCCGCGCCGAGCGAGGAAAGTATATTGGATATGCTGGAATTGGAATAGCACTAGGACCGACACTTGGCCCCGTTATCGGTGGTTTATTGGACCATTTCCTGGGATGGCGATCCATATTTTGGTTTCTGGTCATTCTATCTGGTGTTTGCTTTGTGGTGATCCTTGTTGTTTTTCCTGAGACATGTCGAGCTGTCGTGGGGAATGGGTCAGTGCCGCCAGCCCCGTGGAATCGTCCACTGTGGACATTATTTGTACAAAATTCACGATTCCACGAACAAGGGACCGCCGATTACTCCACCGTCCAGGAACTGAAGAAGCGCCCAAACCCAATTTCAGCTCTCATGTTAGCTATGCAGAAGGAGATGGGATTAATCCTATTGTATGGATCCTTCTTGTTCGCAGGGTATATGGCTGTTATTAGCACTTTGTCGACCGAGTTGGCGAGTCGATTTGGGTTCAACTCTATTCAAATTGGACTGTGCTATCTTCCCATGGGGGTTGGAAGCATCAGCTCCCGCTGGGTAGTTGGACAACTTATGGACTGGAACTTCCGTCGCGAGGCACAGTTGCAAGGAATGATCATCCACAAGAATCGACAGCAGGAAATCGAAAAATTCGATATCGAGCGAGCACGCCTTGCGATCACTCTCCCACTGATTTATTTGGCTAGTCTTTGCATCATAGGCTACGGCTGGGTAATGCAATATCGCACTACGCTGGCGGGGCCCCCTTGTGATGTTGTTCTTCACTGGTCTTACAACTACAAGTGCATTCAACACCTTGAGTACTTTAGTTATTGATATCAATCACCAAAGTGCTGCCACTGCTGCTGCAGCGAATAACTTATTTCGTTGTCTTATGGGCGCTGGAGCCACAGCTATTGCGTCCCCTCTAATCAAATCCATCGGCATTGGATGGACAGCTACATTCATCGCTGGCCTCTGGGTGTTGGGAAGTCCTGCTCTATGGGTTGTTTTCTATCGGGGATATCGCTGGAGAAGAGAAATTTCCGATAAGCGGCAAGCATCCGAGGGCTCATCTGAGTTATGAATATGCCCAGGTGTACATTAGAAAATGAGCAGAGGAAATATGAAGCCAATCAGATCAACGAAAACCAAAGCTTGTGAAAGCTTGGCACTTGGTCCCCACTGTCTTTACATCCGTGGACTCCACAAAGAGTTGACGACGCTAGCGCCGAGGATTACGCATGCCCTTCTATATCTAAAAATAATATTAAAATGAGATTGCTTGATGTCTATTTTTGAAGAATCTTTTTTATTCCATTCCTTATTCTATTCCTTGGTGCCTCACTGACTACTGTTAAGCATACTGGTCTCCGTTTCGTGCCTGATCTTTTTCATTATCCAACTTTGTATGGGTTGCCATACACCATCCTTGATATTATGCACTTGTTCGGGGGATGGTCCCTTACCAGAGGTGCTCTTGTTGCATTATTGCTTTCCAGTGTAGCACACACAATCGACTTGGATATTAACAGTGAACGTACGTGGTGCAGAGTATATTCTGATTCTATGCTAATTACTATGGGTAATGAGAAGTTAACATTTGAGTTTTTCCCAGAGTCGATCAAAGATGCTGCGAGTACCTCGACTTACGCTATGATGAAATACTATTACGGCAACGAGACCGGCCAAATCCCTGGAGCCTTTCCAGACAAATGGTGGGAAGGAGCTACACTATTGCTTGCACTCCTAGAATACTGGCACTTCACTGGCGACACGACATACAATGAGGAACTAAGTGTTGCATTGCAATGGCAGTCAGGCACGGACGGGGACTATATGCCAAGCAACTACAGTTCTTATCTGGTTAGTAACGTAAGAATCTCAAAAAGCAACAACATCTAATACCGATTATCTGCTAGGGAAACGACGATCAAATGTTCTGGGGTCTAGCAGCTATGACGGCCGCTGAGTTCGCATTTCCGGACCGCTCGAGTGGATTCTCTTGGCTCTCTTTGGCCCAGGGTGTCTTCAATACTCAGATCAAAAGATGGGATACATCCTCGTGTGGCGGTGGGCTACGGTGGCAGATCTGGCCCTACCAGTCTGGCTATACAATGAAAAATTCCATTTCTAATGGGGGTTTATTTCAGTTGTCTGCGCGTTTAGCCCGTTACACCGGAGATGCAATCTATCTCCAGTGGGCTAACAAAATCTGGGATTGGTCTGTCTCGTCACCTCTTCTTAGCAACACAACGTGGAATGTTGCTGATTCCACCGATGTTGCTAATGATTGTGCGACTCAGGGAAATTCGCAATGGACGTACAACTACGGCACTTACCTGATGGGGGCAGCGTATATGTACAACTATGTAAGGAATTCCCGTTTCATATTCCGCGTTTTCTATGTTTGTGTGAGAGGACTTGAACTAACACTACCCCATCCACAGACAAATGGAACTACTCAGTCTCAATGGCTGACGGCAGTAAATGGCCTTTTGAACGCGACATTTGACAACTTTTTCCTCACCGGTGGGATCATTGAGGACTATTACTGCGAGTCCACGGAAACTTGCAATAACAACGAGATCCTCTTCAAAGGACTGACTTCCTCCTGGTTAGCATTGACTGCTCTACTTGTTCCATCAACGTTTGACAGCATTGTCGCAAAACTGCAAACATCGGGACAGGCAGCTGCCGCATCCTGTACTGGCAACAACAATGGAACCTGTGGTGTCCAGTGGTATAAGTCCACATGGGATGGCTGGATGGGAATGGAGGAACAGATCAGCGTTACAAATATCTTCACAGCAAATTTGATCAATTTCAATAAGCCTGCTCCGGTGACATCAACCACTGGTGGAAACAGTACCAGCAATCCAACAGCAGGCGAAACTGATAGTGACGCTTCCAATCCAAAGATGAATGCAGTGACAACTGGCGATAAGGCAGGCGCTGGCATTGTGACCGCAGTTTTTCTGGCTGGCTGGATTGGACTCATGAGTTTCATGATGTTTGGTGGTTAATTGCGCAACCAATTATGTGGACATGGGACTATTGTTTGCTTACGCATTTGGAGTTTCTGTTCTCTGGTACAGAGCAACTAGACATATTGCTTGTTGATGGATTTGGCATTTGGCAAGTGAATTGTTTATAGTATATATCTACTGGAGATACCAATTGAGATACCCTAACTCGCCGGTGGAAGTACAATGCGGGAGGTTAGTGAAACTGATTCACCATTACGCCGAACAGCTTATTCAAGCTCATGCAATCCAGAACCATATTCGTTCTGTGGGATGTGTGTCAGTATCTTAAACAAGCCGCTAAAGTAGCCTTAGAAAGAAAGACGTGCACATACCAAGAAAGTTGCGAGGCTTAGGCTCTTCCCACATGGATTCTAGTCGGTCGATCTCTTCTTTGCCAGACCAGAAATCCATGTCCTCTAACTTAACAAATTTTGTTCTTTTCAGGAGTTTGTAACCCAGAAAAAGACAAGCAAAGATGGGAATGTCAATGTAAGGTGGGATGAAGGACTTGGCATTGAAATGACCAGGAAAGAAAGCATCAAACCCATTGAAGAATGCCACAGTCAAGGAGAATACTATTGTAAAGTAAGCCAGGAAGGGCTGAAAAGGTGACTTGAATGGCAGAGTAGACCGTGAGATGCCGTGGTATTTTAGTCCTTGATAGAAACGAACATAGGTCGCAGCAATTGACGACCACACGATCAATGTGCTCACAGAGCTGAGGTTGCTAATCCAGAAAAAGACCTCAGCCGAGCTTGATGAGACATTGAGGTACACAAGTAGACTCAAAGCAGCAGTGACGGCAACACAAGCGTATGGAACTCCAAATTTCTCAAATCGCAGAAATCGAGGTGCTTTCCCATCCAATGCTGTGGAATATAGAATTCGAGTCGAAGCATAAAAGAAAGAGTTACCGGCCGAAAATGCCGACGTAAGAACAACGGCGTTGATGATGGATGGTAGAACCTGAATACCCCCATTTTCGATTGCAATAACAAAAGGGCTGGCCCCCACACCTGCCGCGCCTGCGCCAATGGCGTTGAGCAGCCTAGGGTCTTTAGATGAGACACATAGACCGACAAGAAAAACGCTGCCAACGTAAAATATAGCAATGCGCCAGAAAACACGCCGCACGGCTTTGGGGATATTTCGCCGGGGGTTTTCAGTCTCTCCTGCTGCAATCACCACCATTTCACTGCCCCCATAGCTGAATGTTGCCTGAATAAAAACTTTCCAAAACGCTAGAAAGCGCCCTAAGGATCCCTCCTCTAGATAGGTATTCATAGGACCAGGATGCTTCCAGTAGCGGAACCCTATACGGTCATGTGTCGGAGCTCCGCCAAGTGTGATGATGAACATGAGCAACATCAACCCCACAATGGTTAGAAGCTTGATCGAACCAAGCACAAACTCGAGTTCACCATAGATCCTAACAGGAAGGCAGTTGAGGGCAAAAATAGCTAGATAAAGTATAGTGATCCACACGGCAGAGGAAATGTTGTTAGGCCAGTAGTCAATCACAAGAGCAGCTGCGCTTATCTCAATCGGAACACCAATAGCAAATTGATACCAATAATTCCAACCTAGAGTAAACCCCAGAGCCTCATCGACAAATCGAGATGCGTACACGGGAACGGCGCCAGGTAATGGAAGCCAGGTCGCCATTTCGCCCATGCTGTTGATCACCGCATAGAGATTAAAGCCAGTTATGAGATATGCAAGGACCGTCGATAATGGCCCGGCTAACGAAAGTACTTGACCTGTGCTAACAAAGAGACCAGTCCCAATAGCACCAGAGAGAGCAAGGAATTGAATATGGCGGGACTTGAGCCGGCGCTGTAGGGTGCCCATTTCTGTCGGCATCCTGACCCCTTTGTCGAGTTCGGGCCGTTCATGATGCTTCACATGATCCACTTTTTTATTTTCTGCCTCCATGTCCTATGAGGTGAAGTTGACTCTGTATCGTTGAGGGGGATGCTGCGGCTGCGGCCTGTTGGAGTGAGACTGGCGACTTCATAGTAAAATGACCGAGCATTCTGTTGTCGCATATTTTGTATGGAATGCACGGACCCGGAGGGTTAGACAGTAAGCTTGAGGATCACCATGCGGAGTAGCAGCTGAGAGCTTTTGGGGGATATGGGGTCATTATCGGAATCACTGAATAGGGAAATGATCGCGTCGGCAGACATTGGTTGGGCCAATGTTATCCCATCCCATCTATCAGTCCATTTGTTGATCGACAGTCTTATCGTATCACAGGGATATACGAGGTCCACAATAAGGTCTGAGTTTCTGTAAGCGTTGTCGATGTTGTATTTTTCCGTAGCATCAAGTCAGTGGGGAAGAGAAAGCGGGGGATTGCGGGGACATTTGTCGTGTTAAAATAGGATTTTGGAACTGTCACCTTTCAAACATCCAATCCAAGATGTCGCCTCCATGTCAATATGAGCCGACACCATTGGGACATGAAATGCGTCGGCATTTTTCATTTGCCCCTGGTTATCGAAATCTGAATCATGGTAAAGAAACGACTTTTTCTATACGCCAGTTCACATACTTACTACATTAGGGTCCTTCGGAACATCACCTGTCGCTATTCGCAACAAAGCAAATGAATTACGCGATGAATGCGAGGCTACACCATGTCCCTTCATCAAGTACCGTTTCCCCGAACTTTTGGACGCATCCCGGGCTGCCATGAGCGACTTCCTTGGTGTACCGGAGTCCACCATCGTCTTTGTTCCAAATGCGACCACTGGAGTCAATACAGTTATGAGAAATATGGTATGGAATAGTGATGGAAAAGATGAGATTCTTCAGTTGGATATCATATATGGAGCATGTGGCAAGACGACCAATTATGTTTGTGAAGCCAATGAAGACAGGGTTCACACCAGAGAGATTGGCTTCATGCATCCAGTTGACGACTCCCAGATGGTTTCTGCATTTCGAAAAGCGATCGAGACCTCGCGCATGGAAGGTTATCACCCGCGCATTGCTATTTTTGATACAATATCGTCCAACCCGGGTCTACGGCTTCCATTTGAGCAACTTACAGCGCTCTGCCGTTCAGAGGGTGTATTGAGTTTGATTGATGCCGCCCATGGAATTGGACAAATCGATCTAAATCTATCCTCGCTGGACCCGGACTTCCTGGTCAGCAACTGCCATAAATGGCTGTTTACTCCTCGCGGATGTGCCGTGTTTTACGTCCCCGAGCGCAACCAAGGAATGATGCGAAGTACTCTACCAACAAGCCATGGGTTCGTTCCTCGATCGCCTGGGAAAACTTCTTGCAGCACTTCCAAGGAGCCAGTGAGAGAAAAGACAGAATTTGTCTCCAATTTCGAGTTCGTTGGAACAACCGACAACTTTGCGTTCTTAACAGTGCCCGACGCCATCCGGTGGAGACAAATGGTATGCGGGGGTGAGACTAAAATTCGGGATTACTGTATTCAGCTTGCCCATAAAGGTGGACAGACGGTTGCAGATATCCTAGGGACAGTGATTCTCGACAATGCTGCCCATAATTCGACAGACTGCTTTATGGTTAACATCCTCCTTCCTATCAAGAAGCCCACTTTGGGAGATGGGAGTCTGGTCAAACGAAGAAACAACCCGGATATGACCGTGACTGAATGGATGCAGCAGACTATGATCAAGTTATACAACACTTTCATGCCAGTCTTTCCTTTTCAGGGGTCTTGGTGGGTTCGACTCAGTGGGCAAATCTATCTTGAGGCCAGTGACTTTGAATGGGCTGGCTGGACACTGAAAGATCTCTGTGAGAAGCTACAAACGGAAGATGATTACGATAATCATGCATGATCAGTATAACTATATAAGCAAATAGTTTACAAAAGGTCCACTAGCCTTTCCACTAAAACATATATACGAATTGTCATATTCACGTTGGACGATATTTTTATCTTGGTCTACGAAAGCAAAAGAAGCCAGCGAGTAGTTCATTGAAAATTTGTTTATCATATATGTATGTACCTACATCGACTGTGGAACTAACTGGGTCCCGATCTCCGCTCCGACGGCTTCGGCACGGGAAACACGCCAAACCGGTTTCACGTGGTGGGATTCGGTCTGAAAGCAGTGTATAATATAGATATCGTGTCAGTATTGGTTATTTCCCTCCCGAAAATATCAACATATTGAAGAGTTTTTCTTCGCCTGAAACAAAATTGATAACGGCTATGGTCGGTTGTCCTCGGCGGACCACTTCAGACGGTGGTCAGCCACATCTCCGAGTGTAGCCGAATCTGACTTGATTTTTAACTGGTCAATGACTTACACTGCCGGGGTAATATGACTGGATAGTGGATATTTAAAGCATTTAAAGCCACAGCGGAAAACTATGGAGCTTCTAAAAGTGGTTTTTGGCCCTAGTAGAGGTCGCTTTGCGTCAACCAGGGCCCATTTTAAGATGGATTTGGCATTAGGCCGAAGGCCCAGAAGACTAGCAAGGAAAAAATGTGATCAATGGGCCGACCAAAACAGGAACATATACTGCGTTGCCTTCCTCAGCCAGAGCCTTGTATATTCCCACACAAACTTCCAATCTGATCCCCAAAATTTGACATGACAGCATACAATGGATCGTCTCAATCAACATCCAGACAAATATGAGCTAGATATCGACTATCCCACTGACTCTCACAGTCATGAATCTGATGATACAATTGAGGAAATCGACACTCTAGAACTCACCCGCATCAACACATATCGACTCCAACAGAAAACAACTGTAGGCTCTACAAGAGGGCCTACTCCCCGTGATAAATGGCTTCCTATGGGTGCCAACAAAGATTACCCACCTCTGTTGCCGGATTCGGAAGGCTATGTCGTAGAGTTCGATGGAGCCAATGATCCTTTACATCCATACAATTGGTCTACACCTCGGCGGTATGTCCACTGCCATTCCTCCTTATCAATATCAAGATAGACTTGCTAATATCTCAACAGAATAATGCTAGTATGCATCCTATGCTATGGTACTTTCGCCGGATCGTTTACCAGCGCTGTCTTCTCGGCAGCTATTTCCGGCTTCAGCCAAGAGTTTAACACAAGCGCCGAAGTGGGCTCACTTGCAGTGACACTTTATGTCCTTGGATTCGCAGCCGGGCCAACAATTTGGGCACCGGGATCAGAGCTGATCGGCAGACGTTGGCCGCTATCTCTCGGACTTTTCGGATGTGCTATCTTCACCATAGCATGTGCAGTTGCCAAAGATATCCAGACCATCATGATCTGTCGTTTCTTTGCTGGTCTGTTCTCGGCCAGCCCCATTTCAGTCGTCCCCGCTGTGTTTGCAGACTTGTTCAACAATACCCAACGGGGTGCCGTGATGTCGATTTTCTGCATGGCGGTGTTTATCGGGCCCTTTTCGGCACCGTTTGTGGGTGGCTTCATTGCAATGAGCCCTCTGGGCTGGCGATGGACCATGTATATCTCTGCAATGATGGTGTTCCTAGGGTTTGTTCTTGTCTTTGCCTTCCTCGATGAGACTTATGCTCCGGTCATCCTTGTCCGCAAGGCAGCTACTTTACGTCGTCAGACTCGCAATTGGGGCATCCATGCAAAGCAAGATGAAGTGGAAGTGGATCTTAAGGAGCTTCTGCGGAACAACTTTGCCCGGCCCATTGTGATGTTGATCACGGAGCCCATACTGCTTCTGGTCTCATTGTACATCTCCTTCATCTATGGCCTCATCTATGCCTTGTTAGGCGCATACCCTGTTGTCTTCCAAGGTGTTTACGGAATGAGTATGGGCGTCGGCGGACTTGCATTTATTGGCATTATCATCGGTGAACTCCTTGGCGGCGTCTATATCCTCCTGATACAGGGTTCGTATAAGACGAAGCTGGCAGCAAATGGTGACAAGCCTATTCCCGAATGGCGCCTCCCAGCAGCGATTATAGGAGCTGTGGCATTTGCGGGGGGGATGTTTTGGTGAGTACCATCTTTGAAATCCTCAATAATATGTGCTGTTCCGAGCTAATACCAAATAGGTTCGGCTGGACCGGATACACTTCATCCATTCACTGGATGGCTCCTGTAGCTTCAGGGCTACTGACCGGAGCCGGGATCTTCTTGATCTTCCTGCAGTGCTTCAATTATATCGTTGACTGCTATCCTACCTTGTATGTTACCTTATCTATCTTGTGAAAACTAGTCACTGACCTAATTGACAGGGCTGCCTCGACTATTGCTGCGAACACGATCTTACGCTCAGCTGTTGGCTGCTCGTTCCCACTTTTCTCGAAGCAGATGATGGAGAACCTAGGAGTTCAATGGGCGGGCACCATGCTTGGATGTATTGCAATCGTGATGATTCCTATTCCTGTTCTGTTCAAGGTATACGGTCCATGGCTGCGAACGAGAAGTAAATTGGCATGCTCGCCCGTTTATGATGTTGAAAAGAAACCTTATGATGTCTGATAGATATGAATTCATGTAATAGAGTCAATATACCCTAATTTTATTTCGACGCTCAGATCCAGCACCTTCAGAATAAATGGCCCGTAGTATGGATTTTGTCGGCGCAGATACACCAGGATACCGGAGGATTTATTAATCCTAAGTATGCAGTAATATTTCTTATGTAATCAGGACAGTATAAATTGCCAGGAAGTCAATACAGCAATACGGAGAGTTGAAGACCATTGATTGGACCCATACATTTCCACCATACGGAGTAGTCGGACAGTTATGAGCCCGGTTCGCACTGAATAAGACTACTATATCGGCATATAGTACCTAGCAACTTGCTAGAAACTGTCTTATAAACCTCCACGAAGCCACTCCGCAGAAAGTCATCCCTTGTTTCACATCAAAACAACACAGCATCCAGCAATGGAAACAGCATCGATTCTCTCCGCCATGAAGGGCGATAAACTGAAGGATGCACCGCAATGGCTCACCTGGTTTGCGAAGGTGCAGCTATACGCAATGCAAAAAAATGTCTGGGATCACTGCAACCCGGATACCCCGTCAACTGAACGACCTGATACTCTAAAGGAACCGGTACAACCAGAATATCCTGAAGAGGGCACCGAAACAGATCGAAGGAAATGGAGAGACCAAGCAGACGTGTATAAAATGAGCTATACTCGATGGGAGAAGCAAGCAAAGGGACTGAGTGATGTAAATGAATATATCCTCACCTATCTTGACCCAGTACACCACCTCGCACTGATCACATATCGTACACCGTATGATAGACTTGTGTATCTGAAGTCTCGGTTCGCTCGATCGACCGCGTATGAGGAGGAAATCCGAATGAGTTGGAAAGTGTTTGCAATGCAGAAGCCGACTGGAGACATCGACAAGTGGCTTCAAAAGTGGAACTCGCTAAGGGAGCAAGCGGTTAGTCTTAGTATCAAGGACGGAGATGCCAATAGGGACTTCCTGCACGCCGTGAAAGAAGTTCTACCTATATGGTGGCAAGGCAAATACCAGGAAATAGTGATGGAAAAGAAGGTGTACGATACCCGAGATCTCCTTGAATCATTCCGCGCGATGAATCGCGAGATAGGAGCACAGGTGGTGTCATCAACCACTCCTCCAAAAGGCGCTTTCTCGACCTGGCAAGGTCACCAAGAGGCGAAACCGGAAACAAAGCAAGAGAAGCTTCCGTTTGAGAAGAGACACTGCCCTTGTGGTAGCTCACACCCGAAGCATAAAGTTGCTACTTGCTGGCTCCTAAACGAAGCGATTCGGCCAGAAGGGTATACCCTAAACGAAGGGAAACTAGAGAAAGCAAAGAAGAAGTTAGGAAAGGACCACGCTTAGAAGCAATGGGTGGATAAAGTGATAGCTGAAGCTCAGCAAGCTCAGCAAGCACAGGAAAAACCAGCCGAATCCGCCAACCAAGTCAGCTTTGCAACCACTTTTCGAAGCAAGCCAAGTGAAGCTATACAGATTAGCAAGTACGTGCTCTCTGTGGCAAAGGCAGGCGAGCCCTCCCTCCGTGACCGGTGGATTCTTGATACCGGATCAAGTGCGTATATCTGCAATAACCGAGCCCTATTCGTCGACTTCACACCTGATATAATTGACCTAACAACCGGAGATAGTACCACGCAGGTGCTAGGGAGAGGCAAAGTCAGACTTTTAGGGAGACACCCGGTAAAGGGAAGGATAGAGATCACCTTAAGCGACGCTCTATACTCACCAAGTTTCTATACGAGTCTCGTGTCGTACGCGATGCTAAAGAAGAAAGGCGGCCTCTGGTGCCAACGTACAAACTGTATACGGGACCCAAATAATAGACCTGTCGTCTGTGTGAACCTATAGGATCAATTCAATCTCTGGATCTTTGACAAGCCAGGCGAGGCTCCGCCACAACAAGTATATGCTGTGCAGCAAGCACAACGGAAATCAGTGAAGCCACAGGAATCAAGGGCTTCCTCTGAAATTTGGCACCGACGCCTAGCATATATTCAACCGCGGACCGTAGCAAAGCTTGCTACTATGGTAGACGGCGTTGTTCTTGACGATAAAGGAGGAGCAAGCACAGAGCAAGAATCTCTATATCAGACCTGTAAGACAGGAAGTGCTCCGAGGCAGATTTCAAGACGACAAGTTGGACGTACCTTTGGACGTTTTGGAAGGGTGCATTTCGACCTAATTCAGCTGCAGCCAGCCTACAATAAGCACCGCTGGATATCCCACTTCTACCTAGAAGGACCGAGATTCCACTGGATCATGACTCACGAAGTGAAACCTGAATATCAATTGGCCATCAACTAGTTTGTACAACTTGCAAGAAATCAGTGGAAGCTGCCAATCAAGGCCTTCCACTACGACAATGAAGCAGCAGCTGGCAGAGCAGCGGAGTATAGTCTCACAAGCGATGGTATCCTGATATATCACTCCCCCCCAGGGCACTCAGAGATGAATGGGTATACTGAGAGATCAGGTGGAATGATTATCACCCGGATGCGTATGCTCGCCCTCGAAGGGAACCTCCCAAAGGAGCTATAGCCGGAGTTCGCAAGCGCCGCCGTATAGTTATTAAATCGTACACCAACGTATATCGCCGCCGAGAATCGGTGGGTGGTACTATGGGAGGAAGTGAGGAAGGAAGTCGCACCACAGGCGCCGAGGATAAACCTATCAAATATTAGGTTATATGGAAGCTTGGCGTACTGCAGGATTGAGAAGCAAGTACAGTCCGATAAGATAAACCCACGTGCAGAGATTGGCTTCGTGGTGGGATACCTTGCCTCGAATATCTGGAAGATCTAGTTCCCACATAGTGGGAAAGTGAGGTATATCAGGGATACAGTCATTGACGAGACACGAAAATATACCCCTGATTATGAGAAATATCAGCCTATCCCACTACCAGCTATAACGGGACCACAGGAACTCACCGTTAAGGAGGTCGCACAGGTGATAAACCACCAAATTACTAGTCAAGAGGAGACTAGTACGATAGAAGAGAGGACTCAGGATCTACAGGAAGCACAGGAGCCTCAGCAAGTACAGCAGCAAGAGGAGGTTCCGCAGCAAGCAGAGGTCCAAAAGATGACAGTCAACCAACGAGGGACTACCCCAGTCCAGGGGGTGGGTGATAGGTTATATTGGCCGACCCCAGACCCTCCACCACAAGCACTACCAGGTTCCTTTCCGATTGAACAGCCCCTACCACCACTACCAATCACCCCACCGTAGGAGCAAGAGAGGTATACTGGCTCTGGTCAGGGGGTGGATACCGAGGGAGATCAAAGGGACCAGATCCAGCAAGAAGAAGCGGATCTTGAAACCACTGAAGACGAACTAGAGAAGCAACTTCAGGCAGAGCTACTGGCTCCGAGAAGAGAGATAATCGGAGATGTGGATACCAGCAATATACTCAGTGGTAGGCGTAGACGCCAAGTAAGGCAGGAAAAAGACTTCGCCTACGCGACAAGCACCACCCAAGAAGTGGAACCGCCGGCGCTACTCCATGCTTTTGCCGCTGGCTTATACGCTGAGAAACCAGACACTCGCCGCCACCGAGACGACCTCCCACCACCGCCAAAATACTGGAAGGATATGATGAACCACCCATTTCAGGAAGGTTTTCTCGTAGCGATGAGGAAGGAGATCAACTCCCTCTCTGAAAAGGGGACTTTTGAGGTTATTAAGAAACCAAGAGACCGAGGGAAGCAGATTCTCCCTCTTTTATGGGTGTTCTCATACAAATTTGACCAGGACGGGTACCTTTTGAAGCTTAAGGCCCGTATCTGTGTGCGCGGAGACCTTGAAACCATCTCTCACGAGGAAAAGAGAGCTGCTACGCTAGCAGCAAGGACAGCGAGGATGATTTTTGCCTTGGTTGCTGCCTTTGATCTTGACCTAAGACAGAGAGATACTGTCACCGCGTTCCTAAACAGCAAGTTAGACCAAGAGACGTATACGCATATGCCTAAGGGATTTCAAAACCTAGGTAAATGCTGGAAGTTACGTCGCGCGCTATACGGTCTACGGATTTCACCACGACTTTAGCAGCAAGAAGCAGCAAGCGTGCTCCGCAAGCTAGGTCTACAGCAAGTGCCAGAAGACCCATGCGTTTTTATGGGAAAAGGACTACTGGTTTTCTTCTATATAGATGATATCCTAATCGCCAGTCATACCAATGCAAAGGCGCAGGCACAGCAATTAGAGCGAGATCTCGAAGCACACTGGGAACTGACCGATCATGGAGAAGCAGCATGGTTCCTAAACATACGAATCATTCGAGACCGGCAACAAAAGAAGCTCTGGTTATATCAAGATAGCTATGTGACAAGCATTGCTACCCGATATCACTTGACAGAAAGGGCACCAGTCTATACTCCACTGCCGGTTGAGGAATTGACCCCTTTTCAGGGGGTGGCAACGCCAAAGGAAATCCTGCTATACCAGCAAAAGGTGGGCTCAGCAGGGTATACCACCATTATCACTAGGCCCGACGCTGCAAAGGCGACCGCGAAGCTCGCGCAATTTCTCACGAACCCCGGTCCACAGCACCAGCAAGCAGCTGATCGAGTCATCACCTACCTCTACTCCACCCGGAACCTAGCGATTGAGTACGGAACAGCCAATACTGGGACCGACTCGGTGCAGTTTGCAAGTGACGCTTCGTATGGAGACCACCCGGATAGAAAAAGCTCAGCTGGGTATATCTGTCAAGCATACGGCGGTCCAATTGACTGGAAAGCAAGCAAGCAACCCACAGTGACAACGTCAACCACAGAAGCAGAGCTACTCGGCCTATCGGAGGCAGGAAAGCAGCTCCAATGGTGGCGCCGATTGCTTCAAAACCTCGCCTTTACTCCGTCACACCACCTGACAATCGACTGTGATAACGAGAGGACTATCAGCTTATTGACAAGCGAGGACACAGCTTTTGAAACGAAGCTTCGACATGTCGATATTCACCACCATTGGCTCCGCCAGGAAGTCCAACAGGGTCGAATACGGGTGCGCTGGGTGCCTACAGCAAGCATGGTTGCTGATGGCCTCACCAAATTGCTCACTCGGCAAAAGCATGAGAGCTTCGTGCGACTGCTCAACATGGTTGATATAGGCCATCTTATAGACTAGGAATTACAAGATGATACAGCGATCTCAGCAAGCATACTGGGACCGCTGAGGGGGTGTGTCGGCGCAGATACACCAGGATACCGGAGGATTTATTAATCCTAAGTATGCAGTAATATTTCTTATGTAATCAGGACAGTATAAATTGCCAGGAAGTCAATACAGCAATACGGAGAGTTGAAGACCATTGATTGGACCCATACATTTCCACCATACGGAGTAGTCGGACAGATTTATACGGCCTTGTTTGCCAGGCCGCTAGATTTTGTTTATCGCTTAACTATAAATGACGTCATCAGAAAAATGAACCAGCCGATCTATCGATCGATCGGATTGCAGTTCGCAGTCGGCGATTCACACTGTTCAACCGTCTTCCTGTCAGCACCTTTTGCATTCACGATGGAATATCCTACCAACCAATTACTTTTCGGTCCGGATTGGGACCTCAATCACTGGACCGCCTCTGACGACCGCGTACGCGGTGGATCATCTGTGTCGAATCTTAAGCCTATCGCGGAAGGGGTGATTTTCCACGGCAACCTCGACATTGAGACACTCGGCGGCGCAGGTTTTGCGTCACAACGTACGGTCGGAGACGAGCAAATATGGGACCTTGGCGGACACGACGGCATTGAGATACACACTGTTCCATTGGACGGAAACCGGTACACTTTCTCCCTGACAGACGAAATCCCACAACGGAGGCCAGATGGCCGTGAACAGAGTGCTCTTGTCTGGGAATATGATTTTTCCGCGAGCGAGACAGGCGGCAAAGTGCGTATGGCATGGAAGGATCTGAAACCAACATATCGAGGGAAGCCAGTAGAAGATGCGAGGCCGTTGGATTTGACGCATATAAGGAGGTTTCGGATCATGATTCGAAGGTAAGCTTCACACCAAGGGAGGATAGAACATGGGTGCTAATTTTTTTAGTTTCTTTGGAGCACAAAAAGGCAACTTTAGTCTCAAGATTCAATCGATCGGAGTGTTCCGCGAGAGGTACATTGATAATGCTAGTCTCGCGAAGGAGTCGACGGAATATGGAGATGAGAAAATGGGATTTGATGAGACTCGAGAAAATAAGAGATGGCTTCCTAGTTGTTGCCCATCTTGATCTCATGGTCAACTTTGAAGATCCCAAAAAGGAGAGGGGGAATATCAAGAAGATACTTGTTTCTTTGCAATTCCTGCTGAATGAACGAAACAGAAGAAAGCGTGGAAATTGCATGCCCAAGTGCCATAATACATCCATACATGTTCTTCATTGAACAAAAAATTTATCCGATCATCTGTTTTGGTTTGCGAGCCGATGCGTACGGGTAATCCGTGGATTAAAAATCAACTTGAATAATATCTAAGACTAGATAACTAGTTATGTACTCCGTACGGAGTATTGTCAAACGACTTGGCAACCAATCTTTTGATGTTCCGACACAGCAGTGGGGTGCATTTATGAAGGGGGTGTATTCGCCTGTGCATTTAGCCTTATGCACTCTATTCTATGATGTTTGGCTCCACCTTCCCCTGACAGCGCTAATGTCTCCACGTCTAATTATTTCCTGCCCTTCCACAGTTAGTATGGAGTAGCCTTACCAGCTAAGCTGGTGATGTTTCCCTAAATGTTTGGGCCGAGAGGCGTAGTCCTGCGCCTCTTCTCCACCCGCAGTTTTTTCCAAGGCAAATCAAATTGTTGTTAGCGAGTTATGCGGCAAAAAGCGAAGCTCCTTACCCGCACCATTGATCAACCACAGGATCTCCAACAAAAAATTGGAGTTTGCACTTTGCATTTAGCGCGAACTAGGACCATTAACAGACACTGGTGGTCGATTAATATTGGGTATCGCACTGTTTCAGTTCGATCCCTGCCAAGATTATGGATATATGCCCAGTCTCATCAAAGTACCAAGCGTTTCAGATTGAACCAAATCTGACAGATTTTCCCAGCGAAGCAAGACGAGCCTAGCGATCTATCTAGCTCATTGCCGCTTCAAGCAGGACTCGGTAAAATTTTCCTCTCCCGAAAATGGAGACCCCAAAGTAATAAATACCGAACCCGCACTCCTATGAGATAGCGAGAGAGTCCTTTCATTCGGTATTGTATTCATTCTTTTCTTCTCCCTTTGGTTTATTCTTGGAATCTCGATCCTGGTGATTGAGACCGCTACCCTCTTTTATTACTTTCTCACTTGAAACTTGTATACTACTTTTGCTATTTCAAACCATCTTCACCATGAAGTCCATTCAGCTTGCTCTCGCCCTCGCGGCAGCTACCATCCCAAGCGTTTCCGCGCACTATTTCTTCCCTACCCTCATCGTGAATGGGAATGAGACCGAATACTATGAGTATGTGCGCGAGGACACTCAAAACTTTATGCCATACAAGGGGAACTACGGAAGTAATGACTTCCGTTGCAACACGGGTTCAGATCCGTTTGCCCAGGAGACGGATGTCTATAAGGTCAAATCCGGTGATACAATTGGATTTGGTACCGACTTTGGCGCTAAAATTGAGCTTCCTGGTCCCATGCAGGTCTATCTGTCCAAAGCACCTGGCAGCGTCAAGGATTACGATGGCTCGGGCGACTGGTTCAAGATCTACGAGCTTGGTCCCACATCCTTTGGCAGTGACGGAATTCAATGGGGCGTGACGGGCAAGAACCAATTCAACTTCACCCTTCCCAAGGAAACGCCCGCTGGTCAGTACCTTGTTCGCATTGAACATATTGCGCTGCACGGAGCTGGCGAATTTGGCGGTGCTGAATTCTACTTCAACTGTGCCCATATTGAGGTTGAGAGTGACAGCACGGCTGTTCCTGGCCCTACTGTTAAGATTCCTGGCGTTTATGATGGTAATGAGCCCGGAATTCTCTTCTATATGTACCGCCCCTATTTCACAAATTACACTATGCCGGGACCTCGTGTATGGCCTGATGGCGCCAATGCCAATGTTACCGCCCAGGGTGTGAGCGTTGCACCCACCACAGCTTGGTCTGCAATGGCCGTGACAAATTATCCCTCTTCGTCCGTCACCTACAGCTCCGCTGCATCCAGCACCCCGGCTACTGTGGCACCATCATCAACTCCTCTCGTTTCTTCCAAAGGACCCCACCACACACACCGTCCTAGCCACAACCACCATGTTTCCATATCCGAACTGCCCTTGACAACCAGCATCCCTGTCCAGAGCAGCAGCTCTGTGGGTGATGATGAGGCTGTTGAGATTACCTTGCCCACCCAAACTACCATTGCCGTGGAAGCGTCAAGCGCCAGCACCTCTTGTGAGCAACGGCCCACTGTCACCTCTACAGTAACCGAGACCACAACTTTCCCCGTTCCTACACCCACTATGACCAAGTGTGCATCTGATGTGGTCGTCATTGTGACCACCACGACCACCATCACAGTGTAGACTAGTCCATGGATTTCCTAGTAGCGATGGCAGCTGCGCAGTATCAGGGAGAAGTAATTTTCCCCACTATAATTTTCCGTGGTCAACTCTCACATTTTGTCTCATTACACCATTCTTCCTTGTAGCACAAGTTGAAGTTGGAACTTGGAAGGACTTGGATAGAGAACCAAGGGGTGGGCTTTATATAATTACTTTCAGCTAGCGCTTATGTCTCTACTTAACTGGCAATGTTGGTATTCATGGTAGTGATCCCCATTGTAATTACTTATTCTCTTACCCGAAAATAGAAATTGCTCATGGCAAGAGGCATTAGCGGCGCTATCTTTAATTCAGAGCAATAAAAAGTTTATTGCTAGAATTCGACATCATAACGGGCTAAGCTAAACAATTGTTCATAACAGACAGGAAGACTAGACATCAAAGGTAGAACTGACATCACCTCATACCACAACAACAGAAATCCAATACATAAAATTCCTAGACAGCCTCCATCGTAAAACTAGAAACTGTTACCTTCCCTCCAAGTGATTTAGTCGCAAAGTTGAAGATACCATATCGATGGCCCATAAAGAACTCCCATTTCGTACCCATGGTGAATACGGAACCAATGTTGGTGAAACTGTGGCCATTGGTGGAGTATGAAAACTGCACCGCCAGATCTGACGTGGGGCTGAAGTTGCCGTGAGCACGGAGATAAATCGAGCCCGAGCTGCCGATATTTTCTGATGCTTCTAGAGAGCCCACATCGACGGTTGACCAGCTACCATCAGCAATGGTCATCTTCAGGTCGGTCCAAACACCGACCACCTTGTTGTCACCATTGTTGATAATTCCCACCCATGCAGAGAGGTCTCTGAAGATTGCAAGACCCGCACGGTCACCAGAATGCATGTCACTGATGTCGAGCTTGATTGTGGCCGCACTGCTGGGCCCGAGAGCACGATGGGTGAGAGTGTTTTGAGCGTGATATAGATCATTGGTGACAGTAGCTGTGTGGAGAATCAATTTGTTGTTCACGCTGTAAGCATTTGTGTTTGGGTTGTGATTCCATTCCCATTGTGGACTTAAGCTAGTGCCCGAAAAGGAGTCTGTGTAGCTTAGACTTTTTTGAGGCACTGTGGCCAAAGGCACTGTCACACTTTTTGGCCATGAATTCAAGTCGGGAAGCCTAGGAAACCCGCTGGAAGGGAATTCAATGGGCGCCAGCACTGGGACACGGCCTCCTGGATATGAGTCGCAGAATGCCATATAATACCAATTGCCATTTGGGTCGTCCACAATTCCACCTTGATGAGCACGGCCACCAACTTCGGATGGACAAGATGGAGCATTTGCTAGGATAGCAGACTCATAGGGCCCCCAGATGCTGCTAGACTTCAGCACGTACTCAATGGCGGTACTAGGATCAACATTTAGAATATAGTAGGTTTCATCCACCTTATACAAACGACTTCCCTCAGCGTAGACGTCATATGTATGGACAACTTCACTGCTAACCTGGCTCTTCAGATCGGTGGATAGTTGAGCCACCTCGATATTGGTGCCCCCAAAGGCAACATACGGCGTTCCATCATCGTCAAAGAGGAGGCCACAGTCATAGTAGCACTTATCGGAAAATTCAACCAACTGCGTCCAAGGTCCTTTTGCACTTGGGGCAGTATAAATATAGGTTTTGCTGTACTCAACGCACCCAACCCAAAACCACCGCCCATCGCTTGGTCGCACACGAAGTGTGGAAGCAAAAACTCCCTTCACATATGCGGATCCACCATCCTCCAGGGAATACTTAGATCCCCAATCCAAACTGGGAACGCTATGCCCAATGTATTCCCAGTTGACTAGGTCTTTACTTGATAAGATCGGAGCACCCGGGGAATAATGCATTGTAGAAGCAGAATAGTAGAATGTGTCATTCACCCGGAACACATCTAAGTCTGCAAGGTCTTCCCACAGAATAGGTTGCTGTGTAAGGGTTGTATCACAGAAGCCAATGCCGGCGAGAGCAGCGATCCCAATGATCAATGGCGACAACATAGCGTAGGAACCAAAAGCGTGTGTCAAGTGAATTGATCTGAAAAATGTAATCAGTAGTAAAGGATGCTGTTCATGACCTCGAGAGTTCAATGGTTTATATAGACATGAAACAACATGATTAAATTTGAATACATATCCGTACCCCTCTCTTCTTTCTAGATGAAGACATCAACGGCTAAATCGCCATGTCTTCAGCGATCTTTATCCATTTACAAAGAGTCTGCGAAGTAGTCCTGTCAGCTCTCAATTTTGCCAAAACCCCAAAGATACATTAGACAGATTTACAGTCAAAGGCATGACTTTCTCACGTCATTACCCGCCCCGTAGGAAATTTTCCAATCTCAGCAAGGCAATCGGACGATCAATTAATATAAAGCGTTCGGAGGCCGGGTGGGGTTCCAAGAAGACCCTGGCGCTAACTTAATTCCACCCGTCCGTGGAACAACATCTAGGGGTATAGCGTCAGGTCCTCCTACATCCTTGTCCATGTATTCATGTATTCCCAACCATGAATTTGTCAAAATTCACGCACTTCCTAGTCTTCTAGTTGGTTATAATTGCTTTCACCGTCTGCGGGGGAAAACATACAAAGTATGTAGTGCTATATATATACAGAGGTTGAATTATCCATTAATATCACAAAACTTTGAAGTCTTTGTTGAATTTTTCATATGATTTATGGAATTATAATCTATTGCGAGCTACTCCACAGTTGCAGCATCTGTGCCAGTATCAGTCACCATCTTTTTCACTTCCTTGCACACATTAAGCTGCATAAGATCCGGGCGACTATAGTGACCTGTAGCATCTGCAAAAATCTTGCTCGCCATAATTTGATTCATGTCAAGGTCTGCATAGATGATGCTCTCAGTAGTGCTGCCAACGGGCTCAGTCAATCTCCTCCCATCAGGACCAAAGATCGCAGAGCTGCCTCCTCCCGGGGAACATCAACATTCCCTTACTTGTGTTCATTGCCTTCACACCATTTTCAGTAATTACGGCTGTGCAGTGGAGAACAAAACTCTGCGACTCTATAGCGCATGTCTGTGACAAACTCTGACAACCTAGAAAGTATGTCAGCATGCGTATTAGGAGCATAGGATGCATTGATTAACCTTCGGCAGACATAGACCAGAGATCAGTTTTTCCTGTATGAGGAGTCAGGCTCGGCCATGCAGAGACGTGAATATCCTCTCTCTGCGAAATCATGAAATACTTCAGCAGTGGCTGGATGTGCTCCCAGCAAGACAGAGCCCCGACACGTCCGAAGGGCAACTCCACAACACTGGAGAAACATTCTCCGGAGGCATCTCCAAAAACGGTGCGCTCCATGTGGGTAGGCTTCATCTTTCGCCGGTGCGACTTAATCTCTCCGTCGACGCCAATTATTACTTGGGCGATATAGAGTGAGTTGTTATCGTTTTCGGAAAAGCCAAGTGATACTGCGATCGAATAGCTCCTAGCACATGCTTGAATTTGGTGCATCTCTGGAGAATCGAGGGTAATGGAGTTCTTGATGTATGCCACATTTAACTCGACGTCGAGAAGTCGGCTCCTGGGACGATTAGTTGCTACATACTACACAAGGTGCATTGTAAAAATGTCGATTGAACGTACCAAATCCAACATGGATATCCAGGAATCCAGCACTCTGGAAAGGCAATTAATTGTGCACCATTCTGGGCAGCGTCTGCGATGAGGTGGCAGGTCTTTACTACACCAGCGGCTAGATCTAGCCACTCTGGCTCAGCCTGCGTAACTGCTACACGAGTCGTTTTTGACGACATTGTGAAAATGACCTTCTAGTAGAAAACAAACGAAGCATTGAATATATCGGGTAAGAGCATGTTTACATTCTTTTCTGTCCCTTTACCCTCTCATTCTCCAAGCGTGCAGAAACAGTGCCCCGCATTTATTTTCCCACCATTTATATACTAACACATGTACATGTAACTATTGAATTTTAGTACTTAACAATTTTTGACTAAGTAAACTGTGCATCCATGGAGAATAACTGGGCATAATCCGAGCAAAGTGGAAGGCCAGGTGTGTCCAATAGTACGAGATTCAATTACCCTTGGCTCATAGGGGAAAAACGCCTAGGATGACGGCCAGGATCCTCAATAGACAGGTATGCCCTTAAATAATCCGCGAACACCTTCTAGGCCTCAAAGATGGACGTATCACTGTGAATATGAATTCATTGACCCGAAAACGCGCCTTCGGGGAACCTACGAGTATGACGTAATTCATCGAACGCCCCAGAGCTCCAGGCTTTGCCATCACATAGTTGTCTGATGTCTCCTGGGGTCTACATCAGATTCATCATTTTCAACTCATAATCCTCGATTCAATCAGATGTAAAAAATGTCTCAGAAATTTATTGCCGAACTTCCACTTTCTTCCTCCGAAATAATATATCCAAACTCTCCGTTTTACAGACCAGAGAGTTCCACTTGGGCTCTTCAGAAAGATTTAAAGCCTAAGATCATCGCTCGGCCCTGCACGCCTTCGTCTCTGGCAGCTTTGCTTTCTTTTTTATCAAACTCTAATCTGGATTGGGCGGTCCGAAGTACTGGGGTGGGGTCCTCATCTGCCAGCGATGTGCTGATCTCGTTGTCTGCTTTTGATCAATTCGAATACAATGCAGAAGATCAGACTGTGATTATTGGTGCAGGGCAAAGTTGGGGACAAGTTGATCGCAAAATCGAGGAAAGTGCCCCGGGCCATGCTGGTATGTCCAATCTTTCTGCTCTATATAGTGCAAAAGGTTAAACGACAACCACAGTGGTTGGCGCTCGTTGCACATACGTTGGAGTTGGCGGGTCCATTCTTGCAGGTGGAATATCGTGGTTGTCTTCTGAAAAAGGTCTTGCTACCGACCCGCACAACATGCTAGACGCAAAGGTCGCCTTGACGGACGGTAGAATTTTGTGGGCATCTACTGAGCCAGAACTACTTTGGGCATTGAGAGGTGGCGGTGGAAGTTTTGGAGGTCAGGCAAGATCCACGCATTGGTATACATGGACTGTCTGCTGATTTCAAATATACAGTACTGATAGAGGTCAAACTGCGAGTATACCCCTACCCGGACAAAATATATTCTGGCCAAATATCATATCCAAGATCGGCATTTTCTGTCGTCGCGAAGGCCATTTCAAAGTTCACCGCAGAGTGCAAGGACCCAAAGATGGCGATGCATATCTTTCCTCTCGACCTTAGCCAAGGCCATTATGTGGGGGACACTCCAAAACCAGGTATTGGTCTTCAGGTCTTTGACGCACATGGGGAAAAACATGGGAGAAGTGCAGAGGGGTTTGGTTGGGCTTTGGATATTGAAGGTGCCATTGATGGAACCAGCTCCATGACAATTCGAGAGTGCAACCGAATTTGGGGTAAACTCACAATCCCGATGGAGTGTTATGAATGAGCTAACATCAAAACAAAGATGGCCTTGAAGCTGCCAAAGGAAAAACTGCAAACTTCCAGTCCTGCCTCGTTATTTCCGACATCGATGAACAACTAATTTCGAGGGCGTGGCACTGGATTGAGAGTTTGACCCTAAAGGATCCATCTCTTTGTCTTGGTGGGACATATGTTTTGATAGAATTCATGCAAAAGGTATGCAGTGATAGGTTACTCAAACACGGAAACTGCGTTTGCTGATCCGGTTTTATTTCATGGTTTTAGCCAGCTTTTCATTCGGTAGACCCAATGCTGCGAGCCTGGCCGGGCACGAGCGGTCAGTCTGTCTTGCAACTCGGAACTGGTGCCCCAAGAAGTTCTAGAGAAAGCAGAGAGCTAGCATACAGGGAGCTTCGAGCGGCACCATCCTTTATATGCGGACAAGATGAATTGCAGTACTTTACTCATTCACTCGAGGAGTTCAATGATCTAAAAAAGGTGAGTAGAAGCACTTTGTTCTATAATTGATTGAAAAGCTGACAAGGGAATTTAGATATATGGCGATAACTTTGAGAAGTTACAGCAGCTTAAGCGGCGATATGATCCCCATGGTGGCCTGAAAGGACCTTTTTGCATTTGAAGCGAGCCCGTGTTGACGCTTAGTCCATCTTCCAGGACTGAGCCTGAGGTTCCTTATAAAAGTTGTAGTCTAGGTAGGAATGCCCAACCCCGCATTCATTTTTCCACCAGTCACATAGTAACACAGCTCATGAACTGGTGATAAGTTGAATAACCGGAGGGTAGTCATCCTAAGCCTGGCGACTCTTTGTTCAATAGCAATATTCTTTTCTTCCATTGCGGACAGCTAAAACGAAAACATCATGTGGGGAGTCAAATTTGCCAACGATGAGCCTTTTGTTATTTCCATCTTCGGCATCCAATACCCCACCGGAGAGCCAACCGACGACCAGGAACATCTCACGGACGAATTTAACGCACTGATGAATGAAAACCCGGTATTTGTGTACCGATTAATGAAAGATGGTCGTGGTTCTATTTCTGCCGGAAAGACCTTCATCTGGCTCACCTACTGGAAGACCCATGGGGACTATAAAGCTTGGTGGGAGCAGGAAGATGTCTCTCACTTTTGGAAAGACCTCCCATCCGAATCTGGCATGTGGAGGGAGGTAATGAAACCTTCTCCGCGGCGAAGCCAGTATGGAACCAATCAGACGTATGAGAATGGAATGGGTCAGTTGGGCACCAGAGTCTCTCTTGGCGAGAAATCCAGTTACTGGGGATGTTATCGCCACCGAATGGCCGACTCTTCTGTTGATAAATTCGCATCACCAACCCCTGGTTCCAAGCCAATTTGTCCTCGGGCACCTGAATCGAATCTTGATCGGCCTGGTCGAGTCCAACATGTGGAAATCGCCGACAACCTCTGCTTTGTAGTAGAGGGACAGGACCATACTGAATTGTTAGCTGAAGAGCGCAATCACTGGTTCGAGAATTTTGATGGCAGTTTCAACCAGTGGGTCAAGGATCTTGTAGATGCTGGACCCGAGGCGGGAATCCTTGATGCTAGATTGTGTTATGAGCCCGGTAGTGGTACATTCTGCGATTCTGAGCCTCGGGCTCTGAGTGCTCTTCAGTACAACAAGAAAGTTCAGTTGTTCTATTTCAAGGACTTGAGCTATATGGAGCGGATCGGGCGCCTCAACAAAGGACATGTTGATATGAGAAAACGCTTCCTTGAATCGTATGGATCCGAGGGAGAAATGAAAGATGGGAAGATCTGCTTGTGGGTAGAGACCGTAGTTCTGAAAGCGGATGAGGTGGAGTGCGAGTATATTGGATGTGCCGAGGGCACTGGTTTTATGCCGACAATTGTGAAATCTTCAATTTAAGCGTGAATAGGAAAATGAAAGTTTCATTTTCCACATATGAGCTTTCAAGGGACACCAAAGGGATTCAATTGTGGGAAATGTGGGATCCTCTCATTCTCCAGCCGAAGTTCCTGAACCACACGAACCTCTGTGGTCTTCTGTATTCCGACATGCCCCAATATATTTTCCTGAATGACGACTTTCCTTTTGGTCGACTTGTGCTACAGTGCGGGTGGCAAATAACGAAGCATCTGGAGCACGACGGAGAAGGGGGATTGGCTTCTGTTGAGGGGTCGAATCTGAGCGCATGTACGCTGAACTTTTGCGGGAGCGCTGCAGTACCACCGAGTAACACTGCCGAAGGGTAGGCAATGATGCCCATACGATAATGAAATACATCTAATTATCTTCATAAGCTAGGGTTGTGTGTATACTAGAGGATTACTCACCTCAATCCTGGTTTTCAGTAGCCTTTGTTAATGATTTAAAGAGAGACAGAAAGGATAGATGACTCACGTATACCGAATATTAATGTCAGCCCATGACCCTACATGCGCTTAGTCGATATGCTTAGTGAAGGAAAAATCAAGGAATATCCACAGGTGGATCGCCAGTACATTCCACGCTATTGAGACTGCCATCAGGATTTATAAGAACCATTGGCGCGGCGCGGATGCAGCCTGTCCCATGAGCAGGAGCAGGAATTATATAGTCACACTAATCTTACCAGTTATGGTGAAATATCATGTATGCATGCCTTATTCCTTTCATTACCTTACAACCCCTCCACTCACCCACCTTCTTGCAAACCAGCATCATACTGTTTTTTTATTATTTTTATATTTATATAACCGCATACAGCACATACTACTTCATCTTTATCAGTACAAAGTATTTACCCTATATTGGAATGCACCCTATGCATATAGGTACGCATATTTCATACCAAAACGGGATGATCTAATCAAAGATGCCATATTTTTCAAAACCCAGACGGTGTCTATGTAACAGAAGCAAGGGGACACACACTGAGTATTGACCAACAGATACTACTGAAAGGTCAGCAGTACCCCCTTGGTCTGATTTCTGACCCCATCCCGACCCCGAGCCGCTATATATCTACGCACCCTGAAATATCGTGGTCAATTTCCCTACCCCGAATTTCGCTTTCTGTCGTCAGTCTACGCTGTCGCTGTCTTTTGAAGTTGCAATTACCCACGGCCCTTATACATACATACCCATACCTCCATTCAAAATACATAAGATGGCAAAAGATGTATCCACTGAGTCAATTGACGAACTGCAGAATCAATTGACCGAATCGCTGGGGGCTTTCCGAAACCAACATGAAGAAATAGATCGCGTTGCCGCACTGAAGGCAGCACAAAGACTCGTGAATGCACTACAGAAGCCTAAGGATTCGGTCTATCATCTGACCTACTCTGTAATTACTAGCTCGTCTAGGGTGATGGTGTGATAGCTAACTCGAGTGTAGCCTACTCAAGTTATGTGTGTGCGCATTGCTATCGACATGGGTATATTCACAACCCTAACGGAGCGCAATGGGCCAGTATCGCTCGATGAACTAGCGGCCGTGAAAAACGCGAGTCCGATCCTAGCCGGCATGTTATTATTTTCCATCGTCCTTTGTATTGCACTGTAGTTAACGATGAAACATCATGATAGAACGAGTCTTGCGTGTCTTAGTTGGGATTGACTATGTTGGCGAATGCGATACGCGCATCTACATCCCGACTACAATGACACGCCAGCTGACCGACCGACTCAGCATTTCCGTGGTCAAGTTTTTATTCGACGTTGGGATGCCAACTCTTGCTAAAATCCCCGAGTTTCTCCGTCAACAGGAACATCGGAATCCAGAGGGCACTACTGCAGGCCCATTACAATTCGTCGAGAAGACCGACGAGACGTTTTGGACTTGGTTGCCGCAAAATCCAGAGTACCTTGATTCTTGCAATACCTTCATGGAGGCTAACCGCGGCGCGCGACCTAGTTGGCTTGAATGGTTCCCGGTGGAAGAGCGTCTTCTAAGTGTTGCTTGTTCTGATTCCGAGACGCTTATGGTTGATGTTGCAGGGGGACGAGGCCATGAACTCGTAGACTTTGCGGCACGGTTTCCGGATGTGACAGGTCGTTTGGTGCTCCAGGATTTGCCGCATATTTTGGAAGAAAGCACTATAGATACCAAGCGCATCGAAAAACAAGCATTTGATCTGTTTAAGCCACAGCCAATCCATGGTGAGTATATTGTTGCGCTGCTATGTGATTTTGATACTTGTTGACATTGGTTCCAGGCGCTCGCATTTATTATATGAAATTCATTCTTCATGATTGGTCTGACAAAGACAGCAATGTTATTCTTGCCCAGATAGCTGGTGCAATGAAGAGAGGTTACTCGAAGCTGATCATTGAAGAGTTTGTGCTGGCAGATCGCGACAGTGCTATGTTACCAGCGATGTGCGATTGGGTAATGATGATTTTCTGTAACAGTATGGAGCGCTCCCAGTCCCGTTGGACTCGATTGCTGGAACATGCTGGTTTCCAGGTTGTCAAGTTCTGGGCGCCACCTGGTGATGGCCAAAGCATTATCGAGGCCGAACTCAAATAGTCAAGGCAGTTATAGGATTTGCGCAGACTACCGTGACAGATAGTTTTGGACCATTCTGGCTCTTTTAATAAAATATGATTTTTTTTACAAATTTGTATGTGGTCTTTGCTCTGACGACTAGATGAAGAAAGGAGTAACTTCTCATCAAATCGCAAAGATGTAGCCTATTCGGGCTTAGCCCGTACCGCAAGCTTATAGATGATATATCTCAATTTCATTCTATCATTCTATTAAGAAGGAGATTGAACTCTACTTCCAAATACGCTCGCTGTTACTTCATAAATCTCCGCAGTGCTTGTATACCTTTGAATCCAGTGTAAATCGTACACATCTCATATTTATGACGCTAGAAATACATGACAACGTTCCCAAAAGAAGTAAAAAAACCCAACCCTAGAAGCAATGCGAAAGCTCAAAAATGCGACACGTCAGACTATACGTGTATTCCACTGCTCATTATTTTGTCCTCGCAATGAATAATCCCTATGAGATGCTTGATCCGGCGTCATCGGAGATGGCATGGAATGGGCGTGGCTGTAATTCGACCCTGATGGAGCGGAATAATTCGACACCGATGGGGAGCCCCCTGTAGGATAATATTCGGTCTGCGGATTGTTGTTGGGCATCGGTGAGGAGCGGTTCACCTCAGGCTCACTAGGCGAATCCACGTTTATGGCCACAAGGGGTATCTTCGAGTACGAATCATTGGAACTTGACAGCTTGCTAGCCGCGATGCGTCGTGCCTTCGCTCTGCTAGATAAATAGTATACTATGCAGACGATGAGGAAGAACGAGATAAAACAGCAGCCAAATACAATTGCTGCTATGTTACCCTTTCGGTTCCATTCTAGATATAATAGTTAGTACGATGGGCATTTTGGAGCGGGTGGGTTTGAAGACTTACCGGCAAGCTCTGCTGCGGATTTGCCCGTCGAAGTTGGACTTGTACTACTTGTTGTTGTAGAGGTGCTGACTGTCGTTGGGGTACTCGACGTCAATGAGGAGCTGCTTGGAGTCTCAGTGGTAGATGTGGGGGTTGGAGATGTTGAGGGGGTCTCGGTGGTAGTTTCAGATGTGGGGCTCGCGGTCGTAGACTCCGTTGTTGAAGTGGTTGTCTCAGATTTGGTTGTCTCTGAAGTTGTCTCTGCTGAGGTTGTTTCCGATACAGTTATCTCTGATGAGCTTCTCTCCGCGGAGGTTGTTTCTGATGGGGTATCGGTTGTGGAATCGGCTTCATCGGTTCTGGATGTAGCCTCATCGGTTGTCGCAGTGGTGTCTCTAGCTTGGAGGATGTCACGATATCCGCGTTTCCCGTAGAGGTGGGCTACCTCAGTTGGCTCCGAGGTTGGCCATAAACTTTCAGTGGATGTTGTTGTGGCTGAAATCCATGTGATTTCAGAGGTATACGGTTGAGCGAGCACCGGGGAGCACAAAGCTGTGCATAGTGCAAATATTAAAATCTGCATGGTGTCACAACAAGCCGGGAGAGAAAGCTTTTGGGGAAAAGAGAAAGAATGCGGATCAGAATAATTTAAGAGGTGATTGACATTTGATAGACTGGAAAAAAAAAAAAAAAAAGCCACCCGGGACGTTGGACTAATAAACACTTACGCCTCAAACCTCTCTAAGCTAGGCTAGTGGAATCAGCCTCTGCACAGCCGGGGGATCTTTTTGAACTTCTGCACACACATTTGCCGCGCGGCATCTTCCCCACAAGGCTGATTTGATACTAGAGATCTCTAATTTTGGATGACTTCCACTGATCAACTCTTTTTATAACCATTATAGAATCAGGTATGGTGCTATGGTCTGGGTATATTGGGACTCGAAGACACTACATGATCCTCGCCCTGTGCTCTCATAAATTCATAGCCCCATCCCTCGCTTCTATTTTCTATTCGATTTTTATGGACAAATAATAATGGAGAACACCGACTATTTTTGGAATCCAATTTCACCCGCCAAGACATACTAATAATCGGGCCATGGCACAAACTTTATATATATTCACCGATGGGGATATATTATTGAAAAAATAGACTATATGATATCTGCAACGCTTCCAGTTACAAACAATATTTATCCAATCTCCTCGGTAAATCGTTGTTCAAAAAATCGGTCGGGAACTCGTGATTGTTGCCTGCAATATCAGGCATGAAACGCCAAAATGATCCACCGGGAGTTCCGGGAAGGCTGTGAAAGTCTGGCGATTTTCCAGAAAAGTCACTATTTATAAACTCCCTAAATATCGTACATTGGTCTTCCCGACCACATATAGCTGTAGGAAAATTGAACGTAGTTGACGAGATATTGAAGTCAGGCATTTCACTCAAATATCACGTCCATTGGGCTTTAATACTCACATAGGCTGCCTTACAGTCCTGTTGCTAGCCTGTTATGTGTAAGACGGATATAAAGTGTTAGCGCAGGTATCTTGTATGCTTGTGGCGTGACACAATAATGAATACCATTGAAACACATGTCTATAGGACCTTGATGTTAAGATGATTCTGTATTAGGGAGATGAAACCATCGATGGCTATTGTTCAGTCTGCGAGGTGAGTGCTTTCTTTGTCTATTAGGGGAACAGACAAAATTCAGACTCATTACCATTGATTTTGTACACCTGACAGAGACAGAGTGGTCCGATTTGTCTTGTAGTCTCGTTGTCTTGCCGTCTTATTGGGTATTCGTGGTACGACTAAGTCACGTAACTTCAAATGTCATGTGTTCTACCCAATTATCATGCCACTCCACAATAGATCACATGAAATGATGCAACAAGATGAATTGATAGGCATGTCAACCCCGCAAAGACAAGCAAGGTTGTTTGGTCCCGGTAGGTTATTGGACAATCGTGTTAATCGTACCATTTATGGACTACCCGAATTACATCACCACAAGCATTCCCCACACTCTGGGGTACATAAGTTAATATATAAAGAGGTGACATTTCGTTGAATTTCAGTTCTCTACAATTCACACAATTACTTCACACATTTCCAATATGGATACTATCGACAAGTACAATACCAAGTGGGTCCAATTCCACATTCGGGACCATATCAAAGATGGCCAGATCCTAGTTCAGAACACCGTCATTGAAGGGTATGTATTCATTCCAGACATCTCTTATATTTTTACTACCACTAATAACCGACAGCGGCGAATTTGCCGACCCCAACGACCGCCGCAAGTCCCTTACCGAAGACGAGATCGACGAGATCAAGATCTCCGGCGACGGCATTGGCGAGTTCGGCGCTAGAAGCCGGCGCGGCAGTGAGGGCCGTCTAGACTTATTTCATGACGATGAGAAGATCTGCGAGCTCCACTGGGAAAACCGTGGGGGAGAGCACGAGAATTTGGTGGAGGTGCTGGACAAGAACAACAGATACAAGATCAACCATTGTGGATGGAGTTCCGAGCCCGGCCCCCTGGGACATGTCTTTATCGATGTTGAGGAGAAGAAGGAATAGCTGCGCTCCACAGGCTGCACCAACTCCCTACATAGTATATATGTGCTTGGGAGTTGAAGAACCAGTGTGGTCCGTGGAGCAGTGGCAATATTTGGCGGGGAACCTTGGATGTATTATTACCGTAAATAATTCCAAAAATACCAAAAACAATCGAAAATTTTGACAATCAATACGGTCGCGCTCTTCATCCTGTACCCATTTAATGTTCCAATATCAACTACTTTATGGATCGGAGCAATTTTAAAGAGCTGCTCGTCGAGCGATATGATATTTCCTAGGAAGGCGATTTCATTGATGCGAAATACAGCAGTGTCTGATCTCCCTGCTTAACCCAGAATGGCCTGATCCTTGAACAGGCAACCAAGCGCGCCTTCCGCGAACCAGGCCTTATCCTTGCTCCAGGCATGGACGATCAAATCTCTTCCCACTTTAACCACCTCCTCAACTTGCTTCTCAGTGCCCCATCCAGGGACTCTACTTCCCCAGCAAATCAGGTGCACACCAACGTGGATTGCAGTGCGGAATGCCATTTCATCATTCAGGGTCCCATACCCCTCCAAGAACCCTCGGATAATCCACACTCCACCGTCGGCATTCTTAAACAGCTTTGTTTCGTACAGCTCAGCGATCATTTGCCCCAAGTCTAATGCGCGGCTTCCAATATGCGACAGTTCCCAATCAACAATGAACATGGTCAGTTCAGATTGATGAGTGAGAGGAACGTTTGGAATAAGAATACTAGCAATCCCGTTAGTAACCTGGTTTAGTCCATATAGTCTAAATCCAAGAGAGCATACTTTCCAGTCCAGAAGTCACCGTGAATAAGTCCAAATCCTCTCTGTTGCTCAAGCTCTGCAGCAGCGAGGTCACGAACCTTCTCGAAAATATCACGATCCCCCTCTAGGATACCGGGGAAAATTGGAATAGTGTCGATTAGCATAGTGTAGTTTACCCAGAACTTCAAATTTCTCATAGCCTTGTTCTCCGCAAGGACGTTTCTAGACTCCATTTGCCGTTCCTCGGCCGACCAAGTATGGAACGATTTCAGCCAGGATCCAAGGGCACTGCCCAAGGCTCGCGCCGAGGGTTCGGACAAGTCACGAGAAACCTCTGAGAGCAGGAAGTTCTTCAGGTCAACTGAATTTGGGAGATCTTCTAACACCTGGGTATCTGTTTCCTTATTGAAGTTCAACAAGCGCGGTGTTTTAACAGTTATTTTGCCACTTGTATGAACTGCCAGGCCATCCAGGGCTTGGAGAATGGATTCCTCGAAGTGCTATTTTGGGATTAGTATAGTCCAGCAGGGTTATTTAGCAGAGTGCAACTAACGCATCTCGCGACATCGATTTTAAAGTCTGGATTAGAGGCCGAGTGATCTTTGGTGTGCTTGATGATGATGGACTGGCCGGTTGAGGAAAGTGTGCCTCGATAGACGAAGTTGGCTGTGCCTCCAGACAGACGGGTGAATGATGAGCATGCGAAGGGAGTGGAGGCAAGTTGCTGTGCAATTTCATCCCGTGTTGGGTCCTGTTCATTTGTATTTGCGGCCATATTGTATGAATTTTTGAGTGTACGTTGTATAGGATTGAAGGATGCTCGTTCACACTTCGAGTGTTTTCCCCCTCTAGGCCTAAAACGCGCTAGTACATATACGGTCCCCGCATTTATTGTGGGGACATTTAGACTATATCACTGAGTGGCAATACATTCTTCAAACCACTAGATTTCGGTCTGATTATTTGCTGAGCACTTGAACAAACTGGACACCAATGATACGTAGTCATACTTAGGAAATTTTATTTTGGATCCAACGTTAGATCTGATTCACTGGCGAGAGAGACTAAGATGAAGAAACCAGGGTGACCCTGGGTTTACAAGGGCAGAAACCAGGATCAAACCAGGATGGGATTATAAAGGTCAATGCAGAACTGAGACTAGATTTATTCATATTGGCTATAAGTTCTCATAGCATTGATGTAAGAGTACAGGTTCTTACTCGGGTATTTGATTGATGCTGGATTTATCCAATCCACTGGGTAGTCCCGAGGAGTAAATAAAGAGGAGAAAAGAGAGAAAACTGAGGACTCATGAGGTTCATAATTATATATGAATTTAGTGTCCAAAGAAGGAAATCTCAGAAAGAACCTGGAAGAAACGATGGAGAAGAATAGAAGAGAAGCAGAGAGAGTGCAGTTGGTTTGCCAACGCCTCCGTGCGTCCCGCGGCATCCCCCAGTTGCTGCTGGGCCAGCTCCTACAGGATATCGATCTCACCTGGATCTGCTGGCGGAGGTGTATGTTCTCCTCACTTCGTGTAGTGGTGGAGGCGTTAAGAAGAGAACCAATTTCTTCAGTTGTGCGGGGCATATAATCTCAAGCCTTGTTCTCATAACTGAAGCTCACCAACTTAGACGCCGCATTGACAAGCCCTGACTGCGTGATGAGAGTTGACATTCTAGCCGGTCGAGTATGTTCCCCCTTCGCAACTCCGTATTTCTTCGTAGGAGTCCCAAGTTCCAAGGGAGGGTGCCTCCCCTCCGTAGGAGATTTTCCAGGTCCACTAGTGGCCTATATATAGTTTGTCACTGATTATTATAAACTGACGTTTACAGGCACGTAGTGAAATATCTAGGAAACAGATATCTGAGAAGACGTCCGAAAAGAATTCTGAAAAGATATCTGAAAAAATATCGCATCAAAGGTTTCGAATATAATATTGAATACCTGGGTATCTAGACTATCCAAGCCGTATAGCGTATAAGTAGGACCCAAGTTCCCGGCGGTTGCTGTGCATCTGGGCACTACAATACTAGTCTTTGTCCCTGAGTTGACAAACTTTGATTGTTTTCAGTCCTAAAACTCACCTTCACGTCATCTACTCATCACATACCCATCCATCATCACAGACTTTCTCCCGTCGCCTCTCTACTTCCAAAATCAAAATGGCCATCTCTCGCCATGCGTATCAACTGGATGCGGCGCACCAGCAAGCGCGTGCCCGAGCTATTACCGGCATAGATCGAACACAGGCTCGTTAAAAAATACCCCCAGATGCGTATCAACCCAACAAAATGCGATACTCTTGGGGTCAAATTTGAGATCTTCGCCCTTGATACGGATGGTGATCATCCCGAGCCTTCCGATCATCACAGCAATGAGCAATAAGCCTACATTTTTCCTCCCTCGGTGTAGCGCCTGGGTTCCTGAGGTAGACATCACTAGTGCCAGATGTCAGCAACAGGTCAATTGCGTCTCTCAATGATGGAGAGACGATGCAGAAGCACAGATGTCCAGGAGCCTTGGCAGCAGCCATGGGGGTTATGGAGCCGTCTGGAGAGGATGTTTGTGCTATTTCGATGCCAGCAAGAACCTCCCATGGCCGAAGGATATAAGCGCTCTCTGTGGCAAATTGCCCATTGGCTGCCAGGGTACGAGATTCCAAGGGCTTATGATACGATCACCTGCTTACAAGCATGGGAACATCTCCACAGTAGCACTGTCGTGTCTTTCAACGCCGAAAGTTTTCATACTGACATTCTGTCAGCAAGGGCATCATCCCCAGTCACTGCCTATCTGTTGCGAGAACAGTCACCGGCTATACCAGATACTTTCACACATGTTCTCATCGTTGTTATCGTTGAGCAAGAGCCCTCAAATGATCTCTCGCGACCGGTGGTGCTCACTATTGCGGCGGTCATGGTTACGCGACTCGAAGGGGAGGAATCTCCCGAGTGTTGCACTATTCCAGTGAATATAATAAAGGAACATGTAAATTGCTGACGACTAATATAAATCAATGTTTTAGGTACTAGCCATGACCGTATTTGAACAAATGAAGTTTCGATTCCTTGACGCGTTCTATAGCCAACGAGGCCTGGTGATCAGAAAAACCGAGCTCTTTGATTTTTCGACTAATGAGCAGACGACCAAGAACATGAGTACTGTTCTTGGTATCATGGCCTCTCGCCAAGTTGGAGATCCCACGGACCTCACAACTATTTGCTAGGTTTGTAGTTCTTCGAAGTACACAGGCACCCCCGTATGGCGCCTTTAATGTGGGGTTTCAACCCCGGCAAAGCCAAGCACTTCGGTAAAGAACATATTTGCACGCTTGCTATGGATAATGAGCGGAGGATATGCCTGGAGGACAATGACGCAGTTGAATATCCCTATTCGAATATTTCCCGAGCGCCACCCAACTTCGGATACGCTGCTGGTTGAGGAAGTGAGAGATGAACTCTGAGCCACATGCTTATTTCTAGTAAATCCAAAAAAATGCCCACCCCGATGTCCGATTGCTTGTCTGCTGGGCGGTCAGCGGGGATGGCCCAATTGGACGTTGTACATGCTTCCATGCAAGGAGTTACCCCAAGTAGGTGGTATTGTGACAGGACCATGTGCTTTTGGAGTTACAAATTTCTTTGTTACCGATGCCCCGCAAATGTTACAATAATCTGCTGATAGTTTCTCCATATGCAAAGAGTATCACTTTGATGCTCTGACACCCATTGAGTTGCCAATCTAATATACTTCCCGAGCCATCAAACCCTAATGGGATTGAAAATGGTTGTACAATTTGTCAGGTGCAGTATGGGATTTTATTGCTAACATTTTTCTTCGAAAAGAACAGGTTTAATGTGAAAGCCTATGTGGTCATAACTGTAAATATCTCTTTCCATTCAGATCTCATGGTTTAGCAATTTGACTTTTGGGTTAATTTACCCTCAGAACATTCATCTCCAATTCGTGGACTCTCTCCAAGCTTTTGATGCGAATGTCATACTTGTCCTCCAGAGTAATAAGCACGCCGAGCATAGTCTATACATGAAATCCTGGAAGTTGCGTTATTAATACCGGACTTTCTATCATCTAGTTATGCAAATATCCTTAGAAACCAATAATTTGGTCCGTAGGTTACATTCGGGAGGTTACTGATAAAATGCCGATGAGTTAAGGTTCAGAAGATCTCAAGCATGCCTTCCGGTAGATTATGACTACTATCATTATGGATGATGGCAATGTACGACTTCAGCTAATACGGCCTAAAGGGAACCAAGTCTCTAAAGATGGATTTAGCTGAGAAAGAACATACATATCGACGGTTCCAAAACACAAGCCAATGCTCCTATCTTATTTCTGTAGGATAATCGGCACATGTATCCATATATTAGAACAATTATCAATACGCCTAGCAATATCAGGCGGCCACCCTGTACCCAGTTGTAACGAAGAACAGGCAAACACTAAAGTTTCGATCGTGCGGACATCAAATCATTGAATCTACGCTTTTTTCGGCTAACATCTTTATAACAACCACATGGTTTCTTGAACCTAAGACGTTGATTAGCTTCGGAGAGATAACTAGCAAACATCACGCTCATCATCCTGATGATTAAACTTGGTAGGTCAGCTGCAAAATGTTCCCGAGTCATCTTGTGAATCAAAGATATATTTAAGGACGTGACACTTACACAAGAGATGCCACAAGTTAGAATTCAAAATATTGACTTAGGGTGAAAAGTCGACTTACCAGTCATGACGAAGATACGGTTCATTTTGGGCATAATTACTTTGCTGTCTATGACAGCGCATGCGGTGTCTGTTGTGGGCCAAGACATACGTGCGGCCAAAAGACAGCAGTTGGGAGATCGGCTTGTCTTTGCTCACTTTATGGTAAACATTCCCTCGTGTACGTTTTTATATTCCATCTATACTGATAATCAACAAGATTGGAATCGTCAGTGATAGAAGGAGTCCTGCAGACTTTGACGATGACATGAAGCGTGCTAAGTCTCTAGGGATCGATGCATTTGCTCTTAACATTGGCGTAGACCCCTATACTGATCAAGAACTTCAACTGGCATACGATTCAGCTGCCAACAATGACATGAAAGTCTTCTTGTCGTTTGATTTCAACTGGTGGCATATTAATCAGGCTACCGCAGTTGGCCAGAAAATTGCACAGTATGCTAGCAAGCCAGCACAACTTATGGTGGACAACAAAGTGTTTGTTTCATCATTTGCCGGGGATGGAATCAATGTTGCGGAACTGCGAGCTGCAGCTGGAAGACCCATCTTTTTCGCACCTAATTTCCACCCAGCTATGGGGACGGATATTTCGACAGTTGACGGCCTCTTGAATTGGATGGCATGGCCAAACAACGGAGACAATAAAGCGCCAACTCCAGGTCACAATGTTTCTGTGGCCGATGGAGATCGAGAATATGTCAACGCCCTAGGTGGAAAAGCTTATGTTGCTCGTCAGTATTTCAATTTTTATCGACATTTGAATTTAAAAGTTCTGACTGTGAAGCAGCTGTATCCCCGTGGTTCTTCACGCATTTCGGACCTGAAGTTTCTTATAGCAAGAATTGGAACTTCCCATCTGATCTCCTATGGTTCAACAGGTGGAACGAGATACTTGCGTTGAAACCTCGATTCATCGAGATTGTGACATGGAATGACTATGGAGAGTCTCACTACATTGGTCCTTTGAAATCACCACATACTGATGACGGGGCCTCGAAATGGGTCAATGACATGTGAGAATATCAATCCCGCCTTTGAAAAGATAACGTCCCTATTTCAATGGACTTAACTAAGATGACTATAGGCCCCACGACGGATGGCTGGACATTTCAAAACCATACATCGCTGCATTCAAGGCAGGGGAGTCAGCTCCCACAAATCATATCTCATCCGATGAGTTAGTCTACTGGTATAGACCTGCACCACGTGGCGTGGACTGCGACGCTACAGATATTTGCATGGTACCAGCAAACAATGGCAGTGGAAACTATTTCATAGGCCGTCCAGACGGCTGGCAGTCTATGGCAGATTCTGTGTTTGTCGTATCATTGCTTACATCCCCAGCCACAGTGCAAGTCAACAGCGGCGGAAACATCTACAATTATGAAGCACCAGCCGGTGCAAGTGCACAGGAGGTGCCGATGGGAGTTGGCTCACAAAGCTTCGCCGTCGTTCGCAATGGGCAGACTATTCTGTCAGGGACCAGTCTGAAGCAGATTATAGACGGGTGCGTGTGCGGTTTATATAACTTCAACGCCTATGGTAAGTAAATATATGACCACTAGTCTTGACACAACTTTTAACGGTGGTATCTAGTCGGAACCCTTCCAGCAGGATTCAGTGATCCCATGCAGCCCGATGGGCTCGCTGCATTTAGATCTGGCCTGCGTGTTAGCACATGCCAACCGACCCCCTCATTAGGTACAGTTCCCCCAGCTCCCCCATCTACAAGTCCGGGCACCACCTTGCCAAGTCCTCCTCCGACTACACCACCAACACCCCCTGGACAATGTTCGACTGTCGTGAGCACGGTTACAGTTACTAAGACTCTAACCCCGTCAGGCTGTCCTCCTCCAAATGGTGGTGGAGATGATAGCGGCGGAGGGGGTGGCGGTGGTGGAAGTGGTACCGGTGGAGATGGAGGTGACGGCACCTGTATTGCGGGAACTGGAGCGAATAACTACATTGGTTTGTGCGCCTTTTGTTGCAACTATGGTTATTGTCCACCGGGGCCCTGCACTTGTACGCAGTATGGGAATCCAGTGCCGCCTCCACCATCGACGGGAGCGCATGGGGCACCTCTTGTCGGCGAGGATGATTCGTATCTAGGTCTTTGCAGTTTTGCGTGTGACCATGGATATTGCCCCCCTACAGCCTGCAGGGTTGTTTGAGTACAATTCATGCAAGGGTTGATATACAGTGCGCCCAATATATTCTCGATATAAGCCGATGTATATTCCAAATTTATGACAGGATGTAGTGGAACAGTCCAGCAATTAAAGGAGAGTTTTAAACTGTCCATATGTTCAAATTGAGAAATTTTACTAAACTAGACTTTGTCGCAATTTCTTTTGTCAATGTCGGAAAAGCCTAAAGGCAAGGAATGCCAGGCCAGGTAGGTGGACGAAGAATCAAGCTCAATCACAGCAGCAATAATGCCAGAGCTTGAACTGCGACACAAACTAGTACGAGGCCAGTAGGTGTTGACCTTCCAGCCACACCTCCCACGTGGGTAGGGGCGACGGTAGCAGCAACGGGTGTTGCCTCACTACCCGACACATGCTCGGTAGTACTTAGAGTACTTGGAGTAGTGGCACTGGCGTTAACTGTTGCAGCCACCGCATTGGCAGTGGAAGTGATGGTAACCGGCAACAACGTAATCTGGTCCCAAGGGAGGGTTGAGGTGCTGGTGCCGGTCGTACCAGCCCCCGTTCCAGTAACAGTGTCTGTACAAGTATAGACTCCGGTTGGGAGATCAGTCATCTCGCAGATGGCATGATTATATCTGTTGAATGAATGAGCAATCTATTGCAGCTGGTAACAATGGTTGAGAGTTGGGTAAACGCACATGTTGTCAGATCCGGCACTTATCAAATATTCAACGCTTGTTGGGGCCGCGGTCAAAAACATGCCGGGGCCCATACCGCATTCTGTAGCATTGGTGCGGCCGGGCGGGCAATTGATACTGTAGGTAGTTGTTGCTGATTGCTATTTGGAGTTAGTGGGATATTCGCAGATCATTCCTATTTATACGAACCTCTCCCAGAACTTCACCCAACAAGGATTGAGGATCGGCATTTGGAATGAATAAAGAGACGACAGAATATTCTGCAGCAAGCCCCAAGCTTGCAAATGCGAGGAGAACTTTCAAAATCATTATGTGCTGTTGTCTCTGTATATGGTGATTGAATACAAAAGAAAAGCAGATATTTGGCAGGCTGGATTATTTGCAGAAAGTAGGAGTCTAAGTCCCTCGTTAGGTGAATAAATCATATCTCTGATGGCGACACTACCATCATCATTTTCTAACCCTGTCGTGTCGCGGAAACCTCCTGCGTGTGGTGTTATATATCGAGATGATGAAACTTGCATGTCATATGGATCAAGGCCCAGTCATCATAAAATCCTCACCTTGCCATTTCATATTACAAATTAGCGATCAAAGCCAAGAAGCAAAGCAATAAGGAGGAGGAAAGTTTCATGATATATCTTGGTGATTGGAATTGTGATCTCGCTTCCTCTTAGCGTCGGTAAACACACAGCATGCTAAATATTTGAAAAGACATCTATAAAAGGAATATGCACATAACACCGTCATAGTTACTCATAATTACCACTCTCGAATGGAGCCATCCGGTCCATAGAACTCCTTGGGCTGCCAAGGCTCTGTCTCCTTGCTGATTTTCCGTACCAAGTCTTCATCAATATCAATTCCCAAGCCCGGCTTACTGGGGGCAGCCACATATCCCTCCTTGATATCAAAGACCGTCTTATCCACCAAGTAGCTGTTCAAGTCGATATCTCCAGCTTCAACATTGTAGTGCATGCCCAGTGACATTTCTTGAATGACAAAATTGGGTATCGATACCGCCACTTGCAGTGATGCTGCCAAGGCGATCGGACCCAGAGGACAGTGAGGCGCGATAGCAACATCGTAGGCTTCAGCCATATTTGCTATGCGCATAGTTTCTGAGATACCTCCTGCGTGGGCAATATCGGGCTGTAGGATATCTACCGACGAATCCTCTAAGAACCTCTTAATGTCCCATCTGGAGTATAACCGCTCGCCAAATGCGATAGGAATTGTAGTCTGCTCAGAAAGTTGCTTGATCGCTTCGGGGTGTTCGCATAGTAGAGGCTCTTCGATAAACAGAGGGTGGTAAGGCTCCAGTGCCTTGGCTAGTTGCTTAGCCATAGGTCTGTGCAAGCGACCGTGGAAGTCTAGACCGGCATCAAGGCCCAGAGCCTTCACCTGCTTCAATCGCTCCACACAGGACTCTAAAACAGCGGGCGAGTCGAGCCAGTTGACATCTTCGGTGGCGTTCATCTTGATGCACTTGAGGCCTTGGGCGATTCTTTCTTTCCTATTGACAAACATTGTTAGAATTTCAATTTCTTTTACTCTCTTTCCTTTTACCGGAACTCACGCCGCGGCCTCAACATCACTTGGTCGATCACCTCCAATCCAGGCATAAACCTGAGCCTTCTGGCGAACCTTCCCCCCAGAAGCTGGTGCACGGGGACACCCAGCTTTCGACCCTTCAGATCCCACAAAGCGATGTCAATCCCCGATAGAGCCGACATAAACACCGGCCCGCCTCTATAGAATCCAAGCCGCCATACTGTCTGCCAAATGTGTTGAATGTCACTGTGAAAGGCGGTTAGATCTTTCTCAGTTGTGATACAAAACGAGGGGTTCAAGCATACTCCGCTTCGTATCCGATAATGCGGGTGATAATTTCATCTAACGCGCCTTCAACTGCAAGAGAGTGTCCTTCCAGTGTGCCTTCTCCCCAACCGAAGTTCCCTTCATCATCGGTGACTTTAACAAACAGCCAACGAGGCTTGACACGGAAATGCTCGATGGACTTGATCTTGGCCATAGTGAGTTACTGAATAAAATTCAGGGGTACTGGACGCAGTGCTGTAGTAACAGAATCTGGGATGCGACTAGGTTATATTTGCAGCTGGAGGTTCGCGAGCCAACCCCACACCATAAACGCATCCCACGCGGGGTCCTCGGGGGAAGTCCGGGCGGTTAAGCTGATTGTGCTGTGTATCAGATCCCCCACGTCTAGAGAGTGATGGATCCAATACAAGCATCCTCCTTTTGTGTTGATTGGCGGGAAAACTGCGCCATAGATTCCACTTTGATGGGGAAGAAATATGGGCTAATCCGATCTACAACTCGTCATTGCAGATAGTGTAAACTCCTCTGGGCAACTAAGGTCGAGCTACGTAGAGCTATAACAGTGGGACATCTCCGCCCTATGAGCGGGGTACGGTAATCCACCTCGATAGGCCCAGAGGACTGGTCATTTTCTCTAGTTTTTCCCCTTAACTCTTCAAATATCATTATACCCACATATATTGTTTTTTGTTGCCCTCAGGCTAGGTATAATAGAGGCTTTTGCGCTATCCTGTGATAGGAGTACTTTCATTTGCCTTTGTTCATTCTTTTCTCATTTCAATATTCCAAGTGAGGTATGACTAGGGGTGATTCGGACTACCGGAGTTCAGAGCCGCCGCGCCGCCGTGTGATAGCTCCAAACCAAGTTATTTTATGGATCATAGGCAAAGTAATGAATAGACATGTTCATAGATATGGTGATTGGTATAAAGTGCCAAGACGGATAAAATGCCCCGTCTTGAGAGCTTCTGCATATGGAGCTAGGTATGAACCCCCACGCTCGGATGGATTCCGGGATCGTCGTTGGCGGTTGGGCACAGCACTAGGCTCGCCATTTCATGGTGAGAAACTGCGAGGTTGCAGTTGACAATGCATAATAAAAATCCACGATGAAACTCACTCACCAGGAAATTAGCCGGCATAACAATCAGGAGTCGTGCTGGGTCGCGATCCATGGGGCTGTATACGATGTCACAGGTAGGGAACTCACAATCCCTGTAGGGACTGCGACTCCAGACTGACTTATATAGAATTTTTGGCCGAGCACCCAGGAGGTGCAGCGGTGATTTTGCGATGTGCGGGTAATGACGCAACAGAAGATTTCGACTCTGTTCATGTGCGGGAGTTGCTGAGTGAAGCACTCCCTCAAGCCGCGCTCCAAGGCTATATTGATGCGGCTGAATTGGACAAGCTAAAGGAAAGGTCGGCCGAAATGAATGAGAAGCAATCAAAACTTGGCAATGACAGTCTTCCCCCATTACGAACTCTGATCAATTTGCATGATTTTGAACGGATTGCTCAGAGATTGCCAGCCACGACATGGGCCTATTACTCATCTGGTGCTGATGACGAGATAACAAAACGGAATAATACCCTCGCATATCAAAAAATATCCCTTCGTCCACGTATCCTGCGGAAGATCCCTACTGTGAATACAAACACTGAAATTTTAGGATACCCTACCACCCTACCGGTATATATCTCTCCAGTTGGTCTTGCGAAACTTGCCCATCCAGAGGGCGAGTGTGCGCTGGCAGCTGCAGCTGGCCAAGAGGAACTGGTCCAAGTTCTCGCAAATGGATCCAGTATGCCGATTGAACAAGTGATGAAGAGGCGCACCTCACTGAACCAGCCTGTTTTCCAACAGATATACGTGAACAAAGATATTCAGAAGTCTGTTGATTTTGTACGACGAGCCGAAAAAGCTGGTGCAAGTGCTATTTGGATTACGGTTGACTCGCCCGTCGTGGGGAAACGCGAGATGGACGAACGGCTCAATCTCAAGGTCACGGTATGTACATAGTCTGAGCTGGTAGGTATAGTCATATTTTTATTGCATTTACTAACGTGCTTTAGGCTACCGATAATACTACGGGGGGACAGGGAGTAGCCAAGATCATGGCCAGCTCAATATCGCCATTCATAGACTGGGAAATCCTTACATGGCTTCGTCAATTGACAGATCTCCCTGTTGTTATCAAGGGAATCCAATGTGTGGAGGACGCTGTGCTTGCGTATCAGCATGGTGTGCAGGGAATTGTACTCTCAAATCACGGCGGACGCTCGCAAGATACGTATGCTGTCTCCCAAATATGATTTCTTTCTCGCGCTGGTGGTATGCTGACATATATAAACAGGGCACAATCACCACTTCTGACACTATTGGAGATTCGAAAGTTCGCACCTCACTTGATTGAGAGCAAAATGCAGATCTTTATTGACGGTGGCATCCGCCGAGGAACAGATGTACTCAAAGCCATTGCGCTAGGGGCCAATGCTGTCGGATTAGGCAGGCCCTTTTTGTTCAGCTTATCCGGATATGGCGAAAAGGGGGTGCGACGGATGATCGAGATTCTACGACAGGAGATCGAAATGAATATGGTTTTTCTGGGAGCGAGCAGTCTCGCAGAGTTGAAACCCGAGATGGTGAATACTAGTCGCTTGGAGAAACATTTGATAGGCAGTGTAAAGCTATAAATTGAAATGCCACCCAGAGCCCCTTGCATTTGAATATAAAGTGCCAAGACTAAACTAGTACATCACCCCTAGTCCTACCCCGATTCCACCCCAATTCTAGAAGAATCCACCCCCACGCGGCCATCTCTCCGATGAGGGGGAACAGTGGAGGTCAAGTCTCAAAAAGAATACGATTCTGTTGGATGTGCATTGAATCCTCACAAAATGTCGGAACAAATTGATGTCCTCGTCTATGGATTGGGAGCGTAAGTTCGAACTCTTTCATAAAAAGGATGTTATACTGACTTCTATAGAATTGGCTCCTTCTATGCCTTCATCCTCAATCGCTCCGACCGTGTACGACTTACGGTCGTGGCACGTTCAAACTACGAGGCCGTTAAAGCAAATGTGAGCATTTTACTGGGCACCAGGCCGTTCGAATATTAATATCCGAGCTCCAAAGGGAATTATCATCAACAGCGAGAACCACGGCCAACATACTTTCCATCCACACAGAGGTATGTGAGATATGCACAATTCAAATAAAGGTATTATGCTAACGGTTCAACAAGTGGTAAAATCCGTCGCAGACGTTCCACCCGTGGACTACATCGTGTGCGCTCACAAGGCAATCGATCAAGATGAAGTAGTAGCTCAATTACAGCCAGCCATTGACAGCAGGACTACCATTGTAGTCATTCAAAATGGCGTTGGCAACGAGGAACCTTTCCGAAAGCACTTTCCCAACAACACCATTATAACCTGTGTGGTGGGTTTTGTTCACATCCGCATTTCCACAGTCTCATCTAACTTCCGCAGACATGGGTAGGAGCCACACAAACAAGCCCTGGAATTGTTGTACATGGCAAATCCGAGGATATGCAGATCGGACTCTTTCCCAATCCCAAGCTCGAAAGCCAGGTCGAGCAACAACGACTGGAAACTTTTGCCGATCTTCTTCGGAATGGCAAGACTCGATTCCAGGTTCTGAAGGATATGCAGATCCAGCGATGGGAGAAGGTCGTTTGGAATGCAGCATGGAACTCGTTGACTACGCTCACAATGGTGGATACACAAAGTTGGTTGAAGTCATCGGAAGATGCGGCGCCTTTTACACGCCAGTTGATGCAGGAGGTTATTCACATCGCCCGTGCCTGTGGTGTACCACTGGAGGATGGTCTGGTTGACCAGCTTATGGACAAGATTAATACATTGCCTGGGATTGGAAGCAGTATGCAGACGGACTGCAAGAGTGGACGGCTGATGGAGATCGATGTTATTTTGGGCTTCCCAGTGCGGAAATCTCGCGAACTCGGGATTAAGGCTCCCTTTTTGGAGACACTCTACGTTCTTCTTCGGGCGATTGATGGTCGACTCAGAGCCGCGCGGTAGATCAAGGAATGTCACACTTGATTCGACTTAAAATGAAGGATATAAAGTGCACTATAGAAGCTAGACAATATGAAGGGTCTATGTATCTCACAAATCCCATCAAAATTTGATCAGAGCTCATTCGGATCAGACCGTCCGTGATAGCCAGCGTACTCGAGACTAAGATCAATCGTCGAGTTGTCACAATGGGGATGCCATCCGTAGGCCATGTACTGTATCCTTTTCGTCTCGCTCGACCATGCTCGGCGCCGATTATAGACGAAGTAGGACTCATGCGAGATGTTCGCCATCGATATAGTATATGAATGTAAATTTCTTTCCCGTCAAACCTCTCTCCCATGCATTTGCCATGAAAGAAAATATCTCTCAACATCCCCAAACCGCAAACAAAGCCAAAGACGGGAGATATGCGAAAAGGGAAGAAAAAGAACCTACGCCAGGGTTCCAGATGTTTTTTGTTTTTACAATATAAAGTGACGTCCTCACTCATGACGCCCAAAATGCAAGTGAACGAAGAAAGAGCCAGCTTACTTGTCCAACGATCTATCTTTGGAGCCTCATCGAGGTTAAAAACGCCCATGTCCAAATAAATATATACCCTCGAAACATAATATAACGTATCAGAATCAGATAAAAGGTCGTAGCTCATAAAGGTAGGATCATCAGGGCTGAGGAGGGGAGGATGAACTGTGGATCTCCTGTAGCTGAATAGAGGTGGTCTTGTCCACCTCTACTTCTGGGGTGGCATTTGGGGTGGCGCCTGGGGGATCGGGAGGTTGGTTGATAGTCTCTTCCTGGTCGACGGCGAATCTCCAGCGGTTATCTGCGCCCATGAACATGCGGAATCCATAGCGTTTGTTCAAGGATGTGAGATGAGCATGTCGTCTAGCACTCTTCCATTTGTGTGTATCGGTAAAGTCATGAAGCATTTGGCTGTGCGAAATCCAGGGAATGATAGCCCCAATGGAGCGTGGCATTCGGGGTCCCCGGAACCGACCGTGTCGTGTTCCGAACACTACAAGCACGACCAGCGTGTCGAAAATAATAATCGCTAGAGCGGTGGCAAGTGATGCAGCTGACGGAATCATCTGCCAAGTACTGCGGGTGATGGTGGCATTTGTGGCCGGAACCGGGTCAGCGAGAGGTTCGAGATAAATATCGCGCCAAATTGAGAAGTAGGTGCTATAGACCCATTGATATACAGTTTGAGTCATGTTCGTCAGAAGATCGGGATTCAGGGCATCAAAGTTTGGGTCTTCATGTTCGTAGAGACGGGCAACGAGGAAGCCTGCCCAATCGTAGGAAGAAACGTTGTATGTTCCGTTTTGCATGGTAGTATTACCCACAAAATTGCTAGGAATAGCAGCAAATACTTTGTTGAACTGACCGAGACTCACAGTCGCATTGTCAAACATGGTTCCATCGGTGATAGTTGTTTCCGGAATAGGTTCATGCCAACTTATCTGTCCCTTCTGGTCAAAAGAGATCGAATAGCTTTGCAATATCGCATGGGGTTCACAGTGCAATGCAATTGTGTTGTCGTCCGTGACCGGTGTGTCCGCCAAATAATCCCAACGACCGACAACTACAACCGTTGAAGTCTGGCAGATATCCGATTCGGCAACATCGTCTGGGGACAGGAAGTGAATAGACAGCGAGATTCCTTGCTCTTTGCTTCTTAAGACTGGCATACGTGCCGTGCATTCCATGGCTGAATGGTCAAATGGTTCATATTGCCAATACTGATAACCACTGGCGTTATTATGGACAAGAGCATCGGATGAAAGGGGCCGACACTTGAGTTCAACTCCAACACCAAGCGTCGAGGCGCCGTAAGTCACATCTGGGTTGTGATTGGCCACGTGTACTGGGACGAAAGACTGGTTGGAGCTCGTCCAAGATAGCATAGGGATTCCGCTGCTGATGCTGGTCTGAATCAAATCATACTCGGTGAATTCAGCAGCGAAGTCCGTCTGCCAAAATACAGACTGGCTGTAATTCATCGACAAATCGTTGGTGTCCAATGTTGAGGATGTTAATTTTTGAGTGAAAAGCGCGCCAGCAACAACAGTCAAAGCCATGTTAACAACGCACGCAAGTGATACGAGAGCTAGCAAGATGTGCCGGTCACGAACTGCCTTGAAGAAAATGGCAAACGGACTTTGGGACGAATAGTTCAGTGACAACGACGTTTTTGCCGAGGCATTGCCGCGCTGCAGGTGGACCCAAGGCTCCAAGACACTGAGGTTTCGGTGAATGGAGGTACATAGAGCTCCCACAGACGATGCGACAACAGAGGGTAGGAATGAAAGGATGATTTGGAACGCACTCGAGTCGGATTGGGTCATGTGGCGGAAGCGGCCGTTTCGAAGAAAGGATGCGACCACTAGTCCGATGAGGATAATGACGCCGGCTAGCGCAAAGAATTCAATAAGAAAGAAAGGAATTACGAGGAAGTGAGGCATTGGATCGACACGGGTTCGGAGGTTCTCTCCAAGCTGGACAGGGGAGCCTAGTGATACAGTTAGCTATGATTTTCGTAAATGAATAGTATTCGAAGAGTAGGGGTGGTACAAACCATCTTCAGCGAGAATCTCCAGCCTGTTGCCAGAAGGGCTCGGTCGCCAGTAACACCGAGCATTTTTAAAGATGCGACGAAGTTGCCGAGTAGAGAATTGATGAAATTCCGCTACTGGCTCTGCAAGGATGTTGGATGGGTGAAATACATCTGCCACAATACTGCACATGGCACCGATGGATCCTGGGTCACTTTGGAGAAACAGTTCACGCGAACTATACGTGTAAAGGAGGTACACCACGGTTAATGTGGACAGGGCAAGAATGAGCTCAGACCAGAGAGCCGCAAATGTAACGATAGCGATAGCGACTTGATTCGATGCGCGTGAGGCGGCGAGGATCGTTGGTGCGGTATCGGGATCAAACAGGCGACCGAGTGTGAGTACAAAAGTCTGCTTGACGTCCCGCTCAATCTTGGATTCAAACTCGGTCTCTGTCATGACAGTTGATGTGTCCAGCACTAGCACCGGCTGGAGATCTCCTAGCTCCTGGCTAATGATAGGGAGTTCAGTAATTGCGCGAGTACCCGTAGTAGCATTTTCTCGGATGAAGAGCATGTCACTGGTGAACGGAGCGCGTTGAGAGAGCAGAGCTTGGAAGTGTTCAATGTTGAACTCGGCTTTTGTGATCGGGCGCTTGGTGGCTCGATCTATGTCAATAGATATGATGGAGCTGTTGGAGTGCATAGCCACGCGACCCTGCGCTTTATGATAGATGACATCACAGGCAAAGGCCACACCAGACGCGGAGTACTCACTCAAAGTCAAATCCGAGTCTGGACTGGTTATATTGACTCCGATGAGCATGCCATATAGATCATACGGATCGCAACCAAATTCAGTGAAGGCCTGGGTTCGATTTGCAAATGATTCTTTGGCAGCAGCACTGATCATTGGCTCCCAATACCGGATTTGCAGGTAATCGGTGGCAGGGAAGAGGACACTCTCGTATTGAAAATCAAGGGCGCATTTGGTGGTGCCTCTGTATGCATCTGTCAGGTCAATACCACTGGCGTGCCATGAAATTGTTGGATACGCTTCATCGGAATCATGGATAGCAACGGTGATCTTGTCCCGAACGGGAACGTTCTCGCACGAAAGTTGCGCCCAGTATAGCGTCTGATCAACAGTCCATATTATGGACTCGTCTTGGTGGCTATCGGGTATTTCCACCGGCGCCACGGCGTACTTGGTGGATCGGGACCGGCGCAATAGCTCATTTGAGGAAAGCACGTCGTCAATGGTATTGTTTGCTTGCGTTGAGATCCAGTTCGCTTGCGTGTCCAAGTCCAACAGGTTGGGCCAGCTTTTTATGGATTCGTAGTCGACTACTGTCACCTCGCGTAGCTCAAATACCGTACTTTGCAGAGCGGGGAGAATCATTCGGATCGAGAGCGTGACAAAGGAAACCCAGAGGACTACCCAATGGCGGCGGCGTGCGGCACTGATCGGAGTGAGAATGGTTTGGCCGAAGTTGTAGTTGATGAAGAGAACCGTCGCGGGCGCTCCCTCGGGTCGGGACAACTGGAAGTATGGTTCCAGGCGGAGGACATCGAAATCGGTGACGGTCCATACCACAACGAGCACGAGGGATATGATGATAGGGAGGTAATTGTAGGCAAAAGATTGCATCTCGTTGACATCTTCCGTGTCGCTAAAAAAGACCAATCCTCCTTTGCGATCGCTATACTGCCGTAAACCTTCCAGGCCCAGCAGCATCGTCAACATCAAACATATAAGGGATATTAGGTAGGGCGGGCGCAGAGCCACCGGGCGCCAACCTCGAGGTTGAGGGGGGAATTGAACGAAACGAAACGGGGCAAAACGACCTAGTTCACATCTCGATTAGATTATACTCATACTCCATGAGGCTCAACGGGTACTGCGAAAGGAAAAGGGGTGTCAGACGAGAACCACCACTCACCAATTCGTCGTGCCCAGCGCCCTTCCCCATCGCTACTGGACATGCTAGATACGGTCCCGAAGGCGGACAATGTACTTAATACAATCGAAGGGCATTGCCAAATCAAGTTTCAACCATTCAACAAGACTCTGATGCAAACACAACGGGCCATGATTCCACAAAGGGGGGGAGAGTAAGGTGTAAGGAGACAAAGGGAAAATATGACCCTAGTGAAGCCCACAAAAACCGGATTCAAAGAATGAACAGCCCGAAGCCAAGAAAGATGGATCTCGGAGATGACGAGGAGAAGGGGAGAATCGATTTTGTTGTGGCTGTGCTGGCTGTGCTGGCTGTGCTGTCTGTGCTGTCTGTGCTGTCTGTGCTGTGCCTGTATCCACACGTGGGGCGGTCCAGCCCTCGACTATTCCCCGATCATACAACACAATATCGATATTAACTTGAGATTCCTATTAAGGGGAACAAGTTGGGATTTGGATTGATCTTCTGATACATTCTCGTTGACGATCCAAAAGTATTATCAAAGATCAAAACAGCCAAATTTATCCCCAATTCAAATTCAAAGCGATACATAGTTGGGTCTAGACAACAGATGGATCCATTTATCTTGGCAAAAGCCCATTGGATCTATGAATGGACAATGGTCAATTACTACTCCGTACTCTTCACATAACTGACAAACATTTGTGAAAAAGAGCGATCAACACTCAAATCAGAGGACAGCCGGATGAAGAAGTAACACCGAAGATGCAGATCCAGAAGGAGGAGCAACACCAGGACAGGAAACGAAAACAGACTTGGAAAGCTTAGGCAAGCCAGTTCTAAGAGGAGCAGTAGAGGAGTGAGAGTACCAGTGGGGGTCAAGAGAACAAGCCTCACCGACCCCTCCCCCTAATTCCCAGTTATGAATTAACCTGATGAGATCCGCCAGCCACAACTCCGAACATTTACCCATAAGACCAAAAGGTCATAACAAATTGGTCAATTCTTACAGTTGACTCAGCTGTTGTAATATGGATGGATATATTTGTAGGTAATCAACTTTTGGGATCACAATATAGTACCGCCTCCCTTCTAGGTTCGGTGTTTAATGCAATCCTACACCTAGCAACTCAACCATATTGCCAATCCTTCCTAGCGTTATATTGTGAGCCTCCATTCTTTTCTCTGAATTTCACGCCTTCTGATCTTACTTCACAAGCTGGTCTTAAACAGACAGCCCCTCGACAGGTTTTAAATCCGAACCGAATTGCTCAATATGTATTCTACTATCAATCGTGATAATTAGGAGAACATTGAGACGCCGACATCGCAGGCTACTCAGGATCCCCTCAGGACCCGCCGTGCCCTACTCAGAATAGCCTTCCTAACCGCCAGTAGGACATTGCCGTATGCGATGAAGACACTGTAGAAGATGTCTCGCAATGGGCGAAACATCAAAATGAAGGTTATCGCTACGAAGCTATTCACTGCCTGAGTATTACCGAGTGTAGTTTGATAGGATTCTAGACATGATTTCAACTATTAAGGAACACTTGTCTAACATCCAATACGGCTAAGGGAGGTGAATGCTGATGATATGCCTGATTTACGTTTTTGTAAAGGTTTTCTTTGACCCAGACTAGCAAGTTTTTGTCAATTCAACATGGCATTAAATCAACATTTCAATTTACTTTAATGTCCTATGAATAAACACCAAGTGATACAGATATATATGTGCCAGTATTGACATGAATATTAATAGTTATAGTAATAAAGGAATTGAAATAGCTACTGACAGGATGGAGACTAAACAGTGGGAAAACAGTCTCCGTTATTCAGAACCTCATCGGTGATAGCTATATACGAGAGACTATCTAAAGGAAGTTCCCCGAGGCCTACCCATAGGTCTAAGCACTGCTTCCACTGCTTCTGGGGATAGGGGCTGAAGTCAAAGATCCGGATCTAGAAGGGATAGGAGGCGATGTCAAAGACCCGGATCCAGAAGGAATAGCGGAGGGTGATGGCGATGCGATGGTGAACGCAGGGCAGAGGTTGGGAAGAGGTGTGTCGGTCGACCGATGAACAGGAGTCGACACAGTAGAGGAGCTGGATGCAATGTGGGTGCCACTGGAGAACGGGACACCCACGGCAGAGCCAGAGAGAGCGAGCACAAAGGCGGCAAATGAGGTCTTCATCGTGAAAGGATTGAATCGAAAAATTGGATATAGCGAAGAAGTAAAAGGTTGTCGCTCAACAGTGGCTCACACAGCGAGAAAGTATGTATGAAATAAAGATATTGACTGATATAGAATAGAGAAAGAAGATTCCAGATCTGCTTGATGGAAAGAATTGGACGGGCAGACTGCAGCGATTTTATATCTTTCATGGGCCACAGCACAACATCGATGGTCTAGAACGAACAGACATTGCTTGTATCTGTATATGGTGGGTCTATTTCTCGATGCTGTTGTTCCTTTGTTTGAGAACAGCCCTTGACTGGTTGAGAATAGACGATCCCAAGATTCCGTCATCGGTTGGATCTATTCTGGAAGGGTTCTCGATGTCGAAACACTAGGTGATAAACCTAATTGATATTTCATATGGATCAATCGACTGGGTCGAGGCCATTGCCCCTGGGAGCATACCAGTGGTACACATAGGGTACGGCCAACGGGGGGAGTAGTTGGAAAACTATAAAACGTTCGAGATTGTCGATCATCAATTCATTTCAGGGTTCTATCTTGGGTCTTTATGATATGTGCAAATTAGAGTATAATCCAGGTGTCGGAGTTTACGCGTGCACATGAGACTTCCAGGGACACATAGTGGGACCGATAGATACATTTAGAATAAGCTCCGTGGATATGACGAACTGTGAAATTAGGGAGAGGACATTGCGTGGCTTTCATGTTTGGCTATTAGGTCCAGCGGTTCACAGAGCGAAAAAAAAACGCGACGATCTCGCCACCGTTTTTCGACAAATGGTTGAGAATTTGTATGGTCTGGCTCATCTCCACTCTCCTATTGTCCGGTTGAGATTTCCGATATCGATATCTCAATTATTGGCCCTACATTCCCAACCTCTAGCTGCTATGCTTGACGCTAATATCTGGTTTTTCTGGACCAAGATGCTATCTGGGTATGAATAAAGAAATTTTATGTAAGATAACACATCAATGTTGTTTTTGGGTGTTCTTTTGTAGGTATTATTTCCTAGACAATTAAGAACCAGCTATGATTGATAAAATAACTTCATTTGGAATCATCTTACATGCTAGCGCTGCGGCTCTGAAATCCGATAGATCTTGTCACCACTTGTGAAAAGGCAGCCAAGAGAAAATGGAGTGAAAATGAAATGGAGGGAAAATGGAAACAAGTTGGAAATGAAATGAGCGACAGCAAGTGATCCCTGTTACTCCCTATACCGGCGAATGAGATCATCAAGTGCACGTTGGAGATCCTGGGTACGCTGTGTAAGCTGCTCGGTAGAGTGAATGGCATTGCCTCTACAGGCACCAGCTCCAACCTGTGTCCAGACCCGTGGAACAGGTGAGGAGCTGATAGGAAATCGCAGTCCCCGAGTGGTTTCATACTCATTATTCCGCGCGGCAAAGCAAAGAACAGCAGTGATGTCACGTAGAGTGTTTAATTCGCGAAGGAAATCTTGACGGTCGCTCGCCCGCTGGCGAGCCAAGTCTTGGTCATGGACAGAGAGTGCTGACCGGCGGGGGATGGCAAGAGGGACGAGAGGCGGCTCAGCAAGTTCAATTGCGTGCGAACATTGATGGTCATTGCCATCCCAGTGGCAGTTAGCACACTCCTTTGGCCAACCGAGGGTATCGATGACAACGCAGTAGGAGAATGGCCCCTCTCCTTGTTGACAGCAGTTACATTCCTCCTCGGCCTGCTGTCCAATCATCTGGATATAGATGGCTTCCACGTTCAAAATACTGGACCCAACCCGCTTGTCAAACTACTGGGCATCCCACTCTTCATCATCCCTTGGAGTAGGCTCTCGGAGAGATTCCATAGTCCGAAGAAACTTGAGGAAGTCTGATTCCACGAAGGTACCCTTTCCGGCAGTGATGCATGGTAGGGTGTTTACAGAGGCGACCCATCTGCCTGGGGTGGGCTCATCAGTTCGCTTGTGGGGAGCAGGTATGGTATCCGAGTTGTCAAGCGCGGAGGAGGCCGGCGTAGGCACGTTGCTGAAAGTGTCAGTGTGGCTTTCATAATCCATAGCAGGAAGGTTACAAGGGTGATTTACTCAGCCATGACGTTTTCCAACGTTAGTTTGCGATGGTGCGTTAGGTATTTTCGATGAGATAAACTCGATCTTCTGGTGATCCGATGTAAGTAGGAGAAGAGAGAAGTGAAGAGAGGCGATGAAAGGAAATGGTAAGCAAAATCGCTCACAATGTTTAAACATATTGTAAAAAAAGGAAGGGATTTGGGTTACTAGTTGGAAAGAGCAGATATCCATATCAGTCGAGTCGCGAACCTTTCTACCATTCTAACCCCTTCTTTCAGACGAGCATTAATCTAATCACCGCGATACCAATTTTACGTTTTAGGTGATCCTTCGACGTAGCTATCCAAGATGTCTCGGTGTTGCCTAGACGAAATCACCGAATCAGATGGTCCTCTATCTAGCGTTAGACCGAGGGATCCCCAGCAGTCTAGGTATGATAGGATGATGTTTGACAGCCATCTCATTTTCGCTGTCGTATCGGCCTTCTTCTGATAAGGAGCTATCGTCACTCTATTGACTCTCTTGGCTCTTTTGCGATGGCCGCAGTGAAGGAGGAGAATATCCTGGGGTTGTGGAGCGTTGGCCCATTGGGTCCATAGATAAATTTGATGCTAGTTCTCGATCTGATGAATTGTCAATATTTTGATTGATATACCGAGTGCACCTTCGGAAGATTACGTCTGCTGGCATTCGCCCCTTCACGCACTGAGTACAACATTGGCATTTCCACATCTCCCCAATGATCGTCAAACCTTTTATATAGTATATAATATGGATTAGCGATTCACAGTATCCCGTTACTTGTATAAGTGTTCCATAAGAAGATCGAAGGAAATATTTGATGAAGGCACGCTTCCTGAGCAAGGCACAATACAGGAAGGAGGCAAGAAGATGATCGACCAGAATGAATTCTAGATAATGGCCTACTTACTTCCATGGATCTCTTTATAGGGACAAGCCCTGGAGGGGAGGTCTAACCCACAGCAAACGAGACTTCGCTGCCTTGCTGCCTGATTACTACAGTTATTGCCAACCTTCGTCCGCGGATTGAGGCTGTTTCCATCTAATATATTAGGCGAACCTACGAAGAAGAATACATACGAATACTGCTCTTTGGAGTAAAGCCGTCCTATTTCCTGCGGTGATAACCCCCGTTTAGCCCAATCAATGTCTTAAATATTACTAGAAAAAAGAAAACTGAGCGAAAGCTTTGAATAATAATCTCGTGGCAAAGTTATGTATGCGTCTTGGACCCCCTGTCATTGATAGGAGCTTATGGCAGAGCAGAGTAAGACTAAACCATGGTGTATCCTTTATCGAGGAGATGGTCAGCCGCAATGATAGAGCAATGATCTCTGAACGTTCCTGTCGTGTGAACGTAGCGAAAGAACCCCAAAACCCGGTGTTCTTCATCCCAGATAGCTGAGCCACACACTCCATCTACTACCTTCTCCGTGGAGTTTTGGCCAAGGTTCACCCAATGACAGCGGATCCAAACATGGCTTGGTCCGTGTGGATCATTACAGGGAATGCGAGTAAAAGAATGGGCTAGGCGCGTCCCTTCTATAAAGCCAGAGAACGGGCTATCAAGGAAAACATTACCGCCTATTTTCGTCTCGTCTGCCCGAATGAAGTCACCGAGGATGAATGGTTCATGTCGGACGATAGTATTCTCAAAAGGTTCATTAACAAACTGCACCCCGTCGTTGAGCTTGACAAGCGCGATATCCGTATTTGCTAGTCCAATGATAGGCTTCCCGATTTCCAAACCAGACGAGGTGGGATGATAAATCATCCCCTCTTCAGGAATTCCATGCGAGGAAGCTGTCATATACCTATCACCACTGTTGTTTTGGACAAGGACGCCCGACGAAGTACAGGACGATTCTCCCAGGGTATTTCTTGCCGAACTCAAAGCCACCCCCGGCCTGAGGATCTGGTACTGCGCATCATCAATAGCAGCCGCGGGAACTTGCTTCAAGTGGTCCGCTGATAGTTGGATCGGCCGCTCTATTTCCGACTCAAAGAGGTAAAAGCACTGACACTGTGCAATTGAGTTCGGAACCGCCTGCAGAATTTCGACATTATGTGGTTCTGTTTCTAACACTATGATCACAATGTGTCCCCAGGATTGGATTTCCGTGATAGGAATATTTGCATTCCTAAAGAAATCGCGTACCAAGTCGAAGATCAAACTAACTGCTGCTTCGTTTTCTCTTAGATCCATGGCCGGGGAGAGCTTAATGCTGGAATGACTCCATTGACGGGTAGGGATGCTGGGGCCTTGATCCTTGGGATCAGTTGTCAAATAACAAGGCACGCGCGCAATCTGCTGAGGCCACGGCTTGGGTGGCAGCTCATCGAATCGATAAACTAACACTCGATTGTCGAACTCTATAGCCTGGGTTGCTGGGAACACTTCGAAAAGGAGTTTGTTGTTCGAAGATTCCACGAAGTTTGAAGGATTTTCCCGAAGATCAAAAGGCATTACTACATGCCAAACTGATGGGAAACGAGGGTTTTTCTCAACTTGCGGAGAATATCCATGTTGGAGCATAGTGAGATGGTATATGGATCTTCGTGTTGGTACGGAGTATTATAGTAGGTAGTTGCCCTGGAGTACTACCAACAATAGGATACAGGAACTTCAGTCAATCAATCAGTTCTATTGCAAGCTAACAGAGAGCTAGAGGAGGGGAGGACAAAGAAGGAGAGAGGAAAGAGAGGAAGAAACGAGAACATTAAGAGCCATATCACATGACTCCTTTGTTTGTTCCCTCTCGCCTTCCTGGCTTCTTCTCTATATCATGCATTAGCTGCTAAAATTAGATCGTACATCATGCGGAGCACGGCGCAATATGCTACAAGCCATTTATCCTTAGTCATACATAGAAAGGCCATCTAACACTATCTACATACTTCATACACTGTTATAGCGTAACCAGCCCAGCATTTCTACTATTCCTACTATTATTCCCATTTATGGAGTGAATTCTACAACTAATGAGGATTTTCTTACGTATAATGTCCTTCATATAGCCTTGAGCCAGGTAAATTCAGACTATAAAAGCCCTACATCGTTGAGGACAGAGGCTGTATACGCAGCCGACTACTCTTGTCGAATATGAAACTATATAGCATATCAGTCTCAAATACAGGGAGAGAATAAAATTTTGTTGGCTGGACCCCTGTGTTTATTGACTGCACGTCAGTTTTTCATTGCCCTGCGAGGAAGACAAAATGCCTCTTCCTAGGCACAGACTTGACGAGTCAGCTCTTGCTCAGATATTTAGTTGATTTCAGGGGAACCCGGGTTGAGACTGTTGTCAATATATCGACTTCATTGAAAAGATATTTCCTCTAATAATCTGCATGCGGCGAATTTCTTCCTGAATAGTAACTAGTATTTACACTCGCAGAACTTCAGATGTACTCGGTAAGCCTTTTTCCATATCGAAGTGTTGGGCTCACTTCAGCTGCCAGAGTCAGCGTAATTTTTATAGGAAGCAGTGTGTTTTCATTGGATTAGCTCGGCCACATTACATGCATATTCCAGGTATGCTCTCGAAGTAATCATAACGTTCAGTGCCCTTTCGATGAGCCAAGTAATATCAACGTCCCACTCTTAGCTCTTATTATGAACGCTTCGGGAGTCTCTGCCGATTTATAGCTGCTTGTCTTTTAAGCACGTCATATTATGAACAACATTGCTGGTAGGATCAGTCCACTGATATTGGCTTGAAGGCGTAGGCACTTTATTTGATATATGAATTTTATGCCGTATGCAAGGTGATGAAGACGTACTAAATATATCTCAACTTCCAAAATTTTTAACACGGCCAAGAGAATAACAGCACTTGCCATCGAAGAGAGATGTAGAAAAGTAAAGAAATGTTATCTAACCTCTCTGCATTGTATACATGCAGTCTGTAGAACGAGGTAGTATACGGAGTAGCTGACGGTGAAATCCAGAGTGGAAATGGTCCACTCGGCCTTGGCGGTCGGAGCTTTCCCCGAGAGCTCTCCCGAGATCCCCTCTTGTCTCTTGTTACTCCCCACCTCCAACTTTATCTTCCTCTCCTCAGTCATGGGTATTTTCAGTAAATTGGTTAAGACGACTGTCGCAGGCAGTATTGCCTCGGTCGGTGTCTTCTGGGGCGCCACGCGCAATGATGTATTCGTGCCCATGGACAGTTCCGATCCCATCTTCCAATCGGCCTTTTTCAAAAAGTTCAATCCGAGCAGCAACCCAACCCTTCACGATGTCTGCGTTCGCCGAATTCCCCTAGACAAGATCCAGCCCTCGCTGGTCGAGGAGAAGGGCAAGTTGGTGGAAGCCTTCTGTGCCGGTGTCTGGGGTGGCATGGGTAAGTCCTAAATTGGGGAACCCAGCCTCACAAGCTCTAACACGTTTATTTTTTTGTCTCCAGGATACATCCCCCAGCGAGCTTACTTTGACCGAAAGTACCGTGGACCCGAGACCGCCAGCCACCTCTGGGACCGATCGGACCTCCTCTCAAACAAATACGAAGTAGGAACCATCATTACCGATCACTTTGAAGTCGTCGAGAAGGACGAAAACCGTATTGTCGTTCGCTGTGGTGCCTCCCCACGTATCCAGGATGTTCGTCCCTCCGATGGTCTCTTCGAAATCGCCGCCGTGATCAAGCAGGAGCAAGGCGTGGCCGAATTCAGTCTGAAGAGCTGTTTCTACCAGGGTCTCGGGAAGGCGGAAGCTGCACCCATGGATGACAAAATGGCGTGGGCACACCGCCAGTACACCAAATTGCTTCTGGAAACCGCCGTGTTGAAAAAATGCGTAAAGTAAAGTGGAGGACCTCTCGACCGCCGGGAGACCCAATTTCTCGGCGTACAAAGAATCCTAAATTTTCGGTTGGGAAATGCCGTGTATATATTCCTAATCAGATATCCCTAATCGTGATCTACGAGCAGCCCAATGTGGGCTCAATCGGAACAAGCTGATCTGCAGTGTCAAACTTCCAAGGTATCTCTTCATCTACTTTACATATGTTTATCTTTCTTCGACAACAAAGATCCCGCACTTTCCCCAAACCGGGAGTTGGTATACAAAAAAAGAAATCAAGACTTCACGTCCCGGGACTCCTCCTTTTCTGGGAATTGCTTCTCATCGACTGTTAGCGTTTCTACATCACTGGTCATAGTGACGGCTAGGACGGTCGGGATGGCGATAACCAACGAGCCCATGCAGAGTCCCCAATTCATAGCAAATTGGGTCATCGCAGGCTTCCCCATGGCATTGATGCGCCACGCCATTGCACCTCCAGTGCTCTGGAAGGTTTTGTACGCTCCGACCAGAACAGCTGCTGCGGCCGGGGAATTGGACTGAGCACCCATGAGCCAGTAGCAGAATGATTGCCACAAAGCATCATAAGCGCCATAGAAGATATAGAGGAACATCGGACCCACTGAGATGTTGGAGTCAGTGTAATCAATATCCTGCTTGAGGCCGTGCTCCAGGCGCTCATCAGACCACAGTTGGAACTTATAACCACCTCCCCAGATGGCCATTCCAGTGACGAACAAGAACACCCAACCGATGCGAGCGCGATTGGGTCGGCTGACACCTGGAGTATCGAGAATGAGACCCATGATGAGACCACCCAGCATCTGCGCAATCCAATACAGCGAACCGTTGAGCGAACGCGTCCGGATGTTGAAGTTCATACCGTTCACAGCATTCTGCTGGTAGGAGTAGAACACATTAGCCGAGAAGAAGAGGGGCAGCATGCACAACACTCGCCAGTTGCAGATGGTCTGCAGGGAGTGGCGCAAAATATGACGGAAGTTCTTCTCGCTCTCCGGCGTGACCTGCAACTGAGCAACTCTAACATACGACGGGGGACAAATGAGAGCTCCCAACAGCCACCCGAAGGCCATAATGACCAGCAAGGCAATGTATGTTGCGTCGCTGACAGTGCCGCTCTTCGACTTGAAGTTAAGGCCGAAACTAGCGAGAGATCCAACACCACCGCCGAGGTTGAAGATAATCCAGAAGGCTGCGATTGCACGACCCTTTTGTGACTCGGGAACATAGGTTGTCATGATCGCACCCTGTGCCACCCAGAGGAACGAGGCGCCCACACCGAGAATGGCACCCGAGGCAATAACGAAGCCGCCGTTGCTAGTTGCTGTTGGAGTATACATTAGCTGTGTGTATAACGCGATGTGGCTTGGAAGCTGAACATACCGTTGAAACATAGAAGACTGCCGGAATACAATGCGTAGGTCCATCCTCCAAGCAAGAGACAAACTCTAGGTCCAACACGATCGAAGATAGGGCCGACGATGAACAGAGCAGTTCCCGCAGTACAAGACAGAAGAGCTACACTTGCATTTGCAGCGATGCTCTGGTCAACTTGACCGGAACCTCCAAGACCACTGAGGGCATTGTACATCTAATACTGTTGTTAGTTGATCTGGAATTGATAGTAGCATTTTTATTTTGTAAAACTCACTCCAGGACAACAGAAACAGATGAAACTCATCAAGATGATCTGGAACCAAGAATTCGTCCAGATCCTATACAAGGTTGATCGGTTTTCATTTTGCTCAGTGCCTGCGGCGACCTGCCCTTCTTCGATTTGATTCGACATCTTGTGTATGAAAACAAAAGTCCGGGGGGAAACGGGATCTTATGTTAGAGACTGTTGACATTCCCCTCTCATATGCCGGACTACTGCGGGCCAGCTTATCAAGTCTGGGGCCCCACGCGATAGGGAGCTAAGGTTGCATGGGAGGACAGACAAGACAGGGATTGTGTTATCATCTGAGTATCTCCCGGGTATCTATAATGAAGTAGTAGCCAAGGTGGATCAAAATGGATCAAATTGGATCCAACCCATTGTCTATAGGAATATTATAGTGCAACTCCTTATCACACGACCCTATCCCTTCTTCTCGGCCGACCAATGCCGGACACAACTCCACTACCCTCCACATCGAGTGTCCTTTCTGGGAAAAGTCTGGAGAAAAATGTCCATCCACCCCGGTCGCTTGTTAACCGGTCCAATCCCATGCAGTGAAGATCCCTGCGTTGTAACTCTACCCTGCAACGGCCCCCATTTGAGGTGTTTCTGGAGCAAGGGTTTTTCTCTTCACTTTACGTACAGAATTCTGTCAGATTTCCCGCGTCAGCATAGAGCTCGGGAAATGGGGCGAGATTGGGCACTTGGCTTGCGTAGCGCCAACTAGAAATGGGTCCAGATACCGTCTCCCCAATCGTCTACAAAGCCCCCTTTATCGCCCTTTTTCGCATAGTCTAATCCGTGATTCGTGCGAAAACCGAAACAAAAACCTTGACAAGAAACGCCCTCAAGCTTGTCGTTCTCTAAGTGATCAACCCAAACCCTGCATAATGGATCTCGGGAGTCTATCTCAACTCCAAACGGAGGGGGTCAATCCCCGGACCGTGCATATTGATCGCATGTCGACACTTGAGATGTGCACTGTGATTAATGCCGACGATCAAAAAGTTGCCGAGAGTGTTGTTCCTTGTCTGCCGGTCATTGCGGGAGCCATTGACGCATTGACCCCTCGCGTTCGACAAGGCGGACGGGTCATTTATGTTGGCGCTGGCACCAGTGGAAGGTAAGTCGCATCAACGTTAATCCTCTAGTCAAAGATTAAATAAAATAACAAAATTGATAGGCTTGGAATCTTGGATGCTTCAGAAATTCCTCCCACTTTCGCCGCTCCTCGTGGGCAGTTTGTTGGTCTGATTGCTGGCGGAGATGCCGCAATCCGATCAGCCCAGGAGGGAGCCGAAGATGATGAGCAAGCCGGCGAGGATGAGATGAAATCTCTCAATCTGAACCCGGACCTTGATAGTATCATCGGAATTGCAAGCTCGGGTCGCACGCCTTATGTGATGGGCTGTCTTGCTTTTGCGAAGCGTCTGGGCTGTGTAACCATCGCCGTTGTTTGTACAGTTCCTTCGGCGATTGCGCTTTCAGGGAATGTGGACTTTGTTATTTCACCCGTATCTGGACCTGAAGTTGTCACTGGTAGTACTCGCCTCAAGGCCGGTACTGTCACAAAGCTGGTGTTGAATATGTTAAGTACCGGTACCATGATTCGCACAGGCAAGACTTACGGAAACATGGTATGTCGTAATTTCTCCCACCTGCTATGCTCAGACTAATTGTGAGATTTCCAGATGGTTGATCTCGTAGCATCAAATTTGAAACTCGTGCAAAGATCCCGCAATATTCTGCGGAGGTTGAGTGCAAAGTGCCAGTCCTCGTCCGACGCTGAATTGGACGCTCTTCTTGCAAGATGCAATGCCAGTGTCAAGCTAGCTATCTTGGTTGCAGAGAGCGGGGAGTCGGTTGAGACTTGTCGGGGATACTTCGACACTGCGGGTGGAGTGCTGGCCAACGCGTTGGCTGCCATCTCTAAGCCTGTCGAACAGAAGCCCACAAGTGCCCCCACTCCAAATTTTGCCTTGTGCATTGATGGCGGCGGTACCAAGTGCGCTGCTGTTGTGGCCGCCGGCACAAATGTCGTAGGCCAGGGCTCTGTTGGCCCATGTAATTTGTATGATCTCTTCTCGCCCTAGTTTTATCCTGTGTGTGTCGCAAAGCTAACTTCTTGCAGAACCGATAGTATTGGAAATATAGACGGTGTCATTGCCACGTTACTTGATGCTGCAAAGGCTGCCCTGAAAAACGCTCTGCCAAGCGACGTGGAACAAACAGAATCCTCGTGGAGAGAACTTCTCCAAACATCCTTCAGCTCTGTCTGGATCGGACTGGCTGGTCTTGACCGAGCTGGGCTAGAGGGAGTGTTGGCACCCAAGCTGAGACAAGCGTTCGGTATCACTCAAGAAAAGGACCTGCAGTTAACCAACGACGTAGATCTATTGGCCACGGGCGTTCCACCATCCCTCGGTACACCCTCTGTCCTGGTAGTGATTGCAGGCACGGGAAGTGTTGCCATGAGATACAAATGGGCTGAGGATCAACAAAGATACGTTCGTTCTGCGCGTTCTGGTGGCTGGGGTCACATGCTCGGTGATCAGGGTGGTGGTTACACAATTGGTATGAAAGCCATCCAACACACCCTCGGGGTCTTTGAGGACATTACCTTGGGGCTCGATAAGACTGGAGGTGATGAACTTTCTAGAGCAGTTGCGGAGAAACTGGGGTGCCAGGTCTCTGAGAGTGCCAGTAAGGACATGTTGAACAATATTCTAGCCCAGAACTACTCTCAGGGCGTGAAGGCACGAATTGCTAGCATTGCACCGGTTGTTCTCGACTTGATGGACAGAAATAAGACCGCAGCAGATATTGTGAGCTCTCAAGTAGCTTTGCTGGTTGGGGATACTCTTGGTCGCTTGACCAAGCCTCAAGCCACTGGGTATCAGCCGACTGAGGCATCTGTGTTAGTGTTGTCAGGAGGACTGATGAAGAATGAGGGGTACAGGGCCACGTTCGAGAAGCAACTGGACTCACACAGATTGTATTTCAAAGGAATGGTGGTTGTTGAAGACGCAGCCCGTTCAGGCGCCACATACTTAAGTCGTTGATTGCTCTTTCCAAAATAAATTAGTTAATAGACTTCTTCTACTGTTTGCACTTCTTCTTTTAAGTCTCTTGTTCTTTCTTTTGCCTCTCTCTAATGCTCTATTTCATTTCCCCATCTTTTTGCTGAAAACAAATACCTAACCTGCTCAAATTCACTATCTGTTCTACCTATCTCAACATCGGCACTGCTTCAATCACTGACTCCATCGCGGGGCTCTGGTTCCAAATTCCCGTGATCTCCAGCCCCGCGCTATGCAAGAGATCTCTCCACTGTCGTTCCGACCGTTCAACACCAGCTCCTATGCTCATCATCTGAATATCCAGCGAAGCCTGCATCAGCGGTGTATCGGTGTCTGGCAGGACGAAATCCACAATAAGAATTCGAGAATAGTCTGGCGCCATCACTGACACTGTATTTTGGAGGATCTTTCGACTGATTTCATCATCCCAATCATGGAAGATGGAACGGAAGTAGTAGGCACGGGCACCTTTGACGGGTTGAGGATCCATGAAATTGTATCCCATCACCTCGATTCCTGCGCCGTCGCTGTCGACCTTCTCAACCACGCTTGGTAAATCCTGCAGCACCATTTTGCCCGGCAGATGACCATATTCCCGGCGGAATTTTACTAGATCATGTCCCTGGTTGCCACCGATGTCTACCAGGAAGACGGTATCTTTGTATGGCACGGCATGGCCGAACAGTCGCTCGACAGGGTATATATTGTACCACATGGGTTTGCCCTCGCGACGGCTGGCCATGTACGAGTTGAAGAGCTCCTGATGCTCCGGGTGACTTGAAAGCCACTCAAACTGGCTCTGTCCAACGGCCCATTGCATAGGTGACTGAGAATAATCCTGGGGGTTGGCATAGGCATGAGAGCGCAAGTACTCTGGGAGTTTACTCAAGGTTGGAAAGGTCAGATCATAACTAAAAGAATCACCAATCAGAAACGGCGCAAATAGATGCAAGGGTCCAAGCCACATCACCAACATACATGCACGGGATCCCATCTCTCCCAATCGGCTGAGTCAGTGCCACGGTCTTCTCATTGGCGACATAGAGCTCGGGGGTCGGTGTGATGCACAGCCCAAGAGAAGCCATAACGCGCATCAATCGGACTAATTTAGCGAGTTAGTGTGGTTCACAATGCGTGACGAACTATTTTTATTGCAGGGAAACGTACCAATTAGATCCTGCTCCGCGCCCGTGTACTCTGCCAGCTGAGCGGCTGAGAGTCCTGTTCCTCTGTGGCGCTTCTCCACAAGCATGGTGAAGATGCCCAAATCAATGACAACACGCAACGCGGCATTCTGAGGAGGCTACAACCCAGTCAGAATATAAACTGCATTTTGGTTTGTGGAACCTCATACATACCTGGTAAATCAGACGCAACACGGTTTCTGTCGGCGTTTCCACTGCAGACCGCAACTGGTCGATGATTCGCAATAGCTCAAAGTGGGCTCGTGGGGATGGATCTGAGGCTTCTTTCAACGCCATTTGGCCAAGACGACTGACCAAACACTGAAAGGGTGAAGTGATCGTCATGATTGCTTTTCGAAAAAAAAATAAAAACCGGTACTTAGTGTTGAATTATCTGCTTCGAGTAGCACAAGCTAGGATGAGGGAACCATTTAGATGGATCTCGATTGCATCTTATAGTCCTTGGTGCCCCCTCACTCACAGTAGCATCGGACAAAAGAAACAATTAAAAATCCTTGTTTTCATCCGCGTGCAATCCATTCCTACAACATACGGATGCAATATAGGTAAGCTTACCCCGAAAACAGCTGAAACACGGCGCATATCGTTGCTAGATACTCCACTATTCAGTCATTCTCGACCCTTAATGTGCATATACCGCATTTGAGTGAGAGTTTGTCCCGATTGAGACTACCTAGGGTGCACATGTTTGCCCTACGGTGTGTGATTCGAATCCGGGCTATCTGTAAGTGTACCTTTCGTGCTCATCACCCACCTCGGGATTTACTTTTTTTTAAAAAAGAAAAAGAAAAAAGAACCTACTGAAATAAGGGATAATCACGGAAGAAGAAATCCCATGATGGTATGGAATTCTTATTTATACTATAAAGAGTGTGATAGATCACTTGTGCCTGTTAGATCCAGATCAATCCCCAAAACATTTCAGCGATGCATTCTCATTCAATTACCACCAAGTCCGAAGTTGACTCGCGATGGAAGCCAGCTATCGCAACAGTCAGCCTGGGAGCTGCGTATTTACACCCCATCACCGCCAAACTAGATGCTGTCGCCTTCAATGGCCAGCAAGGCCTTGAACTCTTTCATGACGATGTCGCGCAGCTCGCCAAGACCCTTCGTGGTCATGCAATTGACAGTGCACCCCGCACTGACCGAGATTACGAGATCGACGCAGCGCACGCGATCCGAGATCTATGCGCTGAACGTGATCTGCAGGTTATAGCTCTCCAACCTTTCCGACATTACGAAGGTCTCATTGACCCAGAACGTCATGCGGAACGCATTGACGAACTCAAGCATTGGGTTCAATTATGCAAGGTTCTTGGTGACTCACTCTTCATCCTGATCCCATCATCCTTCCTCGACGCCTCCGAGATAACCTCAGACCGAGAGCGTCTCGCCGCGGACCTAGCCGAGGCTGCCGATGTAGCATTCCCCGTGCGCATCGCCTACGAGGCCCTCGCATGGGGAACGTACATCAACACCTGGGAAGACTCGTGGGATTTGATCAAACGTGCCAATCGTCCCAATTTGGGCATCTGTCTTGATACATTCAACATTGCAGCACGAGTATGGGCTGATCCCATGTCCGCAACAGGGCGGCGGCCCCCAAGTGCAGATCAAGATCTGCGGGAATCAATGACCCGGCTTGTACGAGAGATTGATCCGGACCGAGTACTAATGGTTCAGCTTGCTGACGGAGAGCGGGTGGACCCACAGACTCCCTTCCTTCAAGCACCAGGCCTACCTACCTTGCTAGCCTGGTCGCGGAATGCTCGGCTATTTCCGTATGAAGAGGATCGTGGCGGATACCTTCCGATTCGCGAGGTAACGGATGCCTGTATCAACGGTCTGGGTTATACTGGGTGGGTTAGTATGGAGGTCTTCTCAAGATCCACCGTGGAAGATAACCCGACCGTGCCGATGGAGCATGCTGCCCGGGCCAGCCGCTCCTGGAAGCGGGTCCTGCAATTGTTGGAAGAGAAGCCGGAGGAATCCATCTAAGTGTTGGTGGCTTGAACAGAGATCAGCGCATTTTGATTCTGTTCTTGGGTAGCCAGCGTTATCCTACATTTTCAGCTTCAAAAATGGAACCCCACCTCCATTCAGCCGATACAAACGAATGATATTTTTGATGATAAACTAAGCCGGTGTCGTAATAATCTCCTTGTAAACACCCCTGTCTCAAATTGTAGACCGATTCTTAATGTCGATAAATTGCAGTCATGCTCGATGCCTACGCACATACCTTCCTAGGCTCCACCTGTCTTAGATCTTAGGAATGTTCAATCTAAACGGAAACCTCTAATTGTTCCAGAAATATGTGGGGACTATGCCGAACCAAACGGGGACCTCTCCTTCTACCAGGGCGCCACAGGACAATTCCCGAAACCTGGAATAGTATTCCTTGGTCTGTGTACTGAGATGCGTCAAGAAATAAGCAAATATAAAAGCCGAAGTGGAAGGATCGGCATAAACCCGATCGAACGGGTCAGCATTCTTCAGATGGATCCCCGAGTGGTTCCCGAGAACGCCTATCCGCTTAGGACCAGATACACATACATATTAGAATCTTCCAAACATTGGAACTCTGGGGCATTCCCGCCTTTCCGGATGCTTCTCCCGGTCCGCTCCCGAACCAATTATTGGAGCAGGAACGTAGATCTAAACTCTTCATACCTGATGATCTTAAAGGTCCCCGATCAACACTCAATCCCATGTGACACGGACCCCGATGATTTGGAATACTGTTCACTTAGTCCATCTTCAATGTAGTATCGCCTTCTTGCGTCCCTCGTGTTAATCCCTTTGGCATCTAGGGATGTAGGGGGGATTTCGCCCGAGTGAGACATCGCTAAGCCCGGCCATCTACTCCTTAGGTATCTAGAATTGTCTTGGTTCAATTTAGCACCGGAGGGAGAGTAAGACTGGCTGTACGCTGCGATTACCTCGGCAAGTAGTTTAAGGATATATTTAATGGCCAATAAAACACAGAACCAACGCTGTATCGGGGCATACCCGAACACAGCGTTTTGTGTAGCCTTTACTTATGGCACCCAAGATATTCCAGACTGAGTGAAAGCTGACGTTAACTGCCCTCCTTAGTTACACTGACTCACACAATGGGTTTCAGAGTCCCAATACAGGATCTAGAATTTTTAATATGCATTCAAGCGATGTTATAATTAATTGAAACCTTGATACTCCTTTCCGGTAATAGGTATAAAAAATTAGTCCAGGCTTTCCTAACGGGTTTTTCATTCCAACCAAGGCGGATGTGTCTCGGGCAGCTCTGCAGTGTAACTAATGCCGCTGGTCACGATTGAAATCGCCCTCCGAAGATAGAGGATAATGCAGAATGCATGAACTTACTTCAAGCTAGGCAAGGTAATCATGCTCGAAAGTTAGCATTTCGCCACTAATGATGTAACAATTTGGGAGTTTAAGCCACACTAGATGTAATAGATCAATCTTCTCATCAAAAGAAACGCCATTGTTGAGTCCCGGCAGATCACATCTGTAGTTTCAAGCCGAGTGTTTGCTGGTGACACAAGCAAATCATTCAGCAAATCAATCCTTGTGCATTGAAATCGTGCTGTTGTACATGATGTATGTGCATATGACTCCCGATCACAATTTTATTCCGCCAAAGCCCACTAATTCAATGCGGGCCTTGGTGCCTTGAGTTGGTATCTGCATAACTATCACAGCATACAAGCTGATTTTGTCTGTTTGTTGTTTGGCTGAACCCGTGCGATATGTATATCTTACCGATGCAGAAGGACTTTCATTTGCCGGCCATCCTGAAAGCAGCCAGTATAGGCTAATTTGGTAATATGGGTCAGTCTAGCGGCCTAAACGGTCACCTGGCCCTTAGATACGGTGTCCCTTAAATACGGCTTGACCCTCAATGTCGTGCTATAAAACACCAAGCTGCTGTGCCATCTTTCTTCTCATTCCATAATACTTCTGTACTCATAATGGGTATCCAACGTGGAAGCCCGGCAGCACACGCTGGTTCCTCCAGTACTATCAATCCTTTGGTGCAGGAGTTCGGATCCCTTCAAGTCCTCGATGACTTGATTCGCTTACGAGCTGCTGATGTTGTTCAATGTCCTATTCTTGCCTATCCACGTTTCGATAGTGATGCAGCTTCCTATGAGTACTATACCGGGAAACAGTTGGATTCCATGATAAACCAAGCTGCCATTATGCTCATGGGTGATGGGTTCAAACAGGTTGGTCATTAATAACACTGCGTGGGTTCCACACTCTAACAAATTATTGTTTAGACAACGCAAAGTTCGTCCATCGTGGCACTCCTCACGTTGTCAGATCTTAACATGGTGACCACCTTTTTTGCCCTAAGTCGACTAGGCTATACCGTTATGATGCTCTCACCAAGACTCTCGGGTGAAGCCTGCGTGTCGTTGCTAGAAACAGTCAACTGCGATTCAATCATATATGGCCAATCCCCCAACATCCGCTCAACATTGGGCGAGATCCTTCGCCGGAGGCTAGTGACCTGCCGCCCAATGCTTCCATGTGCTTCGTACGACAAGCTACACTCGCCATCGCTTGCTGTGCAGCGCAATAGAAATCCTGACAGAACCGCTCTAATTCTTCATTCCTCGGGATCAACAGGCACCCCAAAGCCGCTCTTCCTCACACACAGAGCAATCATGACTCACCCACTGAGAGGTCCTGGTTTCACTTCATTTAATACCCTGCCATGGTATCACCTCCATGGGCTGTCCACCGCATTGCAGGCAATGTGGATGAGAAAGACAGCATATATGTGGAATGCCACACTACCTTTGACTGCAGAGCTTGTTGCCAGCGCCCTCGAAGAAGCAAAACCAGAGTCTGTGGCAGCGGTTCCATATATGCTCCAGATTTTGATTGATGACCCCCGCGGCATCACAGCCCTAAGGCAATGCAAGTTGGTTACCTACGGAGGTGCTCCCTGTCCCGACGAGCTGGGCGATCGCCTAGTAAGCGAAGGAGTACATTTCGGAGGTTCATTCGGCCTGTAAGTCGTATTTGCAGAATACTTAGAGTCACGCAAAGACTAACAAATGTCAGCACCGAGGCTGGCCTCGTTGCCGAATCAATCTCACGACCAAAGGGTGACCCTTATTGGAATTATCTGAAATTCTTCGACAATATCCGATCATATGTCTGGATGAAGCCCATACCTGAATCAGAGTCACTTTTTGAGTGCGTTTATCTTGCTGGCCATCCAGCACTAACAACCTCGAATTCAAATGAGCCGCCAGGGTCCTTCCATTCGAAAGACGTATTCATCCCTCATCCTACTATTTCGGAAAGGTGGAAATATATCTCGCGATTGGACGATCGAATCAATCTAGTGAATGGTGAAAAGGTTTTACCACTCCCGATTGAAGGTCACATCAAACAACACCCTTTTATCCATGATGCAGTTGTCGTCGGGGTAGGCAAAGCTGCCCCAGGACTATTGATTTTGCGAGCGGACGAACCTGAAGCCAACCGTCTCTCAGATGATGAATACCTCCACGCAATCTGGCCGACGATCCAAGAAGCCAATTCTCAGGCAGAGAGTTTCTCTCAAATAGCTCGCAATCTGGTTGCTATTTTGCCATATGACGCCAGGTTTGCTCGGACGGACAAAGGATCCATGATCCGAGCCCAGGTCTATCAAGAATATGCCGAACTCATCGAAGGTCTTTATGCCGAGAAGGAACAGATCCATGGCAATCTTCAGCTTAACGTTGTGGAGACAGAGCGCATTCTTCTTCTACTAGCTCAGCAAGAACTTGGGATACCTATCTCTGGTGTTGACGCCAATTTCTTCTCCGAGGGTGTTGATAGCCTCATGGCAATCCATTTCCGACGTCTGATTCTCCAGAATTTCAAGTTTGAAAAGAGCCAGATTCCTGGTCCGAATGTCATATTTGAAGCCGGCTGTATATCACAGTTGGCTCGACAAATCTATGCTTTACAAAAGGGGGAGATGTTTGAAGATACAAAGAGCGATGTATCTGTGATGGCTGGATTGGTCGAGAGGTACTCCGTATTTACGAGGCACATTCCCCAGCCACATGCTTTCTCGGGGCCGAAGAGTGTGGTGAGTAATTATCTTCCTGTCAGAGTTTATATTCCTAAGCTAACATAACCAAGCTCTTAACAGGAGCCACCGGATCAATCGGTGTCCATGTCTTGTACGAGCTGCTCAACGATGACTCCATATCCACGGTGTACTGTCTCACGCGCCGAGAATCACCACTGGAAGCAGTACTCAGCACTCTAGCCGACAAAGACCTTTTCATATCCCCCGAACAGATAACAAAGATCGTCGCCTTGAACAGCCGTATCGATCAGCCCAATTTTGGTCTATCTCTGGATGAAAGTACAATCACACACATGCTCGACACGGTCTCACTCATTATTCACACAGCATGGCCTGTGAACTTCAATCTCCCCCTGACCGAGTTCGAGCCACACATTCAGGGACTATACAATCTGATTCAATTCTCTTTATCTGTGCAGAGACGCGAGCCTGCTATCATGATGTTCTGCTCGTCAGTCTCGACTGCTCTCGCATCTCGATCAACCGAGATCCTCGAAGAATCCGTTGACTTGGACTGCGCCTTTATGGGCTACGGGCAGTCGAAGTTGGTTGGGGAGCGGATTGTCAGTAATGCACGACGCAGTGGAGCAAGGGCTTATTCTCTTCGAATTGGCCAGGTCTCTGGTCACTCGAAGAAGGGCCTCTGGAATGACTCCGAAGCTCTGCCGTTGATGATCCGGTCAGCACTTACATTGGGTGTACTACCTCAGCTATCGCAGACATGTTCTTGGCTGCCGGTGGATAAACTCGCATGTACTATTCTTGAACTAGCCAGCACTTGTGCTTCCCCGATTGTGTTTGGGGAAGCTCAGGCGTCCAGCTCGGCTGCAGTTGAGTATGTTGATGACTCGATTTTCAATTTGTGTAATTCTCGCGAATTCACTTGGTTGTCTTTGCTTTACAAGCTAAAGGATTCTGGTTTCAGTTTTGACATTGTGCCCTTTGAAGAGTGGTTGGTGAGACTTCGGATGAGTGAGGCGAGGGGCGAGGAACAGGTCAATCCGGCAGTCAAACTCATTCATCATTATGAGACTATGCATGGGAAGAAATCATTTTCTTTGCAGAACGAGGCAAAAGTTTTCAATACAGAGAAAGCAGAGAGGAGTAGTTTGACGTTACGAAATGGCCGATTGGGAATTATTGAAGACGGAATTTTGGAGTGCTATGCTCAAGATTGGTTGGCGAGATGGACCTCCTAGGGAGTGAGGCGCTTGAGTTGGAGTTTAGGGATAAAGGGCATCTTTGAATATGGAGTTCAAGGATGAAAGATCTGATATATATTCCAAGGAAACAATTCTTCATTAACTATTCTTACTTCCTTTTGCGTTTAGTAGATAACGCGATGGGAGGCAAAAGACAGACTGAATCCAAACAAAACCAAGTAGTCTACGGCCATCTTTTTGGGCCTGCTGTACAAAGAACAAAAAGAAGATCCACTGCCAAATTTGCACAGTTTCAAACAAAATCCATGACAGATATCTAAGCCAAAAAGGCAACAATGAATCCAAAGAAGAGAGCTGAGATGCTCATGGACAACCGATCAGCGGCGCCAGTGAAGACAGGACCGAATCCTGATTGAGAGCCGCTAGGAACATAGGAGCCAGATGTAGCAGATGTAGCGTCCTCCGTAGGGGCATCAGTAGGGGCAGGGTTCGGAGCTTTGGAGGCCTCGTATGGAACGGAGGAAACAACAGCAGAGGGGAGGGGAGGCTGCGACCAAGGAGCACCGGAGGTTGCACCGGGGGCGGAACTGTAGCTAGCGTGGCCATGACTAGTCGGGACGGATGCGTGGCTGGAGAGAGCATCCACACCAGCGCCAGCAGTCGTTGGCTTCGTATCTTTGACGGTGGTTGGGGTTTGGACAGATTCCACAGCTGAAACGGGAGCAGTTGCTGAGGAGTCGGCAGAAATAGCGGAAGACTTTTCGGCGTCGGGGCAGATAGTCTCAGTTGCAGTAACGAAAGAGGTAATAGTCCGAGTCTTCTTGCCGGTGGAAGATTGTTTGACTTCTTCGGTGGTGGGGTTTTCGGTAGTAGCTGCGACTGTAGGAGTAGATGTGAGAGTAAGTTCCTGAATTACTCCGACAGTTTCCTCCTTGGAAGTGGTTGTGTGCACAGGAGCAGTTTGGGTAGTATGTGTCTCGGCAGTAACGGTGTGAGTAGTGTGCGTCTGAGTAGTTGTGTGTGAAACCACAGGAGCAGCGGTAGTCGTAGCCGGTTCAGGCTCGGATGACGCAGCTGAGGCAATTGCCTTCGCCTTGGCGCCAGTCTGATAGATCTTGACCGAGTTGATCTCCCAGTAGGTCTCCGCAAACTGGCTCGGATTGTTGGCGACGTAGTTGTGGCAGCTCTGGAAGGAGTTTTCGTGGGTCATAGGGCAACCAGAGCCACCATACACACCACCCGCCCAGTCTCCACAGAAAGTGACATCAAATACAAATGATTGCGCCTTGAAAGCAGTTCCAACGTCGCATGATTCCGCCACCACGGCCATCGGGGTACCGAATTCCGTCACATCGGGCTTGCCGCTAGTGATCGAGGCCGGGATCGACTGTCGGGGGAAGTACCAAATTTTGAGGAAGTCGTCTGTCCACTGCAAGCTATACACACCACCTTTTTGCTCGTTGAAAGGCGTGCCATAACTGCCCTCGTGGCCTTCAATCACACAACCGACGGGGCCTAGCTCCTCGCCACAGCCTGTAGCGTTGACCGAACCGGTCATATCCGTATCTGTCATACTGCAAGTGCCGGATGTGTGCATGACGATTTCGTTGTGCTTGTGCATGTTGACTCCTTCGATGATATCGATCTCGCCGTCTCCAGGCCAGTTCTTTCCAACGGACCAGAAGGCGGGCCAGGTACCGCAGACGCTACCAGGCATGTGGGCGATATCGGCGATGACGAGAGACTGGTCGTAGTATTTCTTGGTACCAATACGGACCGAATCACGGCCCTTTTTGCCGTACGGATCGAGCTTGGTAGCATGATCGACACCAAGATACACACTGCCAGAATCAGTGATCTTGACAAGGCCTGAACTTTCGGCGGACTCCTTGTCGATATAGTTGACAAAGCCATTGGTCGGGTCAGAACCAACGTGGAAATTGAAATAGTCCAGGAAATTTTTCCCCTGCCAAGTCTCCACCAGGGAGTAAGTTGTGGCTGCCACGGGGGAACATAATAAAGCGAGCATCAGCGATCCAGCGCTCAATGAACGTTTTGAAGAAACCATATCGTCTAAGTGAGAGGTATAACAAGGCCAAATGCTTGTGAGACAATCCAGACAACAAAGATGAAAAGAAAGAGAGCGTGTGCAATTGATAAAAAGAAAAACGACTAAAAGAAAGACTGACAATCCAGATTGTCAACAAGGAGAAAGGAATGTGAGCGTGTCGAACGTAACAAAGTAGCAACAGTGGGAAGTATTTGACCCAAGTACCTTTTGCCAGGCGCACAAGCCCAAATCCTTCTCAAGTTAAATCATCCTAGATTCAGCCATGGAAACTGGATATCAATTTGTCCATCCAGTAACAATCCACCAGTGCCTGAGACCGTTAACTGTGGTGGTGAGCGGATGTCTCCGATAGGCTGTAACGGCAGAGTTAAGGAGGCACCGTGGCGTTCGAGGCCAGGAGGTCGAGTCCACTTACGGTGATCCATTCTTCAGAGCAATAGGCCGAGCAACACAAAAAAGATCGACTAGTCGCTGCGACAGCGGTTAAGGGCTAGGGGGTTGTATCAACCTGAAACCACTCCCCACCCGAGGGGTAACCCAAAACAAACAGTGAAACAGGAGAGAATCTTTGCATCTGAACAGAAAATGAAAGATAGGGAAGAAAAAAAAAGCATAGAGGTAATCACATAGAGAAAATCACATCTTCAAGATCTCTTCAAGATCTCGCATTCTTTGAATATCTTAATCGTCACATTCCAAGTCAAAAGGTGAAAATGTTTACGCGCACATGTTATGATCGGAGTTGCCGCTCTCCACTTCGCCTCTTTTGACCTTCGTCTCTTCCCCTCTTGGCGCCCTATGGGCGCTCGGGTCTAGACTGTACTTTGTATTTTCGACTTATCGGAATATGCTTGTGTTTGAATATTCCCGATCGATCTTAAACATTCAAAAGAGATCACATTCCCGCAAGGAATGTCGGCAACACAGCGGACAACATAATTCAAGGTCCAAGGAAAATTATGCCCCGGATAGTGCTTGCTATTGTATGCTCTACCTGCTCCGTACTAGGTAAGAAGATACGGAGTAGACGGTGATAATCCTGGCACCAACGCCTGCTCAAGTGGTCGGCACCACCGGATAGCAATTTCACCCAAAGGCTACACCGTATATAAACACAACATGATCAGAACCTAAATTTTCCCTCAAAATAATTAGGGGGGATTAAGGGAGGTGAGCATAGTGTTCAGGAGTAAATGAAGTCTCATTTACCTACTTGTATCAACCTTACTAAATAATATCAAAGATGCTCAAAGCAAGAGAATAGTTAAACTTTTATATACAATATCCAAATATTTATATGTAATGTGTGCTAATATTCTTTACACTTCTACATCATATATTTAGAATTAACCTTAGTGGTAGATCCCTTGCACCAGACTTGTATTAGATCTTAATTTATTTATTCTTAAGTAAATTCGATCTGAACTCTCAAACTTGCATCAGTCGTGTTTATGTACCTTCTGTATGGAGTTGCAACACAAAGGATACCTAATCCTTACAATTTGCGATCGGGGGTGCCCACCACACTAGATACATAGACGGGTGGATAACGGGACTTGAAAGTGTTACAGGGGAAACACTTATATTAGTGTAGATTACCTGTCAAGGTCTCGCAGTTATAAAGCAGAAATAACTTGGGAAATGTTCTTCTCGCATCCAACTCTACCTAGGTATGCTCCTAAGTTCATTGTTATGTGGATATTGCATATATGGGCTATTTTTTTTTCGTATTTCGTTCCTCGCTCTGTTATAGGAAACAGAGTGGAGAAAAATGATATGCATTAAGGTTAGGGAGTTAAAGATGTCCAGATGTTGGTTGCAACTATGTACATACAACCTGTGGAACTAGCTCGTACTCGTGATATTTCCCATTTCGGGACATCCATAACATACCTACATAGGTATCTGATTGGATGAGAAACCACAAGCTTCTTAGGTGGATCAGAACTCAACCTGTAGCAAGCTTGACTCGTTTTTGATCCTCTCGGATAGTTCGTATTCTTATACCCAGAAGGACTAGTTTCTCTCTCTTAACTCTCATCAACAAGTTGAACCCTAATTGTGGGTCTGAAGCATCTCCTGTCTCCAAGGCAGAGATATATCTACCCAGCGTGTATGCTAATATTAGATGATCCGACAAGATGAAAAGGTATTTAAATGAAAAGTTTCTTCTTATAATGTGGGCTGGACCTCTTTACTGTGTCCTTTTTTTCTAACAGACGGTCTTTACACTCCTTTCCGTCTTCAAGCAGCGCGCCTTTCTTTCTTAAATCCCACCACTCTTCGAGCTCAGTCATTTTGTTGAATAGCCATATTTCGCTTTACGCTAGCCTGTCATGGCCGAGGGTTTCAAATTATACCATTACAACCCGTCTGCTAGTGCTGCCGTCACCTTTGCAGCACTCTTTGGGCTCACTGCCGTTGCACATATGTGGCAATTAGGTCGGAACCGAACCTGGTACTTCATACCATTTGTCATCGGTTGTTTATGTGTGTGCTCCCTTTGAATGTGTTTTTAATCCCCTTTGCAACTATGCTAATCGTTGTGACCTGCTCTCAGTTGAGGCATTCGGCTACTTGGCAAGGTACGCCAGCGCAGAGGAAGCCCCGGATTTCACCACAAAACCATATATTGCACAAAGCTTGATGCTCCTGCTAGCACCTGCATTCTTTGCGGCTTCTATATACATGATTCTTGGTCGCATCATTCGTCTGCTGAACGCAGACTCGTGTTCCCTAGTCAGGCCATCGTGGTTGACTAAGATATTTGTGACGGGTGATGTGCTATCATTTTTCATCCAGAGTGGAGGTACGTTGCTTGAATTCTTTGCAATATTTAATGTCGCTAATGTTTTCTCTTTCCTGAAGGAGGTGGCTTGCTTGCTACAGCGAAGGACGAGTCGAAAGTATCACTTGGAAACAACATGATTGTTGCTGGACTTTTCGTTCAAATTCTATTCTTCGGCTTCTTCATTAGCATTTCCTTTGTTTTTCACCGACGCGTACTAGCTACACCTTCGCATGCTGTGGGCGACACTCAAATTCCCTGGGCCCGCTATATGAAGGTCCTGTATGTTGCCAGTATCTTGGTCATGGTTCGATCAATCTACAGAGTGGCAGAATATGTCCAGGGCAGCGGCGGATTTCTACAAAGTAAGGAGGTATTCATATATGTATTTGATGCGGTGTTGATGTTCATTTGCTGTCTTGTTTTCAATTTCTTCCATCCGAGCAAGATTCTCTCAGGCTATCAGAAAGCTCAGGAAGACCAGGATCATGAATTGTTGAACCATGGTGAACATACCGGATATACAGGGGCCAGGTACAATTGATGCTTTTTTTGTCGGACGGTGGTTTTTTTTTTTGGTATGATAGAGAGCTGGCTTTTAATGATAATTGTGTTGGCAATGAATACCATCTTCGAGAGCGTTCCACCTTGGAGCAAACGCCTTGATAACATTGAGATTGATTGCAAATACTACTGGTCGTGAAAACTATGCGCTCGGGATACTTCCGATGCCTTTAGCATCTATTGCCCTTGTGATGGTGATGTGACGTTATAACTAACCCCGGGCATTACTACCGCTATTACCTCGCCTTCTTGTGTTTTGATAATTGTTACCACCAATTTTATCTTTGTGGGGTAATCGAAATTTCTTCAAATATCTAAATCCATGATGTCAAGCTTGGGAGAAGCCAAAGATGTTGATTTATCTATCGAAGATGAAGTAAACGCGAGGCGTGGCTATACAGGGTCAGCTTGAACGTTCTCATCTGCATTTTATAGTCTACGGTATTAATTCTTTCCAGTGCTCTGAACAATCCTAAGGTATCCAGAAAGTCTAAGAATGATGCATTAGACCTTCTCAATGATGAGCTTGACGGGGATATACCTCGGCATTATCTTGATGAGGCTCCTCTAGACCAGAGTAACCCGAGTGGTATAGGTGGCGTGGAAAAGTGAGATAAATACATTCATGTACAACATCGAGTTAATCGCTAATATTTTCTCCAGAGATAAACACAAGCCCCAGCACACCACTGAAAGCGATTTTGACACGGTGGAGAGACATGATCATTGGGAATTCAATTCAAATTTACGCGATTATATATTCCGCAGGCTTTAGTACAAAAGAAATAAAATATCCATGTTGCATTAATTCCTTTTTCTTTTTACCTACTCCATTGGCGACGTTAGAATACTTTCCTCCTCTGGCCACCTTCTAAACAGGTCCTGAAGATGATCCAGGGGAGCTGTGAGTAGGCTGGCTGCAGTCTCATAGCGTGGTTTGTCCATGCCATATGGATGTGAGCGAGAGGGCACGAAGATCTTAGTGCGGTTGAGAGACTCGGCCATCTTCTCGCTCTCATCGGAAGTGAGGGATTCCTCCAATATGACCAGGTCATTTGCCTCTTCGTCTTGCATATGCTTGGCAAGACCTTCCATCAGCACCGTAATTGTAGGGATGAAGCGTGGATCGGAACAGTTTAGGTCCTGGAAAACGTCGAGCATTTCTTTGAGCTATGTCATATCAGCATCTCTCTCCATTAAAGATGCTTATATATGTGATAAACTTACCGCTGAATGTTCACGCCGATCGTCATCTGTCTTCGCCTTGCCTTCGGGGCGAAGCTTCTCCAATGCAGGGAACACCACTAGCTCCTCAGCAACAGCGTGTCGTGCAAGTTCCCAGGTAAATTGGTTTTGAAATCGGGTCTGTTCATCTTCATCTTCGGAGTTGACGATGATGTTGTAACAAGATTCCAGTTTCCGGTGATCATCTTTGATCGCTTCGCTTATCCGAACCATGTTGGCCTAGTTATTATTGTGAAAAATTGTAGAAGTTTATCTTGATATTTTTTTAGGTTGCCTCACATGTTTCTATCACTGAAGCCATTATGACGTTTCAAGTGTCCTGCAACAGTAACCCATCCGCAGCGTTTCGTGGAACGTGATTCCGAAATACTATGTATACAACTCCGAATATCGAATATCGTCTGACGTTGCTCTAGTTGAGATAGCATGATCGAATCTAAAAATGTATCATAGAAAGCCCCCAAGAACACCCTAATCCCCCTTAAACACATGATTTTGATCTACAGCGGCCTGACATGGCATATGCACCGTGCCCGAAGTGCGTGATTTGTTTATTCCAATGCAGGGGCTTGGCCTGAGGGGCTATGCATGGAATGCCTTGGGTACATCTCTCGTATTGGGCCGTTTCTTGTTTCTGGTTCATCACCTTCATTTTGCCATGAATCGATATCCTCGCAGTTATAGTAAAAGGAGAACGTGAACCTCCCCACGATGATGGCGAGTCAGGGCCACCGGTCAGAGCCCTTTGAGTTTGCTCCAGGTCTCAAAGCTGATATGATCCACAGAGAACAGACCCATCGAAAACAGATCCCCAGTGATCGGCCTACATACGGGCAGATGAAGGGTGGACTTTGCGGTCGCATCTCCCAGTGGCTATGGTCTGGATGGCGGGGTACGGCATTTGAAAACACAACCCCTTTACAAAAGCCATATCAACTCAACCCTGGGGATTGTAAGGCCTGTCGTGAACAACGTACTGCTTGTGATCACACGCGACCTCAGTGCTCTCATTGTTGGTCACAACAGCTCTTGTGCTTCTATGTGGACCACCCGAAACAGAAAAAACATCGGAAGCCAACTGTTAGGGAGGTGGAGACGGTTTCCAGTTTAACGAAAGACATGACAATGCGACAATGACTATTTGTTTTCTGTTTTCTTATTCTCTTTTCCAGGAATTTATATGAACGATGTTTTGGATTTTCTTGGTTCATTGTGGGCGCAGGTCAAGCGTTTCGAGGCTATCAAAGTCGTCGCATGTTTTTTGCCCAGGCATTTTTTCAATTTCTTTGTCTTTACATTTTAAAGGTGGATTTGGATTCCAATGTCATTTAATCAAAATCAAATGAGGTTCTTTTTGAATTCCATAGAGTCTAAGCCAGTGTAACATCCGTGGACCGGAGAATTATGTTGCGAAATCCATGTTGGCATCAAAATGGACCGACCATCAGAATCTCCAACCACCGCCCTTTTTTTTGGTCCTGGTTGAGGAAGAGTGCCGGGTCGGCTCAACACCGAGCCACTGTGTTGCTTCGGAACACTGTGACCCGATACCCGCTCCACCAACACATACATAACTTGGCCCTGCACTTTCATCACACTTGCAGAATACCTGGATAGCCGCTGAATCTACTCCCTGCTTTTCGTGCAATATGATTTTCACCAGCCGTGGTTGAGGCATCTACTTCAGTTTGCGTCGCTATAACATATATATACTCATGTGTGACTAATTCAAGGTAAAACCCCAATCTAGGCCTTACATAGTAGTCAATCTAACCTCAGTTTACAGATGGAATCCGAATACCGGCGATTGGCGGACGCTATCCGCAACCATGCCGATGCCCATCCCAAATCACGCTTCCTAGTTGCCATTGCAGGCATCCCGGGTTCAGGAAAGACCACCACAGCCGAGGCAGTAGTGCAACAGTTGAATCAGAATTCAACTTCCCGTGCGGCCCTGCTCTCTATGGATGGCTTTCATCTTTCTCGAGCAGCTTTGGATCAGCTGCCTAACCCCAAAGAGGCACATATCCGTCGTGGAGCTCCATGGACGTTCGATGTAAGCCGCTTTGTGGCGTTCATCTCTCGTCTCCGCACCTGGGCCGATGAGACACCGCTAGCAGCTCCTTATTCTGGAACCTGGTCGCCAGAGGATGTCATTTGCGCACCGACATTTGATCACGAAGCGAAAGATCCCGTCGAAGATGGGATTTCCATCACGCCGGATGCATCGATCATTATCATCGAGGGAAATTATCTGCTTCTTGATGAACCAGGCTGGTGTGAACTTGCTGCGCTTGTTGACTACCGGGTCTTCGTAGACTCTGATCCGCTAGAGGCAAGGAGCCGATTGGCCGAGCGCCACCTACGGGCTGGTATTGAGAAGACGCTGGAAGATGGATATCGTCGGGTGGACAGCAATGACTCCTTGAATGCGATGTCTATTCGAGAGAAATTGCTGGCCACGGACATGATCGTGAAAAGCGTGACTTTGGATGGTATATGATATGTATAGTATTGGGACTGTGTATGACCACCAAACATTCATCCATTCCATTACTCCTTTACCATCTGCTTGTGGAATACATCTACGTTGTGGATTTGTTAGAATCTAGAAAGACCCAGGATATTAGCATACTAAACTCACTCGGAATCTCCGGCATCCAGCTCGCCCGAGCCTTGCAGAAGAACTCCCCCTTAGGGGGTAATGCTTCAGGATCGTCTAAGGACCCGACACAGATGTAGCGAAAATGGTCTTTTGCAGCATCCTGATTTATTTGTTAGAGAAACCCCGTATCTATGGTATAAGCCCACATACCCCATATTCTAGAATGAAGCTACCACAGTTTTGACAAAATTCTCGATAGATCACAGCTCCAGATCCATTATCCGCGATGTGTTCTTTGGGTATCCCTTTGGTGAGGTTGAATGTGTCCTTTGGGACTTTGGCTGTCAGGCCATAATTAGTTCCAAATGCTTTCTATCCAATTGATCATTTCAGATTTAGCGAAATGACGTTCCCGTTCAATGTCAGGTGTATGTATACCTTGCAGTTGCGGCAATGGCAGAGGGATGTTCTCGCATCATCATTCGAAACAAGCTTCAACTCATATTCAATATTCCGGCAAATACATGACCCTGTGAGAGTGGGCATCTTGAGGCTTTGGATCACTTTGCACTTTGAGACTCGTGTGATATACCAATACCAGATGACGTCATTGACATTTGAAAGCCAATTAACTCGCTCAAGAATGTCAAGAAAGGACGGAGACCAATTTGTATTTAAGATACTTGAAAATTCTTCATGTCAATTTACTTCCTCTCGGGCTGTTTTCTAAGATGATGTGATGGTGACGGCCTTGTGGATATCCCCGAAACTTACACTCCTCCCTATCTCCGAATTTGTTTGACCTCCAACAGGAGCAAGATGAACCAGAGCGAACCCGAGTTCAAGGAGAGATCAGTGGTATCCTCGTTCATCTGCTCATCTGGAGGGGCGACGCAGGTTGCTTTATTTAGACGAAGTGAAAAGGTTAGGACATATCAGTATGTATCCGAAAGCCCCGCATCAGCATCACTACCCATTATTCGCATCCAGAATAGCTGATTTCTCCAGGAATCACCTAGCTCCCATCTCAGGCAGTATAGAGAGTCATGAAACACCAGTAGCAGCGGCATGGCGAGAGTTGAAAGAGGAGACTACTCTCACCCAGCAAGATCTTGAACTTTGGCGACAGGGAAAACCATACACCTTCCGCGATCCTTCTCTGCGTCGACAATGGACCATTTTCCCGTTCCTATTCCGACTCAAATCCACCTGGGAAGGTGGTCGCGGGATGGAGGGTGTTGAAATCGACTGGGAGCATGTAAGCTGGCAGTGGTATAGCCCAGAGGCAATTCAAGATGATGAGAAATTCGGCGGAGTGCCACGTCTGAAGGAAAGCCTGCGACGAGTCTTGTTTGAGAGCGACATGAACAAGAGCGCTAGCCTAGCACTCAGAACGGGTCTGGAAAAACTGAAGACAGATCACCAGAGTGGATCGCACGAACTGACTTCAATTGCGCTGAGAGCCTTCCGGGATGTTATTGGGCAAATGAGCGAGGAAATCGATACAAAGTGGTGGGAAACTGCTCGCATGGCTGCATGGCATCTGTGGAAAAATGGACGAGAAAGCATGGGGGCAGCCACCTTGAATGCATTGCTAGGAGTGCTTGCCGACATGGAAGAGATCATACATCAGACTCTCAAGCACAAGGTCAAATGGGACTCTTTGTTGACTTTAGTCGACCAGCATGTGGACAAGCGCGAAGAAATGCCCATGCGCATCCAAAACTCCTTTGCGATGTATCTTCAGCGCAACATCCTGCCTACAGCCGATTCAACCCCTCCGCCATCTCTCGTTATTCTCACCCTCTCGTCGAGCTCTACTATCCGGGATAGCATTCTAAGGGCTTTTGGATCCCTTCCAATTCGTAATCTGGATCTCAGGATACTAGAATCTCGTCCGCTTTGTGAAGGAGCCAATATGGCATCTTCCATCCTCTCTGCCTTTCGGTCAAGATTTCCCTTGACTTCCGATCGAAGTCTGAAGCTAACTGTGTACACCGATGCCTCGGCGGCTCTTGCTAGCAAGGATGTGGATTTCGTCTTGCTTGGAGCAGACCGGATCTCGGATTTAGGCTCCGTGAGCAATAAAACTGGATCTTTGCCAACTGTCTTGAGTGCCAGATATATTTGTCCTGGCGCCAAGGTCCTGGTTCTCAGCGAACTGGAGAAGGTGGCTGAGCCTGGTGCGGAGAGCAGTCATAGTCACGAAGAGAATGATCCGAAAGAGGTAATAGGTTGCTGGCTGAACAGTGGTATGAAAGGAGTTGATACTCTTACTGGGGCAGCTGAGGTGGCTGGTCAAGATAGCGTCAACTACGCGGTCGAAGTTAAGAATATCTACTTCGAATGGGTTCCGGCTGAACTCATAGATGCGTATATCTGTGAAGAGGGGACTTTAGACACCAGTGCGATTAAAGAAAAATCCCAACAGGTAAATCAAAAGGCCGACAGATACTTTGGTCAACTCTAGTGCCTGAATATTCAATTATTGATTCTGTTTTATTTCTACTTTTGTAACATACATAGTCGGACTATCCTGAATGACGTCACAGTCTGATATTGCTATGAATGGCATGCAATTTGTTCTCGATTGCATACTTAGCATAGCTTTCAGATGTTAGTTCTGCTTCTCACACTCTTTCCAAATGTCGAAAATATTCAAAACAGGAATCCACACCTTCGATGTTCCAGCGAAAAGGTTGACATTTGAATATGTCGTGCATTGCCCATCAACCGAAAAGGAAGATCTACACAGTCTAATAGTTGTCCAACCCCCCGGCTGGGGATTAGGATCTGGCTATCTCCAGAACGGACTGCGAGCGTTATGGAGACCAGAAGACTACCCCAGTACCACAAATACCAGGGGCTATACAGTGATCTTCTTCCATTCCCGCGGAACAAATGGATCATCCAGACCACCGTCATCCCAGATGAGCAGTATGCCTGATCTTGCCTCGGACTTGGAAGATCTCCGCCAGTATCTCCATCTAGATCGATATCCGGTTTTACTGGGCCACTCGAATGGCGGAGCGATTGCCCTGGGATATGCAGAGATGTATCCCAGTCGTGTCGAAAAGCTCGTTCTCCTGGACCACCAGCTATTAGGTGTTCAGGATAAGAGGTTGTTACAGCTGCAAGCGACGCGCATAGATCCCCGGTACCAGGATGCTTGGGATAGGATGCTGGATCGGCAGACTGGATCCGACGAGGAATTTACAGAGTCGGTGCGAGCCATGTGGCCTTTGTACTTTTTTGATCCGCGGCAGTATGTACCAGAGCTGCTGCGCGATATCGGGGATCAAAGGTTGTCGGTTTGGTGCTACCAGGCCCAGGGTCGATGTGACAAAGAATTGCGGTATCCCATGCAAATGGTAGAGAGGCTTGGTGATGTACAGGCAGAGACACTTATTATATTTGGCCGCGAAGATATGATATGTGGGATAATAGGGATTGCAGAGCGGACAGCAAAGAACGTCCAAAATGCCCGGCTGATTACCTACGGCGAATGTGGGCATTTCCCTTGGATTGAGAAAAAGGAGCAGACCATATGGGATATCCGTAAATTCATTGAAAAGTAAGACTAGCATATCTCTCGCAATGTAAACAAAACAGATAAACCATTGAGAGCCTGCTACTGTGCATTGATTAAACCAAATGTATCACTGTCCATACAGTAAATCACACGCTAAGGCAGGAACCGAATGCCTCCAAAGGCTTTGACAAAGGGAAAAACCATAAATGAGCCTAGCCAAGGCGCCAGGGTAGAGGACAGGATCGTCAAAGACCCCTACCCAATAGATAAAACCAACAAAATATATGCAAGAAAGTAAAAAGGTATCATCGTAATCAGGCGTCACGAACACGCGCCTGTCGCTTTGCGGTGCCAATGTGGGTGTTGTGTACTTTAGTGGCGAACTTCAAGCTGGTCAAGGTCTCCGACATGTGCGCTTGGAGAGGGCTGACCATGACGAACATGAGAGTCTTAGAGTTTCCACCTAGGGAAAACTGGAGCAGGTATGTAAGCTAGAAAACGAATTAGTATCTAGCAAATGAAAATGGGAGTAAAAGAAACATACCTTGCTGTTCCTGTACGGGATGTGACCGCCCTCTTTGCCTTGGCCGAGAGCTGCAATCACATCGCCCAAAGAGCTGAGACTACGGTTGATGTTTTGAGTCTCTTTCAGACGCTCGCCGGTTGCTCCACTATGGCTCAGGCGTTCGCTTCCTGCTAAGTCAACGAGGTTCAGGGTGCCTTCGCTGCGTTCGCCAGTGATGTGGTTCTGGCCGATGAGCTTGAGAATGAAGACAGAGTGGGACCGCGATGAGCGCTCATTGGCCTTGGTCGCTGCTACCGAGCGGTTGGCATCTGCATTCTTGAGAATAGATTTGACCATCTCGGGAGAATCTAAGTTCACAGTTGTAATGTCGGTGATAGTAGTCTTGCCCCGCTGCATGTCATGGCGAATCTCATGCTTCTTCTTGTCCAATTCATCCGGGTTGCCCAAGAGATCATTCAGGTTTTCGTTGTAGACTTCGACAAAATTGCCGGCCATTGAGTACCGCCAGCCCTTCTCTTCCAGACCTTGCGCGGTCTCGTAAATCTGGTGAACAGCACGAGGGATCATGCCGTCAGCTGATGACATTGTGTGGGTCTTGCCACTGCCAGTTTGGCCATAACAGAAGATGCAAACATTGTAGCCATCCAGAGCGCTCTGAACAAGCTGGCTAATCTCATCAAAAACCTCGGCGTTCTGGGTTGATGGATTGAATACACGATCGAAGGAGAAAGTGTTGTTCTTCCGGGTAATTGTTCCAAGGCTGCTCTTCTCTTCGGGGCCAAGGATATTAATCTCCTTTCCATCGTCGGTTTCGTCTGGATACTGCATGAGAGTGAGATCGGAGGCTGGTTCACTATTAAGCGAAGGGCGAACTCGGCAAAACACGCGGATATTGCCTTTGAGCTCTTGCACCTGGTTATGAAGTTTGCGTCGTAGTGTCTCTTCCCTGCGCAGCTTCTCCTTAATCGCCTCTGTCTGGGCAAATGCGTCCATCATCTCCCGATTGCACCGTTCAAAAGATTTAGATTGCTCCTCCCGTCCACTTTCAAGGAATTCAATGCGTGCCTTAAGTGCACGAATTGATGACTCTAGGGTAACGCTGTTGCTGCTTGTAATATCCAGGTTCACTCTGAGTTCCTGCACGGTTCTTCGTTCCCGGTCAAGGTCCGCCTTCAGGGCCTGCAGTCTATCATTCAATGTCGTAATCTCGCGCTCCTTTCTTTCCAGTTCGGTTTGGGACTTTTGGATATCAATTGCAGATTGAGAAGTTAGCTTGCTGAGCGCGTTTATGCGTGCTGCTTTCTCGCCTTCAATCTCACGATCAAATTGTCGTTTCAGGTTGAGAACCTCCTCTTGATGTCGGTCAGTGATTGCAGCAATTTCTCTCGTGCTTCGTTGTTGGAGTGAATCCAATTCAATACGCTGGCGCTGGGAAAGATCATCCATAGCAATTTCATGGTCTCGCTTGTCCTCTTTGCGAGCCTGCTCTGCATCACGTAACTTGTTTTGCAGCAAATCTAACTCCACACGCTGGGTAATATTGACTTCTTTCACCTGATCCCGAGTGCTTTCGAGTTCGCTGACTAGACGAAATGATTAGATTCGTTTCAATGTACTCTTTATTCAACTCAACTTACTTCTTGCCTTGTAGATCTCGACGGTCTCCTTGAGACCAGAGCTTGCTTGACCTTGCTGATTTACCTGTTCCAGCAAAGTCTGCATTAATCCCTCCATATTCTTTTCGCGAGAATCTTGGTCCCATTCCGGTCCTGTGATATTGTCAAAACTTCTGATCGAGGAACCTTTGGTCAAAAACGCGGGGTGGGAGGATTTTTTGACAACGCGTCGCTGGGAATGTGATGGGGTTCTGTAGGGTGCAGTAGGGGCCGTAAAAAAAGAAGAGGACGAGGAAGACTGCATATATCCAGGGGACTTTGGGGTAGTAACATTGGGAACGTTCCGAAATGGTGTACTGGGCAACACGGGGATAGTTGCTGGGTTGGAAGGACTTCGGAAAGAGACAGGTTTCTCAGACACAGAGAGCGCTGCAACTTCACCAATCCCATTCCAACCTTCATTACATCCAGGGGACACGGTTCCAACGGGACAAGAAGGAATACGACTGGGAGATAAGGGAAATTGTAGCATACCCTTTCGTTTTCCTAGCACACTGGGAGAGGCGTCTTCCATATGGGTATCCAACGCGCTTGCTGCGCGCGGAATCGATGCGCCGACGGGTCTGCGGCCGTTGAAGGAGGGCTGGTACCGGGACATGGCCGATGCTGGGCGCGTGCCGGGGCCGACGGTTGAGGAGAAGGAGCCATTGGCTGCGCGAGACGGAGGAGCGGCCGGCCGGGACATGGTTGAAGATGAGTACGAGTTGCCCCGGCTATGCCCCTTGGTCGTTGTACTAGGCTGTCGGGTGACGGGCCCAGATCTCTTCGTTTCCGGGTTTGCGGTTTTCGGACGGGTTGCTTCCGGCGCTGTCAGTTCATGTTGCGCCAACGATTCAAAATCTTCCATACGCGACATGCTCATAGCCTTGTTTGCAATTGTGCCTGGCGCCATGATGCCAGAGCGCGAGTTGGTTGTCGCGGAACTGGCCTCACGCAGGCCAGCCTGTGGTAGGCGCATCCGAGTAGCCGACCTGGTTCGGGGCTGAAGATGATCAGTTACATTCCCATGCACTCTGATGGAGCAAAAGCCTAAAGTGGGGATACTTACCATGTTTTCACCTTCCATATTGGGATTTGTTGACCGCCAGGTTACCGGCGAATAGAGTATCCGGGCGAGAAGGATGAGCTCACGTCCAGCCACTGTCTGTGTTGGCCGCTAGGACTTAAAGTTAGCGAGTTAGGATGAAAAGAGCAGATAGAGGACGTGCCAATGGATTGTGTGGGCAGTAGTAACCTTGGAAGTATGAGCATCGAATGATCGCAAACTGGTTTCTGGAGGGACGCAGCGCAAAGTAAACAAAGATTTGCTGACTCAGGCAGCTGTATCACGCTAGCTCAGATCCGGCAATGGTGTTAGCTGTGACGTATTTGTATTACCAAGGAAATGTATTTAAAAACAACACGTGATCATTCTCAACCCAGAGATCAAAGGTGTCAGAATGTAAATGAAAGAAGAACATATGAACAAATTGTACAATGTCCTAGAAATTGTTTACTCATCTTCTTTGTTGACTCTTTTTGAAGCTGTTCCCGGTTCCCGGAAGTAGTTGGCATTCGATTCGTGGGGCGTTCTTTGCCTCCACTCGGATTCCCGAAACAGCGGGCCCAGTAGGTTGCTTGAGCTTCTCCAACGTCTCTTTCACCTACTCCTTTTTCCTTCTACTTTTTTTTTGTTTGCTCTACGTCTTCGTTTGAACACTTGGTAATCATGTCCGGGCGTTTTGTTCGTTCCTCCAAATATCGTGAGTTACGTCAATAATCCAAAATGCGCTTCCCCGCTGACCCTTACAGGCCACGTCTTTGGGCGATCGACGAGAAAGGTAAAGGCTATGTTCTATATTCTCCGATCTTCTATTCTGACTTTTGCAGGATCAATGTTACGATAACCTTCGAGTCTCCCGAAACGCCTGGGATACCAACCTTCTTAAGGTGTGTGTTGTGCCTTCCGCATCCCCCCTGACGCTTCACTGGCGAACCCGGTCTTACGGTGCATCTAGGTCAACCCGAAACACATTGCGGTCAATTGGGAAGCAGGTGGTGGCGGAGCTTTTGCGATTATTCCTCTTGAGGAACGGGGCAAGCTCCCCGAACGTATCCCATTGTGCCGAGGCCACACTGCCGTCGTTTTGGACACCGACTGGTAAGGAATCCAAATATAGAACACCCGCGCCGCAGCTCACCGAAACCCCACAGGAACCCTTTCAATGACGACCTGATTGCCTCAGGATCCGATGACGGCAAGGTATAGTGCGACAAACAACAGCTCTTAGCGTTGCGACTGATTGATTCCAGGTTTTCCTCTGGCGGGTTCCGGAGAACTTCACCGTTCGACCTGAGGCAGATGCCGAAGATATCCAGGACCTCGCGCCTATTGGCAAATTGAGCGGCCATCCTAAGTACGAATCCCTAACCAAACCAGTTATCACCTCATACTTACCCCTCCCTGCAGGAAGATTGGCCACGTGCTCTTCAACCCCGCGGCAGAAAACGTGCTGGCAACGGCCTCGGGCGACTATACCGTGAAGATCTGGGATATTGAAGCTGGCGCAGCTAAGCTCACTCTGAACATTGGCGATATTGTGCAGTCGCAGTCGTGGAGTGCCAACGGATCCCTGTTGGTCACTACCTCGCGTGACAAGAAGCTCCGCATCTGGGATGTGCGACAGGAACGTCCGGCTCACGAGACCAATGGCCACACCGGTGCCAAGAACAGCCGAGCTGTGTGGCTCGGAGAACGTGATCGCATTGCGACTACCGGTTTCTCCAAGATGAGCGACCGCCAGTTGGCGCTCTGGGATATCCGTGCCGTGCGGGAACCCATCAACGGTTTCAAGACCTTGGATTCCATTTCTGGCGTGTGCATGCCTTTCTGGGATGATGGAACTAACATGCTATACTTGGCTGGACGAGGGTGAGTCGTCCACGATTGAACTATTATGGTTTCGCAATTTCTGACTTCCAATAGTGACGGAAATATTCGATACTTTGAGCTTGAGAACGACAAGTTCGAGTTCCTTTCTGAGCACAAGTCTGCCGACCCCCAGCGAGGAGTTGCTTTCATGCCCAAGCGTGGCGTGAACATGCACGAGAACGAAGTCGCTCGCGCCTACAAGACCGTCAACGATCAATACATCGAACCCGTCTCATTCATCGTCCCCCGTCGGTCCGAGAACTTCCAGGACGACATCTACCCGCCCACCGCCGGAGTGACCCCCGCCATGTCTTCGTCCGAATGGCTAGGTGGCAAGGAGGCACTTCCTCCCAAGATCTCCATGGCCAGCCTGTTCGACGGTGAGGGCATCAAGGAGGTGACCGGAGTAGAGGAAAAGCCAACTGGCTCCATGGATGCCCCTGCTCCCAAGCCCGCCGAGACACCTAAAGCCGCTGAGACCCCAAAGACCCCTGAGCCTGCTACTACAAAGGCTGCCCCCGAGCCTATCCCTGAACCTACTCCTGTTGCGCGCCCTGCTCCATCTATGAAGGAACAAGGTGCTTCCATGGCTGCGATGGTGAACAAGTTTGCTGATGGTGAAGAGGCTACCGTCTCAGATGATGATGACTCGAGCTTCGAGGAAATTCCCAAGCCTGTTGAACGTCGCACTCGCTCTCCCGCTGCCGAGACTGCTTCGCCGCGTATCAGCAGCCCCTTGAGGCCGAAGGAGGCTGAGAAGGTCGAGAAAGTCGAGCCAAAGCCTCAACCTACGGTTGCTCTGGCTGTCGCTGTAAGTTCCCCACTCTAATATTAACATTTATCAAATTGTGTCAGCTGCTAATTGTCCTAGTCTTCCAATGCCCCCTCACCCGCTAGCGAGGCCCCTTCGCCCACCACTTCCATCCCCAAGAACGACATTGAAGAGATTAAGAGCCTGCTTGCCGAGCAGACGAAGACTATTGCCGACCAGGCACAGCAAATGCAAACACTCACTGCCGAGATTGAGGCATTGAAGAGCAAGCTGAACTAAATAATTTAGTCCTAATTTTAGCCTCCGGAGACTGCTAGGTTAGTCACATATTATCTAGGTACATTCATTGGGAGATTTTGCTCCTTGGAATCATACGGTGTTTGACGTATATGAGGCGATGCAGTGTGTGGATAAGTTTTTTTGTTTCTTTTTAGCGGAATTGTCAATACATTTGCCCATTGAAATCAAAATTTGATTGTGATCATTGAATGGAGAGATTAGCTCGTCTTAGAAGCTACTCGTCTACGGCAGTGTATAGAACAGACCATGATAGATTTTGTAGACTGAAAACTTGCCCTCTGTAGCTCGGTAGCCTTATGACATTCAAGCAAGTACAGTGTATCAATCCTAGATGTTTACGCTCAAATTTAGATTGTATCTATTGCTTTGATGGTCCCTTACACTACCGTCCTCGCTCATCAATGGTGACCTTTTAGGGCTCAGGGTCAACAGTGAACAGTAAGCCAACAATATCTTCAAGGGCTGGCAATATGCTGCTAGAGAAGTTCAAAGTCCTACTCCTCGTCAACCGCACTCAGTTTAATTAATACTTTGGTAGTTTGGAAGTAGGAGCCATAACGCCATAGTATATATATTTAGTGATAGACTAGGCTAGTGACGAGAATTTTATTTTATTTTTTCGTCCTTGTTATACAGAGAATGATCGCAGCAAGACAGAAATTAGAGTAGAAAATTCATTTAGAGTTCCGTTGTTTATATCCATAAGAAGCCATTTCAAATAGCCTACGCAAATCCCATATCTACTGTTGAGCAGTCTCACATACCACAGCTCAAGGAAAATAACAAGATACAAGAAAATGGAAAAAGCAGCCTCTTGACGCCATCCCATGATTCTTTTACGGCAACGAAAAAAAAAAAGCAAAACTTCAAGTTCAGAGTTCATCTTCGTACTTGTAGTTGATGCGACGACCCGCCACCACACGGTCCTGCCGGCTATCACGGCGGCGGCCAGACTTGGCCTTCTCACGATGTTGCTGCTCACGCTCAAGGCGCTCCTTATTGCGAGCTTCACGCTCAAGAGTGTAAGGGTCTTTATCGGGCTCGGCCCGTTTGGTCGAGGCTCCATTCGTCTCCCGACTACGCTCCTCATCGCCACGTTTCACACGACGGACTTGGGGGTGGTCGGCGCCGATTGCAGACGGGGATCGATCGCGGCGAGAACGCTTGCGATCACGATCAGTACGGTCACGCTCCCTTGGTCGATCGCGGTCGCGCTCTGAGGCTCTGTCTTTATCGCGGTCGCCATCTCGGCGACGTTCGCGATCGGAATCGCGGTCTCGGCCACGACGGTCACGGTCACGGTCACGATCACGGTCACGATCACGGTCACGATCTCGGCGTCGGGCATCTCGGTCCCGTTCCCGTGATCGGTCATCTTCGCGTCGGCTAGTTCGGTCCTTGGTGGAGCGGTAGGTGCTGCTGATTCGGCTTGCTAGATCGCGTGACTCCGGGGCTTCGGAGGACGCTTTGGTCCTGCCATTTGATACATCTTTTTCTGCCATCTTTTCTAAGCGAATAGAGGGACGGATATCGCCGTGTCGACTTGAGCTGCGGCTACGGCTGCGATGCCGACGGGAGCGTTGTGAACGGTGGTTAGTTCTTCTATCTCGCTCCCGATCACTGTCGTGGTGTCGGCGTCGCGAGGAAGGACGAGAGGATGTGCGGGATGGAGAGCGAGAGTGACGAGCATCGGATTGTAGCTCATCAACTCGATCTGGGCGTTTGATTTCTGCCCCACGCCGACTGTCACGGTCGTCTTCAGTACCATGAACAGATGGGGAACGGGGGCGGGAAGCTGGATTTTGTGAGGGGGATCGAGAGCGAGACTGCGCACGTTGGGATGGGGCGTTGGATGGGGCCCTTGTGTGATTGTCCTCGGTGGGTTCACTACTCTGGTAGTTAGAATTTATATTTCCAAGACAGATAAAAGAAGAAAGTCTCACCCAGACACGCTGGCTCGGCCCTGAATCTGGAAGCCACGTTGTCGCAGCACACTGGTGTTGGGTAGCCCCTGCCGCATAGCACGCGGAGCAGCCGGAGCGCCTTCGACACCGGGTCCCCTTTGTTGTCCATATTGGCCGTATCTGTATTGACCATATCCATTACTCATACCGTATCCAGGGCCAGTTGGTACAGGATTATCAAGGCTGTCAATGGTGGGAATTCCCTGGGGCTGGTCTGTAGTATCTGTTGGGATATCTTCTGGATTACCAGGCACATCGAGTCCAGTTTCACCTGCTTCTGGGGCAATCTCATTTGTTTGGACATTACCTTGAGCATCCAGTGGAGTACCATTAGGGCCATTAGCCATATTTGGGTTCTGGTTAGGATATCCTGGGTTAGAACCTTGACGGTAATGACCTTGCATGGGTCCAAAGCCACCTCGACCGGGACCATGAAACTGGCCACGGCCTCGGCCTCGGTATCCACCACGGCCATACCCGTAGTAACCGGACTGGTAGTCTGATTGAGAAGGGTAAGCAGACATATTAGACCCGCCAAATGCACCTCCATAAGGAGGACCCGTGCCATTTGCGAAAGCATTTGGATTGAATTTATTTTGGCCGCCTTGCCACATATTGTTGTTCTGTTGGGATGCGTCCCATCCTAACGATCCATACATGCCCCCGTTGTAGTTCATCCCAGTGTTCATGCCCATGCCAGTCATGTTCATTCCGTACATCCCCTGATTAGCCATCGGGTCCATCCCCATGGGCATACCTGTGGAGGGACATTAGCGAGATTGAAATGATAAATATTGGGAATATTGAACTTACCCATCGTGTTCGGAAAATTGAACATGCCAGCCATGAAAGGATTCATGCCAGCTCCGTTCCAGCCCATCGCGGGGAAGTTTCCGGCCATGTTTGGGGCCATCAAGTTGGTACCAGATTCCCCAGGAACCTCAGGCGTGGGAGCAGGTTCTCCGTTTACTGGGGTTTCGCTGACTGCGGCATCTTCAGTCGTGGACTCAAGGGCTGGTTCGGTGCCGTTGAGTTGATCACCAGTTGCCTCGGGCTATACACAGGATCAGTTTAGAGAAATGCACAGTATATGATAGTAGTGAAATATTTACCTGAGCTGGCTGATTTGCCGAATCTGATACACTTGGCTCTGGGATGTTATCTCCAACTATGTCCGCGGCCGGTGTGTCTAGTCCCGGCTCTTGAGGTTTTGACTCTGTAGGCTCTGTAGGACACGGAGGGAGAGGTGTCTCGGTCCCCACAGATGTCACTAGGCCAGCCCCATTTTGAGTGGGAACTGCATCCTGAACAGGTGGTTTTGTGTCCGCAGGCGTGATATTGGATGGTGTTGGAGGCGCTGCAGATTGACGATCCTTTTCCCGCTTTTTCTCTTCGGTGCGCAGGAAAGCCTTGAGAGTGGTCCGCAGAGCCTTGTTGGGTTTGCAGAGATCGGGAGAGACCGGTGTATGTGTGCAGACCGGACATGTATCAGATAGGGAAGCTTGGCCTAGAACGGAGATCAGATTAGCTACCATTTGCGATAGGTGTGAAACATTGGGTTCGACATACAGGTCTCACAGATGGACTGGTCACAACAGGGGAGACGAAATGCATTCACTGCCAGCTTATTGCAGATAGCACATCGCAGTTTGAAGGGGATCTCATCTTGGGCCAGGGTACTGCAGAATTTATTAGCATTGCGAATTTTTTGATCGGCATGTGCTCCATACCTGGCAATGTCCATGAGACCTGGCACATCCGCCACCACCATGGCTGGAGATGGCTGGAGAAATTAAATGACCCTGACTAGACGGAGAGCTCCAGTGTCATGGCTTCAGTTTCCGGTTTGAAGTGTAAAGGTTGAATGCTTGAAATTGGTCGGAAAAACTATTTCGCCGAAGTTACATGTCAGAGAGAAGTAAGAGAAGAGATGACGTGGGAGAACGCAAACAAGGCGCATTGTAGATTTGATGAAACCCCTCAGATTAGATCAAGTAATTTTTGGCGTTCACAGAAGAACAGCGATACGCTTATGGTTTCATCTGATTCAACTCGACGTTTTTGGATTTATCGTCATCGGGAATTCTACGGGAGCCTAACAGGGGTGAGAAAGGGGAAAGGTCACCTACGACGGACAATTTCAATATATTGCAAATTTGAATATAAGACAAAGAGGAAAAGAAAGTGAACAGGGGATAAAAGGGCCTAACAGGTTAAAAACGACATAAAGTAAATCAAAAAAAAAAAAAATGGTGAAGAGTGAGATCTGAAGAGATATAACAAAGAGAATATGAGAAGAAGATGAAAAAGGGACGAAAAATACGGAAAATGCAAAAAATGCAAAAATGTTAGTTTTGTAAAATAAAAAACAGCCAAAACAGTCAAACACGGTATAAACATTACGAAAAAAAAAAAACACCACGGAATTTAAAAAGGAGAGCGGCGCCCGAGTCGGGTCGTTGGATTCTCCTCTCCAGGGAGCTTGGGCCACCTACTTTTTTTCGCGATTCCACTTAATTTTTTTTTTTTTAATTTTCTGTCTTTTTGACCATGACAGAGGACAATTATCGGCCTCGCTCTCCTGATCTTTCTCTTCCTCCTCCCCAACACGTGCTTGCGAATCCAATTACTTCTCACACATCACCTTTCTTCAACTCATACCAACCATATCAACTCCCCAATCCAAGTCGCGTGTCTCAGCAGTACGTTCCACCATATCAACCAGACTTGGACATGGCTCGTCGTTCAAGTCGTCTTGCTCAGTCCGACCACGCCCCGATCCCAGAACCTCTGCCAGAAGCAATTCAACCGATGCCTGAAGTACTCCAACCAATTCCAGAGCCTATCACAATGGCGCCAGTCCCCGCTCCTGCGCCGGAGATGGAGGAAGAGATGCCGTCAGCGCCCCCAAGTGCGGGGATTGAAGTGAAGACCAAGTTTCCTGTAGCGCGCATCAAGCGCATCATGCAGGCTGATGAGGATGTTGGCAAGGTTGCTCAAGTAACACCGATCGCTGTGTGTAAGTACTCCCTTTGCGCTATCCTTTGCGCGTATTCCCCATACTTTGCAAGCGATGCTGACGAGACATTTTCTCATAGCCAAGGCTCTTGAACTCTTCATGATCTCTCTTGTCACCAAGGCAGCACAAGAAGCAAAGGATCGCAACTCAAAGCGCGTCACCGCCTCGCATCTCAAACAGGCTGTCGCCAAGGATGAAGTGCTTGACTTCTTGGCAGACATCATCTCTAAGGTCCCTGATCAACCGGCTAGCCGGAAACATGAAGATGACGGGAGCGATCAGAATGAAGGTCGCCGTAAGCGTGGCGGACGGCGACCAAAGGATGAGAGTGATTAAGGTCCACCCGTAAATGATTTGACGACGTGCTAGATGGGATTGGTATCAGGCGCATAAATTCATGGGAATTTCTTGTTATATTAGGCGTTTAAATATTGGGGGGGGGGGGCAGATCTGGGAGCGCATTTCTCTGTGAATATCTTTGGTTATCTGGTTTTTTGGGCTCGAACGACTCGAGCCCCCATGCGCGCACGGTCTCTTATTTATTCAACGACCAGGACTTGGACTGGCGTTTTTCTTTGTCGGAACTCGAAAGTGCATGGCTGTTACTGTATAAATCTCGAGTGTGCATGTAGTATGTACTTGAAAGTTTACCTCGGGATGGTCTGTAGTTGTAAAGCGGCGATCAGCGCGATAAACACCGTCTCCACTCATCCTCAAACCCCCCGTCACTTTCACTCTGTGAGATGCTGTCCTCACAGAATGGACTTTGTACGTGCCTCTTACTTCTCTATTAATCCCAACTAATGAAATATAGTGGTCTCGTCTTATCGGCGGTTCACGCGCGCTGTCCAACAAATCCTCTAAGGCCACCTCACCCACGGAACGGCTGATTGCGTTTAAACGCGCCTGCAATGCCCTCCAGGTACTGACCATGTCCATTTCTGCAAGGTTACCAACTCACCCAATTGATAGCAAATATGGCGTGCAACAAATTCCCCTTCGGGCGACCAATCGATCGCGCACGCGCAGACGTATATTGAACGACTCAACTCGATTCTGAGCGAGGAAGCCCGCGGGCCTGCACCGCACCCCTGTGTCGCCTATGCAGCATCTTCCCAGGTCTTTGTGACGGTGACCAAGCTTGCCCTCTCCTTTTACGACGAAGGGGTTCTTCGATCAGCCACGGTATTCTTCAACACGTTGATCGATGCGGAGGTGGATGGGGTTGTGGACAACCGATTGTTCGCCCGCGCAATCGTGGATCTGGTCCGTCGCGCAGAGAAGACCCCGGAGGAGATTGAAGGCCGACTTGTCGAATTATTGTTTGGTATTGCCAACAACATTCGTCTGCAGCCTGATATCCTGCCTGCATGGTTTGTGCCTCGGGCAACACCCATCGCCCAGGATAGCGATTCCCAAGGTCCAAGTGGGACGGAATTTGCAGGAGCTACAAGGAAGGATGAGTTCCCTCTCTTTTATCTGCTGGTGCACTATGTTCACCACGAGGGACGCGCTGGCGACTTTGCCCGTACGGGTTTGCTCTACCTCATTGAAACCGCATCGCGGTCTAAGAACCTAGAGAAGTGGCTGATCGAGAGTGACCTGGCTACGCTCATGGCCACTGGACTCGGTGCATTATACAGCCAGTTGGGACAGTAAGTGTGGTTCCTTAATTGTTGTGGTACAGTACACTAATCGAATAAAGCTTGTCATTTTCTCCTACCGACGAGGACGAAAATCTCCCTCACATTGTTCAATTATCTGATCATGCCAAACTAGATACCGCTTTACAGCCAACCCTAGGTCAGACGATGGATGCATTCATGTCATATCTATTGTTTTGGCAGGATACAATCGACCACTGCAAATCAGCTGAAGTGAACGACACCTTGCTAGACCATTTCCAGGTGCTGTTTCTAGAGCAACTTTTGTCAGTATACTCTCGTCGCTCTGGACTGGATTAATCACTGACACTTGCAGATACCCCTCCTTGTTAGAATCATCAGATGTAGCTGGTGGATCGACAGCAGCGGTGCTGACCTATATGTGCCGCATCCTCGACTCGATCGAGCAAGGCGAATTGGTTCATCGAATCCTACATTTCTTACTAGCGTCTTCCCCTCAACCCGAGGAGCAAATGGACATGTCTGCAAGCCGACGGAAATCACTCAATGTTCTAGCTGCGTTGGCCTCTGAAGCAGATCAACCATCACCGTCATTATTCAATCTTCGTGATTTAGCCCTACTGGGACTCCAGTCATCGAACTGCCAGACGGTGTTAGCTACGCTACGCCTTTTAAATACCGTTCTTCAAAGACACCATCTATTTGCACGGTCGCTCATTCATACCATTCCTACTCAGCCCGCACGCCAGCGTCCCGTTGGCGCTTTGAATGCCGAGCTAGAACAACTTTTGGTCATGGGAACGTCCCTCGTCGATGACCCCACGCTGAATCAGTCGTACGACAACTATGTTGCAGATGCGACATGTGTCCTTGAGTCCCGCCTGTGCCTACCCATCACTTCGATGGAGGAAGACGAAGAGACGCTACCCCTACCATTACAGCTCCAGCAAGACGATCCAATAGTGCAGGCCCTTTTCACGTGCCTGGAATCTTTCTTTACCAACAGCGTCATCATAAACCTGGCATTAACAGGCGTGTTCATGAGCCTGGCATCCTCACATCTTTTCTCCTTGGACGGGTGGGTGTTGGTTGATCCCAACCAATACGTGGTCCCATCCTCCGAAGAAACCGACGATGAATTTGATCAAGTTCGTCGGGCCTACGAGACACCAACTTGGCCTACCACAGCTGCTCCGACATTGACATTAGCACTCCAACGACTTGTGAACCAGGTCCGACAGTGGCAACGAGAACTCCCCGACTTCGATGTACTGCTCGCTGCCCGACGAGAACTCTTGCACCAGGAAGATTGCCCACAAACACCGAACCGATCACGAGAGCCCTCAGAGCCTGCAGTATCCTTAACGGATCGCTCGCGCCTGTCATACCCTGGTTCACCGGATCCCTCCACCCTAGATTCCCGTGGCCGGTCTACGTACCCAGTCAACTCTCCGCCTCTGTTTTCCGGTTGGGATCGAGATGGATCCTCTGTTCCTTCTGATTCGCGTGGATCTTCGAACGCCCGGGCCATAGCCGCTGATGCTCTTCGTCAGCGCCTTTCCATGCCGTTCCCGCCTGCACCCGCGGATCCACAGTCCCCATCTGCCGAGGAGGGAGCCTCGAGCTCAGAGATCAAGGATGCCCCAGTCGCAACACTTGGCCATGTACTGACAAATGTGGTGATTCTTTATGAATTCATCCTAGAATTGTCGGCGGTAGTACAAGTTCGGGGAAGCTTGTTTGAAGAGGCAGGATACGACTGTAATTAGGAAATGGTCTTTTTTTTTTTTTTTGTATATAAAGGGGTATACCTAGGTATCAGTATAGTTTTTTTTCTCTTAATCTGAACAATGAAAAATATACTAAATTGATATGCAAAGTAATCGATAACATAATAATAGTACAAGTGGACACCCACTAGTTGGCCACTAGCACCCCCCTGGACGACAATCAACCGCCAAGACATCGTGCTGGATTCGCTTGCGGCGATTGGCAACTTGGCCTTGGCCTCCAGACACGTATGACAGAATTTCTCACATTCCTTTCTAACTAAATTTTGACAATGATTTGATCTGATAACCGCGCTCATTTATACATTCCGATCGAACTACTTTCTTTTATATATACCCTCACTTTGACGGTATGACAGGCCAAGATGGCCTCAGTACGTCATGAGTCTCTCGACCGCGAGGACCGCGAAGATGCTCCATTCCTCGACTCCCCCGATTCGAGTACCCCCGGCCCTGCCCATCGCCATGTCCATAACAAGCCCAGTATAGACAGCCAGCCAGCTAAGGCCAATGCCTCCATTGGTGCCATTAGTTTTCGCCTGAAAGCGATCCTTTTCGCCATGGTCCTCGCTGTTGAAATCGGCTTCGCTTTCCTCGAGGGCCCAATGGTCCGGATTATGGAGTCTATCGCGTGCCGTCAGTATTTTCTGGGGGTGGATCCAACGCAGATCGGTGCGGATGGTCAGGTGCCGGAGGCCATGTGTAAGATCGGCGAGGTGCAGGCTGAACTGGCGGCTGTGAAAGGCTACCATATGTTCTTTGATGGGTCACTGAGTAAGTTTATTTGAAACTCTATGGCTAGGCCATTGGCTGATTGTTTTGTAGGCGCTCTTTTGGCAATTCCTTATGGTCTGCTGGCAGACCGTCGTGGCCGCAAATCTACACTCGCTTTGTCTATTCCCGGATTTGGGTTGAATGCCATCCTCACAGTCCTTATCTTGTGGTTTTCGGATGTATTCCCCCTGCGTGCGCTTTGGTTTACTGCCTTGTCCTGGTTGTTTGGGGGTGGTCCAGTCGTGTCGTTTGCGATCATCTGGACTATGATGGCTGATGTAACTACCGAGGCGGAAAGGTATGTTATTCCTCCAATCTAGGCATAAGCTTTATAGATGCTAACTGAGTGATACAGAGCGGGCATTTTCTTTCAATTTGCCATCGTATCGATGGGTGCCGACTTCGCCTCGACTGCTCTTAGTTCGTATCTCATGACCTTGAATCCCTGGATACCATTGGTGGTTGGATTTGTAATTGTAATGGGGGGCATGATGCTCATTTTGTTGCTACCAGAAACGAAGCATGCACTGCCACCCCGGAAAGCTGAACCGACACATGTCGAGATGTCAGAACTGACAGGCGAGGCCGAACCAAAGCATTCGTTACATGATCCCAACGAACGCGAACCATCTCGCGAAGAACCGGACATGAATGGTGACCACGCGAATGAACCGCCGTCTTGGAGCATTTCATCATACTCCCACCAGTCTATTGTGACAAAGATCCGCGCAAATTACCGCTTCTACCTTAAACCCTACCATTTCATCCTCAACCGAAAACCAGTTCTCCTTCTCCTCAGTGCATTCCTGGTCTACCGCCTGAGCCGAGGTTCATCCTGGTTTTTAACCCAATATATATCGACCCGTTATTCATGGACGCTGGCAGCGTCCAACTTCCTGGTATCTGCTCGCCCAACCGTGTCAATCCCGCTGTTCCTCTGGGGCCTACCTTTCCTCAAACGCCGAGTCCTGAACCCTCGGCTTTCATCGACAGAAAAGGACCTGTGGCTCGCGCGCCGCAGTATATTCTGTCTTACTATTGGAACACTCGGAATCGGCCTCTCCCCATCCATTGCTACCCTGATCCCCAGCATGATCATCCAGACCTCCGGATCGGGCTTTGTTTTCCTTGCTCGCTCTATCATTACCACTTTGGTTGAACGTGATGAGACCGCTCGCTTGTTTACTGCGATTGAGATTATCCAGTCATTGGGAAATGTGGTTGCGAGTTTATCCATCACCACCGTCTTCCAAATTGGACTGCGTCTCGGTGGGTTCTGGATTGGTCTCGCGTGGATGATGACTAGTTCGCTATTCTGTTTAGTCGGAGTAGCCATTTGGACATTCAAACTTCCTCCAAGTCCTCCGGAACCGGAATTTGTGGTGGATGACTACGACGGGGATGACAGGGTGTGATCCTATAGATCTTGTATACTACTCATAGCTTCTGTGCGCGCTTCGAGCGTTTTTTTTTTTTTTTTTTTGAGGGGGTTATCTATTAGATTGTATATAACTAGATATAAAAACGATTAAACAAATAGTCCACAACAGGATATCTGGAGATTCAGATGTCTATCTCGCTTGCCTGCAAGTCGTATACTTCGGTGAAAACCACCTTGGTGCCTCAGGCATATTATCACGTGGCAGCTCTTGTCGCATGTGAAGATCGACCAGCTTGTCAACCCAATTCCACGGTCAGATTTCGCCCCGAATTAGCGTTGCAACTTGTGCTGTCGGCACATACCGAAATAGACAGTTGCTTAGCGCATGACGTGTTGCTGATTGAGCCCGTACCACAGCTCATTCTGCCTATAGCTGTCATAACACGAGATGGAGAGATACTCTCAGTTCCGCGATCGAGGTGAGTTTCCGCTGTGTTAACATCCCCTTGGAGTACAATTATACTAACAGCTCCTAGGCTCGGGCATTGCGCCCTTCCTCCCAATCCCGATTGAATCACTCGGCCTCCAAGCCCCCCTTCGTATTTTCCTCTTCTGTTTCCGGCTCCCGATATTCATCTTCGTCACCCTAAGCTATTTTTTGATTTTACAATGGCTTCCTATCGGCTCACTGGGCAAAAAGGCCGCTCTATGGTGTATCCTTGGAGTTCCCAGCATCTGGTGGATTGATCTCCAAGTGGACGGAGTGCGAAAAGGGTTCGTTTGCACCATTGGAACTATATCCTATTCCGCTACTAAATAATAGTTTCGACACAGGTCTTTGAAGCAACAGCAAGCGCGTCTGCCCCAGCCCGGCTCGGTCATCGCCTCATCCTTCACATCTCCCATTGATGCCGTGTACCTGGCAGCTATCTTCGACCCGATCTTCACGGCCTCCTACCCCAACACTCGCCAGGTTGAGCGCATCTCCCTGCTCCAGGCCATTCTGCGAGCCTTCGCTTTCCCCGCCACGCAGCCGGCCCCTGGTGCCAAGATGGTGAATGTCTCAACCCTGGTCGAGGAGTACCCCAATAGGCCGATTGTATTGTTCCCAGAGTGTACTACCACCAACGGTCGCGGCATCTTGGCCCTGGGCAACTCCCTTCTCAGCGTATCACCCAAGACAAAGATCTTCCCAGTCAGTTTGCGCTATACGCCTATGGATATTGTCACCCCTCTCCCCGGAAGTTATTTGAGCTTGCTGTGGACGCTGCTTAGCAAGCCGACCCACTGCATCAGAGTGCGCATCGCGGAGTGCGTTACAACTAGTCAAAACGCTATTGATACACCTTCCTCTCGCAAATCGACCTATAATACGAATTACCTGGACACACTGGACCAAGATGGCCAAGGAGAACAGGTCTCGGCCAGCGAGAAGGCGCTGCTGGATAATGTGGGGGAGTCGCTTGCCCGTCTGGGTCGGGTCAAGCGGGTTGGCTTGGGAGTGAAAGAGAAGCAGGAGTTTTCCAGGGCGTGGAGTCAGAGTCGTCGGACATGGTGACCTAGATACATAATATTTCTTTCGGTATATTTTAGATATTTAACTTGAAAATATTGTGGGGGCTCAAGCTATTTTCGCTGCAGGTACACAGGTTGCATATGCAGTCCGCAAGGTCGAATTGGTTTGCTAGGCACATAAGTAACGGTTGGGTATAGATCTTGATAAGGATCAATATTTGACTTCGGATTGGTTTGGTCTCTATTCAGATACGAATCATTGCATAGGGTAGTGGAACTTTCAGTAGAGTATAAAAGGGAGTGTGTCTGTCATTGAGCCCGCGATGTCTTAACTATGTCGAGATGGTTGTTGATACTGACTTAAAACCTGTATCTTCAACGTCGTATCGATCATCGTGCTAATTGGACTTGGGAAGGCCTTGATTTTCAATTAGACCAACTCGCGCGGATGGAATTCCTATTGTGTACCCTCCCCTTCTGCAGATGAGCTAATTGAGCTAAATCTCAAAGATCCATGGATCATAATATCACCAGCTATGTAAGTTCATAAGAGCAAACGAAAATGCCGCGACCCTTCAGACTAAACCAACAGCTCATATCTGATATGATATCGACTCCCTTGGTTCTGTTTGGTCTACTTGACGTAGTCTCCTGGTTGATCCCTTGCCGCCCTCCCTCTCTCTCGGTGTCTCCCAGCTCCTTCCTCTCTTCTCTGTAGACAACCGAGGGCACATATTGCCGAGACCATGATTCTACGACTGCTCTTCCTGGCAGTGGGGGCCATATCGGTGGCTCTTACTAGCCCCAATGAGGCATTGAAATCATGTTTCCAGAATACTCTGACAGACCCGGGAAGTTTTGCCTTTGCTGGGGATCTGTTCTACGGCCTCATCGTGAATCGCTACAACCTGAACATTCCCACTACTCCAGCTGCAGTGGCGTTTCCCACGTGAGTATCCTTGGAGCTAATGATTCATTGTATCCCTTGCTTATAGACTACAGCTCTTCTCAGCAGGTGGCCGCTATAGTCAAGTGTGCTGCAGAGCACGGATATCCAGTCCAGGCCAAAAGTGGAGGGCATAGCTATGGCAATTACGGTGGGATTCTGAAACCATGCTGGCTCAGAGGAATTTGATCTTAGGACTAACATGTGATATCTGACAGGTCTTGGGGGAACAGACGGTGCCGTTGCGATTGATTTGAAACATCTCCAACAATTTTCCATGGACAACACAACTTGGCAAGCGACAATTGGGGCAGGAAGTTTACTGAGTGACGTGACACGGCGACTGTACCATGCCGGTGGACGGGCCATGTCTCACGGAGTTTGTCCTCAAGTGGGATCAGGGGGACATTTTACAATTGGTGGTCTTGGACCGACCTCGCGCCAATTTGGTGCCGCACTTGACCATGTTCTGGAAGTTGAAGTGGTTCTTGCCAACTCGAGCATTGTCAGAGCCTCTGATACGGAAAACCAGGACCTCTTTTGGGCTATCAAAGGTGCTGCCTCGGGCTACGGTATCGTCACGGAGTTCAAGGTCCGAACTGAGCCTACGCCTGGTACGGCGGTGCAGTATGCATTTAGCTTGGAGATTGGCAGTCCCAAGGAGCAGACAGTTCTTTTCAAGAGCTGGCAGGCTTTCGTGTCAAACCCGAACCTGACTCGGAAGATGGCATCGACCCTCACTGTGCTTGAGAGGTTTATGGTTATCAGTGGTACTTTCTTCGGCACCAAGGAAGAGTATGATAAGATGAATCTTACCAGCCAGTTCCCCGGTGCAAATGGCGGCGCATTGATTTTTGATGACTGGTTAGGTCTTGTCGCCCACTGGGCGCAAGATCTTGTTTTGAAATTAGGTGCTGGGATCCCAACGAATTTCTACGCAAAGTCTACTTCTTGGACGCCACAGACACTAATGACGCCGGAGACTATTGACAAGATGTTCGACTACATTGGTACCGTCGACAAGGGTAGTTTGGGCTGGTTCCTATTGTTCGATTTTCAGGGAGGTTACACCAGCGATATTCCAACTAACGCTACATCTTACGCCCATCGTGATGTCCTCATATGGCTACAGTCCTATACACTGAATTTCTTCGGACACATCTCCCAGACTCAAATTGACTTCCTCGATGGGCTTAATAAGATTGTCGCTAATGATAACTCTCCCTACACTGCCTACCCAGGTTACGTTGATCCTCTCATGGCCAACGGCCCCGAGGCATACTGGGGTACTAATCTCCCCCGATTGCAGCAGATCAAAGAGGAAGTTGACCCAGACAATGTATTTCGGAATCCACAGAGTCCAACCTCTCCAAATAAGTGAGATTATCTCTCACAGGAAGAGTCGCCGTGGTAAACTACCTGGTCTTCTACGGTCAGAACTACGTTGAGCAATAGATATCGAATCGATGATTTTATGAACTCTTTTAAAAAGATTCTGGTGAAGACAATATCTTGACTTCACATAGATTAAGCTCATTTATTTCTTCTCGCTTTCCTGCTTCGCCGCCCACTCTTCACTCTCACGAGACGTCCATCTCCAACGAAGCCTCCACATCTCTTGATACAGCTTCTCCGAGCACTCCGAGCACATTCCTGCCTTTTCATAAAGCTGCTCTTCGGGAATTCCAATGATGCCAATATTGATGGCTCGTAAAATAAGTCCTGTACATCTCTCTCGTTGGAAAAATGGTACACCGAACTCTTTACAACGTTCAATTCGTCCGAGTTGAATGCAGTTGCACATAGTCCACATGTTATAAGTCTGGAGGCACATTTTGAGAGTAGTTTTCTGTAGCCTAGCTCAATAGAAGGAACACAGACACAGTATAGTATATTTCAGGCTTCTGTTGCTTCAGTTTCGAGGTTCGCTTGCGCTCAAGCGGTCTACATATATGGGAACCAAATGGGGATTATATGTTGTAGAAACAGAAATTCAGATTGGACAATACAAAATATCCTTTGATCTCTAAGTCCTTTTCTTTGTTTCTTTAGTCTGCTGCTTTGAGCTGATCTCTGGTTTTACTGAGACACCAGGCCAACAAAGGCATACACAGAACATTGTCTCAAAGAGGGCAATATCTGATAACACAATAAAACTGCGATGACAATATTATTGCGTAGAATAGGGTACGGAATATTATTGAAAGGTCGAATCAATTTTACATAGTATGACGAATATTAGCGAGTGAACATAACTGTTTGCTGCAAACATCAAAACAGTAAATGGGTATTGGGTATTTCAATAGCATGCTAATTGGCAAAAAGGCTCCATACATTCAGCGATGACACATTCATGATCGTTTGACCAAGGCATCTCTGGCCAATGTATCAATACGACGGGAATACAAGTCCATAAAATGCATAACGGGGTCACCGAAGACCACACCCCGGAGCTCATGGTCTGTAATACCACAAGCATCCACATTTTCCCTCGGTGGCAGCGCAGGAGGGCCACCGGGAATCGGAGGTGCCACAATCACAGGACGACCACTCCATTGCTCTCGCGGGCGAAGAAGAACAAGCCGACCAGCAAGTGAAAGACCCGATGGAGGAGTTCTCCAATAAATAGGAGCGTATTTCTTCTTCCTATCATGCAGGGCTAGTATTGACCCCGGCGGGGGAGAAACATACAGATCCAGCAACGAGAGAAAGTACCCCTTATCAGCACGGGAGACCGGGTCCCCCTCATTGATAAAGGCGAAGAATATAGACTTCGATTTCCGAGTCGTAGGAGTGGGCTGTAACGGACGAAGCGATATGGGCGGAGCACCAAATGTAACACAGTGAATGTGCTTAAAGCAGCCGCGCAGATGAGTGAGTTCTGATTGCACGGCTGGCGACTCAGATAGGAGATGGAGGTATAGCAAACTGGCAACGGCCCCGCCTGCGGAGTGACCAGTGAAGACTAACGAGTAGGACATTCGTGATGGATCTTCTTCGAGAAGATTGCGTAGTCGGGCTGCGACGGGGGCGACCATTTTTCGAGCCACGGATAGGAAACCTGAGTGGCAGCAGTTGGAGGGGTCGTCTAGAAAGCCCGCGGGAGATGTTGGTGCTGTTTTGACGTTCACGGCCCAGTCTAGGAAACTCTGTGTACCGCGTATGGCGAAGACGATCGTGTTCATGTCGTCAAGTGGTAGTGACTTGATTACCATGGCTTTGGTGCCTTGTAGCCAATCTGAGTCCACGTATGAATGCCGTTCACGGCCGGAAGGCTTGTCGTAGACGCGGCGCGAGTACTTGGCTGCCAGTTGGAGGAGGGGATATGTTGGTGGATAGCTGTGAAGTCAGCATGTTAAGATAGTACTTGAGGATGTGAGTGTCTTACAATCTCAGCGGTGTAATATGAGGTGGTAGTCTCGAATTGGCATACAGATACACCTTGGAGAAGTAATCCACGGACGCTGTTGGCTTCTTTCCCGTTGGTTGTAATCGACGATCTTTCTTCTCGTCCGACTGTGGAGGAATTGTGCATGCGGCAACTATTACTGATGAGTATCATTCGACGGTAGAAAGTTGGAACAATGACTTACTCAGTTCATTTTCCCTCCCGCAAAACGAGCCCAGGTCAATCGAGGTGATGACTTGATCAAATAACCGCGATGTAGCCTCATTGACATTCGCACCACCGCCCAAACTCTGACGGACTAAGTTCTCGAGATCAAGAATAGTGGCATTGGTTTTGTCGACTGTCTGCGATACTAAGTTGGTCATTGATTGGTTCAGATTCGTACATGACGTCCATTTTGAAGGTTTCGGTGGTTGATAATTTGGAGGTTGATAGTTCCATTGTGGACTACTTAGAGCAGGCCCTGGGAAATGATGGATTTGCTGTGGCACTGGTTGAGGCTGTAGATGAACCATAGACACCGTCATATTTGGATTATATGCGACTGGAGGTACATGAAATGTGTTGACTGAATACGCCCCCGCCGGCGACGCATACGGAGGAGGGACATATTTGTGCGGTACCGCTACGTTCTCTTGCTGATTCGGACGTGGTGGTTTTGGCGGGGGTTTCGGAGATGACGGTCTCTTTGAGCGACTCGAACGGCCAAAGGCCATGGTGTATATCCCAATTCAGTATGTCGAGTGCGTGAGCCTGGATTTAATATGGATAGTTACGCCATTGAAATTTCAACAGCTGTAGTCCGTGTTTATCGTCCATCTAAGCAAAAAGGAAAAAAAAGGGCAAGGATGCGGGAGTGATGCAGGTTCTTTACCGCTAGACACGCTGATTTGTAGAAAACACTCCTCTCACGCGGGTTTTCCATCAACTTCGGCTCCGCTGGCCGTCCATAGGCTATGACACGAGCACAGCCCCATTCAGGGCGCCTCCACAACAAACACAATTGGTCGCATGTGAAAGAAGCTTGGATTTCAGCTGAGCATATTTGTATTTGACGTCATACGATTTGGAGATGGAGATGAATAGTACAACTAAGCCTCGGTAACTATGAAGAACGAGGTTGGATTAGGAGTAAAAAACATCCTGGAAACATTATTTTCTAGAAAAGAAGGCTAGGCAGCTTTGATACTCATGGCAATGGAAGGAAATATTAAAGCAAGTGACTGCATATCGTTCTAACTCCCGAGGTCTTCCTGTCATATGCGGTGAGCACATGAGTAGAATTATGTAGCTCGGTACCTTTTCTATGGGAGCCACATATAAAAGGCAATTCGGAATAAATGTATATATCTCAACCAACTCATTCAATTATGGGAGGGAAATTGACACGAAGACCTTAGCAGACCTATTTAGCTTTAAAATAGTTGCTTTTATCGTGAAATATTTTTGTACAGTTGGAAAATTAAATAACCTTAAAACCCGTATAAGGATTATATACAACATAGTGCAAAATTCATCCAAGGGCTTTTTCTTCCAGACTACACGTTTATTTTGACTTGATTCCTGTAACTATATAGGTATATTAACCTAACTCTATATCCATTTAATAAATATTATACTGAGGTGGTCGAGATATATACATTTATTCTGGAGTACATGCCAGATGTACGCCGCCTATTGCAGAAAATAGTGCGCCCTCGTTTCTTGCGTTTGAATCATAGTTTCTGACGTGGATTCAGTGCTGCGGCAATGGAAAATCACGCTGAGACACGTGTCACTCACGTCCAAGTTGCTCGGTGGCCCGCGAAGGAAGTACTAGATGCGAGTCAGAAGCATGCAGTGTTAGGCAACAAATTCAAGGCCTAATCCCAGCAGAGTCACTTTGAACAAGGTCTAAGCCTCATATTCATCCTCGCATAATTCTTGACATATAAATACGAAACAGCCGGCCTAAAAGAGAAATTTCTGCCCGTTTTCGCCTTCAGCTTCTTTTCTTCAAACTTCTCTTGAGCCACAGGCTTTCTTGGAGTTTCACTTTCGCAAGGACTTCTAGTCATTGGTGCCATTGATTTGTAGACATGCAATCGCCAAATCGCAAGAGTCTTATCAATCCTATCCCAGCAATCCGACGCCTCACAAGTCGAAATCTGAAGGATTTTGGAACCAATAGGAGTGAATCTAGCTGTCCGGGAGATACAGCATCTGGAGGCAGTCTGCCGGTTTCAGAAGGTAACTCTTTAATTTGATTCAATTGGTTCCCCGGGAGCTGAAATATAGTAGCTTCTTCAAGTTTATCCCGACAAAACTTTTCCAAACAGCGTGTTTCTCCAGGTGATATTCGGCGAAATATTCGATCCAGGCTAGAAAACCTCAAAGGTTCCTTTCATCTCGATGAAGCTAGTCGGAGATTTCATTCTACGAAGACTGCCGGAGCAAACATCAGTCCCTCCAAGCAAAGATCCGAGTCTCTCGATGACTTACTATTGACGGAATATACGACAATCTGTCAATCAGATATACCGAGGATGTTTCTGGATAGCAAAGGCAATGAGAACATGCTACTGGGAGCGCTTGTTTTGTTTGCTGAAAATGGCGTAGTAGAGGCTGGGTCTTGCCAATCTGTTATGAGGAAGAAGTTTGGTGAAGCTGGCGTCATGCTTCTCCGGCACGTTGAATCTGCACTGCAAAGCCAGAGCCGTGTGTCAAGTGAGTGAATATTTAACTTTCTCTTTGGATTGCTGCTAGTTGCTGAGCAGTCTAGGTTGTTCATCCATGACCATCAGGTTGAACAAATCGCACATATCTGTGATACATCATGGTAACGGCGAAGACCCCTCCCAAGCTCTACTCTGGCTCTGTCTGGCCGTGCGGGTTCCTAAAGCCGGCTGGATCTCAACTTCACAGAAAATAACAGAAAGCAGTTATGGATGTCGTAAATTCCTTCTGGGGGAATTGGAGGGAATCGCCTCTTCTGCGGCTGATGCCAGTTGCTGGCATCCCCTTTTCGAGTCGGCTGTTGTTGTTGTGGAGCCATCCGTCAACATCACACCTGGGTCTTTGCTTCAAGTTGATTTCAACACGCTTGTCAAGCTTGCTGCTGTTGAATACGCAGTAAGCGTAGACTCGGGGGTAGTTCTTCTGGGATATTCTACTGCGCTCATACCAGTGAAGACGCTTGACGACGATACCATACTATGGCATTTAGAAGTGTGCCCACATGAGTCCCAGTTCAAGGTAAGCAGGCTTCAAGCGACAAAGACGGAATGGCTGGTATCTGCGGATATCGAGGTTCTTAAGTCCAGAACGGCAAGGGTGGGCTGGTGTTCCAAGTCCAAGGTTCTCCTCGGTACCGCCAGTCTTCTGAAAAATCCTGTAGGCTGGTCAACAAGCACAACACAAAGGAAATCCTGGAGTTGGAAAGGAGTTTCCCTGCAGGCTGTCGCGACTTCTACCGCACCTCTCCAGGTAGGGCTCCAGGGAGGCGCAACTTTTGAACGTATCACCAACACCTTGCGGTTTGATTTAAGTCGCAATTACCTTCAACTCCTACGCTCTAGCTCACGTGAAGCAATTATCGTTTACGACGTTAGCACGAAGCGAGGATGGTTAGTCCCGCTGTTGAATGTTCTTCATCACATGGCTATTACCTATTGCCAGAATGGCATAGCCGATGAGGACAGGGGGCTTCCCATCCCGCTCGCGAAGCCAGAGGCAAATGGGGGGATATCATCTCTCAAAGCCCTTTGGCAAAGCGGAAGCGTGGAGATTGAAACTGGGGGAGACGACACTCTCACGCTTCGTGATTTGCTCATGGGCTTCTCTGCTAATCTGGCAAAGATATCACCGCAAAAGCCTCGTCGCGGAGAGATATTTGGCTATGAGTTCATGGACGTGGCTCAAGGGGCACCAACTGCGAATTTGAAGCGCGGGCATATCAAAAGCGAAGGCCACGGCTGGACATCGCTACTTCAATCTTTGCCATGTCTCTTCTGTTCGAATCTTGGCGACGCAATTGTCGCTAAAATGGCAACAAATCCGAATTCGGAATGTTGCCGATTAATAACCGGGCGTGACTACCTGGCTGCTTCATTACACAGTATCAATGATATCTCCACGCGCAAAGGTCGGGGCAGAATAGATGGGAATATAAGTTTCCCTGGAGACGCTTCCTGGAGGCCCACAACAGTCTTACAGGGCTGCGACCACACTGATGGGGTCGGCAACTGTTGGGTGGAACCAACCTTCCTGCAGCAGATTCGGAAAAAAACAGCCTACTAATAATGCTGATATATCTCCACAGAGGATTCACGAAGACGGGGTTGTTGTCTTCGGTGAAAATCCTATGGGATCATCCCGCCTGCGGAATTGGATAACCCCCGCAGCTGCAGCGCCCACAGCATCGCACGTTGTGGATCGATTAGTATATGCACCGCCAACAGTGGGGTCAGACTCGGAATTTGGAGACGGTATCGTCAATAACCTGAGTTCGGTTCAAGGGTATATGCGCTTCAATGTGTCATTTTTCAGATAATCCGTCGAAAGCTAGGTTACAACCTTATACATGGTTAACGAGTATTCAACACCTCGGAAAGTGCATGGACTGCTTAGATGCGGGTCCCATATAGGAGGAAAATTCAGATTAAATAGGATTTAAATCGCTATATAGAGATCTAAAATAGCTATAAATAGTATGTAGGTTAAGGTAGAGGTAATGATTTGCTTCTGCTTCGCTCAGCAAATTATTATGTATGTACCTGTACGCGTATCCCGGTGGTCGCTTACAGGTAGCTCGTAAGACTAGGGTATTATAAGGCCCTAGAATCTATATCTATATACTAGAACTTTTTTTATAAGTCTTAACTCTTTTCTAACTATCCTTAGCTAGATATTCTAAAATTAGTCCTTTATTATTGTTTGGTCACGACATCGTGACCATCGCCAGTTGGTATGTCTGTAGCAAGGAGCTTCGTATCTAAACGGCAAGCCAAAGAGCAGAAGGGAAATATATCTTGTATTTCCGAGTCTTACCTCCTAGAGGTAGCATGTAAAAGGGTATAAAAAACCAGTCTAGCCATAAAAACATAACATTCAATCCACATAATGACCCATTCAGTCATCGTGTCTCGTGAATAATAAGAATAAAAGAGAAATAAGAGAAAGGGTATGTGAGTCAAGAAAGGTTGAAGAGAAATAAAAGAACATCAGGCAGGGCATGAAAGAGAAAGTCGGGGAAAAATGAACAATAATATACGGGACAGCAACACACATGGAGACCGGCTCTACGGCACTTCCTTGTCACCTCGTTTCAGGCCACCAGGCACATCGATAGCATCACACACCCAATCAATAGCAGCAATCTCATCGAGGGTTTTGCGCTTGGTGTTGCGCTTGAGAAGACCTTCTACACAGTCATGGGCCCCTTCGAGTCCTTTGCCCTTCTCGGGATCCCATTCCTCATCGTCGTCGGCATATCTATACCAAGCCCATTCACAACGCGCGATACGATGCGGCGTTCGGGCACGAAGTTTGGCAGGATCTCCACGAGTGCCAGGCAGAACATCAAAAGGTAACCGATTCTCCATGAGGGCATAGAGTAGAACACCGAGTGCCCACGCGTCAGTGGCACGGCCGTCATAAGCCTGACCCATCAGGATCTCAGGGGCTGCGTAATCCTCACTGCCACATCGGGTCTGCAAAAGTGGGCTCTCAGGAGGCTCAGGGATACGCCGTGACAGGCCGAGATCGCTGAGAGTGACTACAGCGCGGTCGTAGGTACGCCAGTCTTGCACGTCATCCATAACATGAGCGGGCATAGTAAGTAGAACATCTAAGATGGTTAGTATAAGCTGTGCAGTATTTTGGCAAACGCTGGCTCACTTTCTAACTTGATGTCCCGGTGAACGATGTAATGAGCATGCAGATAACGCACAGCATCAACCAATTCGGCAAAAATACGTCGGATCAACTCCGGACACATGCGAGGAGCTCCCGATGTGGCAAACTCGAACAAATCTCCACCGGGACAATAGTCCAAAACTAACAGAGCACGTTTCTCATCACTGCCGAATGCTTTGAGTTGGACGAGGGACGGATGGTTGACCGACTTCAAGATTTCCACTTCGCGCTTTAGCGATACCTCCAGTCGGCCCTCATCCGCGCCTCCAGCGGGTCCATGTTCGATGATCTTGACGGCAACCAGTTTTTGGTTGTTGACAAACCCGTGGAATGCGCCAACTCCATCACCATCCGGCGACAAAGGCATGTCAGGGATAGATTCCACACGCGCCGCCAGACTGACCTGACTGAACGTACCCTGGCCCAGTGTCCGGACTTTCTGGTAAATACGGGCCTGATCTGTGCGGACCGACCGGACAGAATATAGCTCCTGGGGCATGGAGAGGGGAGCAGGGTGGCGGATGACAGCTTCATTGTCACTATATCCACTGCCGCTACTGCGAGGCGGGCTGGGAGGACGAATTGTCGGCAATGTGATACCCCGGTGGACCGCGAGATATTGCTCGCGATGAAGTCCATTGGATTTCGAATCTATGCTCGACGACGAGGCAATTCCAAGCCCGGTATTCCCTGACACTGCGATCGGACGGGGAGGAACAGAGACCCGGCCAGCTGGCGCATAGTCACTCAGACTGCGGTTCCGAGAATGAGAATGAAGATTCTTTGAGGGCGACTCATGACGATGCCGATTGACCACAGATGACTCCTCCCCTTGGCCATCAATTCCGGTGTATGGTTTGGCGCGCGAACGGGACATGACGGGTGGTCCAAGCATTTGCGATGAATCGCTTAGGCGAAGACTAGAACCGCTGCGCGACGCCACAGACGAAGAACGAGATAATGACGGTACATCCGATCTCCGCCACGGCGCAGCACCTCCAATTGGTGATGGTAATGGAGTTATGTCACCCATCGCATTCAATTGAGGCGAGGACATGAAAGATGCCGGAGACAAGGAACCTGCACTGTATATAGGTGGTGCGAAGAGAGCACGAAGACTCGGGGTACGACGTGGATAACTTCCGGACAAACTGGTCGAAGCATAAGGATCGGAGTCTCGCGAGGACGGATTGGGTAGATCGGTGCGAATCTGAAGAGAGGGCAGTGGCGACTCTGGATTAAGTAGTGAGGGTAAGAGCTCGTCTACCGAAAGATTCTCATGACTCTCCTCTTTCTTTGTATGTTCATTGTCGCCTGCAGCTTGAAACATTGTTGACATGGTCGATAGACCAGACTCGTGTATCATTGGAATCGAAAAGGTGTTGGGGGATTGGGGGGGAATGACTCGGCCGCAAACGGAAGTCCGGGAGCGTTAAGTTCTATCCTCCGGGTGTTGGGGGGGGGGGGGGGGGGGTCAAAGACACAAGATATAAAACCACTATAAAATGGCCGAAGATAAGGACATTTGAACCCTCCAACTCAGCCTCCAGACCTAAATGGCCTTAGCGTGGGTAGACCCGTTGAGGGTAACGTCTCTATGAAGATGAAACTGCATGCAAGATGCGTAGATTAGGGAAATGAACAAAAGGGGGAAATGAAGGACTAAGAATGGACAATTAAAAAAGAAGGAAAAACGCCATGGCTGGGTGATGCAGCGAAAGGGAAAAAAAGGAAAAAAACAAAATACCAAAAAGGACCTAAAAAGACCCCAAAAGCCAGGATTAATGAAGGAACACGAGTCAGCTGACGATCCTAATATGGTTAGCTCCCCATGTGTTTTCCCCGTGTTTACTGCCAATTTAATATATAGAGATATCTACGGAGTACGGAGTAACAGAATAGTACTAGTTATATGAGCTTCATGTTATTGTCTATTATAATATTTCAAAAAAAGCCATGTGACTCGATCTTATTGCATATATCTTTTTAAATGTCTTAATACTGTCATCACCCTCAATATGTTTGCTCTGAGTGTGCGAAGTAGTAGTTTGTAGTTCCAAAATGGGAAGGTAGTATGCCTATCATCTGCACTTTTTTTTTTTTTTCACTGGCCTTCAAGTCTAGATTATACCTCATAGTATCCTGTCCGTAGATCATTTGTGCTTTCTACGTAAACTTAATCTTTCCTACATACCTCAACCCTTGCTCGGGAACGATAATTTAGGACTTTACCCTGTAGGGGCCAAACGCGTCTTGTGCGCCACTCGTATAGCTAATTTTAGCTATTACAGTGGCTTTCCCCCGAACCCAAAACCGAAGCATGCGATCCTCCGCCTTGGCATTGCTGACCGTATGACGATAACCCGTTCGTCATCTATACCTTCAAGGCTGCCATTCGAACTTGGCAAATGCGAACTGATAAGGTAACCTCATTCTCCATTCCTGAGAGTTGACGTGGCCCCCATCCCGTTACAACCCATTCTCCGGATAAATCAACCGTCCCGCCCATTCGCTAATTCGCCCTACAGCTCCCCTCCAATAAATTGGACGTATGCACATAGTCCCCCTTGCCATTCGACGCCTCTCCCGCAGCAGCCGCAAGATGACCCAAGCGAATTTATGCAACAAAAATTTTCAGGGTTTGGGGGGTTGGCGACCTTTGCGTCCTTTCTACTATAGAGGCCAAGGTCAATAACTAAAGGATAAAGAGCGACGAGCAACCCACAACAGGCAACCCAAGATTTGGAGACTTCTAAATAAACTCGGCGATCAACGCTGTGTCGTGCACTGCAGCGCAGTTCCCATTTGCTGGCTGAATAAAGTGGTTGGGAAGGGATCGGCAAACTACCCACAGACCCGATAACCGACAACCAGCATCCGACCGTGCTGCAGCTTGATATGGCGAAACCTGTTCTTCAGACCACAAATTATCGAATTTCAGCTGATATCAGAAAGCGCCATTAGGATACTGAGGTATTGGCTTTGGGGGTGTCCTTCTCATTTGCCAGGTGATTACCTATCTGCGAACTCATTATTCATCTGCGCATACCATGCCTCTCGAATCGGATGTATGCATATGGTTGCATCGCAGACTAGCGGATGGACCGAGCTAGAATCCTACTCTACATTTTGAGGAAGAATCTCAAATATCGATCGCAGTCACTCGTATCTCATACATATGTCGGTTGTGAGCCTTTTCTCGCAGCTGATTTCGAGTCGCCCTCCTACAGGTCTTCCAGCACCAAACGAGCTGAACCATGCTCCAGGATGGATTCTGAGGTAGATCCAAATCCTACGACAGCCCCGGCAGCTCCGGCAATGATAACAATATTATTTTCCATCATGCTGCTTATCTCCGAGTTTGGTCTTGGTGTAGTTTCCATCCCGAGGAAGAACAAAGAAATCGTGCTGACCAGTTTGGTATCTAGGTGAACACACGACATTTTTTCCGTATCAACCGAATACAGGTTGACCATTTTCAACTCATTCTAATAAAGCTATTTGCGTCGCATAATTTCTAAGACTATATACTCACATTGAGACTACAAACCACTTCAAACTCGCTCGCATTCCCCCCATGAGGATGGCGAACCTGGGCGTCTAGATCCTCCATCAGATTAAAGTTCTCGGTTCTCCTCGCCACCAACTGGGGACTCTTTGTTGCAAAATCGTAAAGGGCTAACCTTAGGACCTGCACTACCTGTGGTTGGACATAATAAGACTTCTTTGTTACCTTGAATTCAGATTTTAGAAATATCATAAGATAAACACACAGCACTATCGAGGTGTTGCATTTAATCTCCTGTATGGGACGCCGAACTGAACGTCAGACAATTAGAAGCAAAACCAAAAGACTCGGATCTGATAGGTATACTAAAAAATAATCGAGGTATTCTTTCATCTTTCTGACGAAACCCGCTCGACAGGAAGCTGACAGCCCATTTTGAAACACGTTCCCGAGTCTGCCTTTGTCCTCAATAAGTCAGCTATATCGGACCTCATTGTCATTCTATCTACTATGTCGTCTCTTCCGAACTTCGATGACCTTCCTCCTGTCAATGGAATGCCGCAAGGCTGTTCTTGGGGCATCTTCGACAAAGGTGACAAGAAAGATGTCTTGGGAACCCTGAATCTACTCACCCCAGAAGTTGTCAAGGATGCTGTCGCGGAGGTTCGCCATGGCGTGTCTATTTCTCTCAAGTAAAGTGCCCTTCACTATCTCCAAGACATAGTCCCTAATACCACCAGTTGGCCCATCGGAAGCATCAAAATCCCAGGATTCTTTCGAAAAAGCCTCTGTCATAATGTCACAAAGTTGGAAGACCCAGTATCTGGCAGCCACTATGGGTTCGACGATGAGGTATTTTGCAGCGCGCCCTGTCGCCCGCTATCCCAGAGCTGATTAATTCCAGGTCGAGTTCAATACCCAAGCCAGTAGTCAATGGGATAGTTTCGGTTTGTCCAGGAGCTCTAGCTTTCAGAATAAAAGAAAATAACTCCCGTCCCAGCTCATTTCACGCACCTCCCAGCCGGCCTCACCTACAATGGAGTGAAACCAACAATCGAAGCATTCCACACCCCCGAGTCAGCTCAACACCTGCCAACACTAGACCGTAAGAAAGTTCCAACGAATCTGAAACCTAACACTGGAAAAGGCTAATGGAGAAAACCCAGACTGGCACCAACACGGGTGTGTGACAGGCCGAGGCGTAATGCTAGACTTCAAGAGTTACGCGGAGATCCACGGGATAAGCTACAACCAATTCTCCGGTTTCCGAATTGGGATTACCGAGCTGGAAGCAGTGGCGACCTGGCAGGGGTTAACCTTCCGGGCAGGCGATATCCTCCTCATCCGATTCGGCGTAACCGAGACACTGGGTCAAATGACTGGCGCCGAGCAGGGAGCTGCGATGTGCAGTGGCAGGATGTGTGGGCTGGAGGGGAGTAAGGAAATAGTACGATGGCTTTGGGATCGGCATTTCGCTGCTGTTGTGAGTGACAACTCGGCGGTTGAGGCTATGCCGCCTATCGTTAATGGTGTGGAACAACCTACCCATGAGCTTGTGTTGCATCAGTGGTGTCTTAGTTTGTTGGGTATTCCGCTTGGTGAGCTTTGGGATTTGAAGGAGCTGGCGGAGGCTTGTAGGGCTAGTAAGCAGTACTCTTTCTTGCTTACTTCGTCACCGCTGAATTTTCCTGGTGCTATTGCGAGCCCGCCTAATGCATTGGCCATTCTGTGAAGAGATGGACATGTTTGATGATGTACTACCTGTTTCAATGGGTGTTTGTTTGTGGGGTTTAATGCGAATTACCTTTCCGGTGACCTTTATTTGTAGAGATTTGAAACAGCGATATAAATTCATATGTAGAATGTGCATACATACAATGTAGCCCTTCATATAGTCCGATGGGTAAAGGTTCGAGTACCCACCTCGGGCTCCACATATGTACTTGATTTCCTCAGCGCTTATTGCTTTCAGGAACTAGTAAGAAGGAGCGGTTCTTTATAGGGATACCGGTGCTTCTTCTAGCTCACTGTAGGAAGTGAGGCCTGAGCAAGATATACTACCAGATGAGATTCTGGAAGGATCGTATAGTTTCTATTGGATAGTACTAGATAGCGAATATATCTCAAGTAATTATATAAGCCAATATTGGTTAACTAGGTAACTAATTAGTTAACCTCTTTGTGGGATTACCAAGCCATACCTTTAGTAATCCTCCTTGTCGACCTCGGGAGTCCACTTATAGGTCCTGCCAGCAGTGCGGACCAAGATAATAAGATATTGAAGGACAGCGTATCAAGGTGTAGACTACCCGCTAGATCGACTGTTATTCAGTTGCGTGCTGTTCGGCGTCGACTTGTTCATCCCGTTTATTGAGTATCCTTTTGGTGACAGATAACCTTCCACTTTTATCGTTTCTGCCTGTTGCGCTTCTAGGAGAGTAGTCGTCCTCTAAATAGTTAAAGATAATCTTCAGCCGTAACTCTTTACCGCTGGCGTGAAATTTCCCCTAAACGAGTATTTGTTTTTCCACAGCGGACCAGTCAATATTGAGGCCATTAAACCGCTTTTTCAGGTCCCGTTGCTTACGATCGTTGATCGAGACAACAATAGATATATCGTCCGACCTAACCCTTCGTTTGCGTGCAACTTTTCCCTCGATTACCTTATACAACTTGTCCCTGAGAACCAAGGGCCAATCAGCGCTTAGAGTCAGCGCTACGTCCTACTCCGTGTCCTCTGATATCGATTATTTACTTTGACTTTCCACTCGATAGTATACCGAATAAAACTGGCGGGAAGCTCGTCGTCTGGCCTATTTGCTTCCCACTCGGAGCTTCCCACTCGGAGAGCTAAAGCAGCTTATTGGTTTCTGGTAGGGTTGAGAGTAAGGGCTGGGCACCGTCCTGGGGGTAACGGTTCGGTAGAGGGCTGAATCCATATTCTGAGGGTGGCGTGTGTACGTAATATCCTGGGGTTAGAGCGTATTGCGAATCCTGGTCTGAGGGATCGAGGTCCTAGGATTCATCACCGTTGGAAAAGAAGTGATTAATCATCGTCCTCAATTTCCTAGTAATCCGAACTTCAGCATATTTTGGTCATCCATAGTTCAACAGAGGGGGACCAAAAGAATGCAGCAAGTGGTAGGGCGTCACGCAAAATAAAGTTTGACAGAATTGAAGAGTGATTTCGAGCGCGTCTGTATTAATTTTGTTCATATTGCTTATTTCGCAATCTCCCATTCATATATATTCATTTACGCTTCAAGTTGAACAAAATAATAAACAATCACTCCGTCATCCATATTAGAACCCGTGTCTATCATAAATTCAGGAAATATAATCTCCTTCATGGCTCTTTGCTACCCCCACCTCCCTTTCAGTTTCAGCCCACAGTCGACAAAAGTTGAGTCAAATGGCTTCCCAGAAACACTCCTTCCACTTTTTAAATATCATGCATGTTTACAAATGGTAATCGGTCACTACTCCGTGGGCAATTGGCTCTGAGAAACCACCCACTCCATAGCAGAGAGCATTTGGTGTACCTCCAAACCGGAGCGGGGGATGTCGTGCCCCCCCGAGTGCTCAAAAACCCTTTTTTTCTTACTTTGGAAGAATGACTGAGCGATCGAACTAGATTCCCGTAGACCAGATTCTTCTTTGCCGATCACGTGTAGCGACGGAATCGGGATGCGTGTGGAACATATGTCTGGATGCAATGCCCAGGGGATCTCAGACAACTCACGATCCAAGAAGAAGGAACGCGGCTGACGAGTAATAGTCTCTGTAAAATCGAGGATTTTGACTAGAGATCCGATAACAATTTGGACCGGGCCAGTAAGTTGAGCGATTTGATCGTCCTCGGCAGAGCGAATTCTGGCTTCATCCTCATGATCAAGAGACTCTACCAGGGAGTGAAAATAGGTTGAATTTGCCGCCAGAGGTAATGTGGACGAGCAGAGGATGGCGAACTGGAATGGAAGGGGTTTGTTGCAGTCTTCAGCCACCCGTTCGAGCAAATAAGACACTAAGATTGCTGTACCCTGACTGAAACAAAAGACTCCGTCAAATGGACCTTCCTCTTCTATAAACTCATCAATCAAGGCATGGGCAGTAGCCTCACTTTTCCAATTGAATGTTCTCGTGTAGCAGAGGTATGGCCCGGAAAATGTGTTTTCGATACCTTTGGATAATTGTCACTAATGGTCCGGACATATGACGCTGGTAAGACTGCATAAGAACTAACCTGCGGCGGGTGGGCATTCAACTTCCCCTTCAAGGTAGTAAAATTCCCAGCTTGGATCAGCCTTTTGTCTGAGTCCACTCATCTGATACTCCAGAATACTTGAATTCGTTCCATGGCCGTGCAAGCAAAGGATTTTCATACTGCAAGCAGATCTCGTCAATGGTGCAGGGTGTAGAATGATTTGGAAATGTGTAATGAAACTTTTGTCACAGAAACAGGACGCAAGAGAATAAATATTAATCTTAAAAGATTATGCGTTGACTAATACAATGTGCAATAGAAGGTGAAGGTCAACATAGAATTTGGACGTGGGAATGTCAAACCCAAGGATAAAAGAATTTTCACCTGCAACTCTTGATGATCTATCACGAAAACCTTGAAATGATGTAAAATCAATGTGAGATCCTATGTATGGTAGGTAGGACCATAAGGCGCTATGCACATATCTTGGTAGGTGTAGATACGCTACGCGCGGCAAGATTCGAATTTATTTGCCTAGGTAAGTTACACAATTGTGAATACTTTGGGATATCCATGATGGGTGACCCTGGAACATCACTGATTGGGTATGAAATATATTCCGGTCCACTCTGTAGATAACGTGCGAGAAAGTGGATCTAGTCTGCATGTTCAAGCTGATATACTAGCTTACATGCATGGATCTTACCCTGACGAAGTAGCTGCAGCCCATTAGGTATACCGATCAATCCATCAGGTTTAACATCATAGGGGTGTGGATGAATGTGGCGGGATTGCAGCAATTGCTCAACAGTTTGGACCCACTCTACCCCAAACTCCAAATTTTTCGAGTTTCCAGCGATTTTTCTTCCTCCTAACCAATAGTCCTCTCCAATAATATCATAGGCCATCGACACATGCGTATCCACATCGGGACGAGGGCATCGGATATCATGCAGTGCATTGTATACGCCACCAGCAGAGGAAATTGCTGCAGCACAGATTGAAGCGGACTCAGTCGTCGATATTGTATCGAATACTATTTCCAGGCTATCATCGGTCTCTTGGCGAATGATATCACCAATATGAGTATCGTGATAGTCAAACACCACATCTGCACCCCACTCGTACATAAACGTGCGATTGATTTCTGAGCATGTAGTAATCACATGCATGCCAGAAAGCTTTGCGAATTTAATCGCCAGCGATCCAGTAGCTGTCGCGCCACCGTATATTAAGATACTGCCTGCTTGATGGTCCGTGCTCTCCTTGTTGTCGTGGGCATCGTGTTCTCCCGGAATCTGGAGGTCCAAGGACTGATAGAGGTTTTGTCCAACCGTAATGATTCCTACACCGAGGGTTGACGCTGCTTCAAAGCTCATAAAGTCGGGAATACGCATTTGTAGGTCTCCCTTCGCGATCACATACTCTGCAAAGGCTCCACCTTGAGGGTTCAATGTATCACAACCATGAACAAAACCAGCTATCCGGTCTCCCTTCCGCCACGACTTTTTGACCGCAGGTCCAATAGCCACCACAACTCCGGCATAATCACATCCCATGACGGTCCCAGTGCATGCCTCGAGATCCAGATGTTTCCAGTCGGTGGGATTCAGAGATACTGGAATATATATATTAATAAATGTATCCTACTATCAGTATATAACACTGACCAGCTTTAGTCTTGACCAAAACATAATCATCAGGTAGTGCGGGCATGGGAGATTCCGTAACAGCGGCTTGGCCCTGACTTTGAACAATAATGGTGTTATGGGTAGCCATCTTGAGAATTTTTCTGTTGTATTTGGTTCAAAGGCCCTGTTAGATGTAGAGATGACCGCTCTTAAATGCCATGTTTTCCTGCACGAGCATTTGTTTCAACGCCCTTGCTGCGGCATAAGAATAGGGAACTGTGAGATTGTAACTATGACGCATACTAATCTGTTTTTATTGACTATTTGGAATAACAAAGATCGTGAGATTGCACAGACATGTTTGGATGGCATACCGGAGACCGCAGAATGGAGCTCCGAGTCCCATGATCAGCATGATCATCTCTTTCCTGCTACCCAACTGGATTCCCTTGCAGATTGAATGTAGAAAGCTTGGTAAAATCTATTTCTCGTCTCTTATTTCCTTGTAAGAGATGCTACACAGCCGCGAGCGATGTCGACATCGACCAGAAAATCCAGAATATTGATTGCGTATAGTCCAAGATTCATATTGTGGCGGCAAAGGGGGAGGATGATTGTTCATTAAATGGTCAGCTTGATCTGTCTTGAAAGTACAAATCGAAAGATTCAGAATTCTTCATTATTGATAGTTTACCACTTGACAACGCACTTCCGACTAGAACGATATAATGATCGCAAAAGAGCTCCCAAACGAGGAAAGCCCAGCTCCCGAGCCCATCGCGGTGATTGGGTTGGGCTGCCGCTTCTCAGGAGAGGCATCGTCTACCGAGGGGTTTTGGGAAATGATTCGATCCGGCAGAACAGGTCATGGAAAAGTGCCTGTCAGTCGATATGATTCCTCTGCTTGGTATCATCCAAGCCATGACCGCAAGGGAGCAGTGAGTAACTATCTTCAGCTATCATGAGAGAGTGTGTGTGTTAGCTGATCATTCAAAGATTAATCATGATAGTGGATTTTTCCTGAGAGAAGATCCGTCGCTTTTTGACGCACCGTTCTTTTCGATAACTGCTAAAGAAGCAGCTGGTATGGATCCAGCACAGCGCCTTGTTCTTGAGGTGGCCTATGAAGCCTTTGAGAATGGTAGGTTGCCAACTTATATGAACAGTTTGACAAAACTCAGTTATCGCTAATACAAAATCTGAAGGTGGCGTGCCAATGGAGTTTCTATCCGGAACCAAGACTGCGGTGTATTCTGGTTGCATGACCAATGATTATGAGCTGTTGTCGACGCGTGATCTTCATGACATGCCGCACAATTCGGCTACCGGAAACGGTAGGACAATGCTTGCCAACCGCATTTCTTGGTTCTTCGATCTTAGAGGCCCGAGTGTGATGATGGATACTGCCTGCTCCTCAAGTCTAACGGCCCTACACTTGGCAACACAAGCCCTACGTAACAGAGAGTGCGAGATGGTACGTCTGATTCTAAATATTTCCAATTCTTTGTAGCCTAACGAAATATGTCGCTATAGGCTCTTGTGACTGGTGCAAGTCTAATCCTGGACCCAAACTTCACACAGCGACTTTCGTACATGCATATGTTGAGTGCGGACGGTATCAGTCACTCTTTCGACGCCAAGGCAAATGGGTACGGACGAGGAGAGGGTCTTGGCGCTGTCTTGCTCAAGCCTTTATCCGTAGCTGTGGCCGATGGGGACGCTATTCGTGCGGTCCTTCGCGCGACTGGCGTGAATCAAGACGGAAGAACTCCAGGGATTACTATGCCTAGTGCAGACGCACAGGCCGATCTTATCAATACTACTTACGGACCAGGACTGCCATCAATGAGAGAGACCGCATATTGCGAGGCCCATGGAACCGGCACAGAGATTGGCGTAAGTTAGTCCTTCTAACAAGAGATTCACCCGTTGTATATCTTCTATACTGACTGAGTCAAAGGACCCCACTGAACTTTCAGCAATCGGAAAGACTTTAGGAGCCGCCCGTCAACCTAGTGATGACCCGATTTATATTGGATCTGTTAAAACAAATATCGGTCATACAGAGGGAGCGGCTGGTGTTGCCAGCTTGATCAAAACCGTACTCTGTTTTGAGAACGCAATGTTCGTCCAAAACGCGGGTTTCTCGCAGCTGAATCCGAAAATTCGCCTAGAGGAATGGCATATGCGACTCAGTAACGACACTGTCCCCTGGCCATCCCATCTTCCCCAGCGTACGAGCATCAATTCATTCGGATTCGGTGGCTCAAATGCGCATGCTATCCTGGAAAGTCATTCTGAATACTTCGGACCTTCGCCCAGATCGACTGATACATCTGACAGTCAACCCCCAGTGGTTGTAGTGTTTTCTACGCATGATAAAGCCGGCATAAGTAGGACTTCAGCAAAGTGGAGATCTTTTATCGAAAAGAAAGTCCAGCAAGGCCAGAACTTATCACTGAGAGATATTGCCCATACAATGTACACTCGGCGGTCACAGCTGCCCTTCCGTAGCTTTGCAGTGGCTGACTCCCTTGAAGACTTGCAGGTCGTTCTGGGCCAAGAACTTTCCAGCTTTCCGCGCGCTAAGCGTACTAACACTAGTCAGAGCAACCTGGCTTTTGTTTTCACGGGCCAAGGTGCCCAGTGGGCCGGGATGGGGGAAGGTCTCCTACATATTCCTAGCTTCGCAGAGAGCATAGCGCGGAGTCAAGAGGTTCTCTCGACGCTGGGTTGCCCGTGGAGGATCGAAGATGAAATCCGAGCAGATTCATCAAGCTCCCGCATTAACCAGCCGGATAGGAGTCAAGTAATCTGTTGTGCTTTACAAATCGCTTTGGTCGAACTTCTGGCAAGTTGGGGCGTCCACCCAAAAGCCACGGTAGGCCATTCAAGTGGCGAAATTGGTATGTTGCATGATTCTATCAAAGCTGGTCAATAATGCAAAATTTGACAAGGACAATCATAATAATTAGGCGCGGCATATGCGGCCGGATTTCTGAACCATCAGGACGCTATTAGTATTGCCTACTACCGTGGCATTCTGTCCATCCAGCTTTCCCAGTGTGGACGGCAAGGGAGAATGATGGCCGTTGGGCTTTCTGTCACAGAGGTTCAGAGCTACATTAAACAGCTTCCAGATCAATCGGTTGTCGTGGCATGTGATAATAGCCCTTCAAGCACAACTGTGTCAGGCGATAAGCAGCAGATTGACATTTTGGAGCAAATCCTGCGCGAGAATAAACATTTTGCGCGCAAACTACGAGTCGAAACTGCGTATCACTCACCACACATGTTGGATATAGCCGCAGAGTATGAGCAATCAATCCAATCAATTCAACCAGAAGACCGCCACGAGAATAGGGTCGCAATGTTTTCTTCCGTCACGAAGGAGCGCATCTACTCGAAAGACATGATTGCATCCTACTGGGTACAAAATATGGTTAGTCGGGTTGAATTCACCGCTGCAGTGACCCAAGTCCTCCAATATGCACAACCCGGTAAAGGGCGCCGGCGAGCAGTGCCAGTGAAGTGGAGTGGGTTCCTTGAGATAGGCCCCCATGAGTCATTGAAAGGACCCTTCCAGCAGACCCTGCAGTCTGTAAGCCCAAGCCTTTCCAGTCTGCCGTATACAGCTCTTATTTTACGAAACAAAGATGCACACCGGACATCACTGGAGGCTGCAGGAACTCTTTGGGCTATTGGTAGTCCAATCAACTTGACAGCGGTCAACCAAACACATCATACCAAAATGCCGCTGAAGGTGGTGTCCGACCTGCCCAGCTATGCATGGAATCACCAGTCTTCCTTCTGGCATGAGTCGGTATCGTCTGTTGGAGTTCGTCGTCGCGAACAGCCACGCCACGACATTTTGGGGGTGCCAATTTCATATAACAACAGTCTTGAGCCACGTTGGCGAAATTTCCTGCGGGTGTCGGAGATACCGTGGCTAAACCACCATATTGTGGCTGGTTCTATCATCTTTCCGGCAGCTGGTATGGTCACCATAGTGGCGGAAGCTGCAAAGCAAATTGCAGACTCGAAACAGTCACTTGCAGGTATCGAGTTCCACGAGCTTAAGTTCGTCAGAGGCATGGTCATCCCGCCCGATGAGCGAGGCCTGGAAACTCTGCTGAGTATCAAACAACACTCGGCTGTGCCAGGATGGTATGAATTCGGGCTTTTCTCCTTGGCTGACGGAAGTTCCTGGATCCAGCATGCGAAAGGTGAATTTTCTATGCACTATGAAGATGGAAACGGACATGTTGATGGGGGAGACTGGGATGCGACAGTCAGAGCTGTTCATTACACTCAAGCCATTGCCGTCAAGGCGGATGTCGAAGCACTATATGAGTGGCTCGGAAGAACGGGAGGTGTTACCTTAGGGCCATCTTTTCGGTCTATTAAAGAGGCATTCTTTTGCCCAAACAAGGGTGACCTCTGGATCTCGGGTCTGGTTCAAGACACCGAAAGTACAATGCCGCATGAGCGAGAATCACCATATTTCATGCACCCGACAGCTTTAGATGCGCTCTTCCAGGCAGCTGTGTTGTCTCGATCCGATGCATTGTCAAATCAGAATGCCAATATTCCTGTGGCAGTGGAACGGCTCTACCTCCCGATCGGTTTTGGCCTCAAAGCGGGAGACCGGTTTTCCGTGCACACAACAACATATGACCACGGGGACAGTCTATACTCAAATTGTATTGCGTCTGATGCGGAATGGTCCAAGCCTCAAGTTATGCTACAGGGTGTACGTCTTGGTCGTGTCCCCGTTCAAAACGAGACCCTGAGCAAGAAGGAACGCCTAAATCGCTATTCTGCTTTGACCTGGCAAGAGCACGTGAATTCATTTCATGAATTCGGAGCGAGAACTGATCGTAAAAGCACGTTCCAGGAATGGATCGACCGTATAACCTACACCCATGGCGATACTCAAGCTCTCTTTGTGATCAAACAAGGGACAGCAGACGATATGGTCAAAAGGGTACAATGCCTCGCGCCCCATGTCGGTCCCAGGCCTCATATTGGACACCTCACGGTAGCTATTTCTGGATCGAATCCAAGTGAGCGGGTGGATATATCTTCCCTGCAGACATCAATTTCAGAGGTCAACTTTGTCTGGCTCGATGCACCTGATGCAATCGATCCATCTGTTCTTGGTGATAATGTCTTTGACTTGGTGGTTCTAGATGACCCCGATATGTTCAATATTGACAGTAATGGAGCGTCCTCAATTCTGGGTTCAGCGGCGAAGCCGGAGGCATGGCTGATTATCCGAGACTCGAATTCTTCGATGAAGAAAGGCATCGATATGGTCGAATCAAGCGGATGGATAACCAGAAGTCCGAATCCTGATGCTGGCTTTGTTGTTCTTCATCGGGAGTTAACACCGAGGAGCATGGATTCTACGATCTATGTTCTTGCAGTCAATCAAAGCAACATCCCTGATCATTTACTCAGGTGTTTGGTTCATACATTTGCCGCAGAGGGCTCTCAAATACAGCTAGTTGGCGTGAGTGACATACCAACCCTAGTGGGCAAAGCCGTGATCTCCCTGCTGGAAATTCAGAGTCCATGGATATCACGATGGACGGAAGATGATTTCGTCAAATTCAAAGCCTTGCTGCGCGCAAAATACATTTTGTGGGTATCCCCAATCGCCGAGAATGGCACAGCAGATCACGCAGAGTTTGGGGCCAGCACAGGACTTTTCCGGTCACTGCGTAATGAGCAACGTGATACAATCCTGGCTCAGGCGCAATTTGACGTTACCGGGGGGATGAATTACACAGAGCTGGCCTACAGCTTACTACAAATCATGTGGCTCACTTTCCTTTCGAACAAAAGTGGCAGTACAGACTTCGAATTCCGTGTGCGCGAAGGTCGAATTTTAGTGCCACGAGTCATTGCTAACGAGCCTGTTGGTGACGCCATTTACAGTATGGCTCATGGGCCAGAACCCAAGCAAGCCAATCTGATGGACGGCACGCGACCATTGTGGCTACGAAATTCTCAGCTAGATGCTGAAAACCACTATTGGGAGATTAACACAGACCTGGAAGACGCCTTGGCGGCTGATCAGATTGAAATTCAACTACAGCTACAGACAGTCCCTGTACAAAGTCAAAATGACGACCAGCCCCCCGAGACGCGGGTGCATGCGATTGAGGCTGTCGGGGTGATCCGCCAGGTAGGATCTGAAGTGGGAGACGGGTTTTTGCCGGGCGATTTTGTGGCATTACTGTACGCGGGAGAAAAAATCAGAATCGCCAATCGGGTACGGGTTCCCCTTGGTGCAGTCACAAAGCTCCAGCCAGATGCCGATTTAATTCAGGCTGTCTCTATGCCGGTCGCATATACACTTGCCTACATGAGCCTATTTGACACGGTCCGCAAGAGTCAAACTTCATCTGTTCTCGTTGTGGGGTCTATGAATCAAACTCTCCGAGCAATTGTAGATTGTGGCCTGGCATCGGGACTCGATGTCTACGTGGCTTTGGACACCATCGATTCAGTCAATCAAATTCAAAAGCAATATTCTTCTATTTCGGAAAAAGCTTTCCTTCTTCGGAGCGGATTGCCCTCACAAATATATCGTCTCACGGGAGGCAAGGGCGTGGAGGTCACCATATCTTCCCTAGGCGGATCAGCAGCTCGAATTGCCGCCCAGTGCCTCGCAACTGGGGGCTCTTATGTCAACTTGAGTGGCGGCATCAATATGAGTTCTCTTCCGACCAGTTTCACTTCTCGTGGATGTTCCTTTTCATCTTTACAACTGCGAGGAAAAGCTGATTTCCAGACAGAAAAAGTCTTGGAATCCTTCCGCCAAGTGTTCAAATTACTCAGTGCTCAGCATATCGTTCAACCATATCCCAACTTTGCTGTCTCTGAGATTTCAGGTGCTTTCAATCACTCTCGAAATTTCAGGACTCGGGTTATTGTCAATCTCGACGCACCGGGCATGGTGCCAATCCTTCCGGCCCCCGTCCAGCCAATTGATCTACCAAAAGAGAATACTTATGTCTTAGCAGGTGGACTAGGGACAATTGGGATGGCACTCTCAGAGGTACTAGTGTCTCGTGGTGCAAAGAATTTAGTCTTCCTCAGTCGCTCCGGCACACCCAATAATGCGCAACAAATTATCCTTCAGCGCTTCAACGATGCCGGCTGTTACACGCACGTCAGATGTTGCGATATTACTGAGGTAGAAGACGTGCAGTCCCTGCTCTCAGAGGCGAAAATCGAAGGGTGGAAGATTAAAGGCATCATTCAGTGCGCTACGGTCCTCAAGGTAACGACTTTCTATCATTTTAAATATCTCATATTTCGCAAGCAAATACTGACATATCCCAGGATGCTATGTTTGAGAAGATGAAATTTGAAGAATGGAAACTCTCCACAAATTCCAAAATCCGTGGCACATTAAATTTGCATCATCTCTTCCCGTCCAATCTAGATTTCTTTATCACTTTGTCCTCTGTTGCTAGTCTCATTGGCAATATTGGCCAATCCAACTACGCTGCAGGGAATGCTTTCATGGATGATTTGATGTCCTGGCGACGAAGCCATAATCTATGCGGCCAAAGTATCAATATAGGTCTTGTTCCCGATGCGAGCGGTACTGGAGATGTTGCAGAATCATCAGAGCAGCGCCAGGAGCGATACAGCCATTTGGAGGGTACGGAAATCACTATTGAAGATCTGAAGACTCTTCTTCATGTGATCCTCCAGGATGGAAGTTCTATCCCTCCGCAATTGGTGGCCGGCATGAAGGACAATTTGCCTCGGAAGAATGCTGCCTTGTGGCAGCTCGATCGCAAGTTTGATCATCGCATTCGGCCCACTGGGGAGGACTCTGGATCCAGTCCGGCACAGACCGTCTCATTGCTCAAAAATGCCACTACAATAGAAGATGCCACAGCAATTATTACCCAGGCACTACAGGCGTATCTTGGAAAGTCCATGGCCGCAGAGGCAGAATCAATCGACACGGAATTGCCGTTGTCGGCTCTTGGTGGTAAGTTTCGATATTTTTATCTGTCCCCCAGTAAGTGAAATTGCTAAAATTTGGTAGTGGACTCACTCCGAGCTGTGGAGGTACAGAACTGGGTGTCAATTGAGGCAGGAGCAGAGCTGTCTTCATTTGAATTTTTGGGATCACAGCCTTTACGAATATTGGCAGAAAAGATTGCGGCACAAAGTTCATTCGTGGTTGCCACATGAATCTCCATATTGCTTCATTTCAATTTAGTCATCACAAGGATTGATTCCAATGTCCTGGAACTATAGGTCCAAAAGATTAAAGGTGACGGCACACCGAAGCATGCCATATTAAATCCCAAAGTGCTATTTCACCATTCCTTCCAAGATGATCGTACAGAGCCGGCGCAGATATAGTAAGCAGAATCTGAAGATGCTTAGCAAGAATTGATTCAAGGCATATGCCTACGGCACGTGCTTTCTGTAAGATTCTATGATATTCTGCTGCATGACCTAGGTACATGGCTCGGCTTCTTGTTCTGTGGGCCCCGAGTATATGTACACAGGTGTAACATCATAGTATGTTAATTTCGGTATGTTTATATCCACATTCAAACAAGCATGATGTCAAACTCAGCTTCCTTTGCAATATCTTGCCACTGTATATCGACGTCCGGTCCAGCCGCTGCCCGCCTATTCCATACAGCTTGGACGATTTCACATAATACATTGATACTCTGGATCCCATGTCGACTTTTGCGGTCAAAGAATGCCAACATTCGATCTTGCAGATCAGGCCGCTCGCAGTCAGCCGCAATCACAAAGCCTGCCCAGTTGTACGAACAGCCGCCCTTGTCACGCGTAAGTGCATCGACAAATTCAAGATCGTGTATTGCTTTCTCAATCAGGTCCTGCACGTCGCATAACGGTGCGCCACGCAAACTGCGACGGAAATATACAATCGTCGCGTAGTAGAATGAGTTTAGAGCATGTTGGACGATGATCGAACCCGGGGCGTCTGGGTTAGACAATGATGGAAAGTTCAAGTAGAGCTGAAGTTCGAACCGGTCCAGTTCTTCGGTGGACAGCTGTGTCCGTGACTCAACAATTGTAGTAATTCGAGCGAGGCATTTGACCAGTGGTGTTGTGACTCCATGCGATTGTTCTAGGTGGTGATGAAATCCGGAAGGGCCATTGAGGAGTGCCATGAGCCGTTCGGGTACAGGAAAGCTAGATAGTGACGAAAGGGACAAGTAACTTTGGAGCAATCTAGCAGCAGTCGGAGTTCGGATCCAGTCGCCATGGACCTCGTTCTCAAGCAGACCAAGACATCCAGCAACATGTGCTCTCCACTGGCTACGGCGACCAGACATAGCTTCAGCCGTGATACAAGTGAGGACAGCAGCTAATGTGGCCTCATTTAGGCAGCGAGCCCGCTCCAGGCTTCCTCGCAAATGACGCAGAGCCAGCTGGTCATGGTGGACGGCGGTGGAGTGGTACCGGGAATCATGGCGGAGATGAGAGAGACTGAAGGCTGAGGAGGCACAAATCGCGTGGAAGATTGAGAGATGGATGTTTGGCTCTGTTGGGGAGACATCGAGGCCTTTCAGAGCCAGAGGCATGAACACGGTTCGGCAGGGATTGTCCGGAGTGTCGAGTAGGAGCATGTTTCCGCTGAGAAAAACAACCCAGTGATGGACTAGCTCTGTCTCTGGTCTTGGGAGGGTCAATGGACTCATGGCACCCCAGAGAGAGATCTCAGGCCCATCACTGTGAATATCTAATATTGGTCTGCCATAATCACTCGGTTCTGACAGCCCATTTTTAGGGTTTCTGTGATTAACGACAGGGGCGATTGCGTTGATAGAGCTGTCATCAACCCGATAATAAGGATTTGTTGATGCCGTGCCTGATTCCTCACGGAATTCAGACGTGCACAGTGCGGTAGCAGATGGTAATCCATATAATCCATCCCATGATGGTCTTGGTGAAGCTAACTCGCCATCTCCGCCGCCAACTGGTGAGCTAATCAAGTCCAACGAGGTACGCTGTGTATCCTCCGCATGTTGAATTGGAAGTTCATCTCCCAAGTTAGGTAGATCAACATGACCTGCATCTTGAGTGTTGGGGCTTGACAAAACAGAGAACACCGAGAATGGTCCTCGTGTTTGGGAACAGTCATCCCCCGAATACTCATCCAACTCAATCAGCAGTGCTGTCACAGCGGCAGATGACAGGTCTGTATCTAAATCTGCTTCTCGGGGCCGCAATTGGCGCCGATGACAGCGGCTGCCGGGGATCCGAGACCATTCTAGGCGCAATCCATACCCCTTGCACACCCAACCGTGCCGCTGGCACCGCCCGCAGTGGGGGCGTTCTTCGTCGCACTTCACTCGACGCTCTCGGCAAGTCCAACACCCAGTGAAAGTCTTGGAGCGTGGTTTTGAGACTTTCGCTTTGCTTGAAGATATATCTGGCATTGCCAAGGATCTGGAGAAAGGTGAAAGTTCTGGTCCGGGCGACCCAAATTATATTTCCCATTTACCCGCGCCGGTTCCTGATCAACGCCACATGAGCGCAGAAGTTGGCCGACAATCATTTTGGAAATATCCTAGGTACCAAAGACAATCTAGTGTCCTTGTGCCACTCAATACACCTGCCTTAGGGTGTATTTAGTGTATTTGTAAGAAAAGGGTTGTATTTTCATCAAAGTTTAATACCTGTTTATTTATGTATTATATTTACTCCACAGGAATGCTATATATTCATTCGTGAGCTGACCTTTCTTGGAAGATTTATATGTATTATAATTTCACAAGCTTAAATTGACCGACAAGCTTGATCCGAAGGATATTAACATGGTTCAAACGAGTACCGTTGTGCTTCCTGGTTATATATTAGTCAAGAGTATGATCTTTTGCCTGCAAATTTAGTCACCCCATGATGAAAGGATCGAGTGTATAAAAACAAGCCGCTCTTTCGTTTCAATTCCCTTTCATTTTGCTTTGCAGCACATGCGGAGTATCTGGTTGGAATAGTGCCATCTTCATTCAAGTCTGGTGTTGGCATCGCATTTTGATGACAGACCCTAGAATGACATAAATTTTGAAAAGAAAGATGATGGGTCGTTATTCCGAGGACACCCTCACAGCTCTTTTGCAGCATTGGGACCAATCTAAGCCCAGCAAATGTTGTTCCATTTCGCAGATAGGGTGTGAATAGGAAGGCGAACTTCACTTATCAGACTAGATCGGGATGTTTGGAAAATTGTCTATTGGAAGTCACTAGCAGCATTAAAATACGTAACTGACAGACACTTGCAAGCGCCATAGCCAATAAATCGCAGGTATGCAAGAGACTTTTCTATGTACACAGAAGAAATACAAAGTACAAACCCAGTTGCACATCCCGTTCCCAACCCACGCATAAATGCGAAACATGATGCTTGAAGCGCCGGAGTGAAGAGACCCACAGGGGGGAATAAAAAAATAGTTGTAATACATCGCAGATGGAAAGACAAAGCGAGACGGCTAATCATCAACCGCCAATGTCGTTGAAGGGTGGCGTGGAAGGTATGGAGAGTCGGATAACCGAGGAGCGGAGGAGGATAAAACTGGCCATGCTAGCAATCTAGAAGAAGGCCTTTCGCGTCACCTGTAGAGTCACAGTTAGCAAAAGTCACACAGCACATCATAACAATATACATACAGCCCAGGCGCCAGCAATGGAAGCAACAATGCCGCCAGAGATCATCATGGGTTTAAGTCCACGTGTGCTCTTGAAGATCATGCCGCTCAATGCGCCGGCCACAATGCTGTTAGACGCATCGTGCTTGCCTCGCACAACTCCAAGGCCTGAGTTAATTCCATTGTAAACCATAGCCACAACACCGGCCGAGTTTCCGAGGAACGGGCCGCGACGGGTAACGGAGTTGAGTACGGCGTTAAGACGAATTTTAGGTGCTGCCGTAACTGGTGTCTTTCTCAATCCTTCTACAAGTCCCCATGCACCTCCCGTAGCGAGTGCAACGAGATAGGTAGTTCCGGTACCATAACAAAGATCGTCTGACCATCCACGCGATGGCAGCACTGATCGGGAGCCGGGGAGTTCGTCAAGGGCGGAATCGTCGAGGGAGAGGTAGTCAAGGGTTTCCTGGTTCAGACCAGCCAGGGGGTGGAGGCGAGAAGGATCGGGAATAGCAACCTCGGAGAGGAAGGATGTTGCATCTTGCGCGCTTGAAGGGTCGAAGGCATCGGGCCCTGGGGTTTGCTTGCGGCCGCTGAGGGAGTCCCAGATGGACATTGTGAAAAGAGGTATTGAAAGATAAGGGAATAGAGGATAAAATTACAAGAACCTAAAGGAAACCTTTGAAGGTAAGGGCGGATGACTGGAAAAGAAGTGATGACCCTGTGTTCGCAGCTCCACTGGCATCGGAACAGCAAAAACTTCGGTCCCGTGACTTCCGGCGATCCAACGGAGAATAGTCTTGCCGAGGCATATGCGCTTTACCTGATACGGAATCCCACTTTTATCACTTGGCGGCCTGAGGCATCGCGGGGAGCATAAAAATTAATCGTTGGCAAGACCTTTCGCCGGACCGTTATCCAAGATCCCGAGGCTTTGTATAATTGGGGATATTCCTGTTGATGATTCACGTCAGGTGCAACGTGCTATATCAACCGAAATGGAAGATCTTGCGCAGAAAGTGCAATTGTTCTCGGAGAAAACCCTCCGAGATATCGCTAAAGGCCCATTGGTGAAATTCACACTGACATGCCAAGACACTGAGTAAGTGAAGTATATGTCTAAATTCATAAGAACCAATTTGTTCTAATATTGTTACGCAAAAGAAAGGTGAACCGGGTATGGCAGTCGTTGGTTAATACGCTATCGACAGCATCTATCTCGCCACCTCATTCTGCAGAGGCATGCAATGCTGCCTCTGCTTTTATTGATGCTGCCATCAAGTCACAATGTGATGCAACCCAACAGTTGATTCTATCACAAGAAGCATGGCTGTCGATATTTGATATTTGTTTGACTCGATATGAAGACGCAAAGCCAAAGCCCATTAAGAAACTCCTCGCCTCAATCACTGCCATCTTAGCCAAACGTCACCAAGGAACGACGAGGGCAACTCTTCAAAGTTCAATTATTGATGCGCTAATTCCCAGCATTGTGCTTGGGGAGCCTCAAACTCGACTTAAAGGATCTCTGGTGTTTTTGGAAACATTCATCAGAAAGGATGCTTTGTTGCCCAGCGAATTTATCCCTTTGATTCGACAGTGGCTTTTGAAGAATACAGATAGATGGCCGACGCTGTTTGCCAATGATCATGAGACTCTGTCTCTAGGCGAATCAGGCCCCGCTTTTGATACTGCATCTGGCCGCCTCTCCGATGAACTAGCAGCAAGGATCTTTGTTCTAGGGCTCCTGATCCAAACTAACAACAGAACAATGGCCGTGGCAGCTGGAAACTTACTGGCGATGTTGATCCAGAAGATGAAGCCTGGAAACTCGTCGGAAAAGCTGTCAGCGATGTGGGTAACCCCAGTGCGACGCACAGCCTTACAAAACATAGAAACGTTGGAAGACGTATCCAATAGGCTCCTGGAGCCTCTGTTTACTATTGATCCCAATGGCTTCAAGATTTTCCTTGACACCCTCCCAGTCAAGAGCCTTCTCAAAGGTGATATGACCGATGCGCCTGAGGCAGAGTATATGGTTCTTTTTGCTGCTCTACAGATCGGCAAGAAGATCAACTTAGTCCATGAAGATTGTGAGTTGCTCCATGAATCTTGATTTCTTGACAATTTTCTAATTTGTGCAGATATTTTCAACGTTGGCAAAATGAAAATCGATGAAAATAAGGTGCTGATTATGAAGAGCGACGTGATCGGCAACTTTCTCTTGCACCGCGAGGCCAATATCCGTATAGCCGCTCTCTCACTGTTAATTACAGCATTTTCCACAGTAAAGCCATTTACAGTGGGGGCAACGAAGGCCATCCTTCTAGGACTACCCTCTATGCATGCTGAATCTGACGCATATACCCGAGGAGAAGTTCTAAGTTTGACACGTAAATTTTTTGTTCGTCTAAGGGGTGGCATTGTCAAAGACGAAGATGCTGTCTTACATACAGAGAAAACAGCCAGCAAGCCAGCTCAAGGTCAGGTCAGAAATGAAGCTGAAACCACTGAGTTCCTCAAGGCATACCTCAAGTTATTAGGTGATGATTTGCGTCTGGCGGCATCATATCCGCGCCATATCACGGCTCTCAAAGCTCTAAAGCTCCTACTGGACTCCGGTCTTGATCCACGGATAGAGGTCAAGCTTCAAAAATCAGAGATGGAAAATCTTTGGAAAGTCCAGGTCGAAGTGTTTGATGCTCACCTACTCCGGTTGTTGATTGATCTCCTGCTGGATCCATTTGAGGAAGTCCGACAAACTTCGCTTTCGATCTTGAGTTTGTGCCCTCGGGAGATTCTGCTCAACGGATTGCACAATAAGACGGACCAGCAGTCGGCTGTTGGCATGCGGTTGACAGACGCAATTACTCGAGCGGAAAGCCTAGCAAGTAACACTAGCAGAGCTGATCACGCTGATACTGTTGCTCGTTTATACCACATCATATTTTGCGCGGCCCTGCCAGCCAACTCCGGTCAACCGGCTTCTGATTGGTGGACAACCAAGGCATCGGTTGTCGACACAATTTTGAAAAAGCTCGAGGAACGTCTTCTGGATTCAAAGACCCTTTTCAACCCCGTCATGCGCGAGGCGCCACTTCATGGATATACGTCCGGCCTTAGGTATGCTGTGCTGGTCTATATATGAGACACTATGCTGATTGCAATTCCAGGTATATCGTCCTTATGCCAAGCTTCCACTCCCTGATATCTGATGAGTCGGGATCCGCTGCTTGGCGGTCTGTCCATAACCGCATTGTTGCAATTTGCGATAAGATCTGGCTTGAGGCGAAGCCTTTGCTTTGTATCGATTCACCCGAAGGTCACTCGGATGAGCCCACCGAGGACCTGAATGTGGGACCCAAGGATGCCCTTTCTTATTCCTGGAGATCTCTTCGTGAAGCAAGGTAAGTTCAACCCATATTGCTGACTATGCATAATCGCTGACTTGGAGTAGTCTTCTGCTCCATGCTACTATGGTAAACACTAGCTACGGACCAAGTGGAAACGACGGACTCAATTGGACGGATTTTTCAAACATTGGAAGTGTGAGCTTCACACAGCTGGCTGAACTCCGCCATCGAGGTGCATTCTCCAACGTCTCGCAGACATTTGCGACGTGCTGTCAGCGATGCAGCTCCTCAAAGGATCCGTCGATCCGAGAACTTCATAAGACCTGGTACCAGGAAGCTAAGTCGACTATTTTTGACTCGGCATCTAAACTTACCCGTCGATCTGCTGGTTTGCCTGCATTGGTAACAGGAATTGTTGGTTCCGATCCCGGAACTCCATTCTTCAACGAGGCCATTAATGAACTCCACGAAATCTCATCCCTTTCTGTAGATTACGACAAAGAGAGACAGTACTTGGAGCTGCCCCAGGTCCATGCAATGAATTGCCTGAAAGATATCTTTACGAACGCGAAACTTGGCCCCTTTACCGAGCCATTTATCATGAAGGCACTGACGTTGTCCGCCGAACGCCTAGGGTCGCCAATCTGGGCCCTTCGAAATTCCGGACTGATGCTCTTCCGTGCCCTACTCACAAAAATGTGTCGGGTCATTCCCGGCGCTGGGCCAGGCTTTGGAGGAAACTCAGGCTCAGAGCCAGGATCCCGGATAACATTCCCCAAGTATCCTGGTCTGCTTGAACTGCTCTCTGGTCTTCTCACAACGCAGGGTGAAGCAGCGGAGGGCACTGAAATTATTACTGAGCGGGTGTTCCCCGCACTGGAACTCGTTGGTGATAAAGTCCCAAGCTTAGATGATCCTACTGATAAGATGCTACGCGGATTGGTTCTTGAACACCTGAGCAGCCCGGTTTGGGGTGTTAGAGAGCATGCAGCTCGCGTATATGCGTCTTTGCTCATTCGACAAAATATTCCGGAAGAATTATGCACCCTTGTTACGCTTCCCTCGAAAATTACCGAGAATTATGTTCATGGTGTTGCTTTGTGTGCGCGATATGCTCTTCGTCGATACTCCTTCACAACTGATGATTTCTGGACATGTGAGTACACTGAAAAATTCCTAATAATACCCGAGTTAATCATTTGGCAGCGAACCTTGATGTACTTTTCAGGACGTTGCGCACTGTATTAGGGTTCCTGTTCCACGTTGGAAAATCGCCGACTGTGGCAAGCGAACTTGGTGAAATTCTCAATGGCACACTTGAGCGGGCGATCCAAGCGCAGAGTGAAAGTAAGTGGACATTCTATCCATCTGAGCAAAGAAAATATATGAGCTGACCGATATACAGAGCAAGTTCTTCCCTTCATCAACGAGATGTTCGAGGTTCACGACCTCGATAAGATTTTGAGATTTGTTTTCGACGCTTCCCAGGCAGGGTGGGACCTCTCAAGTGCTAGCCGAGCATCTGCCCTTCTTAGAAGAGCACTTGCTTGGTGCACAACATTGAAAATGCTTACTTCCCAGCAGTGGGAGCAGCTCCCAGCATTCTTCACTGGAGTGTCACAATTCGATGCAGATGTCGCTCGTTGGATTTTGGAGCAACTCCATGAGTCAGTTGGCGAAGACGAGCGGTACAGACAGCCATTGGCCGCCTTGTATTCATCTGTGGTTTTGGGAGATAACAGTCCTCGCGTGAAAACAATGGCCGCGTCAAACTTGGCTTCAATTATGGAGAACTTAACATCGTCACAGTTCGATTCAGTGTCAAGCCTGGATCTTCCATGGGATGCCATCGCAAATAGCTTCCGCCCCCATACAGATATCACTACCTGGAACCGAGACGCAACAGACGCTGAGCTACGACTTCGGGGCTGTCTACTAGCCATTCGGTTATCTGTTGATCAATCAGTTTCGTCCTCATTTGAAGGCGATGTCCGCAGCTGGACCATCAAGCTTCGCTCTGCCTTGAGCGAGGAGACTGTGAGTTTCGTCGCGAGGTTTATTCCATACTCAAGTCACTGATCTAATCCTTTTTCGTTTCACAGGAATTCACTACCCGTTTTGCTGCAGTCACATCTGTAAGCAGCTTTTCACGGGCTCTTAGATGCTCCGGTGCCCAGCCATGCGTGGATGCAGTGTTGCTGGATGTCTATCTGGTCTTGTATGACATGCTCAATGATGACGACGATGAAATTCGTGATGTTGCAGCATCAGCTGCCTCTTGGGTTTTGTCCCACTCATCCGTTTCACCTGACGCTGATGTGACCCTGGCACCTCTCAATGCAAGCTCCCTGCTTGCCGACTTCATTATAGATAACTATTCAGATTCGGCACTCCTCGGGCAACGAGTTCTTCGATATTTGACTGGCCAAGAGCCAAGGATCAGTGGATCTGACGAACACAGTCACTTAGTCGCTGTGTCAGACCAGATTACAGAGTATCGCCAAGAGAGTAACGTTCTTTTTGTGGAGGAGAAGCAGAATCTGTTTATCGATGATGTGCGCGAGGTTGAGGTTTGGTCGCGAGCTTTGTTAAGGCTGAATCGCTCGGCGTATGCTAAGTTCTCGTTGGATGAAACTTCTGCCTGGGCCTTTGACGGGTTAACATATCTCTGTTCTTTGGTTGGCCCTGGGAAAGAACCAGATGGACTTCTTGGTTGGATTTCAAAGCCCGAGATATTCAATCTGGGTCTCCGCGTTATTGTCATCTCATCTACTCTAGGATCGGGTGCCCTTCCAGCAGAGAGTCTGCAGGTGCACCCAGATGCTTTCATGGCGTCGCTCAGATCCCTCTTGCAAACAGGCAAAATTTCGTCGGTCCATGAAGATTGGTTGTCGAGAATCCAGGCTGGATGGGAAATGTGAGATTTGATGTCAATCGAAAATGAAACAGAAGATAATTACGTATCTACATTAGATAGAATACATGTAAATTCCAATACATCGCTATGTTTGTCAGTCTGGTCGTTCCGCATTTTCTCACTTCTCTTGCCTTGTGTTTTTCCTCTTTCCTCTTTCATCTCTCACCTTCTTCACCCGACATATCCTATTCAAGGCCTTGAATCAATCCTCACACTTTTCACTCTCTTCATGCTCTTCATTCTTTGGCACTCTACGCTATTTTATCATTATTGGATGTGCACCACGCAAACCTACACTCCCAGCACTCAGTTCAGCTGCGCGTTTCCAGACACATCACTTCAGACCTCTTTCCCTGCTGCGTTACATCATGCAGAACAACGTTCTGATTGGGGTTCTTCTGGCGGTAGCCGTCGTTATTCCAGTTTTCGGGTGGCTTTTCTACCTTTGGTATCGGTCATATCTGATCAAAATGCACCAAGAAGGCCAAGCCTTCGACAGACGAGATCGAGATCGTGCCCAGGCCAACTATGGGCCCGCGGATGGAGCCCAACCTCCGGTAGCTGGACCCTACTTCACCTCTCGCGGGTGGGTTCGCCCAAAGACCCGAGGACCATCCCATGCCCTGCGTCCGACGCCACAGTATATTCACCCTGGACAGCCAATATTTACCGGTATCCCGCATTCTGACCAGCATTTCCAAGGGCCGAACCAAGCGAACATCCATAGTCCTCGGAAAATGAACCAGCCGCCGAACCAATTATCCAAACGGCAGCAAAGGAAGCAACGAGCACTACAAAACAAACAAAAAAGGCAGCAGCAAATAGGGCAGCAACAAAGTCAGAATGAGGAAAAGAACCAGCACAATCAACAGAACCAGCGGAAACAGAAAAACAAAAACAAGGCCCGGAACCATCAGAAGTCCCCCAATGCCCAGTCTCCAAATGCCCAGTCTCCTAAAGCCCAGTCACCCAAATCCCAGTGGGGCCAAGCCCAGCTATATCACCAGCGGGGAAACACAGAAGGACAAGATGATCAAACCAGTAACCATGGTAAAGATGGCTGGGGGAATGATGGCAAGTCATGGGACAATCAACACTATACTGGTCAGAACGATAACAACGACCACCTGGGCAACACTCACAACAATGACCAAGGAGGGCAGAGAAATAGTGGATCACGTTCCCCACGGCAATACTCGCGAGACAATGAGAAAGATTACGACCAGAGCCAGGATAACAATAGCCCACGGCAAAGGCGCTCTCGATGGGACAAAAAACCCCAGGACGACCACAGATACAGCAATGAAAGAGGGAGAGGTAATCATGAAGAACAGCACCTCCAGCATGAATCGTACAATAATCGTCCTGCGTCCCCAGATCAAGCGTCAAGAAACGAAGTAGAATCCCGCCGTGGTTGGGGTCAGAGTGACGATGATGCACAGCAGGACAGCCGTTCACGTAGCAACCATTCCAACTATGACGATTGTAACAACTACGATGGATGGGGAGATGATGATGCGAAAAGCTACCACAAGAAAAACAAACGTAACCACCGTGTGTCCCTCGAGCGAAAGTCAAGAGGACGATCAAGCCCCAACCGTGAGTGGGGACATGAAGAACATCGTGGCGGTGGCAGTGACTCCTGGAGTCAAGATGGCAATGTTCACCGAGACAAACGGAAGAAGGAGAAAAAGGAACGCTGGCAGATTGAATTGGAGGAGAATGAGAAGAGACGTCGTGGTCGAAGCCCCTCGCGTGGAGGCTCAGATGCAGGATGGGACAAGCGCAGCCAGGTTTCTGGCTGGAAGGAGACACAGAAATGGTGAAGTCGGAGATTTTCTCTCGTGAATTGGAAGTGGGGAGTTTTCTAATATGAATTTGCGTTCATCCACACATGATATATGGTTAATCGATAGTTCTTTTAAATCTGTGTTGTAAACCATCACTTTGTATCTTATTGGAAAACTTAGGACTTATATACATTTTGATCCTTCCTACAGGCAAAATAGAGATGATAGACCATCAGTGAACTCGAATCAAATGAGATATCTCATATGAACAAGGAGAATCACTACAAAGCCAATACTTCGAAGGGCCAAGACAATAAAAATGTTGAATTTGATATAATTAATTTAAATTTGAAGACAGACCCCAACTTTGACATGAATGATTTCAAATCAATCAATCAATCAAAGCTCAATTAACCTGTTGCAGTCTAACTAGTTGCGTATGACTATGCAGGCGCTTCATCCATCTGGAGCAAGAACTCGAAGCCAGACGCCGAGTTAGGATCACTCCCGAGAGTAAATACAGAGGCTGACTTGTAAAAGAGCGTGGAATCAGCCTATTCCTACATGTTGTAACCCCACAGACCCAAAAACCCACATATAAGGGAAAATATGTATATATAATGAATGCGGCGGGGTGTACCCTCCGCCTTCCAACTCTCTCTCTCTCTCTCCCTCTTTCTCTCCTCTTCCCTACATCCTCCCCCCCGCCCCCCCTCGCTCCAGTCACATTTGATAGTGTATATTTTATGGCTAATTACGCGTAGACTTCTGCAGAACCCAGTTTTCGACCCAGTTCTTAGCATTACTAAGAACCTAGTAGACTAAGCGACTTTGGGACATAGTCTGGCTAGTAAGCTGATCACTCCCCTAACCTGAATTAGACACTAGAACGCAGCTATTGGATAGAGCTGAGGTTGGAATTTAAGACCAACGGACACTTGTCACCTGGGCATATATGCGTGAGGATATGGGGATAGACCCTTCATCATTGACACGCAACGTGTATTCGCTGACCACAAAATTGCGCATTCTGCCTGCATATCACACGCCTACAAGCAAGCTGCAAGAGTCTTTCTCACCATCTAGTAAGAGGCAGGTTATATTATTAGATTGCCTTGGTCTAGTCACAGGGAAGAATACGTACACACCAACCTGATTCTGTTATTGGTATGCTATATCACCACCCCGTGCGGGGCTAGGTAGCCTACGTCAGGAAATAAATTTATTTTCAGCTCTCTGCTCTCTTGGAAAGATGCACGGTCCTTGTCTTTAATGTGACAGGAATGTTAGATAATTGTCTAGACAATTAACTATGTCTCGTCGCTGCCCTATTGGTTCCTATAGCTTGATCAGTCGCTTACCCCCTCACAAGGGACTATCTCGTCGCCGGAGGCTGCTTTTTCGTTCTGCTAAACTGCACAAAGCTAGCTAAGCTGCGGCAGTGATAGTCTCTTACCTTCATTATCATTCATACCGGTAAGAACTCTTATTTGTGTTAGTTAACAATATGGTGCTCATTCAGAAGTAACAGACTTAAAGCCGGATAACATCATGGTACGACTGGAAGATCGTGAGCTCTTATCCCAGAATGCTCGAGATGAATTTGAAAACCCACTACCTCAGAAGCATTGCAATGATGGATGCATTATCTATCTATCCCGTAAGGACTATTGACCGCTGAAAGATATTATCGGACTGATTGAAGTCGTCGACTTTGACCTAGCAGTCCAAGGTGATATTCTTCAGGATGGTTGTATCCAGGCGGAGGTATATCGTGCGCCAGAGGTCATCCTTGACAGAGGGTACACGTATAGTGCTGATATATGGACTTTGGGAGTTATGGTACACAGTGTCCCCCCAAACACACATACTAGCACAGACAACTAACCATTGAATGAAGCTATGGGATTTTCTAGAAGGACGAACACTGTTTGAATCAGTTGATCCACGCATCGTTGAAGTTTATGATGACGAAACGCATCTTGCGTATATAACGTCGCTTTTGGGTCCTGCCCCCAAAGACTTTGTTCACCGCGGCAAGAGGACATCTATGTTCTATACGGCCGATGGTAAGTGAGTCTTTTAATTAGATATCTTATAACTAACACTGCATTACAGGAAAACTCAAAAAGGAAGACCTTGTCCCTAGTACCTTTAGCTTTGAAAGCACCATCTCCAAGTTTGATGGGGAAGAAAAGAGGATGTTTATTAGCTTCGTTAACCGGATGATCAAATGGAAACCCGAAGAGCGAAGTACGGCGAAGGAGCTACTACAGGATCCATGGCTTCATAACGATTATCCGCAAATATGAGGCTGTCTTCCACCTTAATCTAGCGATTATTCCGTCAAACCCGGCGATGGTAAGCTAATATCTGATCGGCGTTGTTGGGGAATTAGTTGGGTGACGCATATGTCTTATGTACATAGTTCCGAATAATCAATATGCCATTCCTATACTTCCCAAATAGGGCTGGCACTCGTTATTATAGTAAAAGAAACCGAAATAGTGGTGAGATCTGTTCTGCACTCGGCATATTGAATTGATAAAGGATCATGAAAACACGAAAATCCAATAGGGTCGGTGAAAGAGAACCAGCAGCTCTCTGGTTCTATGTATTAGGGCTTGCTAGTGACAAGGAAGAGAATTGAATGAAGTCCAAATGAAAGCAAGGCATGCATTGGGAGAGAAAACATCCAGTCGAACGAGGTGACAAGAAGCCCGAAGCACTGAACATCCATTTTAATAGTCACTGGCCAGAGATTCCGGATGATCTTTACCAATTCCCAATTGGTGGATAATATTACTGGACGGCCATGTTCCAAGTTATTTCCAAGGGGCCGTGGTTGCCTTGCCTTGCCTAATGGGGGTTGCGCATTAGGCAACTTGCACAGCCCACATGAAGTTTAATGCTGATATCTAATAGAAAACCACGAAAAACACTCCTGCAAGTATTCTCCTAAGCACTATAGGGGTGAAACATGTGAGCTCCGACAGTTGTTCTGGGCAGTCGCTCCAGTATTCCAACCATGCTAGGCAATATTTCCCGGTGGGAATGGGTATTTCCCTGTGGTCGAGCGAGATGGTGTGTTGACTTTCAACGGTCGAGAGATTATGTTATGGGAATGGCAAGGGATACTATATACTCAGTTCTACTCAGTGACCAAAAAGCGGCAAAAGGTAAGTACTCAAACGGAAAGGGAAAGGTCTCGAGTGCTACGCACTATCCGGTATATATAAAGGCGAATAGGAACATATATATACTGAGATGAATACTTCTATAGAGAGATAGGTATATAAGGTGTCGGCGGGTGATCTCACAGGGTTGGGTCTGATTGCACGGTTTTTCTTTTGATATTTGTTCTTAGATTGGAACGGCGCACGTCAATTCACTTTCGTTCTTTTGATTTGCGTTACATTTTACAGCATGTGAGAGTGAATATAGAAGGAGCCATACCCATTTACCTAAACTGAAAGCCTAGGTACTGTTCTATTGGGTTTGTATAATATTGGTGTAGGTCTTCCTCGGCTTTTATCAAATGACTGAATCTAGTAGAATAATGGTGTCGGCCTTAGCAGAAGATCAAATATACCGTGAGGAAAGAGTCATAGATCCTAGGACCTATACGCCACAAAATGCAGACCAGGAGCCTTTAACAGAATAGGTGACTCCTATAAGCAATGAAGTGACGAGGCGAATGTGAACTGATCCACCAACCTGAAAGAGACAACGACGCGACTTTCTCAGGTATGTTAGCAAGCAAGAACGCAGAAATGTGCAGAATTTGAGATCCACTCTCGAAAGAAAGGGATGGGTTGAACGTATATGCAAAGTGCGGCGGGATTCGAGATTATTTGCGAGGATGACAGTGGCCGAACAGCGGAAAGTCAAGGACAGATCGAGAAATAAATGACCTTCGAATGTGAAATCAATGAACTTGAATCAAATAAGATGTCTCATATCAACAAAGAGAATCACTACATAGCCAATACTTCGAAGGGCCAAGACCTAGGGCTACCTCGCCAAGCTAAAACTAGAAGACTAAACAAAGGATCCCTTAGTTTTTATATTTCTGGCATCGCCCACCCCGCTCTTGTCTCCCTTAAACTTGCCGTTCTAGCTATATATCTTCCATGGAGATCAAGACAGGCCCCAAATTTGACATAAATGATTTCAAACATGATCCTCTACTTTTGACAGAGGAAGGAATTCACAGATATTGTCCTGGTGGGTTTCACCCAGTCAGTCTCGGGGATACATTTCAAAATGGTCTGTACACAGTGCACCATAAACTAGGCTTTGGTGAATCAGCTACAGTGTGGCTTGCAAAGAAAAAAACGTACTGTACTCCTTCAGCTTCTGAAACTACGCGCAGAACCTAACATACTCAAGTGTCGGTCAAAATGTCATTAGCTGTCAATGGGTCGCTTTGAAGATATTGGCTGCGTACATCGAAAGGCCAAGGGAGACTGAAAATTTGAATCATTTGAAGAACTCGACAATTATGCTGTCGACAAAACATATTGTCGAATTACTTGACACCTTTCAGCTCCAAGGTCCCAATGGAATACATCACTGCCTAGTGTTTGAACTTCTTGGCCCTTCCCTTGAATCTACTCAACAAGCTTACATTGAATTTAACAACTACGGTCATTATATCGAATTTGACAACACTGACTTCAAAGAGCTTACTAATTATCTTGGAATCGAATGTCCCCGTGTACTTAGAATTGTCACTGCGCTTTTCGTGGCTTTGAAATTCATGCACACCTGGGGAATATGCCACGGAGGTGAGTTTCCTATATTCATCAATCATACCGACTCAAATGACGAGCTGAGCTCCATTAGCACATTACTTACATTCTAGTAGGTATAAGTGCTGCGAATATTGCCTACACTTACGGTGGCAGGCAGCACCATGTCACTGACGACAAAATCTTTGAGGCTATGGGATTGCCGCAAGTGGTTCCACTGGAGCGCTGTGACAGGATGCCGCTGAGTGAAGGGCTTCCAAAAGAGCTAGTGCAAAGTGCTCAGTGGAATGGTTACCTCGAGGAAGCGGAATTTGACATTCGTCTGATTGGCTTTGGAAAGAGTTCCCTCTACGGACAAGAGTCAGATAAAGTCAAGCAGGCAGTCCATCTACGGTGCCCTGAGACCATCATGGGAGGGAAGCATCTCTATCATACTGACCTCTGGCATGCAGGGTGTTTTGTAACTCCACCAGATGAGCATGACCACCAACTGCAAGACCTATCAGATATATCCCAAGGTCCTCAACAGGTACTACCAGAGGTCGCAGCAGTGACACCCGGGTCGCTGATCAGTCATGAATCGCAGCAGCCGCAAGCGTCGGAACCTTTTCAAAGCGCCAAGACAACCCAGTCAGAGGCATCTGAGATCCCTGATAATTCCAAAGAGCCACAGCTGGATCTTACGGAGGATACAGCGGCATCTTCAGATGACAGTGAGACAAAACCTGGAAGCCGGAAGAGACTCCGTTCCCGTCTAGGAGGATTGTTGAATCATAAATGGAGACCATGGAAGAGGCGTCGGGACTCTTGATAGATCTTGTGCAGTGACATACGAAGGCGAAGGGAAACATACATGTATTGAGAAGCACACTTCTACGGGCAGGTGGATACATGAAGTGTCAGCTGGTGATCTCATAGGTTCGGGTTGGATCGTACGGTTTTTCTTTTGATATTTGTTCTTAGGTTGGAACGGCGCACGTCAATTCGCTTTTGTTCTTTTGATTTGCGTACATTTTACAGCGTTTGATAGTGAATATAGAAGGAGCCATACCTATTTGCCTAAACTGAAAGCCTGGGTCCTCCATTGGGTATATGTAATATTAGTGTAGGTCTTCTTCGACTTTCGTCAAATGGCTGGATCCAGTGGAATGGTATCCGCTTTCGCAGGAACATATGTATTGGCAACTTGAATCACAAACGCAAACAATCAAATATACCGAGAGGAAAGATTCGTATATACCAGAGCCTGTACGCCACAAAATGCAGAGGACCTTTGGCTCCTATAAGCAATGAATTCACAAGGCGAATGAGAACAGGTGTGCCAGCATAAAAGAGACGACGACGTGACTGTGGTAAGTATGTTGGCAAGCAAGAACGCAGAAATGCGCAGAATTTAAGATCCACTCTCGAAAGAAAGGGGATGAGCTGAGGGAGCATGCGAAGGGCGGCGGGGTTTGAGATAATTTGCGAGGATTATAGTCGTCGAAGAGCGGAAAGTCGAGGACAGATCGAGAAATAAATGACGTGCGAATTTGACATCAGGCCTGAGCGATAGGCCATCCATCAACATATTTGAGAGGATTGAATCCAAGTAAGGCGTCCTGCAGTGCATATGTTAGGTCAGATCTTGATGACGTCGTGAGTGCAAGGGGTAACGAGGATCGACAGGGGTGCATGAGTCACGACAATCGTGCCCCCAAGCCTGGGAATAATCTAGTGTGAGCTTACCGCGAATGCAATTCCAACACTCGTGTTCACTGCGATTAGGTCAGTGTGAAGTTCGAAAACGGTACTTAGAATTAGGGGTTAAACGCACAGTAGTGGTAGTAGAGCACATCGGTATCACCATCACAGATCACGCCTTGCCCACCTGGGGCATAGGTCTCTCCGTTCGAGCCGTAGACAAGTTCACCGCCGCCTTTGACGAGATCAGTACCAGTCTTGTCTGTGAATGGCCCACGGGGACTGCGAGAGCGTCCAACACGGATGGAATACCTTAAATATGTGAGTATGAAGCAATAAGTCACTGGGTCATCAAAACTTACTCTTGACCAGCGGCTGGCAGGTTGTCTTTCTTCAGGTTGCAGCAGAAACCATGGCTGAACCAGAGATAGTACCATCCATTATTGTGGGAGATGAAAGCACCCTCAATGGCATGGGGACCGGTCGGGTCACCACAGATGGTGTTGGCATTGGGATTTGGCTTGCCCATGGGGTTCGGCTCCCACGCCAGCTGTCGTTCATCGGGTTCAGTAGTGCTGGCCGGAGAGAGGAGATCCTTGCTCAGAGGAATTTGGAAAATCCCATTCCAGAAGCTTCCAAACGTCAGATAACCCTGTCCATCGGGAGTGACCAATGTACTAGGATCAATAGCATTTGACACAGTGTAGGGATAGATATCTGATCCATTGCCCGTGCCCGTCTGGATGAGAACACCGTGGTCGTGCCAGTTGCCCGGACCAGGAGAGTCAGAGGTAGCCACGCCAACAGCGCTATCACGGCAACCGGTCTTACTAACGCTGTAATAGCAATAATATGTTCCGTCTACGGCAATAACAGTCGGGGCCCAGGGTGCGGCACGATCACCCTTTGGGATCACACTTTTGGCCTCTAGCACACTGCCGATACGCTTCCATGGGCCAGCCATACTAGGCGCAGTGAGGATGAAGATGTGTTCACCGACATGATAAAGATAATATTCATCACCCACACGGAGAATAGTAGGATCATGTGTAAATTGATGTGTCTGACGAGGAGGGGGGAAGCGGCTTATAGCCTGGTCATTTCCGAGATCTTGCAGCTTCTCGCCACGTTCAAAGCTCTTGTCTCTTTTGATAGTCACGCCAAGACCGACGGAAAAGAAGCATACTAAGGCGAGGAACGAAAGCATTTTAACCCAGCGTCGAGGGAATTTATTCCAAAAAGACTGAGAAGATCGATTTCGAAATTCATCCTGAGGGCCAGACGGCGACATCGACCGTGATAAGTGACCGGCCCTGACGATCATGATGATGGATACAGGCACTCATTGCTTTCAGTTGATGCACGGCGTTGCCACCCTGGTAGGGTGGAGTTGGTGGTGCAGAATAGGGAGGGAAGGAATTGCGAGACGGTCCACTGCTCACTCAATAAAAGCCTACAATCGGACATGCCTGCAAGGTTTTGGAATGCCCAGAAAAGAAGTGGTTGTTCTGTAGAATATACAGATAGGTTGTTTTGTCTTGGCGTGATGGAAGCGGAAGGATTCGTGGCACAAAGACCGAATCACAGTCAGACCAGACTAGTACGGAGTACTTGTTAACCAATTGAACACCGAGCTAGTCGCACGACGTAATATGTAGATTAGGGAACTTGATAAGCAAGGGAGGTGACTTTCGAAGTGGATTACATTGTAGATCTTCCTCTTCCTCACGGAAGTGATGGGTGAAAATTTCCGACTGGAATGTGCCCTTCTCCTATCAACACCTCCGAGGTTGATGAAAACAGATATACAACACATTAAGGGGCTGGCCCTTTCCTCGTCTTTCTTAGACCCTTCGAACAATATAGCCCTATAGGGTTGCAGGTACGACGTCGGGAAGGCACAGGTAAGACAACGTCTCTCCCGAGGTCTCTGCAGGGCTACTACTTTCTATACAGAATCGCCTAGACTCAGAGAATTTGATATACCAGATTTGCATTTCCAGCGATACAGTAGTGACAAGTAAGAAAAAAGTAAAACATCCACCAAACGCCAGCGCCGTGCTCCATCAGGCTGAAGATGAACTATGGTCTTCTATCTAGCCACGATCTTATCCACTTCATCTCTAGCTTCAGTCCATGTCTCCAGGTTCTTCCGCGCCCAGTCTAAGTGGCAACGAGCATATGCGACCTGGAAACTCATGATTAGTCTCAGTCTTAACTCATGTGGGTGGTCATACATACCATGTATCGTCGCAAATCGGCTTCTTTGTCCTTTTGGAAGCGCTTGAGATCATTCAGCACGCCCGCGCTAGCATCCTTGACATCCTTTTCGGACACTTCCAACGCATGTTCCAACTGAAAATCAACATTAGTTTTGGAACCATGTGCGAAACTACTCCACTGTCCACATACCTGAATCAAACTTTCTTTAGTCTTTCCGATCTGGTCTCGACGTGTTCGTTCGGGGTCCACATCCGCAAACCCGTGGATAGCATGGCTAATGCGACCGAAGATTTTGTTCGCCACGAAGGTCCCGCTGGATGACTTCCGGTGAGCGGGTGAGCCTGGTACGGACGGGTCAGACCTCTTGAGTCCTCCGATCTGCGACCCAGGCGGAGAGCTGATGGAATCGTCATGAGAAGATCGGAAACCTGAGTCAGTTGACGAGGGAGGACCGTTGCCCGCTTCGCTGGCGGATGAGGTTGACAGAGAACGAGGTTTGGTCCCTCCAGAATGAGGGGCGGTGCGGTTGAGATACTGCTCGATGCGCTTGGCTTCGAGTTCACTGCGCTCAAGGGAGTCTAGTAGTGTTTTTTTCTTCGACAACTCGTCGCGGGTCATTTCTTGTTGTACCCGCTTGAGCACTCTGTATCGTAGAACTCCGCGAACCACACTAGCAAACTGAGCGCTCTCCCGCATAGGTTCTGCAAAACTTGCGCTCAATGCGGAGGATAGTTCTTCGGTCTCAATATAAGAAGTATCAGCGGCCTGGCCAATCCGCTCGATGGCAGCAGCCACTGTTGGTGACTGCTCTGAGAGAGAGAATCCATTGTAACGCGCTCCCAACTCCATAAGATCGGCTGAGAGCCCAGATAAATGCGAGAGAGTTCGTCGATTGACTTTCTCAATGTTGCCCTGCAAAAGTAGTTCTAGCTCCCGCGTAGAGGCTTCAAAATTAATAAAGTAAGGATCCAGTTCCTGCTCGCTAAGCTTGCGTGACTCAGGAGGGAAACGCCCAAGGACCTCAGGTCCTGGGAACGAGGGTGCCTCTGGCTCATTCGGTGATGTGGGCGATGCTGCGGTTACGCTGGATGTGGTAACTCCACCGCTGGGCTTGAGCTTCGCAGATGTGGACGGAATCGGGAGCCAGCCATGGGCGGGTGTGGGGTTTGCGGGATCAAGAGGTGGTGCTTTGAGGTTATTCTTTGGGACTGATGATGCAGGATGGGAACTCAAAACCTCACTCTAGGCAAATGTTAGTAAATAAACTCGCAACCAGAAACATCCAGCTCGAACGCACCCAGCTAACGTTGGGATCAAGGAATCTCCACCACACTCCATCCTCGCGGACCTCCTTCATACGCCTGCAGCGGTTAAGGAACACACTGAGCATGCGTTTCCGGAGATCTATAATAGCCGCATCATCTTTAGCCCTAGTGGGTTTGGCTGCATAATCCGCCATGCTGTGCTTCTCGGGAATCGGCGGAATGACCAAAGTGGGATGCAAATTGACCAGGGTTTGTCGCAATGATGCAAATTCGGAATATCGACGGCGTACTTCAAGGTCCTATCAATACTCAGCATTGTACAGTTCTCCGCCGGGCACCATTATCATACCGCAGTCCGAATTGTGTAAACAATAAAGCCCCCGCCGCCCTCATGATTCTTGCCGGCATCCGTGATCAATATTGGCATCTCAGGGTTTTCATAAAGGAGCTGTTCAATACGGCTGTCATAGACGCTCTTCCGAGGGTATTGTTCACTGGCGGCACCATACTCGGCCTCATCCTCGGGGTCGCTGAGGTCGTCGGGGTGGGTGATGTAATCGGGAGGCTCGATGGTAGATCCACGACTAGATGGAGGGGTTGAGTCATGTTCGTAGAGAGCTAGCTGCTGTAAGATACTAATCCAAAGGCAGAAATGTTAGAGTGGAAACTGAGCGGAGCTTACGAGGAGAGAGTGCGGCTGAATGTAGAGAGTCGGATAGGCCAGACTGATGTTGATCAAAGGCCCCGTAGGGATTGTTGTCTTCGTCGTTCCACATTATGAAGGTATGGAGACTTGATAAGGTCAACTAGCACCAGAACCTGAGTTGGAGAAGCTGTGCCTGGGGGATCTGCGGGGGGAAGTTGTGGTGTGGCTAGTGCAGGGCGGTGTTCACGATTACGTCATGAAGGAGGCTTGAGCTTCAGCCATGGATGGATAGGCTATGGGCAAGGTACTGTAAAAAAAAAGACAGCTGAGGAAAACCTCAAAGTGAGTTCAATGATGGAAATTGTTTTTTTATCGCAAAATATAATGGTCGAGATAGTCCCTGCTTGACACTCAGGTTACGCTGCTGAATGGTGATCCAAGAACGGCCGATGTATATATCAAGGTAGCCCGAAACCCCTGCATTAAGATGTTTTATGTCTAGAGAATGAAGTCACGCTTAACATATCCCCCAAAACAGGAAGCTACTCAAATAAAAAGGATTTCGAAATTGATTTCATTCAAGAGTAATCAGCTAATAAGCAGGTAATGTATGCTAGACCTTACATGTATGGCCAAGACTCGAAGTAAACAGCGGCGAATACAAACATTTGCAAGGTCCTAGAACTCATAACTGATTCTCCACATCTCAAAGCCTCAGATATCGGTCCACCCTGAGAAAGCATCAAAGTCCATGCAGCTTTCTCCTGCCATGAAATGACCCTCATATCTCATGCCTCAATGTTTGTGCTCCCCTGAGTCTCAGTTTCGATCGGCATCCCGAGAACCTGCAGCGTCGCGTGCCATTCGCCTCGCTCGCTCTGCGTTGCGCATAGCTGAAAAGGCCGGATCCATTCCATTAAATGAGCTCTGAGAACGCAGTAGAGCTGGCTGGGGCGGGAGGGATGGAGATCGGGGAGATTGTGGAACAGAAAGCGAGTGAATTCGGCGACTGGACTCGTCGGCGAAGAAAGTAGGGCTGCCGTCAGAGCCAGCTCGATTTCTCAAACCACGAGGCTCACTGAAGGTGGATGCACGGTTGACGCGATTAGGTCGTAGCTCCTGGGGGTTGGGTAGAGTGATGTTGGGTCGGTTCTGGCGGCGTTGACGTAGGCGCAGAGGGAACTCGTTGTTAACGGAGCCACTTGCGGAGGTGAGAGCAACAGATTCAAGCTCATCTGTCTGGAGGCGGTGTTCAAGTGGTCTGTCCGAAGTGTCGCTGCCAGGCCCTGGCATAAAGTTTGGTGCAGTGGTACGGGCGAGGCCGGTTCCGTTAGGAGTATTTCCAGAGGTTAAGTTGCGACGAGAGGCTCGAGCTAAAAGATGGGTAGAGTGCAGACTGGGGCCAAGGTCGAGAACACTGATTTGACTTTCGCTCAGGACTGCAGTACGGGGTCGCATGGAGGTTCGCATCGAGTTTGGGACGGTGGGACCAGGCTCTCCATTGGAACTCAAGGCTTGAGACAACACGGAGGTCGGACGCTGAGCAGACGTCTCATTTGCTGGATTAGACCTGGAGTCCGTGGAACCCATCATCTTTAGACGCGACGCCTCGAGCCTCAGAAGCTCGATCTGGTCACCAGTGCTTTGGAAAGGCAAGTGTCTGCAAGGGTAATCCGAGTTGATCTTCTCAATCATGGAACTGGCACTATCAACGCTGACGTCGATGAGCTCTGGACACAGCGTGGATATTTGAGGATTGAGTTGGCGCGGGTCAGACTTGCGTCCTTCACGTTTCTTCCTAGAAGGTAAAGTGCGATAATACATCTTGGAAAAGGTGCGTGGATTTATGGAACTTTCGCGACTGAATCGAGGAGAGCGTGGCAGTTGGGAGACTGATTGTTTGGAGGGGATAATTCGCGCACGCACCCAGCCCTAATATGGAAGGAGCAACTCTGGCACTTTCCTCAAAAAGTCTCAAGGCTTCAAGGCCACATACCTTCCTAGTCTCTAAATATCTACGTCCCCATATAACCATTGTAGATATCATCTGTGCTTACTATACTTCCGAGATGGACTTCATAGAGGTAACTTCTTTATCCAGACTACTAAGTGAGTTGTGTTGGATACTGCCTATTTTTATGTGAGACTATATAGGTCATTCGCAAGCGTAAATGTGTGCTAAATTTTGATGCAAATGATGCCAAGATGCAATAGAGGCCTGTTAAAATTTCTTTGGCTACACAGGCCTTCTTGTATGACCTATCTTCGGAATTTACTATAGACATATCCATATATGTATGATTGAATAATATCTCTTGATAGAAAGCTACTAGGAGATATAGTATGCATGATTGTCATAGGACTAAGGAAATGAATGATCAAAATCGTATCTAGTGCAGTATTATGTACATGCACATACAGCTAACTAGAATGGTTGAAGAAGGGATTGAATAAGTTATGGGTGATTGCCTTGATATCGCCCAGTACAGAAACTCTGCCTGTGAAGCAAGAAATAACAATCTTAAAATAACTAAGTCCATGTATATGTATTTATGATCAACTTAGGGTCCTTAAAACAGGCTCTGGTAGTGAACCGAGCCGCTATAAGTGGACAAGAAGGGAAGGACAAATAACAAAATCACCAAACTACACAGAACAGTCAGCTTGTATAGGCACATCTTGCCAGTACACTGCCGACAAAGACTAAGCGTGGAGCCTGGACCTGCTATGGAAGAAGTGAGTTCATTGTCGACCTGTGTGTTGTAGATGTAAGACCTCAGTGGGAGACTGATAGTTGATGATGAATTCAGTGAAGTCTTAGGTTACAACTTCATTACAGTTTTACATTGGCCTCAGTTTTGCTTTACTCTTACTTTGCTTTGCTTTGAGAATGTGATTGAAATTAAAACAAGAAATCATTTTTTTATTTTGTATGGGCCACCTGCCCATCCCCCTTCCCTTCCCCTTCCCCCCATCCGTCTCCCCCATTTTTTTTAGTTTTTTTTTTTAGTTTTTTTTTATTCGTATCATTCATTGGTCCGAGGACGCCATGTCCTCGGACCCCACACGTAGCTCCACGACTGGGAGATCATCGGAGGAATCCTCCCCCTCACCCCCAGAAGTGAGACCAAACTGAAACTGAGGGTCGATGTCCATGGCATCACTCCATGGACATCGACCCTCAAAGATGCCATCCTCGGTGGCAGCATCACCACCGGAAATCTGTGAATTGGCGTGAGCGGCGTCGAACGACCAAGAGGGTTCCGTGAGCTTGCTGAGGGAGTCGACCTGCGATCCCCCGTTCTCGTGCTCGTAGCCGATTTTCTTACCTTCGCTACCTCCATCCTCCGAGCCCGAAGTACTCTCCTCGGCAGAAGAGTACACATCGTTGCCGAGGGAGTCTTGCCCCCGGCTCACTCGGGGTGCCACCCCTGCCCCGGCCAAGGCAGACGACCCCTTGCGGGGAGCGCCGCCAAGGACCCGACCGCCGCCGTCCGAAGGTGATTGGGAACCGGGGCTGCGGGAGCCAGAGGAGCTGCCAGAAACACTGGCCTCGCGGTTCCGGTATTCTTCAACCAGCTCCCGCAGCTCCTGGTTGCCCAATGCACGATCAGAACGACGGCGGTAGAACAGGAGGTAGGCACCCGCCGTGATGATGGACTGCATGTTGGTGACAGTCTTTGCAGAGGTATCTGAAAGTTATGTCAGTAAGATTTTTTTGATTAGAATATTTCTGGGGGCATCGGACCATTGCAGTAGACCCAAGCACCAGACACAAAGTCCTTGATGTAGGCAGTGTAGTGGCCACCACCCATTCCACCCAAGTGGTTGTCGACAGCAATCAGATCGTACACCGCACTCTTTCCACCCATAGGGCCTTCCACTCGGCTACTCAAATCCAGTCCCTCGAAGGGGAAATCGATGACAGTGCTGATCTTGTGTCCGCTCCGGCCACGGAATTGGCTAAACCGCTTGAGCTGAACGACCATAATATCCGGGGTTCTCCACAGCTCAAACTTCTTGGTGGCCGAGACGTGGGTCTTGCACTGAGGACAAAACCAGCTATCTGCTCGAGAAAGAATTTCCTCCTTGCTGAACTCATCAAGGCATTGGTCGAGAGTGAGATTTGATTGCTTCGGCCTTTTCTGGGTTACCACCATGGCCTGATCAAAGACATTCTTGATGTTCATGTAGGTAGGGCGACCACGGAGCTCCTCGGGGTCACGGGGCTTGCCGCCGAAAAGGGCATCAATGGCCTCGGGAGACCAGTCAAGTAGGATGGCATCACCTTGGCGAACGAGCGATAGTGCTGAGTTTGGTGTCGTATCTGATTCATCTGTATCATAATCATCGGGATTGTCATTTGCGGAGGTTTTGGAAGACGAATCGGATTCCTGGCAAAAGTTAGTAGGCGGAATTTGAACGGACGAGACGGAATAAACAAACCTTAGTCGATGCGGAGGAAGATGGGATGCGAGAAGAAATGGAAGGGTAGTTTTTGATTGTGGAAATATTGCGTCCATCAGGTAGAGTGGTATTTGTGCTCATGACCTTTGCATCGAAAAGTGACAACAAACTGGCAGGAATTTTACCAGCAAGAGGATGTCGAGGGGACTTGATAGATTCAGAATCAGAATCAGACTCATCAGTGCTCTCTGCGGGCTTGGGCGCTTGCTCGGTTTGCATGGAAATGTCAACTATGCTGTCTTCGCCGTCAACAGAAGATGATCTGATTCGGGAATCTGCTGATCGTGCATCATCCTCGTTTGTGACCACGGTATCAGAGTCATCAGCAGCATGGTCATCGAGGATGTTTTCCTCGGCAGCCATAATGTCACGGGTAGTCATGTTATTAGCCTGGGCCAGGAGCTTGCGGTAAATCGCCTCAAGATCCTGGGCCTCTTCAGCAGAAAGACGTAGGAAGGATGGAATTCCGAAAAGTTCACGAGTGGACTCTTTGTTCTTGCGCGGAACAAGTTTGCGGTGGAAGATGGGCACAAGGACTGCATCGTCATCATCGGAGGGAGAGTCAGAAGAATTGGCAGATGCTGGAAGAGGACCAAGATCATAGAACACAATAGTATCTTCTTGGGTAATGCGTAGACTTCCGAAAGAGTCGTCGTCGTCGCAGAAAGTTTGCCAGAAGGAATTGTGCAATGTCTCAGCTGCAAAGATTCGTTCTCCGTCAATTCCCATCTTTTGCGCGACGAAGTCCTTCCAGGCCCTCAATGTATCATTTTCATCGAGGCGGACTTTCAGAGACACTGGTGGACCGTCAAGGGGGAAAAAGATAATTGTCCGATTGATAAGCGTCGGACCCGTTGGGATAGGCACAGTGACCATGGTGAAAGGATCCATGATGATGCTGGTCTTATCGCAATTGTGGCAGATCAGTGTTGATTTGTACATTCCGGCAAACAGATCAGTGATAATGGAGGCGTTGCGGGCCTCATAAAGGTCCCAACACTTCTTTCCGAAATCCTCAAGAGCTTTGCGATTGTGGATCATTTCATCAGTAGAATCAGGGATGACAGTAGATGGCTTGCTGCCAACGATGCGGCTTAGATCTTCCGACAGTGCATCAAGGAGGAACATCACAAATTCTTGACTGTCATGCTGCTCATAGCCAGCAAAGTCTTCACGTTGCCGACCAGCGGCAGCACGAAACCTATATGGGTTGACAGATCTCGGCTGAGGGTCCGATTTGTAGAGTTCCTGAAGTAAGTTGGCCCATTGCTTAGCAATGACGCCACCGCATCCCAGGACATTGGTAGGATTCAGCTCGGGTTTGTACATTCCACCTGCGTGTCAAGATTAGCATTAAAAGACCTCGTTTCACAGTATCCAACAGTAGGATTGATATACTCACTGAGGAAGTAATAAGACAACTCCTCAATACTTCGCACACATTGCAACGCAGAATTCATGTAACAAGTGTTGCCCAGGTTTTGCAACCCCACGATAAGCTGTCGGCCCTTCCGGCCTCGAGAAATAAGCCCTCTGATTGGATCGGGTCCCAGAGTAGGAGTAGATCTGCCATTGGGTTGCGTGCTCTTTGGTGCAGCTTTAGCGGTAGAGACTTTGGTAGCAACATCGTTCTTTGGTTGATCCACAGGGATCCCCAAACTTTTGAGAGTTTTGGCAGAGGCCTCAGACACCCATTCTCCGTTTTTGAAACCGCCGACCTGTTCCTCAAGAACGACACAATTCGCCCGGGTAAGACCTGCCATGTCCAGAGTCATACGGCCGTTGTAGTTTGCATTTTGAGTTTGATCCTTGACGTTATCAAGCAACACTCGGTGGCTTCCCTCCGGAAGTTCAAGGAAGGCATTCAAATCGAAAAGGAGCTTGTCGTTGGGGTTCGAGATCAAAGCCAATGGAGGAGCTGGTGATTGACTGCGAGAGGCAGCTGGGGTTGCTGAGGCTGATGCAGTGGTGCTGCGAGGGAGCTGAAGAATCTTCCAAACTCGAACCTTGGTCGACATATCGATACCAGTCTGTTCTTTGGCATCCTTCAACCATTTCTGGTAGTTCGTGGTGCGACTAGCCAGGATCTTGACAGACGGCTTGATAGTTTGTCTCAAGATGGTCGGAGTGGTACCCGCGGCGGGGTTGGCCAATTTGAAAATGGTGAAAATCGGAGGGTAAGTCTCATATTCGATTCTTTCAGGATCACCGGGCTGGCTGGTGTTGTGAGCATAGCGGATGATCACAGGTGACTGGTCGGCGAGGCCGTACCACTTCTGGATCAGTTCCCAGCCATGTTGCGGAATTATCGCAAAATCCAGAGCGTCATGTAAACCAGGGCGCATAGGCACAAACATTTCACCGGTTTCGTCTTTGAAGCTGGGAGTGGCAGGGTCGGTGTCAAGCATAATGTTCAAATTGTTGACGGGGCCAATATCGCCATCCAATGATCCTTTGTCAGTGTGATCTGCGTGCGCGGTGGTGCGTGCAAGCACCTTTTTCAGCCAAGCCATTGAAACAACAAAGCCCTTTTGTCCATCTTTCAACGGCGCCTTCATCAGCGCATTCACCTCAGTCACTTGGTCGTCGATCGTAGGAATGTCATCCGATTTCGGCGATGCTGGTCTGGACTGGTCGTCAGTCGAGGATGCCGAGCCGGTAATCTCATTGCTCGACGTTGTGGGATATGTGGGTTCATCGTTTATGCCGTCGCATGTGCGGGGAATAATGTATGTGCGCGCATTAGTGAAGCCGGTGCTTACGCCTCCTTCAGGGTCGGAGTCGGTAATCTCGGATGCTGGGCGCTTCTCGCCGGGAGAAGGGGATCGTCCATGGGTTGGAGGTGTACCCTCTCGAGTATCGGAGGGCATGTCGGAATGGTCGCTGGAGAGGGTGAGTCCGGCGGTTGCGGTCGCGGGGGTCAGCGAGCGCCCAGGCGGGCTTCCAGACTGAAACTGCAGATGCGCAGGCACGTAACGAGGCGGGGACACCGACGAACTCTGACAGCGGGAAGAAGAGGAAGATGTGTGGCGAGAGTGTGGGTGTTCGGAGCGGCCGTGACGTCGAGCCCGAAGGCCTGGACTGGTGCGAGGCTCTGGGGAAACTTTTCGTCTCTTTGGTGAAGACGTCGTGGCGATGAGCTGCGCACCTCGTGTCGCAGCTCGGGGCAACCAGGGGAAAATAGAAGACGGGATCAAAGCAGCACCCTTACTTCCTTTAGATGGAAGTACAAGGGGATTTGGTTGTGAAGCGAATTCAACTGGCAGAAAATCTGAAGGTAATTTTTTTTTTCCGGAGCGGAAACGAAACCCAGGGCTATCCACAGATGACCAGCGTCTGTAGATGAAGCAAAGTTAAGACAATTGATGAACACAAGAATTAAAAAAGAGAGTACAAACAGAAGAAATTTTGAAGAGAAGAAGATATGAAAAGAAGATGTATGGGAAAAAGAGAAGAAAGATTGGAAAGTTGGAGCTGTGAAGGTCTCTTATACTTGAAGGTGAACTATTCAGAGTAGTTCACACAATGAGAGAGACTCGTGAATGAGACTGATTGTCAATAGTTATTGTGCTCTTATTTACATCGTGAATGTTGTGAAATTTTTGGGATTCTGTTTCCATTCCTATTGTGGTGCTATTGTGGTGCTATTGCCATCCTATTGCGGTACTATTGAGCTATTGTGAACAATGAATTAGGGCACAGTACCCTCACTGTCGTGCACGACTCATCAAACAGATTAGTCCTAATACCTAAACAATTATAGGTTGGTTAGCACGCTGTGAAGAAACACAATTTGAATCATTATGGTCATTTTGCATTTTCTCATGGGCTAGCCATGGTAAGATAGATACATTAAAAAAAAAAAAGAAAGAAAAGAAACCGAAAGTACAATCTGCAAGTCAACGCTTCTCCAGGTAGAGCTTGTAGAGCGTGTTGTGCTCTGCTCCTGAGAGGACATACTCCACATCAGCTCGGTAGTGTACAGGGTTAGAGGGGTCACTGCGACCCCATGCAACAACAGCATTGAGGTCACCTTTGAACCGCTTGGTGAGATCGAGACAGTGGTCGCAGAGCATCAGTCCACACCCGTAGGCTTTGTCCTCAAGATCCACCACATCGGCATAGATATCAACTTGCTGAACCGTCTGGCATGACGCGAATGCGGGCTCTCGACACAAACTGCACCATTGGTAATCCGGAGCTGGGAAAAAAGGGCCAGTCTTCCCAGTCTCGGGATCAGTCACTGTTTCACTTGCTCTGTGTAGAATTTCTGAAGCAGCAGCTCTTCGCACTTCGTCGTTTGGGGAAAGAGGCACAGGTAGTAGCTCGAGGTTGACATGGGAACATGCGATGATGCTGCATCGATTCCATGTACAAGAGAAACACATCCTGCTCTGTTCTTTTCCGTCAGCAGTATGGCCATCCTTAAGCTCAACAATGGTGCCGTCGGGAAAGGTCCAGACCTCTGGGTTACGAGCACCGAGCCCAGTGATTCCATATGCAAAGTTATTGCACCAGTGGCAAGGGGGGATCCACCCTGGTCATCTGCGATAAACACCACGGGATGCGCAAGCTCGGTCCAGATTCGATGTGTGTTTGCAGGTTGCGAAGCAATGGTATTGGGGGCGTTGGGGTGAGTGGGTGAGTTGAGGGAGGAATCAGAAATATAAATCGACGATTTTCCCCTCTCCGGGACATCGTCGTCCGAATCACTGATCTCAATCACCTCATGTAATTTCGGTCCCTCTACAACGGAGGGCTGAGCGTTGTTGAATGAGGGGGATGGGATCTCCCGAGAATTGCTCTTTTCGACATTGGCCTGGGGAGTCTGAATCTTTGGTGAGTGGATAGCTGGGGAAGTGATTTGTTCACTTGGCTTAGGTAGCTCAAGAGCGTCAAGTTCTGGTGTTCCATGGGCTGAGTTGCAGTTTGCTGGAGAATCGATCTTCGGGGAACTGATTCGTTCACTTGGCTTGGGTAGCTCAAGAACGCCAAGCTCTGGACTTCCATGGGCCGAGTTGGGGTTTGCTGGAGAATTGGTCTTTGAGGAAGTGATTTGGTTACTCGGCTTGGATGCCGGAGAACCTTCAAGCTGTGGACTGCCATGGGGAGAGTTGGAGGTTATAGGAGAACTACTCCTTGGGGAGCTGCTTGGCTCGCTTGGCTCGCTCGTGGAAAATAGTGCAAAGGGTGGGTATTTAGCTGGTCCAGCAATGCAGTCGAACCCATGATTTCGGCATGTAAGACAAGGTTGGGAATGGTCGTAATCAGGAAGGCGATACGAGCAACACTCTTTCTTCCGACCTTTGCAACTCTCGCATGTCCGTTTCCATTTGGGTGAGGGGCTCACAACACATGGAACATCATCAGCAAGACATGCTGTGCAAGGATAGGCAAACGGATCAGGATCAGATGTAAGCGAACATTCCATGCCCAGTTCTTGACAGGCAGCGCACACTCTCTTTGGATATTTGTCATCCACAGGCAAGTCATCTGCAGGTGACTCTGATGCTGAGGCCTCGACGTTGGTTGTGTCTTTCTTTTGTGGTGAATCCGCTTCCTTGTTGCGGCGTCGAAGGCTGTATCGCGAATTTGGTGTGTCTGTCTCGGGATTGACGGCCCAGTATCTGTCCCAGCTATCGGGCTCACTGTGTTGAGATGGTGTCAAAGGGCGAGCATCATTTTCTTCTCTCATGTCTGGGCCCAGCCTAGAACGGAGTGTCGAAGTTGGAGACAAGCTCCTGGCCTTTTTACCAGACGGACGAGTGTCCAGACCATCCTCATTGAAAAGAGATAGCTTGCGCTTGGTCGGTGTTCGCTTGTTAGAAGGGTCATAGTCCTCATCTTCGTCATTGTCATGCCATGACCCAACGGCAGCGGCACGCTTGGAGGCACGCTGCCGCAAGTGATATGGGCCAGCAAGGTGCTGGAGCGCGAAGAAGTTGCCCGTACTGTGGTCAAAGAGCTCCTGGGCCCGCGCGAGTCTCTCCTGAGAGTATGCCATCGTGGATGGCTGGATGGCTTCAGGCTGTGCGGATGCTGTGGTCATGTTTGATTAGCAAGAGTCAACTGTACTAGTCTCAAGCGACCGATCCTTATATGGTTGGGTTAAATGAAGAAGTGAAGATAGAAGTGAAGATGAGATGATACTGGTTTAAATACTGAGTGAGAACCCATAGGCAGTAAAATGAAGATAAATTACTCAGCTTGTAGATAATAGTATTCAAGTATCAATAGTAGGAATAATTGAATTGAATTGAATTGAGTTGAATTGAATTGTATTCATGTCTCGATGGGAAACTGCAGCAACGAGAGACAATAGCTTTTGGAACATACAATGTAGCAACTTTGGAATACTACCATCAATGGCAATTGCCATCCATTCATATCAATAGAAAAATTCCAGCACAGACTGTGAAACTCACACAATCTCACCCTGGATCTATCCATTATATCAATCGATCCAAGTTATTCAATTCCCTGATGATTAAATATCCCCTCTATTGTTAGGCCCTCACTTACATTGCTTTGGGTGTAGCTGGGTAAACATAAGTAAAACGTTCGGAATGGGCCCAAGTAGTATATCGGTATCTGCCACGCATCTTGCTTTTGTGACCAACTACTTGGTTGCAGCACGCCTCTCGCATAATATTCCGGGGGCCAAAGTCGAGACTTGAAGCCAGTAGCAACCTATCTCTAGTAGATTTTTCCGAGATAGTATTCAATGTGTCACTTGGGTTTCCTAGGTATAGAGGGAGCGGGGGATGCGACACTATTCGTAGACATAGCGGCGCATGACATTCTCGTCGTTAAGCTTTGCGCTTTCGTGATTTGCCAGTATTTATTTTTTGATGCGGTCGTTGCTAGTGTGCGAGGCAATGACATAATAAGCTATAAAGCCTATAACACCGGGGAATATGAATCTAACAAAAAGCCATCTCACCGCTGTCGGAAGTTGCTTCCAACTAGCCCAGCATTCCCCGTAGTGTCTGCCACTATTTCGGGGCTGTTTAGCCACAGCAACTGACTTAGGCTTAGGCAAAGGAGGAGGATGGAAGCTAGAGTTTGCGGGGATGGAGTTCGAATAGCTAGAACCAGAGGTGTATTCGGCGTCTAGTTTAGCTTTTCTGGATGGGCAAAACAGGCTTCTATGTCAACAGAGTCTCGATCTGCATGATGTTAGCTTTGGTTTCTCTCGTATTGCTCAACATACTGACCATTTGAAAGGTCATCCATTTCATAAAACCACACACGGTCATATCGAATATCGGTTGGAGCGTCCGCCATGGTAATTATGGTTGTTCAGGTTGAAGGGAGCGAGTGTATGGTTTTCTCCCTTTTGTGTTGAGATATACGGAGTGACAAAATTGTAAACAGGGTAGCAGAGGGTTGGTTGCAGGGTGGAGATGCATATGGAGAGGTTAGTATTCTACTAAGTAGTCCTCCATGGTAGCTGATGGGCTCCTAACTAGGAATAGGAGCGCGAGCCCTGGAGGTCCGATCCCCTTCAGTCATACAACATCGAAAATGACCATATAATTACCTAGACATATCCCCACAGGTATCAATGACATTTTCTTCTTGGGTAACTTTGAAGATACTTACATACCTCGCATGGTTCTACATAAGTTTGGATTCATCTGCCGCCAAAGGAAGCCCAATATCATCAATACAACAGAGTAGAAATCTGCATAGCATAAGTATGGGATATATATTGCTAACAGTTCAGAATGTCAATGATTGCGTGTGATTAATATTAGCTCGACGAAAACGAAATAGAATCTAGAATCCATCATGGGTTATCTAGAATTTGATTAGTAGGGTTGAAGAAAACATAGCAGGTGGTAGATCTAACAAAAAAGCAAATAAAAAAGCCAGGAAGTCCGGAGAGTTTGAGGGACAGGAATGGAAGCCAGTTTGCTACCAGAACTGTTAAAGTTCAAGGGTCCAAGCCCCGGTACTGTCTAATCCAAAACAGTCTTAGCCTCCGTCTGGGGTCCATGACCCAATCACATACAGTAGTAGCACAACTGGTAGCACAAGGTTATATTGCTATCAAGTACGGGGTATATAAAAAGGACTTCATGTACCATCCCGAGGTCTGATACAGGGCTTAGGTGATCGAAAATGTCATCCTGAGGTCCATTCAAATTTATTGAAGGTTATATAAAGACATGGGCACATGTTATTAACATGAAGCCAGGCGAATAATTGAAGTAAAGAACAAACAGTAAAAGCAAAGCCCAGTAGCGCCTGTGATGCAGTCGGTGACAATATATGAGGTCAAATCACCTTGTTTGAGCCACAGCCACCGTTCATAAATGCGCCAGGGTATTCATCCATAGACTGGAGATGCAATAATACAAAAAGAAAAAGACGGCAGCGCCGCAGTTGTACACCCCATCCTATGAGAAAAGGTCTAACCAAAAAGTGTACTTTTGATAGACAAGAAAAAAAAAGAAATTATTGGCCACCCTAGGCCCGGAAATCGTGCATGCGAACTTGGTAGTCGTCACCACCAGTGATGAAGCGACTGTCGCTCAGACCAATGCAGTTGACAGCTGCACTGTGACCTTCATATGTATCCTGGCCGGTAGGAACCCGAGGGTCCCAGATCTTGACCATGCGATCCATGCCACCAGAGGCAATTCGCAGGGTATCAGCAGAAAGAGCCCAAATACCTTCTAGATGTCCGAAAAAGGTACGAAGGCATCTTCCGGTGCTTGTTTCCCACAATCGGATCGTTGTGTCCACACCGCTGGTGATGATGTAGCGCGGGGGTTCTATGCGGCCTTGATCCTGGTCGAAAGAAGAGCCAAATGGTGAGTGCTGGAGAGAGAGAGACTTGGCCTCGAGCAGAGGAGAAAGTGTGCTCAGGATGCTGTCGCCATTTTGAGAAGATGTGCTGACGTGGTCATTCTCGCAGTCGGCAAGATGATTTTCCAGTTCAATTTCTCGGGGCAAAGCAAGAACTTGCTGAACGGCTCCGATGTGGTTATGGAAGACTCGGAGGCAAGTCTTCGTATCCAAGTCCCAAAGGCGTGCAGCGCCATCGTCGCAAGCGGTCAAAACTGTGCGTGAAACTGAGTCGATTTTAACAGCGTTGACTCCCTGTGGGTGGGGAAGAACGAAAGTAGACTTGTCCTTGAAGTTCCAAATTTTGACAGTGCGATCGACAGAGGCGGATGCAAGAAGAGTGGAATCAAAGTGAAGGGCGATGACCGCTTCGGCGTGGCCATTGTACTTGGAGATACATTCGCCCGTACGCCAGTTCCAGATTCTGATGCTGCGATCCAGACTACCAGTAATCAATTTGGTGTCATCGAACTGGAGGCATCGAACTCCAGCCATGTGACCTTTGAGGGTTCTTAATTCTTCGCCAGTATCTGTGTCCCAGATCTTAACCGTAGCATCATAGGACCCAGTCATCAAGATATTGTCCTCGAACTGCAGACACATGACACTGTCTCTATGGCCCTTGAAGACCTTAACTGTGCAGCGCTTGTGCTTCCAATTCATACCAACAACAAATCGATCCCGATAAACCTCCTTCCACGGACGATAACGAGTTTTGAAGTAACTCTCATCCTCTTCAAGGGACTTGGGAGTCGATGCGCAGTGGCGCTTTGCAAGAACGGAGACTTCATCATTCGATTCCATCTTGCGTTTGCTACTGGCTGGATGCTCGGCTGTCGAGCAAGGTTCAGCTATTGCGGCTTCACTAGGTCCCACGACAGGCTCGTTGTTGCCCCAGTTGCTGGCACGCAATTCAATCTCACGCTTGGCTTCGCGCAGACGCTTGCGGTCCAACAGAGGAAGACCCCAGCCACACTTGTTACACTTTCGGCGGATATGCTGCTCGCACATCCGGTGCCACACCACATCATCATCGGCAAGGGCTCTCCAGCGGGAAGAAACCTGTGCCGCTCGGCACAAGGAGGCTGTGTCGAGGTAACGGAGAATTTTGAAGGAGAGCTCTGGAGGAAGGGCAGCGAGGAAATCAATTCGGATGAGTTCGCGGACACTCGCAGAAATATACGATAGTTGGGGGAAGCAGCACTGCGCCAAAATTCCTTGGAGCATGAGAGTTCGCTGCTTTGCCGGAGCAGCGGAAAACAACGACCATACATGGGAAATACCCTGTTGATCACTTTGAGGAAGTAGGTTCAAATCGGATTGTAGTTGGGTCATCGACTGTTCATCGGCTTGGCGTCTGCTACATTTTGAGTCAGGTTGATGACGATAGCAGTAGCTGGCATTCACTAGATTCTGCTCCATTGGAGTTGAAACTTGCGAGCGCAAAGGCGCATATTGTCGAGGTTGATATTTTGCGAGGAATGGAGCCACATTTTGCCTTGCTAGTTCCTCTAGGGTTTGTGTGGTGTTCTCGGTGTCTTTATGCGGCAGAGAGCGGTTGGAGCCGGCGTTCGCACTGACCGCCGAATTCGCAATAACCAGGCTTCGTTGCGTGGACGAGGATTCCGGTGAATCGGCCATGGTGAATGATTCGGTCTCGCGCGGTGTTAAGGCGGAGGGGAGGGCCGCTCGGGCGAGTGGCGGTCGCGTCTGATGTTGCACTGAGATAAGAACCAGGTCAGGTTTGTAGGTATCACTGGTCTCCTAGGTTGAATGATTTATAATGGCGAAGAGAGGACAGAGGAAGGGTATTAATCAATGTCACAATGAGGGGTCCTTGAAAAATTCTCCAGAACCAGAGAGTTAAAAAAAAGGGAGGGGGGCAAGGGTTATCGATTGGGGCAATCTGAGTACCCTGAGAGGATTGAGATAACAGCGTGATTGAGATTGACAACTGGAATCAACTTGAATAAAGGGAAAAAAAAAAGCAAAAATGGGATCGACAGAGGCTTTTAAATCAGAGAAGAATTCAAGTCAAGAAAATTGCACAATTTGGATGTGTCTTCGATACGCCATCGATGGAGTCCGGGGATTGCGTGACAGCCGCAGCGGCGAATTCGTGATTGGGGCGGTGAGATTTCACGTGATCATCCACATTGCGCCATCTCCACGCCCTCGCACCTCAATCGATCACTTCCTACGCTTCCGACAGGCTGATTCGCTACCATTTGGTTTGACTGGGGTGAAACGGGGCAGTCTATCTTTGTATGCTTCAGGCTAGTTCCGGCAATCATCTCACACCGACACTGACACTTGGTTGAGACCCACTACCCTTAGCTTTGTTAATACTACTGCGGTCTATCTAAACCTTCTGTGAACGGCTTGCTGTGCCTACAATTTACATTGTATCCAGAGAAGCAAGTCTTGACCGAGAACGACTCGAGAACTACTGGTAAGAGGCTGTTTATTTTTATCGCTTTATTTACAAGTCATTTCTGGGCTTGAGCTCGTGCTTCCCTTCCAATCTACGGTGTGGAGCACAGGCCCGGCTCATTGTACCGAGCTCTTTATACCCAGTCCAGATCCATGAGATCGAAAGTAGCCATTTTCCTCCAGTGCTGTTTGGGTTTACAGCAGTCTGATTGAGCAAATATAGATCTATGCTGAAGTTTTTTTTTAGAGTTTTGGTGAAGTGAAAGGGTTGCAATCACCCCCTTTTCCTGTAGCTGTGTCGATTCACCGTTACCCCTGAGAGGTCAATCTCTCCCTTAGCCCTGGTCTTATCTTACTCCGAATGAGCCATTTACAGGGTTAATTGATTTACACAATGGCGTCATCCCAATCCTCTTCGTCGTCCATTCGTCCGCAGGCTGGACTGAACGACGGGGACCAGCAATCCCTACCCCAGGTTGACACTCTGATTTCTTATCTGCTGGGTGCCAAACGTTCGCTCTCCTCTATTGCTCATGTCTGGCGAGCCAATGAAATAGTCACTGCGTCACACTCAGCACTAGAGCAGAGTGTTATCGTGTGCTCCCGAACAGGCTTCTTGCGCCGTGGCCTTAACGGACAACTCCGGCTTTTGTATGATGTTCGTACCGAGGTCGAACAGATATCATACCGAGGACGTGCTGAATTTTCAGTAGCACTAAAAAATCTGGATGCTGCTGATGCCCGGCTCAGAAACACGTTAGATCTGCTCCGCGGAACTATCGTTCACGCGTCATTCAGACCTGGCGATGAGGAGCAGAAGTCTTTACATGATTTTGTTGATGAGCGAGGCGTGGAAGAGCTACATGCCTCTTTGAAAGCATCTATCGACCGCACTAACACAGCGCGTGCCGAATTGGACACGTCCAATCGTGAATTTGATGACGAACTCCAAGTCACCAGACAGTCACTTCGTCACTACCACACAGCCACCAAGTTGGCGTCATCTCGATTATCAATCACCTCTTCCTCGTCGTCTACCTCCGACTCCGGCCTTCTCACTTTGTCATCTATGCCGGGTCAGATCCAGTCACTAGAGGCCCATGCTCAGGAAATGGCCATTCTTTTGGAAGCCCTGGTGCGGCATTTTGATCTTTGCGTCACTGCCGTCAAGCATACGGATGGTGGAGGCGCAGTTGCGCGATCTATCACGGGGGATATGTCAGCCGGTGTTGATGGCAGCAATGATGGAATGCCAAACATCGGGGCAGAGATCAACGCTAATTTGAATGCACCTCTTGACCCAATGACTGACGCTGAGTATCAGGAGATGGTGGCTGTTTTGATCAAAGATGCCCCGGAGGCAGATGATGTTGTCATGGAGATCCAAGATCGCATTAATGAGATGGAATCTATATTCGAACAAGTACAAGCCCAGCGAGATGCCCTTCTATCCATCTCCAAAGCAACAATCGAAGTTCACTGCCACCTATCTTCTCTTGCATCTTCTCGCTTACCCCGTTACATTTCCCAGGCACACAATTTCACGCGCGTTTGGCTTGAAGAAAATGACCGCATTAACTCTGGCCTCGCCGAACTCTCTGATCTGCACTCCCTGTATGACGGGTTTCTCAATGCTTATGACAGCCTGCTGCTGGAAGTAGCACGTCGGCGTGATGTTCGCCAACGTGTGGAAAATGTGCTCCGAGAAACCCGGCAAAAACTGGATCAGCTCCACCATGAAGATGCTGCTGCTCGTGATGCTTTTCGTGTTGAACAGGGTGACTTTCTTCCCTCCGACATATGGCCTGGGGTTGGCTTAGCACCAATGCATGTGGAGTTCTCGCGCCTCCCGGGCGGCCACCTGGATAATAATCCTGTGGCGCAGCATTCACTAGAAGGCCCTAGCGTACATGAGTATACCGGGCCAGCCAACGCTGGAATATCGGATGGAAGTGACGAAGGGGAACAAATCCCTGAGCTGCCGAGAGACCTTATTAAGGAAGCTTATGCACGGGTCTATGCACGGGTCAATGCACGAACCCAGATTGTGCCCCAAATGCACACTCCTTGATTCCCCCTGGCATCTTCAACGTCGACAGCTTTACTTTCATCTAATGCATATTTTGCTTACGTTTCTATCCGAGCGTTGCACTATTCCCTTGGCATCCTCCGCCTCGCTCTGAACTTCCCACCAGTTCAGGTGGAAGTTGGATTTATGGCACATCAGTACCGTGTTTAGCTACTACAATGTATCGTGACTATGGTATGATTGATGATTGTGACTTAAATGACGAAAACACAATAGGTCTGACCTTCCGTCATGCTCACGCTTATGTTCCCTGCTCGATGCTCATTTTCCAGATGCATACTCCTGCGTCTTCTGCGGGATGTAAGCACTGTTTGGTGGCACTTGTGGGGAATTTTTGGTGAGAGGACGGATTGGAGTGACGTCCAAAGAGAGCTCTGATAAGTTACCTCGAGATTCTTTTTTAGATCAGAGTTGTGAATACCCCATCTGCTATGAATAGTTTACTCCAATGAGAATTTTTGGTTCAGTCTTGAGGAGCTTGCATCAAATATTTATTTTATGTTTTCCCATTTCTATCAAGTATAGACCAAGGTATCAAATGCCCAATGCTCCATCCATATATGCATTTCATCATCAAATCATGCCAAGCGGTAGATTGACACAGGGTGCAAACATTTGCAACTCGTGCACATGCAAAGATAAGGTCAGAAGACTACGTGAGCTTATTTCTTCTTTCTGCAAGATCCAGAAACAAGTTTTTTCTTCAAGTGCTTCGGCATCTTGTTTGCCCGCTGCTCACGCTTCTCCTCCTTCACCTTTGCCTTGTGGTCACGCTTGGAGTCTTTGTCTTCGAAACGCTTGCCTCGTGGCGGCTTCGGCGCGAATGGGTCTATTTCTTCCTCGTCCTCGTCCGATCCTGAGACGGAGACACCGCCGCTTTCATCAGACTCGGCGTCTTCCTCAACAACATCAGGGGCAGTGGTCTTCTTTTTGCCGCCGGCTAGGAGGTCTCCATAAACCAGGTCAGCACCTTGGCCATCGCGAATGCGCTCGGCATCACGCTCGACATCATACACCTGCTCTAGGGTCTGGGGAATATATTGTTGACGGAAGACAGCAGTCTCGACATCTTCAGCCTCATCGTTACCTTCCTCACGGGCAAGGAGGAGCTTCTCGATGGCACTCGCCATCTCATCATTGCCAGCGGTCACATCAACCGGTCCGTCTGGGGCGATGATGAACTGGAACACAGTCCGCTCACCAAGAGTCAGAATGTTCTTTCGGCGGAAGAAGTCGCTGACATTTTTGATATCCATGCGCAGGAATTCCAGACTGCGCGGGTGGTCGTGCTCAACACTTTGACTGACATCGATGATGTACAGGCGTTCCTTATGATAGAGAATGTTGTACTCGCTCAGATCAGCGTGCACCAGACGACAGGTCTGGTACATGACACGCATATAGCCTAACAATTCAATGTACAGTGCGCGCCAACGAGTTTCCGGTTCAGGGATATTGAAGTCCACATCCTTGAGACGCGGTGCGCCCAGACCCTTCGAGCTACCAATGAATCCCATAACAAGGACGTGCAGGCGAAGGAAGATAGGCTCGGGGCAAGGAATACCAGAGGCATAGATTCTTCGCAGGTTTCGCATCTCCTTCTCGGCCCAAAGTTTGACCATGGCGCGGTTGTTGCTCTTGTTGTATCCCTGACGGAAACGGAACTCTCCAGTAACATACTTATCACGATCCTTGAATACCAAGATACTTGTCTTATAGACCTTGATCGCACGGTGTAGTGGGGGAGCATCCTCGTCTTCCTGCGAGATAGACATGGCATGGTAGACATTCGCTTCCTTTCCAGTCGACAAACATCCGTGGATTTCTGAAACAAGGCCTCGGTTGATCATCTGCAGTAGAAGCATTCGCGTACGAGGATCCAACACTTGTTCTGATGTGGCTCGGTCTGCCTTATCTCCATGCTTGTTGCTGTGTCCCGAAATGCCGGCCTGTGCGTCATCCAGCTTGATCTTTGCAGCATGGCGAGTAAGAGATTTGACCTGGTCATCGACGAACGCAGAGGTATTCACGGTAGGCTTCTGGGTATTCGTCTTGGGGTATGTCCATCTGGGGACATTGGAGTCGCCAGCGAGGTCGTTGATTCTGCGTTGGCGGTTGTATGCTTTGGTAAGATCAGAATTATCGGAAGACAGAATATCTTCACGATCCAATTCCTCGTCGAAAATATCGTCGTAGTACTCGTCTTCTTCATATTCTTCTTCCTGCTCATCTAGCAGTTCTTGCCCCGCCTCAGCGGAGTCTGCAGTATCAGGGTTCACATAGCCTTCATTGGGCACGTATGTATGCGACGGCGCGAGGCCATCGGCAATACCAACTGCCGGGGCAGTATTCTCATTTGAAGCCATTCTGGATCTTCAATGTTGAGAATGTAGAAATTAAATATATCCGTCGGTCCCAAGGTTTTTTTTTTCTGTGGCTCATTAGGGTCACCGCCCGGCAGAACCCCGCGCCCAAAGAGACGCGCTAATTTCGTTCCTCGCGTAGTCAATCTCCAAGGCTTTGCAACACAATCACGATACCCCTCGGTCTTTGTCTGTTCATTGCTGGAGAGATCTACTTGCTGCGATCTTTGTGGCACATTCCATTCTTAATTTTACTATTGCGCCAAGCGCGTTATGCCGAGGGTGTTCTGATTGATCCTCGCGTCGCGCGTTTCCTCTCAAGATGTATGTCAAGCAGATCATTATCCAAGGCTTCAAGAGGTACTTTCCACCCCATTCGCAATTACATGACTTCATGGACCTCTTATTGATTTCCCGCGATATTCAGCTACAAAGATCAAACGGTCATTGAGCCATTCTCCCCCAAACACAACGTCATTGTCGGTCGCAATGGTTCCGGGAAGAGTAACTTCTTCGCAGCCATTCGCTTCGTTCTCAGCGATGCCTACACTCATCTCGGTAGGGAGGAACGACAAGCACTTTTGCACGTATGTCTCTTGGTATTACTTAGATCTACATAGGTTGACCCCAAGCAGGAAGGTTCCGGCTCAGCTGTGATGTCCGCCTACGTTGAAATTATCTTCGACAACTCCGACGATCGATTCCCCACTGGCAAGCCCGAGGTCGTCCTGCGTCGTACTATTGGCATTAAGAAGGATGAATACACTCTCGACCGCAAGAATGCCACCAAGAACGATGTTATGAACCTGCTCGAGTCGGCTGGTTTCTCTCGTTCCAACCCTTATTACATTGTCCCTCAAGGTCGAGTTACTGCGTTGACCAACATGAAGGACTCCGAGCGCCTGGTTTTGCTCAAGGAGGTCGCCGGCACTCAGGTCTACGAAGCTCGTCGTTCGGAGTCTTTGAAAATTATGAACGAGACCAACAGCAAGCGCGCCAAGATTGACGAACTCCTCGACTACATTAACGAACGCCTTGCCGAACTCGAAGAAGAAAAGGACGAGCTGCGGAGCTATCAGGAGAAAGACAAGGAGCGCCGCTGTCTAGAATATACCATTTATTCCCTTGAACAACAGGAGATCGGTAAGGTTCTCAATGAGATCGAAGAGCGACGACAGAATGGCGTTGAGGATGCCGACAATAATCGTGACCAATTCATTGAAGGCGAGAAGGCCATGGCTCAGATCGACGCTGAGATTGCTGAGTGCAGGCAACAGATTGAGTTCCTAAAGGTTGACAAGGCTCAACTGGAGGACGAACGGCGTGAAGCATCTAAGACTCTGGCTCAGAATGAACTGCAGGCCAAGTCTCTTTCTGACAACCAGGCTGCCGCACAGGCACTGAAATCACGCTACGACTCTGACCTCAGCTCTGTTCAGACCGCCATTGCTGAACGTGAAGCCGAACATCGGGAAATTCTCCCTCGGTTCAATTCCCTGAAAGACCAGGAAGACACTGTTAAATCACAGTTGACGGATGCCGAGACATCGCGCCAGCGTCTGTATGCGAAGCAGGGTCGAAACTCGCGATTCAAGAACAAATCCGAGCGCGATAAGTGGCTGAACATGGAAATCCGCGAGAGCCATAATTCTATCAACACTGTCCAGGGTGTTATCTCGCAGACACAAGAAGATATCCAAGACCTAGAAGGCGAGATTTCTGCTTTGGAGCCAGAAACTGAACGTTTGCGTCAACAAATCGATGGACGCGGCGACACGATGCATTCTGTAGATCAACAAGTCCAAGATGCTAAAGATGAAAGAGATCGCCTCATGGACCAAAGAAAGTAAGCTGCCTTGAATGACGAATTCACTAGAACTAGATATTAATGTTTCCGCAGAGAACTCTGGAGAGAAGAAGCAAAGCTTGACTCCGTGCTTTCGAATGCATCCCAGGAGGTGGACCGCGCTGAGCGCAATCTCTCGCAAATGATGGATAACAACACCAGTCGTGGAACCGCCGCAGTGCGCCGAATCAAGCGCCAGCATAACCTTGAAGGAGTCTACGGTACCCTTGCCGAACTTTTCGATGTCAGTGAAAGATATCGTACTGCCGTCGAAGTCACTGCCGGCCAGAGTTTATTCCACTACGTGGTTGACACAGATGAAACCGCTACAACGGTTCTTGAGATTCTACAAAAAGAGAAGGCTGGGCGTGTGACATTTATGCCTCTAAACAGACTTCTCTCTAGGCCGATGAACATGCCTCGTGCTAGTGACACGATACCCATGATCGACAAGTTGCAGTACGATCCGGCATATGAAAGAGCCTTCCAGCACGTATTCGGCAAGACTATCATTTGCCCCAATCTGCAGGTTGCGTCACAGTACGCACGAAGCCATGGCGTCAATGCTATCACTCCAGAGGGTGATCGGTCAGACAAGCGTGGTGCCCTGACTGGTGGATACCATGACTCCCGTCAGTCGCGACTGGACGCTGTTAAGAGTCTAGGCAAGTGGCGAGATGAATATGAAACCAAGAGAAATCGCGGTACCGAAATCCGGAAAGACTTGGAGAAACTCGACCAGATGATCACGAAAGCTGTTGGTGAACTGCAAAAGCTTGAGCAGCAGAGACACCAGGTCCAGAATAGCAGTGGACCCTTACGACATGAGTTGAGAGCCAAGCGTGATCTCCTTCAAAACAAGAAAGATACTCTTGATGCCAAGCGACGCGCTCTTCGAAATGTTGAGTCTAACCTTGCGGCACTAAATGACCAGGTCAATGCATTCCAGACCGAGCTGTCGTCACCTTTCCAGAAAGCTCTCACCAACGAAGAGGAAGCTCGATTAGAGACTTTGAGCAGTACAGTGCAAGATCTGCGCCGTCAATACCAAGAGCTTTCGGGTCAGCGCAGTGAGCTCGAGGCACGCAAGTCGGTGCTGGAAGTTGAGCTCCGAGAGAACCTCAACCCCCGCCTTGACCAATTGCTCAACGGAGACATTGACATCGCTGACGAGCAAGTTCAGGGTAACCTGAAAGAGACACAACGTGAAGTGAAGCGCATCGGCCAGGCTCTGGAGAAACTCAATGCACGACTGAAGGAGGTTGACACCTTAATTGAAGAAGGCAATACTCGTGTGATGGATCTACAACAGCGCAATGCGGAGACCCGACGGGAAATTGAAGAACTCGCTCGATCCATCGAGAAACATCAGCGCCGTATGGAGAAGAGCATGCAAAAGAAGGCAGCGCTCACTAAGCAGGGCGCTGAGTGTGCGGCTAACATCCGGTCCCTAGGTGTTCTTCCGGATGAAGCTTTCACCAAGTACCAAAACACCGACTCCAACACTGTTGTCAAAAAGCTTCACAAGACCAACGAGGCTCTTAAGAAATATTCCCATGTCAACAAGAAGGCGTTTGAACAATATAACAGTTTCACCAAGCAGCGTGAGACCCTTACCACACGTCGTTCTGAGCTGGATGCATCCCAAAAGTCCATCGATGACCTCATTTCTGTTCTTGATCAACGCAAGGATGAGGCCATTGAACGCACTTTCAAGCAGGTCTCACGCGAGTTCCACAATGTGTTCGAGAAGCTTGTTCCCGCTGGTCGTGGTCGTCTTATAATTCAAAGGAAGACAGACCGTTCTACACGACTCGATGACGATGTTGACTCAGATGACGAGGAAGCTCGACAGAGCGTCGAAAATTACGTCGGTGTCGGCATTAGTGTGAGCTTTAATAGTAAGCACGATGATCAACAGCGCATTCAGCAGCTGAGTGGTGGACAAAAGAGTAAGCATTTCCAGTCCAAATCTATACATTGTTTTATAGTTGCTAACCGCCTCGTCATAGGTCTTTGTGCTCTCGCACTCGTTTTCGCCATCCAGGCTTGCGACCCTGCACCATTCTATCTATTCGATGAGATTGACGCCAACCTGGATGCTCAGTACCGGACAGCCGTTGCACAGATGCTCAAGTCCATCTCAGATTCGACCAACGGGCAGTTCATCTGCACTACTTTCCGACCTGAAATGTTACATGTGGCAGAGAAGTGCTATGGTGTGAGCTTCAGGCAAAAGGCCAGTACTATTGATGTTGTCTCGCGCGAAGAGGCTCTAAAGTTCGTGGAGGAGCAGAAGACCTGATTGTCGTATTGCCCAGGTGTGCTCTTTGTATATTGTAATCAACATTTGCTTCGGGGGACTTGCTTCGATGGACTAGCTGGCTGGCGTATTCTGATACCGAACAATTTTTTTTATTCTATTTCCATTACAGTTCTTGCAATGTAGTTCTTTGTAACTATATGTTTCAATGAATTGTGCACAACATATCAAGCTAGCTCACACTCGATCAAACTCTCCACACCCCTCTGGGCAGTCCAAATCTTGACAATTTTGAGTCCAGCACACTCTAGCAATGCATGCCATTGACGTTCCGTACGCTCGCCAGATCCAATTTCCATCATAATCAAGTCCAGACTTGTGGTTTCCCAGTACGCTCCTGTGTCCGGAATCACATTCTCATTCACCAGCACCTTACTATAGCCGGGCTTCATAGCCGCCACAATATTAGCGAGGATTTTGCGACAAAGTTCATCGGGCCAATCATGCAGAACAGAATGCATATAGTACGCACGAGCTCCTAAATGGACAAAATGTTAGTTTATTGCAGCAATTGGTGGTCTCAAAATTGCAGTGCGTAAGGACATGTGAAAATCCTCTGTTTTCGTACCTTTGATTGGTTGCTCAGTAAAGAAATCATGGCCAGTAACTTCAATAGAGGGATGTAAATCCTTAACGGAAACCACTACCTCAGGCAGATCCTGAAGCACAAGACGACCAGGGACTTCAGGCCATTTCCGACGGAAATCGGATAGATCATGACCAAAGCTACCTCCAACATCCACAAGCAGGACATCGTCCTCGCCAATCGTGACCCCGTCTATAAGCTGTTCTTGAACCGGGTAGAAACCGGGATCCATCCAGCGGAATCGGCCTTGCGCGTAGACTGACATGTGGTTATTAAACTGCTTTGCCGTGATAGGTTCCTGTTGCACATGTCCGAAGAAACCCATGTCTGTTTCATAGCCCATCTGGAAAGCTGTATCGGTGGGACTTGTGGGGTTTTGGTAGTTGTTTTTCTTGAGAAAGGCCGGTAGAGCCATAATTCCTTTGGTGAAACGGCGGGTCCTGAACTCGTCAGTCATGGTTCAGGGGATGGAGCTTCGAATATCAACTTACATGAGCGGGAAGGCATCACTATATCTCTCAACTGTGAGGGTCTTTGAAAAGCCAGTCGGGCAGTATTCGTTGTAGCCGGTCTCGGTGATTGTTCCCATTGCAGCGAGATGCTTCATCAATCGCCCTATACGAATTTGTCAGGTATTGGTGTTTGCTGGTGTATACACAAACTACTGACCGAGCAAGATTGAATCCACGCTGGTTGCCTCAGCAAGCTCTGCGACAGTCTTTGGCTTGTCATCTGTGCCGAGAGCAGCGAAGAGATTTATATCAACGGCGGTCTCTAGGGCTGCATAACTCGTAGACTAAGCAAATTTAATACCTGTCAGTCCAAACAATATTCACCCGCTTCAAGCAGTATAGGATGGCAGATAGCAGTTACAACACACCTCGGACCAGCAGTGCCGAATAATTGCCTCTCGGGGGGTTTCCAATGCATAGGTCAATGATCGGGCAGCTTCTAGCAGCTTAGCCCGTGCTTCTGGATCCTGAGCGAGGAGGTCTTTGCCATGGCTTGTAACGGTATGAAGGAGATCAGGCACAGCATCTGGTAGGTTTGAGGAAAGAGCAAGACGTTCTACATCTGCATTGTCATTGACGGAACCATTCAGGGTTTCGTTGGAGTGCGTCATGATGAATTGTGCTTGCTGCAATGCATATGTACGAGGGCGAAGAGGTAGGCTTAAAAGTAATCCCCGCAATGACAGAGACTCGTACTACACTAAATCTTAGTTAGCTGGTGCCGGGATGCACCGGTGAATAATAGCCGGACCCCTGACAAGACTACTATCCTGGTTTTAGTGTCATAACCATATTATCCCAGATTAAAGGATCTAAGGCAGCAATTGGTTGGTTAATCCGTTCTACTATTGAGGCAACTCCACAAATTATTAAATGATGCAGAGTATATGCATCTAACATAGTGCCATTGTCCTAGCCGAGTGAATTCTGGAGCAGCCTGGAGCATTGACAACTCCACATAGTGCAAGACGATCGGCTCCAGCTCCACGAGGGATTCACAAACTAGTTCGTAGAAATTAAGACACCAAAGGTGGGATAATAACATTAAGGATTATTTTCTAGGTTTCTAGTTAGCAGGCCCAGGAATATTCGGATTCAGTAGGTGTTATAGAATATTATTATGCGTGCTATCATATAAATCAAGATACATGTATAGCATTTCGTATATAGTGGGAACGCGCTAAGGTTGTAGTGGATGGGGGCCAAAAGTAAAGTGAACAAAGTACTTGTTTTCAAGCCACTTGCGATATTAGGGCTTGATGTCTCTATTCCTGGACAATCGATTGGTCAAATCATCTAAACATGACCGCCGCCGGGCTAGCCCGACTGCTATATCAACCCCCTTGGCACGTGCTATACGAAGTGATAGGAAGATGATTTGCAGAAATAATTTGGTCTCAAATTTCAGCTTTAATAATTGCTCCCCGCCTACTCTACAATTTCTAGTCTTGAAGCCAGGACAGAGGATATCGTCGCGATTCTCCTATAAGGGGCAGGGCAGCCACTGCTCTCGCCATCATGGCAACCATGGACGCTGAATATATGAGCCAATCAAAGGGTCCGCGCATCCTAGGCGTCTTCTGGGCCTTCTTCAGTGTAAGTGCGGTTATGGTATCCTTGCGACTTTACATCCGAGCCCGGATGTTAAAGAATATTGGGCTCGATGACTATATTATTGTGGCAGCAATGGTAAGTATTTTTCAATTGATTTTCATCCACCGCAGATACCAATTCTATAGGTTATGGTAACCAGTTATACAATTCTCACCACGGTGAATGTCCTTCTGGGCTACGGGAGTCATACTTCGGTGTTGATGGAAAGAGGCGGCATGGAGTTTGTCGAACACATTCTAGTCATTAATTATGCAAACTTTGCACTTGGAATCATGTCTTTCACAACCCCGAAACTCGCAATCGCTGCTCTTCTCAATCGCATCATGAATCCCACCCGGTTCCACCGAATATGGCTATGGATATTGACAGCCGCGGTATTCGTAGCATCGACCATCTGCATTATCGTCCTTTTCACCATGTGTGATCCTCCCCAGGCTTTATGGATGATTCATCTCATGACTGAAGGGGAAACATGCCGTTCGACCACGATACTGGTGGGCTATGCAATATTCACTGGAGGTATGCTGGTGCGTGGCATGTCTTTCGCAGAAGAATAACTAACCTTTTCACAGTGCTCTCCGCAGTCGTTGATCTATATCTTGCAATTTACCCGACTGTGGTATTGCTACAGCTTCAAATGTCGCTCAAGAAGAAATTGGCCCTGTGTGCGGCTTTGGGGTTGGGCGCCGTGTAAGTTGATGGACATCACTGCCTGGAGAACCGTATCTGATCGTCCACACAGAGCCTGTGCAATGGCCATCGTCAAGTGTCTACAACTACCAGGTTTATATAATACGGAGGACTCGACATGTAGGTTGTTTTTGCATAAAGTAAGAGATCTACCACTGATACTCCATAAACAGACGCAACAGCAGATCTTGTTATCTGGACAAGGTATGTTTTCAAACTATTCCCGCTTTTCTCCAGCCCGAGGGCATCTGTACAGAATTATATAAAGACTTATATCTGACTCTCATCTGCTAGTATCGAGTCAAACATCATCATAATGGCCTCTTGCATCCCAACCTTGGGTCCGATATACGAAATGATCCGAGGTAAACGTTCCTGGAGTTCTCACGGGCGATACGAGAGCGGAAAAATGCGCTCTTATACGGATAGACCTACAAAGAAATCAAACAACACTCGCGAGGATGACGATATCCTCATGACCACGAATATTGGGGCTACGAGGAGCGGCAGCCAGGAAAGCATTTTGAACTCAGATCAGCTCCGGAAAGAGGCCCATGTGGTCGGCAAGATTCATCGCACGGATCAAGTCAAGATTGAGTATGGGGAAAGACCTCAAGGTGACCACGAACCACGGCCTTCATGGTAGAAGGGGTGTCTCCGAGTGTGCTACTAATACTTGTGTTCGTTGGGGGGTGACCAAAAGTTTTAGCCTTTCGACAACTATCTTTTATCATTGTGATCTTTTTTCTTTTGTTCAATGATGCCGTGAAATATCTGATGTAAAAATCTTGGGAGTGAAATGCCTCGTGTTGTAAGATGCCGCTGATGCAAACCTGACGAATCAGGCAAAAATGTCTATAAACAATCCCCACCAGCAATTAAAGCCTTCTAGGCCTCACTCGCTTGCCCATTCGAATAAAATATCCTCGGGGACATCACGGACCAAAATATGAACATGCTCCAATGCCCTGACGCTTTGTAGACCAACCCAATTTTTAAACCATAACACGTGGGAGTCAGGGTCCGAGAAGTTGTGAGGATCCTTGGCCAATCGGTCGACAAAGGTCTTTCGAACAAAACTGTTTATCATTGCACGAGATTCATCGGTCAAATGGCCCTCGTCAGATTGTACAGGGATAGGAGTGCGCAGCCACACGACGAGATGTGAGATTCCGGGGGTCAGGCCGTAAGGCCAGTCATTGCGGAGGATCTTGTAGTCCTCGGAATCGGCAAAGGGAATGGGATTCTTGAATGCAGCCGTGGTAGTATTTACGGGTAAAGGCCACTGTAATCTTTGCTGGCAAATATAATTCATGATCGTGCCATACTTGGTTTTGGTCTCTTGTGTCCAGGCCAGGTATCGGCGGAGATCGGAAGGCTTCCGCTTGAGTACGCCGAGATCATTTCGCGCTATTACGGTATGCGGCATGAGGGGAATTGCTTCCGGGATATCTTTGGAGACATATGAACACTTACCGATGATGCCTTTTAGCTCTTCCCAGTCATGATATACGAATTCCTCGTCGGTCATGGCCAGCAGCTTGTGGTCCAATTCCGTGAGATTAAAGGCGGGGGTTTCTGGTACTCCGGGCATTCTGATGCAGATTTTGAAAAGAAGAAATAAAAGGCGGTTCGAATAAGCCAATCACCTCGGTAAACGTCAAGTAATCGAGTAAGACGAGTTCAAGTCAAGTAGTAAACACAGAATGTCGGGGAAATCGTAACCCCAAAAGGTGGGAAATTCCGTTGGGCGGACCAGCCCGTCCCCCATTTCTTTTTATCTTCTCTCTTCCTTTCTCCTCTGCTTTTATCGCAACTGTTTTTTTTTCGACTACAGTATTTGAGTTTTGTCATAATGAGGTGAGCTAATGTTCTTCGCCTCTTTATCCCTTACGATATCGAACAATGGCTGATTTTTCTCAGTCTCGACGCCATCGCCACGGCCGTGGCGCCCTCGGTCCTGCTCATCGCATTTGTATATGCCGTTCAGCCCGATTATATCGCCTATGGAATCGCTCTGGCTGGAGTGGTGGCCGTTTTCATGTTTTTCACCGGCGGTGCGTGTTTCTTTTATCTATCGGAGTGGGGGAGCCGAGTAACTGTACTGACCCTACCTAGTAAGCCCTGCGCCTCGCAAGGTCTTGAACCCCACCGAGTTCCAGAACTTCGTGCTCAAGGAGAAGAACGAGATCTCCCACAATGTCGCCATCTACCGCTTCGCCCTCCCCCGTCCCACTGATATCCTCGGCCTCCCCATTGGCCAGCACATCTCTCTCGCCGCTACTATCCCCGGTCAACCTAAGGAGGTTGTTCGCTCTTACACCCCCATCTCCTCCGATAATGAGGCCGGCTACTTCGATCTGCTTGTCAAGGCGTACCCCCAGGGTAACATCTCTAAGTATCTTACTGAACTGAAGATTGGCGACAACATGAAGGTCCGCGGCCCCAAGGGCGCCATGGTGTACACCCCCAACATGTGCCGCCACATTGGTATGATCTCCGGTGGCACTGGTATCACCCCCATGCTGCAGGTTATTAAGGCTATCATCCGCAATCGTCCCCGCAACGGCGGTAACGACACCACCAAGGTCGACCTGATCTTCGCCAACGTCAACCCCGAGGACATCTTGCTCAAGGACCAGCTCGAGGCGCTGGAGAAGGAGGACGATGGATTCCGCATCTACTACGTTCTCAACAACCCGCCTGAGGGCTGGACCGGCGGTGTCGGCTTCGTCACTCCTGACATGATTAAGGTAAGTTTCCGTGTTGTGCTCTGTTGTGTTACTTCGGTATTAATTAAACTTTCTTATAGGAGCGCCTGCCCGCCCCCGCTGCCGATGTCAAGATTTTCCTCTGCGGTCCTCCTCCCATGGTTAGCGCCATGAAGAAGTCCACCGAGGCTCTTGGATACACCAAGGCGCGCCCCGTCAGCAAGCTGGAGGACCAGGTCTTCTGCTTCTAGGGGATTCGCTGCGAATCAACGAAAAGTTGCTGTTTTAGAACCTTCTACTCTTCATATATGTGAATTGGTTATAGAAAACTAGCTGAGCACGACCACGAAGCATTTTTATTTTGATGTATAATCTTTGGTTGGTGTGCGGTTAGATATGTCCATAGACCTCAGCCTACAAGGGATTAGAATGTGTGCCTCGAGGCTCGAATGTCTGAAATTCTGCCTAGATTTTGGTATCAATACCATATTATTAATCGTCCTTAATAAATGCATAAATTTATTTACATATCACCCACTCTTGCCCGTCATAGTATATGTACATTCGGCATTGGTTCAAAAGCTTCACGTAGTGTGAAATAAGCACAAGGACACTATGGGTTTGTAGTATCTCCGTCATTGGGTCTTCATGCATGGGGAGGCTGTATATACCATACCATAAAGCGAACTTGCATTGTCTGGATCCATTCAAATACGCTTCTGTTCCCTTAGATTGGGATATTTACACCCAGCTCTCCGGGTGACCATTGCGGTTAAGGAGCATATGAGATGTCTCAGGTTCTTTCTTGAATCTGGAGATGGAGTCCGATGCTTCATAGTCTACGGTATCTGGTAATGTTGCACCTTTGTCGGACAAAAGGGAGATAGTAGTTGTGACAACTGGAGCATTAGATTAATGTCCTCATTTTGTTGGGGTGAACTGACCGTAATCGTCATATTTGTATTGAGATCGGCTTCAGTTGCCGTGTTTGATGCATTGGTGGGTTAGAGGCTGGAAGATGGACCAGACCAGTGGGATGGACATGGTGATGAGGACGATCCGTTCTTCGATTTCACCCTAGCAGAATAGGACGCCAACGCCACCTGTAGGACTGTTAGCGAGTCACTCGGTCCAATTGCAAATTAGGTAAAGAGTAGCTTTACAGGAAGGACCACCGCCCATGGTAAGCTTTGCTACCCAGGGACTGACCACCGCTTCCAGTAAGGAAGCTCAACTCTCATCTGAACTCCGGTCAATACGTAAAGGGACTAACATAGTAATGCGGGTGATGGCGAGGTGAAAACAAGAGACCGTAGCTACTGCACCAATGAAGTATATATAGTGCAGGCTCTTGGTGTTGAGAATGATGTTCAAAGCGGTGACGACGATGAGACTGCGTCGTATTTTAGGATCTATCTAGACGGTGGCTGTCAGGTAGATGGATAGACGGAAAGATTAGAAGATTGCATACTGCTTTCTAAGTTCAATTCAATCGGAAATGCAGCCACTGCTATCTTCTTAATGGAAATAGCCAAGTTGAAGAAGACCGTTATCCATGTGAACAGAAGAAAGTTGTGTGGGTTCGTCCACCTTTTGCACAATTGTAATATGATTCCCCAGGCCATGGAGTATGGAAATAACACCGTAGATTTGTGGCTGTCGTCAACAACTATTCCAAGGTTCAGTAGTTAGTATTGCCTTAAGAGAGTAGGGGATATAAAATGCAATGTTCCTACCCAAGAAATAGGGGTCTGTGCCAAGGAAGAAGGTCGCAATGACGCCCAGAGTAATGCCGAGGCGAAGGTCGCTAGGCCGCGACCCCCATAAGTAGGGAATCTCTCATGAAGACCCATGCTAGAAAGAGTGAGTATATTGGGTAAAAATAGAAATGATAGTGTTCATTTTTGAGACCATTAGGCGACGTCGTGGAGCACCCAAGCAGTGTATTTGTCAACGAGACACCTGTCGTCATCGGACCATTTGCAACTCCGATTTCAAGGCTTAGATGCGAAATACCATTTGCGCGGGATGGGAACAAAAGACCTCATTGGTGACACCTAGAAGGCCTAGTCCGATTGAGTGGAGGGAAACTTTGAAACACACGAGATGCCAAAAGGTGTGGACGCCAATACCATTAGCTTCGCAACTCCACCGAATATGTATGATACACTGCCCTTGTCCAGTGATATTCTATATTTTTGGTCAATAAATAGAAGGAGAACTTGGAGTTTCTGTACATGGCGGATATTGCCCGAAAGCATAATTTCTACGTACTCTACTCCGTACTACAACATACCATAGAAACAATATCCATCGTATATTATTATCTCTCAGGTAGTCGTTAGTTTCCGAATTCATTCCGGGGGTGAGGTCAGATCAATGCATCGGGTTTATACTTCCTAGTCCTTGCGACTTTGCAAAAGACTAATTACATTGGGGCTTACTCGTGCTAACTATATATCTTACAGTCAGATCTCTGAACTTTGCCATTGGGCGATATCGAGATTAACCGAATATCAATTGAATGGACGCAAGACCCGGTAATGGGTTTCGATCAACTTCTAAAGCTGGTCCTAAGCGAAGCATTAGCAATTAATGCACCTGGACATCTCTTCAGTCGCATATCCTTCTCCACCTTGACTACTGTGGATCTGCAGTGGAAACAGAATATCTTCAACAATTTTAGGATGCCACGTATTGTGCAACAAAGATACTCTTAAGTTGCAACATCAATTGTACTTATACAGCCTGGTTACTGATAGGGTGGTTACTGATAGGGGACAATCTGATGCCGCTACAATCGCTACATTAGAAAATGACTCTGACTTAATATCTAGCGACATCAGGAACTCCTAAAGTTCTCAAACCCTGAACGCGCACTAAATGTAGTCACTTTATCAAAAAATACAAGGATTTGCAGATTTTATATTTATTCAAGTCAGCCAACAAACACACTAAAGTTCTATACCCCACCACTCAGGATGCAGCACCCGATCACACACATTATTTCTGCAGCATTCCCTACCATCATGAAAAGGCCTCCGATCAAACAGCAGTTCGCGGTTGATGGTTGCATTCCCATTCAGAACTTGGGTCTTGTACCACTGCACCAGTTGCAAGGCGTCATTAGCAGCTCCGTCCATGGTTTTGTGCATCTTGGAGACTGGAATTGAGATACACCACCGAGATCGTCGATCCCAGGGCTCACGAGTAAGTTTGAACTTCAGCTCCCGAATACGTTCCAGCATAAAACAAATCAGGGCTCCATCAGTGCGAAGTTTAAAATACTCCGTGACAGTAAAGCCGAGATTAACCCATAGATTTTCGGGACTCTCATCCACACCCGGACCGTTGAGGATCGTAATGTAATATGACATCTTATCAGTTTCCCAAGGTTCGTTTGCTTGCTGAAGGGCTGATGTTTCAAGATGGCGACGTCTGTGGAGAGTGATTCCGTCCAGTCCTTTGTTGCAATACAATGCTGCTTTGTCGGTGAACTTGATACTGGGCGTTGAGGGCCAATAAATACATGGCACTAGCCGACTTTAAGATTATATTCCCTGTTGTGGGTCCTTTGGTGAGAACAAAGGCCTTATGTTTTAATCCGATTGTCAGGTCTTTGATGAATACGAATCGGGAGGCGAAGCTTTGAAATCATTTGTGCAGTTCATTGTTTTCTTGTAACACTACCAAGCCCCATAATCCCCGGGCATCGTAGTATCCCTTTAGAGGTGTCATTGGAGGCCAGCGCTTGTAAAAGGGAGATACACGAGAAAGAATTGACAAAGGAACGGGCTACAGGTAGCCCCTGCGCTCACATCTGCATCGTTCTAGGTCAATCTGTTGTTGTTCTCAGTGTTGTTGCCAGTGTTGTTCTCCAGGCTAGGAGGACCGCCTCGGGTGAGCTTTTAGTTAGCGCTGGAAAGATAAAAAGGTCAGCAAAAGCCATGAAAAGAAACAGAGTGGATAAAATTACTATGTCACCCCCATGGAAGGATCGCTGGTAACAGAGTTAGCATAGGACCATGAATAGAGGAAAGACGAGTAAACATACAAGCACGAGCGGTAAACTTGAAGACAGGGAAATATGTCTGCCTCGTCGATCTTTTATCCAAGTTAGTATGACGTTACTTGTGTTCAGTGTATGGAGAACTCACTATGTAGTACTGCCGGATGTGACGACGCAGATTAGATGCTGGATTGTCGCCCTTTCCATTTCTATTCGTCTTCCATGGGCAGTAAGGGCAACGCTTCGCGCAGTTCGGGATGTGCTGCAGGAGGGACATGTCAGTCAAGTATACAGAAGCTGCAAACACTAAAGAGAGTCTCACGAAAATGGCGTGCTCTGCTGGCCAACTATTTTTGCCATGCTCTGGGCAATTGCATAGCTTAGCATTGGACCTGATACTGTGTTAGCCAGTAATACATTGTACACGAGTTTGGGACATCAGAGTAGTACTTACGCCCAGAGCGTAGGCTCGAAAGGGGTGCTGGCACGCCAGTATTTGCCTTGCGGCCACCAAGACTCATCTGTCAAAACAGTGTCGGCTCCGGGTTGGGCGTTTGAGGCCTCATCTGGCATGGTGCCGACTGGCGTGGGTCTATTCATCACCTCATCAAGCTCTTCAGCAAGCTCAGGATTGAGACAGGTTTATGAACGGTTGCCAATCCATGGTGTCGATGGGTTTGTACTAGATCTTTGAAAAGAGTACTTAGTGGCTAGAGAAAGGATGGAAGTATCAGAATAATTAGCCACTGGCTGTGAAGATGATGGATTGTGTGTACTTTGTTGCAAAGTAAGAGTGAGAGACGTGTGAGCGTGAAAGTGACAGACGCATTTAGGGAATAATATCAGGGGAAGCGCAGTACCGTTTGGGCTTGCCTATTGCTCAGCCGCGCTGCGCACTGCCACGCCAAACGCACTTTCAAGTTCCTGAATATGTATTTCCCACTATTTTACAGGGCTAAATAACAAGAATAGGTCTTGTCATTCACCATTGATTGAACTCGTGCACTTGCCGCGATTCTTAACGTTCTTAATATCTTTGTTAGGGTAAAAGAACAGAGGTACTGCGTGGGATAGAAGTCTAAAGATCGGGCGATTAAGAAACTTCATAGAATCGCTCAAGACCTCAGATGCGAGACAAAAGCATTATATGTAGTTATAATGTGAAATTGAACTATGTACATCCGTGACTGGAGAAGAGGGATGGAATCCACTGAGAGGACGACGAATCAACGCATAATCCGGGTAGGCTTGGATATATCTGATCCAGTTGCTCTTTACTAAAGTAAATATCAAAGTTGAAAGCGAATATGTTGGGAAACACATACTTATTCAGACATTCACTGTAATTTCAATGAATTTGCATCTTGGGTTTAGAATCGACTTGGACAATCCGTTATTTGTCTTATGTAGTTGTACATTATAGGTAAGAGAAGAAGACAATCCTATGTAAAATCTACGTAGAATACTTGTGCCATAATATAATAATAAATGATAAATGATAAATAATGCAGCAAATTTTATAGATGCAGAGAAGTGGAGTGAGTGCATAACATGCTGTAGTAGATTTCAGGGCTGGGGATACACGTGACTAACCGGGCAATCCGATTACTACTGGAACGTTGCAGATAATAATGACACGTGACTCCTCGAGCACCTTCAAGGTTCTTTGTTCCCATGAAGCACGTGACTCACCGCCCTATTTGAGTCAGACTTGAGTCAAAAAAGAAAGAAAAGAAAAAAAAAAAAAAAAAAGATCCCCGAGAGATTTCCCCCCTCTTTATGGGTCATTGTCTAAGCGGGGCTCGGCGGTTCACAGCCATTTTTTCTCCGTTGCGTTGCCCCTCTAAACTTTCGACTTTTCCGACTTTGATACGCGCATTCGGTACATCGCGACGATTCTCAATCATGTCCGAAGCTTCTCTTCCCGCCTCTGTTGAGGCTCTCTCGCTCCAATCCACGGCACAGACATCTCAGTTCGCCGGCTGCTTCCCGACACTGAACCCGATGGATATCTACCGCCAGCACATTGCGGAGGAGTTAAGCAAAGCCGCTGGTATCGATGCTCAGAAGATCTACGCGCGCATTGCCTGGACCAGTACTTTGGACAAGGGTGATCTTTCATTGCCGGTATGTGGCACATGCCATGCGCAATTCGCATGTTCCGTATATGGTCATGAGCTCTTGGACTAACAACGTCTTGTTGCATATGATTAGGTTGCTTCTCTTCAGATTAAGCAAAACCCCGTGGAGCTTGCCAAGGATCTTGTCTCCAAGTTCCCCGCCTCCGACCTTATTCATCCCCCAACTCAGCTTGGCCCTCATATCCAGTTCTTCTGCAAACGTCAGCCATTGGCCACCAATGTTCTTGGCCGCATCTTGAAAGAGAAGGCTGCCTATGGAACAAATGGCAACCAGGGTCAGAAGGACCCGTCCGATCCCTCCAAAGGCCAGAAGAAGATCATCATCGAGTTCTCTTCGCCCAACATCGCCAAGCCCTTCCACGCCGGTCATCTGCGCAGTACCATCATCGGTGGTTTCCTCGCCAATATTTACACTGTTATGGGATGGGATGTCATCAAAATGAACTACCTGGGTGACTGGGGCAAGCAGTATGGTCTGCTGGCCAACGGCTTCAAGGACTATGGTAATGATGAAGCTCTTATCAAGGATCCTATCAACCACCTGTTCGATGTCTACGTCAAGATCAACCGTCAGGTCGGTGATCAGGATGGACCTATCAAGGAGCTTAAGGAACAAATCAAGGCGAAGAAGGAGAAGAACGAGGATGTTGCTGAGCTTGAGGCCGAGCTTGCCAAGCTTGTGGACGTGAGCGAGGACGAGAAGGCCCGCCGTTACTTCAAGAGTATGGAGGACGGTGACCCAGAAGCTCTTGCTCTCTGGCGCAAGTTCCGTGATCTCAGTATTGAGAAGTACAAGCAGACCTACGCTCGTCTCAACATCGATTTCGACGTTTACTCCGGTGAATCTCAGATCAAGTCTGAGAGCATGACCGATGCCTACAAGCTTATGGAGGAGGCCGGTGTCTCCGAGAAGTCCGAGGGTGCTGTTATTGTGGACTTCACCAAGCACGGTGCCAAGAAGCTTGGCAAGGCCATTATTGTTCGCAAGGATGGCACTCCTCTCTACCTGACCCGCGATATCGGTGCCATCACTGAGCGTGATAATGAGTACCACTTCGACAAGATGATCTACGTTGTTGCCGCTCAGCAGGATCTCCACCTGGCTCAGCTCTTCAAGGTCACTGAGCTTATGGGCCACAAGGACTTGGCCTCCCGTTGCCAGCACATTAACTTCGGTATGGTCCGTGGTATGAGTACTCGTAAGGGTACCGTTAAGTTCCTGGATGACATCCTGCGCGATGTTGGTGATAAGATGCACGAGGTCATGAAGAAGAACGAGGTCAAGTATGCACAGGTCGAGGATCCGGAGAAGACTGCCGATATCCTCGGTATCACATCTGTTATGGTGCAAGACATGACTGGCAAGCGGTATGCACCCAGTTTCCTCCCCCCATTTCCTCTACTTTCGTTGATTCGTTTACTAATTGTATGTTTCCTTTCAGCGTTAACGGTTATGACTTCAACCTGGATGCCATGACTTCCTTCGAGGGTGATACTGGCCCATACCTGCAGTACGCTCACGCTCGTCTGTGTTCGATGACCCGCAAGTCCGAGTTGGATGTTGACGAGTTGGTCAACGCCAACTTCGATCTTTTGACCGAGCAGCACGCTGTCGACTTGGTCCGCCTGTTGGCCCAATGGCCCGACGTACTCCTGCAGACTGCCAAGACTCTTGAACCCATCACTGTCCTCAGTTATCTGTTCCGCATGACACACATGTTGAGCTCTAGCTACGATGTTCTCAAGGTGATCGGTAGCGAGCCAGATGTCAAGCAGGCGCGTATGGCGCTGTATGCCTCTGCCCGCCAAGTTCTGAACAACGGCATGCGCGTTCTTGGTCTCAGCCCTGTTCAGCGGTTAGTCTTCCTTATCCTTGTTAAAGAAGTAATTACTAACTTATCGATTATAGTATGTAAATCTAGCATATTTGTTAGATTTCGCTTTTCTGGGTGTTCTCAGTATTTCTCAAAGACCGGTGTCGCTAGTATACCTTGATTTTAATTTAGTTGCATTGGGCGCCAAGAGCGGGACGAATAAAATGGCATTGTCTGCTTCCTTTTAACTGAAATCATCGGCAAATTCCCCCTCTTTTCATCCTTTTCTTTTCTTTTTCGTTCATATTTGCTTTTTTCAACATATGTGCACCGTATTGTTAAGTAAAAATGCGGACGATCTCCAACCTCGGGATTTGGAATTAGTCCACACCTCTCCAGAGACATACCACACACCCCCACATGACAAAAACGCCAGTATGTTGTGGAATTCCATCTGGAGAATGTTGTGGCCTCCATGGCTTTTTTTCTTGAAATCCAGTCTCCACCGGAGGACGGCGTTCACCCGGAGAATCGGGGACCATCAAAATCTTATGTCAGCTCGGGCTCAAATTCCATGGTTGAGCCCTATATCCAGTCGGGGACCACTTCGGACATCTGACAAGGCGTTTGTCATGCTGTACAGGGATTAGGGCAGGGATTTATATGGTCGTGGGTCTAGATGCATGTAATATGGCCGTGTTTAAAATTATAAAACCTAAGCCCAGGAACTTAGACCTGGGTTGGATTATAATTCTCTCGTATCTGCCTTAAACCGTTTGATAGTATCTTGCAGCATGGACGATCCCCCACCCTCGGGCACGTTTGGGTCCCCGGACCTGGAGCACAATGACAGCGGACGCTTCTTGATGAACGAGACTGTTCGGAATTTCTCATGGCAAGGTTTAACGGTTACCGTCAAGGATCGTGAAACAAAGCAGCCCCGAGACCTGATCAATGATATTAGCGGTGATGTGCAACATGGTTTGTATCCTTGTCCATGCCCTATATCAAGACCATGAGGTTGACATCGGCTGTACAGGGGAGCTCGTTGCCCTAATGGGCCCATCGGGATGTGGCAAGACAACACTCCTCAACGTTCTTGCTCGACGTGCTGCGTCGTCTGGTGCGAGAGTTCTCGGGGAGAACTACGTGAATGGCACACAAATGGACTCCCGGGATTTCCAGCGGGTGACCTCGTACGTCGAGCAGGAAGATGTGTTGATAGGGTCGTTGACGGTTCAGGAGACGTTGAAGTTCGCGGCGGACCTCTCGTTGCCCAGGTATGTCGAGTTAGAATAACAGCTGTCCAACAGCATCTATCCATCCCGATCACTCACCACTTTCTATCTACAAGTTCTGTATCGAAAGTTCAGCGCATGGATCGGATCCGGACACTTTTGGAAGCATTTGGTATCCAGAACCAGGCAAACACGTTAGTTGGCACCCCTATTCGGAAGGGTATTAGCGGTGGCCAGAAGCGACGTGTGAGTGTGGCTAGCCAGCTCATCACTAATCCAAGGATTTTGTTTTTGGATGAGCCCACAAGCGGTCTGGATTCAACTGCTAGTTTTGAGGTCATATCATATGCACGAGAGCTTGCTCGGGCCAACAACGTACGTGCATATCAGAGGGGTTCCCTGCTGTTGTTAACATTGTGCATTATAGCTTCTCATAATTGCGAGTATCCACCAACCGTCATCCAAGACGTTCCAGCTCTTTGATAAGCTGTTGCTTCTCTCGGCAGGGAAAACATGCTATTTTGGCGCAGTCTCGGGTGTGGAGAATTACTTCAGTGGGATTGGCTATCCAATTCCCGCGCATACAAACCCTGCTGAATTTATCTTGGATACTGTCAGTTCTGATTTTGACAGCTCGAAAGACATAGAGCAGCAAGTCGAGGTCATTCAGATTGCCTGGGCAACCTCTAATGAGGCAAAATCTTTATCAAGACAAGTATCTGAGCGAGCACGCTCGGTGGAGAAATTTGTCGAGAAAGACTCGGTGGAAGAAACGGCTCGAGCGGGAGCAGTTTCTATTACTATAGCTCTGCTGCATCGCTCATTTGTCAAGTCTTACCGCGATGTGATTGCTTATGGAATCCGGATCGCGATGTACCTTGGTAAGTATCATCATGCTCTTTTTTTTAAAAAGAAAAAGATTACTGAAGTTAATGCGGTACAGGATTGGCTATCATGATGGGGACAGTGTGGCTACGTCTTCATCCAACCCAGGATTTTATACAGCCGCTTATCAATGCCGTTGTGAGTTTTCATATGTACCTACAATTCAAGGGATACCGACACTGACAGGGAATATAGTTCTTTGGCTCCGCTTTCATGTCTTTCATGGCGGTAGCATATGTCCCCGCGTTCCTTGAGGACCGGGCAACGTTCGCCAAAGAGCGAGCGAATGGACTATATGGTGTGACACCATTCATGGTCTCAAACTTTCTCATTGGACTTCCCTACCTGTGTATGTACCCGTTACTCCCTGCCGCATTTCCGCTCACTAATGTGCCCAGTTTTGATATCTCTCCTCTTCTCGATCGTCTCCTACTGGCTCTCCAATTTCCAGCCAACAGCAGAAGCCTTCTTCACCTGGGTGATGTGGATATTCCTCGACCTTGTGGCGGCCGAATCACTTGTGGTCCTCGTGACATCAATATTCCCAAACTTTGTAATCTCCTTGGCACTTGTCGCATTCGCAAATGGGCTTTGGATGAGTGTTGGAGGGTTTATGGTCACGCAAAAGATCCTCAATCCGTTCTGGAAATATGTGTTCCACTACATCGATTACCAGGTATGCGAATGGATTGCTATTAGAAGTTTATTTTCTTGTCAAAATGGTCACTAACTTGTTTGGTACTTTGATTAGGCTTATGTCTTCCAGGGTATGATGGTCAATGAGTTCTCGAATCGGAATTATTCGTGTGGTGCCGGTTGCCGGTGCATGTGGTCCACTGACTTGGAAGACCAGTGTCTCATTCGGGGTACTGGGGTGCTAGAATCGTATGGGTACTCCACCGGTCAGACGGGAAAGTGGGTTGGAATCCTTCTGGGCATCATTGCGGGATATCGACTCCTTGGGTGGATTGCTCTCTATCTGCGCAAGAATTAAGGGGGCCAAGCCGGAGCTGCCTTTGGGCGACTCACGGGTTGATTGGGCTGTTGATACGGACATGGGTGCTGGCTTGTAATTTTTTTTTATCTTTGTGGATATTAATCAGAATAGTTGGACATAATATATACAAAAGCATTGATTTTGAAAATCACCTTTGCTTCCACTTCGGCAAGGTTCGGGGAGCTTCGCCCGGATGAGCAGACGCCTTCTCCCCGATACCTTGAAGAGACGCCACAGTGCCCAATCTAGCAAGCCGCTGTAGATTCCGTAGGACTTTAGTCGCACGCTGGCCTTGAATCGCAGGCACGGGAGCACTTGAATTACATGACGGTTGTCTTTCGTACAACATCAATCAATGCTAATTATCCATTGCGTGCCAAGACCTAACTCGGAGTATACCATACCTCGCCACGAAAAAGGCTATCTGGAACTAACGAATAGTATCACTGAAAAAGCATGATGGGGTGGTGCGATCACCATGCAAGTCATGTGTACCGATGTATGATGTACACGAAACTTCGAGAATGTTTACTAGCGCCTCGTTTCCTCCACTCAAAGACCCGATAAAAGCCTAATGAAGCGAGTAAGGAATAGAGTTGGACTGATTTCCCCTCATATTCATCCCCGTAGTACGCTTTATCGGTCATCGCGAAAGAGCGGTGAAGATATCAACCTCGAGGAGCTGATGCCATCGTGCAGAATGAAGCAAGGGGGTGGCTCCCTTGACCTTGTTCTGTTCCCAAGATGAATTAACGACTGACGCCAGATGTCAACGTGATCGCAATGGTTTGATATGCGGGCAAAGCTTGATAACTGATTTGTGATGCGATCTAAATTCAGATGATTCATGGTGTGCAAGACATGTTCCTAGTACTCCCGGATCCCGATGCAACGGCCTGTAGTTGTGTACATGAAGGATGTTACTGTAAAGGGATGTGGGCAGACAATACTGGAGCCGCATGGAGATCCTTAGTTACATTTGGAGCGGAGCTCTTTTCCTGATTTCTTCAGCCTCTCTATATCCACCCCCGGCCCAAAATAGCATTTTGATTAGATCGGAATACCCAGATTACAGGGTCCAGGGTCCAGAGTGTTTTAGATTTTATCGGCTATATGGTATAGCTTATATTGGTCACTAGATCTAAAGTTTTCATTCCCACACGTGTAGAGTGAGAATTTTATGAACCCTTTGATCTAAGGATGCAAGGGATATGAGAGAAATCCACAATGGCAATGATAGACCATCCGTACTGCATGTCATACCGATCTAGCCAGATTCTGCTTCCCGTTCGATGATTCCGTTCATTAATAATACAATATAGATCCCCATGTATGGAGTACTTCGAATGTTGTACAAATACATATTTACCTTAAACTGATAGCACATTGTCACAGGTTTCCCAGCAGTGTGAGTCACGGCGAAGTATGCAGGCGGAGAAGAGACATTGTCCAAAGATATCATGCCACATGGACGAGTGGCTCTGACGACGAATACCGTGCAGTGCTCAGTCCCTCGTTTGCGTTTAGTGTCGTTTGACATTGGTAGTTCCTATGGTTAGAAATCAACCTTCCTCACTCCACAGTGGCGATTCTGCTAGGCTTTATTGTCGACATACAGATATCTGCCTACAACCTACATAACATGAGTGTGAGTACGAAGGTTTGTAAGAGTCACCTTAACAATTCTGAGTTGTGATTTGGTTTGCAGGGTGTGTCATCCCCACCGACTTTTCCCGTGTACCGGATACATTGTCATTGTATTTGAGGTCCTGCATTGACCACTATACACGAAAATGGTAAGAAAAAAAAAGGGATCAAACGATCAGAGAAATGGATAAACCAAATTGCCCGAGAACCGAACCAGGGCCGAACTTCGCCAGAGGAAACTGTTCCTTTTTAATTGACAGGGAAGACCCTTTACAGCGGAGGCGATCATTGGGCCGCAAATCCGGTTGGGCGTTAGGTGGGATGTACTTTTAGGGAGAAATAGGAATACTACAGTATCCAGTTGAGTCAGACACGGGAGAGAAAAAAAAAATAGAAAAAGGGATTAAAATGAAATCAAATGGAATTAAAGGAAAGAAGAAAAGAAGTAAGAAGAAAAAACAGTAAATAAAGATAAGAGTAAAGTGTAGACCAACCATGGATCCTAGGAGTAGAAACCAAGGATTTCCCCCCCAGCGGGTCCCGAGCTTAAAAAGTAATAAATGAATTATGTTGTAATGTATGGAGTATACGGAATATAGATAGAATACATCGTAACATTCATTCTATATACATATTCTATATATTTTCTATTCTATATATTCTATTCATACTACAACAATATATATTATATATAATAATTTATCTATTTCTATTTCTATATTCTTTGAGATAAATACATAGAAACACTGATGACGCTGTCCCCCACCTTCTTTTTTTTTTTCCCTTTCGTGTTGGGTACCGAGAGCCTCTTCGTGAAACTTTTCGATTTTTCCTTTTCCTTCTTTTTTTTTTTTTAAACCCTGTGCCCTGTACCTTCGGGTGTTTACTCTTCCTCCTTTCTCTTTCTCTTTCTCTCTATACTCCTCTCCTTTTTATTTTTTTCTAGAGATCTTCCTCTCTCTTTCTCTTGAATATCAAAACCACCCCTCACTTCAAAATTTTTTTTTTATCGCTGCCCATTGACTCCACTCCCCCCACTGGGTTCTAAGACCGTCAGGCAGAGGATCCCAAATTCTCAACCCAACCTCTGCAGCTGCAGTAACGCTCCACCACTCATCGTCTGCCAGAGAGGTCATTTTCTATTTTCTTCCCTCTTTCTTTGACCCAACGCTTCCGCCCGACTCTTAGCCTAACATCCCACTTCGATGGAGACGTTGCGATCTGAAAAGTACCATCTCGCACTATCCGCTTGACAGAACCAGTCGCCCGTCGCCTGCCATCGCCCGTCGCGATCGGCAGGTCCGCTTACTTCTTTAAGTGGCCCGCTTGGGTTGGGCACTGGGGAGAAGAAGAAGAAAGAAAAAAAGAAGCCTATTTCGCCAGATCTAAGACGGGGTTGAGAGGGGGAGAATAATATCCATTCTGACTCATCGTCAAAGGGGGAGCAGTGGCTTGCTGTAAGTTGAATCTGTCTGGAGCCCTGTGGGAGCCACCCACGTCGCTCTTGTCGAAAACGGGACCAACCCTGTATTTTTGAATTTTTTTTTCAGACACCCGATTGCCTTGCAGCCCACATAATGGCCAGTAAGGGCCCCCGGCCTGCCTGCGTCGAGGATTACGACGAAGAACACCACGCCATCCTACCCGACACTAGGCTTTCAGCCAATATTACTGCTAATTCAGCTGTCAAAATACATTCCAGGTTGGAAAGATTCCAGGAGCCGCTGATCGACGGCGCCAGTGACTCAGGTTATTCTAGTCGCACCGCCGCCACCGTTAATAGCACCCAATCTGGGCCGTCGGGCGGAAAAAGCCCCCCGACCCCTCTTAAGCTGGACACCCCCAAACGTACCGACCTCACTAGGAAAAGTTCAACCAGAGAACGCAACGACAAGGAACGATCACGACCCTCGCGCGAAGAGAAGATGGTTGGTGCCTATCCGGGCACTGCCCATCATGCTCACGTGCCCCGGTCGTTGTCCAAGCCTCGTCGACGAGAATCTTCCCATGCTCGCCAATATCACGACAGCTACTACGATTACCCTACCCAGTACCATCAATCAGCCCCGATTGACCATCGACAGAGCGATTATTCCTACTACCCCCAGCCACGTCCACCTGTCCCAGAATACTCATCGTCCCCTCACGCTTCTCGATATCCAGGCGGTGCTATAGAGAACATTCACGTCAGTCACCCTAGTCGACCCAGCCGCTCCACTTCATATCATACCTACCACCCAGACGGACGACCGATGAGTTTCCACGGGGTGCCACATGGAATGGGTTCAGGGATGGCATCTCCGATGTACTCCCAGCACGGATACGAACAGCATGGCCCTCCACCAGCCAGCTCAGCATACATGCACCAATACTCGTCATCTCAATATGGAGGAGGACAGCACTACTACGCCCCATCGGCCTCGGACTACCCCGCTTCGGAGTATCAACAAGAGCGGTCCCCGTCCCGGGAGCCACCACGTCGTCGGTCTTCATCTGTATACACCGCGCCTCAGCCACCCATGGACTCTGGGGCATATTCGCCATGGTATGATGATGAGCCACCTATGGAACACTATTCCTCGCGGGATGACCGCCCTTCAAGGCACCAGGAACCGGATGAAGACTACTATCGCTTGCCACCCCCAGGAGCTAAGCCCAAGCCCAGGGCTATCCCACAAATTCACCAAGCAAAGCGACCAGAGCGCCCAGATCCACCAAGGAAGATGCATACCTCTGCCGGTATAGTTCCCTCCCAACGTCGCCCATCCAGGGCTATGGAGAGGGAGCGAGACAGGGACAGAGCCATGGAGCGAGATCTGGACCGCATGGACATGACGGAACTTGGAGGTGCCTTGCCGGTAATTCAGGATCGTTCCCATCGTCGAATTTCAAGGGACGCCCCGTTGCCAGAGAGAGCCCATAGCCTACGAGACACTCACCGACGATCAACGTCCTACCAGGACGATCGACGGTCTGCTCAGGTGGCCGTGGCAAGCTCTCGGCGGCGGAGGCCAACCGAGTATTACTACGAGGACCCATCCAGTGCCAGCGGGGATCTCGAAGACCGTGAACGTGACGCTGAGAACTACCAGGCAGCCCGATCCGGCCGAGCCTCAACAGCTGCACTGTCTCCTTCCTCGGATGCCATGCTCTCTGCCAAAGCGCCTCCCGGCGCCGGGAGCGAGAGCGGCAGCCAGAAGAGTCGGTCCAGCCGTGGCAGTGCCGCACCTTCACGGAAGGAAGATGACAAGAATATGACCCTGACCTTGAACGGATTTCAAATTGGATTTACATCTGAAGCAGTTGCAGGCAAATCTATTAACATTCGTGCTGGGGAGACCGGGGCTGTTCGATTGAACATCGGCGGCCCGCGACCACCCAAGCAGCATGTGAACGGTCCCAGCTCTGAGTACACAAGCGGCTCCAGCCGTCGGGCACTTGAAGATGTGGCAAGGCGTCCCCGGGACGACAGACGGCCGGAACGGCCTGGTCGTCGAGACCGAGACCGAGACAACCGGTCGGCCTATGGGACTCGCTACAATTGATCTTGTTGCCCAACTTGTTAGATGATTTGTTTTTCCATTTTTGTGTTCCTTTCCGTTTTTTTCATGGCTAGGCTTTTTTTTTTGTTGTGATTCCATCTTGTGTCTGTATAGCCGTCTGTGGCTGGCCTTGTTCGTTTGTCAAAAGTTTCGATTGCTTTGGATACGCTGCGTTTTTTTTTTCTTTTTTTCTTTGGGATCGGGTGCTTGTGGAACAAAAAAAAAACAATGGTAATTACCTAAGGTGAGACTTGTTGGCGACTTGGGCAACACGCTAGATTTTGTCATGAAGTCTAGAGTTGCCTGTTGCCTAACAGTCTCGCTAAACTGGGAGGACTTTTTGTGTGTGATTTGATTTGCAGCTGTTGTCTCGATCTTCTTCTTATGTGTGCTGGGGCAAAGCGGTCGGGCACGAGCCCCCATGATGATGTGTTTGTTATGGCGATATGATTGTACGATTCTGATGACCTGCAATGACAAGTCTGATGTGCTTTACTTTCTGATGTCTCCTTTTTGTCAGCGTTTCGTGTATAGCCTTTGTTGTTGGGTCTGTGTCTTTCTCCTGGTTACCTTGTTCGCGACTCCGAGTGGCGGAGAGAGATTATACCCATATCTGTTTACTTGTCATGTCTCAACAGGTCATCTTTTTCTTTGGCCATATCTATGATTTTATGTGTGTCTTGTTGATACTTTGTCCCACTGGGAGCCTCGTAGTTTCTCTTTTGGGGATTTGTATCGAGTCGGCTGGATTTTGCAGTCTTGCTGATCTCCTTCTCCTTTTCTCATCGTCCGTGCTTTTTCTCTGTTTTTGCTGTTTAGTTGGTTTTGATACCCCGCAAGCTGTCTGGGCACGATCACAGCTTTCGACCGTGTATGCCTCTATTAAGAGTCTTCCAGCGGGTGGCATTTGTCGACTTGATATAACTGTTCCATAAATAAATTCGTTTTCCTAAAAACGCCATGTTTCAGATCTAAACAATAGTCAATTGTGATCGACCCTTTTTATAGATCGACCCACGGGTGGCCCAACTCTACCCGTCCATGGACCCGTGGACACCCGCCTACCTAGGTGGGCAGTGTGGGGGATGATGTAAGCGAGTTACCCGTGACAACCACAATGTAAACATAGGTCCCCAGCCTCTTCTCCAACCTCCTCAATTTTGTGCTGGGCGTCAAGCTAAATCATATCTGCGTTGGTGTTTTCTCATCTTCTTATCTTCAACCTCCTATTGATACCCATTTAGGCATTGTCCTTCGTTTTTGCTCACATCCCACACCCACATTCCATACCCACATTCCAGCGTGTCAGAGATCTATCTCCATCTACATCTAGTGTTGATCACTTGCTTTAAGGTATGCTCATATATCTCATCTTCGATCTCAAGCATGCTCCACATACTAAAAATCTGATAGTGAGTCCAGTCTTGAGCCGAGTGCTCTTGACCACTCTAATATTCCATCATGCCTCCATTTTGGCCGAATGGGAAGTCCCCCGACATTCCAGCAGCAGCCGTTGCCGGACTCTATGTACGGGATGTCAGCAATGAGAACATCGTTGATACCCTATCTACTGTCGATCCTAATATCCACACCCTCTTCCCACGTACCGATTCAACAGACACGCCAAAATATGGCCAAGGCACGGTCGACCCACAAAGCATCAAGATGCAAGGCCTGATGGCCTTGTTTGCCATTATCGGACTGGCTTTTGCCATCGGCGCAATCTGGTTTTTCTTCTGGGCCAAGAACGGCGGGTTTGTCTGGCGCAAGGGCGACTGGGATGATTACAAGTCCACTGTTCTGCGACGAAAGGGACCCGACGGAAAGACTCTCAGTAATGCGACAGCGAGTACCGATCTCGGCGGCGGAAGTATCGTCGGCAAGGGCTACAACGACGACGCATACTCGTACACCGAAGGATCATATACCGATACAGCGACAACTATGACAGAGAAATCACGGGGCAAGAAGTTCAGAGAAAGCGCCAAAGAGAAGCTCCTCCGACGCAACAAGCACGAGCAATGGGAAGGCGCTGAAGATGCCGACGTACGTGCCTACCGAGAGGAGAAGCCCGCTCGCGTTGGCGGCATGAACCGTGAAGCCGACGGAACCTACAACGGCAGCGACTACGACACCTCCGCCCCACCTACCGCCTACCAAGAGAGCCAGATGAGCCAGACTCATGATTTTGCCTACGACCCACCACGCCAGTCACGTCGCGATCCCTCCGGCTTCTCGTTCACACAAGGTAGTGAGGATGTGATCAGCGAAGTAACTGAAGCACCTCGCATCCGAGACCCATCTACCCGCCGCCACAACCGCCGTCGCGAGCGTCGCAGCGAGGTCGGCCTCTCTGGACCACCTCCCGCACCTTCATCTCGCACTAGCAGCCCCCGTACTGGCAGCTCCCGTACCAGCAGCCCACGCAAGCACCGTGAGCGCCGCTCCGTGCCGCAGGGCCACTTCACTGAACCCCTGGATTTCTCATCTGCGGGCTCCCGTTCCGAGTATCAATATTCCAATGTTGATACCGAGGATTCTGGTACTAAGAGTTACAAGCACCCAATTCCGGGCTTGACGAAGGGATACCGCCGTGATGGACGGAGCCGTCGTCGCGATAGTCTGAGTGATAGTGAGGGCGAGACACAGTACTCTTGAATTACGAAAGGGGCTAGGCCTTGATGTACGAGATACCGAACTTGGGATTTTATTAGGAACGTTCAACAATTCTTTGGGTTATGGAATCAGCGTTTTTTTACGGCAGTTGCCGATTTATGGATATGGATATGGGAAATTGTTTGGGTCATGTACATAATGAAAACATTCACGATACGAATCGACACCATCTCGATGCAATATATTATACGTAGGTATTTTGTTGTTATGAACTAAATAAGCATAGTTAGGGTTTGAAGGGAGAATTTGCCCAGATGAGTCGTGGTGAAGTCCTCCAGGGCTTGTTTGGCAAAATGGTGGGATTACCTTTAAGTCATGAGTAATATTAACAAGCAACTGTTAGGCGACAGGGCTGTGTAGTCGAGACTTAATACAAGATCGCAAATATTGTTGAGTGGAGTAGTCAAGATTAGGGTGTGGTCAAGGAGTAGATTGTGTGGTTAAGAAGTAGATCAAGTCTAGATCTATGGTTTTCTACAAAAAGAGAGTGATCAATCAACGATACGCCTATAAACGCTCAATGCTACCTGGATACGTACATATGTTGTACTACCCAGCTGATCGACTGATAAAATGCTCCATGCTTGCCGCGCCATCTTGAAACCAAAGCATCATCGCCATCTTGCTAATAGTATCTGACCCCCATCCCTTGTTATCCAAATCTATCAGTTCGGGTGCAGACTTAAACCGCATAATCTCAAATCTTGAGTGCCGCAACCGATGAAGAAGCCATCGATTCACGAAAGTGCCTTTATTGACAGGGTTTGGGTTCGCAGACGCAAAGAAAGGCGACGAATCCTCGAATTCCGAGGAGTGCAACGGATCATTGTACGTCTGATTCACTGGTTTCTCAGGCATAAAATGTTGTATCACCTCTGCTTCATTTTCTTCCTCTTCTTCGATCTGCGCGGAGCGATTGGTATGTTCTGGGTGCGACTCGACGTTATGGCGGGCTATTTGTAGCTCGGTCTCGATCTTGGTCTTTTCGTCTTGGTATCGAATGAGGAAGTCGAGGGCCGCACTATCGAGAGGGATGCCGACTCGTTCGCGCAGCTCGCGTTGATCGACTAAGGTCAGGTAATTCGTCTCTAGCTCTGACAGTCGGTCCGCGAGTATGCGCGTCTCGCCAACCATGGAGAGATAATCAGCCACTTGGGGCGAAATCTGGTCTTCATAGTCTGAGCTGTAGTCTCCTGAGGAAGATTCGTAGTATGAGTTAATGGATTGAGACCGTGAGAACAAGTCGCTTTGTTGCTTGAAGATGGTTTGCAAACTTTCTAAGTGTCGATTATAATCGTACTCCAGCTCCACCAGCTCTTCTTCTTGTCTATGGTACTCGTTTTCAAAGATAAAATAAGACGCTGTCGCAGCTTGGAGATCATTGATGGTGATATTGATAGCAGCAATATCCTCATGTACGTGTTCGGCAGTTATGAGATTTAACTTGCTCCGTAATGCAACCCGCACATCATCCTCTTCATCCCGTTTTTGTCGAAGTATATGCCGCATTTCCCGGATCCGATAGCGTTTGGCTGACACATCTTCATGCGCACTTAATACTTCTTGTATAAGTTTCGCCACCTTGGCACTATCATCACGCGCTAGTTCAGGGGGCGGCGCAGCCATGCGATACCAGTTGGTTGGTTCATTTATTCCCGGAGAGTACTGAATAGGAAAGGGTGCTACGGACGGCTCGGTGAAAGCATCATATTCGTTCCATTGTTGGAGATTTTGTGGAGACCAGAATTCATTTTCTGTGGCTTCATCGCCATCATCTACCATGTCTGATCCGGCACGGCCGGAGATTGGCGCTGTTGATGTCGCTCTTGGAGCAGAGCTATCTGAAGGAAGTGAGGATAACGGTTGCAGAGTCTCCGATGCTGTGGCGTTCGATACTCGAGCACCCCCTTGTAGCTCCTTCAGCCGTGAAGTTGGGATAAATGAAGTGTTGGAAAGCCAGGTTTCACTCTTGGTGTTGGTATAGCAGTCTGCCGTGCCCGGCGGCTACATGGTGAGATCATGATGAGCTTCAAGTATAATGCATATTAATATTATATTATCTCACCTGGGATACACGGTTCCGTATGCCCCCTGGCCAAGATGCCATTGTTCAAGGGTTTTACAGTACCTCCCGGTCACATTTCGCAAAGGAGATTATAGACCAACACACTCGAATGTTGGTAAACAAGGTTGAATAGCTCCGAAGGAAAGAACTCTCCAGGGTTGATAAACAAGATAATTTCCGAAGAGAAGGAGATAGGAGGGATTAGTCCTAGGAGTCACACGATTAACTGGAGGTTCCGGTGGTGGGGTGATTGTGAAGGGCGCAGTTCCTAGCGCTTTGATGCCCAAATCGAAAATCTCCAATGGCCGATAGTCTGTAAGTTTCCTGCATTGCATTAGCCTCCGCGCTTCACCTTCCGGTTGGTGGCCTCAACCACAATGGTTAATTGTGAGCCAAAGCATTCGGGGGTATATCAGCTACCAATAAGTTATCCCCCTCATTCAATCGCGATGTGATTGGAATCCTATTTGGGGTCTGCAATCATGTGCTAGTTACCAGAGCTTCTCTTCAGCGAGTGAGCGCTCGCCAACAAACCAACTTGATTCATGCCATACGCGCCATGCATAATGGGTCTATTGAGATATTGATTTGAACGGTCCGGCCCGCATAGGTACGACAAGTACCTGAGGAGTTCCAGATGAGAGATATAGAAACCCCAAGGCCTATATTTTACCTGCCTGATATTCCTTTCTGATTTCTTGGTGAGATATGTAAAAGTCATGGCTTCAGACTGGGTACTTCATCCTGAAAGCAACCGATGGGTTCGGTCCATCTACAATCATTCTGGTAGGCATCACTAGCTACATGAAGGATGATTGAGTAACTGACTAAAGCAAAAGGGGGCTATCATTACGAATGGGACCATCCGGGTGGCATGTTAACTCCTGCAACATCAGATCAAGGTTCAAGGTTAGTTTCAATGTTCATGCGTGAGAAGTCCGGGGAAGTAATGCGTTTAAAGCGTCACGCCGCGCCAACGAAGCACCGCCGGGTCCGCGTTTCCCAAAACCGAAAATGCATATGAGCATCAGACCCCATTTGTCCCAGGACCAGGACGTTATGCAGGTCGTCTAGATCATGTACAGCAACAGGACCCGCTCGATTACGGCGAAAGGTATACCAATGATCGAGTGGATTTTAATCACCGATCCCCGACCATTGGATACCAGCAGCTCACCACTCAACGTGTGGATGATGGCATACACCCAGTCGCAAGAGCAGTAAATAAAAAGGCGAGGAGTCTGCCTGAATGGAGCCCAGAAAGGCAGTACGAGGTAGCCCGAGAAACAACCAGTCGCAGAACTGGCCGTGCAAGCAGATCCGACCGGGGCAAAGCCACCACCTCATCAAGCAGTGCTGCATCCATTCCGCGAGTCCACGTGGATGATCTGCAAGGATTGAGTCTCGTGGATCATCCAGCCTCGCATATGGTGCTGCCCTATGGGGCCAGCAGTCACAGTCACCGCAATGACCCCATTCTCGGGGATGCCCAACGAAAGTATGACAAGGACGTGGTGAGCAATAAATTTCCCGATCTCTTTAACCAAGCTAATTTTGATATGTAGCAAAAGTCATCAGAGCCAGCATACGTGATTCCCGGTAGTAGCGGCGAACGTGAGACGCTGGATCCTCGTAAGCAAAGGCCTAGACACGCCCCATGCATCCCCGATAAACTGACGATAATCCATAGGCTACAAGAGGCAAAGCGATCCTCGGAGGTTTTTCCGAGTTGGCAGGGTTTGTTCCTCTAAGGCGTATCATTTCTAAGGCCCTGCTGATTATTGCTTGCGATCATACAGGTCTTTTCCATGCTCTGGCATGAGAATGCTGGCTGGAATGGAACTGTGCTTAGCGAGAGAGCGCCTCAATCATCATCAAGCCCTTTTACCCGGGGCAAGTATCAAGAGCCCATATACAGTAGCATCCGGCGCATGGTAGTGGTCAAAGAGCAGAAAGGCTGCTGCTGGTGTGTGTACGTGAACATTTGCATCCAACGTCAATCGCATTGTGCTAATCCACTATTCTAGACCCATCACTACCTACAGTGGTCAAGGCGTGGCCAAAGCTGGAATCGACCGCAGCAAACATGCCGTCATTCATATGCGAGGCGATAGACCTCGGACTGTGCAGTCAGAGCCCCGGATGGCCAAAGAGCCATTGGAGGTTGATCCTTCCAGGCCTGATCAAAAGCTGGACTGCATGTCACGAGTAAATTTTGGCAAGGTTTATACCGTCGAGCACAATGTTAAAGTCCTCCCCGTGGGCAAGATCACGGAAGCGTCTCGGGCGAGATTCCTAGAATACGCTCAGAGTGAGTTTTTCGGATAGGAGTGAAGTGTACGAAGCACCGTGGAATTGGTTCATATGCGAAATGCTTCAGTGTCATTATATAGAGGCTGTGTGGGGATGTTTGTCGATTATTCAATGTAGACTTAATTCCAGTTTTGTTGTTATTGATTCTACTCTTCTTAGTTTTGTTTAGTAGAACGAGATAAAGATGGTATGCAATATATGGGATTATTTGATTCAGTGAATATTCATTGGTATTATAAATGCTTGTGCTTCGAGTTTCATGACATTCGTATCCGTCTTGAAAAAGGGCAATATTCTGACACAAGGATGGATACTTGCGGTGAGCTATAGGCAAATTTGATATATCGGGGCCCAAAGATTTCAAGCTAGAAGCCAAGTTAATCTTTGTCTTGAGTCTTAACCCCAGCTTTGGCCAAGGACGAGAGATCTACAGGATAGTCCGTGGACAGAAACTACGCCCTTGTCATGCCACGTAGTGCACCGTCCACTATACCTTCGTTAGCTTACTACCATTCGCCAAAGCTTTCGAGGTTATGAGATATCTGTATGATATGTTGGAAAGCCTATAGGCGCCTTTACTCTAATTTATCTAGATCTTCCATAAATTAATGGTAATCTGTTAAAACAATCTATGTCTAGACCTGGATCTATATCATCTACTAAAATATGTTTTTTGGCTGGGTAAGGGATCGCGAAAAATTTGTCAATAAATATCCATAAATAGGATTACAGAGTATATCTAAGCAGGGATATTAAGGCTAGAAGTCTTAAAGACTCTAGGCCCTTGTTAATCCTTTGTAGTTGTTCCATATACATACATGGTAGACAGTTTCTGCCTGAGGCATTTAAGATTATGTCAACATAAAATATTCCAATTTCACCGCCCGCAATAATCTCACCGCCCGACAAGATTTCCCAAAAAAGTTTCAGCTTCCGCAGATTCGATCAAGCAAATGCCTAGTACAATCACGATGAAACGCAAGTTGGACGCAAACGATGTCCCATCAGCGGATACTGCTGGGACTGAAGATCAAGAACTGGACTTCGAAGCCCTTAATCTCGATCCTCGACTGCGCCAGGCCTTGATCAAGGAAAAGTTCACCAAACCCACTCTTGTACAGTCGAAGGCGATTCCGCTCGCCCTGGAAGGAAAAGACATTCTTGGTGAGATGAGCCGTTTGAATTGATGAATCAAAAGATAGAAGCTAATAAAAAATAGCCCGTGCGAAAACTGGCTCTGGCAAAACTGCCGCCTATGTGCTTCCAATCCTGCAAGCCATCCTCCAGAAGAAGACTGTATGTTCCCTCTTTCCCCCTCTTCATTTATACTTCGTATAGAAAGTGAGTTAACTGTGTAAAAACAGGCCGATCCCTCCTTAAAAGCCACAACCGCTCTTATCCTTGTCCCCACCCGCGAGCTTGCAGAACAGGTCCAGAAAGTGATTACATCCTTTGCCAGCTTCTGTGGAAAGGATATTCGATCTGTCAACTTAACACAGAAGGTGTCTGATGAAGTTCAGCGCTCGATGCTGGCCGATTTCCCGGATATCGTTGTGTCGACGCCTACCCGAGTTTACAGCAATGTCAACAACTCCGCTTTATCGCTCGATCAAGTCACCCATTTGGTTATCGATGAGGCGGATCTGGTTTTGTCATACGGATATGACGAGGAAATCAATGCCCTCTCCAAGGCCATCCCCCGAGGAGCGCAGACATTCTTGATGAGTGCTACTCTGACTTCAGAGGTGGATACATTGAAGGACTTGTACTGCCGGAACCCTGTGATTCTTAAGCTGGAGGAGAAGGAAGAGAAGGGTGCTGGTGTCAGCCAATTTGTCGTCCGGTAAGACAATATGCTACAACAGAAGTTTGAGCAGTTGCTAACTCAACTTCCACAGATGCGCGGAAGACGAGAAATTCCTTCTCACCTACGTTATCTTCAAACTGCAGCTGATTAAGGGTAAGGTCATCATTTTTGTAGCAGATGTCGACCGATGCTACCGTGTGAAACTCTTCCTTGAACAGTTCGGCTTGAAGAGCTGTGTCCTCAACTCAGAACTGCCTATCAACTCGCGGATCCACGTTGTCGAAGAATTCAATAAGGGCGTCTACGATATCATTGTCGCAGCCGACGAGCAAGCAGTATTGGGAGTGACCAAATCGAAGAAGTCGGTCGAAGCCAAGGAGGCAACCGAAGAGGAAGCAGAGGAAGCAAAGGAATCAAAGGAAGAGATTGGAAGCAGTGAGGACGAAGAGGAAGTTGATGAAAGCGGAAAGGGAAAGAAGCCGCAACCCAAGAAGCGCCGCAAGATGACTAGCAAAGAGAAGGACTATAGCATTGCTCGCGGCATCGATTTCCAAAATGTCGCCTGCGTCCTCAACTTCGACCTCCCCACCACCTCCAAATCCTACACCCACCGCATCGGGCGCACCGGCCGCGCTGGCAAAGCAGGAATGGCCCTCTCTTTCGTTATCCCCACCGAGCAGCACGGCAAGCACCGACCCACCTCAATCCCCAGCACAAAGAACGACGAAGCCATGCTCGCCAAGATCATCAAGCGGCAAACCAAGCTCGGCCACGAAGTCAAGCCTTACCACTTTGAGATGTCGCAAGTCGATGCCTTCCGTTACCGTATGACAGATGCCCTGCGCTCTGTGACCAGACTCGCAGTGCAAGAAGCACGAGGACGTGAGATTCGCCAGGAACTGATCAAGAGCGAAAAGCTTAAGCGCCATTTCGAGGAAAACCCCGAGGAATTGCGGCAGCTGCGCCATGACGGCGAGCTGCGCGCTGCACGTGTCCAGGCGCATCTCAAGCATGTGCCTGATTACCTGATGCCTGCTAAGGGACGTAAGGGCCTCTCGAAGGAGGGTGCTGGGTATGTTGGGTTCTCGAAGACGAAGCAGAATCGCATCCGCAAGGCGAGAGATCGCAACCGTGCTCGTGGAAAGTCTGGTGGGAAGGTTGATCCCCTGAAGACGTTTAATCGTTCAAAAAAATAGTGACATAGTTTAAAATCTGCGGGCGTTTTGTCCGGATACCATTGTATAGTCAGGCATGAATAAAATAGTTTCGATTTGCATTTCCGATCCCATGCGTATGTTTTTTTCCGTCCGGTTTAACAATGTGCGTTCTACGTATTTCATTGCGCACATATCAGACTCATAAATAAACCGATAATTCCTTCCCATCCAGCAATCTAATTATCTCAGGTTCAGCGTCTTCTAGCCCTGACCCGAGCTCGATTTCGATCCATTTCCTCCCCTTCCTTAGCTGTCTAATGTGTTTCAGCAAATCACGCGCATTTTGAAGGTGATATGCATGGATAGAAGAATCTGACGAGCCTGTTTGCGAGAAGTCGTGAGACTTCGTCAAATCCAAAAAGCCAGGGCCGATTCCAAGCCATTCGACATATCTCCAAGATCTATTCCACTCTGGACCAACGTTATCAGGGTTTTGTGGGAACCCATCCAGGTCTTTGCCAACCCACTTCAAGGCTGGTAACCATTCGCCGCAGCCTTCGAGGTCCAGCCATTTTAGGCAGTAGGTCGAGCGGGAAAGCTGACGAAGAATACTTGCTGCTTCAGCCCAGTCGTCGTCAAGGGCGTCTGGGGTCAAGAACCGGGTCACTGGGCCGCGGGCGCGAGTAGTGGCAGTGCTCGGATTCCGGCACGGCATAGGCCAATGGGCAAGCGAGAGATGAGTGAGGGTTGGCAAATGTGCTAGAAGGTTGAGAAGACCGGTCCAGCTTGCAGCGTTACGTGTTGGATGTGCTAAGGATAAGGCACGGAGTTCCGGGAAGCGCAGAGTCTGGGAAATGACCTTGGGTATGGACGGAGCTGGAAGGTGATCAAGCATAGCATCCTCTCTGTTGTTGTGAATATCTTCATCCCATGAAGCTGGGACAGTCTCCTCTATTTCGTGGCCTGCGATACCTACAGCTGAAGCTTGCGAGAGGATCACCTCGTTTGTGAGCTGCTTCAAAGTTATCCAGTTTCCCAGAGCGTTTCCCAGATCCAATCGCGCGATTTTGAAATCGCCATCAACAGTTCTCGACTCGTTGAAACCCGGGTTCTCCTTGCCAATTTCATCCTGATCCTGCCGGGTCAAAAAGAGCGGCTTCAGCCCCTTCATGTACCCTCCCAGATGCGAGCCTCTTGCATAGACAGCGACATAGCTCAGTAGCAGTTCCTTGATGTGATTTGGAAGATGGGACAAAAAGGGACCATCATATTCAACATGCCAACACCAGTTCAATGCCATGGATTTCAGCATCACATGTACTAGGCTCCTCCGGTCCGGAAACCGCGGCCCCTGGAGGCGGGACAGACGGTGGATTTCCTCTTCTAGGGCTCCCGGAATCTGATCATGCAATCCCCGGCCTCCCATCAGATCGGTATTCCCGGAGAGCCAACTCGCAGGCGCCGGAGGTCCGACAGTTGGTCGAGATGGCCGAACCCCGAATACCGTGCGACGAGGACCGGGGCGAGGTCGCGGTGGCGGAGTTTCAGGGAGCTCGAGTACATCTCGAAGAGATGGATGGACTGACCGCGGAGCTACAAACGAGCGCTGTGCACGTTGGGAGCTTGGGGGATCATCAGAGGAAGCACTAGGGGTCTGTGTACGGCGGAGGTGACTGATCAAGTCGTTGACTGTTGTCGCTGACGCAGAGCCCTGTAACCCAGACCCGCCATCATGGCGAGACCCAGATAGTGCAAGGCTATGATGTGCTGAGGAGGATGGTTTTGCGTGAAACCGCTGGTGCTTTTTGGGCATCTGCGGTCGAGCTGGGGATTTAACTAAGTGAAGTGCCCCCCCAAATGCCTGGAAGCTTTCCCACCTTATCGCTTATCGCCCCCACATTTAAGCCCATGCAATAGTTTACCGCCCTGGTCGTTTTGCCTTCTCTTATACATACGTAGCTCGTAGAAGGCTGGCATTTAGGGCTTAAAAATGCAGGAGAAAAACAAAAGGAAGACTGGCAGAAAGTGGACCAACGCTGATGACCCACTGATGCTCATAATCAAATCTATGTAAGTAATATTATACAATCTAGGCACACAGACTCAGATATCCCGAACCCAGGAATCATCCTTCATGTGACCCTCGCGCTTGGGACCCTCCTCCAGCCATGTCTCCACCAAGCCCTCCTTCGGATCCTCATCGGGCAATCCGCGGGATCGGCGAACGTCCAAGACAAGGTTCCTGATCTTCAATGTGACCTCTTTGCGCAGCTCGACAGCTTCTTTATCATTCAAGAGCTCGTCACTTAGCACTCCCAAGGGCAGATCTCGGGAATCGGGGTCGCTCTTTTCGATCCTGGCTTTCAATTTTTGCCATCGGGATCTCACTTCCCCAAATACAACATCCGAGTCCACCTTGGAGCCAAAGGTAACGCTAACATCTTTGCCGGGTCGAGGGAGGAATCGTGGGAATTCCCGACTCTCGTGCATGACATTGTCAAAGCCTTCAATCCACATCGGAACGACATCAGGGCACTCTTTGGGCTCTAAGATGAGCCGTGCGATTCCCCATTTGAAATAGCGCATGGTCTTTCGTGGTGACTGGTGAATCTTGCCTTCGGGGAAAATGTGGACCCATGAATTCGAGTTGCAAGAGTATGCGGTAGGTGACAGATGCGAGTCCTTGCCGTCGGTTGTGTATGCGACTGAGAGGTCCGAGAAGGGATCGACACACACATTGTGCCAGCTCCAGTGCTGACGTTCAGGTACAGCGCGGTGGTGGTGGTCAACGGGGAAAGGGCCCTTCGATAACAAGCGAACAGCCTCAGTCATAGCGGGTTGGGCTAAGCCACCGAATGTAGAGTGCGCGGAACGGTGAGTTGGCAGGACCTGTCCCATAGTGAAGAAGAGTGACAGTGGTCTGTCGATTATGCCTAGTCAGCAAAATAATCCATAGAAGCGTTTGGGTAAATTTGTACATACCTTGTCTGGTAACAAATATCATAGCTTCCAAAAGACCACCGCTTATTCCAAAATCGTGGAGGCAAAACTCCCCATAGTAACGGGTCATCCATTCTGGTATTCCGGCGCAATGTCAGCCATCTTCACATTTGCAGTATGGATTTTCTTGATATGAGGTTGTTGGAGGCACGTACACGCTGATATGATTGGATACTATTTTCAGACAAATAAATTAGCAACTGCACACTGGTCTAATGAGCTTTGCTGTGTCCTGACATACCTGTAATCAATCCTCGTGTCCGTTGCGAAGCGTCTCGTCGGGAGTCTAACAGCTCCGTGAATGCTTCTTTCCCGTAACATTCTGCACGACAGAAAACCGATAGGAAACCACGACATAGACCCGCCACTCCCCACATTGTTGTGTTGGATAAAGCCCTCCAAGGGAGGGACGGGGCCTCCGCGGTTGCGCTCGAGTCCATGATGGGTGGTGTAGAACTGCTATACACAATCCATGAAAAAGAAGAACCTTCGCGCAAGCTAATAGTAGCTTGGAAAGGAGTCTGTTCTCCGGAGAGCAGTTGTAATTGACTCGAGTGGAGTTCAGAAAAATATCGCGTCCCTTGAATCGACAGATTCCCGTAATCACATGATTTTGGTTGGGGTAACAATTCGCAGCAAATCAACAGAGGTCAGCATGACCATTTTTCAATAATATAAAATAGTTGTAATTTAACAAAGGCAATTCGCCTCACTGTATAAGCCTCAAAAATTTGCCAGTTTCCCTAAACCAACTGTATCAATCAATAAATTGGCTATTCCATCTATCACTTTTTCTATACATCCAGCGCACGGACCAATTACACTCCCGACTCCGAGCACGATTTTCTCCCGGCTGCACCCTGACAGCACCACCAACCAACGATGTTCAAATCAACTCAAGCACTATTTGGCGGTCTTCTCTGGTTCGTATCTGGCTGCTTGACCAAAGTCCCAATTATTCGAACCAATGCTGACATCCCTTCCCAAATAATAGGAAGACCCCGTGGCGTCTCTCCTCCCCCCAGAAGGCACGACAGCGCAAGCGCCTCCGCTCCGTGGACCGAGTTGTCGACACCGTCAGCGCTGCACTCGAGCGCAATGGCCAGACCTCCAAGGCTGTGACCCGGTGGTTTGCGGAGATGCCGCGCGAGGAGGAAATGTTGCCGAAAGACAAGTACACTCTCTTTGATAAGAAGGAGAAGACCTACCGGAAGAGCATTCACAGTATGTTCTCGTCCCACTTCTACTTCACATGTCTACACTAAATGGGTATTCATTACGGTGTCCTAAGCTAATCACTTTCTTTACCTTCAGAGCTGCCCAAGTGGACTCGTGTCAGCCAACGTGTCAACCCTCCCGGTTTCTAAACGGATTTTTCTCCCCCGCACATGTACTATACATCCGAAATTCGACTCTGGCGGGGGACTTGTCAGAGCGAAAAATAACATATGGACAACCGGAGTTTTGGCTTTTTGGAATTTGCAGCGCGGCCACTCTGAAGAGGATGGTGGCTTACAATGTTCCTTGATTACCCCAGCGCTTAGATCAGGATTTCAATTCAAATGCATTTTGTCAAGGATCTTTCTTTTTTCGGTTCCAGCGTTCCCGGAGTATACTAATGATATAAATACAACGACAGACATAGTGGTGGTGAGCGTATGGGCCCAGAAGTGATGGATATTTTGAGTGTGTTTCAAATGAGTGTGGGGTTCAAAACCTGGTTGGTTTACAGCTAGGGCAGGATAAAAAAACACGAGAGATTAGTGAGAAACGACCCGTTTGAGAGAAATCATGAGACGAGAAAGTTTGGAGCTCTTTTTCCGAGATCATAGCCTGAAATCAATTTTCCGGACGCAGTCCGACAGCACTTGTTGACTTGAGCTGCTACTTCCTTAACTCTGCCCCGATTGACTCGGCCTTCGTGGATGGCTTTGTGGAGACGATATCCCCAGTGGACTTGCTGCCAATCATCAAGTTTCTCTTGCCAGCCTGCTCCCCCTTCATACCAGGCATTCTTCTGTGCAGTGGACATCTCAAAGCCTTGAGGCGGTCTCGGCAAAGCCCAGCAGCCTGGATCGATATGACCATCTGGCGGTTCCTCAGCGGACTCCTCATACAGTGTAATAGTGCGAATGGCGTCTCGTATGCCAGATATCTTGCGCCGCTTATTCACTGCGGCCCTCCAGGAGTCGATACGAGGAGTCTGCGCGCGTTTCCGTTTGGACGCAGGGTACTTTGGTCTGGGGCTGAAATCTGGTTGTGGATAAGGAACATTGAATCGTGGATCTCCCCAGACCCGACGTGCATCGGCAGGAACTCTGGAGATAGGATCGTAAACAATCCATGTTTCTCTATTTAGCCAGTGGTTGGCTAGCAAGGCAAAATGGTAGGGCTTTTGCCCTGGAGTGAATTCGTTGAAGAGCCATGACAGTTTTCGATCCAGCCTCTCCATCATTCTGACCTCCCAATCACTCAAATCATCGACGGCGCATCCCGTTTTGAGCTGTATTTGATCTGGAGAGCATCGAATAACGTCGATTTCCGGCCTTTTCCCTTTACGGCGGGAGTGAGCAAAATGTTTTGGCTCACACATGAATCGCCATTCATCAGACAACGCTGGTCTCGCTTTTGAAGTGGTCCCTTTTCCTCGGAAATGACTTCTTGCTGGGGCCGAATTCCATTGGATGGTTTTGGTATATGTGCACTGTTCATTTGAGAACAAAACTTGATTTCCAATAAGGACCCTGGAAGTGAACGATGTTCTATCTTCCGAAATACGCAACCGCCCTTCAGTGCTATTTCGCTGCCTCTTGAAGCGACCACGAAGGGAACAGCTCGGGTCCGAGACATAACTGACCAACAATTCGGTCCTTGGTGTCCCGGGAGGGCCAGATGAATCCCCTATGTTGTCAAATACTGCATCTTTTGGCCCCATCTGCATTCGTGCTGACCATCCACGGTATCTGCGGTGATCACCATGTCGATGAAGTGGTATAGGTTCTTTAGTGAGCGTTGGGCTACTGGGCTCCGCTAGTTCATATCGAACACCTTCATGTTGCACGGCAGATTGGATTTGACGCGAGATAGCTTGGGACCCATTACCATGCGACCACGGGATCGATCCTCGGATTTGGTAGGATTGACTCTGTCGACATGGTAATGATTGCACCTGGTGCAACGGCGTTGGTACCCTAGTAGCTAGACTTGCTGCATTCTCGCGAGAATTGAACCAGAGTTGGTGATCAGAACTGCCATCGTTCGGCTGGAATGGGTCCCTGAGAATTTCCTCTAGAATTGAACGAGTGATATCTGGCTTATTATTGACCAATGTGGGTTCCCGTTGCACGACTGATCCTATTGCCTCTTGCGCTTGCGGCTGCCGCACAGAACCCGGAGCTGGAACGGGTTGGGGTATTGAGACACTGTCCTTCAAGGCTCCATGACACTTAGGTCGCAAACAAGGATTCCAGATTTCATCAGCAGTCGGAAAATCATCATAGCTCTGGAGACAATCCGGTATCCAACGAAATCTTTTCTGTTCTCGGTTGTGCTTTTGCCTTTCCACATCGCCAGGATCCCACCAAATCCAAGTATAGTCATCTCGGGTTGTTTTCCACGTCATTGAATTCCAAATTCGACTGAAGAAATCATGAATTGCCCTTTTGTTTCTCTCATGTGTCGACCGCGAGACCCAACCATACCATGTGCGTGCGTATCGGGTGTTGGCATTTTTGCCTGCTCTCAACACCTTGTTTCGATTGAACCGTCTGATGAATCCCCCAAGCTTCCAAAACAGAACTGCAATTATGAATATTCCGACAGTTCCGACAAATAGCTCAGTGAGCACTGTAGGCTTAATTGACTTATGGACTTTGGTTAGAGTGTTCGGAGGTCGCTTGGGGAGGCGGGGGATACCAGGAACCAGGGAGTGGCTCTGTCGAGTATCCAGTGGCGCCATTTAATGAAAGTATTGGTATACTCTCCAGAAATCAGTAAGGATATAGAGCACAGTGTGCCGTCGAGACTGTCTTCTCGCGATATGCAAATGAGAGAGGTTGGAGATATGAGGAAGCAGCAACTCTCGCCCAGAACTTTCCTACTATCTTACTTCGATGTTTTCTGTGTACAATCATCACAGTTATATTTCTTCAGAATGTTCATTCCTGCAATGGAAACACGATGGCAAATACTACATGGTGGTTACGAAAATATTTTTGCATGCTTGAGATTCTACGTCAATGTATATCGAGCTATTTGCGGTTCATCCATGTCATCAAGAGCGTCGATATTTACCATTGAACTTGATAAGAGCCGTCAGGGTCAAGTTCTTGGATTTGCATTGGTACTTCGAGTCAAATCGGACGTACGGATTGAACCATGTTTGGTATAGTATAGTAACTCTCTTCCCAATGATTGCCTTTCAATGCATTCTCGGGGAAACGGATCACCTTCGTCCTCTCATACGTGGAATTGTATGTGGCAAATTTTCTTGCACTATTTATTCCTGGGCAATATAGCTTCACTATCTTAGGGCCTGTGAATGAAAGTTGACACCAAGCATTTCATATCTAAACCCCGTACTGAGTACTAAATAATGCAGTCAGCGTTGTGAGGATCCAATCGGATTATAGTCTTCTTGCCCTTTTTTCAATCATATCAAATAATGTTATACTAGCTCTGTTCCAATAGCTCCCAGACGGGTCTTGAGACTATCAACATGTATATTTCCGTAGAGATGTGTCTGCGTATGTAGGCGATGGTTTGACACGCATGCATGCATAGCTCATTGTAGTTCTCGACTAAAACAGTTCACTCCAATAGGAATCTAGCAGATATCATTCCGAGCTCCCTTTGAGTGGCAAAATAGATAGCCGTGACGCTAACAAAGCTCTAGGTTCTAATATCAAAATGATATATCAGATTCGTGTTTGCATTTTCACAATACACAACCTCCTGCGAGATCTTCGAGATCGGCAACACGGATCTCAGATGAACCTATAAAATAACCGGCGGAACCGAGTGACGGAACTCCTGGATTGCACCTGCCAAATTAGGAAGGTTCCCGATCCACCGCCACACCAATACCCCACTCCTTGCGGTTCTAGCCACATTCTAGCCATTCGTGAGCCACATGTGGCTGTTCTGTGGCAGTGCGACTATTGGCTTTCCAAAGTTCGATCATGATGTATTCTGCTTTGTTTTGCTTTTTTGTTAGGCTTCAGGTTCTGCATATTCGTTGGATATTATCATTAGTAGTTCTGATACGTTTTATTTTATGCTATCTTGATGATTATCTCTTCTGACCAGGTTTGACGCTAAGGCTACTCTTGCAGCTGCATCACTTCTCAGAACTTGGGATCAGACTTTATTCTGCACGCGCTTGCATCGTAATCTTCTGCCCAAGTTGAACTTAGTCTGTAGACTTCGCAGCAAAACCGCACCAAAAGCAAAGAATACCGCATTTTCTAGTATATTTTTTCCACCAGTCCGGCAAGGCGTGGACTCATTTGAATTATTGATGAGATCGTCGGGACGATCGCCCAGCTCTTAAATGATATGATAGGGTCACACATAGATGGCTCGAGCTTCCTGTGGAGTCTATCTAAGATCCCAGACCAGGTCCCTGGAATATGTACACATGGAATCTTTGTTAAGAGCCGAATCTCGGCCGGAGTGAGGCTGATCGTCCAGCTGTCACGATATCAACTCAAGCCCTGATTCAACGCCTCGTTTCCAATCTTCCCTAGGCAACACTGTTCGAGGAAAATTCTGATAGATTTCGAAAAGGAATGAGAGTTTTCATATCACAAAATAGGCATTCAAAGTTCCAAGTAGTATATGTCGGTGTTTCCGAGTGGCTAAGGTGATGTCCACTTGACTCCACAAACGCCACAGTTCACCGTTTGGTGTGGCTTGCATTTGCTGGTTAAAGGGGCTGGACAAGACCAGCAATTTCTTTGATCCTACAGAATACTCGGGGATCATGTCCAACTAGGTCTAGGTGGTGTGGAAACCTCCATAACAAACCCTACTACATTTTTATGTACTCCGTACCATGACCAAGACGAGCTACTTGCATACTAGTGATGCGCCACATCCAACACGAAGTGAGGGTCTAGCGGTGATACCTGCCATTCACCACATACTAGCAGCCAAATGACAAGACACCGGCTCTGTGATAGTGAGTGAACGACGTCAGACATGACCCCGCTGCTTGATCCGTGCGCCAAACTATTGAAAGGAATGAGGTCCAAGTCACCACCACCCCATCGCCTCGACCTTGGTCGTCCTGTATCTCCATTCATGATTCCAATCCTTGCACATGAACGTTAGGTATGCATGCCAAGCCGTTTCCTTCTCAGATTTGTCAGGGTTTTATAGGCGACCACGGGTCAATCAGGGTTAGCGCACGAACAGATTATGGTGGAACCCCTGTGGTGAGGGAACCCCGGGGTCGATCCTGACACTAGCTTCAGATCTCGTGCAGTGCGTCTAGGATCTCATAGATCTCGTACCTGCTCCACACCTGATAATTTACAAGGATATGTTCCAGTCGATCAGTCCAAACAGGAACAAAGTACGGAGTACTCCACTACATGTACATAGTGCTCTATACACACTCGCCCCACTGTTCGATCCTGTTGCCAGAACGTGCTTCTGCAAGGATCCTGCATTGTGCCCAGCAGACCTTTTATTGAGCTCACAAATATAGTTTCTGCGGGGATGGCGGCCCTTGGCTGTCCCAGCTACCTGGTTATCGACCATCGCCCAGGCTAATCGTGTACTTTTGGACAGTGGCGACATTCCGGCGGGCCCATCGTGAATTACCACATAATTGAGGATATTGGGTCTAAAATATATCTAGTATTGATTATCGGCGAGGGCCACGAGGTATATGAAGCCCTGGGTACGGCCGTGTTTATGCTTGATCTGATTTTTTGTATCCATCATTCTCAGAGCCCTAAGTTTGCCTGCCTATATCCTGATCCATCTCACCAATCATTGATCTTCCTATCCTTCCTGCCTTTCTTCTATCCAAATCCCGTTCAATTATACCTCACGGTTACAGTTCCACAAACCCTTCACTCCTTGGATTGAAGCAGATAAAACACAACTCATCTGTTCCGAAGCACCATACCGTCAAACAAAAACGAAGATGGCCGGTCGTGAATTCACGCTGTCCTTCGAGACTACTCCCCCGACAGCCGTCCAGCCCGGTTCCCCCTTCACGATCCCAGTAGTCATTGCTGTGAACCCAATTGGGACACCTGCACAAAATGTGCAGCACCTCGTTGTCAGCGCCTCTCTCCGCGACGAAGCCGGAACAGGAGCTGCTTCTGGCCTGAGTGGTAATCTCACGGCGAGCGTGCGGAGTCGAACCGACAATGCAATGAGCGGATATGCGAAACTCAGCCCGCTCACCATCTCGCAGCCAGGCAAGTTTCGGCTGCGAGTCATGCTTAGCGCGGCCTCGTACAACGGGGTTGTGACGAAGGAGTATGCTGATTCGACGGTCATCCATGTGCACGCCGGTGCGGCTGCCCAACGGCCAAGTGGGTCTATTTCCTCTCCTTTTCCGTCGTATTTGAGCTTTGGTTCGGGTCTCTTTTCCACTTCTGACCTTCTTCCATGTTCTCCTTTGATCCACCCCTCTTCTGCCCGTGACTTTTCCCCCTCTTAGGGCCGATATTTGGCCCCCTTCTACTTACCCCTTTCAGACTCTTACTGACGCTCAAAACTCTAGCTCCCACTCAGGTGGCACGACTTCAGCGGCTCACGGTTGAAAACTTGGATATTTCCGCTGCGGATATTGCCGCGTGGCAGCGTGCGTGATCGAGGGACTTACAGTGTTCTTCTTTTCCTTTTTTTTTTTTTGTTGCTTTGGGGATATATTCTCCGGCGTTATTCATGTTTAGTCTGTACCAGAATGTTCCTTCTTTTTACCACGCGGGGGATAGTAATTAGTTCCTCATAAACAAATGCAAATCCATCAACTTGTCTCGGGCGCTCTATATCCACTTTGTTTCAGATAATTTCTTCATGCATGCTCCCCATTGCGTCGTCGTGAGCACCGACTATTCCTGGTTTCCCTGGCCTCGAAAGAGTTTTCCTTATCTATTAGCGCATAGACCAGTAACTAAAGCCGAACCAAAGGTTACTCTCTGCAGAGTTTTAATGTAGCTGTAGATATCATCATGACCCTCTTTCCTCAGTTCACATGAAGGGACTTGGGGTTTTCTTGATTAGCCTTCCTAGCGTATATAGGGTTCCGAGATCACGGGGCTTCGTCAAACCCCGAATTTGAACACAGACCTCGCACAATTCTTTCTCTAGGCCACTTGGTGGAATTAAATAAACAGAATGGAGCCCAGTGGCGCGCCTGTTTGGCTTAATATATTTACGAGCTGCGCATAGAATGTACTCATCAGCGGGGTAGATGCAGTTATATACATGTTAACGAGTCTATATACATTTAGATATTAGGTTCTCTATGTCGTAAGCAAAGAGCCATAACTACCTAGATATTCTCAGCGGTGTATTACAATATAGAGAACAAAAGAAGCCACGAGGAAAGGGCCACGGGCCAATCGGAGTATATATCCGGGTTATACTCCCTGTAAGGATACCCACTAGATAGATCGGCTTCCTAACCTATCACAGTAAGACCCATGTACATACATATGACAGGCGAATGATCTTTTTTTATGTGAATTTCGTCTGCGCCTAGTGCCGCGCCGCAATATGATACACCATCAAAATCATGTCCAAGTGGGGATACATGGCCGAAATTCGACTGCTATTTGGTCTCGAATAAATGATTGTCGGATCGAATATGGATTATGGTCTGGGCATTATTATTGCAGCGCACTGGGGTAGGAAAGCGCGTTTTACCTCCGGATTTTACAAGTATCGGGTATTTGAATTTACTATGTGTGTTATTCGTAGACCAAAGTACTGAGTACATAGCTCACCTAAATAACCTACGGGACACCTGCATCTCCCGGACTATGGTTACATAAAGATTTATTTAGCAAAAATATAGTCAAAAATTGCCTATATTTGAGCTCGTGAAGTCATATAATGAAGTCCAATGTCTGTCTTTTGTCGGGCGGTTGCTGTCATGGGACAATCTGACGTCCTCTTGACCACATCCACATCAGGTTAGGAGGTCATTCCCTTCGGCGATATGGCAAAAGATCCTATCTCAAATTAAGAAATGACTTAAAATACTTGATATTGGCGCAAAAATATGTTTCAGTCGGCACTTAACACAAAGCCATTCTTTCTTTCTTTCTCGTCTGTGTTTTCCCGACAATCTACTGCTGGAGCTTCCAGCATTTTAATTTCTCTACGCCTAGGTCATTCTCACCCTCAGATGAGTCTTCGATCACCCGGGAAAGCCTATGATTAATTCATAGCTTTACACGTGCAAACGATCTAAGTAGGTTACCCCGGGCTTTATAAACTCGTGTTCTGCTACGCCAAAGGTATATATCCCTGTTTATCTGATCCTTTCCTCTCACTTCAAACATACACCATGGATATAGGATAGGTTTCGCTACGATCTCGTTTTCACCCAGCCTGACTCCTCCTCCTCCCCTCCTCCCCTCCAATATGGCACATAACCGTCACCACAGAAGACACCACACATGGCCCGGCTTCGGCTTAGAACTGTGTATGCACGAACCCCGCAGCCTAGAGAGACATGTATCCAAATCAGGCCATGGCCCCGAAACCTACACCTACATCCCACTTTCTTTTCAACAAGTCAGGACGGTTCCGGTCAGCACAGAAGACTTGCTTTGCGATGATATGGGAATGCCGGAACTTTCCCGTCAACCAAAACGAACGTCTGGGCTCTGGTTCCGATCGTCCGTCGGACGAGGCGATCAAAGTTTGCCGTCAGGACGGTCGGGGCAGACGAAACAGACTTACCGGAATGTCCTGCGTCGGTTGACACGTCGGCCCCCCTTGAACAAGACACGCTCTTTCTCTATTGTCCCCTCAAATATGAGATCCGGTGGCCCTTATACAATTTCTGCTCCGATAACACCCCGGGATTTGGATGAGCAGGATGTTTTCTCGGACTCGGGTAGGGGGAGTTTGTCTCTGTCTAGAGATGACGCAGCAAGGTTTACAGCCGAAAGACAGCATCGAAGGTGTCATTCTGAACAACCACACGCATGGAGAAAACCGAGCGCTACATTGTGGACACTTGAAGAACGCGAAGAATGATTCCCCTGGTAGTATTTGTTGGACTGCTTTCGCTGGCTTTGCATTGTAATCTTCGTTTTGAACATGTTGTTCTGTTTATGGAGTTGAGCTCTGAAAAGGAATATCTAAGCACATTCCGAAAGACTCAAAGGTGTTCAAGGGGTCTGTTTAACTGGAGTTTATTGACAAGCTAGGTACCTAATTGCTCTCCGGCCAGTAGTTAAATATCTGAATATAATCATGTAAATTTTACCACAAACTTCACACTGGAGCTTGTGGCTCATCAATGAACACTCTTCTTCGACTATCCCCCAAAAATAAGCCCCATTTCAAAGAGGTGAAGCAACTATAGAAACGCTTCAATCTGATTGTCACAATATTGTACAAAGGCCGCTGCAACACCAGTGCCCCCTTCTTCTTTGCCTTTCATAGCTCGCAACAAATCATCTCTTGGACACGGATGCATACGCCCCCAGGGCAATATATACTTCCCCCCATCATTGATTTTTAGATCACTAGCAAAAGCCGACCAGATTGCTGTATATGCCCCGAATCTAGGGGCATAAAGCAACGGCCTAAGAATAAAAGGAACAAACGCCTGACTGTGGCGCATGATGTTCGTCTTGATATTTCCTGGGTTCTGCACCAGGCTCAATATTCCATCTCCGCCAATCTGACTTGCGAGAGCGTCTGCCAAAAACCAGTTTCCCACTTTAGTGTTGAGATAATTGCGTGATTTGTCCGCATCATTCCCTAATAGCTCCGCAAGTTGTATCCCGGTCTCAACCGTGAATGCATCAACGACAATCGACGCTGTCCAGATAATCCGTACACTGGAGACAGATGTAGTTCCAGCTGTGCGTCGTAGTATTGGTAAAAGAAGTTGAGTGAGAAGATATGGCCCGAGACAATTAGTTGCCAATTGCAGATCGTGGCCCTGCGGGGGAAGTCCCTCCGGGAGGGTTAGAGACACCGGCATTGTTGAATAAAACATCTAGACGAGATTCAACTGTGGTGAATCTCTTCACTGCAGGCTTAATTGTTGTCAGGTCATCTAGCGATATAGGGAGAAAAATGATGCTTCCCTCGAGGGAGGTTGGAGGACACAAGCTTTGGATCTTCGCAATCGCATCCAATGCCTTTTCTTCAGACCGACCGGCAAGATATACTGTTCCCCCCAGTCGGTAAAGGATTCTGCATAGCTCGAAGCCAATCCCCGAGTAGCCTCCTGTTACGATGAAGACTTTGCCATTCTGACTTGGGAGATTGACTTCGGTTAGAGTAGGAGGTGGCGGGAAAATCTGCGACCAGGTAACTCCCATACTGTTGAATTCTTTATTAAATTGTTGTATCTGCCGTGGAAGCTCGGGTGGACATGAAAAAGCCGGTAAAAAAATGAAGAAGAAATCCAGTTTCCTACCGAACCTCTTGGTCCGTTTTGCCATCAATATTCACCGAAGAGATACAGATACCACCTTGTATGTACAAAGTCCATCTATTAGCAAATTTCTTGTTCTAACTTCATTGCACTTTACTCTCATATTCCTGAATCGTCCTGTTTGTGCAAAGAGCTCTTGTAATAAGTCTCCCACTTGGCACAAGTTGATTCAAAATCAGCCGAAACAGAGTCCACCAGCGCCGGTATCTCCGACTGGTGTTCTACAAATTGCAGTGCTAAACTCTGACTCGCATGCCAGGCAATGTGACAATGCATGAGCCAAGATCTAAAGGTATGTTAGTGAGTTCGCAAGAGACCGGACTTTGACGCATACCCTGGATTATCGTTCTCGAAAGCAATGACAAGATACCCAAAACCAGCCATTGTGGCTGTATCGCGTCGGGGTGGATTCTCGCGATTTAGCTTCGTCAATGGGGTATAGAGTCCAAATCCTTGTGCTAGGATATGAAAGTCGTGCCCATGGAGATGGAAGGGGTGGTAGGCATTGACGAGGCCCAAATCTTGAATGACCCAGTATGTCCACTAATACCATCTAATTAGTCCAAGATAGCATGGATAGCCAGCACTTTGTTCAAACTTACAGTCTTATCTGCAGGGATCTCATATATATTATAATCAGTCGGGAAAACCGACTCATTGCGGTAGATGAGAAGATCTGTTGGTCGCTGCCAATCAATTTCCAATGCCTTGGTGTTAATTGCCCAGTGGTAGACGAGATCAGTCTCATAGAACCATCCAATATTCAAGTTCTTCTGACTGTCCGCCTTGCCGACATCTTTCTTCACATAAGGAACTAGACTGGCGTAGGGCTCGTCACCACAGGAGTTCGTAATTGATGACCATTGCGTTGTTGTCGGGTCAGACTGGCTAGCACCTTCGTATCGAAGAATACCTTTTATATCATTCCTGTCAATTGAAAGCCCATTGCATGCGGTCTGATATATGGCACGCATCCAATAGTTACCAATATCTTGGTCAGCCTCAAATACAATATCGTATCGTTGACCAGAAGCGAGAATCACACTATCGGCTTGGTAGGGTACAATAGGCACCAAATCAGCTGCAATGACTGTGAGTTTGTGGCCATCAATAGAGAATTTCATCCAAGAATCTGTTTGGGAGGCGAGTAATCGAAGACGATATTTCTTGCCCTTCTGTACGACGGTCTCTGAGCGCTTTCCTGTCCCTAGACAGGCTGGATCGTTTGACTCATCGCAAGGGAATGTATTTGTGCCATTTAGTAGACCATTGGGTGCAACTGCATTTTGTCGCACGGGAAACCCACCGTACATGCCACTTTGCACCCAGAGAATAAAAGCACTCTGGTGATACCAGTCTGTCATGAAAAGAGGGCCCAGCTCAACATCGTAGTTGGCAGTGGCGGGTCCATGAATAATGATTGGTCCGTAAAGGCCGTCAGAGAGCTGTAGACTCCAGTGAGAATGATACCACGCTGTCCCATATTGAGCTGCGCGGAATTTGTATGTCATCTTTTCGCCTGGGGCAATAGGGCACTGGGTAACTCCGGGGACTCCTATTTGACATCAGCTTCTAGCTTCATTCACAGGGCGCAATATAGGCTGAGTATTATACCATCGTATTGATTAGATCCTTGCTGTCTAATTCCATGCCAATGAACAGCAGTACTAAAAGAAAGTTAGAGTTCCGTCTTCACTTGTTCTTGGGTACTTCATACCCGTTATCTGTGAGTTCATTGGTAACATGAATAACTAGCATATCACCCCAGTTCGCCTCAATTCGCGGACCAGGGTAGCTGCCATTGAAGACAAGCATCTGTCGCTCATAGCCATCTGGTGCAAGGGTCGTATTTTGCACGGAAAGCCAGTACTACTTGGTATAGTGTCAATTGAAGAAGTATTTCAATAGGACTGCAGCAGACTCAGACTTGCCTCTATGGTAACACCAGTATCCGGGGTGACACTCGAGTAATCAGTCGAGGTACTATACTCTCCCCAGCAGTCTCGCGAAGTCGGTGTGTTCTCGCAAAATTCGGCATTGACCAAGGCCACACCAAACAAGATAGCTGCCAACTTGACCGATTTCGTCAGGAGTCCCATTTTTTAAACTCTGCTATCAAAGATCATCCATCACTCGCATTTGCATAACCATAAATAGGCAAATTTATGTTATGTTTTGTTGCTATAGTAGCTATTTACCCCACAATAAGCCCTAGAGGTCACCTAGGCAACATTGTCACATCTAGGTATAGATATCTCTTAGTTCCTAAAGCTGAAGTGTTTAAATTGAACGCCAACTCTCTGAATACGGTCTCAATATGCGAGATTGGAGTGTTTTTCGTCAGATTACAGAAGCCAAAATACACTCCAGAGAGACAGAGCATATAAAACGTAGAGATAAGGTAGTACTGACTTAATTAGAAAATTCAAAGAAGTTTATTGCACAAAAATGTCGAAATTATACATCTTGGGTGGTAAAATTACAGGGGTAGACAACGGTAGCCGCTTAAATGCCAGTGCATAGCGATCACTTGATATTTGGCCCTGTTGGCCTTTATTTCGAGCAGAAAATTGGCAACTGACTAGATACATGTGTGGTTTTTGAGGTTCTCAGAGCGTATAGTTAATTGGATTTGAACTTCTAGTCACACAAAAATTATATATTGAAAACTCATTTCAAAGGATTGTACACTTGACTATAATGTAAAGTTTGCCACGGGGTATTCCAAACAGATATTTACAGGTGTCTAAAAAGACATCTCAACAGATATCTCAAATGTGAATCGGAGCGAGAGAGAGTCCAAGAGATTTCAGAGAAGAAGGTTGATTTACTGAGATCCGGTTAAATAAAATGGAGCCCATTGTGGGTTCGCTCGAAGGCTAATAGTCACCTCTGCCGGTGTTCATTTTGGGCTCCAGCCTCCTCCACCGCCACAAGCCCTAAGTGAATACCCAATCAGCAAAAATGCACAGATAGAAGACTTGCAAGTCTCCACAGTGGAACCACATTGGGAATGCTCCTTTGATATTCGTATGGCAACTTACCATGAGTTGGCCCAGGTCACCAAGTTAGATGTCATTGTCCTTACCAGTCTATCCTCCATTTCCAGTACTTCGCTATGCAATGATGCATGCGGGAGGTGTAGGATGGTTGTGAGTATGAGCCGTAATGACTGCAAGATTTTGAAGGATGTAAAGGGGCTCCTTTAGGCTAGGGTGATGCATGAACAATCACTGGGAATCCCGCTGTTAAGCACGAGCTTTCGAATCATAGGTAGTCTCGCGAGGTGGTGGAGGGTATCAGTTCTGATGGATATGGATAGAAATTTCCTTCTTCCAGTGTTGAAATTTGTAGCGTGCCACGGCGATTGATATAACACAGGCAATAGAGCCAATAACAGAGGCAGTGCTCACAATGGGTTGAGGCAAAAAGAGAGGGAGAGCGGTTTATACGTGTGAGAGATGGAGCCCTGGAGATGGGTGAGTGTCGATTGAAGAGAAGAGAGGAAGAAAAACACAGACACAATTGGGAAAGAACAAGAAGCTTTTTAAGTTGTCAGGAGAACGAGACAACGTTGGAAAGAATTAGGGAAAGAACGTGGAATCCGCAAATACTTGATTCTTAATTATTGGAACATCGACACCCTCCTGCTTGCCGTCATCACCTTCCCACTTCATCTCTCTTGAAGACCTATTCAATTTAACTTGACACTCATCCTTCACTATCTCCTAATCACATACTCCATACAACTTCATGATGGATGGTGTGGAAACTTTGGCGTTGACCGTAATCTTCTTGGGCATCTCTGTTTTGCTCCTACAATTTGAGGTATGTCCATAACACCATGATTCTGGGATGGAGCTCATGACCCCAAAGACCTGGAGACTACGGAAACGGATCTCCAAGTTGGAAAAAAAATAGCAAACCTAGATTGTCATCGGTCGCAAATCCGTGATCCGACTTTTCAACCTCCCACTCCAATCTCGCAGCGATTCTTTCATATACCATGTGACCCACAATTGTGCACATCAACCCTGCTAGTGAGCTCAACTCATGGCTACAAACTACTTGCTCGTCCTCAATATGAATGTACCCTTCGACCAAGTTCTATTTTCCTTCTTCATCTATCGGCGGGGAGCTTTGCAGGGGTGCTCGGGTGCGGCTGAGCGTACAGGAAGCCCTGTTTTTCATTCTCCACATCCCATGGTCGTTTGAACCTCCTGCAACAATTTATTTCCTTCATCTTTGGGGTACACGAGCGGAAGATAGAATAAACTTCGTAAAATTGGTATTAGGGCATAGCAGGATTGTATCACATGTTCTGAAGTGCCATTGCTTATGGTAAAATCGAAGGGGAACGGCCTACAGTATCGTCGAAAATATCACGACCATAATATGTTCCACAATCTGAGATTTAGCAACGTTCATGATGACATAGGGCATTTTTGTGTCTTCAATCAGCGCCCGCTTCTGAAATTTCACATCATAACAGCACTTTGGATCGATGAGCCAGTCTCTATATGTGATGACTTGCTATGCAATACGTGGATCGCAAAATATTTCGTTGCAAGTACTTACAAATCCGAAGACTGCGACACCCAGCAAGACAGCGAAGTTCCTAAAAACCCTTTTTGATGAGGCTCTTTCTTCACCGGTTGATATTTCTGGTAGTTATCTATGAACCGTCCTAATATGCCTCAAGGTCACGAGCCATCTTTCCTAGATATCTTCGTCACGCGGAACCTAGAAGATGGTCATTGGCCAAATAAATAGAGCAAGGTCAATGTGCATTTCTAGGGTTGCATTCTTGGGCCAGAATAATTCAACGGGTTACTGTCATTTTGAAGTGGCCCGTAAACTGTTTGGTGGATGGTTATTGTTTCCTTGATTTTGACATTTCCAACAGATGGCTTGGCTTTATCATTTCTTTTTCTTCGACAGAAGTAATATTCAACTACCTATTTTGATTTGAGGGAGTAGACCGCTAGATAAAGTCCTTCTTTTCTTCCCCTTGGATGATAGCTTTCATGTAAGCGAACTCATGAAAAATCCATCATTACTGAGAGTGTAGATATAGAAGTTGAGCTATTTACACTTGATTCAGTAAGGACGCAATATATACTTGATGCTACTCAAATATCCAAATTTAGATATTCAAACAACCCGTTCCGCCCCGAAGGCCCGCATAGACGAATAGACGAGAAGATATAGCCAGAATCAGAATTAGTTCAGAGACCGTCGCGTGATACTGTGTATAATGACATGTCTCTCAAAGATAGTTTTTTTCCAAAACAGACAACCTCATTATGCATAAATTACCCCACTAAAAAGATTCGAGTTGGCGTGGAACCAATTGCTCACCGTTACTGTATGCACAAGCAGAGCTGACGGCGGGCCAGATGACTCACTCAGACATCCCTGCCGAGCCCCTCGGTTAGGACGGCATTCTAGAAGGACGCTAGAAGGTAAGTCAGACGGATTTGATTGGCGAAAAGAAGAAAATCAGAGCACGGGCACGGCTCATAAGGCTTCGTATTTCATCATATTAACCCCGCGCAGATTTACCGAAATGACCCACTAGGGCGCAACAAAGTCATGACCCTGATAAGAATCAGGTTTAGATGGTTTCAAGGTTCTCGTATCTCGAGTTTAAATGAGTGTTTATGCACCTGAAATGTGTAGATTGCAGACGTGTCAGTTCGAATCTGGGAAGGTAAGCACAGACGTGTCACGATTGTCAAGCGGTGAATCTGCGGGGTCCATAAGCGGGAAAAGGAGGCTCCAAGGCAGACACTATTTGCTGATTGGCTGGTGGAAGGGCGATAGGGCACTTTCTCCCACTTTCTCCCTCCAAACCTGCTAATCTCACCGACAACAATCTCATCACACTAAACCTTACAAGTGGAGATCCAACTTGTTCTTTTCGATTGTTATTGGTTGAGATGTGGACCGGTCCGTTGCCTAATCATGTGTTATGAAGCTGATTGGCTACGTCTCTCCCGCGGGCGTTCCTCTTGTGTTTGTCTACATCATATAGCTCAATGTTGGCCCCAGGTGTACCTTGTACTGCATTTTGGTTGGCTGGCCCTATAGGGAGCCCCCCGCCGATCACAATTGGCAACTTATTTTGACTCGAACATAAATAAACCATTCCCGCAGGCTTCTTCGTTTCTATTTTTTTATCTACATCTAGTAATGCACAGTCAATCCAACATCTATCCCAAGAGATCACTCTCCCAGACATCAGCTACCTCGACCTCTTCTCGCAGTAGCCAGTTCTCTCAAGAGAAAAAGCACCCCAAACTGTCAAATCCTCTCTCAAGGATCTTCCGATCCAAGTATCCTGCACCGATCGATATCCCTAAGAGCCGCCAATACACAATGTCCCAGCCTCAAGACATCCCACAGAGTACTGAGAAAACTTCATACTTCTCGGACCAAGACTACACTGCATCCAGCCCCACCGATACATCTTCCAACATGAGCTCGCCTCAATCCCCAAAGGCGGACTTCGCTAAGCGTGCACCTACTCCCACCCGCAAGACCAGTGATGACTACAAACGCTACAGTGGAACCATCAACCACTACGGTCGTCACTCGAATGACTGGCTATTCGGTGGTTTCAGTGTTCGCGACACTGTCCGCGATGGCCTCGATAAGCTCCGCGGCCAGGACAAGGAGAGTTGAATACATGGTCCTTCTCTGAAATCTCGAATACGTCCAACACGTGAAACTCCTACCAGATCTACTCTGTCTGGTTTACCCTCTGGTCGACATCCATCTGATGATGACGCCCGCCCCGACCTTTCGGCGAAAATCAATACCTGGTTCGCTGCGACTTGAAAGCTGTTTTGCTTCAAGGTCCTGGAGTCGAGTGTGGTCCACCCTATAAGGGTGCGACCATACTCGGGGGTCAACCCCCAGCGACAGTTATGTACGCGTTAGCGAATTAGCTGTGGCCCTGCTTCGTTCTCGGCTCAAGTCCCTCCTTGCCCTCGAGATGTGTGGCCGCCCGGTTTTGAAATTACACCGGTCGCTGCTTGTGTCTCCCTGGTCTTGAATATTTGGTAACTTTTACCATTCCCATCTTGTCTTGAATTGCGTTGGATTCAATGTCTCATTGTGTGGATGAGTTTGTGTTCTCTTAAACAGTTGTTTCCGTTATGAAATGAACAGATATTGAACCTTTATCAAATGAACTTTATACCCTGAAGCATATCACTTAGAACAAAAGTAATGTGACCCACTATTTAAAACTTCATGTTTTGGATAAAGATTGTACCCAACATCCAGGGCTTGTTGATGAGAGAAATTTACCCTCAATCCATGAAGAAGGAATTTGTTTATGATAGCAATGTTTATGATAGCAAAAATGGCTGTTCCTTACATCAACCATTCCAATGGCCGAGCAGTAACTTGGTCACCTTCTTCCTTGGTCTAGTGGTGATGATTTCCGCTTGTCATTAAAACCGATAAGCGCGGGAGACCGGGGTTCGATTCCCCGAGGGAGAGATTTCTTTTTTGTTCTCAATTTTGTCTAGATTTGTTGGTTACGCATTTATTTTTGGCCATTAAGATTGTAGATTGTTCAAATAATAAAATGTGGGCATCGATGTATTAATTGTTATAATTTTTGAATGGTTGGCATGGATGAATTTTGTCATTGTTCGTGAATATATATATTCAAGTTACTGACTATCATTGCCGTTTTATGATTGATGTTTAATTGGCGAGGTCAGGAGCAAAGAAATATTTTCGGCAAAAAAGCAAACAAATCAAAACAACAAACGCATCGGATGTATCCCGTTCTCCATTTCCTCCAGGCAGACATGGGCGACGTGGGATAGTGCAAGCGCCTCATAATGGCGATGGCTTGATAAAATGTGGCTTTGGTCACGGGTGCCTAGATGAGGCTAAGGGCACGACATTTATTTAAGAGATCGTGCCTGTCACTTTTGGCTCCTAGGTCCAAAATTCGCCCACAAAAAACCATGGACTTCCTGTCTTCTCTCCGTAGAGCAATGCCCGACTTGTTCGAGGGCAATGATGGGTCCCCCCAACAGGAAGAGCCTCCTTCTCCGCTCCATGCAGCAATTGATGCTGAAGATGTGGACCAGGTGCGCCAATTGGCTGCTACTGCGGACCCTGTCGATCTGGCTGCGGCTCTGGCTCGGTCTTGCCAATGCGGTAAAATACTCAGCGCCCAGGCTCTGCTTGAGACCGGGCGATGTGATGTCAACACGCCGGTGGATGGAAACACCTTTTTATTCTTGGCCGCCGAAAAGGTCCAGTTAGAGATAGTCAGACTCCTGCTTCAGCACGGAGCCGATGCCAAAATCAGATCCAAGAATAAGCGGTCTGGAGACAAGCCACCAGCTTTTACACCCCTCCACGGAGTGGCAGACAGCCTGCGCCCCTATGAGAAGTTGGAAGACCTGCCTCGCTACGAAGAGCTGATGCAGGCGCTGCTGGATGCTGGGTGTGATATCAATGCACAGGATGCCCACGGAAATACTGCGCTTCTGCTCTCCTTACACAAGGAGATCCCCTTAGTTCCATTTCTCTTGCAACATGGCGCGGACCCAAACATCGCAGAGGATCGGGGAGGCACGTCTGCGCATTTCCTCCACCACCCCTTAAACCACCCAGAATGGTTCAACGACCTGATGGCGCATGGAGCTCGCCTAGACATTTTTCGAAATGAAGATGGCCATACCCCGCTACATGCCTATGCGGCTCAATGGCAGCTGGGCGACCTCTCACTGTTTAAGCCCTTTGTGTCGGATTGGGGGATCACCGACGGAAAGGGCAACACACTTCTTCATATTGCCGTCGCGAAACATCACCACGGTAGTAACACTGTGATGGAACTGCTGAAGCTTGGAATTGATGCCAACCAGGGGAATCATGAAGGGCAACAGCCAATTCATATGATCGAGGGGTCCGAAAAAGATGTCCAGGATGTACTAGACATTCTTTGTGCAGCTGGGGCAGATATTGAGGCCAAAGACTATCGCGGATGTACGCTTCTCACCAAGGCCATGCGCGGCCACCCGCAGTGGAATTGTCGCGAGCTTCTTCCCTACCTCATCAGCCGCGGAGCGAATATCAACGCGCAGGATTATAAAGGCAATGGGGTACTCTCTTATCTGATCAAACCATACCATTTCGAATCCGAGTACCTGGATTTTCTACTGTCCCTAAGGGCAGATCCGAAAATGGTAAACTACGAAGGAGACACTTTCCTGCATCATCTCGCGGCCAATTTTGCTACAATCGACCAAGAGAAAATTGCTTTGGTCATGATTCGACTTATCAATATGGGGATCTCCCCGACCTTTGCCAATTTCCGAGGCCGAACGCCTCTGCATATGCTATGCACCCAGTCCTCAGACCATTTGTTCGCGGCGACCGCACAAGGAGGCAAGTGTGCTATCGACCTACTTCTAGATGCGGGTCTTGGCGTCGCTCTAAACATGGGTGATCACCAGGGAATTCGACCTATCCACCTTGCTGCTGCGGTTTCGGAGCACCTGGTTGGTAAACTACTCGCTCGCGGGGCTGATGCCACAGTTTTAACAAAGGATGGCCGCAACGTGTTGCACATTGCCTCAACCGCACGCCAAAGTAACTCCGTTGGGCTAATTTTGGACCACTGTGACTCCGAAAAGCTGGGTTCAATGCTCAACGCATGCTCGAATGATGGGCGAACGCCGCTGCATGTCGCCTGCCGCTCTGGAAGGCTGGAGACAGTGAATCTCCTCCTCGCATACGGAGCAGACGTCAGCATCGAAGACAAGCTCAACCGTAGACCTCTAAATGCATGCGTCGAGTCCATTACCGAAGACAAACTCTGGCAAGAGGCTGACGATCAAGAAAATATGATGAACACGCGCTCTGCGGCAGGGATTTTGGTAGAAGACAACAACCGGCCGACACAGCCCACATCAATGGCGAAAAATGCGCGTCACAACGCCAAAAGTTTGGGGTGGAAAGGAGAAATCACATCTGAAAGTTCGACAATCGGCATTGGACGAATCGTACGAGCATTGGCATCTCATGGAGCCTTGGGATATGAAAAGAAATTTGGCAATGGTCTCATGTATCATGCGGTTCACGAGGGAAATGAGGAAATGGCTGTGGAGCTTGACCGGGCATCGCGAGCAATGGGCCTTCAGGCGGAAGCTCATCGCCCTCTTATGACTGAATACTATCTGCTGCGCTCTCAACACCTACCAGACCTCCTCGAGAATCAGTTCAAGGAGTATGCTTCTGATCATAATGTGCTCCCAATGATATTGCACGGCCACCATGAGGAGGTTGCACAGGCGCTGGAGAAGAGCGCTTCCGTTATTCAGGATAAATCTGGCATGCCCGAGGTCATGACCTCTCTCGCGAGGTGGGGATTTTCGGAGCTCTTTGGCCGGATTGGTAGTACAATGTCCGGGGACTGGATAAACGGCGGTGATACCAATCATATGGGCCAAAAGCTCACTCCCTATCTTCTGACGGCTGCTCAGCGAGAGCTTCCTAATCTGGATGTCATTAAAGTCATGGTCGAGAAGTTCAAGGCGAATGTTAACATAAGATATAAACAAGATATGGTTGATAAACCCAAGGTGAACTATCAATCAAAAATGGCGCTGAATAGGCATTACAAGCCGGGTGACACAATTCTTCATCAACTAGCCCAGGGAACGCACTGGTGGTATGAAGAAGCCATTCGGTACCTCCTGGCACATGGTGCTGACCCTGATGCCCGAAACGACCAGGGCAAGACTCCTTTATGCAATGCAGTTTCACGGGGAGAGCTGGGCGGCCACCGCCAGCTCGAAATCACTAGAATATTGCTGGAGGGTGGTGCCGACCCCAACATCGCCGCGAGGTGTGGCTACACTCCGCTGGCCATGTCCACGCATGACACGCAGCTGTTCCAATTGCTGATCGAACACGGAGCATACCCCTCTCAAGGTCACCCCATGGAACTCTTCACCGCATTGTCTAGTTTCAACAAAGACGTGTTCTCCGCTCTCTTAGACATGGACCTCGACTGCAACAAGACAGTGTTATCTGACGCGCAGTCACATTGGCACACCGATCGTATGCAAAAGATTCCGGCAAACCGCGGACTGATCCTGCGTCCTCTTTTTTACATCTCAACGCTACCATTCAACGAAGCCAACTCCCGCGACCACGCCTGCAGAATGATTCGACTCTTGCTAGAAGGCGGCGCAGATGCCTTCCTGCCGTGCGACAAGAGCGAAGTGATTCTACACCAGATTTTTGCCAGCGGGGGAATCATCCAACCATGGCTAGATATGTCTGACCTTGATCTCGAACGGCGTGATTTTGCAGGAAAGACGCTGCTACTGGCAGCAGCGTGCTCTACGACTGGAACGAACTCGTATGCATGCACGGGCTCGGTGTACCTCCGAGCTGGAAATATTGGACCAGCGTCCTGGACGGAGGGAGACCCTACGCGTGCGATGACACTGTATGAACGGGGAGCGGATTTGAGGGCATTAGATCACGAGGGAAACAACGTGTTGCATTATCTGGCTGACATTGACTGCTCTCAAGATCGCTTTGCGGTGATTGAGGTTGGACGGACTTTGGCGTTGTTTGTGGATAAAGCACCAGAGTTGGTACGCCAGACCAATGTGCATGGGCAGACGCCCTGGTCTGTCGCGGCGGAGAAGAACTCTGAGGAGTTCATGAAGATTTTGAAGATAGATGATGTGCGCGCGGAGTGATCGCATCATTTATTGCATATATTTACAAGGTGTACGGTACTCCTACCTGTTCCATGCATCAAAGATATATGTAGCAAAGGATCTACATGTTCAATATATTTCTCTGAATGAATCCCTTTCAATTCCTTTCCCAAATAATGATTGTCCTCATAGAACCGCCAAAGATTGATCCTCAGAACACCCAGAAAATCTGCATTAGAACCCGGGATAAACGCAGGTTTCATGGATGTTTTGGGGGGGGGGGTCAATCTTCGGTATGTGGAGTGGTGGTATGAAGCTTCAGCTCCAGTGCACGTTCCCTCCACTGGGAGTAGTCTTCGGGCACGTTGGGTTTGGGTGACTTGGGGCTTCGGTGGGCCTTGGAGGCCTTGGAGAAAGAGGACATTGTAGATATATAGAGAACTTCTTGAGAGTCTTATAGCAAGCAAATCGATATGAAGAAATTGGAAGAGAAGAGTGGAAGTGTTTCGAGGCCCAACTGTATACCACCTATGTACGCTCGTTCCCCGAAGCCCAGTGTTTAGATTTGCCGGAGGCAGCATCACTCTTACTACACCCAGATATAAAGAAACAGCCAAATCAGGGGCTATTTTCTGTCATCCTTTGCTAGGGTATATTTGGAAGTTGCGGGGCGTTTGAAAAGCCTTTCTAGTATATCGCTCTATTGCTGTTTTCATTTACGCTTTCAATCGGTCTCTCTGTCTGTCTTTTTTGAAGTCTTTTTTGGACATTTTTGAAGCTTCTTTCCAATTACTTTTCAATCGTGCATATATACAGGAGCTTATTACGGTGTAATATTACTGTAGCGGAATAATTTAATATAAGTTGTCTCCGGATTTTTCGGAAACGATGTAGGTGGGGTTTGACGCCTATCGACTAACCCTACTTTTCCATTGATAGAACGGCGGATAGAAAATCACTTGCGACATAAGATAGGTGTAGGAGTCTGTATTCTCAATCTGTAAACTATCTGCTACTTGTAACCTCTAAAGCACTGGTTGCACTGACTACTTACCTAACATTCGCTTGCATAGTCAAATCAAATGGGATGACACAGGCGCCTAGTAGTGGGAGACCAGGCTACAAAAAGGCTTCAACTAAAGATATGCCAACAAGTACGTACGTACTTAATACCTACCAAGCCGACCTAGGCACCCACATTTAAGAATAAACAAAGCTAACCCGGAGTAAACTCTTAAAGCTTAGAAAGTTTTCGAGATCCAAAGTTGTACCCATAGAATCTTAATTTAGCACCGCCTCCGCCGCTTTTTCCGGTGTCCGCCATATTAATACCTACATATATAGGTGTTCCCCTCCCCAATGTAATCAATTTCTCCATTTGTCCTATCTCAAATCACTGATATCTTTCTTTTCGACGAAATGACTTGCAAACAAGCTCAGCGTCACGCTTTTCTCAGATCTCTCTTTCAACAAGTTAGAGATTTTGAGCCCGACTTCCCTTCTCCTGATGAGATTCAGAGACTTGGAATTCAAGTATCTGAAGTATCCCCAGCCGATACGAATGACGGAACTCTACAATTCGAACCTTGCTACTTCAAACCACACCCAGAGAAATTGTTGGAAATTTGTCTAATCCACCCTGATCTTGAGCCGGATGAACAACCGCACACGATATCTTCCGTGCGCAGCGTACAGGATCTTATGAACGAATGGCCCACTAAATATCCACCTGGAGTCGCTCCAATACTTACGAATCTCAGATGGTCGGAACGTTTAGACTATGACCTAGACCACACTGCCTTTGACCAAGCTTATGAAATAGACGCTGTGATTGATTCTCACCTAGGTGCCTCAAGGCAAGGAACTTCCATAAATGGGCTTCCCGACGAGTTCAGACTTGAACAGCTTAGGGACCAAGAATACTGGGAGTAAGTGGGCAGCAAAGTTTGAACTGAATATAATATATAATACTGACCTATATATAGACCGGACCGGACAGAAGATGACCCTATTACCATGGAGGACTTTGATAAACCAAAAACCTGGCGAGTGGTCAATCATTTTAGATACACCGGGCTCCCACATTCAGTTATGTCATGCCTTGCCCATATCGAACCAACCGAGACAAACAAGGGTCTCACAACACATGAGCTAAGAGCTATCGTGAATATAATGTTGCTTCGGGTCAATCACAAACCATTCCGCAGATGTCATATCCATCCGGTAAGTGACTGCACACTATGTTACACTATTTAAGTGGTATGGTACCTAATTCTATGTAGGTCTTGGTTCTGTCTTTTATGGGCGATCAAAAAGGGAGGATTATTCAGGCTTTGTATGATGGAAAGGGACTCAGCTTACAATACTCGCGCTTATGGAGCTTTGAAAATCCGAGCACGGCACCGTTGGAATTGTTCATTCGATATAGGTTGAGTGAGCCCATTGGTGGTGTTCGCACGTTGTCTATCAGATAGCTTTCTTTTTATCTCCGTTTGCGAATCTGAATTAGTTAGTTTGTAGACTTGAGAAGACAATATAATATATTTGCTCGACAAACATACGTAAGGATCCTTCTTGAATCAATCAATCAATCAATCAAAGTTCAATTAGCCTGTTGCAGTCTAACTGGTTGCGTATGACTATGCAGGCGCTTCATCCAGCTGAAGCAAAAACTCGAAGCCAAACGCCGAGTTGGGATTCCTCCCAAGAGTAAATACAGAGGCCGATTTGTAAAGAGTGTGGAATCAGCCCATTCCCGCATGTTGTAAACCCACAACCCCATACATAGTAAAAATATCAAATGAATGCGGCAGAGTGCACCCTCCGCCTTCCGGCTCCCCCCTCTCTCTCCTCCTCCTCCCTGCATCTCTCTCCCCGCTCCAGTTGCAATTGGTGGTACATTATTTCTGCCTGGCATGTTTGTCGACTTTGGCTGAGCTTCTCGTTTCCCAGCTTCGTTTTCGTCATTGGCTAATACCCATTGTCTTCCACACCTAGCTCCATTGCCGCAAGGCCTGTCGGTTCGTCGTCGTCGTTTTGATCCTCGAGTCCCACGTGTTGAAACCGTTGGAGGAGACCTGTGCGGTGTATAAAGTTGGCCACGTAGCAGAGGATCCTTCTTATATTCCTAAACATGTGCCTCGTTATAGGCTCCGAACAGACTTATACTCGCCTCCCTCTGTCACCCTGGAAGAGGATTCTTCTACTACTATGCTTCTACTAGCTCACCCCGGTTTCCACTGTCAATTGAAGGTTTTCCTTATCAAGCACCTACCAGCAAAATGTTGAAGCTGGGGAGCTACGATGACATAGTTCCACAAGATAATGACAGAGAATTGTTCCGAAGGGCTTGAGGATGGTGAAAGGGCCACAGCCCACTAGGCTAAAAGAATACAGACAACAAACAGACAAATAACCGTCGAGGGCCTTGACGAAGGACCTTTTTTCTGCGACCGGATACGCACACACTGACATCGTGCCCGCGATCTTCGACACCGGCCTTAGAGTGACGGGCTCGGCGATGGATTCTCCCTAATTATTCCGATGTGTAGCGAAAATTGGAGATTATTCGTCTCTTCCTTGGCCATGGCCTTGATCCCAACGCGACTCAAACCAATGGCGAGCATATCCTGTCATACATGTCAGCCTTGATAGCGGAACAAGTTGGGACCGAGACTGACTCTCACCAACAGCTTTCTCGGAAATCCTATATAAACGAGACCGCACTAACTTGCTCAGGTTTACGCGTCAGGGGCTATCACTTGATAGGGACACCCCCGACGGCTCATAGGGCGCAGATAGCCCGGTGTTGACCTGCAGATGTTGCGAGTGTTCATAATAGGATAGATGAAATAGATGAGCATTTTCTCCTACTTTGACGTGTAGTCCATAATTTAAAGAACTTAATAAATAAAATAAAAGCTAAATTAACAAAAAGATGATTCCTCTGGTAATCCTCTTTAAGGAGACCCCAATTAATCAGAGAACATGATAATCTGGTGCGCGCGCAGTTTGAACCGTGAGGTACGTGAGCTTGCCCAGAGAGGATATCGCTTAAGCGTTTACCGCTTAGCTATACCTCCTGGGCAAAATTTTAAGTGGCGCAGTCATATCTAACCTGCGTGCCTTCCTTATTCTAGTGATAACGGTTACTACCTGGGATATCAGGCCAGGTTTCTGTAGAACTGTACATAATTGTTACCGGCCATTTTGCTCAAAGATAAGAGTACGTTTCATTGAACACTAAGTACAAAGAGAGGAGAGAAAAGGAGAGGAAGGTTTGGTAGAATCAGGGAGTTTGTGGAGTTTGTGGATTCTACTCCGCGTTCCTTCACACAAACAAACAATATCACAACAACCTTTAGATCGTAACATATAATTTCAAAAACGTACATACGTAGTAGTAAAGAATATAAAAGCCAATTTGATCAAAATATGATTACTAGTAACAAAAAAAATGATTCCTCTGGTAATCATCTTTAAGGAGACCCCAATTGGGGGGCCTGATAATAATCTGCTATGCAGTTTGAACCGCGAGCTTGCCCAGAGAGAATATCCAAGCGTTAACCGCTTAGCTATACCTCTTAGGCAAAATATCTTGTTGCGATGTTGTGTTTTAACCCGAGTGACTTTCCTCAATAGTCCTTTACTACCTGAGATATCAGGCTATGGTCCCATAGAACTGTACACAATGTCTGAGATTCTAAGTACATGTAGGTACATAGGCTGATTATAGACTCCAAATAGACCAAACATAGTACCACATAGCTAGATAAATAAGCATCAACGACTTTCCCAGAACTGGGCATCAATAGCAACCAACCGATTGAACAGTTGATTCCGCGATCTCATACCAGTGAGATGGTAAGACTGGCCAATCTCATCACCACTAATAACCAGTCCATCTGCCGCCTCCTTGCTCCCAGCTGTCAGTTCGACAATCAGTTTCCCCTTCCATCCGAGTCCCTCCGTCTTCTTCAGCTCCTTGATTTCGGTAACAGGAATCTGGAACAGAACAGAACCCTTCTTCCTACTTTCGATGCGTAGGTCATCCAGTCCAGCAGAAGCATAGGTGGTGAAATACAAGATAGGGGGCTCCTTTGACGAGTCAATCACTGCCGCGCCTCTCTTGCGCTCGAACTTGGCATCGAACTTCAAGGGCCCGAACGGCGTGGCGGCTGCGGAAAAGTGTCCATTTTGCAGCATCCCAAGCAGATTCTTAGTATGCGCTGACCCTGCAATGGCCATCGCTCGGTCAAAGGCCATATGACCCTTGATTGCCGTGGAAATTGTCCGGCGGAAGAACTTGAGGAGCTTGAACACAAATCTTCTTTTCGGCACCTTTGTTTCCGGAAGCGAGGTGGTGGAGTTCGTGGACTGGAGGCTCACAGATGATCCCTGCGTAGTGAGATCTGTAGAGCTCGCTGCCTGTGACTTTTTGCGGCGCAGGGGCCATACAAGCTCGCCGTCATCGGCGGAGGGTGCGGGTGGTAGTGGCGAAGAATTGATCTCGCCAATTCGGAGCAGGGTCAAAGTGAGCTGCGCGTTGTTGGGAACGCCAGCCAATAGAGTCCTGTATTTCGAGTTAGCACCGCGATAAAAGACCAAAAAAAGGTAGTATCTCATACTTCTGCAAATCGAGATGATCTTTCCAGTTGGGTACTTTCGTGTTTAGCAGATCAAGCGTGTAGGTGAAGATTGGGTCCCCGAAGAAGCCCAGTCCAATTGAGAAGCCAACGAGCTTGATGATCCAATAACTAGATGTGAAAGGTACAATAACAGACACCAGCGTAAAAATGCTTGCAAGGCGGAGTCTAGAGGTAACCAAAAAGAACGGAGGTGTTGGGGAAAGGATGCTATTGTATCGTTAGGGTCATATGTTCATATATCCTTCCACAATAAACTCACTTGGCAAATTTCTCATAGATATCAGTAATATCGCTCAGAATACGCATAACATTATCAGTCGCATGTGCTACCTTCTTTCTCATAGGCTTCTTGGTCTTATCTTCAGTAGCATCGCCGGTCGGGGTTCCTGCTGCAGCCTCGACAGCTTCTAAGCTTTGAATGAGCGCAGGTTTGTCCGAGGGCTCCTCTGCAACTGTTTGACCATATCTCGCCGCTGCACTTTCCATAGCAACAGTCGCGAAACTGTCAACCAGATTCTTGGCTTCTTGTTCAGCAGCTTCACCCTTGTAGTTTTCTGGAGCACCCGTGAGGCTATCCTCAGATTGAACTGCTCCTTCCTTAGAACTGCTTCTATCTGAGCCTTCTTTCTTTGCCAAGCCAGGGAATAGTAATAGCCGAACAGACGGAACCATTATCAAGGCTACGATAAGACCGGAAATAGTTGGAACCAAGAGATCCACGGCCCAAGCAACGAAATAGCCCTATAAATTATCAGCATATTATACAAAATCTGGCCGCTAGTAATTCACATACTGCGCAAAATACTGTTGTCCTCCTTCGTTCCTTCCATGATCGCAGGCGAGTGATATGGCGAAAAAACTCGGTCACTCCGACAACCACCGAGATATAAAATCTCTCAAGCGTCATGCGCAGCTTTTCAGGCGGAAACTGCTCATTTTCAGTGCGGTTGAGATCCAAGTTCAGAGAAGCGGTATCATGAACAGCTTTCACGTGGTAGATTTGCTTGTCACATGTCAGCGATCATTCCCGACAAGCAGAGACCAAACTAACCTTGTTAAACCGTCGGATCAACATCCATAGGTCTTCATTGGACAGCCCCTGAGCAAGGGATTCATCTACTATGCGCGACGATGCCTTCCATTGAGTGTTGGGGGGCGGTCTCGGACTCAGTGACTGAAGTGGGCCAACCTCCTCTGGGATCTGGGTGAGGTCATAATCCTCATCGTTCAACTGTCCCGGCATTTGTGATCCATGGCTCATCTTCAACAGTTATCAAGTAAAATGGACTGAGAAGAGAGAAGCTTGGTATTGCTTACTATCTGGGCAGACCCGCGGACGTCGGCTTAGCGCGAAACCCCATGGTGATAAAGTGTGGGGGTTGACGTCATCCATGAATGTCTCGGCTATTTTTAGAGCTTTTACCCCTTATTCGATATAACGATGTACCGTTCTATGGATGGCCTGATATCTCATGTAGTAATGCACTAGAATATGAAAGTCACGCGGGTTAAATTTAAAATTACAACAAAATATTTGCCTAGGAAATATAGCTAAGCGGTAAATGCTCAAGCAATATTCTCTCTGGGATTATGTATATTTCTATGGGATCATGGCCTGATATCTCATGTAGTAACACACTAGAATATGAAAGTCACGCGGGTTAAATATAACATCGCAACAAGATATTTTGCCTAAGAGGTATAGCTAAGCGGTTAACGCTTGGATATTCTCTCTGGGCAAGCTCGCGGTTCAAACTGCATAGCAGATTATTATCAGGCCCCCCAATTGGGGTCTCCTTAAAGATGATTACCAGAGGAATCATCTTTTTGCTAATTCTTTTTGTCAACTTAGCTTTTATCTTGTTTACTACAAAATATAACTTGAACGTATCTTAGATTTGTAGTGCATCCAGAGACATGATGACCTAGTCAAACAAATTGCGAGCAAAACATTGTAGAGCTGTAGTATACTCCCCCTGCGTAGCCGTTCTTTCATCTATGACATTATGATAGGGTGAAGATTCTTCAGTAATATTAGAGGTATATGGGAAGGGAAAAAAATAAAAAAAAAGGTGTCTCAAAGAGGAGGGGGATATCGAAATTTGTTTGTTCTATCTAGAAACCTTTATAGGAACTTCGGCAACTGTTGTCCTTGTAACACAGCCAGGAACTCATCTCGGTCTATGATTGATTGCGATATAGATCAGCATATTATAAAGAAATAAAAATAAGTTGTTAAAAATGGGGAAAGCCAACTTACCTTTACTTGTTTGAAAAGAAATTGACATGGCACCCTCTTTGTTTTTGGAATTAGAGTTCTTAGGACTTCGAGCCATAACATTCATCATGTCAAGTGTCATGCCACGCAGGTACGGAAGACGCGGGAGGGAGACCTGGGTATTCTCTTTTGAGGAATCGATGAACTTCGACGGAACAGCCATAGTAAGCCACTTGTCCGGCACGGAGTCGTCCCACCGCGCGGCAAGTTGAAAAGCCGTTCCCCGACGCCATAGTTGGACATCGGCGCTGCCCTTTCCGGATATTTGGAACCCAAAAAGCAGCGGATTGCTTTTCGTCGATAAGGAGTGGATGCGCCGACAGTAGAGGAGTTCGTACAGAGGGGAAAGGGAGCTAAGAAATGAGCGGGCTTCAAGATCATTGCTAAACTTGACAGTTGTTTTGCTGGTCTTCTTGTCACAATGGGAGAATGTGACAGCGCTCTCCGGATGATAGAGCTGATCAACGTGAGTTGAGATGTAATCTGTGCAGTAGATGTAGGGGAAATGGATGCTGAATGAGGAGTAGTCGTATGTATAGTCGGTGTCGCGGTAAATATAGTACAGGTCTGAATATCGCCATGATGTACGAGTTCGGAATACAAGTACGGCTTTGTATTGCTTGTGCTCAGTGCCCGCATCAATCACATTGTAAATGAGACCTGAACCACTGGGTTGCAACCAGGAAAACTCCGGACGGAGGTTCATTTCTAGGACGGCTTTTTCAAAATTCTCTGCGTCTTCATGTGAACCGAATTGTATACCCACGCCAATATTTGGCGCCGTGTCATCGTACACGTACGAGTGCAAGGTGTTGTAATTGCCGTCGGTCTTGTCAGATCGCGCCTGGCAGGTGTCGGACCACTGTAAGAGCATCTGGCGGGACATATCTCCTCGGTTGATCTGAACTCCACTGAGAGGCATAAAAAGTTCCATAGTTCGTGGGGATTTTTCAGCAGCAGAGGAAGTGATCACTATGCGTCGGATTGATCGCCAGGCTTCCCCAAAGGACCGTTCCAAAATACGCACCTCGCAGGATTTTACCACGATAGGTGGATTCATTGATTTCATGGTCGGCGTATTCAGCTGCTCGAACATATCCACCGAGCACTTGAAGATAACGCTCTCAGTGAATTCGGTTGCATCGACTGGTTCTCTTTGCCATACAGCTTCAAAGTAAGCCTTCGGAATATTGATAAATTGTGCAAGATCTCCATCAAACTGAAAGGATATCGAAACGCTCATATCTTCAAATTTGATTGGCACCGGTTCTGAGATTCGGGCGCCGGGGAAGCCAGTTAAAGCGGCATTCGCTAATTGAATAAGGGGCGGTAAATCATCCAGTACGACTAACATCATCAGTTAGCTATGAGAGGGTATTATGAGACTCATCACTTACGGTCTCGTTCAAGACACAGAGTGCCACTTTGATTGCAGAGAACAATTTTTGGTTCGCTTTCACCTTCCCGTGTCGCCAGCAAAAGCATGTAGGGAGCGCCCTTGGTGCGCATGCGAGACTTTTTGCCCCCGATGCCGGCGTTGACAAAGATTCGGAAGAGGACCTTTTCCTGTTCGCTGCCTGCATCCTCTAGATCGACGGCAATCCAGCGCAAATTATCCAAGCCAAGATCTAGATCAATGCCACCATCCCAAGTTTCCTCCGGCTGCATGGGCTCCCAAATGGCAAGGTTTTGGGTGTGTAGGGTCGACGGTTCGGGGATATCGATAGAAGTATATTGGGAAAGCTCCTCGTTGATGCCCTATATGTATTAATCACAAGTTGAAGTATTGGAAATATAGGAAGAAACTGACTTCAGAAAGCTCGGCAATTGACTTGCGATCCTCGTCAACCAAAAGGGAAGGGGCCTCCTCCTCCAGAACGATATCGTACAGAATGTATGAGGCCTTGAGGAGGTCAAGATAAGCTTGGTGACTAGTTGATTTCGATTCCGTAGAGGGACTCAGACTGCCACGGGCACTGACATAGTTATGTCTGTTACAGTTTGCTAAAGTCGCGCGTGCCTTGATATGCCGTTAGTAAACCTTGTGTCCTGTTTGTTTTACACGGAGAGCTCACTTTCAGCAACCACCAAGTCGCCACACGAAGCCAATCCCTTGTGATCAGCCTCGTGATCTGCAGTCCGTCATTCACTGATGCCTCGAATACTTTCAATGCTTCCGCAGTTGGTCTATGTAGTTGGTTCTGCGGTTCAAAACGTATTGGCCTAGAGATATGCTCTTGGTGTCGAACATCACGAAGATGTTGCATGGCAGATGTCACGGCCTCGATAACATGAGGATGACGATAGGCGGTATCAGAGTAGGATCTACTGTGATGTACAACTTGTTTCTCTGACATATCGGGGTCGTTCGCCCATATTCCACCATCAAGTGCCCGACCGTCGATCGAGCCGCCGAAGAGAAGCTGTTCACTGCGCATTCGGGTATCATTTATTCGGTCCTTAGTAGGTAGGAATGATGGCCTGTTCAAGGACAACCATGAAGTTGGTGAGGTACCGTCGAGGAACGAATCATCGGATTGAGTTATTGCCGAATCGGAGGACGTGGATGTATGTGCGACCTTGCTGGTACTCCCCACTGAGTTTCTGTTATTAGCCAGCTCTGACATCCTGGCCCGAACTTCCTCGATGATATCAACTTCGCAATATTCTTCATTTTTAGCTGGTAGCTCCACCACGCCCGGACCCGGGCTCATCGGCGAGACAACCGAGTCTGTATCCCGAACAGGCGATGCCTCTGTGCTAAGAGCAATCTGTTCATCATCTTCCATCGCCAGAACCATTGTTTTCTCTATACGAGCAAGCGAGGCACTGAATTGATTAGACCAGGATTCCTGAATTTTTGACTGGCAAAGAGAACTCACTTCCCTATAGAGCTTATACATAGGCTCAGATTGCAGGTGTGCACCATGATCTTGGATCTGATATCCTCAATCTGAGTCCTTTGTGTCGCCCATTTGATCTTTTGCCATAAACCTTTCCCATCACCATGTTCACCTTTGAATAGGGCAATGAGCTCTTTCAATCGTTGTAGGGTCACGAGACAAGTACCGAGGGATCGTTCGAAGGTCTGTTTGCGATCCTCATCCATCTTCTCGAAGAAGGATTCGTTGGAGCTCACCTCGTCGCCAAAGGTGCGCAAAGCGCCTTGTAACGAACCCAGCTCAGTTACTAGCTTTTGGAATCCTTCGGGTGCGCCCTTCGCGACGATCTGGCATTGGTTGTATAGGTCCCATGTTACCTTGATGAGGGCGGGGATCTCGAGAACCGCGAAATCCGAAGACATTTTTGGCGAGATAATGCACTTCCAATAAGATCGAGTAGTTTGAGACAATAGGGCCAAGAAATCATGAGAGAATCAGTCTTCCCCACAGTCATGATCCACTGGACCGGGTAAACAGAATGCCTTTCAACGGGCCCGAACTCGAATAGTCAGTAAAAAATAACAAATTATTGCCCAGAGACAAGCCGAGTACCCCTTAGCCATTATAGCAATAGCCATGAAAGAGATACTTTGAAGGATAATGCGCTAACCGTTCCGAGCCAAAATCGAGATCGAGGCTGATTCGACTATTCGATCGGTGCACCCAACCAGAGGTACTATTTTTCAAGTCAACCATTCACACGATATGTGAATTGCATGGCTGTATCAATGGTATGAATGGGTATCGGTGGAGAATGCAGTTGGCCTTTCCAAACGCATGTTTCTTTGATAACGCGCCACTAGGCTGTGTGTGCTGCATGCAAACAAAGAACCGTAGAAGGTGGCGTTGGGTAACTACAAGGTAGACGGGATCTACGCAACAATTGAGCGGCTAGAAAATTACGAGATTTTCTCCCAGATTGGTGTTTTAATGTTGGGTTAGACGTGAGACTGAACGCATAAAAATTGTCCGCTTATTTCCCGAATTTTGCTGTTCAGGTAGCTCAAGTGAGATTGAACATTGCAATATGCAGCGAAACTGCAAGGATCAACTGGTGTTACACTGCTTCTTTCAAGTGGCCCAAATGAACAAACGCTGAAATTAAGGATAAAACTACTCTCCGCACGGAGTACTCCTTTCTCCAGAATCGCACTGATCTACGACCCACTTTTGCCTCAGGCACCACAATTTGATCGACGCGGCATCTCAGCCCCTAATTTTTGATTTTGTTTCCAATCAGACACCTATCCAGCTCTCAATTGATTCCACGAAGCATGAAATACATCTAAAAAGTGTTAATTTCACCAGGCCGAGACACATACAAGCCCGTCCCAACCATAGACCCCAAGGATCTCCAATTAATCAAATCCACCATGGCGTCCACCGCGTCCTTCACTCTGGACGCGCCGACGGTCCTCTGTATCGTATTCTCACTTTCTATGATGCCAATTGCCTCCCTCCTGAGCAAGAAACTTGTGCCAGCCCACAGGACACGCGATCGCATCCTCTTCTTCTGGCACGCCTATGATGCCCTCACCCACTTCTTCATCGAAGGCTCCTGGCTCTATGAATGCTTCTTCAGCTTCACCACTGTGGCTGAAAATCATAATGTGGAGCCCTTCTTCCTTAACGACCCAACCCGTATGTATGGTCCGGCCTACGGGACTGGACCTAGCGCGCGTCTGTGGCAGGAATACGCAAAGGCTGACCGCCGCTGGGCTGGCGCCGATTTGACTGTCGTCTCGCTGGAGCTATTGACCGTCTTTCTCGGTGGTCCGGCCGCGATATACATCTGCTATCTGCTGTGTCGGTCGTCGAATGAGAATATCAGTGCCAAGTCCCGTGGTGGGGTCAAGGCGACGCTGTGGCTGGTTTCAACCATGCTTGCTACGGCCGAGTTGTATGGTGGATTTATGACCTTTGCGCCAGAGTGGCTGACGGGAAGCTCCCAGTTGGCTACTGAGGATCCAGTTTATCTTTGGCTTTATTTGTTCTTCTTCAATACCCTCTGGGTCTTTATCCCTCTGTGGGTGTTGTGGGAGGCGGCGAAAGAGCTACGCGGTGCCTTTGTGGCAGCGGAGTCTCAGAATGACAGGAAGACCCAGTGAGCTCGGTCCAAGTGTGGGTTTTATTGGAACACTTGGATGAACTTATGCCTGAAATTCTGTTTATTTTTCGGAAATCCTGATTGGTTGACGTCCACCAGGTACAAAATAAGGTTGACAAGCTGTCGCCTCGTGTATTAAGTATTGTGAGAAAATAGATTGCGATAGGATTCCCATTGTCTTTCAAAACTGCCAGCGGTTGATACTAGTAAACAATGTTGATATGGCTTTTTGCGTGGTACATATTTGGTATAGATGTTGTCGCCCAGCTAGCGTGTCCTAGCGCAAGAGATTCGAATGTTAGCTGCATCTATACTATCACACATAAATACTACTAGAAGCGTCCAGCTGAGGCGTTTTATGTCGTATCAGCCCGGGTCACATAGAACTGTATATAATTTTAAGATTGTAGTAAATAAGATAAAAGCTAAGCTAACAAAAAGAACTGACAAAAAGATAATTCCTCTGGTAATCATCTTTGAGGAAACCCCAATTAATTGGAGAACCTGATAACCTGGTGGGCACACAGTTTGAACCGCAAGCCTGCCCAGAGAGAATAACCAAGCGTTTACCGCTTAGCTATACCTCTTAGGCAAAATATCTTGTTGCGATGTTATATTTAACCCGCGTGTTTTCATTGTTCTCCAACTCTCAATCGCTACAAAATTCGCCAGGTACCGCGTGACTTGTCAAGGCCTATTCGTCCCCATATCAAAGCGAAGTCACCTGGTCAACAGTACTGGTCTGTAAAACAGTATTCTATCATTACAAATTGTTAGCTGCCTACTTCGATCAGCTCTCCTACTATCTAAATAAAGGGCCTGCAATGTGATAAAATTGACTAAGCGCATCACCTTTTTGATATTGGTCATTCCAGTGACGCTTTGGACGGTCAGCAACAAATTGCGGAAGATATTGGGCCAAAGGGTTATTCATATTCAATCGAAAAATGCGTTGGAGTATTGAGGATGGAGTACGGTATTAATTCATCAGCAATCTTTGTTTCTGGTTTATTGATTGGATGTCACAATCTCGGGTCGTTTGCGTTGTGTAGGCTTATTGTTCAGGTTGTTTCTACCATCGACGGCTGCTATCGAAGGCTGAATACCTCGATCAACAGTCACTCCCCACCATGTATCTAGACCTCCCCTCTGACCTGGTCTGTTTTATATCCGAACCCTGAGCGGTAAGGGAACTGTGTTTATTGGCCTTCAATGTGACGGAATATCTTGAAAGCGCGTGGGCTGTAATTAGCACCAACTGTAAAGTTAAACTCCATCTTTTTTTTATCCCACCCTAAGCGCCCAGGCATTCTTTGGCCATGTGTTTAGGAATGCAGCTACTATTCGAAATTGGCTTCCATGTTTTACACAGAGACACTATGATAAGCCCCACCGCCAAGATGATGGTGAAACCACTTAGGCCAGATTCGGCTAGGCTACAGATCATTATTCCGAACAGTTTTGACGTATGGTATGGAACATTGGACGAATACGGCCCTGTAAGTTACCCAGTCGAACTAAACAACGATTCCTAAAGAATGCGGTACGCGCTAGTATACGAAAGGACCAATGGTAGGTTCATAACGTATATTAAGTGTTCTCTAAGCTTTCTAAGAGACTATTTATGTACTGTCCACTGTACTACATACTCTATACCTATAGTCAATATTATTATATTATAGTACCTAAGTAAGAAATAGAATTTTAGTAGACCTTTTACTGATTTCAGCATTCCAAGGTTATGGATAATGCCAGATTTTATATAACATTACGTGTGGGCTTTTATTTTGGCCCCAAACCTGCGGTGTAATATCTTTCCACCCCAGCGGCTAAGTATCCTTGACCTCCAAATACTACTTTATTATGCTGTTATATACCCCGCCACATTCGTGCATGGCGTAAGTCAGTCAAGTCTAGGATGCCAAACGCGGGAATATTTCAGAAATATCCCTGGAGATGTTTCTATTAGCGCCTCCCAGACGACCCCAAAGGGGTTTTTTCAGCTCATATGCCCAGGAAGCAGGGAATAATCCAACATTTTCTCTCCATATACTCTCGCTCATGAGCCTCCTATTATCATTCCAATCATCGCCTCACTCTAGCCTATTTGGAGGCTAAAGCAGGTGTCAGTGCCAAAAACACCTTGTATACTGTTTCAATCGGCACCCAGGTGTTGCTTTCTCTTCCAACTGAACGGGTGGCATCATTTCTTCACCCCCTCCGCGTACGCTAGCGGTCATGGAAAGTCGCGCGCCCAAGACCCCCGGGCCGACGCTGGCATTGAAAGGTCCCCCGGGAGCATTCAAGGTTGAATTGCTGATCTACAATGGCTGGTCGTCCAGTGATCACTGGGCTTATTGGGTGTGTTCGCACAAAAATACTGACATCGGGGTCATGATACACACTGCTGGTGATCCGAGTATTGGATTCAAGATCGTATTCAAACGATGCCATAACTTGCAAAACGACCCCAATCCTCCTCTCCAGAGGGTTCCTCTGCAATGGATTGATGGGAAATACTTTGATGAGAGGGCAATGCTTAACAACGAAGTTCCTATAATTAATGATATACCTGTTTGTCGCTTTGAAGCAACTATTTGCAAGGTCAAATTACCTGAGAAGACACCGACTGCAGTAGCTGATGCTGTGAGTCAATGGATGCATCGCATATTGCTGCCACCAGATCGTGCTGGCTAATTTGGACAATCTAGGTCGCACTAGGAGAGACAACCGCCCGGTGGCATTTAACGAGAAAGAGAAATAGGCACCTAGTGTTGAACAAACCGATGGGAGATGATATGTATGAACTATCGAGCATAGACGAAAGAGAAACAGAGTTACCTGGCCCATCCCAGCATAATTGCTAAAAATGGATTGCCGAGTCTGCCGCCCAATTACTCAAGAACAACATTTTCAACAAGGATGTTGCCACTTATCTTGCAACGAATTCCACCAACGACTCAAATTTGCAGCAAAAAAAAAAGGGCTTTGATTCGCCTGGCTCTTGGATATGGGAGGTTGGAGCCGGTGTGCTGAGTGCCATTTGCGTCTCAGCTCTTGTCGGCTTCCTTCAATATTTGGATGGAAAAACCTATGATGGCTGGCAGTACGGTGTCTCACCCAATGCAGTTGTGGCTACCATTGCCACCATAGCCAAAGGTGCAGCACTCGTTGCAGTATCATCTTGCCTTAGCCAGCTGAAATGGAACCGATGCCAGGTTCCAACAGCCCTTTACGATTTGCAGATTTTGGACCAGGCGAGTCGGGGGCCATGGGGTTCTTTGAACGCACTGTGGACTGTGACCCCGGGATTAGCTACAGTTGGAGCATTGCTTATGGTATCATCAGTCGCTCTTGGTCCTTTCACGCAGCAGATCCTGACCTTTCCATCTCGAAGCTCAGTGGCTTTGAATGCGACGGCCTCGGTCCAGATGACACATGAATATTCCCCTGACAGGTCTTACTACACACCGCTTGGCTCTCACGACCCGGTGATAGAGGAATCTGTGTTGAGTGGAATATCTGCGGCCTACACTCCCGTGGAACCGCATTGCAGCACTGGGGATTGTGAATACCCTGATTTTATCACTCTCGGTATATGCAGTAAGTGCGAAGACGTCACATCCTCGAGTGTACAGAACTGCTCTGCTCTATCAAAGACCTGGAGTGGCTGGGAAGAGAGAGGCTATTTGGGCGATAATCAGATACCCGAGAAAATCCCTCTGAACTGCACATACACGACTCCGAATGGAGTACGAATTGTTCCTGGAATACTTTATTGGAATTTTCCTTGGAGCTACGAGGATAACCGGACTTATATGAATTTCTATCGCGCCACATGGACTTCCGTCGCAACTGAGGGCAACGATGGTTTCCAGGGAGACGAGGTCACTAAGGAGGACTATCAACCCCCAGTGAAGTTTCTCAATGTTACCAACCCAATTATCCAATTCATTTCAGCGAAATACCTAGACGGAACAGCCATATACACCACCGAAAACCTTACGGCACCTTCAGAAAAACCGATCTTAACAGAGTGTGCACTATATTATTGCGAACAGCAATACACGCAGAATAATGTATCGGTCAAGCGTCGTATCCTGCAACCAACAAGAACTCACCCATTGAGATACGTGGATCCACCCCCCTCCTGGGGCAACACACTATCCCCGTTGGGTGCACCCGATGGCACCAATACCATATCTGGGAATTCAACCTACGGGGTTGCCTACTATGCAGAAAGCAGTCTTCGGGGCGCTCTGATAAGATGGCTCAATACTACCAACTTTGATTCACTTGAAACAAATCGGCTTGGTATCAAGAGCGAGGATATTCCCGGCTTTCCTGCAAGCTCGATCCTCTTTGACCGCGGTGGTCTGAATGAAACATTCAGCAATATAGCTCGAAGTATCACTGACACAATGCGGGCCAACTCCAAGGCTACCAAAGTACCAGGACAAGCTTTTCAAGACGAGACGTACATCCACGTCCGGTGGGAGTGGGTTATTCCCCCGATTGTCAACGTGGTGGTGTCGATTGGATTTCTTGCTGCCACAGCCATACTCTGTAGAAGATCCCGTGCGGTGTTGTGGAAATCCTCCGTGCTACCATTCCTCTTGAGTCAGGTTGATACACACCCTGAGCATGATCTGATATTCCGTGGGCGAGTGGATGAGGTGGAGCAGGTATCGAAGATTATCAAAGTCTCGATGAAAGAACACAATGGACAGATTATGTTTACAGAGCATTAGACTATTCAGGCATGGGGGTGTGGTGTGATCCAAATGGGGCTCTATCAATCCCTCAGATCTGATACTAAATTGAAGATAAAATTTAACTAGTAGAGGCCGAGATATCGCGAAAAATACTCAATATTGATATTTTGATTGTGGATATATATTTTAGAATTAGGTAGGAGTACTGCCACTTTCTAGTAAACCTCTGTATTTTAAAAATTATCTAAATAACGTGTCTTTTGAAAATTTAAACGTAATATCAAGGTTCAACCTAGTATTTATTATCTCTAAATTAGAATAACAAAATATTACTTTAATATAAGGGCTTATTACAGGGCTTAAGCATAGTAATTAATTTTTCAGAATGTTTGTATTGTTTGGTGCTAATTGGGCTTAATGGGCCCCAATTATGGGCTTAGTGGGCCCGGCTTCAGGCCTAAAGCCCAGCCCATTTGCGGGTTGGGTTGGGTTGGGCTATGGGCTTCGTGGGCTTTGCGGAGGTCTAGTTATGACGCCGAGTTGGGATCACCCCCGAGAGTCAATAGGTACAGAGACTGGCTTGTAAAGAGTCTGGAATCAGCCCGTTCCTGCATGTTGTAAAACCCAGACCTAGAAACCCCTATATCCCCCCACCTCCGCTCCAGTTGCACTTAGTGGTATATTATTCATGGCCAGTTACCCGGCATATTTGTCGACTTTGGCTGAGCTTCTCGTCTCCCAGCTTTGTTTTAGTCATTGGCTAATACCCATCGTCTTCCACGCCTAGATCCACTGCCACAAGGCCTATCGGTTCGTTGTCATCGTCGTCTTCATTCTCGAGTCCCACGTGTTGAAAATGTTGGAGGAGACCTGTTTGGTGCATTGAGTTGGCCGCGTAGCGGATGGCCTGCGGGTTGGATACGATATTTTCATGGTCCTTGTCGTTTACTCCCACTTTTTCGAGCTGTTTCCGCATTTTCGCCCGAATCCTAGTGTACAAAGGACATTGCATTAGGACATGCCTCGGCGTTTGTGAGCCTGCGTCGCAACTGCATCGGTCTGTTTCCGATGCCTTGATTTTGAATAAGAAGTGTCGAAGGCCGATCCTCAGCGTATGCATCTGGATCAGGATCGCACATTGTGGTTTTGTCAACCCTTCGTATAGACGAAGTGGCTTTTTTGTTCGGCGCCTGCACCATCCTTGGGACGACGATTGCGATAAGTTGCCCCGGGGTATTCCCAATCCAGGTCTATTCCATCAAAACTGTAGGTGAACATAAATTATACCAGGGATTTGATGAACTCTTCTTCTGATTTGCCGTCTATCCAGCAAGATCGGAGAAGACTGTCTGTATCGGGCCTGGATTATTGAATGTCCAACCGCCTATTGCGATACAAAATTTCAAATTCGGATCGCCTTTTTTTGTCAAGACGGCTACCCGAGTGTACAGCTCGATATCTCTCTGATCGTTTGGTTTGAATTCGAAATTGTCCGGATCGATAGTCGCGAAAGCAAAGTTGATGTGACTGTACACACCTCCTGGAATATGTTCGGGCCAGAACTGTTGCAAGGTCTTCGGGATGCCCAGCCTTCGAATTATCCAACCACTCGATTGAGTCGACCGCTCAGAACAATTGCCTCAGTCGATGGTTCATTTCCGCACTATGCCGGGATCAGCGGTTAGCGGGGAGACTGACGAGCAGTTTTGACTGACATGAAGCACTTGTAAATTCCTCTGTTACGCCACAGAAACCTCAGGGAGAAAAGCATTTCGTTAAATTTTCGCTAGCAACTTGAGAACCAAATACTCGCAAATTCGAATAGCCCATATTGAAGGGACATAACCGGTGCTTTGTGCAGAACTTTGATGTTGTAATGCTATATTGCCCAGGTGTCTCCCAATACGCGTACCTAATCGATGTCAGTTTGACGATGTAATCAAGTTTCATGGCGACTAAGCAAGTTTGATCGATAGAACAGGCTGCGAAGAACAATTCATCTCTATTGTTTTGCACCTTCTATCATCCACAAACTAAATCATCTCCCTGTTTCATCAAAACTCTTTCTTCTTCCATCACCTACAGGTCGGATTCTCGCAAACATGCCATTCATTTTGCCCATGGTTTTGATTCCCCTCCTTTATCCAGCCCCTCGTACCCCAAGGACGGGGTTCCAAACTCTTCCGGCGGAACTCAAGCTTCATATCATTGAGAAGCTTGGCCATGACTCGGTCGCGCTGAGCCGTGTGGCTACCTGCAACAGGGAGCTATATCAAATGGCGATGCCAGTGCTGTACGCCTGTGTATCTTTGGGAGCTCCGCCTCAATACCGGATTTGGCCCGGTCTAGCATGGCCCGCGGATCGTCGTTGCGTATCCTACCTCTCGTCCAATAATTAATTTCATTTTCTTATTCCAAATATACAGGTCGAACGCTTTCTTCTTACGATCCTACGCAATCCCCACATTGCCGCACTCGTGAAATCCCTCGATTTGACCGCGCTACACGACCTTTGCTACGTGCATAGGCGGAATCCTAATGAATCGGAGAGAAGGCAGCTCATTCTTCAACCTTTGTTTCCACAGGACCGTCAAATGATCATGAATGCCGGCATGGATTTGCCAGTCTATTCAACGAACAGGGTGCTGTTGCGTCAAGCACTTCAGCCCGATGTACCCCGAACAGATGCTCTACTAGCTGTTCTTCTGGGGTATTTGCCTGGCCTAGAACGTTTGGAGATCCCGATTGAGAGTGAAGACCCACCCGGTGGCCCCCCGATCACAGAACCGAACCTGATTCAACGTGTCTTGGTGAGTCTCACTGGTGCACTCTCGACGCCCAATAGTGAAATTGGCGTGGCAACTTCAGCTGTTGAAGGAAATACTAGGCTGCCTAAGCTCACTCATCTGAAAGCTGAGGTCAATGGAGACTCACCCTCAGCTGACATTGACTCGCTTATGGCTCTTCTTCGAATGTCCACATTGACTCATGTATTCGGCACCAAATGGACCACCACACAACCATGGCACAGACCTCTAATTGCGGATTCCCATCACCTCGTTCACCTTGAGCTTCGCGAATGCACCTTTGACGCCCAAAATCTTCGAAGTCTCCTCAAACAAGCTCACAACTTGCAAACGTTGATCTACGAACGTGGGTGGACGGTGAGAAAGGATTGGCGCCTGAAAGCTTCAGATCTCATCCGTGCGCTTCAGGAAACATCTCAGACCCTGGCCTGTCTCGAACTTTCATATAATCGGTTTATTCGACGCATCCAGGAAGACCTCTACCTTCAGCCTCTCAACCTATCCGGGCTTGTTCATTTGAAGAGACTACGAATATCGGCCGGATACCTTGTCCAAACTGGAGTAAAGAAGGAATTATTCGAGGGTAGTTTTTGGCGTCATTTTGACGAGACTGGAGCATATAACAGTACACTGCCTTTGCATCAGCTACTTCCCAAATCACTTGAGCAGTTGCACATCTTTCAAATCCACGATGAGCTCGAGTTTACGCTCATGAGTAATAAGCTGTGCGAAAGTCTCTATGGCAGAGCAGTGCCCATTCTGTCGGAGGCTCACCAATTTGAACACCTCAAGGAAATCATAATTGAGGCCCCCTTTGAAGACCAAGGTGCTTACTTTTTTTCAACACTCTTCGAAGTCACAAACCGAGCCGGAGTGAAGTTGACAGCAATTGAAAACTCCGCCGATTACATCAAATCTTGGGTCACCCATAATTCAAAAGTATCATGCCCAAGCAGGGACATCAACTGGGGGTTTGACGGCGAGATCCAGTGGGAAAATCCTTTCACTCAGCGAGGGGAGGTGAGGTACCATCGCCGTTGAATCTTTGAACTGGAGGCCGGGAGAATTGATCCGAGGAAGAATTGAATACAATGAGATATCAGGCAATGGATTATGAGGGCTATTTTTCCATTTCTATGTAGTGTGTGTAGGTGGGAATTGTCCGACTACTCCGTATGGTGGAAATGTATGGGTCCAATCAATGGTCTTCCACTCTCCGTATTGCTGTATTGACTTCCTGGCAATTTATACTGTCCTGATTACATAAGAAATATTACTGCATACTTAGGATTAATAAATCCTCCGGTATCCTGGTGTATCTGCGCCGACACACCCCCTCAGCGGTCCCAGTATACTTGCTGAGATCGCTGTATCATCTTGTAATTCCTAGTCTATAAGATGGCCTATATCAACCATGTTGAGCAGTCGCACGAAGCTCTTATACTTTTGCCGAGTGAGCAATTTGGTGAGGCCATCAGTAACCATACTTGCTGTAGGTACCCAGCGCACCCGTATTCGACCCTGTTGGACTTCCTAGCGGAGCCAATGGTAGTGAATATCGATATATCGAAGCTTCGTTTCAAAAGCTGTGTCCTCGCTTGTTAATAAGCTGATAGTCCTCTCGTTATCACAGTCGATTGTTAGGTGGTGTAACGGAGTAAAGGCGAGGTTTTGAAGCAATCGGCGCCACTATTAGAGCTGCTTTCCTACCTCCGATAGGCCGAGTAGCTCTACTTCTGTGGTTAACATTGTCACTGTAGGTTGCTTGCTTACTTTCCAGTTAATTGGACCGCCGTATACTTAATAGATATACCCAGCTGAGCTTTTTCTATCCGGGTGGTCTCTATACGAAGCGTTACTTACAAACTGCACCGAGTCGGTCCCAGTATTGGCTGTTCCGTACTTAATCGCTAGGTTCCGGGTAGAGTAGAGGTAGGTAATAACTCGATCAGCTACTTACTGGTGCTATAGACCGGGGTTCGTGAGAAATTGCGCGAGCTTCGCGGTCGCCTTTGCAGCGTCGGGCCTAGTGATAATAGTGGTATACCCTGCTGAGCCCACCTTTTACTGGTATAGCAGGATTTCCTTTAGCGTTACTACCCCCTAAAAAGGGGTTAATTCCTCAACCGGCAGTGGAGTATAGACTGGTACCCTTTCTGTCAAGTGATATCGGGTAGCAATACTTATTATATAGCTATCTTGATATAACCAGAGCTTCTTTTGTTACCGGTCTCGAATGATTCGTATATTTAGGAACTATACTGCTTCTCTATAATCGGTCAGTTCCTAGTGTACTTCGAGATCTCGCTCTAATTGCTGTGCCTACGCCTTTGTATTAGTATAACTAGCGATTAGGATATCATCTATATAGAAGAAAACCAGTAGTCCTTTTCCTATAAAAACGTATAGGTCTTCTGGCACTTACTGTAGACCTAGCTTGCGGAGTACGCTTACTGCTTCTTGCTGCTAAAGTCGTAGTGAAATCCGTAGACCGTATAGCGCGCGACGTAACTTCCAGCATTTACCTAGGTTTTAAAATCCCTTAGGTATATACGTATACGTCTCTTGGTCTAACTTACTGTTTAGGAACGCGGTGACAGTATCTCTCTGTCTTAGGTTAAGATCAAAGGCAGTAACCAAGGTAAAAATCATCCTCGCTGTCCTTGCTGCTAGCGTAGTAGCTCTCTTTTCCTCGTGAGAGATAGTTTCAAGGTCTCCGCGTATACAGATACGGGCCTTAAGCTTCAAAAGGTACCCGTCCTAGTCAAATTTGTATAAGAACACCTATAAAAGAGGGAGAATCTACTTCCCTCGGTCTCTTGGTTTCTTAATAACCTCAAAAGTCCCCTTTTTAGAGAGGGAGTTGATCTCCTTCCTTATCGCTGCGAGAAAACCTTCCTAAAATAGGTAGTTTATTATATCCTTCCAGTATTTTGGCGGTAGTGGGAGGTTATCTCGGTGGCGGCGAGTGTCTAGTTTCTCAGCGTATAAGCCAGCGGTAAAAGTATAGAGTAGCGCCGGCGGTTCTACTTCTTAGGTGGTACTTATCGCGTAGGCGAAGTCTTTTTCCTGCCTTACTTAGCGTCTACGCCTACCACTGAGTATATTGCTGGTATCTATATCTCCGATTATCTCTCTTCTCGGAGCCAGTAGCTCTGCCTAAAGTTACTTCTCTAGTTCGTCTTCAGTGGTTTTAAGATCCGCTTCTTCTTACTGGATCTAGTCCCTTTGATCTCCCTCGGTATCTACCCCCTGACTAGAGCCAGTATACCTCTCTTACTCCTGCGGTGGGGTGATTAGTAGTGGTAGTAGGGGCTGTTCAATCGGAAAGGAACCTAGTAGTGCTTATAGTAGAGGGTCTAGGGTCGGCCAATATAACCTATCACCTACCCCCTAGACTAGGGTAGTCCCTCGTTAGTTAACTGTTATCTTTTGGACCTCTGCTTACTGCGGAACCTCCTCTTACTGCTGTACTTACTGAGGCTCCTATACTTCCTATAGATCCTAAGTCCTCTCTTCTATCGTACTAGTCTCCTCTTAACTAGTAATTTGGTGGTTTATCACCTGTACGACCTCCTTAACGGTGAGTTCCTGTGGTCCCGTTATAGCTGGTAGTGGGATAGGCTGATATTTCTTATAATCAGGGGTATATTTTTGTGTCTCGTCAATAACTGTATCCCTGATATACCTCACTTTCCCACTATATAGGAACCAGATCTTCTAGATATTCGAGGTAAGGTATCCTACCACAAAGCCAATCTCTGCACGTAGGTTTATCTTATCGGACTGTACTTACTTCTCAATCCTACAGTACACTAAGCTTCTATATAACCTAATATTTGATAGGTTTATCCTCGGCGCCTATAGTGCGACTTCCTTCCTCACTTCCTCCTATAGTACCACCCACCGATTCTCGGCGGCGATATACGTTGGTGTACGATTTAATAACTATACAGCGGCGCTTACGAACTCCGGCTATAGCTCCTTTAGGAGGTTCCCTTCGAGGGCGAGTATACGTATCCGGGTGATAATCATTCTACCTGATCTCTCAGTATACCTATTTATCTCTGAGTGCCCTAGGGGGGAGTGATATATCAGGATACTATCGCTTATAAGACTATACTCCGCTGCTCTGCCAGCTACTGCTTTATTGTTGTAGTGGAAGGCCTTGATTAGCAGCTTCCACTGATTTCTTGTAAGTTATACAAACTAGTTAATAGCCAATTGATATTTAGGTTTCACTTCGTGAGTTATAATCCAGTGGAATCTCGGTCCTTCTAGGTAGAAGTGGGATATCCAGCGGTGCTTATTGTAGGCTGGCTGCAGCTGAATTAGGTCGAAATACACCCTTCTAAAACGTCTAAAGGTACGTCTAACTTGTCGTCTTGAAATCTGCCTCGGAGCACTTCCTGTCTTATAGGTCTAATATAGAGATTCTTACTCTGTGCTTACTCCTCCTTTATCGTTAAGAACAACGCTGTCTACTATAGTAGCAAGCTTTACTACGGTCCGCGGTTAAATATATACTAGGCGTCGGTACCAAATTTTAGAGGAAGCCCTTGATTCCTGTGGCTTCACTAATTTCTGTTATACTTACTACACAGTATATACTTGTTGTGGCGGAGCCTCGCCTAGCTTGTTAAAGATCCAGAGATTGAATTGATCCTATAGGTTCACACAGACGATAGGTCTATTATTTAGGTCCCGTATACAGTTTGTACGTTGGCACTAGAGGCCGCCTTTCTTCTTTAGTATCGCGTACGATATAAGACTCGTATAGAAACTTGGTGAGTATAGAGCGTCGCTTAAGGTAATCTCTATCCTTCCCTTTACCGGGTATCTCCCTAAAAGTCTGACTTTACCTCTCCCTAGCACCTACGTAGTACTATCTCCGGTTATTAGGTCAATTATATCAGGTGTAAAGTCGACGAATAGGGCTCGGTTATTGCAGATATACGCACTTAATCCGGTATCAAGAATCTACTAGTCACAGAGGGAGGGCTCGCCTACCTTTACCACAGAGAGCACGTGCTTACTAATCTGTATAGCTTCACTTAGCTTACTTCGAAAAGTGGTTGTAAAGCTGACTTAGTTAGCGGATTCGGCTGGTTTTTCCTGTGCTTACTGAGCTTACTGAGCTTCAGCTATCACTTTATCTACCTATTGCTTCTAAGCGTGGTCCTTTCCTAACTTCTTCTTTGCTTTCTCTAGTTTCCCTTCGTTTAGGGTATACCCTTCTAGCCGAATCGCTTCGTTTAGGAGCCAGCAAGTAGCAACTTTATACTTCGGGTGTAAGCTACCACAAGGGTAGTGTCTCTTCTTAAACGGAAGCTTCTCTTACTTTATTTCCGGTTTCGCCTCTTAGTGACCTTACTAGGTCGAGAAAGCGCCTTTTAGAGGAGTGGTTAATAACACCACCTATACTCCTATCTCGCGATTTATCGCGCGGAATAATTCAAGGAGATCTCGGGTATCGTACACCTTCTTTTCTATCACTATTTCCTGGTATTTACCTTACCACTATATAGGTAGAACTTCTTTTACAGCGTACAGGAAGTCCCTATTGGTATCTCTGTCCTTAATACCAAGACTAACCGCTTACTCCCTTAGCGAGTTCCACTTTTAGAGCCACTTATCGATGTCTCCAGTCGGCTTCTATATTGCAAACACTTTCTAACTTATTCGGATTTCCTCCTTATACGCGGTCGATCGAGCGAACCGAGACTTCAGATATATAAGTCTATTATACGGTGTACAATATATAATCAGTGCGAGGTAGTGTACTGGGTCAAGATAGGTGAGGATATATTTATTTATATCACTCAGTCCCTTTGCTTGCTTCTCCTATCGAGTATAGCTCATTTTATACACGTCTACTTAGTCTCTCTATTTCCTTCGATCTGTTTCGGTGCCCTCTTTAGGATATTCTGGTTGTACCGGTTCCTTTAGAGTATCAGGTCGTTCAGTTAACGGGGTATCCGGGTTGCAGTGATCCCAGACATTTTTTTGCATTGCGTATAGCTGCACCTTCGCAAACCAGGTGAGCTATTGCGGTGTATCCTTCAGTTTATCGCCCTTTATAGCGGAGAGAATCGATACTGTTTCTATTGCTGGATGCTGTGTTGTTTTGATGTGAAACAAGGGATGACTTTCTGCGGAGTGGCTTCGTGGAGGTTTATAAGACAGTTTCTAGCAAGTTGCTAGGTACTATATGCCGATATAGTAGTCTTATTCAGTGCGAACCGGGCTTATAACTGTCCGACTACTCCGTATGGTGGAAATGTATGGGTCCAATCAATGGTCTTCCACTCTCCGTATTGCTGTATTGACTTCCTGGCAATTTATACTGTCCTGATTACATAAGAAATATTACTGCATACTTAGGATTAATAAATCCTCCGGTATCCTGGTGTATCTGCGCCGACAGGAATTCGTTGCCTTGTTGCCTGATGCATTCACGGACCATATGATCGACATGACGTAATTGCTCCCATGGGACCTCGGCTTTAATCCCACAGAGATCACGTTCGTAGCTTGCGAGTCTTCCCACTCTTTGTATTTATCGTCATTTCAAATCATCTGGGTGATATTTTACTCATGTCTAAAATCCTGGCTAAATCTGACATCAAAGGTTGAGGGGACCAATCTGGAGCATAATATCAACTTCCCTAGAACTGGACTTTGACATTACACATACCAAGTATCGTTCACGCCCAAGGAGAGCCATGGCAGAATACAAGCTATCTTACGAGTCTCAACTGGTGTGTTCTGAAGACCAACCTGTTTCGATTTTCTCACACATACACACCATCTCCCTACACTACATCAGACCATACTAACATACTCACGCAATCAAGGACGTCTACCATCCCTCCTACCGCTACGAAGCCCATGACCCGCGCGACTGGGAGTCGGCTGCTCTCCGTGGCCCAGCACTCCCAGCCATAGGGAATGCAACTGCCGGCGCAGTCGGCGCAGCAATCTCCAATGTAGTCGTCTACCCGCTCAATGTCATCGTCGCCCGTCTACAGACCCAGAAGCAGAAAGACAGTGACCCAAGCGAGAAATCAGACGATGAAGAGAACAGTGAAGCATATACCAGCGTGGCAGATGCTGCCCGCAAGATCTATGCACAGCAAGGCATCGCCGGCTTCTACCCTGGTCTGGCACAGGATACTTGGAAGACCGTCGCGGACTCGTTCCTTTTCTTTCTTGCATATAGTGCCATCCGCCAAAAGAGAATAATTGCGCATGTAGGCGTAGAGCGAGCTGCTAAGAAAAAAAACATTGTCCTTCCAATAATCGACGAACTTGCCGTTGGTATCCTGGCTGGCTCGTTTGCCAAGCTATTCACCACCCCGCTGTCGAATATCGTCGCGCGAAAGCAGACATCTGCAGCGCGGAAGGGTGCAAATGGGAAGAACTTGTCAACCAGTGACATAGCAGCTCGCATCCGTGCTGAAAAAGGTATCCTAGGCTTTTGGTCTGGATACTCGGCCACCCTGATACTCACCCTGAATCCATCTCTCACGTTTTTCCTGAATGAATTCCTCAAACGGGCCCTCCTCCCACGTTCAAAGCGCGCCAAACCCCCGCCAGTTTTGACATTCCTCTTGGCGGCCCTTAGCAAAGTCGCCGCCTCGTCAATCACATACCCCTTCTCCCTCGCAAAAACCAGAGCTCAAGTAACGAGTACCGGCGCTAAGCCCAAGTCTGAAACCGCAGGGAAGACTCGGACCTCCCTTCTCGCCTCTCTCACCCCCGAAATACTTTCGACGGTCGCCACAATCGCCCGCACAGATGGCATACCAGGGCTCTACGCTGGCCTTCATGGCGAAATGCTGAAAGGCTTCTTCTCGCACGGGTTTACAATGCTCGCGAAAGATGCCGTGTACGCTTTTATAATCAAGACATACTATCTCCTTCTGATGCTGGGACATCGCTATCCCTCACCCAACGAACTCATCGAGCGTGCCCGCGAACAGGCGGAGGAATATACAGAGATTGCACGTGAAGGAGCACGTGATCTAGCGGAAAGAACAAGGGAAGGCGCTGAGGAGCTACTGAACGCTAATTCTGGCAGTGTCGCTGCTGATATGACATCAAACTCCGCAGGCGCTGCTGACACTGCCCGAAGTCTGGGTAATGGCATTGATTCTTCTTCGGGTCTGAAGGTTCCTGTTTCATCGGTTTCTGATGAAATCAATGAGACGGCCGAGCTGGTTGGTGATTATGTAGAGGATGAAGCGGCCGAGTGGAGGAGCTTGTATCATTGGTTTTGGACGAAGGACCATGGACAGCATCATGATTGATTTCAGGTAAAGAAATAGTGTTGTTCACATATTTAGGCATTCTAGTACAGCAAGTTCCTTGAAGTTTTGTCATTGAAGTACATACTAATATCATTCCATCCTTCCATCTGTTCCATCCATTATTTCGCTCCTTCTCTCAACTGCTCTGGGTGGACGTCTTAGGTCTCGAGGTCGTCATATGGAAAAAGTCAAATGCTATTTTAAGCGCTACCAGAAGTCTTCCTGGTTGTAAAGATGCTTAGTACTTAAATCCGGGGGCTAGAGAGATGCACCGATGTGCTTTGAAATGATGAAGCAGATAAAATCACCTTGGAGCCACTTGGCTCGCCAAAATCAGAGCACCATCTGATAGGATCTGCCGGCTCAAAACTTTGCAGTCCTTTCTCTAGCATAATAGACTCTTCTTCTGTACGGCTCGGTCTCTCTCATCGGGCTTCTATAAAAGAACATGGTGATAGCCGCCACCGAACTTCCGTGATATGGAATCGCAAGTCGCTTCAGTCTAGGAGGTAGAGAGGTGGCGAAGAGAGAAAGATGGCGAGCAGTACATCAGAGCTAAGACCTAGACTCCAGACCCATCGTCTCATATGATCATGTAGCATTGGCAAACACTGCACACCAAGATAGTTATAAGGGAAATATTAATTTGGCTCGGGATAAGAAGCGAAGACAAAAGAAATCTGAGAATATGATCAGATGCCATGCAGCTTTTGCCAATGTTATATGATCATATGAGACGCTGGGTCACGGGTTCCAACAGGGTCTAGCTCTGACGTGCTGTTCACCGTCTTGGGCCGATCTTGTCAAGTTAAAGCTGGCTTTGAACTATAATTCCTTCGGTGTGAAAATAAAGCGAGAGTTCAGTAATCTATCCTGCAACATGAAGGGGAGTCCAACCCGTAAGATCAACTTCACGGACCAGCATCACAAAATCTGGGTGTCCAAGGATTGTGAAGTTCAAGGAGAAGGAAAGAGAAAAGAAGAATAGGTCCTTGGAAATGGAGTGTTGGAAAGTAAACTCACCTTGATAATCGCATGGTAGGAATATCAAAGTAAGAGCTTTGAGACTAGCTGCTGTCCGTCAAGATTAGTCCGTGTGAATACACAATTAATATGTAGTATTTTTGAAAGTGCCTCAGCCATATAGCATTCGATATATTGCCTATATCTGGATCAGAGCCATGATATTATATAAAATGACTTTTCCCCTCTAAATACCTTCCAAGGCTTAGATAGTACGGGTAAAAAAAAAAACAAAGATATAAGCCCATGCCTAGGTAGATGGCGAAATGAGGAAAAGGAAGAAAGACAACCTTGGAAGGTCATATACCTCAAGTAGCGTTGATGCCTCAGGTTCTCCACTAATTTACAACCATCCCGAGATCGGGGACCTAATCGGGAGCCCGAGATAACCTAGCAGCGACTAACCTCAGAAATTAATATCGCTTACCTCATTTTTAACCCCACCGCAACATGGCGTCGATGAAAGCTAACTGGTTATCGCTAAGAGGGTTGTATTCAGCTCATCCTTCATATAAAGCTATCGATAATCCCCAAGAAAGTGAACACACTTTACATTCCAACATCAATTTCCGATTTTCCAAATATGGCATCAACCCAACACATTGGGGAGCTTTCCAAGTCTAGCCGGCTCATCTACCGAGCCCCAGAGAACACCGAAGAGGACATTGCATTTTTCCAGCATCAAATCCTCAACGATGATACAATCAAAATACTAAGCACTGGGCGTCTTCCACGCCCGTCTCCCAAAGGTTCAGCCGAGGAATTCATCAAAACAATGCAAGACTCCATCCTAGGAGTAGTTATATGTCTTCCTCAAAATACCCCTGAAACAGAGACTCCACCTTCCACTGACACTCAATCGCTGGATCGCCCTGTTCAAAATTCCAAGCCAGTCCCAATTGGCCACTTGGGCATTTTCAGCCTCACTGGACCGGGTTACGCTCATCATCGAAACGCGATGATAGGAGTTTCATTTGCGGACGGCTTTCGTGGGAAAGGTTACGGCGGGGAAGCTATCAACTGGGCGCTGGATTGGGCATTTCAGTATGCTGGGTTGCACAGAGTCATCATCGGCGCATTTTCGTACAACCCCAATGCTTTGAAGCTTTATAGGAAGCTTGGGTTCGTGGATGAAGGTCGCGAACGTGAGGCTTTATACTATCGTCGCGCTTGGCACGATATTATCAATTTATCCATGCTGGAGCATGAGTGGGAAGCTTTGAGAGGAATAGCGCCAGCTCAGTCAGGTCGCGCCCTCCCTGAAGCATCTGATCAATAAAGGCTCAATAAAGGCTACTTTATTGACAGCCTTGTTGTTTCGGGTTGATCGAGCCTTGGGAGTTGATCTATGGAAGGTCTCTTGTTTGGCGATCCGATTCGGGGGCGCCTTCATGGTCGGACAATAGTTGGCTTGATGATTCCCATGTGCTCTATATGTATTTTAGGGGAAGTATATTCATTTGATCACTAAATATTCCAAGAAGATTCCCCTAAGGGCATTTACTTCATGCTGGTCGAAACTGAAAGTGGCTATGTCGACTTCGCTCAAGGCAGCAATGTTTTGTTATGTCTATTGGCTCAACCACTCATTAATAATAAGTGGAAACTTATTAATGTAAGGCATCGCACCGATCTATCAAAGCCTTGTACTTCAAATTCTCTTCCTGGTAGTCCGAGGCAGCGCGCTCTATATAGAGACTATGAACTGCCCATCTCTTCTTGATAATGTCCCACAGTTTACCGAGTACGTATTAAAGAACTGGTAGCTGCTGATCTCGAATGAGTATCGCTACATCTGCGATTTCAGTGGTGCTAGGCCAAGTGGGCTGTTCACAGCTCACCGCGCCAGTCCACGACAGACTTTGTCGCACTCTTGTAAGAACAATAACAATCCAGAGAAGGCAACGAAGTATTCATTTTGAATTCGTAACAAGAGAGGTAAGGCTCATGGTCACTCCAAGCTCCACTAGGCAGTGCGTTTACCCCGCCTTGATACCCGATCCTGCGACATGCAGAAACGTGACCATCATCCCTGAAATAATACTATACATATAATAATTTCCGTTGAAAGCAACTCACAGCTATGGCGGTACCGCAACCCGAAGATGTGAATCAACCAAGTCAAACCACAGACCCTCAAACCCCGCCTCCCTCGACGATCTAGCCACTTTCACAAAGTCATGCAGCCGCCATGCACTAGCGCTTTGGGCTGTGAACGGCGAGGCCAGGCGCTCTATCAGATCTTCTCCGGGCCCATTTATCTCAAGCATAGCCATCGTCAAAGGAAAGACGACCGGTAACGCGCTAGAATCCTTTACATTGACCGCTGCTTTGGCAAAGAATGTCAATTCAGAGAATATTCCATTCGCAAGCTTGTGTGCTTCCTCGTCCTCGACTCCGAGCGGATATCGCAGTCGATGGAGGATTAATAAAGCCGCCAGCCGATACACATTTGCTTGTGTGACCATTGCTAACACCGCATGCTGGCCGTAATTCTCGAATAATCCAGTCATGGTTTGCGGCCGCCAGCGTCGGATGATATCCTCTATTTCATCCAGTTGGTCATGTATAGCCGAGTATGATTTAGATCCGACGGCTGGAGTATTTATCTTCAATGCATTGCTACACTTGCAGATATCATAAAGGTGAGGGAGAAGCGTTGCACAAAGACCACCGTAGCGATCGATGATGACGCGACGCTGCGGGTCGAGTCGTATTATAGGGATCTCACGGTGCACCAGACACTCGATGGTATCAATCAAAATCGGAGACATGGTTACCGTATCCATGACAGGTGCCTGCAGCAATTTAGGAATCCATGGTTTTGCCGACATGAGCGCGCTTCGAACGATAGAATGCGCTGTACTGGAGTACGGCGCTGTGAGAACATTGAAGACGTACATAGTCTGACCGAGGAAGAGCACGCACGCCGCGTCGTAATGGTGTGCGATTTTCACACTTCGCAGACGTTGCAATCCCTTCGCGGCTTTAAGCATGTCGGGCTCGTGCCGACGTACAACGAGGGACTTTTGGTAATTCGTCATCAGGCCCAGGAAGGCCAGGTATCCTTCTGTTAGGATCGGGGCGCATAGTTGCAAGATAACATAAACGGTCTTTTGGGATATGGGGACAAAACTACCTCCAAACATGAAGGGTAAATGTATGAATGTGAATGTTTCCACGTCCATAACGGTGCGCAAGGCGTCTGATGTCGTTTGAAAGTTGTTTGGTGCGGCGAGTAATTTCTCTGGCGAGAGGACCAGGAAGTCGGGTGTTTCCGGTGTCCAAGCCTCATCGACTCTGGGAGGCGAGCTGGAAAATGATCGTTGACTAGACGAGCAAGAGGAGACATCGCTCTCGTTTTCATTGGAGCTGGGCTGTTGCGACGCGACATTGGGAACTTCCAAATCCCTCCCATCCGGGGATTTGGAAGAAGAGCGGTATTTCATGCGCTTGGTGTGATGAGCAGTGGAGACAGTTTTCAGACGACTGCATCTGATGCATGTCGGACTAGTCGGACTAGTCGGACTAGTACATTTTTCGTTCTCGTTATTCGGGTTGCAGTGGTCGCAGGCCTTCGCCATCGTCTTAGAAATGCGCTGGAAATAGCAAGAGAGCACGAGTCTTTTGGGAACAGTTCACTTGTTTGATGTCAGATTTGTTATGAATTCAGCGAGGTTGGATCGGCCGATTTCCCCGCTCCCCCCAGGATTTCCCCATAGCCGAGGGTTGATCGACGTATAGGCTTCCTGTTCAGGTACTGCAATCTAATCTAATTTAAGTTCTAGTGAATGGTATAATTATGTAGAATGGAGCGTTAGCAGATAATTGATCAATTCTCACTAGAGACTGTTGTTCGATTATTCCACAATGCCTATGGTATTATAGGCAAACCCATTTGCGCACAAAAGTACTGGTAGCACATGCTCATTCAAGAACTGGCTGAGTTGCGCAGTGAATCACGCCCCCAGCCAATGGAAGAGCAGACACAAATACCGGCCTCACCACGCGATCAGGACACAGCTTCTGAAACAATACCAAGGCCTCCTGATCTCGCCGGGAATCACCGAACTGGGGAAGAATAAGCCCATCATTGACGAAATAAAAGTTCACATAGTTAGTTGCAGGTTCATCGTAAGACAAGACCCCAAAGATCTTGGGATTCGGCTCGTCCACAACATGCACCTCGAAAGGACGGCCCTTCGCATCGACCGACTTCGCCAGTATCTCCTTGATCTCCTCGTAAATCTCCAGCCATTCCTTCGGCACGCTAGAATGTGGTCGTGAGAGAACAACAACACCAGGCCGGATGAAGTTGACTTCAGCATCGACATGCACATCAGTAACATCCAGATCCTTTCTGCCGGGGAACCAGATGATCTTCTCAACACCCAGCAGCCGACGTAGCTCATCCTCGATCGCGCTCTTTGAAAGACCTGGGTTCCGATTCTCATTGACGACACTGCTTTCAGTCGCCAGAAGCGTTCCTTCACCATCAACAACAAGTGCCCCACCTTCCAAACAAACCCGTGACTCGATAAGAGTCGCCGGAGAAGGCGAGATATCAGACATAACAACCCTACGTGCAAAGGCTGCATTTTCATCGATCTGTCGAGGACTCATGACAGGCCAGTCAAGTCCATCCGAAGCACGGTCATGCTTGGCGATCTCGTGTTTCTTTCCCCATTCACTGAAACGGAAATTGACTGCGAAACGTTGGTTGATGGATTCGCCAGTTCCACGAACATATACGGGGCCTGTGTCGCGGACCCAAAGGTGATTTGTGGGAAATGGAATGGCAACAATGTTTGAAATGTTGCTTGGGTACTTGGTGATGGCTTGGCTGATCATTGACTGTGCTTTGTGGAGCTCATCAGGTTGCACGTACAGTCTGACTGGCTCATGGACTGAAATGACAGAGGCAAGATTGGCAATGTCGACACATGCGCTTTCGTAGTATGCCGAGGCGATGGAGACTTTGGATGGGAAGCCGAGAATGGTTGCTGCATGGCGGGCTGTCTCGTGAGGTAAGAAGAATCTTCCGGCTTGTGCCGAAAGGGAAACCATATTTTTAATGGCTAGTGATGTTAGAGGAGATTTCACATGAGAGTGGGAGTTGAGTTTGTAAGGGAAACAATTTCAAGGTTGTATAGGTGAGTTCTGTTACGAAAGGGGAATTTAAAGTTGTGGGGCTATTCTCCGCCCGTGCCTTCCCGAAGACAGCATACATTCCAACGGCAGCCACCTACCTGCCCCTGTGCAGCCTATGTACCACCCAAACACTAAGGTTATTTGCTACAAGACACAAACTACGTGAGAATCATATGACTAATAGCAGGCATTGTATTGAACCACAGGAGTCAATCAGAGGCTATCACTAGATATCAAGGACACCTACAGTCCATTATCAAAGAAAAAGAAAAGCAATCCGCAAGAAAAGGCAGACCCAAAGAAATCCATAAACCCCATAACCATTCACGCAAAAAGCAAACCCATCACACCATGACACATTAAAGAAAAAGCCCAGACCCAGCACCTCCCACAGATCGTGAGAGCGGCTCGATCGCATCCGGCCATTCAAGTCATAAGAGAACTCTAACCACCGAAACCGTAGAGAGTACGGCCCTGGCGCTTAAGAGCGTAGACAACGTCAAGAGAAGTGACAGTCTTACGCTTAGCGTGCTCGGTGTAAGTGACAGCGTCACGGATAACAGACTCAAGGAAAGACTTGAGCACACCGCGAGTCTCCTCGTAGATCATGGCGGAGATACGCTTGACACCGCCACGACGGGCGAGACGGCGGATGGCGGGCTTGGTGATGCCCTGGATGTTGTCGCGCAAAATCTTACGGTGGCGCTTGGCGCCGCCTTTGCCGAGGCCTTTTCCGCCTTTGCCGCCTGTTTAAAATTATTAGTTTTTGTTTTGGGAATTATGTGAGGGTGTGAGTGTGGTATGGGGTGTGGGGGTTATAAAATAAATTAAGATGGAGAGTAAGGGAGGACAGGGAGGTGAGGGTTGTTGGAGGTTGTGTTAAGATGCGTATAGGTGAACAGCCATTCCTAATTAGGGAAGGCGTGATGCAGTTGATGCCCAAGGCACATATCACGTGCTGACAGGAACATCACCAGTTCTTTAGAACCTCACCACGCCACGCGGACAACAAAGAAAATAGGGGTAATAGCGGCAAGAAGATATGGAAGGATAGTAATACTTACGTCCAGACATTGTTTCAGATACTTAGAATTGAAGGTCTTAGAAAAGTGGATGAATCGACGATATGTTGTCGATAAACGATGAAAAAACACGCGATTTGATGGTTTGGCGTGGATGTTAAAAGAGGGGGAAATAGGAAAATCTTTACACGGAGGGGGAAGGCAGTTTAAATAAGGAAGCCGATTAGGCGTGATCCGGAAATTGGGTAATTTAGGTAAGCAGACAGGTTTTCCATCATTCTGCAATGCGGCGGTGATTGGCGGGCGACCGGGGAAGAAAAAGGGCGTTATGAAGGGTCGGTTTCCAGCGCATCTACCAGCCATGGCCGGGCCCGCGTTTTCTTGCGTGAGCAACATTGATTTGGGTCACGTGGTGATAAGATAGGGAATGGGGCTAGCCTGATTTGGAAGTATACCCCAAGACTCCACGCAAATGAATGTGAACTTCATTTTATCGACTCCTTAGCTTTTCAACGGGTGGCTAGCATTTTTGTCAAACAGTAGAGGAATAATTTATACTTGAAAAAATATCCTGTCAAGCTACAAGGGAAAAAGAAGGATCCAGTCGGTCGCGTTCATCATGTCTCGTGTCATTTCAAAACTACGTCGCGTTGCCTATATAGTAGGCAGTCATGTATCACTATCTTCGCATCTTCTGTCCACGTCCAACCAGAAAGGTAGACAATATTGTGGCACTAAAACCGGAATAACAATAGGGGAAAAAGCTGAAAAGAGAATACGCCAGAACACCATGCAATCAAAAAAAAACCCCATAAAGTGCAATGCATCAAAATCAGGAGCGGAGGCGGCATACTAAAAACTTTTTGCGTTGAAGAGGGGGCCATCCAGCAAAGAACAGCAAAGAATCGAAAAAATGCCTCGGAAAGGAAATCGTAGCGTCATCATGCATGGCCGAAGCAGCACGCAGAGGTAATAAAAAAAAAGGGTGAGAAGCACCGCACCAGACAAAGCCGGTACGGGCGCGTCGATAATTTGGGCCGACGACTGGTGATAGCGAACCGCACAGCGAATGATTCAACGAAACGTCCGCGGTTTATTATGCATCGCAGAGACAATCGCTCACATATGCTGCTGGTTGAAACCACTGGCGAGATAGAGCAGGGTAATGTTGAGAGGGAGTCAAGAAAAGAAAGAAGAAAGAAGAAAAAAAAAGATCTATCAGACAGCGCTGATAGATGGTGGTGGCAAAGAGGTCGGAACTGAGCCAACGGATCTGTCCAGTTCCATACAAGGACTATCAAATCCACTTCACGAAGGTCGTCAACAATATACTCTTGAAGGCCGACCGGAAGGATCATAGCCAGGTTGGGCGCTGTTATATAACAGTCTATGTTACTCACCCTCTAATGACGGTTGGAGAGTGAGGTTCATTCATGAAACCACGGTTGAAAGAATAGCGAAAAGACATGGCGGATGAGGGCCGCGGCGAGGTGCGTGGGCTAGCAGTAGCACGAGGTGCCTCGACCACAGGAGCAGCGAGAGGAGCAGGAGACCGAGGAGATAGCGGGGGTGAAGGGCAGGCTGGGGCAGAGATATGCCTTGGAGCCTCGCCTTCACGACCGCTCGAGATCGATGCGTGTGCCTTAAGGTTCGATCCTTGCGGAGACCCATACTATGAAATGTTAGTTGACTGTCATAGTGTAATTCACTGTCGAGAAAACTTACAAAGCAGTACTTATCGACCAACTCCTGATACACGGAGGACTCGAGCTGGGGCTTGCTAGATACCAGAGAGGAAGGTTTCAGATCTGCCACACGACCTTCTACGCGGAAGTTATCGCTCACTGCAGAATCATGGCCCTGCTCAAAAGTAGGAGTTTTCCTGGTCGGCTTGGGACTCTCCGCCACCACAGGCTCCCCAGATTTCGCACGGGTAGTCAGAGCGGTCCGATCCAGAGGCGCCTTCGACCGCATAGCAGCAGACAATGACGCTCCGAAGTCGTACCGGTTTCCAAATGCCTGGCGGTTGGAGTTTTCGCGGCGTTTAGGCGGCGCGACCGTATCGATCTCATCAGAGGGCGTACGAGTCAGCGGCGCACCATTGGCACCATTGAGAGGTTTCGAGAATGATTTATCGCTAAGGTCGGGGAAATCATAGGTGGGCGGCATGGAGTGCGGTCGGAGAGTATGAGTGCTGGTGAAGGATCGGCTGCGGGGAAGAGCAGGGCGAGATCCGCCACTTGCAGGCTTGCTCGTGGCGGCCTTGGGCACTTTGTGGAAATCAATCTGATAGTTCACCGAATCATTGTTATCCCAATATTCCTGTCCATTCACGTTATAGCGGATGCACATGATCATGGTCTTGGTCTCCAGATTGGCCTGATCATTCAGCTTGAGGTCGAATGAAAAGCGATCATATCCGTCGGCAGCTTGCTGGCGGCGAACGTCATGGCAGTAAGCCGCTGCAACCTCCGAGGTGGTCCTCCAATAATCCAGTGTGAAACGAGCAGTCACATTCTTGTGGAACGCAATATTGGCCACTGCCACAGTGCCGATCAAAGTGCTCTTATCAGCCGACAAAAACAATCGCTCGAGGCGGACTGGACGAGTGGCACGTGATGAGATATCTTTAGGCCAATTGGCAAGCTTGATCTCCCACTCCCACGACGGACCGCGCGAGTCAGAGCCAAAGGGGAATTCGACCTTGCCATCGTGGTTTTCAACTGGTGATGTTTCTGTGCTGACAGCCAATGGCTTATCTAGCTGGAGGAAGTGACGAATGTGCTCCAAGTGGGAGTCGAAGTGCACCGCCTTGGAATAGACGGGGGTACCAGGCATGCTGGATGGTCGTCGCCGTGCCGAGGAAGGACGAAGAGCGGGTCGAACAAGCTCACCTGACTTCTTACGGACCATAGCGGGCTTGCATGACATCTCCACGTCACTGTCTTCGGGCGAGCTAGTCAGTGCGTGTTCCCGAGTCATGCCGATGGCGGTTTCGGTAGACGATCGGGAGTGACTGATCTTGCGAGCTTCTTTGGACAGTGGTAGGTGGGGGAGCTTGGGGCGAGTGGGCTTTGCCTCAGTCGACGGCGCACTCGATGAGGGCCGAGCCGACGTTTCTGTGTCTGAACCCATTCTTTCCGGTGAACTCTCCCTCCTCAATTTAATTGAACGAACGGCCGCCTCCAGCTCGTCAAACTTGACACCCTCACCACTCCGGTATGGTGATTCCTCATCACTCGAGTTCACGGCAGACTCGGGAGGCGAGATTACCGCCCCGGGAGGGATGATAGCATTGCTTATCGGCGGTGGAGATTGACGGAGACTGGCATGTGGATCGATGGAGGGGGAGGCCCAGGCCGGGGATTCTGGGGTGGAATGCACTGTCGATTTTGTGTTCGAAGGACTCCTCCGATGACGGCGGGTATATGAGGTAGAGGAATAGGAGCGGGAAGTCTGAACCCGTCCTGACGGAGAGCGAACCGAACCGGGCCTCTCACAAGGCTCTTCGGTTGGTTTTGTGTATTCAATGTGCTGCGCGGCGAGCAACTTCAATGGCGCAGTGTATGGCATCCGGCCGACTTGTGTGTCTCAACACAAGAAGGGGATGAAAGGTTGATAAGGAACTCGGGAAGGGTATTTGTTTCAAATCACAATCAAGTGCCTGAAGCTTCGGCCGTTAGTAAAAGGCTTTTCATTAAATTTCGAGATATTGTGGCGAGGCAAGGTCAAGGAGTGGCAAGAGGCGAAGACAACATGCCATATCCCCCAGGGAATATAAAAGAAAGGTGACACTTGAGGAAGGTGCCAGTAGGAATTGGTTTCACAGGTAACATCAAATAGAAAGGGAATTGAGAAGGAAGGAAGGGAGCTTATCAATACCGTTGGAAGTATGGAAGGTGGCGAGAGAATATTAGCCAAGGCGGAAAAGGTTAACCAAAAAAAAAATACAGAGACGAGAGATGTATATCAAAAGAGAAAAAGTATTCAAGCTCCCGGCACAGCCGCGATCAAGGGAGAGAGGTGATTTAAAGGTACCTTGAAAGTACAGGGAAAAAGATATAGTGGCGAATCAAGTATTCCACGCTATGACCGTTGAGAGAAGATAAGAATAAATATATATAAAATCCGGTATTATAGCTTTTGCGAGACATGCGAAAAATAAATTAATATCCAAGCGCCATAAAATAATTGTCTAGGTGCGTCTGCTTTACTCCGCTTCGATAACCAGGTCAATGCGGCCCGTATAGGTGGGGGATAACTTCCAGGATTTTTTTTTTTTTTTTTTTTTATATTATGTATTATGTATATTATTTTTATATTTATCTATTTTTTTAGATTGTATCATTTCCCTGTTTCTATTGTATATACTATGTCAGACTAGAAAGATATAGATATAGATATATCCCATACATGTATGTAGATATGAATATACCATACTCATATCCTCCACTCTACAGCTCACATACTCGATTTCCACCTCTCTTCCCAAGGTTGGTTTTCCGAATTCTCCGACATGTGGTCCATTCGCACGAGCACGTTGGATGATCTTTACTATAATGCACTCATCATTCCTTAGTGGCACAATTAGCGGACTACAGGCCTCCATCAGCCCACAGGCGCTAAGAGAGGTCCATGTACTCCGTACACTTAACTTTGCTTCAACCTGTTACCTGTGTTTGGATATATCTAATTTTTTGTGTATAGATTCCCTTAAAATATCAAAATGAGTCCTATTCGAAACTATTAGCCGAGTATTGATGTTGTTGTTATCATTGAAATCCCTGAATGCTATTTTGATGTGTACACATCCTTATCAATTTCCCCCCGTGGTCGAAAGATTGGCCAAGATTTATGGATCACCCCCAAACCTGTTTGTTCCAGATTTTTTTGTTTCGCACAGGTAAACTAGGGATGCCATGCAAGTGCTAGAAGCATAATCTCCACTCATCCCTTTGCTTCAAACTACACACCGTATGGATATCGTGGGGGTTGTTAAAGGGGGCAAGTTACTCATTGTGCTACCCTTTTCGGACGTAAAGAACAAAGTCTAGAATGTAATCTAATATAGATCATACGCTGTTATCGAGACTATTTCTGACACTTCCGACCCGGAATCAACTTATCGGTAGTGGAACATAGTGGGTTTCCCGCTACACGACCATGGAGATATCAAAAGAACAAGAAATTTTCATTGATATAGTCCTACGGGGTACTGTGACGTGCATGGCTATAGTCTCATTGTTAAGTACTCCGGACTTTGGTGGATCAGGTTTTCGACAGGACTCCACCGAAGTTGCCGTAAAATGCCGACTATTAGATAATGAACGATGGAGAGATATGAGACTTCGGGGATAATGTATAGATATGATATCAATTCCCAAGGTTGAGATTGTTCGAATCATATGATTTTCTCATTGGATTGAAATCACGTATAATCACGAATCTTCTACGGAGGCAATTGCAACCTCCGAATGTTATCCGAGAATCACGACTTTCCCATTATCTATATAGACGTGGTAATTCCACGCACATAATCCATGATGTCAAGGTGCAGATTTGATAGTCGCCGATTGCCTTGGTTTTTGGGCACTTGGCGGCAGGTCTGGACCCCCGGTCGCTCGTGCAGCATACTACTTTTTTTTTTCTTGTACTCCAAGACATTTCATAAAATCTTGGAAGTATATGCATATATTTTTTTATTTGCATTTGATACAATCTCTTTATAAAAGACACAACTGACTTGCTAAGCTTGCAAGTACAAAGTATTGAATTGATAGAATAGAGAAAATTGAAATTGAATTTACTAAATAGCGTGAAACTCATGCCAATATCTCAATTGATTTTTTCGGCGTTTCACCATCCCTTCAGCCCCCAAGGTGACTGATTCTCTATGTCCCACCAATTAGCTGTCATACTAGGCAAATAGAAAAAATCCAGGCAAATCCAGGCAAATCCATGGCAAGTTTATTATTGTTCTATATTTCCAAAATATTTCCAACGTGCAAGCCCTCCCGAGCTCTATAGTACATACTCCGTAGTACTCCGTAGCGGTTGGGCTTGGCAACGATTACGAAATTGTTCTCGACCTGTAGACGCCCACGCCCAGGCCACACCACCCCCTTTGTTTGTATCTAGCGGCGCAGAGTTTTCCTTTTTGCCACTCTATTCATTGACCTATATCCCAACAAAACAGGTGGCTTTCAAGTGGCTTTATGGGCGTTATGGCGTTATGGCGATTTGACGATTTAACCATTCTGTTTTATTTTCATTGATCCCCTCGGAAATGCCATCAGATTGGCGAATTTCCTGCAGCCCCATGGCGTATATGGTGGGTACTCGGAGTCTCGACTCAACGTTCATCTGACAGTCTCGAACTACTTTTGGTATTCTGATCTGCAAGGCTATGATGATCTCCGGATTTACAACCCTCCTTTTTTCCATCTGGAGTTATCCCGCAAAACTCCTAGTATCCACGGTCTGAACATTAGTCTGCGGGCCTACCCGATATCACTTCTTTGAAGATCCTCATTTTGCCAAATCTGAACATCTCGGTGAGAGCGGCAAGGTTGCAACATTAAGCTGCAGGGCGATAACGTCCGTTTAGCCCCTTCTTACCAAGACATTGGAAACTTCCGTGCGCTTTTCGTTGTTTTTTGCTTTTTTTGATTTTTTTCTCGTTTTTTTTTTCCCGTTTTCCTTTCTTTTTCTAATTTCATTCCGACGTCTAAGTCCAAGAACCCCTCCATCGGTTGTTCGGTTCACGGGAAGCCCGAATCGGATCCTAGCCCGGAACCCCTTGAATAGTAGAAAAGTGTTATGCGGTCGAAGCGTCGAAGCGGTCAGACTAGAAACCTATCAGAAGTATACTCTCTTCATGTGTGAACCTTGAGCTCACAGAGTTCAACCTTAGGATCTTATTTTCTAACGGAATGAGAGCCAATTTGCTAATAATCTACTCTTGAAATGATCGCCCAGATGCGATCTCACTTTCCAATTCGCACCCAATTTGAACCTTTTCCAATTTTTACAAATTGATACACTTCCAACGGAGTGGTGTGCTCCTTGACATTCGCCTTGTTTTGCTGGCAACAATTCTAAACTGCAACTTCCCCCGAGGGCGTTACTGTGGCTGAACTCAGACTTGACTCTTCCTCCATAGCCGGCCCAGTTCCCGAGGATCACCTCGCGCAATTCGACCCGATACAGCTAACAATAAGCTTCGCCCTGCTTCATCTCGGTGACAAAACGTGCGCTTTGGGCAGCGGTCGGTCTGTCCAGACTTGCAGTCACTGCTTGCCAAGAGCGGCCGAAAGGAAATAAAATGAAGCAGGAGTGCTTTGCATTGACAAGGGAGGGGCAGTGAAATGAGAGAGAGGGGCAGCGCGTTCCCTAGAGAACTTTAGCTACCCTGCGTGGATACGGCTGGCGTCAGCTCTTGCGTCCACGATGCATTCTCTGTGAACTCGGAGTTTGATGCGGATCTCATGGATCGGAGCGATGCTGACATGCGTTCTGATCCCTTTTTTTTTACCCCGCGAGTTATACCCCAGGATCTACCTCGGGTTCGTAATTATTCTGGAGGATCTACCAATGGGAGATGGTTGTTCGCTGCACATGGTTGTAGAAATGGAATCTGCCTAAATATCTCAATCATCCAGAGTACACTCGAATACACCCGGTGAAGATATGCATCCAACATTCTATTTACAGGTTCCACGACAATTGGACATTGTGATATGGCAACCCTCCCAATTAACCGTGTGTACCACAACATAGACATTTCAACCGGTTTCAGCGCTGAGTATTTGAAAATTCTGAAGCAAAGATAGGCAACTCAACAGTGATTGGGCCGCAGCTACTGATAGCTCGAGAATAAGAAAATCGCACGCAAGCAGCGCATATGGGCTGACTATGCAATGTCGCACGTCACGCAAATCCCATACGCGCCTCTTCTGCAATGCACTGCACCGAGCACCACCTGACCTTCCAACATCCCTGCGAGGCACACACGTTTCCCAAGGGGCATCTGTATCCCGAACGTTGTGTCTCATAAAAAAAAATATGTTGAGCAAGTGGCACCACATTACACACATCTTGGCATCACATATCCACCACTGGCGAGGCCGGGTAGACGATCAGGGACAGCCGCTTTAGTCGATTGGATATACATCTGGGTGGTATACATGATGCGTATTCGGTGCGAGACAGCACGGACCCTGGGATATTGATAGTTGTGCATATGATAGTAACATTATAGCCCAAAGTGTACGAAAGATATACTTCGGGAAGCCACTTCTACCACCAACAGACTAGTAGCCTCACTCGGAGGAAGTATATATTATGTACACTTGTACTCTTGGCCCCACGCTTATGCATAGCATGGCGACGAAGGCCCAGCGCCAAAGTAACCCCCACCAAGTTCGACCGGCCAGAACGGAGGCGCGGTAGTCAGTGCGCGCGATCCCGGAGCTACGACTCGACGGATGTGATAGTGGGGCATGAATAGCTTGATTAGTCTGTGTGGTCGTGCATAAGGCGTTGCATTAGTGCGGCGAACTGACAATTGCTATGCATCGACCGACGGGGTCAGTGCATGGGTCGTTGTTCTGGGCTGTTGCATGTGGATTTTACCTCAGGGGTTTCAGGTTGACATGAGATGTTTTACAGTTTAGGGCTTGGAAGTATCCATACTAGTAGATGAGGTCTGTTTTTTTTTTTTTTTTGCTCTGGGGAAAATGATTTGCAAACTTGCAGGTGTACCCCGAAGTCGCGGGGGTTTTTTTTATCTCCACAGTAGCTTTTAGGCAGGTTGTCAATTCGTGTGGCAGGTTGGGCGTTCATTCATGAGATCGCTTATGAAAATCTTCCCAAATTGATATCGCTCTCGGTTAAGTTGTTAATTATAGTGAGTCACTTCCACTAGCTCTAAAAATGGAATACACACAGATTACCTAAAAATCAAGCCACAAATAGAAAAATTGCACCCGAAATATCTAGAACCGCCATAATAACGCCCAAGCCAGAGGATTGGCTGATTCGGGCCCGTTATCATTCCACCACCTGGGTAGCGGGAGAGGCGTTTTCTGTCAGCGTTATAGACAAGCGCCCATTTTTTTTGATGACACGAGAATTAACGCCCATTTTCAAGCCCTGTAATTCGGCAACTCGGCCTCCTCATCCGTCTATTGAGATACACTCAATCTTCAGTCAAACCGAGAAAAGTACGCGGGGTAGAAGAATTCTAGGGGATTGAGCTCCTAATATGGGAATAAACCGGAGGGAATGATGATACGTCCCTCATCTGTGGGTTTCACGAGGGTCTAGAAGTAAGAAATAATGATCGCTGGTAGGTTGATCATTTACTATTTCTTGCTTGTTATCAAAGATTAAGGAAATTTTATAGGCCAATCACATATATATTCTCATCTAAAAGGAAAATGATACCTCAAACCAAAAGATTTATCTCAATATCATATGCATCCATCTGCCTCACTAGCTTTTTAGGTTGTTGATAATCCATGTCTAGCATAGAGGCCGCATGAGCTGACAATTCTCAAGGCTAAACGGGAAAGTTGATACTTTCGCATATCGCGGGTTCTGCCTGAATACAAAGACACAGGGTAAACTCAAATGTTCTTGGGTTCCATGAACATCCCTATCTGCAGAGGTGAGTATGGCCTTGTAGTCCTGCGCCCCTCAATTTGCGGGGTGCATCTGCCACCTCATACTGTCCGAGCGATGTTATAACTTTCCCATCAGATAGACTTTCGAGGTTGTTTTTTTTTAATGGCTAATCCCAGGCAGCAAACAGCTGACAATGTAAATAGTATCACAAGACTCAGCAAATCAAGCCCCCTCAATTGATAACACTACCTGACGAATAGATCCCCTGCTGCCCCTGCCATCCCAAGGTCTCAAGAGCTATACTCTCACCATATCCTCAAGCCACAGCGGGAGCCATGGAGCGGGCCCTAGAAGCCGAGCTCCCTTGACACAGACCTTCCCCACATTTTGACTGTCATACTCACGCAGATGATCACAACATGCATCTCGCGCCGGAAGATCCGTGAAGGAAAAGACTCAGCGCCTAGCTCCCACGCGATATATGCAAGCCGAAAACACTAGAAACACAAAGTTCGCCCTTCATTCACATGATACTCATAATGGCAGATGTCTAGAGTTCCGACGTTCCGGCCTCACAACAGTGTGCTCAGACTCCGAGGAGATTCGCTTTCCAAAGTCAATTCTTCGCTTCCTTGCAGCCACCCCCTCACCGCTCCCCGTGATAACCAGTTCAACCCATAGGAGGAATGGAAAAAACCGCCTGCAACGTCCGCCACAAGAGATGCGAGGTCTAGAAAGACTTTTGGCCTATCCGCAGCTTTTTTTTTTGCCGCCGGGATCATCATCCTTCCACCTTCCCACAATATGTGGCGACCGAAGACTATACTAAAACTCGACTGAAACTCTTTCTTCTCGGCCTGGTCTGCCTCAGGGACCAGTGCTCGGACTTGTATTGCGTTGTCACTGCGAAGTACCTCTATCTCTGCGAATGGGCCGTGCGTGTTGTGCTTCCATGGCGCTGAGGGACGTGTCCTGCATCTTTGCCGCCACCATTGCGTTGGCGAATGGGTGTTTTTTATCGGAAGATGGCGAAGAATAGGACAGATCGCTATAGTCGGGTTTAGAATACGCTGTGTGGACTTCAAGTCACTAGTATCGGGTGATTTGAATCGGATTCAGTGTGCCGTTTACCGCTTGGTTTTGGTATACAGAGAAAAGGATGGCACATAGATTTTTTTCTGGCTAACTGCGCTTCTTGCAAACAATGCCTTTGTCCAGCATATGCCCTGTGCTGGGGATCTCCTTTGAGATTTCTCTGCCAAGCGACCATATTTTCAAAATTCACAGTCAAGACCACATACCGAGGGATCTGTAATTGTTGATGGTTAATAAGATCCATTGTTATGCAGCAAGGTGATGTGTTTGCTGATGTTATTTGCTTCGCACTGGCAATTCTACCTAGGCTATGACATATTATTCCAATTTGAAAGTCAAAGGAATCTTCAAAGAAATTTCACGATGGCATGTTTAAAAATATGTATATTGAAACCTCAGCTGAGCCTATTTCCTGCCTAAGGCCCAACATTCCAAAGATCCGATGATGGAAACCATCTACCATTCTTCCATTTTCCATCTCCCCACATTGCTATGTTCAATCATTTTTATCAAGTTTCATCGGATGTGCAGAGATCTCACCGGTACCAAAAACCACTCTGTAACAGTGTTACAAGGCAAAATTCCCTCAACACAAGGCAGTCCAAATTTAAAGCCCGAAAGAGACGAAGTTGAAGTTGAAGCGTTGGATTGTCGAAGTTGAAAGTCAAGGTGAAGAAGGTGAAGCTGTAGGCGGGAGATCACCGCTCCATTGGTGGAGCCAACTTCTGCCCACATTTACGGATCCCTGGTCTTCACCCTCTCTGTTTACTTTGTTTTACTTCCCGGGATCTACAAACCTCCAGGGCTGCTCATGTCTCAAATTCAAAGTCCCGGATTTGCGGAACTTGAAAAAGAGCTGGTATGCTCGGTATGTACTTGTCCATTCTCCCCCTTACATTTCTAACACCGCTCTTTGCCCCAGATCTGTACCGAGCTCCTTTATCAGCCCCTCACTCTTCTCGACTGCCTCCACACCTTCTGTGGCTCATGCGTGAAAGAATGGTTCTCTGCGCAAGGGGCGCGTCGCCACCGCACCTCACCTCGTTTCACCTGCCCGTCCTGTCGCGCTGAAGTGCGCGACACCCGCCCAAATGCAACAGTGACGACACTGCTGGATATGGTCTTGGGTGCGCACCCGGACCGTGCCAGAGCGGCAGACGAAAAGGCGGAAATTGCCACTAGGTACACACAGGGCGAGTCGGTGTTCCCAACACTTCCTTCGGGCGGGGAGAGCGGGGAGGATGATGGCGAGGACGACAGACACCTCCTGGAGGAGGTACGCGAGCTTAGTCTACGTGAAAGCCGGGCGCAAGCTAGGCGTGAGGCCCGCCGGACGGGGCAATCTTCGCGGACCCGCGAGAGGAGCTCTAATACCGAGAGACCTGCAGAGGAGGGCCGGTCAAGGCGTCGGAGGGATGATGATACGACGCGGCAGCAACGTACATTACGGCCCGATGATTCGGAGCGCACGCGGCGGATTGAGCATCAATCTAGTCTGCGGTCCTTACTGAGTTTGTCCTCTGATGCGGAGACTATGGAAGAAGAGATCTTGCGGCAAATTCTCGAGGACGGATTACTGGATAATATCAATCTTGATAATCTTGGGCCGAGGCAAGAAGAAGAACTCAGTGAACGCATTGCGGATGCCTACCGTCGGAGACATATGCAAAGATCCCAGTCGCGTCAGCGGCAAGAACAGGGACGAGAGCAGCGACAAGAGCCCAACGGATCTGCGCGAACACATGCGAGGTCCGAGTCCGTCCATAGGACTGCGGAACCAACGGCGACTACCCGAGAACACAATGTCAGACGACCGCCAATTTCCAGACCGCATCTGTTCGATTCGGCCCCCACACGGCCGAGCGCAGGACATCGAAGGCGCAACTCGGAACAAGTGGGTGGGCGCCGAAGGAGCTCACCCGTCCGAGCAAATCAGGCGTCTGCGTCAGATGAAGCCATAAGGCCTGCTGTTCGATCTGCGAGTGATCTGACTACTGGGCGCTTACGATCAGAATCATCATCAGCCAGACCGCGACGTGCCACAGAGTCAGAGCATAATCTCTTTAGTCCGTCGATGGCCGGAGAACGAGAACGAAGCTCTTCTAGACAGGCCAGGGGTCACTCAGCCACGAACTCGCCCACTGGCGCTGTGTCCTCAAATACATCCCGCCATTCACCTCACACGGATCTCAACCTTCCGTCATTATCTTCGCCCCTTGTTCCAGGCCGGTCGGACAGACGATCAAGACCATCTTCGTCCCGATCCAATGTTCCTGCATCTCCCACTGTACAATTCCCCGAGCCGTCTATCTCCTGCGACCGTTGCGGAAAGGACAACATCCAATATACTCTGCATAAGAAATGCACAAGTTGCAAAGAAGGAAACTTCCACCTGTGTCTACGATGCTACCGCTCGGGACGTGGCTGTCTTCGATGGAGCGGATTTGCCGCATCCGCACATACGACCTTTCAAAGAATCATATCGTCATCTACTCGACGCCCTTTACAAATCAATGACACCGGTCATCTCTTAATGTGGTTCAAATACCAGCGACCCTCCGAGACTGCCCATCAAACTGTGAGCGGAGAAAGACAGATGACCAGCGATAACCCAGCCCGCCGGCTCCAGAGCGGTCTCTTCTGTGATACGTGTCAATCATCTGCAAACGATTGTTTCTGGGAATGCAGCCAGTGCAACGAGGGAGACTGGGGTTTCTGTAACTCCTGCGTCAACCAAGGACGATGCTGCACCCACGCCCTGTTACCCATCCGGCGCATTACCCATGGTCCACCTCCTTCATCATCGTCCACCACACCGCCGCCAGCTGAATCAAATACCCCATCCGAGATCGAGAGTTTCAAAATCCTCTCATTCTCAACAAACTGCGATATCTGCACATACCCAATTCCAGCTTCAAATACCCGCTACCATTGCCTGGAATGCAATGGCGGTGACTACGACGTCTGTACAAACTGTTACCTCAAACTCGTGGCAACGGGCAAGATCAACAAAGAGAACGGCCACAACGGCTGGCGCCGCTGCCTCGCCAGCCACCGTATGATAGTAGTCGGCTTCGAAGACCACGAAGAAGGCCAGCGCCGCGTCGTTGTCCGCGATCTTGTCGGTGGCCGCGCCCTGAAAGACGAGCACGTAGCACAATCACAATTACAATCACAAACTTCCTCCCCCGTAACTGGCGGCGCCGTTACATCCCCAGAACTCGGAACCGGTGACTGGAGCTGGAAGGATGGCCCCGAGCGCCGTAAGAAAGCATCCCGTCTGCGTGGCGGACCTGCCCTCACGAACGATACCAGCAGAAGCACTGTCTCTGCTTCTGATCCCTCAAACCCTGCCCTTTCCGGTGCCAGCGGCACTCCGGTTCAGGGTATCCCGCCCTTCCGCCGGTTCCCACCTGACGGCGGGGTCGGGCTCGTGGTCCATGCTCTGTGGTCCTGGTACCCGGAAGAAGACGTCGAAGACGAGCTTGTTTTCCCGCGCGGCGCGCATATCACCGAGTCGGAGAATATCAATGACGACTGGTTCTGGGGATGTTATGCTGGTCGAACGGGACTGTTTCCTGGTTCGCATGTTGAATTCGTCAGGGAGGTTCATAGGTAAAGATGTCTTGGCCTTTTGCTTTTGAACATATGATACGCATGACATGCATCGTATACCCATTATGTTTTTCTTTTCCCTTCTTTTGCGTCTGTTTGTTGCATGGTTACGATAATTATGATGAGCTATGAAGTCCGAATGCTGCATACGCAATTCCTCTCGTTGCATACATAGTATGCTGTTGGGTTCAATGAGCTATGGGCTATATCTATATCGTCCATGATATACGAAGTATCTGAATGAATATGAATCTTGGGATGTATCCCTGCCATGGGGACTATTTACCTACATACCGGAAACATAAACCGATTATCACACCAATGATACCGCCAACCAGTATGCCTATGCAGATATGCACGGCGAAATATTTCACCACGCGTGCCTTGGAGCCATATTTCCATTCCTCCATGTAGCTTTTGTTGGTTTTGAGAGTGCGCTTTTGGGGTTGCTCGGGCAATTTCTCAATATCGAAATCGGGCCTATCAAAGGAAGGCGTGTGGGAATGAGTTTGTTGGTTTGGAGGTTCCATCTTGTGTGGTAAATTTCCGGCTGACTAGTTGTGGACGTGCTCCAGGGCTGTAGGGACTGTTAGCGTCTGCGGATTCAAAATTTGAAGGGATTTCCGGGGCTTAAACTCACCTATACTTGGGTTTTATTTTCGCTTCGGTATTTTGAAGGGCAGTGGGCTTTTGATCTGCTTCGCGGGAAATAATCTTGGATTGGACCGGAGTGAAGAAAGATGGGCAAAAGGAAAGGAAAACAGGTGGTAGACATTAGCTTATAAACGGCAGATCAATAGCAGCAACTGAGTTAATTAAATGCCCGCTAGACGATCACTAAAAAGATTGGCTTTGATATGTTGGGACTCTATATATCTCCATATTAGCCCTGTGGGGATCTATCTACTTTGGTATCATACAAAGTAAGCCAGCCTCGAGTCTGTGTAACTGGTGCAACTGATGCCAGCCATCCACAACTCGAAGACTAAAATACTCAGACATGGACAAGGCAAGCTATATGTAGGCATATATCAAGCAAGTTATCGATTGCCAATATTTATTGACTCATTAAGAAACTAATGACGTATGTAGTGTCTTTTTTTTCTTGACGATCTTTGGGGCCGTAGGGGCTGTGGGCCGGGGGCCATAACAGTACCGTAGGCAAAATACTTTGATTAATTTGGTACTCGGGTTCAGGGGTTCCTAGCTCGGTGATAAAAGGCCCTGCTGCCTTTTGAATTCATAGTTTATGGCAGTTTTTCAGGATTATTATAACAACATGGCGTTTTGACCAGGATAAAATGAGTACTTTCAGCCCCATGTACGTAGTAACTCACTCATATCATCTTGATTAATTTAAGACAATATATTAGAGTCACCATACAAAACTATGTGATTCAGAAGAGGAAGCCAATTTCTATCCAAATATAACAAACAAGAAGGTATAGCCAGCTGGATATTCTCTTAGTCTAGGGCTGTAGTTAAGAAGGGTGAGCGAGTCACCCGAAGTGGTTAGTTCGAAGACCCCAGATATGCCCAGACCCCGCGAACTTCCCCCTTTCAGTTCCCAGTGCTGGTGAGACTCACATTAGTCCAATATATCGATCGCTGTGCCGGGATCTGCAATCTACTGTGCAAGTTTGATCCTGCTTTTTCAACTTCTACATATTTCACCTCTATGTTATTGTCATCAACGCCCTCTTGCTGACACGAACTTATTCGTCACTCGGCTGACAATCTACCATCTACCGGAAGTTAGCCGTGAGATCATCATGGGCTGGTTAAGGCATATATTCGGCAAATTTTCAGCAACATCAGAAAAGCGGAGGCAGCAGAGAGCAAAGAAACGCCGGAGTCGAGAACGCAGTCGACGGGTTCGAGCACGGGAAGAAGAACTACGACGTCGGCCTGGAGAAAAGGCGCCCTTTTTCTTTGGTTCGCCTTTCAAATCATACGAAGTGAACTATCGCGGACCTGCTGCGGGCGCATGAAGGTTTTGCTCTTGTGAGACTACAGCAATAGTGTTCTTAGCACACTGTTCAGAATCACCTGCCAACGATAATAGTAGGTAATGTTTAAAGCTATACTATTACGGGTGTCTCGCAATCTGACTAGTATAATTTTTGTTATAGGTAGTTTAATCGCTGAATACCAAGGCCTGACAGGGAGATGTGCCAAGACTGCGAGCCGTTTAGTATCATTTGATTGTTGTGAAAATGCCTGAGGCTTGTTCGTTCAGGCTTCGTAGCTAAGTTCAGACCTTGTTTGTGGTCTATAAATTTGCCCATAAGGAAAATGCATTTATAATCCTCTTCTCCTCTCCCGGCCCCAGAGTTCTCACCGCACTGTCCCCAAAATGTACAAAATATGGATTTGAGCTTCAGTCTGAGACAACCAATCTATTGCATGTCCCCATTCTATCTGCTGGAATATATTTAACGGGGACGGTATGTCCCACATCTGATTTGCATTCGCATGTTGTCAGTGTTTCCTTAGTGACCCATCACTACCTACTTACGGAAGTCATGGTGGTATAACTGCCAGGGTCAGAACTGGGGGCGCAACCTAGCCTCCGTGGACCAATTTTCGCCAACGATATGGACTGCCCACAGATCCGTTCAGGGATGAATTTCTTTATTGTTTTTCTTTTCATTGTTTTCCCTTTCTATTCTTTTCTCTCTTCCTATATTTGTTTTAACTCGATTTCTGTAACATCAGCACAAATGTTGATGACACGTCTGAACCGAAGAAGGCACATATCTTGACTCGCTTTTCGGCCCCTGAAAATGAGAGTATAAAAAAAGGTAACTGAACTGCATTTTTGGCCCTACCCAAGGGCCTAACGATTCAGCCAGAATCTAACAGAGAGCTCTTGAAGAAGCAGATTATGGGCGCAACTGCATGTATGGTGGAAAGAGCGCCAAGTTTACAATCCTTCAGTGTGGCCAGATCCAGCGCGTTAGTCTGCCTAACGCTGGAGTCTATGGTGGTGCAGCCACCACTGAGTTGCCTATAACGCCATCGAAAAGTTAGGTTTGCAAACTCTACTACAATCTGGAGATTCCTACTTTGCCGGGTCTTCGAAAACACTCCCAGTGGAAATAAGACTCTGGAAATATTGAGAAATGAGGCGCTATCTTCAAATGGCCATGCTCTTTGGAGTGCCCGACGAAGCGATGAATACACCCTAGACCCTTCGTGGAAAATCTAGGTACCTACTAGCAAATTTTATACAAATCTTGCGGTTGGATTGATATAGCTTCGTCTGTGTTGATGATTAGTTTGCAGTTAACGTTCACCACAGCCATTACTTCAACCATTATCTCGAACTTTCTCGCAGCTAGACGGTTGTCCTGGTTTTAGTCGGTCCATATGTTATTGATCCGAGACATAAGCTACTCGAGTGCTTGCATTCCCCATACCTGAAGGGGTTTGTCTTCATTCGGCGCCTCCGAAGCGGATGCAGACACCATTACTTTGATGTCGCTATCTCAGCTTCAACACCGTAGGCAACTGGATCCAACCCCCCAATGGTCTCAAGCTGTCAGATGAGGATGCCTATCTAATAAGCAAGTAAATCACAGGCAAGCATAGAGGCGCAAAATACCCGGCCGACTTTGATCAAAACGGCCATTTCAGAGCAACTCAAACACCCAAAGACTCAGGTTACGCATCCCGTGCAGGTAACAGGCTCGTGTAGAGAAAATGGAAGAGTTATTGGCAAGTGATTAAGCTATTGCAAGCCCCGTTGGCCATCCCTAGGGGTACTGCCCAACAATGATGACCGAGGGGATGTACATAAAGAAACACCATGAGGTTCAGCAATGAGTCAATCAACTTCAATTAATCTGTTGCAGCCTGACTAGTTGTGACAATGCATGCGCTTTTTCCAACCGAATAGGAACTCAAAGCCAAACGCCGAGTCTGGAACACTTCCAGAGAGTATATACAGAGGCTGATTTGTAAAGAGTGTGGAATTATCCCGTCCCTGCATCCTCCTCCCGCTCCGGTTTCAATTGGTGGTGTATTATTCATGGCCAGTTGCCTGGCATGCTTGTCAACTTTGGCTGAACTTCTCGTTTCCCAGCTTTCCTTTCGTCATTGGCTAATAATACCCATCGTCTTCCACACCTAAAGCCACAAAGGAGGTGGCTTTGTAGATAAAGAGGATATGCAGTGATTCAAGGTACGGTGATTTATAGTAGCCAAACCAGTGACAGCCGTGACTCGAAAGAAGCAATCTAACTTTGTGTGCCAAGTCTAGTGAAGCTCTCTTCTGCACTAGATATACATTTTACAGACTAGCAATGCCAATAAGGATAGGTGAGAGATATAATCCGGCAGCAGGATCGCAAACTTGTCTTGACATATGCTTGACATAAATCTATTTTCTGCACCCCTTATTTTTTCACCTTTGGGGTGGGTTTATCTCTAACGAGATATCCAAACTTTTGTTATTATAATTCTGATTAATTCAACTGTTAATGGCTCCCAGTAATAATCTCCTGTGGCCATGAAAGCCAATCTCGATATTTCGGATCCAATACAGAGTATAGTTGTGTCATAAGACGCGAGCTTAGACCTTCCATCCACCACATCCACTCGATCTGACGAATAGATACGCACCAATGAGCAAAGATAATGAGTGCAATAGGCGCTTCCTGACACAAGAGGTTTAAATATTCATCTGAGACATCAAGCAGCCACCGGAAGACATCTGCACTCTCGAGTCTCCGCATGACGCTAGGCCTTACGGCTAGACCCAATGTTCGAGCTAGTTCATCTGAAGCATCTTGATAGATACCACGAAGTGCTGGGTCAGCCACGCACTCCCTCCATATCATTTGTTGCAACTCCCAAACATGCGGTTTGCCTTGCTCTAGGGCCTGTGGTGAGCGATGGGCAGCAGCTAGATAAGATCCATTCGTGAAAATCGGTGCCAGCCTCCCTGTAAGAAGATCTTCACCGCCAGTAAGGATAACAGTCGTTGTCCCTCTAAAAAGACGGGCCCACTCTGATAGATTGCCACGCTCAAAGAGGACCAAGAAATCGCCTTCTTCCGATGGCTTGGCGCAGGAGAACATGCACGTTAGAGAGGAGAAAATGAAAAGCGCTGCGCCATTGTCCCGCGCAAGAGTTGAGACAAGTGGGATCATCTCTCTCACGGCGATGCTGTGGTGCATCTGCGCGTGAGCAAGACAGCTTGCGCGTCGAGATTCATCGGAGCGAGCTAGATGGAGCGCTGAAAATGCTAGCAAGATGTGTAATACTGGCGGCGTCGAAAACCCAATTCGAGGGGCTTCATTGCACCAGACACTCTGCACAGAGGGACTCCGCGATAGTGTGTAGCAGGTTGATGTTGTCCAGTGGTGCAACAGTTCCAGGTCAAAAACAGCCAATGTAGAGGGGAATGGCCCTAATGAGGACAGACTCGGTAAGGCTTGTGACATGCCAAGTGTTTGAGCACGAGATACCCCAGAGCTAGTGCTGTCTGGGCCAGATAGTGAGACAGGTGACTCTACTACATCCGTTTGTGGCGTGGAAAGCACAGCTGGACTGGCGAAGGAACAGACCACCCCGTGCTTCTCACAGTTCCGGCAATGTGGCTGACTTTCGTCGCACTGATACAGAACAATAAGCTAGTATTCGACAGAAATATTGATGCATCTCTCACCTTGACTTTTCGCTTTTTGCATTGTAAGCACCCGGATCGCGATTTCCGATGCGTACGGCGGCCTGAAGGTAATGTGGCCATTTTAATGCCTAGCAAGTACCATAGGTATATGGTGGATCCCAAAAGGCATTTAATATAAATTGCACCATTGACAAGGAATCTAGGAGCCTATGCTGTCCATTTTGCGGAGGCGCAGTGGCATCTCAAATGTCAAGGGGTTGCGCTAGTCGAAATACGGTTAGCACTATCATTTTTGGTGGGGGAGCTACGCATTCCTAGTCTGACCTCAGCATCTTTATAATTAAAAAAGAAGCATAATCTAGCTATATATGACCTCGCATGAATTAATTTAGTTTCAGATCCTCCAGTATAGAGCAAGAGATATATGCACATGCCCGCCATGAAATAAAACAATGCCCAGAACTCAGGTTCCAGCCCTGGATGTTACTGAAAGAAAATAAGGACTTCATAAGAACAATAACACAAGACGCTTTTTCTTGGCACAATTATACGGCTCGAAATGATTATTTGTGGAAGAAAGAATACTATTGATATCGCAATTTAGGACGCATCTGTGTAGAGATATATTTCTTGCACTAATGATGAGCCGTCTCGCCATAAGAAACTTGTTTCTCAAATTCCAATTTTCGAGTTAAATCAAGGATCGAGACTGCGGTAAGCTAGATGGTCGTGCTGTTTCAGCTTGACATATCATTACCTCCGACTTGCTGTGACTTGTATATTCAAGACCTGTGGTCGGACACAACGGTTGTTGGAAGATCTGTCCTATTACGTAGCCACCCATCTCTGGTGTGCGTGGCACCTTGCATATCCATTGGATGTATCATGTTTTCGAGTAAGCACCTCGATAAGGCAAACCACCATCCATAACATGGAGACCAAACACGGCTCTCCACCTGACCTGCATGTATGACATCGGACGCACCGGACGGTATCCCATAAGCTGACCGCTCTTCCTCGTCCAGTCTCCTTAAATGATCGAATCACCACCTATACTCGTAGCATTAATTCCGATACCAATATTTAGCAAGATCTCCCTGCAAGTAAGCACTTAGCAACCTTCCATGTTCCCTGGGTAGCGCATACTAATCAACCCATGGAATAGATGCCTCAAGGAACTGGAACCCTCACAAGCGACAAAGGACGAGTCCTTGGTCAATTTGAAGTCGAAGGCGCCCAGTATATTTTCGTCGGTAACTTGACTGGCTTCCGACAGTCTTTCTCCATTCCCAATGCCGATGTCGCCTATGACTCAGCCGACCAGTTACACAAGCAGCCTGAAAATTTTGAAGAATTGCCTGTAGAAAAAGACCAGATTGAACTCAGGCTCAAGAATGGGGTTGCGATCACAGGCGGTTTTGACATGCCCTTCAGTGATAGCGAGGTGAAGAAAGGGACCATTGTTGGTGGTGGGGGGAAATGGTTGAAGCTGTGATTATGTTGAGTCATGAATTTTGAATGTGTGAGAGGATTTTGGGATTGAAATGAATCAAGGGGGATCAATTTTGTATACAGGTATACCAGGATAAATGAAATCAAGCCTATCGAACATTGTAATAAGGCAACAACAATTTCTTTAATTAGAACATAAAAACCTGGGTAGAACCATGAACACGAAATTCAAAACCACAAACCTCTTGGAAGTCCACTTGCTAATATTGGCAGACGTCAGCCCTGGAGGAATTCCCTAAAGTCGTAAGGCTGTAAACGCCCCCACCTGACTGCGCCACACTCCCGCCGGACATCCGGGACATATAAACAGCCTCTCAGCCCCTCATTTCTCAGCTCGGACATTTTCTTGACTTGCATACAAGAACACAGGTCACATACCATGTCTTATTATCCTAATCGTGAGCGTCATTTCAAATAATACATTTCGAGACCTGGCACAAGCTAACCCAGCCAATAGAACCTCCTTACGGAGCACCCCAATACGGGCAGCAAGGCCCTCCTGCAGGACCTCCGCAGGGCTATCAGCAGCCTTACGGCGCCCCTCCCCCGCAGGGCCAATATCCCCCTCAGCAAGGCCAATATCCCCCTCAGCAAGGCCAATACCCCCCTCAGCAAGGCCACTACCCCCCACCTCAACAGGGCCACTACCCTCCACCCCAGCAAGGCCACTACGGTGCCCCTCCTCCGCAGGGAGGCCAGTACGGCGCGCCACCTCCCCAACCCCAAGGATACCATGCCCCGCCCGCGCAACCTCCTTACGGCCAGCAGCCGCATGGCTATGCCCCTCAAGGCCAACCACCAGTTGGATACGGCGCACCGCCCCAGGGCTCTCCCTCACAACCGTCTCCCGGTTACATCCCTGGTCAAGTAGCACCAGGCGACTTCCGGTCCCAAGCAGATGCGCTTCGCAAAGCGATGAAGGGCTTCGGTACTGACGAGAAGGCCCTGATCGCAGTCCTCGCGCCACTCGACCCGCTCCAGATGGCTGCTGTCCGCGACACATACTCCAAGCACCTCGGTCGTGATCTGTTCAAGGATGTCAAATCCGAGACCGGCGGGTACTTCCGCGATGGCCTCCTTGCTGTGCTCGACGGACCGCTTATGCATGATGTCGATAACCTGCATGACGCTATCGATGGCGCCGGCACGAAGGAATGGCTACTCAACGATATCCTGCTCGGCCGGTCCAATGCTGACATGAATGCTATCCGGACCGCCTACGAAATGAGACATAGGCGTTCGCTTTCCAAGGATGTCGAAGGCGACCTCTCCTTCAAGACGTCTACTCTTTTCGCAACTGTCCTTCGTGCTGCTCGTCATGAGGAGTCTACCCCGATCAACCCGCAAACCATTGAGACGGACGTTCGCGCACTGCAATCGAAAGAGAGCACCACCGAGGCGTGCGTAATTTTCGCTCAGGCGTCCAATGCCGAGCTCCGCGCTATTAGCCAGGCTTTCGAGTCACGCTACCGTATTCCCCTTGAGAAGCATATCAAGGATGAATTCTCGGGTCATATGGAAGATGCACTGCTCTTGATGCTCCGCTCCGCTACTGATCCTGCCATGCGTGATGCCATCCTGCTGGAGGAATGCATGAGCGGCATGGGAACCAAGGATGAGCGCCTTGTTGTTCGTGTTGTCCGAGTACACTGGGATCGCAACCACAAAGAACGAGTCAAGCGCGCTTATCAACACAAGTACGGAAAGAGCTTGATTGACCGGGTGCGCGGCGAGACTTCTAGTGATTACCAACGCTTGATGGTTGCTCTTCTTGAGTAGAGGGCTTTTCTTTTCTTTTTCTTTTTCCTTTCTTATTCTATTCCTGTACAAATTATGACCTTTGAATGACTCTCTGTTCATTATTGGTTACAGTTACTTTGAGATACCATGATGTAAAATGAGGAATGTAAGCTACATAATGCAAGACAGATAATGCCGAGTACTGTAGTAAGATACATAAGCTGAAATGATTATGTTCTCCTTTGATCCTTCCAGACCCTTGTATCTGCTGTATAAATTATGTTTACAGTATCCTATGCCTATATATTTACAATTTTGTAACCCCTTGGACTATAAGTCAATAGTCCACTTCGTCCGCAGCCTCTCTCCCCAAGTTTCGAACAAAATTGGTATAGGAGCCATCACCAAAGCAAGGAATGCCAGCAAACTATTTCCCCACCCAAGGCCGAGTTTTTCGTACAGCTGTAATCCACACAGAGGAAGAAGAGCTCCAAGCAAGCTTCGCAGAACAGTGCAAGCAGCCACAGCACTGGCAGCATGTGCAAGGAAAGCATCTACCAGATATGTCTGAACACACATCAATATGTTGATCATCCCGAATCCAGTAACCGCATTCCCAATCTCGGGAACAATCCAATGGACCATTTTATCTGTCGACCATCCATAGATAAAGAGACCTGCCGGGATGGCCAATGACCCAGGTATGGTGAGATACATCGGAAGTCGGTCCTCGGGGATAGGCGTCTCTTTGCGCTCGAGTTTGATCCTGATCTTGCGGTCACTCAACGTCCCCACGCAGGCAATACCAAGCAACATGCCCACTCCACTTCCCAGGAATGAGAGCCCGCTGGCACTGGCAGAGAAATCATACTGACCCTCAAAGACAATCGTGAAGGTCGTGAAAAGGATGTAGAGGAATCCGTAAAGAACAGCAATGTATGTGGACATCAAGGCCACTATTGGGGACAGAACAAGCATTTTAGACGGTCGAATGAGACTCCGTATGAACAGCTGTTTTGGGGGAATATCGGATTGCAAACGAGATTTGTATGCCGTGTTTCCTGTTGATTTTCGCAGCCGAGCAGCTTTGCGTTCAAGGATAATCGGCGCATATGTCTCTGGCACAGCAAAGAAGAATACGATCGATGCGACTCCGCCCTGAAAAATGAATTAGAAACGAGAGTAGTTTGACTTGATATTGTTCTTTCTTACCGCAATGGCAAGAACCCAAAATACCCATCGCCAATTTGTTGCCTCGACTAGGAACCCACCCACTACGGGACCAATAATTGGGCCGAACAGGGGTCCCAAGGACCAGATAGCCATTGCCTGACCTCGTTTCTCTCTCGGCACAAGATCTGCGATTGTACCACTGCCACAAGTGACGGCAGCGACGCCTGCAAATCCATCGAGAAACCGGAAGATAATCAAAGACGCCATGTTGGGAGCAAGTGCACTGGCGATATTGAATATCACGAACAACACATTGCAAACATTGTAGACCCATGCGCGGCCGCTATACTCACTGAAGGGTGCGATAATCAGAGGGCCGAAGGCGAATCCTAGGACATACACTGAGACGACAAAAGTCGCCAGCATATTAGACGTTGAGTCGAAGTCTTCAAGGGCTTGGCTGATACCCGGTGCAAACATCGAAGAGGCGAGGGGACTAGTCTTATCAGAATCTTGGCCGACATTAGAACTTCAAGAAAGGACTCACGTCAAGAAAGTGATAAAAGAGACCATCCCAATGATAGTCCATTTGCGCGTAGAGCTCCAGTTCATTGGCTTCTCAGGATCTTCATTCTCTGGCTCCGCCCAGAAGACATCATATTCGGACGTATGCGCCGTGTGTTCTTCGTTGACTTTCTCATCTGGTAGTTTGACGGACTGCGCTTCGGGATCAGGCGATTTTGCGTCCATTTTGAGGGCACTGAGAAGACAGATATACACACATGGCTTTTCGATGTGCGCCCACGGGCTTTTTGAATGGTTCCAAGTCTGTCATATGTGTGAAATAATGCATAAATCCCACGGACTTTTCCATATCCGTGCATCTATTATAGGGGATTCCGAGAAATTTTTACATAGGTATGAATGAGATCCCACCCCGTGTTTTAGGTCAGAGAGGGGCTCGTATTCGTACCTTTAGCCGCACTATTGGTGGACGTTGTATAAAATGGAGTGACCTGGTTGATCGACTTCGGGTTCGGGTTCGGGTTCGGATAAGAACGCCATTGGATTGGTGCTACGATCTCGAACCAATTAAAGCTTCATTGTTGTGAATTTTCAAGTTGACACTGTTACAAAAGTATCAATAGCCATGTTGATCATGTTGATCAACCTCGGTTTGGTTGAAGACAGGCACATATAAGACAACATATGTCGCATCGGACTGCATCTATGGAATAATCCATTGCGAGCGAATATCGAGGCAGAATGGGAATTATTTTTAACGTGCATCATACACTGTTGACGGGGCTCTTTACAGTACGTCACGCGATGCCTTCTGTGGCTTATTTCCTAACGTATTTAGGTAATATTTTATCTTGCCTCTAAAGTGATCTATAATGTGTTCTTTCACCCCCTGAGCCGGTTTCCGGGGCCATTGGAACACAAAATTTCACGACTGGCATACGTCTACCGGTCTATGCGGGGAACCCTTCCCTTTGAAATGCTGGAAATGCATGAGCGATATGGCAACATTGTTCGTATTGCGCCAGATGAACTGGCCTTCTCCCACCCCGATGCCTGGCAAGATATCATGGGCCACCAGAAAGGACAGTCCGAATTCTCAAAGGCAAACTGGTTCTACCATCCGATCGATCAACCGTCACATGTAGTCAACGAAAGCAGAGAGCAACATGGGCGTCTGCGCCGACAAATGGCCCACGGGTTCTCTGAAAAGGCAATGCGAGAGCAGGAGCTAATGATTCGTGGCTATGTTGATATGTTGCTTGATCGATTACATGAATTTTGCAAGTCTGGTACTCCGGTGATTCTTTCCGATTGGTATAACTATACCACTTTCGATATTATTGGAGACCTAGCATTTGGTGAGCCATTTGGTTGTCTACAGGGATCGAACCTTGACGGATGGATCAAGGGTATTTTCGACGCTGGTCGGCTAGGAATTATCTTACAAGCTCTCTCGTTCTATCCACTCGTGAAGCGGACACTCTTATCACTAGCTCCTGCGTCGGTGAAAAAGGCACAAGATAAACATAAGAAACTTACCGAACAGAAGATGATGCGTCGGATGGATAAGGAAGAGGGTCGACCCGACTTGATTGAGGGGCTTCTGAGAAAGAGGGAGGAACTGGTGGGGTTTCAACTATTCCTTTCTGTCAAGAATAAGAACTAACTTCTGTCAGAACCTGAGTATTGATGAACTCATTGCAAATGCTGAAATTCTCATCATTGGTGGTTCCGAGACCACAGCTTCATTATTGAGTGGAGTCACCTACCTCCTCCTCACGAATCTAACTGCCTATAAGAAGTTGAAAGAGGAGGTGCGTACAGTGTTTGAAAGCCAGGAAGAGATCAATCTCATCTCTGTCAACAAGTTGCCCTATATGCTGGCATGCCTTGACGAGGCACTGCGCATGTATCCACCCATTGCGAACGGTCTACCCCGTATGTGTCCCGAGGGCGGTGCGAAGGTCTTGGGCGAATATATTCCGGCGAACGTGAGTCTCGTCTGATGTGAATACTATATTTTGATGCTTGCTAACAGCGTTGATGTAGACTTATGTTTCGGTTCATCAATGGGCACTCTATCGGCGCGAAGACTATTTCAAGGATCCCAACACATACCACCCAGAGAGATTCCTAGGTGATCCATTATTTGCAGATGATCGTCGAGAGGTATTACAACCATTTCATATTGGACCGAGAAATTGCCTTGGAAGAAAGTAAGTAACGACCTAGATGACAACGGAAAGTAACAGGGGATACTAATGACGTCGATTCAGTCTTGCATATAGCGAGATGCGTCTGATACTTGCCTTGATTATCTTTAACTTTGATATTGAGATTGCCGACGAGGCTCGTGATTGGATCAAACAGAGGAACTTCCTGATGTGGGAAAAGGGGCCCTTAAAGGTTCATTTGACTCGAGTATAAGCCGATGAGATCGAATTAACACTTAGTTCATTTATAGCTAAAATTAAGATCACATGTTCTCTTCACTTATTTTTTCTGCACGAGAAGAAAGGGGCTTGCTTGTGCCACATTCGTATCTAAGGGCCTACTTAGTGCTAAGGTCAGCTGAATTTCTCGTATTCAGCCTCCAAAAAAAAATGGAGTCTCTTGAAATGTTCATCAAAGATCTATTTTCCTAGGCTTGACTTGAAAATTTATTTACCGCCGCAAAAACACGTCGCTCCAGTTGCTATGGCCGGAAATATCAGCTCTATACAAATACTATCATGCGACGACAGTCATCTTTCGACAACGGCTAATATCATCGGGATCCTAACCTTGGTATATGCGATATTAGTAACTGCAGTGTTTTACGCAAATCGCATACTGAACGCTAAAAAGGAAATGCGCGATTTGGGAAATCGATTTCTTGATGAATTTGCAGCATTCGAATCGGTTGCAGATTGGCTCCAAAGCATTTCCCACTTGATCCCCGAAGACCTACAATCCGAAGCTATTCATAGTCAACAATACCATCATCTACAAAAATTAGCGCACGAGGTCAGAGCAGATCTAGCGCAAAAGGACTCTCGTCCCTTGTGGATACTACTTAGTCGACGGAGCTACTTTCTAGCCCAAAAGGTCGAGGCGGAGGATAAGCTGGAACAGATTGTTCAATCGAGGAAGAAAAGAGAGATGTTTTGTCTAAGGGTTACTCAAGCGTATGTGATCTGAGTATTCTTCCCAGTAGGATTCATATACTAACAGATGGGTAATCCTAGCATCATAATCAGGCAGGCCGGAGATCACAATGAGAGAATGCATCTGCAAAGAGAAATAATGCGTCTTCAAGATGCTTTGATCTTTCAGTTAAGGACGCAGCGAGCGCCCCCTGGGGGCTATCAAGGCTACGAAGCTACACCTGTAGAATAATGAATGTAATTAATGTAATTGGTTGTCCATATTAAGTCCTGCTTGTACAATGGAAATCCCGCACACCTCACCTCTTCTCTATGGCACATATCAGTCATAGCATCATGCAAACCATATTGAACAAAAATACAAGTAGCAGCAAAGCAAATGCAAAGCCTCAAGCAGAAGTCACAAGGCCCATAGCTTTCAAACGCTCAAAAAATATCAAATTTCATAACGGCATATGTATGGGTATTTTTCCGAACATGCAGCGTTGCATATCAATTAATCATGGATCTCATCAAAAGCAAAAACGAAAAGAAAAAAAGAAAATCAAAAGAAAAAAAGAAAATTAAAAGAAAAGGAAACAGATCATCGTATCGTTTGGCTACACACTCGCCGTGCGTCGCGGAACCTCACTAGGCTTCTGAGCGTATGCAATGAACATGCGGAATCCGGTTCCGCGCTTCTGGCACTCGCGGAGTACCTTTCGGTCATTCCAAATACTCGGATCCTGAGTATTCCTGTTCGATAAAATGGGATCCTCGTAGCATTTCGAATACCACCATCGTCCGACACGGGCAACGATCTTAGCGATTGACTCGTCATTCGCCGGAGACGGGGAAGGGTCGGAGAGCAAATCGCCGAGCGAGACATTCGCATCATTCGAGGCTGATTTGGAGATGGAGGTAGTTCCCGTACTCTGGCTACCACCTTCAGTCGTGACGGATATGGTAGGTACCGAGAATGTCGTGGAAGGAGTAGCTGTTGAAATGGATTGTGCTGATGAGCTGGAATCAGAGGATCGGACAACCATTCCTGCGACTGGAATTCGAACCATGCAGCGGCGGAGACTGTCGAACCCTTGGGTGCCAAGCTCGCGTTGGACGCTATCGCTCGTTGGTTTCAGACTGAGTGTCGGATCTGAAAGACAGGTCATTTCTTTGAGTTGGCGAATAGCTTTGCGCGTATGAGGTCCCATATTGACCATGTCGCGGTCTAGAAGGCTCATTTCTAGATACCCCCCTGTGCGCAAAACACGTTTGCATTCTTGGATGATGTTGCCTTGGACTGACTCGGAGCAGATAGTGGGGAACCGCAGCACGGCGACGCTGAAGTAGTCCTTCGGGAAGGGGAGAGGGTTGTCCAGTCCGGCGTGATACACGGTGTGATGGTTGTTCGGGGGCTGCCATGCAGCGGGATGGGGAGGTGCTGCGAATACAGGACGTCCACTAAGGCTGTATACCTCGGCATCAGGATATGTCAAGGAACAATAGAAAGACCAGTCATCATTTCCCAGTCCGTCAACTACAAGAATTCGCCCTTGGCATCCAGCCTTGACGTGGTTATGCGCAGGACTAAAAAGGACTCGGCCGAAAGATAACCAGCGGCTCGTCATGAGTGAGGCAGAACGCATATTAGTCCGTGTCACTTCGTCCCACTCGCGCTCTGGAGATGCAGCTTCTTGTTCTCGGCGGAACTTTGGCCGAGGCGAAGGGACGGCAGCGAGAGAGTTGAGAAACGTAGACTGCTGTTCCCGGCGCTGGTCTGTTGAAGAAGCATGCTCAGGAGGACCGGCAGGCTTCTGGGTCTTCTCTTCATCTGAGCCTCGATATACCGCAGTAAGATCACTGTACGACGGTTGAGACGAAGGAGCGGTAGACGAGTGCAAAGCAGAGATAATCTGGGAACGGCGAAGATGGACAGAGCTGCCACTCGAGCGGAGTGAATTGTCAGCAGGCACTGGCTGAGGATGATTGGCATTATTCAACTCGTCCTGTAGAGCCCTGCTCGCCATAGTTGCAAGTTCAAATCTGTCATCTTCTTTAGTCTTTCCCGGCTCTTCAGTCTTCGGTTCGTCTGGCGACAGAACGTGATCAATAAGATCATCATACTCATTCCACACCTCGTCCTCAGTCGGCGGGGAACCTGGGACCGGGGCCACGGCTGTAACCGCAGCCAGCGCCCCAGAGCTATCTGACGAGGTCGAGCCTTTCTTCGGCGGAAATTGAAGGAAATCATAAGTTGTAAACGGTCCAGCGAGAAATTCCAGAGCACTAGTCTGCTCAGCAGCGCTAAAAGTCGGGTTGAACCCATGGCCCCAGTCAGAAGATTCACTTAAACCAATGCCCAGATTCAACGGAACGTTCGCGACAGGTGGAGATTCGTATGAGCTTTGTGTTGTTGGGACCGTGATGGAAGGAGATTCGGCAACGCTGAACGGACGTGAGAAAGACTGCATGGCAGGGTGATGATTTCTATCGCGTCGCGAAACTACTGGTGGGATCCGACCGATAGAGGCCAAGCGTCTTGGACGTTGTTCAGGTGATGTCTCGAGCTCCGGGCCCATAAGGTTGCGATTGAACATGGCGGTCCTCGGCGATGGGCGATCATCATTTTCAAACTCACCGTGCATCTTTGGGGGAGATGGCAACAGGATTGATGGCTTTCTTTTTCTGATGCTCAAGCCTCTTGGAATTTCCACGGGGTGGAAAATCGTTTCCTCCTCTGTTGGTGGTGAATCTTCGACGTTATTGATGATTTCATCGAGCTCGTCCGAATCAGCATCCACTAATGCATAATGGGCAACGGGCCGAGTATTTATAACCGGAGATATCGCCGCATGAAGTTTCGCAGTTTGAGATGAAGTTGCCGGAGGATTTGAGGTCTTCTGTTCGTTGGCACGGTTCTTCTGGAAGAAGCTCCACATGGAAGCCTTCCCTTTCTTGGCTTGCTTCTCAGCCTGCTCGGGTTTAGTCATTTTTTCGGGGGACTTTTGAACACTCTTTGGTTGTTGTGAGGCTGCAGTGCTTGGCTCATGGCTAGGAAGAGATGTGTTTGTGACAGCAGCCTGGGGGTTAGCAAACATGTCGTGTCTCTTTCCTTTTGGGACGGGCATGCGTGACTTCAACGCGGTTGGACGATCAATCGCCTTAGATTGGGACTCGGGACTTTTGCTACCCATCGGTTTGATGATGCCGTTAGAATAGAGTGGCGTAATAGTTTCTCCAAATGTCCCTGTTGAAGTCGCGAGTGATTCGGTAGACTGGCTAGTCGAGTATGATAGCATAGTTTGACGCGGCAAGTTCGAAGTGGATGCAACGCTTATGCTGCTGAAACTCTGCTCGCTTTGTGTTCGTGACAATGATGCGCCGTCTAGTCCACCTCCATTGATAATGACAGGCTCCAGACGGCTCAGCAGAAAATCGTCAATGTCCAACTCCGGGCGACTCGACTGACTCCCCTTGCTAGTAGCACTCCGTGTCGTGCTTGTTGACCTAGTTCTCGTTCCGCTGCTACTACTACCGCTTGCTTTGCGGCCGCGCTGTCCGTATTTTCCATAGCCCTCATGACCTGTTCCCGCGGCTGGACCTTTGCGAGTTGATCGGGCTTGATCTGTCAAATTCTCTGACATCTCCGGCTTGGACTTCTTCGGGAATAGACCGAACCGCTTTTGTATTGGTATTTGCTTTGAATCCGTCTTCTCTTTGGAAGTCACCTTGGTCAATGCCCGGGGTGTCTTTTTGGATAGTACTGGAGATCCGCCATCCCGAGAAGGAACTTGAGAGATACTTCTTGATTGCAGCGAGTCCATTGATGCAGCGGCAGACTGGTTGGAGGTTGGATGTGGCGGTTGGGTCGCTAGGACATTTTCTATCGATTCACGTCTTGTGTGGCCTGTAGTTCTGAGATATCGTAGGTTGCTTTGAACAATCGGCGATGTTTCGAGCTGTAACCGATGCGTTCCATCTCTGCTCGGTCGTGGTGGGGTTTGTGGTGTTTCCACATTCCCTGCGGGGGAACATTCCATAGCCCTTTGTGGATAAAACAAATTCCTCTCGGCTTCCTCCACTTCCCTCCGAGCCTGCTCAACGTCAATTTTGGGAGCTTTTGAGGGGCTGAAATTGACCGATGACTTTCTCGGCGGCGGACTGCAAGCGGGCCCTTGGGGTACTGCAGAGGGAGGTTTAGATGGTACACTCTGGCCTTTGCTGGTCCCTACTACGCTTGGTCCTGAGAGCTTTGTGGGAGGTACTCGCTTTGAGGTCTTCAGCTCCAGTCTCCCTTGCTGAGGACTTGCATTTGGCGGCGGAGGAGAGAAGACTGGCAATCTTGTTTGAGACGGGCTCGGTTGTCTCAGACGACCAATCTTCGTAATACCGGGGGAATATGATGATAAAGATGTTGGGGTGGACCCCCGACTCCAAATACTTGGAGATCCCGAGTATCTCGTCGAGGGACTATTTGCCAATAAGAAGGGAGTGGGAGGTGTTGGCAAATTTTGCGTATCAACTGTTGTTCGAAGACTGGCCAGCTCTTCCGGACCATTGAACCTAGACCTCACCGAGTTAACGGCCACATTGCTCTCATTCTTGTGGTTTGGTCTGTAAGAGGAAGCCGATTGTTCTGACAGTGAAGATGCCGAATTTCCATTTCCTGTCGCATTGTTCATAACGAGAGAATGAGGCTCTTGCGGAATAACAAGGCTAAGCTTGTCAGAGTGTAGTTGCTCCACATGTTTCCCTATCGTTGGTGCCCTCCTTCGAAGAACATTCCGTGCTCTTTTTGGGGCTAATTGTTGTCCAGCAACAGGAGGCGAGGTTTTGTTAATCTCCGGGCTGGAAAAAGAGGACGGGATTGTCTGGGTAGAATTCTGAGAAGAGGAAGCCGACACTGGTGTAGTTGGAGATGTTGTGTTACCAATACTGGGGCGCGGAAGCATAGACAGGCGACTCCCACGACTGATAGATCGCTTGATACTTGACGGTGCTAGTACTGGGCCAGTATCCTCGACATCTGAGACTGACGAGGTTCTGCTCTTAGGGTTGGGGTTGAATGGTCTCGCAATTTGAGATCGTGGAGGTCGGCCATAGGCTCCAGCATTGGTACGTGATAAGTTTGAAGAAGAATCTTGTGGCATGTGATGGCCAGTACTGTGCGACATAGCGTATGGATGAGTGAAGTTCCCGGCTCCAATCCAGGGACAAATAATTCAACGGTAGGTACATGTACTTCGTTATAGTAACCATCACGTCGTTATTAGGATATATAGTCTGATTTAATCAGCTCTTTCGTCCGACTTCATATTCGGTGTGTAAACTCACGGCATCTGAGTCATGTCAAATAAAAATATCAATATTGTTGACGTCTAGGGCTTGACAGTGTATAGAATTAAGTAAAAGTAGATGGAATTTGCAAAACAAAGGGTATCTCAAAGTCGCACAACTAAAAAGCAAGGGTCAATAGACATTGCAAGGATGTTAAGAGGCATAAAAAGAAAAGTACAACAGACTCACAGACGTCAGTAGATAAAATGAAAAAAAGACTTGTGGATCGGCGAAGCCTTCAAGCTGCAGCTGCTTCGCCACAGTCTGGAGCAATGTGGCGTTCGTTTTCAGTGCTGTTTGCCAGCGTTGGCCACGTCACAGATAAAATCTGGCTGAAGTAGACAAAAAATAAACTGTATAGTTGTCAAAATAAAAAGATCAAAGATAATGGGGAATTTCCGAGACGCCAGAGATATATGTGTTGACTGGGGTTGCCCCTCTAACGGTGGGGGAAATGTCTCGAAACCGCAATGACCATATAGAAAAAACGCAGCCAGGGATCTCATTGGCAAGAAAGTAATGTGACTACTGTGACAAGACGGGAGGAATCGAGACTGCGAAGGACTAGAGCCTGTCAAAAGGACTAACAGGTCGCAAAAGTTGCGCAGTGCTTCTGAAGCGATGGCCCCCATCGCAAAGTCAAAAGGGAGTTCTACAAATAACCAGGGTGATCCCCCAGTGGCCGGATCAAGAAGGATTGCACGCACGCAAGACCACATGGGGAGGTGAAGGCGGGTCCACTCAAGGGTTATCCTTTAACAGGGCTTGCCCTTGGCTGCTCTGGTTAGACGGTATCGGCTCCCGGCGGGAAACAAGGTATCAAGACACAACGTGACAGGCTATGGTACAACCCGTGGCTTACCCCTAGCTACCGTCGTGCATGGCTTGACTCGATAAAAAAAACCCCCTACAAATCCTGGCGCGAGTCGAATGTCAGATCAGCTGTAGGCTCAAGCTGAGCACCTGCACGATTGGAACTATACATCGATGTTAGCGAACAAACTCGTATTGACAACCAGTCTGGTTATCGCGTTTCGCTCGCCTCCAGAACAGCGCATTCGGAGACGCCGAATGACTCAACCCCAAATGATGAAATGATCGACGCAAAGGTTTTTTTTTTCGTGCTCTGTTTTTTTTTAGCGTTTTCCAACTCCAAACCTTCCCCGGGCAATCGGAGAATTTCCCAACGTAGTTTCAAGGGACCATGCGTATGCAGATAGACATAAGGGTGGTGTTCCCCTAAGATGCTTCGTCTTTTCAGAAAACATCTAATTCCAATCCAAGATGTTTCATATCATATTCTCTGAGACACACCTACATACCTCATTAAGTATGAAGTCTCAAGATTTCCCAACGGCCATAGTTATCCATAGTTTGGTACAAGAGGCCCGTCCCGAACCATTCGGGGAAAATCCATACAATTCAAAAGCGAAGGCTTTAAAGTTGAGTCCAACGTCTAGACTGTATTGTTCAACGAGCCAGTGACTGTCCGAAGAGAGTATTCCACCTTTAGACTGGGGGTATTCGATGTTCGAGCCGTGGAGCCTCGAGACAGTGGAGCCCGCTAGCTCACTGGGCTGTGATGGCCCACTGGATAATCCAGCAATGAACAAGCCCTGGGCGATGATAATGAAATGTTAGGAAATGTTAGCTTTCAGCCACCATCTAAAAAAAAGTGAGCTGTGCGTTGTGATTCGCGGAGAGGCCAACTGAGCTAAGTGGGGAGGGGCGGTAATCCGGGCAATTAGAATAACGAGGATGGCATTGACTGGCATTTACCAGTGTATGTTGTATGTTGTAATTGTAATATTGCATGTACACGGCACTTCATGTGGAGTGCTCTCAGACTCTCAGAGAGATACATAGGAAAGAAGAATTTGAGGGTCCACAATCACGATCTGGTCTATCCTCGCCTAGTGACTGGTTGTGCTGGTCGACGCCCATTCCTGCAGGAACAATCGACTAATGCACCCTTCAGCTGACTTCGCACACAGCTGCCGGGAAATTATGAAATCACTTAAAAGATTGACTTTTCTCTGGGTAGGTCAGCGCTTGAATGTGGAAAATGTAGAGGTTGACCTTGGGAGAGATATCCGATATCCTGATACACTAGCAACTAGGCATTATTTTCAACCTTAGACATACAGACAGGGCTACTCCTACAAGATATGAAACTCCACTTGTACATTTTCATTGAGACATATATTAAAACAAATCGAATAGAATGGCCCTGAAATTGTCCGGTAGCATATCAACACACAAACGCCCATGATGAAAGAACAGATGGAACCGAAGCCCAAGTCAAAGATGAGACAAAGCAAACTACTGGAAACACTCAAGCAGCGGCTGCAAACCGCTTCTTGCGAGCCTCCATAGCGGCATTATCCTTCTCACTCCAAGACTTCTGGGCAGTGTTCCCACCAGCATTAGGCTTCTTCACGCCAGCATTGGTCTTGTTACCACCATCGCCGCGGTCGCGGTTGCGGTTTCCATCTCCACGTTGACGGTTGCGGTTGCGTCCAGTATCACGTCTCTTGCCTCCCCGACTACCCTGGTCGTTGCGAGAATCGGTGCGGGACTCATTGCGTCTCTTGCGTGAGCGCTCATCAGGAAGGGCCTGATCAAGACGGCTTAAACCAGCGGAGGCAGTCTCACCCTCTGCGGCAGTACCGAACCGTTTAGCGCGCTCCAGCTGCTTCGTCGCCTCCTTCAATGCTGTGTCGTCATCCTCGACGATGCCAAACTTCTGCGCGCGAGCCTTGCGCTTCGCCAGCTCGGCCTCCAGATCGGTCTGGGGTAGTCCTCGCGTGTAATCCACGGCGGGCTTCTGTTCAGTCGCAGCTTCGGGCTGGGTGGCTGGTTCAGCGACGGCGCCGGTCGCCTCGACCTTCAAGTCCTCGGTTGTGGCGGGATTCTCGTCAAGCTGCTGGTTGGGGACAGCGACGGGGTTGGAGACTGCACCTTGGCCACCAGCGGCAATTGCAGCGGCGCCAGCTTCTGTGGATGGCTCGATAATTGTCTCTGCGGGTTCGTCGTCCCAATCAATGACGTCCTCGGCGGCGTCGGTCTTGGCTGCGGCAGGAGCTGCAGCAGGAGCGTCGGAGGGCTTCTTCTCGTCGTCTTCCTGGAGGCGCGAGACCATTTCGGCCTTCTTTCCAGTGTGGGGGAGAGATCGGGTCTTAAGGATCTCGACCAACTCGGCGTTGGTCTTCTTGCTGTAGTCGGTGGCCATTTTGCGATCGGAGATACGTAGGCTGCAATTGGTGAATGGGCGAGAGGGTAGAAGCAGAAGTGATTGTTATAATAATCAGATGTTTGATATTCACTGAAGAGCAAATCTCAAAGGGATAAACAAATGAATGGAAGTTGGATTGCTGAAGGAGAGACACTTGGAGACGCGATCTTACCCAGTGGAGGTCCCCAGGTGCAATTACAACAATTACATAAGCAATTTGGAATGATCCCATTGGTCAGACAAAGGAAACCAGCTGGACAGATCCACCCGTGGGCCAGCTTTTCTTGAAGCTTCGACTTCCTTTTATAGTACCTACTGTCTACTACTGGAGTATCTTATTCCCTCAAATTCAACGTCAACTTCCTATACTCCACGCCCTCCCGCGTTGGTCAACGTTAATTAGCTAACGCCTGAGGACATTCTTTCTTTTTGCTCTTTTGCTCTGTCGATCGTTCTTAGTCTAGATCTTTCTTTTTTTTACAGCCGGCATAGCAAAGTCTATGATTTGTCTCTCCTGCTTCTCGTTGCCACCTCCAAGATTCTAAGATATCTACTTTATGCTACAGCATAATGTGACAGCTTGTTAGGAAAAATATGGGAACCTGCATGCACTACGCCACAACAGAAACAGGTTTACACATAGACTACATCATACGCCACAATTCTCCCTCAGGTACCGAATGAACAACTGGCTGCTATTATGCCATTTTTATCACAGCTCAGAGTACAAAGCAGACGGAAAGAACACGATCAATCATTTGATTCGTTCTGATCGGCAGAATTTCATTGAAGCACAAAAAGAGACCTCCCCTCCCCCCCACCTAGCCCGGGGTATGTCTGTGATAGGTAAAAATTATGTCAGTTCATGGGTTGCTGTAATTTTCTCTACTCTCAAATGTAGATTCTGATGTATTTCAGTCTTGGGTATGCTTCTGCTCCAGTCGCTGCAAGAATCGGTCTTTGGTCTCCTCAAGTCGACTCAGGATATGCTGCCTGTTCCGCCATCCCAATGAGGGTTGCAACAGTCTGTCAGTATTAAGATAGACATGCTGCCAATCCAAAGCATCCGCTGCTGGCAACCGATGATTCTCTAGATAGTTATCATTAATGAATCGACGTCTCCAGTAGCTGTCCGGGATCATCGGGTGCCAATGCGGAAACACTGAAAGCAGATTTCGGATATCCTTGTAGTTTTCCAAATAATCTGCGATCTCCAAGATAAGTTCGACCGGAAGAAACATGTCCCTGGGTCTGAAGCCAGCCTGGGATCGCCGGGACATTTTATGTGTAGGTATTGATTGTTGCGGCATTGGCTCTAATCCTTTTTCCCTCTGCTTGGTGTACTTGGCTTCGTACTTGGCAATCACCGTCTCAATATAGGAGTCATTCAGAGGGTCTGCGCCGCGAAATTCACGAGTGAGGTCCCTTGGATTTGCATTCATGGAACGAAAATTCCGAGGGCTTAGCTGGAATCTTCGTTCTAATCCAGAAGAAAACGCGAGCCCTTCTCTCGCCTCGGGGGGGACTTGATCCGGCACTGGTCTGGTCTGCGTAGTAAGCTGTGACCTACACATTGCGCGCGTGAAGATATCAATATTTCTTTTGATCAATTCTGCATCGAGGATTCGAGTCATGAGCTGCCAGCATCGTTCGTGCATAGAAAAAGCCTTTACATATTCCAGCTTCGAGATAAATTTCGGAATTGGAAGGATGTGCGGATCAAGATTTCGATGATTCCACAAAATCATCTCGTTCTCGTCCTGTGGAAGACTTATTTGATTGAACGGTCGAATTTCACCAACACCAGAGAGATGGAACCTGGGTCCTTGATCAATCTTGAAAAATACTAAGACCGCGCTCAAAGTTAGAATATACCTCATCCAATCAGGATGCTAAAAAGAACTGCTAAAAAGAACACTTACCAGCTCGAAACATACAAGACCATGTCCACATCTCATCGAAATGTATGTCATCAAGATCTGCTGGGCTTCCGTAGATCCATGGGCTAGTTGGTGAGAAAACATTCAGCTCTTCCGGTGCATTGCGATATATGATCTCGGAAATCAGAGTGGTAGAAAAACTGTAAATTGTCTCACCACACAAATTGCAACCAGGAAATGGATCTAGATACCGTCGTCCTATGGGGAGCATGCTTCTTGCGACCGGATACAAGAGTACCCAGAGAGTATTAACGACCCAGAAAATAGATGAGGAAGATAGATGTGAGAGTGATGAGTGGGTGATGAGTGAGGGGAAAGAGAGGGAAAGAGACAGGAGATAAAGGGGGGGAAATGGAAGAGACGGAGTGGCACGAGGCTTTGGGCTAGGAGAAAGAGGGACAGAGAGAGGAGAAAGGCCGGCTATTATATTAATCTTCCCGGTCGATATACCAGTCCTATCACCTACAACTGCCTGAGGCAATCCCCATATATAACCTGAGGCTTTGATAGATTCACTCCAAAGTTGGTACTCGCCAGATACTAACAAACAAGTATGCACTTCTTCTCCTATCCTAGTATTTATTATTGAGAAGTTGCGACGGTGAGAGCAATCCAGCCCCGGAGGGCGGAGGGCCTAGGGCCTAGGTAATCTCGCCAAAGTTGTGTCCATGGATTGGGCGATGAAAAAACATTTAGATCTCTCGTCCATTGCGAGATATGATTTTGGAAATCTCAGTAGTCGAAAAGCTATGGGTTTTATCACTATATAATTTGCAGGTCGCATATAGATTTGGAAAATCCGCGGTTTCCGGTCATAACGGACATCTTCGACGTCCTCGTCGTCCGGACATGATTATTGTGTCTGGATAGCACTATAAGTATAATGAATTAACTTTGGAAGCATTACGGAGTACTACATACTGGATCTATCATGCTGGATATATCGTAGGGCAATTTGACATTTGATATTTGAACGCTAAACCTATTTTCATCGTTGATTGTCGTGAGATTCCTTTTGGATTCTATCATGGCTCTCATCGTCTCATATCTGCTGTCCATCCGTATTGAAGAAAGGTCCTCGCCGGAAAACACGATTGCCGAGTTGCCTGTATTCACTCTCTCCATTATCAAGTCTCATTCTGAACTGCACCTTGGGCACCAGAAATTCCCCAAAGCAATCCAAGTAGGCATCCTGCCATTCCATCCAGCCCTCCAACCCTCGCTTGACCATGATATCACTCCTGTTCTCTTCAGCTTTCTGTTCTGGCTGGGTTACCCATTCAAACCGGTTCAGATTGGGGATCATCATGGTCCAAAAAGGAATGTCCGGTGGGTTCAGTTCTCCAGTAAAACATGGGCCGGGGGCGATGGCAATAATATATCGAATTCGCTGGAGATTCTCTTTGCCGAATGTTTTCCTGAGTGTAGCTTCACCTCCTCTGTTCAGGTAGACTTCGAATAAGTTGTCGCCATAAAGGATGTCCAGGCACTGATCGCTCATTTCTTTGGAAACTTGTAAAATGTTCGTCCAGCGAGGTCTGGTATTGGAGAACCTGCGAGACGGGTTACGGGTTGAAACTAGAGGTTCCACTTCGTAGGGCCGATACATTGCGTTTGTCACTTTGATGGCGCAATTATGGGGAACGCAGTAGCCAAATATTTGCAAACGCATCTCGGCTGGTAACGTAAAGAGTCGAGATCTCGTAGGAATTGCAGTCTGTGGTTCAGACTGGTGCTCTTGTGGGCTCTCCATCGATGCTGATCTGGCAAGGCGACACTTGATGACTTCTGATCTGTCTTGATCAAATGCTGACTAGATATATTCATGTTCAGAATCGCCATACAGGGTGTTTTAGTGTGTACCTCATCAACAGGATCAGATCTGTGATCGATCTGGAGACAGATCAATGACTGGTTGCGGTGGCCAGAGATGTGAAGAAAAATGATAAAGATAGTAGTAAGGCGATATGAAGGGTCCATTAAAGATAGGATGAATGTCAGGGGCCCAATTTGACGGCTGCGCCAAGTGGGCAAATAGCTTGGATGCTGTAGATGGCAAATCAAGGTAAGTTGCGAGATGGAAAGTGATCCTGGCCTACTGGGTCATCTGAAGATCGCGATTAGTCGTGGAAAAATAAACGGTTCATATGCTAGGTCAGCAGTCTCAGGTGGTCGCCATGCGGTGGCCCCAGGCTCCGATGTCACAAAATATTGAACGCGGCGAGAGCGAGTATAAGAGAAGTGTCATAAGAAACTAGACCTTATTGAGATCCCAAAATTTTGACTGCACTTCCCTGCTAACTAATGTAAATTTGGCAAATCCCACAAAGTCCACGTAGGTACATGTGACGCAAGAGAGCGATCAAATACCCAATCATTCATGGAGCCCACCTAGGCAACAATATGTCTAAGGGCCAACTCAGAGAGTGATTTTCTGAGTACATGTCTTGTCTTTCAAATCCCTATATAACCGCTTATGCTGCTCCAAAAGAATCAGCGTTGCCATAGTCTGTGGCCCCAGCCGAACGAAACTTGGCGTCCACCCTCGAAAGACCCATCTCATTCCCTCTGTAGCTGTAAGATCATTTATCACATGCAATACCCCTTTCTTACGTGAGGACCCCATTAACTGGGTCTTAATTACATCGATTGGGCTGCAAAGAGTTGTAGCAACTAATGCCGCCAAGAATGACGCCGATAGATGCAAGCCGGGATGGTCCTCATGAATCCCAGTGGTTGCCACTATTAGATCCCTAAAACTATCATATGATGCAAGCTGGCAGCTGGTCATCATACCACAGCGGAAAGCATTGGGCCACAATCCCTGTCCAAAGGCCTTCCACCCCTCTTGGTGCTTGATCTGTCGCCACGCATCGAAGATGTGCCGGTAATTGCGACGAAGATGAGGAGGTAGTGAACCATCATTTTGCATGCGGATGTTGCCTATATCTGAGGAGTTTCCGAAAATAGCGCCAATGAACCCAGAGATTCCTGCTAATACCCCAAGAACTGGCGGGGAAGTGGGAATATTGTTCGCTTTGGTTTGTTCTTTGAGCGTCTCATACAGGCCGATGCGGACTGAGCCATATGTTACTGCCAAATGGGTCAGTATCAACTAGGGTTAATGGAAGAGATAGAATGATTGGATGGACTGACACTGTCTTATAAAACCTGCTGAAAGCTTCGAAAAATTAGCATCTCATTACAATTCACATTGTTTTTCATTCAACATACTCCGTTATAAAGCGCAAGCATGCCCTCTCCCTGAACGATTCGAATGCAAGTGTTGAGTGTCCCGACTTTTGTACCACCATGGCCCATTTGCATCCTGACCTTAACTATGATTGATCGATCAGAACTTTGTTCTTTAGAATAGAATAGCTGAACTCACTCAGGTCCAAAGGATGAGAAACAAGCACCGCCATGCATGATGCAGAACCGCCGAACCACTTGGGATAAATAATTGGCTGAGAGGTGTCTATTGATTTACTCATGCTGAATATTTCAAATAGACCTCATCATTTTTCTAAAGTAATTAAGGATTATTGGATGTTTTTGTACTATCTTGCACAGAGGCATATAGCCGATTTGGAGATCATCATGAAGCCGGACCTCGGTGCGGGGGTTATCAAATAGGTCCAGTAGACCTTTATAATCGCAAATACTTGAGTAGTTCTATGAATCCTATTTTGGGCTATATACCTTGAATGTATGAAATACAGAGGCATCATAATGGTTGAGTAGTTGGCGATGATTTCAATATTTCTACCTCCAAGCGGGTCAGGCTCAATATCGAGCGCTAAATCAGGGCATGTTTATTAAATGCGCCTGCCATAGGCATGATACCTGAGTGATTGGGATATTAATTAGAAGAGTCGTCTTGAGTTGGTCAAGCTCCTTGTTTGTACTTAAGAAAATGTTCATGACCTTGGAGGCTACAGAATATCTACAAAAACAAAATACAGTGAAATTGATAGAATTTCTCATAGACAATAAGCTGAGCAATAAAGCAAATCTCCTTTCTACCAGGGAGGTAGATAAGATACATAGTGTAGTATGGGATCAATATTAAAGAGTTGAGAAAGCTAAATTCTAGACAACTGAGTTTGACAGAACCCCCCGCCAAACATGAACCCACGGAGCTGTAGTCCGTATTGTAAAGCTAAACATACATATGTAGTGAATAGGTCGTTGTATCGCATAACAGGGTCGCTGGGGTTGTCTTGCAACGGGTTGGTCTCTGGGGCTGGGGCCGGAGCCGGGGTGATTGTATAGATAACTGGACGAGCTGCTAAGGCACCAGTTCTGAAGATCAGGATCCACAATTCTTTATAAAGAATGGCGTAAAAAAAGAGGTATCGCTCGGCATTTCATTGGTGACATTAATTACTGGGTCAAACATTGCAAGTGCAATATACCAGATGGAATGACTCCGGGATCCGTGTGATAGAGCTCTACATATTCATACATTCATTCCAAATACATATCAAACCATACAATATACATTACTAGATTTATATTCAATGATTAAGGTTCTTCAATATTCCAACCTGCATGTCGAAAATGACATTTCGCGCTTTTTTTTTCTTACCCAGCCGCAGAACAAATCTGTCGAACCCCTTCCGTACGATAGAAAGATATATTATCCATAACAAGGACAGACTTCGGCTCCGGCCACCTCCCACAGTGATATAGGAGTTACCGTATAAAATCTTCGAACACGAAAGTATCCGTTCCCCGAAAACCTCGCAAAAAGACGACGCTATCTTGGGTATATACGGGAAGTATCTGGTATCGCTGTCCACAGTGAAAATAAGAAATATACACAGGTGTTACGCCAATGGAGACTATCCTGTCCGTCTGAAACACGCTCGTCTATCACAGCACGACTCATCCACATATACCAAATGGTAGGATCGGAAAGACGATATAGTGTGAAGATAGTAATCTCGTAATTCGGCATTTCGCTCTCTCGCGATCTGTCTCGAAGCCTTTTTAGACCACTCAGCCGATATGAGCGCCCTGCCAACGCTATAAATAGTCACAAGCACGCGGAATTCATCGCACAAGAAGACCACTATCTTATCCGGGTATGGATCTGGGTTTTCGAGCAGATACTCACAGAGAGCTTCGAGCATAGATAAGGTGATCGTTCGTCGCCGGCTGACACCGTTTATTGGTTCTGTGACACTTCTGAAGCATTTTAGATTCGAGCGGATGGTCCTGACTGACCGTGGGGTACAGTGGGCTGCTTTGCCGATTTGTGCGTTAGCGTAGGGTTCAGTGTCCTGTATCATATCACGAATTATATTGCGTCGCCATGTTTCAATCTTTGGCGCCATTTCTATTCCACTGCAGCTGTACAAAAGAACGTGGTGGAACGCAGCCTGTTCTACCGGACGAGTTTATCTCTGGCCAGGCCACAGCATCGACGATAGCCCGCGTCACGTGCACTGCATTTCTTCCAAGGTTTCATGTGGGAAATAATACAGCCATTTTACCACTAGACCATAACAAAAACCAAGGTTCCTGTTTCAAGGCCGGGGCCATATCCCAGTCTGACATTTCACCTAGGTAGCCCCCACAATGAACACTACTAGTCTATTCTGTCTACTCCGTACTGTACTCCGTATCATATCTATTGTTAGGAATATAGTGGTTACGACATTAATATCTACTACTACTTTTGGGGTTCTTCCCTATATTAACCCCCGCTAACAGATCCTCTCTTTACTGGACAAGATCGTAAATATGTCTTGCTCATGAATACATAGAAGGATGATTGGGCCTCCTGTGACGTAAATAGTGCGAGCCATTCGTGAATGACCGGGGTGATATGCAGCTGGTCATCCTCGTAGTCTGATAAGTTGTGTTCGTGTCTGGTTGGCTGAACGTTCCCCAGAACGCACTTCGAGGGCGCTTAGGTGCTGCGCCCTTTTGGTCCGGATGCTAGTGGATAATTGTGAGACTTTGCGCTCGCATTTGAGTCTTCTTGCTGGGGTCCTCATTTACCTTGGATAGTTTACACCTGACGCCTGCTACAATATCGAAGTCTTTTTGCCCGAAATCTCTCTCGATAAAGTGCGCCGACTGTGCCGCCAAAAATGTCGCTGAAATGTTTGAGCCGCGATTCCTACCGGGTGGGATGGATATGCCCCTTAGAGGTGGAACAGATCGCGGCAATGGAGATGCTAGACGAGGAGCACCAACCTCTTCCGCAACCCAGCGGGGACACGAACGTTTACAACCTCGGCAGTATCAACAACCATCACGTGGTTATCGCTGGTCTTCCTCGGGCAGGGAACTGCTCCGCAGCCACTGTCGTCACTTTGAACGCAAAGGTTTCCTCGAAGCCCCGCCAACGGCCCTTCTTAACGCTGCACGAGAGTTAGCTGTCCGGCGCCAGCGGGTGGACGATGATCCAATTTGGGGGAACCTGGGGCGAATCCAAACTAGCCGTCGAAGACTTCGCCGCTTCAAGTTCCCTGGCGCCGTGAATGACCATCTCTACCCATCTAACTATACACATGGGCAGCAAGGGATACCGTGTGAAGATAGTGGATGTGACCCGAAGCAGCGTATCGAGCGACCGACAGACGAGGAAGACGACTCTTTTATTGTTGTACACCGAGGTACAATAGCTTCAGGGGAGTTGGTGATAAAGGACGCTAAGAAGAGAGACGATATGGCGCAGGAGTATGGGGTACTATGCTTTGAAATGGAGGCCGCAGGAGCCCTTACCGATTTCCCATGTATGGTGATTCGAGGCATCTCCGACTATTGCGACTCGCATAAGAACGACCAGTGGCATGGTTACGCAGCAGCAGTAGCGGCTGCCTATGCGCGGCAGTTATTTTTCCATATGTCCATTGAAGAGGTGCAACGGTAAATCCCTCACAGTCCCAACATGCAGAGACCATGAATACATGTTTCAAGTTTGTTAAAGCATTACTTAGAAATTCGAATCCGAGAGAAACAACTTTCGAGCTTCCACTTAACCTGTCCGAGATATTTGAAGTAACCCGGTTCGTTGCACGAGAAGATAAGCTCAAGAGAATGGAAGAGATCTTCGACACAACTATTGGACGCCGTACTGCCGTGGTGCATGGATTAGGTGGCATTGGCAAGACCCAGCTAGCTATCGCATATATTAAACGAAATCGGTCTCATTACTCGGCGACAATATGGCTGAATGCAAAAGACGAAACAGCATTAAAGCAAAGCTTTGCTCGCACAGCTGAGTGGATTCTGAGCCACCACCCGTCTCTTATATACATTACAGGTGCTTTGGAGAGCCGAGACTTGGACGAGACGGTGAAAGCGGTTAAACGATGGTTGGACGACCCGATGAACGATCGCTGGTTGATCGTCTATGATAACTATGATAATCCCCTATTGGGCAACCATACAGGGAAAGGCATGAGCTATACTTCCTCTGTCGAGGCAGGTATATATAACGATAACGACAAAGATCTTGCAAAGGCTTTTGATCTTCAGAAATTCGTGCCCGAGACCGACCATGGTGCCATCATTGTGACCACGCGGTCCTCTATGGTAAAGCTAGGCCAGACTATTCACTTGCGCAAGCTAGAGGATATCAATGATAGCCTTGAGGTCCTGGCTTCCGTCTCTGGCCGTGAAGATTTAAGACAAGGTGAGTAAGGACGATATAGTCCAATGTTATGTACTAATAGGAAGCAGATCCTGCAGCTACTGATCTTGCGAGGCAGCTTGATGGACTTCCTCTGGCCCTCGCGACAGCTGGCGCATACTTGGATCAAGTTTCGATCAGCTGCACCGAGTATCTCCAGCTATACCGAGAATCATGGCAGCAATTACACGAACAGACGCCGCAACTGGCGGCATACGATCAAACGTTGTACTCAACATGGAATCTCTCATATCGATATATTCAGCAGCAGAGCCCAATTGCAGCTATGCTTCTCCGACAATGGGCATATTTTGCTAGTGAAGACTTGTGGTATGAGCTGCTGGAGAATGGTGGCTCGGAAAAGCCGGAATGGCTAGACGCACTGACAAAGAATAAGATCATATTTCACGCAAGCTTACGAATTTTGTGCAGTCACGGGCTCGTTGAAGCTGATCCGACTACCACATTACAGAGAGTGGAGTCACGAGGCTATAGCGTACACAGCTGCGTTCATTTCTGGATGATTCATGTGCTGAACCAGGGGCTTGAAAATAGTATGGCCTGGATAGCAGTCGAATGTGTAGCGGCGCGTGTGCCTGGGAAAGACGAACAGGAATTCTGGCTTTTACAACGGCGGCTTATTGCACATGCAGACAGATGTTTGGAGACAATTAGAAATAGAGAAATTAATGGTGAGGCTGCGGGGGCTCTGCATTCTTTGGGTTTTCTCTACGCAGATCAAGGCCGGCTCCAAGAGGCAGAGGCGATGTACAAACAAGCGCTAGAAGGCACGGAGAAGGCGTGGGGACGAGAACATATATCGACGCTTGATACCGTCAATAACCTCGGTCTTCTCTACGCAGATCAAGGCCGGCTCTAGGAGGCAGAGGCGATGTACGAACGAGCGCTAGAAGGCTACGAGAAGGTGTTAGGACGAGAATATACGTCGACGCTTAATACCGTCAACAACCTCGGTCTTCTCTACGTAGATCAAGGCCGGCTCCAGGAGGCAGAGGCAATATACGAACGAGCGCTAGAAGGCTACGAGAAGGCGTGGGGACGAGAATATATATCGACGCTTAATACCGTCAACAATCTCGGTAACCTCTACGTAGATCAAGGCCGACTCCAGGAGGCAGGGGCGATGTACGAACGAGCGCTGGAAGGCAAGGAGAAGGCGTGGGGACGCGAACATATGTCGACGCTTGATACCGTCAACAACCTCGGTCTTCTCTACGTAGATCAAGGCCGACTCCAGGAGGCAGGGGCGATGTACGAACGAGCGCTGGAAGGCAAGGAGAAGGCGTGGGGACGCGAACATATATCGACGCTCAATACCGTCAATAACCTCGGTATTCTCTACGCAGGTCAAGGTCGGCTCCAGGAGGCAGAGGCGATGTACAAACGAGCGCTTAAAGGCTACGAGGCCGCTTTTGGGGCGACCTCAAATTTCACTTATATCCCTGCCTTGTGCACTCTGGAAAACTTTGGCTTTCTATGCGAGAGGAACGGGCAGGTTGATACTGCTCTGCTGTATTATCAGCGGGCACTGGTGGGCACTGAGGCTGTTTGGGGCCAGTATAGCGAACGGTATCTTTGGCTTTCCAACAAATTGAATTCTTTCGAGCGGGACACACATGAACTTTCTGAAAGAGAAGAGCCTGTTCAAATGAAAACAAACCGGAGGCTAAAATAGAAGAAACTGGGAGCCAAGCTCTCCGGTATGTATCAGCCAAAATAAGCCATGCAACGAATCCAGAAAGGCCCACCTAGTTTTTAGTCTCTCTTATTATATACGTATGGGCTTTTTCACCATGATGCCAAATTGGAGTAGCACAGCTAGAGATGCTGATCTACTCGCGGGATTCTGGGATGTATCATGCACTTTTACAGGGCGATGACGATGATAGAAATGATGATAGGAACATTTGAATAGCTTCATTTACGATACACTGTATAGAGCGATAAAAAAAAAGCGGTCTATAATCAGGCATCATTCAGGCAAAACTAGACCAAAAAGTCCATTGGGACATTGGCCGTTATGCCCCTTCGCACACCCACTTAACTCGACTTTAGAACATCTGGATGTTTGTAAACTTGCATAGTCATATAGTAATGTTCGAAATCAGCTATACCTGCACACTCTTTCAACTCCGCCACACGATATTCTGGTTCGCGACGCCATAACAAAATTAATTTCATCCGATGTTTATGGGGTTATAATCCATGAGGAAAGAAAGCATAGGAGTCATGCAGAACTCGCCGGATATCACCATCTCAATTCTCAAGAAGCTCCCCGCCGTCAATTACTCGATGAAAGTTCAGATTGATCGTGGTAAGAAAAAATGCTACCGCGACGCTGAAGAGATATAATCTTGAGCTCCGTGATCCACATTACCTTTAGATAATAAAGGTTTCACTGCTTTATTGTCATAGATCCTTTCTCCAACCCTCTTGTGAAACGAGCCCATCCTCTTTAGACTTGGCTCAGTTTCAAGTATTGAATCGTATTGAAAAGCATGACTACATGACAACGTGGTGTATAAATTGCATGTAATACCCGCCAAGAATACTGGCATCTCGCGGCCCCTAGGCTCGCTCATTGATGGCTGCTTGCTCTCAGTTTCTAGCAGTAATGTTGATTAGAGTGGCAATGTCAATCCCTGTCGAGTAGTATGCACTAAGTAAATCTATGATACATAGGCAAGGCACAGAGGTTTCGCAGTCGTGCGCCATAAGGGCAGCCTAAGAATTGGAGCGGCAATCGACCACGATAGGCCGTGACGAGGCTTTAAGTTCCTGTCGGAAAATGAATCATTCTAATGTACATACTCGAATATATAATTGCTGTATACTGTATGTCGCTTTGGCGAGGGATCAGTGTAAATGACTACTACTTCTACTCTTACTGTAGTAGTCTGTAGGAAAGGTCGTTTCGGCAATTACATATACTATCAAAAGTTTTCATGTAATCAATCTACTTGTCACGGCCAGTCACCCTCAAGTATCTTGAACATGTCATCTGTTGCATTAGCTTCTTTAGCTTCATCGTCATTGTCTCCCCAATCAGACCCGGACTTCAAATTCCCCAATTGCTCGTCGCTTGATGAGGTCCACTCTTCGTTGTTAAGATCTTCCCCACCTGAGTATACATCAAACACTGCTAGAATCGTGCTTCTGTGTTCTGACCCGTTAAACTTACGCGGAAGGGCATCTCCAAGGCTCGATAGATCAAAGTTTTGCTCATCCAGTGTCGCACAATTGAGCTTAAGATCATGCTCCTTGAAAGCTGGAAGTACGATCTCCTTATACCAATTAGCCTTTTTCTTAAGGTCGTCCCATGCCCAGCTTCTACTGACTTCTGCTTCTGTAACTTCCCAAAGGCATAGATAATGATTTCTGTAATAAAGTGTCTGTCCGTAAGGATTGCATACTCCATGTGACATCTATGCGGCTATGTCAAGAATGGGTAATCGGTTTCTCACTCGAACGTTTGGATTGATTACAGTCAGGGTTTGCATGCCTCTTCTTTCGGTCCTCATGTCTGCAAGATCCTCAAAGGCTGATGCATCTGTTGTGAAAGAGATAAAAGGCGTCGGCTCCCAAATACGGTGGTTTGCGTGTGTAGTCAGTGCTTCTTTCCGTGAATCCCACGTGCGCAATGGTCGGTGCGGGTGTCTTCATAACATGCAGTTCGACTCTTCGGGTTGGCTTCCAGAATAAATATCCCATATCCGAAGGAACGGCTGATCAAAGAATGGACCGCGCCACTCCTTCCAGGGTCGTCGATATTCTTCGTCTTGGGTGATAGAAGGATGCAAGAGATTCAAGCAGAAAGAAGAGGTCAGAGTTGAGGCTACCATGATGACAATCTGTCACTTTCTGCATATAAAAAAACACGGGTTTGTAGCTAGATGGTTGATTTTCTGACCGAGACCTCTGATGTGCGTGTGGGCTTGGTAGTATCTTTATTTCATTTTCTTTAACATGAATCTTAGACCACGCACCGGCCCATAAAGCTCAGAGCCCAACACCCAACCCGCAAATGGGTTGGGTTTTGGGCCCGGAAGCAGATTTCGCTAACTAATGACTGTAAGTGTGTTGATGGAGGGGTACCAGGTGACATACATTGATTTATCTTACCATACCTTCCTTGATCTCACATTTTCTGTCAGTTATAAGCCCGGAATCTTTCAACTAAGATAGACTTGATACTCATTCAGCTTGTGAGCAGGTCCAAATAACGATCGCTGGCGTTCTTGTTAGGCTGATATCCCCACAGTCTTCTTGCTTTCACTGTGCGGGACCGCACTCTGTCAAACCGACATAACGTTGAGGGCTACAACGGATCCGCATTGTAGGCCGTCGGCGAGCGTGATAGGAACGTACAGCCAGTGGCCTACGATCCAAATGTTCTGCAATCTGCGTGATACTGCGTCATTGATGATTTGACCTTGATTGAGTGAGTTATTCAAATATTCTGCGCGAGGTTGAAGAGGCCAATTAACCTTACGAGCGACCCCTAAGAAAACCTATACCCCCACTCAAATGGCAAGACTAGACTTCAACTTGTTCCTCACTTACTGGTGCACGACACTCAGGAAGCAGCGGCCATCTTTAGCGGACACGTAGAAAATGTCATCTGTTTTCTTATGAAACTCAGAGACGTAAGAGAAGAGCTAGCTTAGTCCGAAGGGTCAGGCAATTTGTGCAATATTTTGTCATATCTAAATCTGAGAAGCATTTCTAAGTCCTAGTGGGAACCATTTTAATTTGAAAGAGGGTCTTCCTTTTACCGACGTCATTTTTCGTCGTTTCTCACTAGTAGCTTCTTGACTTTCCGTACATCCTCTGTATCTCCCAACTCAGGACACAAACGAAGTACGGTATCTAACTGTGACCTCGCAGCGCTGATGTTCTTTTCTGTCCGTGGACAGTGCGTCTGGACAAAACTCCTATAGACGTCTTTGAAGTGGAAGGCTGATTGGAAAAACAGTCTCTTCCCAGAGTCCTTCAGCAACGTTGACACTATAAGTGGCGGGTGCTGTGGAAGCTCGTTCTTCTTAATAGAATCCTCAAGGTAAAGACGGTCTACTGTGAAGCTTTCGCCTTCTACCACACCATCATTATTCTATCCAGGAATATCGGCTATCAACCAAGGGTGGTGAATAATGGCTGGCAGCGGTGCCACAGACATCCAATCCCAGTCAATGACCCTATGTTTGATTCCGTCTGTTAGAACGAGATTATACAGTAGAGAAGCGACGTTTTATATCTACCCTGTCAAGTGGAAGTCGTCGCTTTTTATAATATTGTGCGCATTCAGATCCCTATGGGTAAAGCCGACACCAGTGTATTTATCAAACTCAGCAGTATAATTTGGGATCATCGACCGTATGATCAGATAGTCAATAGCATTGCCCTATCTAGCAGTGCCATTGAGGGTTCGTCGAAGACCTCGGTCTAGGCTTTTCGTGAGCCAGACTGAGTATAGACAATTTTCCTCTGCAGTAAGGGCGCAAGGAACAGGAGTAGTCTATAGTTGCAACAGAAATTCTGCGAGGTCATCCAGAAGCCTTTGACGTTTAACCAGAGGGATTTGGAAATTCCAGATCGCTAGCGGCTTACCACTGACCTATTCCGAGTACAGCACAGGGTGTTCTGCTTCTACAAAAAGGTTTAGCGCTTTGATCTCTGCGCGTTGCTGTTGATATACTGAAATTGTCTAACAGCTCGCAGTTCGTTTTTCCAATTATTGGAATCGGTATGGACTCGGGCAGCCCATCGTACGGAGTCTTCAAAGACAACTTCGAATACGCGGTGTGAGCCGCCGTGGCAAGGATATTCGTCAGCAAGTGAGCATGGGACTCCCAGGCGAAGGCAGCTAGCTTCAGAGAGCAGATCAAGCGAGCCTGCCATATTGGAACTTATGGAAATGAAAGTGACCGTTGTGTTGAACAATGTAAAATGGCAGGGAGAGAGGGAGATGAAAGAATAAGGTAATAAGTGTGTTGATGGAGGAGTACCAAGATGAGAGTGACCATCGACAGGGAGAGAGGGCACTTGATTGTTAGTGATCGGCGAAAGAGGACTGAGAGCGTTTGTAGGTGGGTAACCTGGGTGGTTGGCGATGGCGCTGAGAGGCTTATAACCTGTCAGGAAGTTTATGGGCATCAACACGGACGGTGTAATGTGAGACTAGAATGTGAATTGTGAAAGCCAAATCATAGACTTAACACTGAACAGACATCTGTTAATTTTTATTTTTTACATCTTCTCCAAGCGCCCGGGCAAGCCGAACAGTTGATGAAAAGGTTCGCGTCGATCGGGGGTAGTGTGAGCCCAATGACACTGTGCGACGAGGCATGCGCAAGCACAGGGGCCAAGTCACTGGTTTCAAAAATAGGAATAATCAAAGTGTTTCCTGGACGGAAACTTTCAGAGATTAAACTGAAAAGAACAGATACTACACTTGATCTAAGCCAATAGGCAAAGAGAGCTAAAGAAGAAAGAAAAGAAGAGGAATCTCCGGGGGCCGTGGTGTCTTTATATACCCTGAGGGCGGTGAGGACTTTTTCTTTTGCCGGTCCCGTTCGCCACCGCCCCTGGGATCCCGGGACTAACTTTGGCCCGAAAGAAATGAGCGATGCGTAGTCGTCCGAGGAGATATCGCTAACTGACCAGTCTATGCAGATATCCTTTTTATATATCTGATCTAGCACTGCGTATATACATTCATATGCAAAGATAAGATGTACTACATAAAATAATCAGGCTTGAACTATTGCTAGTTAGATTCATGAATAATATCTCTACATTGAAACAGCTCACGGAAGAAGAATCAGATGTTCACTATACACAGGGCTTGTTTGAAGCAGTAGAGGTAGGAAAAAAAAAACAGACACACAAAGGAGAATGACAAGACATAATAGCACAACGCCATGGGAAGAAAACATGGAGCATTTGGTACACCCTAGCCAGCGTCGAAAGTTCTAGGGTTTATAGATCACATCAAGAAATGGGTGGTTCCTCTTTTCTGATTTTCCCCAGCACAGGCGAATCTAACCATCTAAGAGGGTGCCATGGGAAGGTTTTCTTCAGGTTTGGTTTTTTTTTAATTATTGCGTTGCCAATACCGTTTATCGATCAACTTCACCGAACACAAGATCCATGGTACCTAGAAGAAATTCAAGGTTAGAAGCTGGAATCCAAGAAGACAAGAGAACAAATACTTACCAATAATTGCGACAGCATCGGCGAGCAAGTGACCACGAGACACCTGATCGAAGCCACCCAAGTGGGCGAAACCAGGAGCACGGATCTTGCAGCGGTATGGCCGCTCACTGCCATCACTGACCAGGAAGACACCCATCTCACCCTTGGGGGCCTCGATGGCTGAGTAGGTCTCACCAGGAGGCACAGAGTAACCCTTGGTGAAGAGAAGGAAGTGGTGAATGAGAGCCTCCATGTTCTCCTTCATGGCAGCACGGGGAGGGGGAGAGATCTTGTAGTCCTCCACACGGACAGGACCTTCGGGCATCTTGTTCAGGCACTGGTGGATGATACGGAGAGACTGGCGGAACTCCTCCATACGGCAGAGGTAACGGTCGTAGCAGTCACCGTTGACACCGACGGGAACGTCGAACTCAACCTGATCATAGGCATCGTATGGCTGCGACTTGCGGATATCATAAGGAACACCCGAGCCACGGAGCATGACACCGGTGAAACTCATGTTGAGCGCATCGGTGGCGTTAACAACACCAACACCCTGGGTTCTGGCCTTCCAGATACGGTTATCCGTGAGCAGCTCCTCGGTCTCGTCAATGCGGTCACCGAACTGAGTGGCCCACTGGTAGATGTCATCCAAAAGACCAAGGGGGATATCCTGCGACACACCACCGGGGCGAACGTAAGCAGCGTGGAGACGGGCACCGGAGACACGCTCATAGAATTCCTAAAGCATCCGAAGTATCAGTTGAATAAGACCTAGCTGCAGTGGCTTTTGGCGACTCTCAATTACTCACCATAAGCTTCTCACGCTCCTCGAAACCCCACAGGAAAGGAGTCAGGGCACCCACGTCCATTGCGTGGGACAGGACGGACATGAGGTGGTTCAGAACTCGGGTGATCTCGCCGAACAAGGTACGGATCCACTTGGCACGGTCAGGGATATCGACGTTCAACAGCTTCTCAACGGCCAAAGAGAAGCACTGCTCGTTGGTCATCATGGAGACGTAGTCCAATCGGTCAAAGTAAGGCAGGGCCTGCATGTAGGTTTTGTACTCAATCAACTTCTCGGTACCACGGTGAAGCAGACCGACGTGGGGATCGGAGCGAACAATCTCTTCGCCATTGAGCTCCAGAATCAATCGGAGCACACCGTGAGCAGCAGGATGCTGAGGACCGAAGTTGACAGTGTAATGACGGATCTTGCGGTCGGTCCCTTCGGCCTCGGATTCAAGGGCAGAAGCCTCGGGGTCCTCGGGAATACCCTTGTTGGCGAGGGAGGTGAAGGTCGGGTCGGTCGGCACAAGTCGTGTGGCTTGGTAGCTAGTAGCCTCTGCATGACGGCGAGGAACAGAGGTGGTTATCGAGCGGGAACGAGGAATGGATGTGATGAGCGAGGAGGGGCGGAGGCAGAGCCTTTTGGGCGCATTGCCCGCTAGGCGGGCGAAAGAAGCGGCCATAGAGGATGAAGAATCGGAGGTCCAAGAGGGAAAAGAAGGGAGATGATCCTCAATCCAGGCGCATTCAATGGGTGGATATGGCTCGCTACGGATAGGGAACTCGTTGGAGGTCTCAAGTTGGGAGTCGCATTTTGGCTCGTCACGTGATAAGCTGCCGGGTCATCAGCTGTGTGCTGGTTGGCTTGAAGGGGCCACTATACTGTGTGGGTGTTGGCTCCACACTAGCCTCGTCTTGGTTAGCGCTGTGCATTTCTCACATAATTCTGCATTTATGGATTATGTAAATATATATTTTCTGTGCAGAATAAAGCCCTCTTGGCTGCCTCAGGCAAACTAGAAAATTACTTCGAGAAATCTCTCTTATCGGTGATCGCGGATTTTACCATCAACCTTCACCAGACCCTCTACAATTGCTCACCATGGCGCCTCTTGTTGCCTCGCAGGAGGAGCTGCAGCGCCGCCGTGTATGTCTCCAGCAATGATTTCATGCAGCTCAGAATACTAATCGCCTCAGATCATCGGCATCAATGCGGAAACCGTCACCAATATCCCCTCTACAGATTTTCCTGGCCATTGGCCCGGAGAGTCGCATGGGTGGGCACTCGACGAATTCAAGAATGTATGTGCTGAAACTCTTACCAGGAAGGTATATTCTGCTGAATTCAGTCAATTCTGACCATTTATATCCAACAGAATTTCAAAGTCGAATTCCACCGCAATGACCGGTTCGATGCATCCTTCTCGCTAGTCGGTCTCGACGCCGCAGTTGCCAATGCTTTCCGTCGCATCCTTATGGCTGAGATCCCCACCATCGCTATTGAAGACTGCTTCATTCACAACAACACTTCCGTCATTCAAGACGAAGTGCTCGCACAACGGCTGGGTCTGATCCCGCTCAAGGGCTCCGTCGAGGGAATCAACTGGATGCACTGGTACAAGAAGGCGTCTGAAGACGGAGGCGAGGAGGAAGATGGCCCCTGCGACTTCAACACCATTGTGCTGCATCTTGACGTGGAATGCTACAAGAATGAGTACGCAGACAAGAACGAGCAGGACCCCCGCAAGCTGTACACCAACGCCCATGTTTACGCTAAGGACCTCATGTACATGCCTGTCGGTCGTCAGGAACAGTATTTCGTCGGCGATGGTGCTATTGCACCTGTCAATCCTGACATTCTGATTGCCAAGCTCCGTCCCGGCCAGAAGATCGAGATGGAACTCCACTGCCAGAAGGGTATCGGTGCCGACCACGCCAAGTTCTCGCCCGTGGCTACCGCTTCGTACCGTCTCTTGCCTGATATTAAGATCGAGCGTCCCATCATTGGCGACGATGCGAAGAAGTTTGCCAAGTGCTTCCCTAAGGGCGTGATTGGTCTTGAGCCTGTCACTTCTGCAGAGGCTGCGCAGCGTGGAAGTGGATATGATGGCCACGCCGGCGAGCTGAAGGCCGTCGTGAAGGATGCGTTCAACGATACTGTCAGCAGAGAGTGCTTGCGCCACGAGGAGTTCCAGGGTAAGGTCAAGCTGGGGCGCGTGCGGGATCACTTCATCTTCAACGTGGAGAGCACTGGTCAATTCGAGAGTGACATGCTCTTCTTGGAGGCTGTTAAGGTTATGAAGCTGAAGTGCAACCGGTGGAAGAGAGGTCTGACCGATCTGATGGGTTGATCAATCGGTCTTTTCTCTACTACACCTTATTATATGCATTCTTTGGCGTTGGATCTTTTGGCTGCCTTTGCGCTGTACATTTACGAAAAGTCGATCAGGGCTTCGCCTCACAGGCTGGAGTCTGGATGTGTTAATTGTCTTAGAAAAGAGCCCAACAGCTATCTTTTGAATTCTACGCAGTTAATTAAGGCTAATCATTCCGGTCATAAGATATCTGATTTCTCGTAAATTCCACATGGAAAGGCAGGTCAGTTTGCCCTTATTTGAAATGAAGACGGAAGCGGAACGTGGTGGTGTAGGCTGGGTCGCTTACAGCGACTTCCTCGCCATCATCGATCAAATCCGCCAGCTTTTTCGCCAGATGAGGCCGAGTCATTTCCTCTAGCTGAGGTGGGAAGCGCTGGTAGAGGGTCTTCTCTTCGGTTCGCATACTAGGCTTCTTCAATTGAGCCTCGGCCCTTTCACCAAGGCTGTCGATGAATTCGCCCAGGGTCATATTGGGATCCACGTTCAGCTTCCGGGCAAGTTCTCCGCACACGGGGCAGTCGGGCTTCTTCTCTG